GGCGTTCCAGCTTGGGTAGAAGTGTGTTGCACCGGCAGTGAACCTCGGCAAGCAGGAAAGCGAGGCAACGTCTTGGTACTGCGCAGAGAACAGGAACATGTCCACGGAAATTTGGTTCTTGGAACATTCGACCGCAAATGATTTGTAGAATGTTGACTGAGTTTGCAATAGCTTGCCTTCGCTCGAAGTACCGAGCAATTTGGCATCCTCTCGTGGCGTCAGCTTGCCCTCGCCCAAATTTGGCAATGTGCTCATCAAGCACACGACACGTCCACCGTAATTGCCGATAAGCTTGTCGGCAGACTTGAGAGCAGGGCCCATGGCGCTGGATCCGTTTTGCGTTGATGCAAACATGTCGTTGAAGCGTGTCAGCAGGTTGTCAATGGCAGGTCTGCACTCGTCAAGCGAAACGAGCAAGTCGTTGGGCGATGGCAAGAAGGCTTCCTCAATATCACCCACAACCAACATCTTGGCCTCATCAGACTTGGGTGTCATTGAAAAGAAGTGCAACGAAGAATCCACAGCGATGAATGCAACCTTTGTGCGCTTGTCGGAATTGGGAATCTCGTCGAGGGCTTCTTGAATGATACGAGCTGCCGTACCCACCAGGCCAGAGCTAACAGCAGCAAAGGAAACATCGATGAGAAAGACGTAGGCAAGAGCCTGCGGTGCCCGGACCATATACTCGGTCGGTGCCAAAAAGTCCACAACTGCGTGATTGAGCTCTGCCCGAGCGAAACGATCAACTGGCTTGTTTTCGTGAGAGTTAAAGTCAAAGGCCTGGGGTGTGTCGTTGATGAGGTTGCACAAATTGCAGCGCCAACGGTGGCCGCCCTCAACAAACGTAATAAAAGGGTTAATGTATGCACGGCAACGTCTGCACCGTGCAATGGTCGTATCTGACACAACAGGCACACCTCCATCGCCTGTCAGTGTGGTGAAGGGCCTGATGGACACTGCGAGTGGCAGTTTACTCTTCTTGAGCAGCGCATTTGTGTTGGGGATGGCATACACAGTGGCACGCATGTACTCTGGAGCGGCGTTCGCTGCTGGTGAGGGTGTCACCGAGATGTTCTCCGGTAGCATGATGGGCGGTGGTGGCCCATACAATTCGGCAATCTCGGGTTGAATGTTCATCAGGTCGACTGACTCTACCTGCCGCAGAGGTGTAGACGCGACACTCATTTGACCAAACTGCTGTGTTGCCTGTGCAACATTGGGCGGTGGGTTTGATGGGCCATAACCGGGGGCAGCAGGACCACCATAAGCTTGTCCGTAGGGTGCCTGTTGTGGGTAGCCTTGACCTCCGTAACCGCCTTGTGCTGGCTGCTGGGGATAAGCCGGAGTTGCAGGACCGCCAGCTGGTACAAACATCTGCGACTGCTGTTGCTGCCCATACCCAGGCGCCCCTCCTCCTTGTTGTGGGAGTTGCTGTTGCTGAGGTTGAGCCGGCGCATTGAAATCATCTATTGTATCAGCTCTGCATACCATATATTACAATCACAAACATTGCTGTGCAGCATACGCTCTGCCCTTCTTCCGTGTCGGTGCAGAGACTGGTGCAGGCGCCGCTTGAGGTTCCTGGTCACCGCCTGGTTGCTGTCCGTAGCCATCCTGGTAGCCATACGCACTACCAGGAGCTCCGGCGTCTGATCCGTATTGAGCCATGCTGTTCTGTCACTCAGAAACACAAGGACACAAGCCGGGCAGAGTCAATGAATCGAGGGCCCCCGTCGTGCGTGTAGCTGCGTTGATGCTGTACGTGTCTCGTCTCGCTGTCGGTTTGCTGTTGTCGAATCACGTGCAGAGACCGCGACCAACAGTAACTAATTACCAACTACACTGGGGCTCACAGGCTATGGACACTCGGCTCATGCTGGGTCTAGTTGAGATGCTTATCGAGGCAGCAGGCTTTGAGACAAGCTCACACAAAATTGGTCCGTTGAGCGTTGGTCACTCTACTGCTCTGTCCCTCATCTCACATGACCCCTGTTGACGAGCATCAGATGACAGAGTCTCTCACAGCTTGGAAAGACCAGACTAGCGCTTAAATTTTGAATTGATCTATGCACTTGGATGAAGAAGAAAAAGTATGCCATCGCTAGATAAGAAAAGAGATGTGTCCAGCGAGCAGGTCCATCAATCAGAATCGCCACCAACAGCCCACTCCTGCTGCTCATCCTTCACTCTCGCGAGGGCATGATGTGGTACTTGACTGCCACGTGGTGAGGAACCCAAGACTGATGTCGACATGGCTCGACCCTTGTATCCCGGGCGTGTCGCTTGGCTATTGCCTGGCATGCACCATGCGCCAGACATCTGTGTGCCACTCACCAGAGTATCCGGTCGCGGCCGTGCCATTGAGACAGAGTTGCTGCGGGTGCGACGATGATAGACTTCATGCGCTGAAGGCCGCGCGGCATTGGCGTTGTTCAGAATGTGCTTCTCTTCGAAGAGGAGGCGCTGGAGTGGGTGCGATTTGCTTGCGACTGACGAGATACTAGAGGAGCGACTTGCTGGGTCGAAGGGATTGTGCCAAGCGTCCATATCGTCCCACATGCTTGCGACCGATGCAGTCAACCCTTGAAATTTGTGTCCGGCTGAAGCGCGCGAGAGGTGTCGAGGAACACTGGAAGTGCTCTGCCAAGAGCTTGACGACATTTCGTTGCTAGTGAGATCCTCGAAGATGTGGTGGCCGTTGATGGACATGGCCGCAGTCATGTTCAGCTACTGCAGGTGCTTGTGTGTCTGTGCGATGAAAATGTCAGGGGTAGAGGTAGAAGACCGAGGCCGGCTGCTGTTACAATCACTAGCAACGCGGGCGACTAGGGGTCTTTAACTTGCTACAATGGATTGAGCAAACGGATTGATCATGGGCTCGGTTTGAAGTTTGCACAGCGCAATCACAGGAAACGAGGTCAAGTGGCGGCGGATTTGCAATAATGATTCACAGGGAGCAGGGCAGTTGTGTGCAAACTTGCATAGGACTCCGTCAGGAGGAGCCGCAAACCAACTGCACCGTCGGCTGTCTCGTTCAGCTGATCTTGACTCCAACGGAGAATTCATTTTTGCAACGCTGTGTGTCAGACTGTAAGTCTCCGGGATATGAGACCTTGCCGCGCGCCATAGTACTCAACCCTCCCATGTTCACATGAAGGAGGTCGCGTCCTGTAGGCTGCAGCGTCCGACGTTGCAATTGGTGCCCCGCAAAAAGGTGGTCGGTTCATGGTCCAGGCTCACGGAGTTGGACGACAGCTGATCTGTTTTTTCATTATCTTGCGGCTCGGCACGCGAGATTTTGACGTCGACGGGAAAGATAGCGAGTCTCTAGTAGACTCTCTACCAACAAGCTGAAGCTTAGATCTACCATCAACCCGAGTCGCCAGCCTTGTCACTCTGCTGTAGAACGAACAAATTTGAAAGTGCAACTGCTACTGTCGCATGCGATAGCGCTCGCTGAAACTCCCCGCTCAGTCATGATTCTATCTTGTCTTCCAAGGTTTCATGGTCAAGATTGCGGATTTGCTGCCGGCTGACTCACGAAGTTTGATACCTTACGGTCCTTACCCCGTGACAATCGCTTAAGTGCTCGCACAGCCTAGCAGTGTCAGGCACAGTCTCACAATCACAGAGGCTTTGGAAGTTCGGAGTCTGGACTCTGTAAGATTTAGACCCCAGAAACTGGATCAACCTTCAAAGATGCCCTTGCAGTCACATGGGCAATGATGATTGACTCACCCGTAAGTTGAACTGTAACTCTGTTTGCCTATGACCGAGACTAGAACGACGACTTGCCGAAGTTTGTGTCGATTCTCGTTTATGCGCAGATATCGGAGAGGCCGTTCGACTCCTTCTATACAGCTTTCAGCTGCAGCCTCTAGTCGCCTAAAAAGCGAAAGACCCAAGGATTTGCGAGAGTCTCATCATGAGACGGCGGACACGAGCGATTGGACTCGTACAAGCATCACTGCATTAGCTTGTATGCAGTGATATGAGTACGGGCAAATGCGCAAACTGCCAAGGCGATAGCGATGCACAAAGGGACGATCCAACACGGGCTTATACATCAATGTCACATCTCACTTGTAGCATGTAGCATGTGCTTCTGGCACGGTGCCACTGTCAATTTGCGCCAAGCTTCAACTGCCGCCCATGACTGGGTAGACAATCTGGCACAGACTTGCAGTGCCAGCCATTCCTTTGTCGTCATGAGATTTGCTGTAAGGGAGTCCTGTCAATTGAATGCCGTGCTGATCACTGTAGATCTAAGGCTGCATCCAAGCTTTCTTTCCTTCAAGCTTTGGTAGGTACTCATTACTAGTCACTAGTCATAATGCCAAGACCCAAGATGCCACATTTGAGATGATGGTCGTAGCAGCTTGAGTGCACTTTACTCTTCGAGTCTTATTGATTGACCGTTGAATTTGTCTGCTCTCTAGCCCACGGCTAAAAAGTCTGTTCAATCAGCACTATCTATACAGAGTGAGTGCAATGCAAGCTTGATCACATGGGAGGCCGAAAGAGATAAGGATTCAGGCGATCCTTCTCATGATACCGCAGGATTCGCAGCCCGCAAGTGCTCAGCTGACTTCCCCGGATTTCCCATCTGAACTCTGCCTCGAGATGGGCTCACATGCAGATCTCAGCAAGATGCGTCGGTGCGACAGTAGCTGGAACAAGTGGGGACCAAGACCAGCCTCATGGGCCAAGATGGAAGTTTACAGCTGCTACTCGATACTTATTGCTGCTGAGACTCCTGAGAGTAATACAGTCCGTGCACCGGCGTGGGACTCACGTGAGGCTGCATGGTAGGCCACCTGAGCAATCCCTACAACGGACAATTGATCAAGATGGCTGTACTCAGGCGACTACAAGCATTGAGGAATTATCGCCCACCAGGGCCACCACTGCGAGCTGTCTGCCTTGTTTTTGGAGTGCGCGACCGGCTTCGTCTCGAGTCAGACGACCTTGACCTTCCTCTGACGGCATCAGAGCGCCGACGCGACGGCGAACGTGACCTGCTGCTGTAACTCGGACTGCGGCGACGTTGTGAAGTAGAGACCCTTCCCCTTGACGGCTCAGGAGACGATCTCCGTCGATCACGGCGTGGGGGGCTTGCGCTACGTCCTCGACTTCGACGCCGACTTCGACTTCGACTGCGTGAACGAGAAGATGAGCAGCCACGGCGTCGATCTCTGCTTCTACTTCGATAGCGAGAGCGAGAGCGAGAGCGAGAGCGAGAGCGTGAGCTTGAAGAACGCGAACTTCTCGACACAGAGCGCGATCGGCTGCTCGAGCTGTATGACCGCGATCGACTGCTGTAAGAGGAGTAGGAGCCCGACCGTGAGCTGTAAGAATCACTTGGCGAAGCGGCTCGCACGGGCGCTGGCTTTGGCATGGCGAGCAGGTAGGCACGCATATCTTCAGTCAGCAGACCTAGGCCAATGGACGTAAAGTAGTTGATGGCGAAACGTGTCTTCTTGGCATCGCCGTCTTTGGGGAAAAGACCGTTCAGAGAACTCTGCAATTGCGGTTGTAAAAAGCGCTCGGCAAGCTTCTTCAATCCCAGAGCCGCTGTCAATTCTTCAAAAAGGATCTTGATGAAGATGCGAGATGACGATGTCGTTTCTTCCTCATTGAGGTGGACGCAAGCGAGCACATCCCAATCGAGTCCATCTTCTGCAAGCAGGTGGCCAAACAATTTGGCAATGTTGCGCAACTTGTTGGTTTCGTAACGATGCACCGTGTCGTAGTAGTTGGTGAAGCCTGTCGTGAAGCACTCTTTCCAGCGTCGATTGAGCTTGCAAAAGCGTTCAGCAATGAGTCCGTAGAAGCGCGTGTAGGATCGCTCTTGAGAGCAACACTCGACAATCATATTGCACAGCTCTTGCTCTTGTCCAGCTTGCAGCTTGAGCTTCATGAGTTTGTGCGTGCATTCTTCATAGTCGACCGAAGACATGATGGTCAAGTAAATGGACCTCCTGAGGTTCGTCAAGTTTGTGTTAGTCTCGTCTTGAATCTCGAGCTGGCGTTCTTCTTCAACAGCAGCATCTGCGTCCTCGGCTTCATCTTCCTCTCCGCTTCCTGATTCCTCTTCGTCATCACCTAGAATCTCCTTCTTCAGTTCCGCGTATTTGGCTTCATTCTCATCGTACTGCTCATCGTATTGGAATACATTCAGATGATCTTGAACATCGAGCTCGTCGTCGAGGCTGATGTAGTGTGTGATTTGATCCTCTTCTTCGACCAAGTCGAGCTCAGGCTCCACGATTGGATGGTCCTTGTACTTTTCCTTGCGCACCTGGAAGAGCACTTCGACCATGTACTGCACGCGTTTGTCAATTTCCGCTTCATGCAGAATGGACCGAAATCGCTCAAAGACGCCATTGTTTGCTTTTGGTGATACTTCTGCCAGAAATGCGCCAACCTCACGCATGAATCCCACGGCGATTTCTACCGAGTCATCTGTCGGGCGTTCCAGTAGCAGTGCTAGCATCTGGAGAGCAACAATTTCGTGTGCTACTTGCTGATTGCACAAATGCGCTAGAAATGCGACAGAGGCAAGGCAGACTGGCTTATCATTGCGCTTGAAGGCGCGTCGAAATTGCAGGATGAGTCTTGAGAGCAAGAGTTCACCAACTTGAGGCAATTTTGTGTTGACAATGGCCACAACAGCCGCATAGACTGGCGTGAAGGGCAGTGCAGCAGCTTGAGCCTTCATCATACTTCTTGCAAAGAGCCCACGACCGCGGACAATGTTTTCGCCGAAGAGGGCCGGCGCAATGATCTTGATGTTGGCCTTATTAGCCTTGTTCACTAGACCATTGAGGGCCTTTTTCAAGTTCTCCCAAGCGATTCGCTGAAACTCCTTCGTTCCTTTGTCGGAGAATGCTGCCTGCAGTGCGCGAAGCTTGGCCGGTGGCACATAAGTTCCGCCTGCGCGTGTCTCCATCAGACGTTCATACTCGGCCTTTGGGTCGAAAGGTTGTTTTGCAACTTCCGCAGGTGCTTGTGCTTGTCTCTCTTGCAGCTGCCGTTCGCGTTCCCTCCGTCGAGCAGGGTCAATGTCTTGGAGCGACACGCGCTGCGGTCTGGTATGAGCTGGCCGTGGTGAACGAGACCGTTGACGCCTTGGCGGTGGCGAGTCTTTTTTCGACTTTGGGATGGCATGTCGAGCATGATCAGAGTGAGCATCCTGATGCCGAGAAGGAGGAGTAGCCTGACGCCGCCTTCTGTCTGGATGTATCATGGAATCCTCTGTCGCATCTGGCGTGTGTTTCCGCTTGTGCGGTACAGTTGCTGCAAGCGGCATATCACCATCCTTTACAGCTGAGCTATGGTCATGACTGGTCTCTGCAGCGCCTGGAGACTGCATGCGCACGATGCCTTGTGTGTCTGTGTCGCGATCTATGCTGCTTTGTCTCAAACTTCAAAAATTGTTGCCATTCGTCGTGTGAGCCTGTGCAGTGTGTACAGCTCGGCGATGGTCTGGAGGCAGGTCAACGAGGACATACAAAGACGGAGCCATGCCATGCTACGATGCAGGCTATGAACAGCCGCGACTAGATACACAGATTACAGCTTGCTATGCTATCTTTGGCATGTAGAGCCATACAATTCCATAGATGCAATCAAACAAGAAGAAAAGGCCTTCCAAGATGTCCGTCACCTGAGCACCTCCGTGGCCCTCCAGCTCTTCATTTGAGAGCATTCAGAGTGTCCACTTCAGGCTAGCAGCAACGGCAGCAGCTGGTCTGTGCGCATGTCACCGAAATCTGCCGGAGAAGCAGAGAATTGACCACACCTCAACCCAACGAAGTCTACCACCCCCACGCTCTCTATATCAGGGCCCTCAGCCTCGCATTGTCGCCTGCGAGTGTCGGCGCATCCACTGGGGCTATTTTCTGTCTAGCTTAGCCGCAATCTTCGTCCTCGACGGCCTATTTGCACATCGGCGCGTTCTGTCGGCTTAAAATTACAGCGAAAGAGATCGATGAACACCACTGCCTTTGATGGCTTCCTTGGCTCATTGTCGGACATACAACAAGAAGAACTGGATGCCATCACTGCTGCGCTGGCGCCTTCAAATGATGAGATGCCGCAGACAGATACAGCTTCTAACAAGGATGCTCCTCATTCCTTGCAACACAGCTTCCATGAACTAGCACAACAACAGCAGCAGCAACAGCAGTCTCATCAACAACAAATGCAGATGTATGCTCAGTCATATCAAAAGCACCCGCACCCGTATCCAACACCCAATTCTGCGTCCATGTTTGCGGCCGTCGAGAAACCATACATGTCGCCCTTTCCGGATCCCGGGTCGGCAGCAGCTATGGCACTGAGCCAGGAAATTGACGAGCTACTATTTACACCCATGATGTCGCCTGCCATGGGTCCTTTGCATAATGGCTTCCCAGCACAGCAGCAAGAAGTCGACTGGGATCGTTTTGATCAAAGTCTTTTTGCTTTGACTGGACCTGCGATAGACGGGCAAGTGCAGACACCCACCATGGAACTTGATCAAGCAACAGGTGGCTTGACCTCGCCAGCATTCCCAATGCCTGCGCAACAGCAAGCATCGGCGCCACCTTCCGCGAAAAGGCAGCGAGTTGCTCGTAAACCGAGTGCGACAAGTCTAAGCAGCAAATCTCCAGCTTTGAAGGCCATCTCTAAGCACAAACGCAAGACGACCTCAATGTCTGCGCCGCTGCTCCGTCAAAGTGCATCTTCACTCGAACCCTCTCCTGAACCCAATAGCCATGCTGGACTTGCCCACTCCGATAGCGTCTCGCCCATGGCTGTTGATTTTGGCAAGAGCACCACAAATGGAAAGATCTCTCAGGTTCAGCAACGTAGGGCCGACGTTGCGCAAGAACGCCTCGGCCAGCCCATCACGCCAAGCATGCTCATGTCCTTGTCAGGAACATTGCCAGAGCTTGCCGCTGCACCTATACCGACAACCAGCGCCCAAGGCCAGCACGTCGCGACAAAAAAGCCTTTCCCTACCCCAATTGCGACAGCCAATTTACCATCACCAACCTTTCGACCACCTTCGCAACCAAGCACACCTGCAGCGATCGCGCCCGCTCGGCCAATTCAGGCTGCACCGAGCAGTATGTCCGGTCCTACAACGGGCAAGAAGCAAGTTCCTGGGAGCGTCACGCATTCACGGGCGGGTTCTGTTGCGAATTCACCGGCGCTAGGACCATCACTGCCACGCAACTCGCCTGATCTGAGGCCCATATTGCCAGGTGGCATGTCTCCGCAGGTCTCTGCCTTACTCGCCTCGAAATCCAATTATCAGCATATCCTCGATGGAACACTCAATCAAATGGGCGTTTCCTATCCGACAGGCATGACGGCTGGTCTCGAGAATCGAAGAACGAGTCACAAGCAAGCTGAGCAAAAACGACGCGATCATCTGAAGGAGAGTTTTGAGCTGCTCCGAAATATTCTGCCAGATAAGCTTGATGCCGGGGCGTCCAAAGTCGTGTTGTTGCGTAAAGGCTACGAGTACATTCTCAGCTGCAAGAAGCAAGTCGAAGAAAAGGATATTGAGATTGCTCGACTACGCAAGCTGGCTGGGCTGGCAGAGGTTCCGTGTAGCGCGGCGACGAGCCAGCCTGTTGTTGACAGTTCGCCTTCCCAGTCAGGTACCTCAGAGAGCAAGGATGGCGGTGGAAGTGATGTCTCGTTCCAGAGTGAGATGGACACACGGCAAGAGGATTCCGGCGAATCCAAGTAGTGGTGTTCATACCACAGACGGTCACAAAGACTAATGTAAGAATAGGATCTGAGTACAGTATCACATATACAACCGCTTTATAGCATCTATTTAATCACCAGAGCCAGCTCGTCTTGCTGTGTTGCGGCCTCGATCCCTGCGGTAGGCTCTGCGCCCGGTAGTCTGCAGATGCCCATATGATGCCCATATGATGGATGATATGATGGATGATATGATGATCTGAGCCATCAGCTGACTGCCCCCGCGCACTTTCAGATCGGCGGCCGCATCCCGTATCAAGGAAGAAACTGAGCTCAAGCAGCCTTGGACCTTGGTATAGCTATCGGATGCATGTACAAGACTCAAGGAACGGGATCACAGGAGCCCCTCTTAGTGTAAAAGATGCTCTGGACTAGGGCCCAATTCGGCGCTCACTGGCCCGTGCGTGTTTGAGTGTCTGGCCGCTTGCTTGCTCCCAACGAGGTCTTGTGACTGAACCCCACATCCTCTGGCGTCGCTCCCCTATAAAGAGCCCTTATCAGTCCATGACTCTGTCTCCTTTCTGTAGCTAGTCTCTGTACTCGGCTTCTTTACATTACACAGCCAAGAAGAATCTAAACCAACCAGCAAGCATGAGTTCCGTCGTCTCCGACACGACCATGTCCACATCGCCCATGTCGAGCCGCTCGCGTCGCCGCTCCTCTGCAGCAGAAGGCGTCTTTAGTCCCAAGGAACTACAAGAAGTTGGCGTAGAAATCGTGCCAAACCGTAAGCTCTTCACTGCAGACTATGGGCAATCATGCTGACTGGCCCCTTTTAGCCAACATCAAGAAGCTCAAGTGGCGCATCTGTGAATCTCCGGCCAAACTTGCGGAAGCAGATCTTGACAAGGCTGACTGGATGCATGAGATGCTGACCACGCCACCCGTCAATCGTATCGACCTCAAATTTCCTCAGTCGTTGACTTTGACTGGTAAACCAACCCACTGTTTTTGAACACTGCTGACGAGGTAGTGCGCAAGCCGAAAGGAGTGACATGCAAGGATGCGATGGATGTCGTCTACAAAAAGTTCAAGCACAAGGCCCTCGAAGACATCGCCGAGCCTCAGCTAGATGAGCTCGAATGGGACCGCAACGACTACGCGACACTGGAATTGCTCCTGCGCAAGGTTTAGATGCCTAGACACGTTGATTATGCGCTTGATGATGCTTCTATTTTTCTTTTTATACTTCGACTCCTCTTCGTAGTCAAACGCTTATGCAAATGATGATTTATGGCTGACATGTCATCTTATACTCCCACTACCTTCCCCTGAAATCGCCAAATCACAAAGAGCTTCTGACGAATCCTGTGGTCAAATGATCTAATGTACAAGTGCTATGAATATAAGAGGCTGAATTGATTAATGATGTATACATGCAAAGAGAGGATGGGACATGCTGAAGCTAAGGCTCAGCAGTCAATGCCATGAGGACATTCGAGATGCGTTCTCGCGTGTATGGCTTTGTGAGGCGATCATTCATGCCTGCCTCGATCGCAGCGTCCAGGTACTCAGCACGAGCATTACCCGTCACTGCACAAATTGGTGTACGCTTCACTCTATTGGTGTTGATACTTTCTTGCTCATATTTGCGAATGAGTCGGGTCGCTTCGAGACCGCCAAGAACAGGCCTAGAAATTAGCATATACCACACGGCGGAATTGATTTACATTTCAAGATCCATGAATACTAGATCAAATGGCTTCTGAGCTGTCGCCGCTCGCCATACATCGTAGCCGATTTGACCATTATCCGCGCATTGCACGTCGTGACCAAGACTGGTAAGGAGACGCTTCAGAATTTGTTGGTTGACTTGGTTATCTTCGACGACGAGAACATGACGACTTGGGCCTGCGTTGGCTGGGGATAAAGCTGGTCGAGAATTGCTTCGAAGTCTTGCAGGATTGCTTGGTAGTTCATCAGCTGAGAAAAAGTCGCGACTGTTCATTGGTGAATTAGGCGTCCTGGTCGGCGAAGATTGTGGGGAATGCGAATCCTCGGAACTCGACTCAGCTGTATCTTGGCTGGCGAGCATCACGGAGCGTTTGACACGGACAAAGAAGCTAAATTCGGCGCCTTTACCTTCGCCATCGCTGTCAATCCTGATACTGCCTCCCTGAAGACCGATGAGCTGTTTTGTGATCCACAAACCAAGCCCCGACCCTGAAAACTTGGCATAAGTCTTGGGTGAAGCTTGCTTGAAGCGCTCAAACAACTTGTCCTGTTCTTCTTGAGAGATACCTTTGCCATTATCCTTGACGCTAAATGTCAGGTACAAGTCGCCAGCGTCACACCATTCAGTGCTTTGCGCGTGTAGTGGCGACTCAAATGGTGGTTGTTCGCTCAAAGATGCAGAGACGAGTATCTCAGGACGTGCAACATCTTTGCAAAACTTGAGGGCATTGGTGATGAGATTCACCAGACACTGGGAGATGCGGGACCAGTCGCCACAGACTTGCTGGCAAGCTTCATCCCTGAAGAGACCGCCGTACTGACATTTGATAATTGTCTCATTCTTTGGTAAACTACCAGACCCAGCTCCTTTGTGTTGTAGTACATTGTAGCTCTTTGTGCGAGACATGTCGAAGAGTGCACAAAGCTGATTGACTTTGTGTACTGGCGCAAAAGGCTCTGAGACAATTTCAATTAGATTCAGCTCGAGCTTCGACACATTCAAGACGTCGTCGGTAATGCGCCCTTGATGCTCGTTACATTCTTGAATAACCTCGCTCGAGCGGCGAGATGACTCTAGTAGAGACTCGGCCTCCGCTGTGAAGCTTTCACTCTTGCGAAGCAGTCGGCATAGCGCAGATAAATCGTCCAGAACAAACTCATTGTTGTGCTTGATGGCGTTGATAGGACTAGGCGTTAGAAATAGCGGGGGAGAGGGTATGCTTACTTTCTGATCTCGTGGCAAACGAGGTCGATGAAGGCTTCAGACTTGCGCTTCGTCTCTATAGCTGCTTCCGCGCGTAATTGTTGTTCTTTCAAGAGTCGCTCACTTGCTTTCGTGCGTTCAGTGCAATCAGTCAGCACACCAATCCAGCCGTCCTCTCCTGGCGAAGTACATGCCACACAGCGCAGCTCAACTGATAGACAAGAAGCCTCAGTTTTACCGATGCGACAATTCATGACGGACGTGAAGCCATTCTGCAGGCCTGCGCTCCACCAGGCAAGACATGATGCACGATCAGGCTCATAGACACTTTCCATCCAAGAGTCGCCGCCACCGGAGTGCTGCGTCAACTGCCACCAGTAGTCGCTGTATCTCTGGATATGCCCAGCTTGGTTGACTTTGAAGAAAGCGACTTGCACATAGCGATTGAAGAGATCATAAAGCTGAGCATCCCGCCGATCTCTGGAAAGTATCAAACCCTTGAGAACGGCTGATCGGAGCGCATCAGGGTCAAACGGCGTCGAGATAACCTTTGTGAAGAGATCACCCAAGACTTGATGCTTCTTTGTCATGACCATAGATGATAGTAGAATGATAGGTACAGAGAGCGCCATGCGAGACACAAACTGTGCTACATGCATTGCATGCGATCCTTCCAGCGTCGTATCGGCAGAACTGATGATGAGTGAGGGTCCATCATTTTTGTTGGATTGTAACACTTCGATTGCCTCATCAGCGGATGCCAAGACAGTCACCTCGTCAAAGTCTTGCAACATGACGGTTTGGATATAATTCGCCATCCGCTCATCCCCATCCACCACCAAGATTTGTGAGTGCATTGGGCAGATGGATCGTCTGTGTCTGCACGCTTCCGGACTCGTTGCTTTGCAACTCAGCGTCCTAGTAGATACCCGATTGAGCTGCCCGGCTTCCTTGCCTTTTGGCGTTGCTGCCATGGGCTTGCCTATACACTTTTCGGGGTCGAGATGGTCAGTCCCATAAAGGCAAGTGAAAACATAGTCGCACTCATTCATGGCTTCCCGCAGGTGCGTTTTGAAGTCAATCCTGTTGAGGCGCGAAAGCAAAGAGGCGCGCTCGAAGCCGAAACTGTTGCACGGGCAGCTGCCTGTACTGGAAGCAGACTCTGAAGATGACTTGACTCTTGAACTATCACGAAGTGTAATGCCATTGCACTCTTTGACACCACAGGCACTTTGGAAGGTAAAGACAATCTGGGGCCCTGTTCGTTGCAATCTGCGCTCCACGCGAATCTTGGTCTGTGATTTGGCGCAATCGGATAGGATGCCATACACGGTGGTCAACAATGCTCGAAAGTGGTCGACATCGACCCAGACGTCAGTGCTGACTTCCAATTCTGGCAAGATGAGGTCGATGAAAATATCCTTGATTTTGAACATGGGTGTAAAGTCGGCAGTTGCCTCGCGCAAGGGAGCCAGTATATCGGCGTCTTCATACATGCAATTTGCAGTCAGTTGCAGCGAGTCATTCAGTTGCATGGCCATGAGCTCGAGCTGATTCTTGAGGCGCTTAGAATTCAGTGCAATCATGGTTGCGAGGTTATACGCCTTGCTCCGCTCCTCAACCGTCGGTGGACCGTCTTTGCTCTTGAACCCATACAAAAGCTTACCAAGATCCGATGCTGGCCCAAGAATTAATTGTAGCGGACTTGAAAGCTCGTGCATCATGCTTCGCAGGAACCACGCTTGCTTCGTTGACTCTCTAGCTCGTGCTTCTGCTTCAAAGGAATGGATACGTTGAAGTGCAGTTTCGAGGTAATGTCTGGCCATGCCTGCGAATTGGCTAGACATCGCTTGTCGCTCAGTCATTGGGTTGTAGGCCAAGATAAGCACATAGTCCACTTGCGCTTGAGCTTCCTCTTCGATACGTCCGGAGACGACCGGAATTGAGACGAAATTGATGAATCGTCCATCCGGGATGGATGACATGGAAGGAACACCGCGAGTGGCTGCAGAAGCAATAGGCTGTGTGATGATTTGACGGTCGAGTACAACTTTGTCAAGCTGCAATGCATTGACTTGGCCGTCCAGTTTGAGCGAACGAGGGCAAAGTGCATGACCAGCAGGAATAGAGACTGAACCAAGCAGATTTAGCTCAACAGCCTTACCCGGCGTAGCGGGCTCTGGATGCGAGACTTTGTAAATCATCGAGATGGGAATATCGCACATCAAGTCACGCTCTTTCAAGACTTCGAGCAAGACGGGAACGACATCCGTCCGCCGTGGCAACAAGCCAAGTCGTTCGTCCAATCTACCGATTTGTTTTAAGCCTCGACTCAGTGCCTCGAATTCTGTTTGTTGTGAGTACGTTGTGATGCAACCAACGACGTAGTCTGCCACGACTGGCAAGACTGGATCAAACGACATGCTGCAAACAATCTCGCTCAGGGCGCCCATTGAGTCAAACACGACAATCCTGAAACTATCCGTTTTGACGACTTGACCTGTACTGTAGGCTTTATCGAATTTACTTTGCATGCGTAGCCATGTGCCTTGATTGTTTTCGCTGCGTCGCTTGACAAATCCTTGATCGGCATCGAGTGGTCGGCCGAGCATTCGCATGAGCGGGTCATTCTCGAAGAAGAAACTGCCATCGCGCCAGTGCAGACTCGAGGGTGTTGCCGTATGGATGATTTGGTAGAGGGCAAGCTTGAGCTCGATGGGCCATTGCGACAGACCACCCAGGTGTTGACAGAGCGGCTGCGATGGATCCAATTGCTGCAAGGCTCGTGATATTCCACAGTTGCGTGAGACGAGGACCTGATCCAGCAAAGTATCTAGGGACGCATCCTGCTTGCTCGGCACCATCGTCGCTCGCATGTGGTCACTGGTGTGGCACTTAGTATGGCGCTGTCTCTGAAAAAGTGTGCAAGTTCACCATCCCTTTGAGTCGTATATCGCTGCTGAAATGTGCGCTAGTATACAACAGACCCCTGAGTCTCCGGGACCCCTTGTTGCTTTTGCGATGCGATCTGTCGAGCAGATGCCAGGTGTCGGTGTCTGTGCTGCCATCGGATCCCCGGCCAAACTTCCACCAGATGGACCAGGAAAGGAGCAAGATATAGATTGACTTATACTTAGCCTAGCATACAAGTCAATGGACGCCCCAGACCCACTACGTCTGCTCAAGCTCCAAGAGAAAATCATCCAGCAGCACAACACGAAAGGACTTGGCAAACAGCTTCAGCAGATTGGGTTCTTGCCACAGTGCACTGAGTCCACTTGCAAAGCTCACCACTTCACACTCCCAGCCAAGGCCCAGGGCGCTCAATGCAATTTTGAAGAAGGAGCCTTGTGAGAATTGCGCAGCATTCGCATCACCACTTGCAAGTACGAGAACCCCAGGTTCATGGGACAGCAAAGATTCATGCATCTTGAGGTGCAGTAGCTCATCGACTCCTTGTTCCTTGAGGACAGTGACAGTCCGCTTCTTGCCATCTGGCTGTTCCTTCTCAACAGCGACAGGAACCCGTGCAAGAATAGAGACTTCGTAATCCAGCAAGGCCGCTTGCTGCCAGTCTTGCAATAAAGGTGACGATCCTACCAATGTCTTGACGCGAGCCGCTTTTGAACGATCCAGAATGCGATCAAGTGCTGCCATATCCAGTGGGACTCTGGGAGAACATCGATAATCCTTATAACCATCCTGTTGATACAAATGCTGAATGGCAGCTTGAAAGCCACAATAGATGTTACTGCTATCCACAAAGATGTGTCGGGCTAGCGCTTCGGAAGCAGCTCGTCTGGTTTTATCCAGGACAGCAAGCTTTGCATCAAGACTAGCGAATCGCGCTGATGTAGTCATCTGTGGTCGCTCGGGTCTCTTACTGGTCGTGCGCGTGAAGCGCTCCAATGCTTTGTCAAGTTGCACCATCACGTCCTCTGTGATGGTGGGTGTTGCTCTTGTCGCCTCACTCACACGAGTCGCTTCCTTACTCTTCTCTTGAGTCTCTTCTGTACTAGGTCCACCGCTCACTTGCACTGGCGGTACAGGTTGCGACAAGACCGCATCGACATTGGCGCGATCGACGTCATTACAGCCAAGCGCTCTAAACAGCGCTACGAAGCCTGTGTCTTCTGCCTCCTGTGATTTGTGCAAAGGTGCTGCTTCCAAGGCCTTGCAAAGATCTTGGACTTGCCTGCGTGGCTGTTCATGCGATGCTCTCATGCATGTGTGGTGTGCGTGTCAAGTGACGGGTGTGGCTAAACAGATGGACATGAGATACTCCGGCATGATTGACAGATGCAGAAGCACAAAAGAACACAGGAACTGTACTGGGAAATGGTCATCATGGGCCTATGAAAACTAAAGGAAAGAAACAGCGCCAGTGCATATAATCAAGTATCATCGTATCCTGTTCGTTCGAAAAAGGAGGCATCAAGCAGTGATGGTATTCCAGTCCCAGGCATCGTCATCATCCATATACCTCGACCACAAGTCTGTGGAATCTTCCAAGCCTTGGTTGCTGTTGCTTGTTGCCAGCTTGCTCGAGGCTGGCTTGATGGCCTGCTGCATGAAGTCATCTTCCTCAGCAACAGCCTGCTTGAACTGCCAATTGAGCTCAACAGGTGCCAAGGTACTGTCAATCGTCGTCTGCTTTTCCTGAGTTGTGCCCCACAGTGCAGCACTGAAGAAGTGTGGGTCCTGCTGCACAAACGTCGCAGGCTCGCTATAGGTCTGTGGAAGCAAGAGCTGCTGTGCGTTCATGGGAAGCGTGGCGCTGAACAAGCCTTCCTCTGAATCCTGCCGTCTGAGAATCTCCTGTACATCGTCGACCTGTAGCGCTGCATAATCGATGGTCTTGCGACGCAAGTCTTCCTCCATAGGCGCAGGTGAGTTATTGAGACTACCGCGTAGTGCAGGCTGTGGCAATGATGGGTGGCGAGCCACTGGCTGGTATGGTCGGACATGAGCATGTCTGGGCTTCAGATCCGAGAGTGTCAGGTTGCTGCTGGCAGGTGCCTGTTCGAGCTTTGCTGCCTGTCCAACAGACTGCCTGCGTGCATGCAGACCAGACGCCTTTGGATCATACGGGGCCTTGCTGGCACCTGTGTTTGTCTCTTCCTTCTTCTTGTTGCCGCTTGTGACGGCGCTACCGGAGCTCTGCTTGAGCTTGGGTGCGATATCCTTCCAGGCATCAGAGTGCCTAGGGAAAAGGGAGTCGTGGTCAGCATACTGCTTGCAGTTGACAAAGTCATGCTGCATCGCCTTATCGCCTGGCTTCGTCACACCGGCCAGTGCCTTTCGGAAGGCCACGGCATTGGCGAGGTAGGCCTGGAGCCGGGCATCAAAGTCTGCGGAATCTGTCTTGAGGTGTGCGTTGAGGTTGCGGTATTGAGCAGGCAGCTCTGCCTCTTCCTCTTCATACATCTCTTCGTTGAGGACATCCTGCTCCGTGACACGCAGGGCCTTGCCCGTGCGCTGCTTGTGGAGCTCAGAGGCACGCTTGGCACTTTCGATGCGGGCCTCAATGCTGCGGTCTGAACGTCGAGATGCTGCGATGTAGGCCCTCTCCTGGTTCTCCTGGTGTGTTCGCTCGTTTCGCTTCATGCTGTAGTCGTTGAATAGAGCCTTGGTACTTAGTACTTAGCTGGTACTTAGTAGATGTTGGGGATGTTCGCCCTTTTCTTTCCCTTTCTCTCCCGTCGGTTGCGCAGAGATCGGAGGCGGCCACTCTGATTGGCTGGAGGGCAGATTCGGATCTGGAGCTACGTCACAGCGCAGGCAGAATGGAGAGACACGATAGACTCGTATACGCTACAGCTCATGGAATAGTAGTAGAGTGGATCAGGCGACTCAGTATAGGTTGTATGACTACTAGGACTAGATTGACTCTGCTTTACTGCTTTTTCACGCTGCGAGACGATGTGCAAAGTACTAATTACTCGCAGTCACCAGCACACATCCCCGGAGCTTGAGCTGCTTGACACCGAAACACAGGATCTTTGCGGACCTTGCCTCGTCTGCCCTAAAGCTACAAAGTACAAACCCACGGCCACTCCGGGCTGTGCATGACAGACATTGACAGTGTATCTGTCACTCGTCCAATCGGGGTGTCCACAAAACCACCCTTCTATCTCGAAGTCAAACCCTAATACCCTATTGAGCAGCGTGTCACCACTGACTCATCACCGGACTGCTACGGGTACCACGTCAGACCCGTGACAGTCAGACAGTCAATCAGAAGGTCTAGGCAATGTCACTCGAAAATGTCTCCATTACTAGTACACCTACAAACCCAAAGCATGTCCAAGATCAAGCAACAGTAATCTTGTGCTTCAGCTCAGCCTTAGGATCCTTTGGCACAGTGATCTGAAGAACACCATCCTCATATCTCGCTGCAATTTCTTGCGCCAGAATCACCTGCTTATTGAGCCCCACAATCCGTTCAAATGTACCACGTCCACGCTCCAACTTCACAGCCTTGACCGCTTCGTCTTGGATATGGCGATGTGGTGCTGCCGTGGCACTGATGGTGATGCGGTGCGTTTTGGTGTCGTACTCTATCGCTATCGACTCCTTTGAGACTCCGGGGAGTGCCACGTCAATGAGGATAGCATCGCTTGTTTCGTAGAGATCCACGTCTGGTGTGGAGACGACTGCCTTGGTCTGAGCCTGAGCCTGGCCTTGCTGAGCTTTTGCTGGACAGCTTGGATGTTGCTGAGCAGCAGCGAGATGCTGGAAGAAGTTGCCGACGAGGTCTTGAACAAGGAACTCGGGTTGTTGGGAGGCAGTAGTAGAGACCATGTTTGTAGTAGTGGTTGTTGAGGTGTGTTTTACTTTGAAGATGTTCTTTTGGAGCTGGGAAGGAACGAGCTCTTATACTGCTTCACCCTAGGAGGCCACGTCAGCACCGGCCAGCTGATGAGTAAGACGGCGATGTGTTCCTGTGCCTGGCGCCTTCAGATGGAAGTTGCGAGCGTGTCCTGGAATTTGCGAGAGTCTCCTGGAAATTGCTAGACTCGCAGCATGGAAACATCGAGCACAATCGAGAATACGCAACCACCCGCTCGATCTAGCACATAAATAGGCCCTTCCTCTTCCTTCTCATCCTCATCAAGAACCAAACAACTCAAGTCAAAGAACAAGCACTTCACTACACACACACAAGCACAACCATGGTCGGCTCATTCTACACAGCAGCACCCGAGTTCTACGTCGAAGACATCGTCGGCGATCTCTTCGATCACCTCGCCAGCTCCACCAGCCAATACCAAAACAAGGCCAAGCGCAGCGGCAAGGGCGGCGCAGGACGCCCTCAAGGACAAGGCCAAGGCGCCACCATCATTCCCGATCTCGACATTTATGAATCCACCACACACATCCTCGTGGATGTCGTCTTGCCTGGTGTCAGTAAGGAAGCTGTCAATGTCGAATACGATCAAAAGACCAACCGCATCTTGATCTCTGGAGAAGTGGCTGCACCCAAGCACAGCGGCGAGGAGGTCAAGCTCGTGCGTCAGGAACGACCGATCGGCAAGTTTGAGCGCGTGGTGGGTCTCAACACGCAGCAGATTGTGCCAGAGAAGATCCAGGCTTCCTTTGATGCTGGTGTCTTGTCGTTGCAAGTTCCCAAGGACACCAAGAGTGAGGAGAAGCGCAAGATTAGCATTGCTTGAGCCTACGATGCTTTAGCCTCATGATATTTACGACTGCATTTTCATAGCCAATTGAATCTCTTCTAAATCTATATGCCGAGCTTCGTGAGTTGTGCCGATGTTTGTTCATAGCAAGTAAAGACGATACCACCCGACAAGATGAGTCTCGCCAAGCGCGGCAATGCCCCAGACCATAGCGAAAAGAAACCTTCTTCCGTGACAATGCGACTAAAGCAATGAAACGAGTTTTTGTATTCTTGCCGTGAAGCAAGAGATTGCATGCGCGTCTTGACAGTATCGAGCGGCATGGTCGCATACACGGTGATGATGCCTGCACACCCGCCAATTGCAAAGGTAGAGGCAATCCCGAGCTTTTCGCCGGGTGCGAGCGAGCCTTGTGCGGCGCTCTTGAGGAAGTTGTAGGAGGAAAATCGAACGGCCGAGTTGGCACTCTGTCGCATCATGGTTGGGAAGAGACCCTTGTACAGCGCCGTGAATCCTTGTTCTCTAATAATTGTTTTTGTACCATGCACTAAGCCATTGAGTCGAGGTTGTGCGCGTTTGCGATCATCAATCAGGGCTGTTTTGACACTCTCAAAGGGGGTTACTGCGAACAGACTCTCACAGATACCCGCACCGAAGCCTGCAATCAATGTTCGGCCACCCGATAACTTGCCATCTTCATCTGCGAGGGCGGCTTTGATGCTGTCGAATGCAAGAAACCGTACGGCCGCTTTCAGTGCATTGCCGGTGATGGTGGTTGAGCAGCCCGTGTACCACGCTTTGCCAAAGGGCGGGATGGGTTCCTTTTGACCGGCAGGTAGGCGACGGTTGAGTTGTTTGATGGTTTTGAGGTATTCTGCTGGGTAGGTGATGGAGACTTCGATGCCGCCTGCCAGGGCTCCTGATAGGATTGAGTTGAGCGGACTCGGCTTTGCCTTTACATCGGTCATGGCTGGAGAGAGCGCTCGTCACTCTGGCTTGTTCTTCTGTCAATAGGACTCAAGCTTCCCAGTTGTCGGCTACAGCGCGGAGTCGTCATTTGGCAAGTCACAAAAGCGAAATTATGTTAGGCACACGCAAAATAGCTCTAATAGTAGTATGCTGCTTGCTATTGTACAATATACAGAGATACAAGCGGTGACAAGCCAAGTACTCTGCTGTGTCTGCCGGCATATTCCGATGCAGAGTGACGTGTGTTCAGATGGAGGGGGATTTTCTATTTTGGTCGCTGGAGGTGGGACGGGAGATCTGCAGGAATGGGAAAGGGAAAGGGACATAAGAGGCAGAGGCAGCAGAAGTAGTAGTAGTAGTACAGAAGACAGAGTATATACTATTCAGAGTACAGAGTATCGCACCATGAAGACAGCATCCATTCTATCCACTGCATTCAGTCTCTCTATCTCAACTGCAGCAGCACTCCCACAGCAGACACAGGCACCATCGACCACAGAACACGCACCAGGCACAACCCTCATCATAGGACTCCCCAGACCAACCTCCACGCCCCTGTCCTGCCATGCTCCCAGCACCGTCAAGACCACCACAGACTGCACATATGGCTTCCCCATCTCCTACTGCCACACGCAACCACCACCCGTGACGTGTGCACCATCCTCTTACCCAGCAGTAGCACACAACCGCTGTGATGCATTCACCTTTTGTGCACCTGTTCCCACAACCACCTCCAGCTGCAATGGACAGGATGGGTTCGCAGCAACGGGAACAGCAACGCTATACAGTGGCACGCTAGCAGGTGAATCCACCGCCACAGTCATTGCAACACCCCTGTGTGGCTGTTCAGGCTACTACAGCTACGAGGCACATGTTCAGAGCACTACTACGTCGTATCGTGCAGTCTGCATGCCACTCTACAATGCTCAAGTGGGTGCAACCACCTCAGTCTGTGGATTGTCGCCCTCAGGAACGTGTGCACCCTACTTCACAAGCTCAACCTGGACGTATACGTTGACGGATGCAAATGGAAGTATCATCACGCGAGCAGGGACACAATGCTACTGTCCACCTGGCAGTACAGCGTCTTACACACAATTCGCCAACAACACTCCTACCTGCATTGCCACAGCTGCTGCACAACCGACCGCTTGAACAACATCAACGAATAACGAATCCAACGACAACCAACAGACTTGCTCATTGTAGACTCTATAGCATTATGACTTTTGTTTGAAAAGTGCTAGTAAACGTGTTCTTGGCCAGAATACCATTTCGGTGCATAACTGGATGCTTGCTGCTGTTGTTCTGCAATCAATGCATTCACCTGACGATGCACATGCACCATGAAATCAGGATAACTCATGGCATCAGCGCCACGATCCTCAATCAATCCTTGTGCAAATAGAATCTCCGATCCATCCAGCGATTGTCGCGCCAACTGCGGGACGAGCGTTCGTGTCCCTGACTGCGCATTCAGATGGGCAACAAGATTGCGTACTTGTGCATTGAGCAGTGCCTCCAACTGCGGCAAGGTCGTATCCTTGGCATCCAACGTGTCCAGTGTCTTACCAGGTCCATACAAATCAGTAATGAGTTGTGGCGAGACGTCCGATTTGAGCCAAACGAGCAGGTATTGGCCATTATCCAGCAAATACGCACCACCTGGTTCGATTCGTGCAAAAGCAGTGCGCACAGCAGGCGGCATGATGAAGGTCCCCTGATCATCCGCAAAGCACTCTTCTGGCTGCAACGCGTGTATCGCAATAAGCCTAGGATATAACAGGCCAAGGAGATCCTTGACGCCCAGACTGCGCAGTAAGCGGTGATTGACCACGCGTACATCGCTGTTGACATGATCAGTGCGCAGCCCAGGCTGTTTCTGCACAGCAAGCGTCAAAAGCGGTAGAAACTTGAGCGATTCCGGCATGATGAGTTCGGCGGCATTGACACTGGGCGCACAATGCTTGCGATAGGCACACAGAATCTTGACGCATAGCTCAGTGACGGATTGTTTGATATCCTTCAGTGGTTTCTTAAGGACTTCCATGGCGGCCATTTTGGCAATCGCAGCAATCATGGCACCCGTATCACAACTCCGCATCGATTCTGAAATGAGTGCTGTGACAGGCGCTGTGATGTTGTGTATCCGCAAAATGCGTTGTCCCTGCAACGTCGTCATGAGCACAGCACTCTGGAAATGCACAGGCTCGCGAGGATCCAGCTTGCCATCATGCTTAAACACAAACGTCACTGCTTTATCCGCATCCACAACACCCATCTCCAAATCGGATGTGCCGCGGGGTGTGAAATTCCCGAGCATCTGGACCACGTCGAGGTTATTGCTACAGCGCATCTTCATCTGCACACTCGTTCCTTGGAATCGATGGATGGCACGAAGCAAATCACCCGTGAAGCGGACGGCATCGCGCTTGGCAATGAAGTTCTGGTAGTAGAATGTATCACCGCCTGTTTGCTGTGCCAAAGTGCCAACAGTCGCAACGTCAATATAGGCACCCGGAAACAGGAACATGTCGACACCCACGCCAATCTCAACGAATTCCTCGGCAACCTTCTTCCAATGCGCACTGGCTGGGTCGTACAGAAGTTTTTCATCGACCGTATTGTAGACTGCTTGTTGATCACGCATCTTGAGTTTACCAGGGCCCCACGTCGGCAATGCACTGAGGAACAACTCCAACTTGCCGCCAAAGTCATGCATAGCCATATACACCGCCTTGGTCACAGCCCCAAGAGCAGGCTCAGGCACACGCTCAGTCTCAAAGATAATCGCAATGGCTTGCAACGCCGCTTGGATCGATGCTTGATTCGCAGTAGGATCCACAAATAAGCCTTCATGCAAGGGCACAAAGACATCCTCCACATCCGTCACATGCAATACTTGCGGCATGGTCGCTGACGCTTCTCCCAAATTGTAGAAATGGCATGCGCGGTCAAATGTCATGATGGCCACACGAGCGCCGGTTGGCAAGGGACGTCCTGAATCATACAGGGCTGCACGGATCGCTTCTGCTGCTGCTGCAGGAACACCACGAACAAGGGATTGTTCAGAGACATCCACAGCAAACAACAAATGTACAGGTTTCGGCTCACGGTCTTTGAACCAGTACTCCTTACCCACCAAAAAATCGCACGTTCCAAATTGTAGTTCTGGTCGAAGGTGCCAGTCTTGCCGCCGACCCGTGTTATCTGCTGCAGCATAGTACTCTGCAGGCGTCTCACTTGCAAAACCGCAAATGTTGCAAGTGAAGCGAGCACCGCCACTGATGAAGCGCATAGCTGGGTTCATGTACGTGCGACAACGGCTACATCGCGGCGGACCACCTTGAAGGCAATCAATCATAGGTACGGGCGTTTCCTCTGACCTGATTTCTGCCAAGGGTTGCACAGTTAGCGTCAAGGGGATCTGTGTTGCTGCAAGGACATCTTCAGTTGCCGGAATGATGCCTAGTGAGAGCCGTGCAAATTTGGGGTTGGAGACACCTTCATCCATAGCGACAAAGTCGACATTGGCAGGTGGAGCCAAGGTATCGCGTCGCCCTGTGCGAAAGACATTGCCGGGTTGGTTGTAGAATGCTGCCATGGCTTGCGAATCACCTGGGAAGTCAGGCATGGAATAGGCCATACTCTGACGATCGCCTTGATAGTGCGTCGACTGACGCTGTTGCTGAGCGGCATCGAGCACTTCTGTCTCCTGCGATCCATGTTGTTGCTGCTGCTGCTGTTGATAGTGCGCATGCATTGGCTGAGCAGGTGGTGGCCCTTGCGGCAATTGAGCCGATCCCTCAGCAAAGCCGCTAGGCGTGCTCTGTAGAGAGCTATCAAGTACATGCCGCGTCTTCTTCTTGCGTCCTGGCTGATGCTGCTGATGTGCCATAGATGGTGCCTCTTGCGCTCCATTGAGCTGCATGCCCATCATCTGGCCCTCTATACTGTGCGGATTGGGCGGCCCATTGGCATTTGGGCCCTGGAACCCTGCATCTGCATTCCAGGCCATCCGTCGTCCCAAGCCAGCCCGCTACCTAGCTCGTCCCTTGTACACGTAGTCTGGTGTCTGTGCCAGCGTGTTTCCCAAAATTCGCGACAGGAAGCAACAAGAGCGCTTCAGCATGGACACGCCCATCACAAGGACAGACGACGACGCACTGGCCGCACGGGCAAGCGCAGTCAAGTTGGGGTACTGGCAGGATGACTACATCAAGCACTTCTGCAAACAAGCAGACCGAAAGGCGCCCGTCATCAATCGTGGGACTTACTTGCGAACACGCGCTATTGACCAGGCCTGCGCACGCTTCCTACAGCTGCCAGAGACAGGAACGAAGCAAATTATCAGTCTAGGGGCAGGCTCTGATACACGCTTCTTTCGTCTGGCTCAGCCCTTTGTTGTGGATGGCACAGACATACCCTTCAAGTACCACGAACTCGACTTCCCACACGTCACACAGCGCAAGGCCATGACGTTGACGACAAAGAAGGCGTTGAAGGATGTGCTACATTACCAGACAACCTGCACAGTGAATGCGCGCGCTGGCAGTATCTACAGCAGTCACTACAACCTGCATCCAATTGATCTACGTTCCCTGCACGAGACGGAGCTGCCAGGGGTCGATATGAGTCTGCCCACACTCATCATCAGCGAAGTCTGCCTGATTTACATGGACTTGGAAAAAGCCGATAGAGTCCTGTCCTGGACAAAACGATTTACTAGCGCTGGCGTCGTGCTATATGAGCCCATTGGTGGTAATGATGCATTCGGCAAGATGATGGTGAAGAACCTGGCAAGCCGCGGACTACAACTCAAGACTCTTGAACAATATGCGACGCTCGCCTTGCAGCAAGAGCGGCTCTTGCACGTTGGAGGCATGACACATGCGCAGGCGAGCGATATGAATGCCCTCGAGCGGGATTTGCCGCAGGAGGAGCGAGAACGAATTGCAAAATTGGAGATGTTTGACGAAGTAGAAGAATGGAAGATGCTTGCTGCCCACTACTGCTTTGCAATTGGTTGGCGCGGGCCATCGGCTGAGGCAATGCTGTCGTTGAGATGACACACTCGCATTCTTCACTCAGAGAGAAGCTTCCAATTTCCAGGGAACAGGCCATCAGCACGCGCATCAGAGATGATCTGTCGGGCCTCCTCTTTTGTCATTCCTTCTGGCATCGCCTGACCAGCTACATCTCCAAGTTCAGCACTGACAACAGCAAGCTTGAGTGCCGCCTCGCGTTGCGTCCGAATATGCTTCGGAAGACACTCTGCAACAGCTCTCTTGTAGTACACCTTGGCGTTTGTCCGAAGCACCTGCTGATTCTTCAGACTCGTCTTGCTTCCGATATTCGAGCGAAGCAATTCAATATCAGCGCGAGAGACCCATACATCAGGCCGTCGTGATTGTGCAGCGGTAGCGAGCTGTACGGCAGCACTCAATTGTGCAGCCGCTCCCGCAGTATAGACCTTCCATACCTCTTGTAGTGTTGCCTCGTCTGTGACTTCCGCCTGCATGGCCTTGGCCAAGTCAATACATGCGTCACTGTAGCTACATGCCGCCTCGAGCGTTGCGGGACCATTCGCAATGATTTCCTCGAGCGAACTCTTCCAATCCATCAGGGACAGCGAGCCATGCTCATGGGCGCAGGATAACTCTGATAGCTGAACACTGCGCTGCACATCCTGCCAACGACTGGCTGCCTCATTTGGGTCCGCACAGCGTGGCAAGATTGCCTCGGCCTGCGGACCCACTTGCGTCAGGATGTACTGTCTTGTCGTTTCAAGATGTTGCACAGCAATGGATGCATCGAGCATATTGCTATACGCATCAGCCATGGCAATCAGTGTGTCCAAAAGAATGTCGGGAGTAATATAATTGACGTCTTGAGCTTCCTCTGTTTCGTCCATAGCAGCATCTGGAGCATTTGCAGGCGCAGTCTCATCATCTTCGGCCATCTTGGCAAGCTCAGCAGTCTGAACCTCCCGACATGATTCAAGTAGCTCCATAGCTTGCAGCAGATTCTTTTCAATAACGTCGTCGTTTCGCATCGCTACCAAGACTTCGTGTGTCGTGACAAGCTCAATCGAAAGCAAAAGCACCGTGGCAAGGTTGAATTTGGCATCCACATGATTCGTCCAACGTGATAGAAAGCTTCTGTGTGCATCAGCTGCCCTTTCAAGCAATTCTATCTGCTGAGTGGCAAGCAAAGCACAATTTTGAGCCATGACAAGAGGTAGTCTGGCAGCATTATACGCTGCATCCGCATTGGCAGAGTCTAGATTGACAGCAGTATCATAGGCTTCAGCAGCTTGTAGATAGAAACGATGGGACTTGTCGGGCTGCTGTACCCAACGATCGCCTGATTCCTCGAGGTCTGAGGCCAGGTCAATAAAGTCCTCGCAAGTTTCTGGACGAGCCTTTTTGTTCTTGCTCGAGGTAGCTGTAACTCCCCTTGCATTATCTTTCTTGATCTTTGGCATCTTTCCGAGCTAATCACAGCTGTCAAGTCTAAGAGAGAAGTACACGGCCATGGCGACAGACAGCAGCTGCTGACAGGATCTGAAGAGCTTGTTTTCAGATGGGCAGGCTGATTCCTATGCCGGTTCCTCGTTCTATTGCGATCAGGGATTGGGCTTTCAGCCTTAGGCTCACTACACAAAAATCGAAGTCAGGACGATAAGCTGATGAGATCAATCCTCTAGAAGGCGAGTCCTTTTTGATCGGACGCAAAAACTGTGTCGGCTGCTGCTTGAGAAATTCACTTGCGACAACCATGGGAACACATTGCCCAGTAGTCATGCAGCTTCAAAGTGCTCTATCTGCATTCACAAGCGAGCTCATTCAACCTAGAGGCATCTATCATACTTCATTCCGCCAGGCGGCTGCCGAATACAAGCTATCGGTACCGATCTTACAAGATACCAGCCCACTGTTGTATTTTTCAGATGTGTATCGCGACTTGAGGATGGCCATGGAACAAGTGTCAGGAAGAAAGCCAGGTGGTGAAGCGACTTACCGAGACCGGTCAGGTCCTCTCACCGAATGTAGAAGGCTGCTAGTATCTTGACTTAGATCATCTTACGTTTTATAGACTATACTTCCGATCAACGTGTTAGGTGGAACGAGATTGAATCTGAGAGGCGAAGCCGCATCCAGATATAGATCTACTTGTCGCTGAGCAAGAACACCAGTCAGCAGTTGTCAGCAGTCGTCAGCAGGGGCCGACAGTAGGTGTTTAGATCTAGATTTCGATCATCTGTGTCTGACTTACAACAGGATCAGCCTGAACATACAGCGATTTCATCGTCTCAGTCAGGTGTAGACACCGTGTAGTGGTCTGTATTGATAGAATTAATACAAGTCATGTTGCACAAGCGATATCTGACGCGCCACAGCCACTTTGCTCAATAATACTTGGAGTTGGACCGAAGCTGTCGAGTACAAAAGCTTTGCAGGCTGAAGCACACGTTCCGATAGTCCGGCTTTGGTCATAGAAGGTGTAGCATGGAAGCTTGGGAAGCTTCGAGATCTTGTTGCTCGCTAGATCGCGTGAGGAAGAGACTTGTTCTGAGTCGTCGAATCTAGTTCTAGTGCCCATCGGGATTAATCTAGCCCGGCGCGTGGGAGTCGCGAGTGTAGCGACACTGTAGCGCGCTGGCTAACATACCGGAACTGGCCTCACCGGTCAACTATCATAGGTCGCGTAGACGACAGTACAGTGAAAGGACGCAAGAGCCATAGGAGCATTGTCAATCCTAGTATGGCCTGTTGGCCGCCTCATGGCCGCCAGTCAGCCTGACCTAAGATCACCGTAGCGAGATGAACATAGCCAGCGCTGGAGTCGACATGCCTCTTCGACTCTCCTGACTCTTGGCCAGGCTAGGTAATATATGCATCATCAAAACGCGACGCTGATCCTTGTCAGTGCAAGACTGCTAGCTGCTGCGACGAGTCTTCAACGCATCGTCCGCGGTTGAAGAGGAAGGCTGGCACTGTGATGACAACACATGATAAAAGCGCTGCCAGTACTAAGAAGTAAAGCTTCCGAAACAGCAAGTAAGTCGACGCTGGTCTGACTAATGGCAGTGTCCCTTGACTATCCCTGGTTGCTCCGTTGCCCGCGGGTGTTGCCGCAGTAACGGAGCGGGTGTCTCAATAAGTCATCATAGGGAGGGAATGTGTAGACTCCGTAGGCGCGATCTCGAGACCAGATGCGTGACGCCGATGCGAGACACCTGCTAGCCCAGTGCTGGGTGGTTCGATGCTGCCGGGCCAGTCGCTCTGTGTCTCACAACCAGGTCCAGCCAGCCTTCCCCGGCGACCAAGACACCGCCCAGTGACCCAGCCGCGACGGGGGCGCCCTCACTGACGCCGTGGCCATTGGCTCCTCGTGGTCGAGAGGACATACTCTCCTGCCCAGCCAGCACCACTTGGGCATGTCGCCGTGGTCGGCCACGCTAAATCTCCGTCAGCGCCCTGGGACGACCACGGCTAAATCTCCGTCAGCGCACTTAGAGTGAGCAATGTGTCTCACTTGCGACCTCGCTGGCCACGTCAAGGGGGCCCGGATCTTATCGACTCGAGCTTGTGAGACTTTCACAGGTGCTTGCTACGCGGAGACTACGCACCCATGGACACGATACAGCTCATGGCCAAGGGGCCACCGCAGAGGGACGTTATATCAGTCATCCGTCCCCTCCGACGACATCCTGGCGTACACATACACTGCTACTACCTACAAACACATCGGCTATGGCTGTCGCTCTCAAGTCACTAGTCAGCAAGATGGGAAACGACAAGTCAAAGCTCCGTGCGCCGTCCCCTCCCACACGATCACGCCCGCAGTTTACGCTACCGGGAAGTCGCATCACTATTCCAGAACCTGTATCCCCGTCCATCTCGGATGAGTCTATCGATGGTGTCGCAGCAGACGAGCACTGGGTTCCGAGTAAGATGCGCAGCGGCGGCGACCTCACACGTCAAGAGCTCTTCCGTTACAGAAAACATATTGGTGTCAACGTCGGCGCGTGGTTCGTTGGCGAACGCTGGATCTCGGACGAACTCTTTGGAGCCTGCCCTGGTGCAGGTCCCGGACAGCGCAGCGAGCTGGCTTCTGTATCTGCCCACGTCAAACGTTATGGTTTCGAAGCGACACGTCTCCGGTGGGAGAAACATTGGGACAGCTTCATGGATGCCCCCATGGAAATCCAGGAGATGAAGGCTGCCGGCATCAACGCTGTGCGTTTGCCCATCGGCTGGTTCTCGCTCTCACGCCAGGAATTGCTTCGCTCTACTTCCTTTGAGCGATATGGAGCTGTGTACGCCAACTGCTGGAGCCGTATTCTCACCTTCATCCAGCAATGCTCCGATGAAGGCGTCGGCGTTTTGGTCGACATGCACTGTCTTCCCGGTGGAGCCAATGCTGACGCACACTCTGGCACAGATTCAAGCGAGGCAGGCCTCTTCTCGGATGTGAATGCTAGGCGCCAAGCACTCGAGTCCATCAAGTTTGTTATTCGTGAACTTGCTACGCGCACCAATGTCATCGGTATCGAGGTGGCCAACGAGCCCACCTGGGGACATTCCGACTGGCTCAAACCTTTCTACATGGAGTGCCTTGCCTACGCCAAGAATCTTGGCAACGGTGTCCCTCTCTATATTGGCGACTGCTGGAGCCCGCTTGAGTGGGCCACTTGGGCCGGTAAGTTGCCTTCAGACCTGTTCTGCGTGGTCGACCACCACTACTATTACTGCTTTGACGACAAACGCAAGTCTCGCTCGCCACAGCAAATCATCGAAAGCATTCAGAACTCGACAGAGCTGGAGCAATGCAGTATCGCTGCGCACGGCCAGGTCATTGTGGGCGAGTTCTCCCTCACCCTGGATGAGAGCTCCCTCAAGCAGGTCAAGAAGGCTGATCGCCCTGCATGGGAACGCGCCTTTGGCAACGCTCAGCTGCAGCAGTTCTTGCACCATTCTGCGGGTGCTTTCTTCTGGACGTGGAAGTTCCAGGTGCGCAACGGTACCAACAACTGGGACCTTCGCGATGTCTTGCAGAACGACTACCTGCCTTGCCCTGTTGCGCCGCAACTTGATGCATCTGCAACAATCTGCGCAGCTGTTCAGCAGCGCAACAAGCTCAAGGCCGCAAAGACGCGTGAGCACACCGCTTTTTGGAGCACCCACGGCGATGCAGAGCAATACGAGCACTGGCGCTACGAACTCGGCTGGGACCGAGGTTACGCTGACTGCCTGCAGTTCGCAAGCGAAGGTGATGGTCTTGTGTGCGCGTTCCAAGAACGTCTGGTCATGCTTCGGCAGCGTGCACACAACCGCAAGCGCGGTGTCTCGGACTTCTCTTGGGAGTTTGAGCATGGCTATCGCGCTGCTTGGGCATGTTTCCCTTACCACTTCAAATGATATATTTTAGTCCTCTTCAGCGATAGCATATGGCATAGTCATTCAACTCAACAAAGCTTTGCTACAAAAAAGAGATGAGGGATACGCTTGCCTAAAAGTGTTGCCGTGATACTGATTGCTCATCTTGCTGCGACGGTCTTTCGCGATCAGCCTTGTCCTGCATGAAGGAGCCAAAAAGACCAAAAGGTTTGACTTCCACCTTGCTTTTGAATGGGTCTTCGGGGCTACTCACCTTTCTTGCTCTCTTCGTGGGACGAGCAGCCGGCTTCACAGGAGAAGTATGACCCCGAGCATGCTTGTGACCGTGTGAGGCCACATCCGCTGGAGCAACATTGAAATTGTGAATGTGTTCAAGATCGCTGAGAGCTGGACGATTGTGTTGCTTCTCTGTGATCTCTGCCGTCATAGCCACAATCCTTTTCTGTGTATTGGCGACAATCTTGTCGACACAATGGAGTCGTGCCTGTAGTACAGCTTGATCTGTCTCGGCATACTCTCGGGGTTGCCCAACCTGATCCACACTGAGCGTTGCGTGGTCAGTGCTCGGTGCTAGCTGCTGTATACCTTGTCGGAATTCATCCAGCTTCGCCGGAGAGCGCAGTTGCCTCAATGATGCCAGACTCCCGTCGCGGGCGAGAACGCCAGGATCTGACTTGCTCTCGCTGTCCAAGTGTGTAGCATCGCTCTCTATCTTCTGAGCTGCAATTTGCTGCTCTAGTGACTCCCGATCTTCATCCACCAGCGCCAGGAACGGATCTTGCAGTGCCTGGACAGCCGTCGTTCGATGCCAAGGGTCAAGGTCCAAGAGGCCATCCAAAAATGTAGCTGCCTCCTGCATGTCTAGTGAGACGTTCAGGTCAGCGTCGCGTGTGCCAGTCTGGCACCAAGTAATGAGCCGGGGCCATGAGATGGAGCGTTCATGTACAGTTGGGAGGTCAATCTCAAGTGTCTGATTGTGGATGCGTGCTATGCGACGCATGCAACCTTTGCCAAAGATGGCCGTCAGCTCGATCAAGGCGTCAATATCGTCGGCAGAATTGAAGAATGGGAAACGCCCGGACAAGAATGTCAAGAGTATCACACCGGCTGACCACATGTCAAGAGCCTGATTTTGCCGGTCACACTTGAGTAAGACTTCTGGTGCGCGGAATCCACGCGTGCCTGAACGATTGGCACGTTTACCTGGTCGGTGGTCTTCCTTGAGGTACGAGCGACTCAGCTTCGCATGCGTCGGTGAGATCATGTCAATCTTGCGCATTTCATCATCATCCATTTCGCTGCGCGCTCTGCAAGGACATCCTCCTTCGCCCAAGGGTGGAGCATACTCTGCGAGTCCAAAATCAACGAGCTGTCCTTCTCGTCTGTGCACATCGTACAAGAAATTGCAGGGCTTGATGTCCCGATGCATAATGCCGTGGTCGCTCAAGTCCTTCAGCCCTCGCATGAGTGACCGCATGTAAAAACGTATATCGAGGATGCTGAGGTCTCTGAAGTATGCCCTGAAGTCGGCGTGTTTGTAGTAGGGCAGTACGATAAAGACCTGATCCTCGTGGCGGAAGGATGTGATGACTGGCAGGATGTGTTTCGACCTTCTTACCTTCTGGAGGATATCAAGCTCATTATAGATCCTCGCAGGAGAGGCAGTAACGTAGAGTCGCTTGATGGCAACAAAGTAGTTCCAGCATGGATCTCCACCAAGATGCGTCAGCCAATCGTTGCAGTAGGAGTCCTGCTGCAGGTCTTCGGCCTTGTATACGGTCGAAAAGGTGCCTTCGCCAATCTTCGAGATGAGGTTGTACCGGTCTGACAGATGAGTCAGATCCTGTAGGTCGGACTGAGGCACCTCCTGCTCATAGTCGCTTTGCGGATTCATGTCTGGAGCATTTCTCGTCCAAAGCTTGTTGACCGGGTGTTGTGGGTGTCGCGCGAGTCTGCCGTCCGCGAGAAACAAAAATGTCGAGACGCGTCGAGGAACAACAACAACAAACCATCTGTGCAACCAACCTCAGACGCGCTTGCTTCTGCTCTGCCTGGCGGTCGAGCCTGCACAATGATAGACTTTGCGCTTTCCACCGTGCTGAATAAGTATGCGGACAATAACAAGCTCTTGCCGAATGATGATTTATCTACTTCTGATTCCGCCGAGAGGCGCGATCAATTGAATGAGCTCATCGAGACGCTGTCTGCAGAGCCAGACGAAATATTGCAAGAGGCTACATATGATAGCATGGAGAACTTTGTCGCGTGTGTGCCTTCGCTCTCCGCGTCTGAGATTCACAAGCTCGCTGACCTCATTTCGTCTGCTATACTTGCAAAAGCACAATCTTTAGCCGGCGAATCACCGGCTGATTTCGATTCACAATCCCCGGCACGGACGACCTTAGAAGCGCTTTGTTTCATGAATATGGTGTTTATCAATACGCTGCAGACCGATTCTGCATTGTTGGCGAACGGCGAAGCGGCAGTCTCTGTGCGCGGAAAAGCCAAGAGCAAGAAGCAGAAAGAAACAGCCGCCGCGACAGTGGACATCATGGGTATCCTTGTTCCGGCTTTCGATGCTATGAGCAAAGTGCTCAGTCTGCGTGCCGCCAAGATGTGGCCCACCACGTCAGAGCGCGATGCATTTGTCAGTCTCATGACAAAACCTGCATACCTCGTGGCTGAGAGCGAGACACTGATGAAGAAGGTAGAAATCAGGATGCGTTTCTACAAAATCGTTTGCGTAGCAGTCAAGCACCACGGACATGCGTTTGGAGCACAAACAACGATTGTCCAGGATTTGCAGTATTTCGAGCATCTATCCGACCCACTTGCAGAGCTGCTGCACATTCTCAACGATCAGTACGACTTTCCTCAGCTCACGGACGAGGTTTTGCGCGAGCTGAGCAACAAGGATTTCAATGCGAATGATAACAAGGGTCCCAAGTTTGTCAGTGTCTTCCTCGTCAAGCTGAGTGAATTGATGCCTGGGGCTGTCCTGAAACAAGTCGGTCTTTTGGCAAAGTTTCTTGACTGCGAGAGTTACAATCTACGGTCTGCCATCATTGAACTCTGCGGCAATCTGATTGCCAACCTGTCAAAGGAGGAAGCTGAAGAAGGCGCAGAATCCTCGCACAAGGCACAGATCAGTGGCTTTTTTGACTTGTTGGAGGAGCGATTCCTTGACAGCAATCCTTACTGTCGTTCGAAAGTGCTTCAGACATATGTCAAACTCTGTGATTTACAAAACAAGTTCCCAAAGCGCAGACAAAAGGTATCTGACCTCGCCACACAAGCACTGGACGACAAGTCATCCAACGTCCGACGCAATGCGATCAAGCTCTTGGCACGTTTGGTGCAGACGCACCCCTTTGATATGCTTCATGGCCCACAACTGTCCCTCGTTCAATGGCGTGAGCGTGTTGTGAATGCTCAAGCGGAGCTCGATATCTTGCAACCTGAGCCTGAACTCGTTGCGGAGCCAGACGAGGAATTGATTGAAGCACCCGAATCGCCACAAAAGGCTGCACCAAAGGACACAGAAGCTGCCCAGGCGAAAGCGGCTGAGGCACAAATTAGGCAAGAAAATATCATGAAGTTGCAGATGACGAAGCGGTACTATACAGAAGCTACGCGCTTTGTGGAGACACTCACGCTGGCCTCACAGTCGATCGTACAGTTGTTGGCTTCAAAGACCAAGACTGAAGTGATGGAGGCTATGGACTTCTTCGTTGTCGCTGATGCATACAAGCTTGAGCCTGCCAAGGAAGGGATTCGACGCATGCTCCACCTGATTTGGACTAAAGCCACGAGTGATGAGGGCAAAGGTGTGACATTACACTTGCTCGACTGCTACCGCGGCTTGTTCTTTGAAGCACCCGATCAACTTTCTGCCAATGACCAAGCCAACTTTGTGGCAAAGAATATGATTTCCTTGACATACGGCGCTACCCTGGCGGAACTCACCTCGCTTGAGCAGCTTCTCAAGGTCATGATGAAGGATGGACAAGTCAACGACGAAGTAATTGCAAAGCTTTGGCAAGTCTATGGTGTTCAGCGTCGTGAAATCTCCAAGAATCAGCGCAGGGGTGCCATTATCATTCTAGGCATGCTTGCTCTTGCCAATCGCGACATTATCGTCAATGGCCTCGATGTGCTGCTGCAGGTTGCCTTTGGCTCCATTGGCAAGCGCGATCTTGCTCTAATGCGTTATTCTTGCATCGCACTGCAGCGACTCGGAACTGGCGAAAAGGCACAAAAGGGTGAATTGCGAAATCAAACAACCAAATTGCCTGATTCGCATGGTGTTTTCAGCAAATTGGTGGAGGTCATCACTAAGCCTGCCCCGAGTAAAGAGTGGTTTGGAGTGGCGGAACAAGCCATTGATGCCATCTATGCGCTTGCCGAGCATCCGGATGAGGTGTGCTCAGATATCATCAAGCACCTCACACAACAAGTCTTTGCACCGAAGCAGCAGCCACCCACGCCGCCACGGTCGAGGAGTGTATCGCCTGTTGAAGAGCACGACGAGGCGGCTGTGGACGCTCCTGAAGCTGAGGAAAGCTCTAGCAAGTCTGTTGGCACCTCGCGACACCTGGCAGACTTGCTATTTGTTGTTGGTCATGTGAGCATCAAGCAGATTGTCTACATTGAAGAATGCGAGGGTGATTTCAAGCGTCGTAAAGCCGAGGCAGACAAGGCAAAGCACACACAAGCCATTGAAGCGCCAGCTGATGGTGCCAAGGATGACCTGGATCTTGTGAATGGCACAACAGAAGATGAATTTGCCGATGCCATGACGCATATTCGAGAGCGAGAGCTGCTCTTTGGCGACAAGTCGATCCTTGCTCGCTTTGGTCCGCTTGTGACGGAGGTTTGTCGCAACAACAAAGCTTACCCATGTCCCATACTGCAAACGGCAGCGACCATGACACTGGCCAAATTCATGTGTGTCTCTGGTGCGTACTGCGAGGCGAATCTCGAATTGCTGCTACTCATTCTGGAGAAGTCGACGAGTGCAGCGACCCGCAGTAATCTTGTGATTGCCATGGGGGATATGACTGTGTGCTTCAATCACATTCTCGACAATTGCTCAGATCACCTCTACCGGCGGCTTAGGGATGAAGACCCGACCGTCAAGAAGACTTGTCTCATGACACTCACCTTTTTGGTATTGGCTGGGCAAGTCAAGGTGAAGGGTCAGCTGGGCGAGATGGCCAAGTGTTTGGAGGATGACGACAAGCGCATCACAGATCTGGCACGCATGTTCTTTACAGAGTTGGCAACAAAGGACAATGCCATCTACAATGGCTTCACCGACATCTTTTCCTTGTTGTCGAGTAGCGCTGATCCTATGGATGAGGATGTCTTCCGACGTATCATTCGCTTCCTCATGACATTCATTGAGAAGGACAAGTATGCGAAGCAACTAGCTGATAAGCTTGCGTCGAGACTGGTGCATTGTGTGAATCAACGGCAATTTGACGATGTTGTTTTTGCCCTTGGTTGTTTGCCGCCACAGGCGAAATCAGAGACGGTGCTCAAACTGGTGAGCGATGGGTATGCGTTTGCTGTAGCGGCACAATAGTATGGTGTACATTTAGTGAAATGAAGATTGCAGTGGCAGTTTGTATCGAAAGGCGTCGTTTGCATTGAGGTAATAGCGATGAAGCCGCTTGATGCGAAGAAAGCCGAGATTCTCATAGAGCCGCATGCTTGCTGGATTGGTGACTTCAGTCTCGAGACAGACTTCATCTGCCTTGCGGCTCACCATCTCTGCAATGGCTCGCTCGACGAGCTTGGTGGCAATTTTGCGGCCGCGATGACCAGGTTTCACAGCGAGCATGGCGATGTATCCACGAAGCGCTCCTCGATGATCTTCCAGCTTACAGACAATCGTGCCTACGGGTTCATCATCAACCAGCGCGAGAAAGCAGAGTTCCGGCCATTGATGGATGAAGTAGCGGTAGACGTATATGCTATAGGGTTCTGAGAGCTCGTCTGCAATCAAGGCGATGATGGTGGGGAGCTGCGTTTCATCTTTATATGGAATGAGCTCTAGCTTGCCTGACTCTTGAGGGGTCAGGGAGAGTTGTGCAATGGCAGCATCGAGCGAGCAGGCCATGCGGGAGCTGCCAAGCTGTTGCGTCGTTGTCGTTTTGCTGACAAAGTGGGAGGGGAGGGAACTCGACTAGCACCAGGATGAACACTCAAAAAGTACTGGGCATTGCAAGGCAAGGACGACGGGCTCAAATGGAGAGGCAGGCACAACGGAAGACATATATGACTGCCGATACTGCTATCTAACAGGCTTCTGTAGTGCATATACAAGGTCAAAATGACAAGCAAGCAGGATCGAGGGATACTCCAGTAACATGACAGCGGCCATCATCCGACGCAGCTGGTCTGTCCTTCCTTCCTTCACTGAGTCTTCCCTGGTAAATCTGTGCCTGTAGTATGTCTGTAGTGTTCTGTTGCCAGTCACAAGAAAACAAATTTGGACCAGCAGGAAGACAAACACGTGACCTGAGCTGGATCCACTGCGAGAAGACTGCTACCAGGAGGAGGACACCGACTGCGAAGCATCAAGACACAGAGCAGCAATGGTATGCTGAACAGGAGCTATACAGCGCAAGAGGCTAACTGCATCATGTAGGCCAAGTCAAAGAACCACACCAACCACAACCAAAACAAGAAGGCCCACAGGAACGGCATCAAGAGGCCGACTTCCAACAGGTACCCCTCCATGAAGGGTGTCGACCCCAAGTTCCGTCGCAACCTCAAGTACGCACAGCGTAAGGAACCTTCAGACAAAGATCCAGGTGTGAAGAAACGAACGCGCCTGGTCTTTGTACATTGCAAGACAGCGTCTAACAAAACAGACGGAACACAAAAGGCGATTCGCGCTGCCCGGGCTGAAGCTGCCAACTAGGACTTTGTTCCTCTCGACAAAGAGCAGCATCTATGTCAATGAGCAAAGCTTGCATCAGCATCTCGCGACAAGATGAGCATATTTGACGACAGCATCCTCTTTTGCATGACTCTTCTTTTCGACCTATAGTGTCCATACAACACGCTATCCTCGACAAACTATCCTACTGGCCTGACTGATCTGTGTTTGATTCAAAATGGGAAGAGCAATGGGCAATGACAAGCACGATTGTGTAAGGCGCCAGCTGACTACCTCTACAGCTTGGTGACCTAAGGAATACTTGTGCAAGAGTGAATTGGGAAGCAAGCAGCAATGCTCTCCCCAGGCGATTGAAAACAACCTTGCCTTGACGCTCTTTTTACGTTCAAGGCAGGCATGCTGAACGATTCGGTTTCATTCGAACACCTTCTCCTTGATTCAACGTACTTTGTTCATGATACTACAACACATTATGCTATACGCTCCTCATTCAATGCATCTCAAACAGACGCTGCTAACCTCCCTCGCAATCTCTGCCAAGTCCCCTCAAACCCTCCACATATCTCGCGGCACTGCCTCGCTACAATGCGTTGTGCAGCGCCAGCATGCCAACCATCCCGTTCAAGCAAGAGACGACTCTGCTCTGCCATGCGTTGTTCTTGCTGCATCACTTCAATCTGATCCCGTACTGTCCGTAGTTTCCTTGATGCAGACAAGGAAGTTTGTCGAAGCATACTGAGAGCGTCACTCAAGCTCGCCAGGTCAAGAAGCAGCGCATTCGTATCCGTCTGTAGCTGATTCAACTTGTCTGCTGCATTCTCACCATAACCTTGACCATGACTGCCGTGTGAGACATGGCTATCGCTCGTCGTCGGTCGATCAGCACGGCTCAGTCCGCGACTCACTTCGTCCAATGCGTTCAGTGCCTCCCTCAGTAGTCTCTGATCCAACAAAACTGCCTCACCCTGACTGTCCTGCACCGACTCAACAGACAAGTAGCCAGCAGCCACTTGCATTGCCAAATCTCTGAGTGCATTGATCTTCCGAGGCATCGCAGCTGCTAAAGACTCATGCGCCGCGATACACCGAGAAGCAACTGTTTCAACGGCAGATTGTGGTCTGAGTTCACTCAGCGCATTTGTAAAGCGATCCACAACATCTGCATCACTTGCCGTCTCGTCGAATGTGCAAAACCCCTGAAGCGAGTGAATCGCTGCGTCGAGTACGGGAAACGTCTCTTCTGGCTCTGAATCATCTGCTGGATCTCCATAATCAGCACCATCATAGTCACTGGGTTCTGCAAGCAGTTGACGAAGTGTATTGGGACTGTGCGTGTCGCGTTTATGCTGTTTCAAGGTATCCAGAGATGTTCGAAGTCGCAAGAGATTCGTTTGCCTTGTACATTGTCGATGGGATTGAGAACATCCTGCTGAATCTAATAACGAGCCATGTGACATCTCAGAGGCGAGTGAGCGGCCTGCTGTGGGTCTATCGGGCGACGTTGTCGTCATGAGTGCTTCTGATGTAGGCGCATCCAAGTCATACAAGGAGGAAGTATCGTCCAGACTATCAAGCGCTGCAAGCTCATCCTGCAGGCTGACCATGGGAGCATGGATGGAGTAGAATGAGAGAGCGCGCCTCGCTGATGGTTGTTTGTCGCTGACTTGCTTGGTCGCGGTCTCTGCTGACTCTTGGGCGCGACGAGATGGAAGCAGAATCTACTTGTCCCAGTCTCAACCAACACGAGCTCCATGCACGCGATCTCGAGGCTGTCCTCGTTCATATACACTGAGCAGTGTTGTAGCTGCGAGATACGTGTACGCATCTACAGGAGGAGCTCGAGAGATCGCGTTGCTTGACATGTCATCTGAAAGCAAGACGTCAAGCCTGGACAGTGGACAGTGGACACTGCATCTCGGCCTGATCATAGGCTGATACTAGCACTAGTACACTTTCGGCCGTCAAGCTCAGGCTACTACGTCCTACTACGTTGCTCATGTCCTCCACGCGTCGCTTTAGAGCTTCTGATCTATTTGAATTCAATCGCGTGTAAGCTTCTAAACATATCAGGATCTCTGACTGACATGCTGCCAGAAATCTAGACATTCTCACAGAGACTGTATCTGCTCAATTCAACCAAGATCGAGTGCTAATGACCAGTATAATATCTCCTTCTATCTCTCTTATCTTGCTCGTTGGCCAAGTCTATTCTCAACCATCCTCTCTCCCGATGGCAAAGTCATGGGCTACAGCAAGTCATCTCGCCCCGTTCTTCTTTGCTAACGAGCTAGTCATGGGCAAGACTGAAGGCCGAGGCAAGGATTGGCACGGTCATGTCACAGCAGTCACAGTCGCACCACCGTATCGCCGTCTAGGTCTCGCTAAAAAGATGATGCGTTTACTAGAACACGCCAGTGAAGCGCAAGATGCCTTCTTTGTCGACTTGTTTGTACGCTCCAGCAACGCTCTGGCCATTGACATGTATCGATCATTCGGTTATGTCGTGTATCGACGCGTTGTCGACTACTACAGTAGTAGTAAAGGTCCCAATGAAGATGCCTTCGATATGCGCATCCCATTAAAACGCGACGTCGACAAGGAAAGCATTCACGGGCATGGCGAGGATAACCGCATCGAAGCGGATGCATTCCCAGACTATAGCATCTAGTGTACAAGAAAAGTCTCTCTTTACTATTGAAAGAAGAGGGCTTTGCCGGAAGCATTTCCTGCAAGCACCCAATTCTGTGAGTCGTGCATCTTGACAACTGCAGGTACAGCTGTGATCCGTTCATCTTCGAGAGAGGCCAGCATCTCGCCCTTGCCACTGCATAGATCAATGCGACGCTGCATATTGCCAATCACAAACTTGGCTTGTCCGTCGAGCGGTGTAGCTTGCCATTGGGCTTTGAAGACAGTCAACCAACGTCCAGTCTGATTGTTGTGTTTTAGCTCGCAGGTCGTGTCGAGTTCAAGCGGCTCAGCAGAGGCTGCAGGAGGTTTGGATTGTTCAGAGAGAGAAGCCATGTCAAAGAGTTTGACAGTATCGTCGTACGCAGTGGCCAAGATGGTCCCTCTATCGTTGAAAAAGGCAGAGGAGACACTCAGTCTGCAATCGTAGTTGGCGAGGAGTGAAGGATCCCCTGAAGTTTTGCGACCTTTTGTGATGCTACGCATATCCCAGACTTTCATGCTCCGATCAAGCGAAGCTGTGCAGATGAGGTGAGGATGCAAAGGGTGCATACCCATGCCGCCAATCTTGCGATCATGAAGTTGGAACAGCTCGGCGTCCTTGACGCGTAGATCGCGACGTCCTACTTGTCCATCATTTGTAGAAAACAAGAGGACTTGTGCATCCTGCTGCACCTCAAGGGACGTCAGTGCACGGTCTTCCAGTGGCGCATAAGCCTCGGAAGCCACGCCTGATGCCAAATCAAGACAGCGAATGGAGCCATCATATGAAGCAGTGTAGAGCTTTTGTCCTTGAAGCGGGTCAAATGCAAAAGAGGTGATGGTGCCAGCATGGAGCTTAAAGTGGTGAATCATTGGCAAGTCATCGTCGTCAGCAAGGTCCGCGTCTTCTTCCTCTGCATCGCTTTCCTCCTTCTTGACGGCACTTTGCCGTGCTTTACGTTTCGGCTTAACATCCTCGTTTTCTTCTTCAGTCATTTGGTTCTCGATATCCCAGATACCCAGATGGCCGCGCTTGTCGCCTGCTATCGCGAGCTTTTTGGAGGAGCCAGGGTGCATACCAATGGAATAGACACGCTCAGGCGTGATTTTGATTTCATTTGGGTCCCAGCGCGTCAAGAGCGAAAGTCCATTGAGCTCCTTTCGAAGTGCATTGAGATTCGCATCTGACGTCTCAAAGTCTCTCGCCTCTCGCTTGCTATCAATGGCCGCTTGTGCCAAGATTGATTTGGCTGCTTGCCATGTACCGCCATTCTCAATGACATGCTCTAAAGCAATAGGGCCAGCGACTCTGACGCGCTTCAAGCGTTCCGCCTCGCGTCTATCCTCCTCTGCCTTTTCATACGCGTTTCGAGCAACTTCTGATTCTGCTGGAATGCCAGAAAGCCGCGAACTAGTGCGTCTTGGTGCAAGCGACACGTCTTCTTCCTTTTTTCGAGGTCTAGCAGGCGCCTTCTTCCGTTTCAGGCTGCCGTTGGAAGAGGCGACAGAAGGTGCCTTGATGCCAGTCAAGCCGATTTCTTTCAAGAGTGCTTCGTTCTTGGCAATATTGGCAAGCCGTTCAGCCTCATAGTCATTCATGCTGAGCCTTTTGGCGTGCAAGGCTTATGCCCTCCGCAGACGAGGTTGAAGCTTGAGAGATGAGAAGTCGCGATCTGGATCTGTGGGCAACAAGTCAGATGGGAAGGCAAATCATAACGTAAAAGAAGCCGTAGCCTGAAAGCTGAAGGGTAGTAGGCTAGTAGGCTAGTGTTCGCTGATATAGACACAGGCCTGATGAGATTACTCCTTCTTGAAAAAGTCCACCTGATATCTACCCTGTTTCGCCTTCTCCTGGCTTCGCAAAGCATCACCCATGTCCACTTCTTGCACTAGCTTCCCTCTCTTTGCCTCTGCATGGCGGTAGTCTGCCAGCACTTCCGCCCGTACTTGACTGATGCCTCCCGTTGCCAGCATGATGAAAAGAACCACAGCACTAATACCCAGAAAACGTGCTGTAAAGTTGTCCTGTGCCTCTGCCTGCCGTCTCGCTGCACCTTCTTCATTACGCACACGATAGCGATCATCGAACGCAGAATGCCGCTGTTTGTGCTCTTCATAGGTGAAGTATGGATTACGCACCTGGCCTTCCGCCATGGGTCGTGTGCCAAACCCAAATCCAGCGGCTCGATTGGATGTATCGTACGGGGACGCAGCAGGGCTTTCGTACGGAGATGAAGGGGGCGTCCCCATCGGTCGCGTCTTGCGTCGACTCAATCCGCTGCCCATACGGAAGCCAGAGGCTGTTTGACCCAGTGGCCCACGCTCTGCCGGTAGTGTGCGGTCATAGTCGCGTCTGCTGCGTTCACTCTTGAGCACACCATATGCTGTATTGATGTCTGTGAAGAGCTTCGCAGACTCTGGAGACACGTCAGGGTGGTGCTTCTTAGACAACTCGTAGAAGCGCGCTTTGATCTCCTTGGATGTCGCAGACCGCGGCATAGACAGTGTCTCGTAATGTGTTTGCGACGCCCATCGGCGAGATGTGTAGCTGAATGAGCTCAGTCTAACGGCCCTACTTTCTAAGCAACTTCTGCATAGCATCCTTCTATCTGCCAGAGCCGCCCGTGCCCGGATGAGCTCGTTGCTGTTCGTGTCTGGCTCAGAAAGTGATCGCACAACCTGACACGGCGCCTTGCGACACCACACACTACGTCTCGCTCCACTGATCAGTCAATGCATGCCCGCCAGCGCAGTCGAGAAGGCAAAAGCTCACTCAAAGAATGCCTCACTTGCATCTCTCGATGGCAATTTAGAAAAAGCCCTCGGTGAGCTTATTCTGGCATCAGACCTCTATCTCGATGCAATACAACACGCTGCGGGCGATACAGCCTTGCGGCAGAAGCTCAGAGAACTATTCGATGGGACACTTGAAGAGGCGGAAAAGATCAAGCAGCGACAAAAGGCCATCAAGGGCACAGGTCACGCGCAAAGACGACCAGGCGAACCAGCGAGAACAGACACTGGCAGCTATGTGCGGCAGCCGATGCAGATCTTTGAGCATGTCTACAAGTCGTCGCGCGTCATCCCAAAGAAGGAGAAAATGCTGCTGCTACAGTCATCAAAGCTTGAAGAGACCGTCTGTCCCATATGGAATGTCGAACATATTGAACGTGCTATGCAATGCACAGAATTGTTTCAAACCGCGAGCAGCTGGTCTGCCGGCTGCATTCCTGGCCATGAACTGAATGATTTTCGGCTAACAGAGCTCATCGAGAATCCCTTGTTGGACAGCACGGATTGCAATCTCTACTCGACCTTCAGACAGAACATCTTGAATGATTGTTCCTTCGTTTGCGCGCTCATCGTCGCAGATCAGTGGTCCAATCGCTTTCGAACAAAATTGTTGACGGCAAATCTGTATCCGCGCGACAAATCTGGACTTTGCCAAATGTCGCCTCTGGGGAAATACATGGCGAAAGTATGGCTTCATGGTAGTGATCGCCAAGTCATCATCGACGATCGCTTGCCAGTGCCGAATTCAGGTTCGGTTTACGACCTGCTCGTCTTTTCTCATGCCTATAAGGACGTTGCATGGCCTGTATTGCTAGAAAAGATCTACCACACCATCAAAGGCTGCTCATTTGAAGGATCCAACAGCGCAAGCGACCTTTACTTGCTCACAGGCTGGGTACCTGAGGAGATTCATCTCCGGGCGGTGGACTTTGACCGTGATGGATTCTGGTCACCAATCTTTACTGCGTGGAAGAAAGGGCAAGTGCTCATCACGACAGGCAGTGCCCGTTTGAGTAAAGATGAAGAGGCAGACTTTATGCTCACGTCCAACCACAGCTACGCCATCATAGGCATGCGCGAGGATTTGGATGGGAAGCGGCTTTTGAGTCTACAGGATCCCTGGGGTTCAAGCACAAGTCAAAAGGGCAATACTTTTGAAGTGGACTATGCCAAGGTGAGTCTCCTGTTTGGAGCGCTGTTCCTCAGCTGGGATCCACGCCTCTGGCGATATAGGGAGCTGTACCACATCCGCCGTGACTCTGGCTTCCATGCAGCAGCACCAGTGTGTCTATACGATGACCCGCAGATGGTCATTGCGAATGAATCTGCTAAAAGTGTCGAAATGCTGATTGTGCTGTCGCGGCATGGCCAAGGGCGTAAGTGTCATATAGGCATGGCGCTGTTCGCCAACGATGGATATCGGCAATGGCTCGACCAGGACTCTATTGCATCTACCGATCATCTGACTTCTTCCGACATCACATTGCGATGTACAATACCGCCTCGCATGCAATACACCCTTGTGATTTTCCAGAGTTGGTTAGATCAGGGCACTCTCTATTCACTTGCAGTGCATCATAACGAGGAGACTGCTGCTATCCAATTGCTGGATGCGCAAAATCAACATCAGAGACCTGCGGACTCACAAGTATTTGAAGGCGCTTGGATAGCCGCCACAGCTGGGGGAAATGCCAATCATTCTTCTTTCGTCAAGAATCCGCAGTACATCGTGACCCTGTCCGAGCACAGCGACCTTCACTGCGCACTCGAAGCATCGTCCGATGTTAATGTTCAGATCGACTTAGTTATGCTTCCCCGGTTATGCACAAGAGCAGCGAATCCGCAAGGTAAGCACGCTGTCACTAGTGGCAAAGCGTACCAGCGAATGACCAATACCCTGTCCGCCAAAGGTCTACCACCAGGCCGGTATGCTGTTGTGTGTTCCACTTGGCGACCAGGCGAGCTTTCCACATTCAAATTGACGGTTCTGCTTAGACCTAGTAGCGGTACCACCTGGTGCGACCCTGCGATGTTGCCTACTTGGAACGTTCTGCCGCCCTTGGGTTATGGCAAATCACATCATCAGCTTGAAGGATGCCTCGGTCCAGACAAGGGTACTGCAATCGTTACCTGGACCTCGCCAGCGGCCAACTCCGCAAGCTTATATGTGCACTCCCTTCCGCCTCGGATACCTCTTCAGCTTTTTCTCGCAGTCGTTGGCACTCAACGCGTTCAAGTTGCGTGTGCACTTGGCGAAACGAGTCTAACGATGGAGCCAATCAAGCTGGGTGTGCTCCCCGCTGATACGCACTATGAGTTGACGATTGTTGCAAGCACCATGACTGGCGCGCGCGATGTAGCATTTCAGCTGGATCTCTACGCAAATCAGCCATTGACGACCTTTCAATTGAAGTAGAATCTTCAGACCTTCTGTTACCAATGGCATCTTCCTGAAATCATATTTATGACTCCTCTAAACTGTATAACAAACGGCAACTTGATCAACGACAACAAGTAGGAAGAGCAGCTGAATTCTGAAAGTGACACATCTGAAACTGTTCAGGGGTCAACCACACCCGAGTCGTCCCTGTGGAACATCAAGGCACGCTTTGTCCGTACGAAAAGGCTCAAGTAACTAAGATAGCCGAACTTGGCTAAGTGGCATGTATACCAAAGTGACATGAATCTATTTGTCAAATGAAGGTGGCAGACTTTACAAGTAGTTTCATGAAAGTCTGCACAGCCTCACAGAACATATGAAGGAGGGTTTTGGTGCAGAAACCACATCAGTGAGCGGTGATAACAAAGCACTTCCAGACCTTCCTGGCTACATCACGCATATGTACACATTTTGATATAGACTGTGGGACCTGGAATTGCTTTGATGCCACCCCTCATTGATGCCAGGCATATATCATCGTAGAACTACAACTTGTAGAGGACTGTATGACTGCTACTGTCATAAAATTTGGCCCGTGTTAACACATCATCCCTCGTCCTAGACTTGCTCCATCTTGTGTATACTTGGCAATTCTCTCATGCATCGTGTCAGCCATGACTACACGGAAGTAGAGTGCCAGAAACGACGTCGTTGCCATCTCACGTATGAGCTCCACAATTGACTCTTGGCGGGCAGGTGCATCTAAAGGCCATCCCGGAACCAAATCGCTGCTCAGTTCTGCATCTGCCAGAATGAGGTTTCCCAGCACAGCAGGCGTATTGAGATCTGTGTCGTTCATGCTCGTCTCAGACCTAGCGCTGCCGTCTGTTCTGTTTCGTTCCAATGGCAAACTGTGTACCTGAGCAGATTGCACAGCATAACGAAGGACTGTTGGCACGCGCGACAAATCAGCGTCATGCTCAACACCACTGCCATCAACAAATTGAGCCGTTGGCAGGAACCAGCCAATGATTTGCGTCGTTGGGCCACCGAGTATGCCGAGCTTCATTCCCTTAAAGATGCGCCTAAGCTTATAGTCCTTCTTATTATTGAGAAACGCCCATTGTATGCGCCATTCGAGTCTGATACCGCGATCCGTGTCCAGATCTTCTAGCGGTATGCTGAAATGGTAGTAGTCACCTCTGTACAGATGCAGATGGATCAAGCCGTTTGACGTGTCCAAGGGAATATAAGGGTCTTGCTGCCGCAAATTGAAGGACTTTTTGAAAGTAGGCCGAATCTCCGCGCATCTCTGCTCCGCTAAGCTATAGTCGTCTGTGACTTGCGCGCTGTAGGCAAGCTCACGTCGTCTGCAAACGCGAATGGTGCGACTCTTGAGTCTTTCCTTTGAAACATCCTCGTTTCTTTTAGACAGCAACCTGCGCTTCTTGAGCGGAACAGTATCTTCAATCAATTGGACCAGATGTGACCGCTGTGGATCATGTAGACAGCTTAGATTATAGGTGGCGAAATCTTGTCGAGAAAATTGATACTGCGTTGCTTGATTGCCCTGCGCTTCATAGCCCGGCAAATCTTCCTCGACGCCTTGCTGCCTGCGACTCGCAGCCGTTGCATTCATAGCAACAGCTGGGAAGGACAGCGCATTAGGTAATATCCCTGCATTGCGTTGTGCTTGTTGCATTTGCTGCCGAAGCAAGTCATTGGCGCTTTCCATGATGGGAGTCAGTGACTGATCGCCAGGCTGTATCGATGAGCAGGTACACGTTGCAAGGTATCACGAGATGAGCAGATCCAGTAGCTGATCGGAGAGTATGTCGCGAGTCTGTCAAGTGTTCCCCAGACTCAACCTCACCAAAGTGACATCACGCGGCGACTAACGACCACAAGAGCTAGAACTACTTTGAAATGAGCTCATTCAAGGTCAATAGCACTATCAAAGCGTTTGGCGGGTACATCCACAAGCTGTCTCACAAGTCTGAAGCACTCGGTGGACTTGAAGCGAATCTCAATATCTTCATTCCAGCCAAAGAGCTGAAGAAAGATCAGGCGCTGTGGCCAGTGCTCTACTACCTGGGCGGCTTGACCTGTACCGGCGACAATGGTGCGTTAACCCCTCAAGAACAACAATAGGCTGATGCAGTAGGCCTTGAAAAGGGCAACATCCTCGGAGCAGCGGCTGAAAGTGCCATCGCATGCGTTTTCCCTGATACGTCTCCACGGGGAGCTGGTATTGACGGCGAAGAGGAGAGCTGGGACTTTGGTACTGGTGCTGGCTTCTACATTGATGCAACGACGCCTGGATACAAAGACCATTACCGCATGGAGACGTATATCACGTCGGAACTGCCCAGGTTGCTCAACAAGGAGTTTTCGCTGGATGCCAGCAAGACATCCATCTTCGGTCGTGAGTGCCGTTCCAATAACTTGACAGGCCTGCTAACCAGAAGATTCGATGGGTGGTCATGGTGCGTTAACGCTTTACCTCAAACATCCTGATCTCTACAAATCCGTTTCTGCCTTTGCACCCATTTGCAACCCAACACAGTGTGACTGGGGAAAGAAGGCCTTCAAGGGCTACTTTGGCGAGGACTCAAAAGCGAATTGGGCAAAGCATGATGCAACTGAGCTGCTGAAGTCGTTTGATGGTGAAATACATGGACTGGTGGACAGTGGCACGGGTGATCAATTCTACAAGCAAAAGCAATTGCTGCCTGAGACCCTGCAAAAAGTTGCTCAAGAAAAGGGTCAGAAGGGCCTGGAGGTACGCTTGCAGGATGGTTATGACCACTCTTACCCATCCATCATTGCGAGCTTCGCACCAGAGCATGTCAAGTTCCACGCCAAATTTCTCAACGCATAGAATATATATGGAATGGTTAAAGCCTCGACGCTACGCCTCAGTCTTCCGCTTCTTCTTTTGCGGTTTTGCTTCACTGCCACCTTCCTCATCATCGCCACTATCTTGCTGTACATCTGAGTCAAATTCTTCTGCAATGTCACTCTCGTTCGAGTCCATCTCAAAGTCCTCATCAGGAGACTCATCATCCTCGCCACCAGACTCGCCTCGAATCGCTGGTACGTCATCGTCATCCATATCCGCCTCTTCTGCTAGTGCTGCGGACAACAAGGCAGCCGAATCGTCTTGCAAGTCATTCTTGATGCGTAGTCCCTTACCTGTCAAGAATTCCTCGAGGGTGGACTGTTCTTCGCGATTGATGCTGGTGAATTGCTGATCCGCTTGACCCGTCCGGCTTGTGAATGTCACATCAAAGGTCTTGGATGTATTCATGCTGCCGCCCACGCGCGAAAAGATGACGGAACGCACATCGTTGAAGGGCACAAAGAGTGTCGGCTTGGTAACGAACAAGACACACTTGTCAAGAAGGTAGAGTGCGCCTTCGTTAGCGCGATGGTTGCATTTGATGCATGCGAGGCCATGGTAGGATTTGAAGCTGGAGGGCACCGTCACGCGCCTGCCACTCAATCCCTTGAAGATTTGAGAAACAACTTGGTGGGTGGGTTGATCGTAGGCCTTCTTGAGCTTATCCTTGTACTTTTGTTCGTATTCTGCGTCATCCAAGTTGAGCTCGACCTCCATCTCCTCCTCGCGAGCGAATTGCAAGCATAGGAACGGGTAGCGCGTTTGGCCCTGCCGAAGTGGTGGATCAAGTCCAACAATGAAGAGCACATTGGCCTCGTCATTCTTTGGGAGCAGGAACAAGTTGACAATGGCACTGTACTGGACCTTGTAATCGTATGTCTTGCCACGCAATCGCAAAGACGAGGCAAACATGTCAATCTCATAACGTCCACGAGGAACGATACAGACAACATCGGAGAAGGAAGCAATAGCATCACCGGCCGTTTCGCCGACATCGGCACGATCTTTGAGTGTATCGTAAAAGACTTGTGCATTGGACACTTCTTCGACAGGGTCCGCTTCGCCTTCCTTGTCACTGCCTGCATCGTCGCCTTTATCCGCTTGACCTGGCACGAAGAAGCGAATCTCCACCATTTGGTCGACGAGTCGGGCCTCGCGCTTTGCATCTTTATTGCTCTCATCTGCTTCACCAGGTAGGCCAAATTCGATAGACACTTCTGCCTTGCCTGTAAGATTGGTGTTGGCAATATGCTTGAGTGGTAGATCAAACGCATTTTTGCCATTCACAATGAAGGACAGGTCACTGCCCGTGATGTCTGTCTTGCCCCAATTCCATCCCTTGAGGGCATGCTCCTTGCGATGCAGCTCCAGCTTGAACTTTTCCTGGATGCTGCTCGAGAGGGCTTCCACGTCGTCTTCCCTGAAATTGTCAAGCGTCACGGCATCCCCTTGGCGTGTTGTGATCTTGAGCATGTACCCACGGCTCGCCTTGACCCAGTCTGCATGCTTGATGTCGCTGGTAGGGAGGGTGAAGGGTGTCGTGCTTGCTGGTGATTTCCAGCCGAGGCCTGATTCTGCGAGACGCAGCTTACCTGGCTTGTCGCCGAGGTTGAGGTGGATGTCGTCGAACTGAGTGACCTTGGACATGCCTGCTTGCCTCTGCTTGTCTAGGCCCTTGTCGGTGTCTAGATGTTGCGCTGGTTGAGTCTTGGACAAATTCGCGTTTCTCTTTCCTCGACTCCCAAAGACGCGACCAGACAAGAGACCAGACTAGGTCAGCTACAAAGAGAAGCCAGCAATGGGCAGACTCGTCCAGATAGAGCTCTGTGACTTCAAGTCATACAAGGGACATCAGACTATCGGACCCTTTCGCAGCTTCTCCAGTATCTGCGGTCCAAAGTACGTTCTTATGCCATTCGCAATTGGATCATGTCCAAGACTAACGCGCGTAGTGGTGCCGGCAAGTCGAATCTTATGGATGCCATCTCCTTTGTGCTGGGCATCAAGTCGAGCCACTTGCGCTCCAGCCATTTGAAGGATCTTGTGTACCGTGGCAATGCAGCAGAGGAAGATGACCCAACCACCGCGTGGGTCATGGCAGTCTACGAGGACGACGAGGGCAAAGAGACGTGCTTCAAACGCATCATTAATGCAAATGGCAGTAGTGACTACAAGATTGATACGACAAGCTGTACTGCCAAGCAGTACAACGCTGTCCTTGAATCACACAATGTCCTCATCAAGGCGCGTAACTTTCTTGTCTTTCAGGGAGATGTCGAGGCCATTGCGTCTCAATCCCCAAAGGACATGACCAAACTCGTGGAGCAAATCAGCGGCAGTCTGGACTACAAGGTGGAGTATGAGCGTCTCAAGCTCGAGCAAGAAAAGGCAACGGAGGCAAACAACTTCAATTTTCATCAGAAGCGCAGTATGACTGCCGAGTTGCGTTCCTTTCAGGAGCAACAAGCAGAGGCAGAAGCGTATGACAACAAAGTCGCTGAGCGCGAACAGGCCATCCTCGTGCAGGTGCTTTGGCGCTTATTTCACATACAAGTGGATCTCGATAGGAATGACGAGCAACTCGAGACAAACATGACTGAGCTTGTCAGGATGGAGACCGAGACTGAGAAACTCGTCAAGAGCCTGCATGATGCCGAAAAGAAGCGCGCAAAGGAACTACAGACCGTTGAAAAGATGCAGCGCCACATCAAGCGTCGTCAGCAAGCCCAAATCGAGAAGCAGCCTGCTGTGGATGCTATACAAGAACGCATCAAGTCTACAGAAAAGTCGATCAAAGCACTAACGGCGCGCCTTGCAAGTGTTTCACCGGTGCAAGAGAAGCAAGTGCGCGCAATTCAATCACTCGAGGGCAGTATTTCTAGTGTCGAGAAGGCACAGCGCAAGTTTGAGCAAGACCAAGCAAAGCTTGAGCGTGAAGCTGGTAATCTCACAGCTGCACAAGTGGACGAATACCGCAGACTCAAGCTCGAGGCCAACAAACAGAGTGCGCGTGAACGTACAGAATTTACAAAAGTGGATCGCGAGCTGCGAGGTGTCTCTGAGAATCTCATGGAGGCGCGAGAACAGACGTCTGATCATGAACGCAAAAAGGCTGCATTGGAAGATGATGCAGAAAGCATGCAGCGACGCAAGGACGACCTAGAAGATCAGTTATCGGCTATGAAGGAGGATTTGGATGCCTTGTATGCAAAATTGCGAAAGATACAGTCAACGCGCGCTGCAGGCGAGGCAAAAGAAAAGGACTTGAACGACAAGCTTCATGATACACTTGAGAAGCTCTCTCAGCACAATGATCAAGAACGCGAAACCACAAAGGAAGTCCAATTCAAGGAGAATGTCGCTGCCATGCGCAAAATCTTCCCAGGCGTCAAGGGTCGTCTAACTGATTTATGTCGTCCCACGCAGCGCAAGTATGATATTGCCATTGCCACCATTTTTGGACGCAACAATGATGCTATTGTTGTGGATACGGAACGTACAGGCAAAGAATGTATTGAGTACATGCGAGAGCAGCGTGCAGGTGTGGCCACATTTTTGCCACTCGACACATTGACTGTTCGAGCCATCAATGCTGAATTGAGGTCCGTCTCGCCACAGGCTAAATTGGCAATGGATGTCATCCAGTATGAAGCGTCTCTCGAGCGTGCGATGCAGTATGCCTGTGGTTCTGCAATTGTCTGCGAGACACTTGATGTAGCGCGTCGATTATGTTACGAAGAGCGTCTTGAGGTCAAGGCCGTCACGCTTGATGGGACCGTCATTCACAAGTCTGGTAATTTGACTGGTGGACAGCATGAGAACAGAGGTGCTGCATCGCGTTGGACAGACTCACAGGTGGAAGGCTTGCGACGACTTCGCGACTCGCTCATGTCACAAATACAAACGCTGTATGCTGCTCGACAGCAAGATACGGGTGAAGATGCGATGCAGTCAGAGCTGAGACAGATTGAAGCGCGGAGGTCGTTGTTGCAAGCAGATGCAGAGGCGATTGGGCGTGACCTTGAGGCAAGGCAATATGAGGCGAGGCACGAGGAAGCAGAAATTGAGAAGCTCGCGCCGACCATCAAGCAACTGGAGAAGGAACACGCTGCGTTGCAAAAGAAGGCAGACGCTCTGCAAAAGACGCTACATACAGCGGAAGATGCCATCTTTGCCGGATTCTGCAAATCGGCTGGACTGCGCAATATCCGACAGTATGAAGCAACACAGGGTGCATTGATGCAAGAGGCTAGCAAGAAGAAAGCAGAGTTCACTTCGCAATTGGCTCGTTTGCGTAATCAGCTGGCGTTTGAGCAAGATCTCTTGAAGGAGACATTGTTGCGTGTTCGCAAGATTGAAGCGAGCATCAAGCGCGACAAGGATGCTCTAGATGGGTTCAAGAAGGAGGAGCGTGATCTCCAAAATGACATGTCTGGTCTGGAGAAGGAGGTCTCTGACTTGCAGAGCAAGTACGATGCTGAGCGTAAAAAGGCGGATGGCTGCAATGCTGCTGTCAATGAAGCCACCAGAACACTCAACAATGCGCAAAGGGAATTGGAACATGCTGCCAAGGCTGTGAGTGCGTGTGAAGCTGCGACTGGACAGTTGCTTGCTCGTCGGCACGTCTTGCTGCGTCGATGCAAGCTTGAAGAGATTGACTTGCCCCTGACAAAAGGTCGTCTTGACAATGTGCCTCTTGCGGAGAACTTGACGGAGGATGCAGCAGAGCAGCCAGACATTGCAGACTGGGGCATTGAGATTGACTTTGAAGAGCTCGATGATGATCTCAAGCAGGATGGCAGCGAGTCTGTTGATTTGTCCTTGACGGAACAGATTCGCGAGCTTGAAGCAGACCTCGAACGCATGGTTCCCAATACAAAAGCGCATGAACGCGTTGCAGGGGTGGAGGAGCGTTTGCGTTCAACGGAAAAGGAGTTTGAAAAGTCACGCAAGAAGGCGAAACAGCTCAAGGACAACTTCAATCGCGTCAAGCAAAAGCGATTGGATCTTTTCACAAAGGCATACGAGCACATCTCTGGTCAGATCGACAAAATCTACAAGGATCTCACAAAAAGCAAGCATGTGCCTCTGGGCGGTACGGCGTACCTGAGTCTTGAAGACGATGAAGAGCCCTTCTCACATGGTGTCAAGTACCACGCCATGCCGCCCGGTAAACGCTTCAGGGACATGGAGCAATTGTCTGGTGGAGAAAAGACCATTGCTGCGCTCGCACTACTGTTTGCCATCCACTCCTTCCAACCCTCACCTTTCTTTGTGCTTGATGAGGTGGATGCAGCGCTCGATAATGCCAATGTCGCCAAAGTTGCCAACTACATCCGCGAGCATGCCGGCCATGGTTTGCAATTCGTGGTCATTTCTCTCAAGAATGCCCTGTACCATCAGTCACAAGGTCTCGTGGGCATTTACCGCGATCAAGAAGAGAATTCGTCAAAGTCATTGACGCTCGACCTGGAGGCGTATGATCAAGCGCAAGTAGTCTAGATGTTTTCTTAGCTCACCTGTATACATATTTTTTCATCTACAAAACTAACAGAAGAATGTCATAATGGCTTGTTGCTGTGGTGCGGATTGTAGAGAGAAGCTGATACGTAGTCATAGCTGAGTGTGGTCTCGAGATAAGCTTGCTGGCCAGAGACAACAATCGCAGCCTTGCAAAGTTGCACTGACGATGGGTCTGAACGTGTGCTTACATCATCTTGTGTTAATTGTCACTACGATTGCCTGGTTCAGCTGCTTGCATGTTCTAAGTGCTCATCGCCGGCAATCTGCTGTTCGTATGCATATGAGTTATGGACATTGAGAGTTGGACCCTCCTCTTTGCCCAGCCATTTTTGACAGTCACGTCTGCAGGGTCCAACAAGGTATTACGATGAGGCAAGGTTGGAGCCGGATGAAGGTGTTTGTGACGAGCCGGAGAACTGCTTGACGAGGGAGGACTCGGAGGAGGGCGTGGCAGGCGATTCGTTGTCCTGTTTGAGGATGGATTGAATCTGGATGGAGTCTGGCAGCCGTCCAGCGGATCGGGCTGGATTGGGCGAGGTGGGAGGCCATCTGAAGGTAGGAAATTTGAAATTTGTGGTCTTGGCAACAAACAGCACGACAGCAGCAGCAATGGGAAAGAAAGGGAAAGAAAGGGTCCATCCGATTGCGATTAATGCCCAACTCACATGCCATCTGCTCTCACTGGAAGGCTGCTGTAGAATGCTGTAATCACTGGATGCTGCTCTGTGTACCAATTTCAAGCACGCGGCAAAAATATCTGAATCGCTGCTCGTAATTTCAGCAGGGCCCTCATCCAGCTCACTCTGTACAATGCCGCTCACCTGGGCTGGTCGTAGCCTGGTACCAGCTCTAGCTTGATCTGGCCTCGCTGCCCTTTCGCTCCTGAATCCAAGCTCTTCCATGTTGCACGCGGCCGACTGTGACGGTCAACAACCTGAAACTCCTTCACACGCTATCAAGTCGCACTCCTATCAATCAGCCTTTGCTCCTCCTTAAGAGGCCCTCGTCGCCCTCTCCCTGCATCCTCACCCTCCCATACCGTCATCCCCCGGCCTACCCTTCCCTCCTCGTCTTTTCGTAAGCTTTCACCGCCAAAAAGCACCCCTCATTGCACGCAACTAACACGCCAAGACAATGGACAAGTCAGAGCAAACCAACAGTCTCGACCTCGAAAAGGCAGTCCCCAAGTCGCGCATCACGTATGCCGATACTTTCGAGGATGAGGATGGACCAGTCGCTGGCCGTGCACGTCTTGCTCGACGAGACCGTCGCGGCAGTAATGCCAGTGTGCGCACTTCTCGCTCGACGCACTCGCTCGATCTGGCGCGGACCATCTCTCGTCGCAGGTCAATGGCCGAGACCACCCTACCGATTGGCTTCCGAACACTCTCCATCAATGTCGCCGATACGCAGGAAAGGCAGAAGCCCTTGGAGGGTGACAAGAAGAAGTCGTCGCAGGCTGTGGCAGAGCTGTCTTCTTTGACATACCACACACAGAGTGTCGATGATCTTGCAAGGATGCTCAATACGTCCATGACGCAGGGCCTCACTTCAACAATGGCAAAGGACAAATTGGCACGCGATGGCCTCAACCGGCCGACCCCAGTCTCAAATAGGCTGTTTCAGCGCATCGTCATGTACTTTCTCGGTGGATTCGGCAGTCTTTTGCTCATTGCATCCATCCTGACATTCATCTCTTGGAAGCCTCTCGGCGACCCACCCCAGCAAGCCACCCTCGCACTTGCTATTGTTTTGCTGGCCGTCATGGTCATTCAGGGCCTGCTCAATGCATACCAAGATTTCTCAACAGCGAAGACCATGTCCTCCATCACTGGCATGTTACCCGCAGACTCCATCATTCGACGCGACGGCGCGGATATCACCATCAACGCCACGGAACTCGTTGTCGGTGACCTTGTTCAAATTCGTCTCGGCAACAAAATTCCAGCGGACTTGCGCATTGTTGAAGCTTCCTCAGATCTCAGCTTTGATCGTGCTGTCTTGACAGGCGAAGCGGAACCAATTGCTGGTGTTCCTCATAAGACAGACGACAACTTTCTCGAAACGAAGAATATTGCTTTGCAAGGAACGCACTGCGTCGGTGGCTCGGGTCTTGGACTCGTCATTCAAACTGGTGACAAGACTGTCTTCGGTCGCATTTCGAGATTGTCACAAGGCCGCAAAGAGGGCAAGACGACACTTGAAGTTGAAATCTTCCGTTTTGTGCGTATCATTGTTGGGCTTGCGCTCTTCACGTCAATCATGGTTGTTGTTCTTTGGGCTGCCTGGATTCGTCGCTCTCATCCCAAGTGGATCTCTGTCTCGCTTCTCATTGTTGATGTCGTCTCGGTTTGCGTTGCCTTTGTGCCTGAGGGACTACCCATGGCCGTTACCATCAGCTTGACCATCATTGCCAACAAAATGAAACGATCAAACGTTCTCTGCAAGTCTCTTGCTACAGTAGAAACCCTTGGCGCCGTCAACCTCATTTGCTCCGACAAGACTGGTACACTGACAATGAACAAGATGTTTGTGGTCAATGCAAGCATTGGTGATGTTGAGATGACGCCTGAGGAGTGTCACTATGCTGTTGCTAGCTCAGAGAAGGAATCACCGGTCGGAGTCCTGCAGGCCACGGCGTCGTTGACTTGTGCCGCAACCTTTGATGCAGCAACCCTCAATATGCCAGTCTCTGAGCGCAAGATGTTTGGCGATGCAACAGACTGTGCTGTTCTGCGACTGTGTGAAACCATCTCACCCATCGCTACTGTTCGTGAATGCTGGACGAAAATCTTTGAGGTGCCCTTCAACTCCAAAAACAAGTTTATGCTGCGTTTGTCCAGGGCCACATCAAGGGACGCACTGGCATTGGCTCTGTCGCCTGCAGAGCGAGAGTCTACGGATCCTGAAGATTTGATCTTGACGCTGAAGGGTGCGCCGGATGTGCTCATGTCGAGCTGCACACGCCTCCTCCTGCCAAATGGTGAGATTGTCGAGCTGACAACGGAGTACAAGGAGATGCTCTCTGATTTACAAGAGAAATGGTCTGCTACGGGTTTGCGTGTCCTCATGTTTGCTCGTCGCATCATTCCTGCTACCTCTCTTTCTGCAGAGCTCGGTGAACCTGGCAGTGCGGCTTTTGCTGACTATATTGAGTCTTGTGCACGTTCCGAGTTGGTTTGCGTTGGTTTGGTGGGTATTGTGGATCCACCAAAGGAAGACATCCCTGAGGTTGTTGAAATTTGTCGTGGTGCTGGCATTCGCTTCTTTATGGTCACGGGCGACTTTAAATTGACAGCTGCTGCTATTGCAAGGCAAGTCGGGATCATTACACATCCGGAGGTGCATGGTCTTGAACATCTCGTCAAGACACTGGTCGTTGCGCCGAGTGAGGAGTTTGTTGGTGCAATTGTGCTGAGTGGTCCAGAACTCATCACATTGAATGACAATCAGTGGAATCAACTTGCTCAATACGAAGAGGTTGTCTTTGCTCGAACAACGCCTGAGCAAAAATTGCGCATTGTCAAGGAGTTCCAGTCGCGTGGCAATGTCGTTGCCATGACGGGTGATGGTGTCAACGACGCGCCTTCTCTTAAAGCAGCCAATGTCGGTATTGCAATGGCTGGTGGCTCGGATGTGGCCATTGAAGCGGCAGATATGGTCTTGTTGTCTGACTTTTCTGCCATCATCTCAGCGATTAAATCAGGTCGGCTTGTGATGGACAATCTCAAGAAGACTCTCATCTACCTCCTCCCTGCTGGTACCTTTTCAGAGCTATGGCCAGTCCTGACGAGCATTGTGTTTGGACTGCCACAGGTACTCAGCTCCTTCCTCATGATTGTTATTTGCTGCTTGACGGATGCCGTTGCTTCAATGACACTGGCGTTTGAGAAGCCCGAAGCAGACTTGTTGACGCGTCGCCCGCGTAACCTCAAAAAGGACAGACTGGCTGATGTCAGGCTCATTGGTCATGCCTACTTATTTATTGGATTTATGGAGTGTTTGTGTGCCTTTTCGATGAGTTACTGGTGGCTGGAACGAACGGCCAAGATTCCCTTCCGCGTGCTCTGGCTCAGTTATGGCGAGTATCCTGAGGGCTACAATGCAGAGGACATGCAAGCTGCCTTCAACACCGCTTCATCCATCTACTTCATCACGCTCATCATCATGCAACTCTTCAATTTGCTGGCAACACGCACACGCCATCTCTCGATCTTGCAGCACCCACCTCTCTTCAAGCGTGAATCGAGTAATCCGTTGATTTTTGCAGCGATGCTCTTTTCGATTGTCATTGCCTTCTTCTTCAACTATATTACTGCATTGCAGCGTGTATTGGGAACGGCGGAGGTGCCTGTTGAGCACTGGTTCTTGCCTGTTGCACTGGGTGCTGGCTTGCTGCTGCTGGATGAAGGCAGGAAGTTCCTTGTTCGACGCTACCCAAAGTCGATCATTGCCAAGCTGGCCTGGTGATGTCCACCCGGGTATGTTATGATTTGCGATAGAAGTGTTTTATGGATGGTCTGTAGATAGATTTGCTCTCTCCAGGGGTCCGTCCATCTCTTTAGCTCGAGGGCACATGCTCGCCCGCCGTCATTTGCACGTGCACCACATTTTGGCACAGACAATCGAGCACTTTCTAAGACAGCTCCCTCTCTCTCTCTCTAGCTCATCCTACACGGCTTCGAAAGTACGATGGCCACGCTATACGCATTCGAATCCAATGATCAAATCACAGACGCCTTAGGTAAGACAAGCGCCTGCATGCATGCACAATTTGATTGACCCTTTTTTCTGTATAGGCCAATACATCAAATCGGCGTATGATGAAGCTGTCGCAGCTCGAGACCGCTTCACACTCGCCATCTCTGGCGGCTCACTCGCAAAATTCATGGGCTCAAGTATCTGTCAGGACCCTTCGATTGACTGGACCAAATGGCACGTCTTTTTCGCTGATGAGCGGCTCGTCCCCTTGGATCACGAGGATAGCAACTGCAAGTTGCAGCAAGCAGAGTTCTTTAGCAAGACGGCGATTCCTGCTGCTCAGATCCATACGATTGATGCGTCGTTGGAGCCACAGGACGTAGCGGATGATTATGAGTCGCAGCTTGTCAAGGTGTTTGCCAACAAGGAAACAGTCAAGGTGCCGTCTTTTGATTTGATCTTACTGGGATGCGGACCGGATGGCCATACCTGCTCTTTATTCCCAGGCCATCCTGTCTTGCGGGAAGATATTGCTTGGATTGCACTCGTTGAAGATTCACCCAAACCACCATCAAAACGCATCACACTGACGCTCAAAGTGGTGTCTGCAGCTCATCGTGTTGCATTTGTTGCTACAGGTGAGGGCAAGCAGCAGATCCTGAGGGAGATCTTTGATAACTTGGATTCTGACTTGCCGTGCGCTTTGGTGAATAGGGCAACGACCGATAAATGCAGCTGGTTCTGCGATAAGGCGGCCGTGCAAGGTGTGCACTATGAGACCAAGACCAAGCTGTGAGGGTCTTGCTCTTCATTGACGACTGACTTATTCCCCATTTTTCATGACTATTGTGCTGGGAGGGAGATCTATGATTATCTTTGAAGCAGTGCATCTATATGTGAGAATCCACACATTTCTATAGACAGTAACGACATCTATGCCATGCTGCATCCTGGTCTGCTCACTTTTGATTGTTCCAAGATTTAAGGCCGACAGACGCGGGCAATCGCTGACTGCTGCTGGATGGATTTTTGGACAGCACTGCAACGATCGCCGGAGACACAAGGTCGCCTTGCTTCTTTCCCCTCCACAGTTGCAGGGCTCTTCTTTTGCTTTGGACAGTGATAGCAACAGAGACAGGACAGTGCCTCATCTTTTTCACACACCTGATTTCGACGTCGTCCAGAGTCTATCAGCAAGTCCATCGCAGATTTTAGGGAAAAAGTCAAAGTCTCTTCGCAAACACCATCCCTCACAAGGCGATTTCGCTTCTCTTCTTCTTCATACGAAGGCTATTGACATCTAAGCTCGTCTTCCTAGAGGGCCCGTCTTTTCCCCGATCAAATGTCCTCCACCGAAGCGTTACTCATTGATGAGTATGATTACGAGGGCCTCCCGGAGAGCACTCCGTTGTATGCAAACTTGATCGCCGGAGCGTTCGCCGGTATCGCAGTACGTCAATCCCCAGGACCGCTCGAAGAAGTCCTTTATTGAGCAAGAAGAAAGCAAAGACTAACAATGTACTAGGAACACACACTCATGTATCCTGTCGATGCCATCAAGACACGCATGCAAATCGTTCAACCTGCACCCGGAGCCGTTTATACAGGCATCACGAATGCCATCAGCAAGATCTCCACTACAGAAGGTGTACGGTCACTTTGGCGGGGTATGACCTCGGTCATTCTTGGAGCTGGACCTGCGCACGCTGTGTACTTTGGCACTTACGAATTCACCAAGAACTACATGGTTCGTTCATCTCGCCATTTTTGGTCGACTTGGCTAACAATAGGGTGGCAATATCGGCGATGGTCATCATCCCATCATCACAGGAGCAGCAGGCGCTTGTGCCACCATCTGCGTATGTCTTTGTCTTTTCGCTTAGTGCGATACTAACCCTTTAGTCTGACGCACTGATGAACCCCTTCGATACAATGAAGCAACGGATGCAGATCCACGGCTCAACATACAAGAGCGTTGCAGACTGTGCCCGGACCGTCTACGCAAACGAAGGTCTTCGCGCATTCTACGTCTCCTACCCAACCACCCTCACCATGACCATTCCCTTCACGGCCATTCAATTCTCAACATATGAATCCTTGTCGAAAGTACTCAACCCGAAAAAGAAGTATGATCCTGTGACACACATGATCTCAGGTGGTCTTGCCGGTGCTGCTGCAGCTGCTGCAACAACACCCCTCGATGTCATCAAGACTTTGCTGCAAACACGCGGTACGAGTACAGATGCACGGATCCGTAAAGCAGATGGTTTGATGGAAGCTTCGAAAATTGTCTATGAACGGCATGGGTATGCAGGCTTCTTTCGTGGCTTGCGGCCGAGAGTTGTGGCTGCTATGCCGGCGAATGCAATCTGCTGGGTATGCTTTGAAGGCTTCAGGCATTACCTCGTTGGTGGCAGTGAAGCGCAGTAAAAGTGTATTTTTGTTGGTTCTTGATGTGTGTTGGCTGGTCGTCAAGAGACAAGTGTACCAAGTAGTAGTAGTAGGCGTTTCTTCATCTCTATCTCTTCTATACAAGCTACCTATTGCATCCTCGAACCCTTTTCCAGCACTTTCATGATCGAGTTGTTGGTGTCCCAGGTGAAATGACGAGCAGGCGACATCACGCAGCAGCAACCAAGGCACCACACCCAAGCTGCAACACACCACCAGGCCCTTCTCTCACTTCCAGCAGAGACAAGCAACAGGCCCAGACGGCCGCTGCATCGTCTTCCACCCACCTCAGACTCTGGTGAACGTTACAACCACGATATCACCACCATGAAGATCATTCTCGCGTCAAACCGTATGCCGGTTTCCATGACCAAGAAGGAACACGGCTACAGCTTTGGTCAGGGCGCAGGTGGCCTCGTCTCCTCTCTTGCTGGTCTTGCGCGCTCTACAAAATTCACTTGGTACGGCTGGCCTGGCTTGGAGGTGCCCAGTGAAGACCGGCCCGGTGTGGAAGAGACACTTATGCGCGATTATACAACAGTCCCAGTGTACCTGGATGCAGAAACGTCAGACAGACACTACAATGGCTTCAGTAATTCGATCCTCTGGCCACTCTTCCACTACCATCCAGGAGAGATATCCTTTAACGAGCAAGATTGGGCGGCGTATAAGCAAGCGAATCGCGCTTTTGCACGCGCCATTGTACACTCCAAGGAAGGTGTACAGGATGGTGACGTTATCTGGGTCCACGACTACCACCTCATGCTACTGCCCCAGATGCTGCGCGAAGAAATGGGTGATAGCAGCAAAAATGTTCGCATCGGGTTCTTCCTGCATACACCCTTTCCCTCCTCTGAAATCTATCGCATCTTGCCTGTTCGCGAAGAACTACTGCGTGGACTGCTGAGTTGCGACTTGATTGGCTTCCACACGTATGATTACGCACGACACTTCATCTCATCGTGTGCACGTATCCTCAAACTCAATACTTTGCCAAATGGTATTGAGTGCCAAGGACGCATGGTGCATGTTGGTACGTATCCTATTGGCGTTGACCCAACGCGCTTCGAAGAAGGCCTAGCGAAACCAAAAGTCCAGCAACGCATTAAAGCCCTTGAATCGAAGTTCCAAGGCATCAAATTGATTGTAGGTGTGGATCGACTTGACTATATCAAGGGTGTGCCCCAAAAGCTCCATGCATTCGAGGTCTTCCTCACTGAACACCCAGAATGGATCGGTAAAGTGGTGCTCGTGCAAGTGGCTGTACCGTCACGCGAGGACGTCGAAGAGTACCAAAATCTACGCGCCGTTGTCAACGAGCTCGTGGGCCGTATCAATGGCAAATTTGGCACGATTGAATTTATGCCGATTCATTTTTTGCATCGCAGCGTTTCCTTTGATGAGCTCATTGCGCTGTACAGCGTCTCTGATGTGTGCCTCATTTCTTCGACGCGAGATGGCATGAACCTCGTTTCATACGAGTATGTGTGCACGCAAGAACACCGACATGGTTCATTGATTCTCTCTGAATTCGCAGGCGCTGCGCAGTCCCTGAATGGAAGCATCATCGTCAATCCGTGGAACATTGAAGATCTCTCCATTGCCATTCACGAAGCTGTTACGATGCCGGAGGAAACACGTCGTGTCAATTACGAAAAATTATCGCGGTACGTTCACAAGTACACATCTGCGTATTGGGGCGCTTCCTTTGTTGGAGAGCTGAATCGGATCAAGGAAGAGGCAGGTGCGAACACGGGCGCCGGTCAGTCGGCAAGAGCGTTGTCGTCGTCGCAAGCGGATGCGTCCATCAAGCAGCAGGAAGGAAGACAGCAAGAGGGGAGCATGGAGGTGGAGAGAGATGCCTAGATTTTGACGAAAGAGACTATCAAGCATGCATATGTCAACGATGACTCAACAGAGATTTGCACTCAACTTTGCACTTATAATTGCTGTGATTTCGCTTGCATAGTGCCGAAGACGAAGTTCCAGAGAAGACCAGGCTCATAAGCAACCGATGGGTCTTTGCCCTTCGTGCGTCGCAGTCGCAGAAACCATGACTTGCCTGAACAAGAATTGGTAGCGCCTTGCATCTGAAACAAACATCGAGGTGGATCCACAGAAACTGGCATCTTTTTCGTACTTGTTGCCAGGGGCTCTTGCGCTGACACTTCAGGAATGCCGATGAGGGACACGATGCTCTCGACTAAAACAGAGAGACGCAGGTGCAAATGCCAGGACCTAGACCCTTCGAGCATCGTAGGTGATGGAGCTCATGAGCTGTCATGATGCGTGATTCTCCGTTTTTTTCTGAAGATCCACGCTTGCCGCATAATCTTGCGGCAAAGAAGGCTTCAGATGCAGGCGAAAACTTGCCGGAGAGTGCTCTCGACTTGAAGTCAGAGTCCTTTAAAATTGGACAGAATGGCTCGAGTATCTTGATGGTGTCATCAATGCCGGACACAGCAATTTGAGGCCAGAACGGGTGTGGTGCCATGGCATTGACGGTGTCAGTATCGCATTTCAGTATGTTCATCACTTTGCCGCTCCCTCGATCCCAAATGAAGAGAGCGCCATCATCGCTACCGCTCATGACGTATTCATCGTCCATACCATAGTAGCAGACGTCCTTCGTGGTCATGATATTGATGTGGTCCTTGAAGGCGCGCGAAGTGGGCTCAAGCTTCGGAACACCATTGACAGACTTGCAGGTCGTATTGGGTGCAGGTCGCATGCTGGAGGTTCGCAAAACTTGCATGAAAGGTCTCAGCAGATCCTGATCCAGCATATAGCTGTCGCTATCATATTCATCATAGTACCTTGGGTCGAACCTCGAATCGTCTGAATCGCAACTCTCTTCATCGTCGTAGTCGGAATCATCGAAGTCTTCTTCGTGATCATGGTCATGTTCAGCATCGGAATCCTCGTCCTCCATGTGCCAAGGATTCTCCTGGATTCCAGGCTCTGCGGCTGCTTCAGGAACGTCATTCTCACCGGAGATTTTCTTGTCGCTGCCACATGATGGGCCATCGCTGGGCGCCGAAGAGTCAAATCTTGTTGGCACTGCCTCGCCGTTGATGTCATACACAAAGATACCCTCATTTAACCAGGAACAGAGCAACTCGCTGGGTCTCGCTGTACTGAATTTGAGCGCTGTCAACTCTGCGTCTCTCTTAGAGACATGAGACGAGAAGAGCCGAACAAGTTGCGAGGTCTTTGACTCGTCCAGACCATTGATGTCGCCCCACTGCAATTCAACGTGGCGAAGCATGCGTCTATCGTGCAAAAACGCAAAGGGTGCGGAGCCGCCGGTAGCAAATAAGTATGGCATGGTGCGATTGATGGTCAGCGCAGTCAAGTTATTTCGTGGGCTTTTGTAATGGACAAGTGGTCGACGTCGCATCGTTTCTGCAATCCCTTGACGCAGGTCGTACTGTCGCACTGACCCATCTTCTGAGCACGTCAAGAATGTGTGGCTGTTTTCCGTTACAATTCTCTTGACGCGATCCATGTTGTTGGTGTATACGCTGGGCGGGGAAGTAGTTCCTCTCTGCGCAATATGCTCAATGTCGAAAACACGTACTTCAGCGTCCCCGGCCACAGACACAATCTTTGAATTGCTCGTATTGGGCAGCCACTGTACATCAAAAATGTTGGCTCGATGTCCAGTATGAATCGAGCGTGATGGTATAAGTCCCTTGGCCGACTCTTGCGCATCCCAGAGCATGATGTGTGTATCGTCACTTCCGGAAGCTAAGAAGCGGCCATCCTCTGACCAAGATAGTGCATTGACACAGCCGTAATGGGCCTCCAGATCCTGAGCTCCATCCATATTGAGAGTGAGGTCTAGTGCACCATATGTCTTCTTGTTGTAGCCAGCGCTACCTATCAAAGAGCGTTCGAGCAGCGACTTGGCGATAGAGCGGTCTTGCGTTTCTGACCAGCATTCTACAGAATCGCCAGAGCTGACCGAGGCACTGCCGCCGGTATTATCATGTTGGCTCTCACATTCAGAGCACATGATGGAGCGCAAATTGTATGTGCACAAGAAAGCTTAGTTGTGCGTATATCTGCTCGATTCAGTCTCCCAGATCGAGACAGATCATGACCAAGCCAGTATGAGTGACACAGCAGAGTCGAGATCTTTTGCTGTTCCAGCGACAGCAGGAGTATGTAGGACGTGAAGGGGCTGAGAGTATCCTTAATACTCCTTATGTCGTGTCAGTGCTCGGCTAATTCTCGTACATCTTTGCCACAGCTTGGGCTCATGCAAGGCTTTAAGCCATGAATCTCACTTGCGAACAAGATCGGTACAGGAGCACAAGGAGAGGGGCCTGGAGGCCTCTAGAATAGATGAAGAAACTATAAGATGCATCGCAGCAGCATTGCATACCCCAACAGCGCTGCATGCACAGATACAGGAATGCCGTTGCACATAAATTTTCGTAATTGCTCGCTTGCTGAAGATCATGCAGCGTCGTAGATGGCAGTAAATGTACTAGAAGACAAAAGGATCAAATCCATTCTGCCCAATGCCCCTGTGGCTTCGGCGCCGATTGAGATCGTCGTGACTCAAGATCACTGTCTCGTGGCACAACGCCAAGGACCCAGCCTTACCTCGTAGCTCTGTGTAGTAATCACCACATCCACATGTACGTCCCTCGCGAATCTTGTCGTAGTGTGTTTCTGAACCATACCCGGGATCGTGCATGTCTGGACAGAATGGTTCGAGGATTTTGATGGTGTGATCAATGCCAGAAACTGCAATTTGAGGCCAGAACGGATGAGGCGCCATAGTATTGACAATGTCATTGTCACATCGCAGCGTGGTCAGAAGCTCACTATCGCTTCGATCCCAGATAAAGAGCGCGCCTTCATCGCTCCCGCTCATGATGAATTCGTCGTCGAGACCATAATAGCAAACATCCTTCGTGGTCTTCTCGTTGATGTGCTCTCGGAAAGATTGCCCAACGGGCTTGACTGTCGGCACGCCTCGAACAGACTTGTAGGCACTCTTTGGTGGCTTGCGAGCGCCTGCGATGACTTTAAAAAAGACTCTCAGGAGATCCTCGTCCATCGTGCCACCTTCAGCATCATGCTCATCTTCAAAGTCTGTGCGGAATGTTGAAAAATCTGGTTCCCAATCATCACTGTGGTCGTCATAATCGTCTTCATCGTCGTAGCCATCATCGTCCTCACTTTCATCTGCGTCGTCTTCATCCTCCGTCTCCCAGCCGTCTTCATCGGCTGCAGACTCTGATTCGGGCCCATCACTCCCGCGGTCATTTGTCCTGTTGCCACCGCTTCGAGTTCCAGGACTCGGCACTAAAGGTACACCAGACGTAGAGGGACCAGTGTCCGCTTCGAGAATGCCGAGAAAGTGGTTTCGATCACGTTCCATCGGACATACGGCAGCTTGTCGAACGGAGGTGGAGGCTGCTGCTCGCTGGGGTGCGGAAGAGCCAATCTCAATTGGCTCTGCTTCGCCATTGATGTCATACACATAGATACCCTTTGCTTGCCAAGAACAAAGTAGTTCAGTGGGTCTAGCCTTGCTGAATTTGAGGGATGTCAGCTCTGCCGGGCTTTTCGTCGACCTGGGTGAGAAGAGCCGAACGACTTGTGAGGGTTTTGAATCTTGCAAGCCAGGGACTTTGCCCCACTGCAGCTCAATATGGCGAAGCATGCGTCGGTCGTGTAGGAATGCAAAAGGCGCAGACCCTCCCGTAGCAAACAGGTATGGCATGGTGTGATTGAGCGTGAGGGCAGTCAAAGCAACTTGTGGATTTTGAAAATGCACCAGAGGTCGTCGTCGCGTCGCTTCTGCAACACCTTCGCGCAGATCATACTGTCGCACGGATCCATCCTCTGAGCAAGTCATAAACATGTGACTGTTTTCGGTCACGATCTTCTTGACGCGATCTGTGCTGTTGGAATACACTCTGCACGGGGCAGTCGTCTTTCTAGTTGCAGTGTACTCAACATCAAACGCACGTACTTGAGAGTCTCCAGCCGCAGAAACAATCATGGAATTTCCCGTGTCTGGCATCCATTGTACATCAAAAATATTAGCCCGGTGACCAGTGTGTATCGAGCACTTCGACCGAAGTCCTTTGGAGGTTTGCTGAGCGTCCCAAAGCATGATGTGCGTATCATCACTTCCTGATGCCAAGAAGCGACCATCCTCTGACCAAGACAACGCATTGACACAACCATGGTGTCCGCTCAGCTCATCCGCATCATCCAGGTGAAAAATCAAGTTCTTGCTGCCATATGCCTTCTTCCTGAAGCCAGCGCACCCGCCTAGAGAGCGCTGAAGTAGAGACTTGTTCATCAAGTTCTTTGGCAACGCTGGCCAGTAATCTTCATGTTCGGCAATGCTAAGGGAAGGAGTGCTACCCGTCCCGTCCACTCCTCTCTCACATTCATAGCACATGATGAGGGGTGAGTAGCTACACAAGCAAGCTTTTTTATGCTTTGCTAAGTCTTTTGAGGAAATCTCAGCATGTGCGACACGGCAGAGTAGAGCTCTCCGCTGTCAGCTGGGAGAAGAACGCGATGCGCCTTCCCCTTGTACCTTGTAGCGAGAAGTGGTTCGTGTCAGAGTCCACTCGCCAACTGAAGCCCGCGGTTGTCTGCTCGGCTAATTTATTTTGCGGCGAAAGAGGCTGGCCTACGTTTCGATCGCAGTACGCGCTACGCATCGTTCTAGCAGGCGCGCCTCCTCACTGCTATAAAGAACGAGAGTGCCCTCCGTGCTCCTGTCGCTTGGCCCTTTTGCTTGCTTGAGTGTGTGCGCTCCTTGCGACGATGAACTTCCAACAACTAGAGAAGCTTGGTGAGGGAACTTATGCGACTGTCTACAAGGGAAAGAACCGGACGACAGGCGAGACGGTTGCGCTGAAGGAGATACACTTGGACAGTGAAGAGGGCACACCGAGTACGGCGATTCGAGAGATCTCACTCATGAAGGAGCTGAAGCATGAAAATATCGTTGGACTCTGGGACGTCATCCACACGGACAATAAGCTGATGCTGGTCTTTGAGTTCATGGACAAGGACCTCAAGAAGTACATGGACTCACATGGAAAGAACGGCGCACTTGAGCCAGCGACCATCCGGAGCTTCATGTACCAGCTCATCAAGGTTTGTATGCTCAAGTGCGAGAAGCAATATGCTGATAACAGGGAATCGCATTCTGCCACGAGAATCGCGTTTTGCATCGTGATTTGAAGCCTCAGAACCTGCTCATCAACAAGAGAGGCCATCTCAAGCTTGCTGATTTTGGTCTTGCGCGGTAGGCTGACTGTGTGTGCATCTCGCTCGTGCTAACATTTAGGGCCTTTGGCATCCCGGTCAATACCTTTTCGAATGAGGTTGTCACGCTATGGTACCGTGCGCCTGATGTCTTGCTCGGCAGCCGCACTTACTCTACATCCATCGACATCTGGTCAGCTGGCTGTATCATGGCTGAAATGTTCACTGGTAGGCCTTTGTTCCCCGGATCCAACAACGAAGACGAGCTGCTCAAGATCTTCCGACTGATGGGCACACCCACCGAGCAAACATGGCCCGGTATCTCACAATACACAGAGTACAAGACGACTTGGCCGTACTATGTCACACAAGACCTGGGGCAGATTCTACCCATGATTGACAGCCTCGGTCTTGACTTGCTATCACGATTGCTCGTGATGCAGCCGAATCAGCGCATTTCGGCAAAAGATGCCCTGCGACACCCTTACTTTAGCTCTGCTTACAATTGAGCAGGCGGTCTCGGAGAGAAAGATCTGACAGAAACGATCGCTTGCCACTCTCGGTGATTCTTCGTATGCTGGGCCATTGCTGGCAAGATGCAGCTGCAGCATAAATTGCCATTTCTTAAGACCATGTACAAAACTTTTTTCATGACCATTTCCTGCAATCCATATACGATATCATGAATGTAGTTTTTGGACGACAGTGCCGTGTCTCGCGTTCATCTTCTGCATGACTTTTGACTATGCCATCATTGCCAGTATTTTTGGCAACTGCGTGCTCATGATTTCAGTGATTTCTCCGAGCGGCAGGTGTACGCTCGAATGACATGTCAGATGTCAGTGTGCCAACTGCCGCTGTCTGGGTCCTGCTGTCAAAGCAAGCCAGCGCTAGCGAGGATTCTGAGGCTATTGAATGTGATACGTTGACAACACTTGGCTGAGTCTGTGAGCAATGAGCATAGCACTGACATGTTGCCAACTTGCTATACGCGTTGCGATGCGGATGTGACGCTGCGGTGTGGATGCCCAAGATGGCATCTCCGAATAGTGCGTAATAGCCGCTCTTACTTTTTATTCTTGACGGACAACGCCCTCGTCACGTCAGATGTGCCATCACAGATGCGCATCATCGCATGCCTGTCATCTATCATGATTCATGATTCATGATGTATGAAACAGTATCACGGCAGTATGATCTGCTCACAGCCGTACATGTCCATTGTCCAGTGTCAGCTGTCAAGACTCAAAATTAAACGTTGCTAAACCCTGCCGGTGCCCCTGTCTATGCCCAACTCTCCGTCTCGCAGACTCCGCCCACCTGGCCCCGGTGAGCTGGGCACTCTCTCATCGACAAGCGGCCCCAGTGCAAAATGCCTTTTCAAATTTTCGCACAAGTCGGCTCTGGTCTGGACATGAAATGGGCGCAGCTTAGCGTACGCGACATTGCTACGAGCTCCTTCCTTTTCCCTCATAACAACCATCTACGCTCTACACCTAGCTTCGGGGTCGTGGACTCGTGGTGCCTGGCAGATTGAATATCTCCGTCTGGCCCTGCAGCGGGTTGCTCCCTTTTCACCACTGTTTCCTGCTCCCCTTCAGGCTCAAACCTGGCGATCACGGCGGACGAGATTAAACGCCAAATTCTGGAGATTGCAGGACAGGAAACGACGTCGTATACGCAGTGCACACGCTGCTGAACACAGTCATTGTGCGTTCAACAGCTCTGCAACAACCAGGACATCAGGTATATCAATCAAGCGACACACAAGCAGCAGGCCGGCCATCTGCGCAGCCCATGGCCGATGAAGGTCGCGCAAGACCTCGTTACACACACCCTCGGCAACACGCACGACCTGCTTCTCATAGCGGACAACCAGCATCACAGCAACAACAGCGCGGAGATATACATGGACCCTCACCGCGCTCACTCAGACCCGTCTCGTCGAGTCTAGCAGCTGCTGCACCACCCCCACGACTCAATATCCAGACGGCAATTCCAGCTGCTCAGCAACAAGAGTATGGTCATGCACCTGGCTTGCCCCCCTTTGGCGATTCAATGACGGAGCCTCTTACTGCTGGTGGAACAGGTGGACCGAGCGTCAGTCTACTCATCATGAATTTACCCTTTCGCGTCCGTTGGCAAGATCTTAAGGATCTATGCAGACAAGCATGCGACATTGAACGTGCAGATGTGGCGCTTGAACTCGATGGTCGGTCTCGTGGCTTTGGTGAGATTGTTGTTGCGAATCGGCAGGATGCGCAAAAGCTGTTTCGCATGTTTGATGGGTATGAGTGGATGAATCGCAAGTTGAGCGTGATTGTCATGGAACCGACACAGCAGCAGCAACAGGTTGTTGGGCCGCCTGGTGGGATGATGGGGCCGTCTGGCGATACACAAAGCTTACAAGGTATGATGTCTGGCATGTCGCTCTCTCAACCCACAGCGCCGCCACCCCTTGGCTATAGTATGCAGCCACCTACAGATGAGCGTCTTGTGTTTGTTGGCAACTTGCCTTTCCATCTACAGTGGCAAGACCTCAAAGACATGCTTCGACCCGCTGGCCGCATCACGCGTGTTGAAATCTCCACCTCCAGAGAAGGTCGTAGTAGAGGCTGGGGAACGGCGTTATTCGCAACGGAGCAAGAAGCACAGATGGCTGTACAGATGTTTGATCGAACAGAAGTCGAAGGTCGTATCATCAAGGTACGCAAGGATAAACTCGGCGCTCAGGCGAATCCAAATTTCACTACTGCAACGCCAGCTGGTCCAGTGACTGGGTATACGCCACCCGGGGAGCCCATCTCTCGCAGTGTAGGGGTGACGCCTATTCCGAAATTAGCATTCGCAGTACCACCACGCAGTGCATCCATGAACATGTTGGCGCCACCCACGCCAACAAGTCCCATGATGTTTACTGCGCCAAGGCGTGCATTCACCGCTGAACAAGAAAGACGACGTCAAGCGGGGGAATTGCAGGGACTCATGCAACAGCAGCAAGTTTTGGGACCTTCTAGATTGTCTCAGGCGTATGCATTGCCACTTGCAACACCTGTTGGTGTGACCTGGGACGGTGGATCAACGACATGGCAAGCGCCTAACCCATATCCGTCGCCGTTGCCAGGCTATGCACGTCAAGAACAGTCTGGGTATCCATCAATGCCTCTGCAGCAGCAACAACAACAGCAACAGCAACAGCAATTACCACCAGTAGGACAAGAACGGGCAGGTACGCAACGACTACCAGAACCCACGACACAGTCTACCATTGGCGATGGTAGCAGACACCAGCGTCAGTCGTCCAATTCGGTGGCCGATATCTGGCAACGCTGAAGACAAGAAACGGCCCTTATTTGTATAAAGATGAAAGCATGATGAGCATGATTTGAATTTCGGAGGATACGGCGGCGGAAACCTTAGATGGGTGGCGAAGGTGAATGGGCGAGTGAACGTTAATGAAGTGTGGGTCGCGAGCATCGACCAAGGGTTGAATTAGATTGTGAAAACAAAGAGCAAGAAAGACGCAGTCGCTAGTCATTTTTCCATGCATTCAAAACGCAACTGTATCATTGCGCTGATCCCGCCAGTGCTTCAACGAAGAGCTGATAGTTGAATTGACCGGCGCGTGTGTAGCCTTTGATTGCTCTGTCCACTTCCGCATCCGTCAATGCATCATACCCACTCGTCAAGGCTTCGCGCAATTCTGCAACATCAATCTTGCCGCCGTGACCTTCGTCAAAGCTAGCGAGCAACTCCACCAATTCCTCACGCGACGACATATCCGTGAGTAATGCCGACATGCTTGCAAAGTAAGCAGTGAAGCTAACACCACCACCGGGCAGTTGCGGCATACTCGCCATCATGGCCTTGAGTTCTGCTTGTGATTTGGGTTGGCCTAGTGAGACCCACATTTCAGTCAAATCTTGTTCATTGATGTGACCTTTGCCCTGCTTGTCGAGCATGCTGAAGGCTTCCTTGAATTGTGTACTGATGAGGGGCGCGCCTGCCATGCTGGTGGATCGTTGCGGCGCGTGTTGTGCTGCGAGGCCTGGTGGAAGTCTGCGCTCCATTGGGGTGATGAGTGATAGTGGAACTTTTGCGCCTTTGATAGTAAACGGTCAAGCAGTGCAGTAGCAGTAGCAGAAGCAGAAGCAGCCCGCAGGAGCACTTGTTCCTTTGTTTGTTGTGGTCGAGGCGTGTTCGACGTTCAGATCGCGTCTATTCAGATTGATTCTATAGACATCACGAGCGACAACTGCAGGGCCACTAATCATACTGTTCTACCTCTGACCTGTGTCTCAAGAGTACTGCCAGGCCGACAAACGCATCTTGACTGGCCTCGCTGACTTGCATACTAGGACTTGGACGATGAGGCGAACTTGTTTGCCTGCAATTAGATGAGTGCTTCTTGAAATTCACACAGTTTGCTGTGGAATATGGACGATTGGACACAGCACAATTACCATGGGCTTACGTTTGATCAGTCGGTTGAAGCTGATTGCCGCGACAATGCAGCAGGGCGGATACTGGGCACTCCAGTGAAAGAAGGAATGGCCTTTAGCAAGAGCTAGTGCTGGGCGCCTGTATTGAGGCACAAACATCGCAAGGGACGACGATGAAGATGGTAGCGATGTTCTGAGTGAGGCCGAAGACGAGAATTTCATTTCAGGCGAGACTATGCCGAGCAGGACAACGATGGTGACAGCATGGAAGGTTGGTTCTAGCCACGAAGCAAAAATGCTCAATTCATCCACTCGTGGTGCTCAAAAAGCTTGAGCGTTGTCTTTGCTGTAGTCTGGGGTCAAGACGGCGTGCCTCACCATGAAGTCATAGCTGTGCTCAATCTCAGCATTGTTTCAACCTCGCATGATTCAGCATTGATTCAAACGACTGTGTCTTTCCGAAATTTGCAGACCGCTTGAGACTCTAGACTCAGCGAAGGGAGGCTGTAAGTCATGGCATACTCATGTGGCTTGTAGAGACCTGTCTCCAAGTGTTCTGCTCCGGAATGCTCTTCTACAAGAGCAGCTCGAAAGAACGCACGTAGGTGCACGTGGTTAGTAAAATCAGGGGTACTCCAAGCAGGTCTGCAGCCCATTCAGGCACAACTGGCAGTAGGTACGACGCTGCTACAAAGAGATGCAAGATCTGCTTCTTGCAAATGCTCCATCGCAAGAGGAAATGATACAGCTGCCCTCCAAAAGAGTATTCGCCAGCGTTCAAAGAGTAGATTAGCCAGCTCTGCGGAAATTGAGAAGAATCTCATGTTGCGACATCATGTGAGGGATAAGCAGGAGTTATGAAACGCCCTTGAAGTCTCTGCTGACCCCTCAGCCTTGAAAAGGAAACAATTGGAGCGTGTGCCTTCGTCTGCGGCATAAATACAACTATCATCACCGTCCGTCCTCATCCCGGTTGATAAAAGCGGGCAGAGCATTCCACGCAGAGCAGGCTTTTCGCTTGACCTGCGTGGCATTCAATACTGTCAACGTGAACCAAAGACGAAGCAGATGAGACTCCCAGGAGTGGCTAGCTTCCAAGCTGCAGGGCACCCAGTCTCGTCACTCCTCCTTCTTCTTCAACACGAAACCGAGGCGCAACAGACTGATTGTTATATGATTACCGCCAGGGCCATAGGAACGGTCGAGTTCATCGACCCTCCTCCTCCCCAGAAGCGCGGAAAAAAGTGCCAGCCGATTTAACGAGTGACAGGTTCGAAGTTCTTGGATGGCATTTCTTGCAAGCAAGTCTGCGATGACCGTATTGCTGATTTGATGTACAACACAGCGAAGTATCATTGTGACCCATGCACGCGCGTGATGGATTCCAATGAACGATCTGATTGGGACATTCTCTTTCGAAATCCAAGCTGGACTGAGTCGGTATCCCCTGTGAAAAAGACTTGCTGGTGCGCCATAACGACTGTGCTTCAACGTCTCGTTAATCAGCTCCCTGTGGGGCAGACACTTCCGATGTTTCAATCTGCCATGTACCAGTCTCCTTTCGCTCCAAATTTCTGCCGCAGCGACCTCGTACTGGAACGATTTATTGTGAAGGAACTGAAGCTGGTAAGAGAAGATTGGTACCCAGATTTGAGCACGTTCAGCAATGCTCCCTTGACATTCATAAGCTCTCAAGACGTGGTGTGGTTGACCGGCGGTGGTAGTCGCTCGAACCCCCGAGCCGTGGTGCACCCTATCGCATGCGATGCTGTTGTGACGGACTTGCATCATGACCAAGATGCAACCGATGCGGAAGAGGCTTTTGCTGCAGGCGAAAAGTTGGACCTCGAGACTAACTGTACCATCAAATTTGTTGGTCGCGAGAAGCCACTTTGGGGAAAGCTGGGAATACGATGCCCTAGTACTGTCAGCGTATGGACGGGCATCAAACAGCGACTTCAGCAACTGTACTCGGCTGACCCACACGGCGAACGCCACAGGAAGGTCAGGGTCGATGCTAACGAACGTTGCGCAGAACTTGGCTTATACGCGGTTGATGACGAGTCTACGAATAAAGTGGTCAGATGGATAGAGGAGAACATCCAGCCACCTTTGTGGGAATATCTGTAGCGAGGCTCATCGAAGAAGAAGTCGTTGTCACGAGTCTAGCACGGCAGAGCGGAGTTGTCAGCTTGACCAGATATTCCCATAGAGCATTTGAAGTAGCATGATTATCAGCTGAATATCCTACAAAAGTGCGGCGATGCATGTCCTAGCCTCGATTGGTAGTACACGGTTAGACCTGTTGTGGTGGTTGATGTTCGAGTGTGGTGGGATTTAGCTAAAAAAAAGCTACGTCGTATTCAGCTCAACTACTGTCCTCCATTATAAGAAGGAAGCAAAACAGAGAACCTTCCGCACAAGGTGCCTCCAGCTCTCCACGCAGAACAACGCTTTAGTGCCGTAAGGCAAATTGGCTGGTCATAAGAGACACAGCATATCTCGTCACTCCCAGTGCTAGTCTCAATAGTGATGCTGTTCCCCAGCGTATTTGTAGTAAGGATTGCCGTAGCAAGCCTACCACAAGACCAGACAGGCTGGCCAGCGCAATGCTTTTTCGAAAAAACCCCGAAAAAAGCTTCGAAGCAAGCCGTTTCGACTAGTATGGTGAGATCCACTCATAGTGAGAGCGAGAAGGGGACACTCCCAAAGTGGGCATGCTAGACTACGCGGTCGAGAAACAGCGTATCGGGACCGGCACAAGAAGAACGAGGGCTCCAATCGGGGACCAGGCAGAACCCCGACCGATTTGATAATCAATGCCGCAAGGGCCGGCAATGATGCAGTAGGTGGTCGTTATATGCCATAAAGTAAACTGGAGGGAGCTGTACGCTTTGACCGCATGCGGCAAAGGTACAATAAGCTCAGATGAGACCTCCGGGGCCCCAGGTTGCCTTTGGTGTTGACCTAGTTGCTGCCATTTGTTGTTTGGAGACGACAGACGCTCCAAGAGAGTGGAAGGGAACTCTCTTACCTGTTTGATTGATGTTTGGACCCGAGCAGGAGTGACCAGGCTCTTCAAGACGACAAGTCGGTCTCAAAAACAGGGCGAAAAAAATTTTCACCCGCCAATTTTGCACGAATACAGCGGACAGGTGCCTGTTCTGTTGAGCAAGGCGTGAGACGTTACCCCTCTCGGAATGAGCCGACGCAGAAACACTATATAACAGGCCATCTGCTCTCTCTGATCTAGTAACTCATTTGGTGTTTCACTCCAGTGCTTGTTCGTTCGCTCAGATAAACAACAGATTACAGTCCCGTTGTTTCTCAGATGTCATCTCACCGCCCGGTAATCCCAGACGGACTGGTATCCCCAGAAATCCGGCCGGTAACCCCAGCCAACCAACAAGCTGCACCAATGCAGCGTTTTACGCCAGATATGGAGGCTGCAGTGCAAGCTGCTGTACAACGATACCTGTTGGAGCAGCAGACACCCCTTTTCGCGACTCCGTCCCGAGTTGTTTGTGCTCCACCACTACCAGTGGAGCCTGAGTCTCATGACCACATCTGGTCTTTGGTTCCCACCATCGGACTTCCCATTCCCGGGAATCCGTCATACGTCGGGTGTTTGCAACCTGATAACGCGACGCTGCGCCAGGCAATTGACACGCTCTGCAAGACACCTCTCAAAAAGGATGGCTCGAATTGGTATGACTTCATTAAGCAAGCGATTTTGCCATCAAGAACTCCGGCACGTCTCCATTAGTGCTACTACCGGTATCATCAACAACTAAACTTTTGGCGGCTTATGGCAATGATGCAGTTTTGGTCAGCCTGCACACACGATGGCACTCGACCATCACACAACTGGCATCATCTGCCTACGGTGTTGGCACCACTGAGACGGTGTACGCGTGCTTGGAGCAAGTACGAACGCACTACGCTCCGGAGGCTGCTACTCTTCGCGCCAAGCTAGATGCAAAATTACGTCAGTTGCAATGCGCAAGCTGGTCGGAGGCCGACATCAAGAAGTTGATTGTCTCTATGCAAGAGATTTTCGATGAAGCACAACAAGGCGGTCGCGATATGGACAGAGAGACACAAGGAATGCAGCAGCATTTCTTCCAGGCACTCCCAAAGACGGAGATGAGTGTCTCGTTCTACCACTCTGCCAAGGCCAAGGACTTCCCTGATATGTGGTCGTTCTTCAGGTATGTTGAGTCGAACGCGGTGGCAACGGCGCTCATCATCGGGTCCAGGCCTGTGCACGCCAACATTGTCCAACGCACATACCAGGCACCTGTCGAGGTTGAAGGCAAAGGTTGGAGGCACATGAATGGTTTGTTCTGCGAGGACAATGGCCACTCCGTACAAGAGTGCCACCATAACGTCAAGGGCACCAATTTTAGGAAGACAAGTAGCAAATTTCTCTCTCGTTACCCTGCCGCAGTGCTCCCTCGTGTCTCGCCGGTCAAATCTCTTGGCTCATGCTCCAATGTCATCAATCTTATTCAAAGTGAGGCTATGAAGACATGCAGCTCCACGAATGATGCTTCGGGTGAAGACTTCATCATTGACTCTGGTGCTAGTGAGCATTTCACAAATTCAAAATCGCTCCTGCAGGACCTTGTTCAATGCGTTGCGGAAGTCAAGTTCGCTGACAACTCTGTTGCATACACTGAGAGCTATGGCAACCTTAAAATGACAGTCCTAGATAGTCACGGAAAGGAGCAAGTTCTATGCTTGGATAAGGTCTTCTATGCACCATGGGCGCGTAATATTGTTTCCATGGGTGCGCTCAAGAAGCACTTTGTTAGCGTACTCAGCAACAGGGATGAGCCGTTCATGCGCCTCATCAGTCAGGACTGGGAGATTCATGCTCCAATGAACGAGAATCTTTTCGTCTTGCGCTCAGCAAGTAACTCACGTCTGTCTCTTGCACTTGCTGCCACTTCTGCCAGCGTACTCAAGGTGCATGAATCACTTTGCCATGCATCCTATCTGTCAATGCTTCAGCTAGCAAAACAAGACAAGCTCACCATTTCGGCCAATGCTTTAAAGCAATTCAAGCAAGCTGTTCTTGACTGCAAGACTTGTGCTATCGCCAAGTATCGCAAGCCATCTCATCCGTCGAAGCATCCTGGCAGTGACAAACGCATTGAGCCTCTTGCACTAGTGCATATGGACCTGATGAACCGCAAGGACCCTGATGGTCATACTCCAAACGTATTAGTGGTCGTTGACGATTTCTCTGGATACACCTGGTGGTATCCACTTGTGAAGAAAAGTGATACACTCGACCAGGTTAAGAAGTGGCATGCACTAGTCACCAACCAGTCGAACCACAAAGTACTCAGCTTTCGCTCGGACCGCGGTGGTGAATTCACTGGTGACGCTTTCAGAGACTGGACAGACTCGCTGGGCATTGTGCACACGTTCTCGGCGCCGTTTACGCCCCAGCAGAATGGAACGGTTGAACGCTTCAATCAGACATTGCAGGACAAGACTGTCGCAGCTCTGATCGGTGGAAACCTTAAAAATGCCTTTTGGCGGGAAGCTCTTGATTTCTCCTGCCGTCTCATCAACATGACTCCAAATTCTCGCGGCGTTATTCCGTTTCAGGAGTTGATGGGTAAGCCTGTGCAGCATCGAAAGGTCCAGCCATTTGGCTGTGCGGTGGTCATTACCAACAACAACCCAGAAAAGTGGGGTGCTCGCGGCACTCCGGGTGTTTTCCTTGGATATGACGCTGATGGACCAAACTTACGCATTTGGGATACCGGAAAGTCCAAAATTCGAGTCGTACCTGGCGCAAAGTTTTTCATTGACGAGTTCCCTGGCATTGTTGGCTCACCTGACCCATTATCCTCTGCAGTTCCGGAGTTTTTGCAGGACGTCACCAATGATGAGGCCCATGAGGTCCTTTCTGCGCCACTCGTTGGATCACCGTTGCCAGTGGTCTCTTCCCCAAGTCCTGGTTACGTCGCTGGCAGTCCTCCGGAGGAGGTCTTTGTTGCCGATGACGCGAGCATCTCGCATGCAACACGCCAAGTCACTTGGTATCCTGAGACTGCTCGTGCATCACCGCCTCTTATCGAAGCGCCTTCTCCGGTGACTCATTCAAGACCTCAGTCCACATCGTCCTCGCCGGTACCAGAAGTCGTGCAACCGGTGGTTCAGCCGTGGAGCATATTTGACACGGTGGACTGTGACTCGTTGATCGAGCCACTACTGCCAGAGGTCGTTAATCCCGAGGTGCTTGAGGTGATTGATGCTGCAGAGCCCATTGATCTTCTAGCTGATACAAGTGTTGATGCTTCTTTCCAGTCTGCTGCGGTCTGGGACTCTGATGGTGACGAAATTTCAGTTTCTTCCGATGTCAACAACCACGATGCAGGCAACGTACTTTCTCCGCAGAATGATGAGGTGACGGACGACGAGTTGAGTGTCGAGGATGTGGTTCTGGATGTGAGAGAAACGGTGATGGGTCCACCTCCCTCTGCTACTGCTCCACGCGTTACTCGCTCAAGTAACTCAACACTAGGCGGGCAAATTGCATCTGACCGAGGCGGAGTCCGTGTGGAACCTCAGTCGTATCAGCGCATGGAGTCTATGCTCTCGAGTATGCCGCCTGAGCCAATGCGTCTGTTCTTAGCAGAGGTGGTCTCCAGACACGGCGTTGACGGGGATGACGATGCTGTTAACCACTTCAACGACAACATCTCATTAGTTCTCTATCTGGCGCGTCACTCTCAGTATGAAGATTGGCCACTGAAGGTCTCAGATGAGGATGTGCCGAAGCACTTTGGGGCTGTGAGGTTTTCTCCTCATGCGAAGTGGTTCATCCTTGCCATGGCAGAACAGATCAAATCATTTGAGGATAACAATGTCTTTGAGGTCTGTATGTTGCCTCCTGGAGTCATTCCAATTCGTGGCCACTGGATTTATGTGGTCAAGCACGAGAAGACTGATGACTCAATTGCAGCCTTCAAGTCGCGCTTTGTCGCCAAAGGTTTCGAGCAAAAGGCTGGCATTGATTACAAGGAAACCTTCTCACCAGTTGTTACGAGCTCTGCTATTAAAATGCTGTACAGCTTGGTCGTTTACTTTGGTTGGTGTATGCGCCAAGGGGATGTTAAGGACGCCTTTCTCAATGCTCCACTCGAAGAGGATGTGTACATGGAACCTCCACAGGGATTTGACAAGTACAACGGCAAAGTTTGGCGACTGAAGAAGGCTCTTTGGGGTCTCAAGCAAGCACCAAGGGCATTCTACCTGTACATGCGCAATCATCTGTACGATCTGCAATTCAAGGTGGTTGAGGGTGAAGAGTGTATCTTCTGGAAGTACATTGATGACAGGCTGGTGCTCCTTCTGCTTTATGTGGACGACTTCATTGTGGCTGGCACTCGAAAGGACGTTGACAGCACATTCTCACGACTGCAAGCATGTATGACAATTGACGATCGTGGCTACTTTGACAAGCCTGGTGGAAATAGCATGCTGGGAGTCGCTGTCACTCATGTGAATGGCTGCATTACACTATCACAGCGCGTCTACTCAGAACAGCTGATTGCTGAGTACAACATCACTGACAGGATGTGCTTCACAACACCCATGGCACGAGATACGGTCGGCATACTATCATCGAGCACCGCTCCTCTTGTCGTGGAGCATGACTACATCACGTTACTTGGCAAAATGATGTTCCTTGCTTACGGAACGAGGCCTGATATCAAACATGCGGTTGGCCAGCTCGCACGCTACTCTAAACGGGCTACTGAAGATCACTGGAAGGCTGCAATGCGTGTCCTCGGATATCTCCGACACACTGGTGACGCAGGACTGGAATTCAAACACTATCCTGAAGCGGCGCCAATTGTCGCGTACTCAGATGCTGACTTTGCCACTGATGTCAGTACACGGCGTTCTACATCAGGAATGCTCATCGAAGTCTTCGGCAATCCTGTGTTATGGCAATCAAAACAGCAGCCAGCAGTGACAAGCTCGACAAAGCATGCAGAATATGTGGCCTATGGACGCATGGTGATGAAGGTGGAATGGCTTCACAAGGTGCTCAGGCAAATCATGCCAGAGATACCTGATCGTGTGGAGACGTTCACGGACAATCACGCGACCTTCACGGAACTCACTGATGACCCAGTACGTTCTCAAAGTCTCAAACATGCGGACATCTCAATGAAGTATGTGCGAGACCGCATCAAGAGTGGCCATATTGGGGTCACTGAGATTCGCTCTGGTGTCAACCGATCGGATATGTTCACCAAGGCGCTTGGAGCCAGTGCGTTGGCAGCCTCGGCTGCAGCACTAGGGCTCTTCTTTCGTGGCATATTGAGGAGGTAGGGTGCACCACTTCGGGGCAAGTGTTGAGCAAGGCGTGAGACGTTACCCCTCTCGGAATGAGCCGACGCAGAAACACTATATAACAGGCCATCTGCTCTCTCTGATCTAGTAACTCATTTGGTGTTTCACTCCAGTGCTTGTTCGTTCGCTCAGATAAACAACATGTTCTACCGTGCTTGCAAGGAGGCGCTGCCGTCCAGCGCGAGTCTCCTTGTCTTAACGCTGACTGACCGAACCCCCTGCTCTGTAGCGTCATCCTCAGAGCACGTTTCCACCAAAAAGTGACTTTATGATGTGTTGGTTCGGTGTGAGTGTGCGACAAATTTGCAGCAGCGGAATAAAAGGAAGGAAGCTCTCTCTGCCCTGCCCTTGCTCCTCACTATGTTTTACGCAGCTCATTAGAACTCGGCGATGCTCAATCTATCAATGAATTGTTCTGAGTGTAGAGAGAATGCAAGAGGGAGCAAAGCATATGTCCTGGGCACTTGACTTTAAGATAAATCATCTGCGATTTCGAGAATCAGGGTTGCGACAGACTATCGCGGGCGGACTTCAAGGCCTGGCAAGGGGAGTTTGCTTGTAAGATCTGAGAAGAGTAAGGCTGTCAAGATATTGATGCAAGGCCCGGCTCTTCTCTGGCACGATCGCGAACGAGGCATTTTGTAAGGTATAGCATGAATGATGACCACTGTATCGATGACTTGAGCTTGCACCGGCCTTGCTTCACTGATGGATGACACGTTGCTCTCTGACTGATTCACATACTACAGCCATATGCCGGGCCCTTCTTCTCCAGGTCGGTGTCCTTGCCCATCTCCAGTGCTCTCGACTTCAGCTGCACACCTCACCAGCACGACGACACCGAGGAGCCCACCTTGGCATGGACATCAGGCCAGCTCAGCAAGATTGAAAACCGGCCACGTACGCCGTTCCTATCGAAACCCCTGGAGAAGAGCCCCTTGTTTTTTTCCTATAAGTTGCACGTCCCTGCGCCCTTCTTGTGAATGCTCACCAGTGCACTGCGACCGGCCACTCGATTGAAGAACAGCAGCAGCCTCTGCTGTACCTCTTCATCAAGCAAGGCTCATCTGTTGCAAGCGAATCTATCATCCTGTCCACAGCTACAACACGCGTGTCATCGTCTCCTTCACATCCAAAGCAAACGACCACGTCACCAACAACCTGTGCATCACGCGCCGCTTCAACAACCTGCAAGAGCGCGATTATACTACTTTCAACCAACTCGGATAGCTTGGTCTGCTGTTCAACCTACACCAGCGCCACAGATACTCAAAGAAGCACAACAAAAGACGTCTAGTAGACCACCAGGCATGTCGTCCAATAACTCAAAAGATGACCCTGCCGTGCGTATCACGCGATGGGGATTATATTCGAATGCCGGTATGGTTGTGGTGAAGGGTGTGGGTGGCTATATGCTCAACTCGCAATCCTTGATTGCCGATGCAGGACACTCTGTTGCCGACTTGGCTGCCGATTTCCTGACGCTCGGGACAGTCTCATATGCTGCACAGGCCGTGACCCAAGCATACCCAAACGGCTACGGCAAAGTCGAAACACTTGGGTCACTGGGTGTCGCAGGATTCTTGCTCGTGGGTGGCCTGGGTATTGGTTGGTCTTCTGCTGCGCATGTCTTGAATGATTTGTTTGGGACACACATCGATGCACACTCGCACACGGCTGTTGATCCAAATGCTCTCTGGCTGTGTCTTGCATCGCTTGCCGTTAAAGAATGGCTGTACCGCGCCACTATGAAGATTGCCATTGAGCAACGATCAGAATTACTCAAGGCTAATGCGTACCATCACCGTATGGACTCATTGTCTTCGCTTGTTGCGACAGTGGCAATCGGTGGTGTTTGGCTATGTGGATGGACTTGGCTCGACCCAGTCGGTGGATTACTGGTTGCCTTGACTATCCTGAATGCCGCTTGGCAGACTGCACGAGGTGCATTGACTGAGTTGGCGGACGAGAGTATCGATTCCACCACGCGCGCAAAACTCACAACGGCAGCGGAGGAAAGTGTAGAAGCATTGGGCATTGCTGCCGTGAAGCAGGTGTTGGGTGTGCAGGGGCACAAGTCTGGCCCTAATTATGTGATTCAAGTGGCTATGGCTGTGGAAGGCAGTCTGCCAGTCAAGTCGTGCAATGAGATTGAGGAGCTTGTGGGCAAGTACATGATTGAGCATGTGGATGGCGTGAAGCGGGTGGATGTCAGGTTGCTGGATGCCAAGAAGGAGCATGTTGCCTGGACGAGTCTTGACAAGACCATTGTGGAGGATGCTCACCATGGCCATCACCACCACTAGGGCCTTTCTCCCTGGACCTTTCTTCTTCTCTCCCTCTAGATCTTGGACATAGACAGATAGCTTTTTGCTATATGTGACTGCAGCGCAGGAGTCGGAAATAGAAATTCAGAAAAATGACCTCAGAAGAAGCAGCAGCTCATCAGTATTCACTGCTACTCACCCTCTCTACTCTGTAAAGCTCATCTGTGCAGTACGGAGGCAGCATCTGTTAGCAGTAGTACACTCGCTCGTTCATCTATACAAAGAACGAACACTAATCGGCCCCCGCGCATGTCTGCCGACTGCCAGCACGTCTAGTCTTCAATCACAACACAAACACCCCTTGCCAAAGCTTGATTGATCTATTCATCTGTCCATTCACCAGATCGCATGGAAAAAAGGAGCTTCGAGTCAGGCGACACGTCAAAAGAGCCTAGCGACGGCACAGCCTATCAGCATGAACCAAAACAACCGAGACCCGGCTCGCCTGCATCCCAACAAGACACAGATGCGCACGCTTTTCGTGACCGCAGTGGTAGCAATCACAGCAAAGTGAGCAGAGCCAGCAATAAGCAGTCAAGGACCCAGCAGTACGCTGAACAAGATGCAGAGAATATACGCGCTGCAGAGCGAGATGCATCGCGTATGGCAGCGAGTCGCGTGCGGACCGGTTCGATGCGTCCCAACAACCACGGAGACCTGGAGAAACACCAGGAAGACGATAACGATGATACTTTGCATGAACATGATGGCGATTCATTTGATGCACGCGCTGATCGACCTGCACATATGCCCATGTCGAGTCGTATGCGGCCTGCAAAGAGACCACTGACGGCACTGGGTAAGATTTTTAGTTGGATTCACAATTTCAGTACGGTGACGCGTTGGTTCCTCTACATCACGCCCGTTGCCCTCATTTTGCTCATTCCCATTTTGGTTGGTGCATTGAAGCGGACTGTGGATGGTCAGCGACTTAGCGTTGCTGGTGTTGACCTTGAGTGGTTTGCTATCTGGTGGATGATCATCTGGCTCACCCTCTGGGCCGGCAAATTTGCTGCAAAACTCGTTCCCTATATTGTTGGTCCAGTCTTCAGCATCTTCACCAACTCCTACAAGAAGTGGCGAGATTTGGCTATTGCACTGAGTGTACCTCTCAGTCTCTTCTTTTGGTGGCTTGGTATCTACATCTCCTTTTTGCCGATTGTCGAGGGACATCAAATTGGCTATACAGGACGTCAAGATTGGCAAACAACACTGAACCGCATCATCCTTGCAGTCTTCATCGGAACGTGCCTCAATTTGGTTGAAAAGTTTTTGATGCAACTCGTTGCAATTGGCTTTCACCAGCGTCAGTATGAAGACCGTATTGTCCTCAACAAGTTTCAAATTGCATCTTTAACAAAACTTTATCGCTACTCGCGCGAAACAGACCGACTTGCCGTGGACAATGACATGGCAGACGATCAGCAACAAGCACTGTCAGGGTCAGGCACACGTACACCCAACGCCGCACTCAATCTCGCTGGACGTGTTGTTCAAAAGACGGCACGTGATGTGGTGGGTCGTGTTGCTGGTGAGTTGGGTGGCAAACGCATGGAGCACTCCACCTCACCTCGACAAATGGTGCTGGCTTTGTTGGAGACGACTTCTGGTGCACAAACACTGGCAAGGCGATTATTCAAGTCCTACTCGAGGGATGGACGCGAGTTTATTCAGCGCGAGGAGATGCGTGATGCTTTTTCGGAGGATGAAGAGGCAGATGCCAGCTTTAGCATGTTCGACAAGGACTGGTAAGATCTGACAAAGTTTGCTATACTGACTAACACCAGGAATGGCGATGTGACCTGTGAAGAAATGGAGATTGCCTGTGTTGAGATTGGCAAGGAGCGCAAATCCATCACGGCATCCCTCAAAGACCTTGATCACGCCGTCTCCAAACTCGACGACATTTGCACAGTCGTGGTGGCGGTAATTGTGGTGCTCATCTTTATTGTCCTCATCTCTCGCTCCTTTGCTGGTGTCCTGACATCTGCCGGAACGACCCTCCTTGGCCTTTCTTGGCTGTTTTCCCAGCTTGCTCAAGAGTTTTTGGCCAGTATTGTGTTTGTATTTGTCAAACATCCCATGGATGTTGGCGACCGTGTTGATGTACTCATGAACGGTGAAGTGCAGTCTCTCATCGTCAAGGAGATCTCACTTATGGCCACGGAGTTCAGGAAACTCGATGGCCGCATTGTTCAAGCACCAAACAATGTTCTCAATCAGCTCTTCATCCTCAATATGCGAAGAACAGGCGGTGTTGCCGAAGGCGTACCAACGACGCTACGCTTTGGCGTGTCTATCGAACTGATCGATGCCCTGCGACAGAGCATGCTTGAGTTTGTTCGCTCCGAGCCGCGCGACTACAAACCTGATATTCTCACCGAATTGACGGATATCCCAAACTTGACGGCCGTCAAACTCACCATCATCTTCTTTCACAAGCAGAATTGGCAGAATGAGGGATTGCGTATCGGTCGACGCAATAAGTTCATGTGTGCGCTCATGGTCAATGTCCAGCGTCTCGGCATTGAGAGTTCCATCTACAATGGTCCTGGTGGTACTATGAATACACCCATGTACATCTCCTACCCACAGAGCGGACAACAGCCTGGCGTGCAATCGTTTAATCCTCATGGCCAGCCATTCAACCCATTGACTTCTAATAAGGAACAAAATGCAGCGATTGATCAAGTGCTCAGTCCAAGCAACGACTGCGCTGTCGACGATGACTGGCAAAACGAGTCTACTGCACAGGGACCTTCATCAGCCCTGCCGGATAATTACCGCCCCACGCAAACTCCCATGTCGCGTCGTCGCGGTCCCGGTGTTGGTCGTCAATCTAGTGTCACGCAGCATATGGCCAAAGTCGACTACTCCCTGGGCGCTACTGACTTTGCACAATCTGCCGCCAATGACTTCTTTGAGGAGTCTCAAGAACGTGGCTTGGCAGCTGTCCTTGAAGTTGCTGAAGAAGCAGAAGAACGAGCACAAAAGGAACGTTTTGAGCGTGATAAGGCGATGCGCAAGTCAAACTCTCGCGCGCGAACATCATCCGACTTGCCAGGTCCGGCAACTTCAGGAAATAACTTGCAGCGTTCCAACACAGGGCTCTCACAACTGAGCTCTGCTGGTACAACACGACGAAACAGGTTCAGGTTGATGGGTGGTCGTGGCGGCAATATCAATAGTGCTCGAACGATGCTTCAATTTGACGAAGAGGCGCAATACCCACTTGCTGGTGATGCAAACGGCGGACCCCTTGACCGTCTACGCTCCAATGAGTCTGTTGCATCCGCTGGCAGATCTTCCTTTGAAAGACGTGGATCCATGCTGTCACGCCTTGGTCGACAACGCACAAACAATACACAGGCTCCACCGGAATCACCTGCTATTCAGACTCCACGTCCAGTGCCAAGTGCCTTGCAGACTGAGCGACGCGATATGAGTGTCATCATGGAGAACCCGGCAGAGCTTGCCTTTTTGCGCGAACAAGTCGCTCGAACCCCTTCACCGGGATTGGAAGAGAAGACAATGCCCACCACGACAGCAGCGACGTCGCACCGGCAAAGCTTGCCTCGCATCATCACTCAAATACAGCCCGAACGAAGCCTTTCACCAAAGACACCTCAGCCATGATGTTGCAGAGGTTGCTAACACAACAAAAAACGATTCATGATAGATGAGAAATGATTAGACGCGTTACGATTGCTTTCTGATAGAACGATAGACTACGCATTCGTATGATCCTTTGTGAAAGGCTGGCCAATGCACGATGTGCCTAGAGCTCGTTTAAAGCTTGTACTTGCGGCGGGTCCGTCGTGCCAATCAAGGATCGCGGGATGTACAATCCGCCGCATTGACCGCGTTCTCCATCTATGCATATATGATATATGTTAGTGCTTGATCAGACGTCGGCTCACCGTTTCCGCGAACAGACAAGCAGCTCGTAGTCTTCGTACAAGAGACTATGGAGGTGTGTGTCGGACCGCCTCGGACATCATTGCTTGGTCGCCGAAGTTTTTGACAGCCCGACAGACAAAGCTGCATAAGCTGTGCAGATCAGTTTGAAAGTCAAATCTTATGTGCCAACTTCACTGCCAAGGCTTCGGCTGACATGCACGGGCTACCGAGCGAGCCTGACAGAAGCAAAAGCTCCAATATCAAGCTTGAAGAAGATCCAAATATGTATCACAGAGACATCACTAGGCTGTTCAAATGCAGCGCCCTAAGACAAAGCCTCGTAGACTCGTAGGCCAGTGCTGAGCACTGCTGGGCAGTGCTGGCATGAATCCGTTCCGCTTGCAGGCTGCAGCTCGAATTCGAGTCTACCGGTGAGGCCCCACAGCTAAGGGCAGGTGTTAATTCGGACTTTCTTATTCTTCCATGACCGAGACTGCCAAACGTTAATATCATGACGCACATATGGACGCCCGGCGACCGCTTGGTCCGGTGCTTCTGTGTGACGTGACTGACTTCCGGCTGGATGCGAGATGATCGATGCGTTGGCGGCGTTGCACAACATTTGTCAGCCTTCGGAGTGAGCAGTCAATTGCAACGAGTATTGGAGAAGCAGCAGTCTAAACGTTCGACTGAGGACGAAAAGAATTACGTGTATTCATTGATTCATTATAGAGATGCTATCAGAGTGTGCTGTGCTGTCAGGAAGCATGTTGTCTCTACAGGCGCAGCGTTGTCTTCAAAGCATCAAGTGCACGTCTCTCCTCTGACCACCTACCTGGAGCAGGGCGCGATGTCTCTAAAGTGGCTTCGTCAGGGAACGAGGGCAAATCGACAAAGCTGGAATTGGAGCCAGTGCGGCGATGCGCACTGCTCGAACGACTGCTCTCCGTGCTTGGGAACAGTGATCCATGTGCACTTTGCATAGGTAGGCCCCTGGAACCATAGCCAGCATCGTATGGCCCAACCTGGCCAGCAGGGTAGGGCGCGTGCATGGGGTAGGATCGTCCAGCGTGATCGCCAACAAGCTGTCGTCCACGTTCAGCTTCTGTGTTGGCAAATACCATCACAGGGCTCGTGTGCAAGGAGGATATCGCATGTCCTGATCCTTGTTGATATCCCGGGGGGCCTGAGGGGCCTGAGGAGGTCATGACTGGAGAGAGTCTCGCTCCAGCAGAGTGTGGTGGCCCTTGCATGCGGTCGTATGGTCGAGCGGTGTGACGCATGGGTGGCGACACATGAGCCAGGCGAGCGTTGGGTATCGCATGTTGTGCATGAGGAGGATGTGGCTCTGCAATTTGTCGGTAATGGGAGTCAATCGAGGGCGAGACTGTACCAGACGAATGGCCATAGTGGTAATTCGAAGGATGTACATGCTGCACAGGCTGTGGACTAATGGTTTGGGATGGACCCGATGTCTGGGGCTGCAATAGACGCAACACACTGCGTGGGGCCTCTTCATATGCAGCAGTCTCTGGGTACAGACCCTTGGGAATCTGTACGTGTGCTAGTGAGTGGTCCTTGGAAGGGATGGGAAGATCTTGTGAGGCGTTCGTTGAGCGAAGCGTGTACGAGACGAGATGAAGGCGCTGGCCTTCTGTCGTAGTGATGGAAAAGGATTGCTTGACCAGTCCGTCAGGCTTGTATGCATACCCATCCACTCCATCGCCAGAGTCGTCTGACTCTTCCCTTGGCGGCGACTTGCCTGTCGCAATGCGTTTGCTGGCAGGACCACCCTTACGTCCGTCCATTTCGCGGTACATGAGGAAAGGCCCGGCAACTCGCGAGGCGCTCCAAGCTTTACCATCTGTCCAGCGACGCATACCAGCTTCGCGCTCATCCCACACAAATACACTGCCGTGCTTGATGCCGGCTCTTTCGCGATCACTCAAGCGGCGTTGTATCTTGGGCAAGACGCCCTGACGACAGGCCTCAAACAAGATCGTGGCATCCGCAGGCGTGCGGATCTGTCCAACGTACGTCTGCATGAGGGACGACTCAGGTGCCAGTGGAAAGGTATCGTGCTATTCTTAAAAATATTGATGTCACTTGCAGAGGATGCTCTGCTACTTGTAGTCCAGTCAACTGTAGGTGCTTTGTACAGGAGTCGCCGTCGACTGAGGATGCGTTCCTACGGGACAAGGCCTGATCGGGCAGGCCTTCCTATAAGTAAGCGGCCCTCGTCCAGGAGATGCGTATTCCTGACGGGGCCGCCCAGAAAGAAGGATCTGAGCTTTGGGAGGCTCGCGCTGAGCTGCCAAGCCGGCAAGTGTCTACTTCGAGCCCGGAACCACACGGTCCACACCATCGCCCGTGGCGTTTTGGGCAGTTTCTCTCGGGCGGATTTTTTTGCTTTGCATGTGCCCTCGCAGACTCGCAATCCCGCAGTCTACGTCAGCACTAAGCAGCGGCATCCAGGCTTCCTACGTGTCCTATAGCTCTCTTGTCTGATCGCTGCAAAACGCTCGGACTTTGAATGGAAGAGCACCCAGAGTCTCGAATGGGCTGCTCGGGAAGCTCGAAACGGCAGTGTAGCATTGCATCCCTGAAAACGCGTATGCATGGCCGGCAACTCTGCTGCCCCTGATCCGGTCTTCCTACTTTTGCGACTGATATCTCTTCAGCTCGGCCAGCATAGCTGAACTGACACTGTAGCTGTGCTCATTTTGACTGCGACAAGTAGCAACTACTAGCAAAGTCGTGACGCCAGCCGGTCGGAGCTGTCTCAGCCGGTCTGACATCTTTCAAACTTTGCGAACGCTATGCTTGAAGGGGCTCAGCCCCCTGCCCTGCTTGTTCGTCATGTCACCTTACTCAGTGTCACCTTAGCCTACATGCATATGCTTACCATAAGGTAACAAGAACTATGGTCTAGCCGCAGGCTTCAAGTGCCAGACATGCATTGTTTGCGACCATACTGCAGGCTACAGGCTGCAGCTGAGTCTGAGCTGACTTAACAGCCTAACAGGTGCGAATCTCAACGTTGGGCAAAATTTGCGAGACACCGCGACTTTGGTTGCAATTGATAGGCTATCCCACGGACTCGCTGTATTCGCCGGGACAAGGTCAACAATATGCGCCCAGAGTCGAGCTCAATTCGGTACATCATACGGATCATAGTACTCCAGAGTCCATACCTCCTTGAATCCCTTGATCTTGCAGACCATCAATGTGATTTTGACATATTTTTGTGGGACCGAGTGCTCGGACCATGTCTCATGAAAGCAGGCCAGCTTAGCCAGCCGTCGTATAGCGTGCGGCATACGACTTTGAGAACTCATTTGATGCATGCGTCGACTTCTCTACAACAATGATCTTGCCACGGTGCACTTCCTTGATCGTGCACACTGCACAGTGCACACCGAGCAGCTGACCCGTCGACCCATAATTCAGGAAGTTAAAGAACATCACATTCAGCTCGAGATTCCCATGCTGGGGAAGCATGATCTGCCTAACCTGCAGGGCATCTCAGCGCGGCGTCGGAAGCGCACGCTATGCCAAATGTTAACCTTATTTTCTCGCTTGGGCCCTGCCGGCTGCCGCCCAGCTGAATGCGTCATGAATTCAAGTTGGCGGATGCCAAACTGCACCGCAAAGTCAAGGCGAGCTTAACTCTATCTGATTGTAAAAGCAAGCTAGCGCGCTATGAGCCCATGGCTTTTGATGCTTTGAGGCTTTGACCATGTACACGCGAGTCAGGTGCGTGCACTTAGTCAGTCACCTAGTGAGTCGGCCTCTCAGCTGCATAAGAATGAGAACCACGGTTGAGAGGATCAGGTTGAGCTTGACAGCGAATGCATACTAGTGGCTAATCACCTGCGCATAGGCGCGCTGTCTTTCAGCAACCCATGCAAGACATGCTCAGGCGCAACCTGGATCCGGGCTTTCTTTGAAGAATGGGATTGCACGTCGATGACTGGTGTTCAGTGGTGGAGTCAGTTGTTACTTGATAGCGGAACGCCGCCGGTACCGTCTCCTCTGAGTCCTCTTGCTCTTCTGCATCCGAATAGTCTGAACATCTGCTGAATCAATGCTGATCTTCTCGTGGGACCCGCTGCGCTTGCAATTGCGGGTTTGAATCGCTTCCCCTGGTTCCCCACGGTCGGAGAAAAGGAAGAACCCACAATTTCATTTAAGGAAGCTCATCTATTCTATGAAATTGTGGCATGTCCCGGGGATTCTCAATAAGTGATAGGCTGTGGACCGGTGGTTGGACCTTAAGCGCTTCCCCACTAGTTTTTGAAAATGTACAAGGCTAGCGCTACGGATTTATGCTGCCAGCGTCCAGGGCTGTTGCAGATTAGATTGGCGGCTGCGAGCAATCAGAGTGTCAGAGCCAAAGTCAGAGTGTCACAGTCAGAGTCTGTCAGACGGTCTCATGCAAAACTGAGCCAGTCACTCGCAGTCAGAGAGTACGACCCGTGAGTTCAGGATCAAGTTCTGGGGCACTGATTGTACTGTACTACTGTAGCCACTAGCAAGTGCTCTATTCAATGTGGTTGCATCTGTAGTATGACTCGATACAGCCTCCTATCCGAGAGAGCGGTGCCGTCAGCCTGCCCACCTACGGCTGTCAGACACTTCCTCTCTGTGCAGCTCTTGATGAATGAATCTCACTAAACGTCCGCAAGCCTCGAACCCTTCCTTGGTCCGAGGATATGGCCTCTTGTCGTCTGATTATGATCCAGAACGCCGACATGTTGCACATTTTGACGGGTGCGCCCATCTGAATGTCTTAGCAAACGCTTCGATGACCGACGTTGCAGCAGTCGCTGTCGCCCTTGTAGCTCAGTGATATGCATCGCTCTCTCGCGCAGCAAACTTGATCTTGCTCTGTGCTCTTGAAGCTTATGTGACTGGCTTTCTCCTCATATCTCGCAGCAGCTGAGCTGTGCAACTACCGGAGAGAAAGCAAGACCAATTGCAATGTCGAAGCACGATTTCCGACATCCTTACACGCCCTATGCGATACAGCTTGACTTTATGCAAGAGCTATATGAGACGCTAGATGCTGGTAAAATCGGGATCTTCGAGTCACCTACCGGCACGGGCAAATCGCTGAGTCTGATTTGTGGTTCTTTAGCCTGGCTACGTGATCAATCCGTTGTGCTGCCCTTGACGGAAGCACAAGGTCAGACATTCGAGGGAGGAGGACGGGGCTGACTGAATAGGAAATGAACCGGCTTGGATACTGGAGCAAGAGCGAGAAAATGCTATAAAGGCGTATGAAGAGAGGCAAAAGGAGATGAACCAAAAGCTGTCACGAATACGTCAAAAGGAGCGGGCCGCTAGGAAAGGAGCCTCACAGCGCAACAAACGACAAGTGAGCTACTTTTGGTGATGCTCACATTGCTGACCATAGAAAATGGCTGCAAAGAGTGAATCACTGGCAGAGGAAGACTTCCTAGTACCAGACTACGACTCTGATGACAGCAAAATCTCGAGTGTCGCAAAGCCAGTTTTCTCTGCAGAGGTTGAAAAGCTACTTGAGCAGATGGGACACCCTTCTGTAGCCCAAGAGGGTGACAAAGAAGACGATTACCCGGTTGCACGAAAAATCTTCTTCGCAAGTCGCACACATTCACAATTGTCGCAATTTACCCACGAATTACAACGCGTCCATCTAGATGGCGACGACTCTGTCAAGCATATATCCCTGGGATCACGCAAGAACTTGTGCATTCATCCAAAAATCTCTAAACTCTCCCCAGAGAATTTGAACGAAGCATGCCTCGAGTTGCAGGATGGAAAAACTGCTCAAGACCAGAAGTGCAAATTTCTTCCGCTAACAGAGAGCCTCAAGCAAGATTTCCGAGACAGGGCTTTAGCAACTATTCAAGACATCGAGGATCTCGCCCAACTCGGCAAAGAGTTGCAAGTTTGTCCTTACTACTCCAGCAGACTGGCTATCGCTCCCAGTGAAGTCGTCACTATGCCGTACCCATTGCTCTTGAATAAGACGGCTCGAGAATCACTTGGCGTTGATTTGACGGATCAGGTTGTCATAATTGACGAGGCTCACAATCTGGTGGATGCGGTTGCCAGCATCTCTTCTGCTAGCATCAGTCTCGCACAGCTCGAACGGGTCGAGGTGGCATTAAACATATACTTGACCAAGTTTGCAAGACGACTGAATGGTAAGAACAAGATGTACATTCAGCAATTGGTCATGCTGTCTCGAGGCATTGCCAAGGCACTCACATCTTGCAAGAACAAGAGAGACGGTCAGCTCACCCCAGCAGACCTCTTGACTGGGTCGTCTGATACAATTAATATATCCAAGATCTCTGCCTACTTGACGTCTTCCAAGCTCGCACGCAAAGTGGACGGCTATTCTCAGTCAATCATATCAGATGAGAACAAGGTCATCAAGACGACCCCAGTTCTGACGCTTCTTCAAGGGTTTCTGGAGTGTCTGGCGAATCCATCCTCTGAGGGACGCTTCTTCTTCGAGACGAGTCAAGGCAGTGTGGTCGCTAAGTATATGCTCCTCGATCCATCACATGTCTTTGCAGCAGTTGTCGAAGAGGCCCACAGCGTTATCCTGGCTGGTGGCACCATGGAGCCCATGGACGACTACATCAATCTCCTCTTTCCATCGCTTCGTCCGCGTGTCAGTAAGTTCTCTTGCGGGCACATCATACCAAAGGAAAACCTGTCTGCCATGGTGCTCTCGTCGGGCTCGGCAGGCCAGTCGTTTGAATTTAACTTTGAGCGCAGAAGCAATCAAGCCATGCTCGAAGACCTTGGTCGAAGCATTCGGAATTTGCTTGGCATCATTCCAGATGGGGTAGTTGTCTTTTTTGCAAGTTATGCCTATCTAGAGCATGTCTTGGATGTCTGGAGGCGACCAGAACTAGGCATCTATGAACAAATCAGCGCCAAGAAGCCAATCTTCCTTGAGCCCCGAGACGGCTCCGTGGACGAGATGCTTCGAAATTACACTCTATCGATAGAGTCCAACAAAGGTGGCGTTCTCTTTGCTGTTGTCGGAGGTAAGATGAGTGAGGGGATCAACTTTAGCGATCGGATGGGTAGAGCCGTCATCATGGTCGGATTGCCTTTCCCCAATCCGAATACTGCAGAGTGGAAGGCCAAGTTGGCATACATGAGTCAGGCGGCGACCGACAGGCATCTGCTAGAGAACACAAACTCGACTCGCGATGAAGCGCAACGCGTGGGTAAAGAGGCCGGGCGAGAATTCTATGAAAATGCCTGCATGCGTGCAGTCAACCAATCAATTGGCAGAGCCATGTATGTTTATGCCGATGCTTGACACTAGCTAACAGCAGTCGCCACAAGGGAGACTATGCGGCCATTATTTTGCTGGACAAAAGGTATGGTCAGGAGCGAATCCAGAAGAAGCTGCCGAACTGGATCAAGACTGGACTTCGAACAGAACCTCTCTCATTCTCCCAGTGTGTCTTGCAGTCTGCAAGCTTCTTCAAAAAGCCGGCGCAAAGCAGCATCGGCTAGCATGTCATAGCATTTCAGTCTATCTACCACCATCTCTCTGTTTGGACCATGTCCTTGGGTACGCCTTCTTTCAACAAGAACTCTTGCGCCCAGTCTGTCATCTTGGCAGGACCGCAGACATAGAACAACGTGTCTTCTTTGCCTTCGGAGACTGCTTTAGCCAAATCCTCCTCCGTCATACGTCGCTCATAGATCGCGCCTGGCAAGCCTTCCGTGTCTGCAGACTGTGATGAAAATAAGCGCAGCTTAAGATCACTCTCTTTGACAAACTTATCCAAATCGTCCAGATACAGTGCCATATCTGCAGATTTGAAGCCATACAACATAGTCACCCGCAAAGGCGCCTTGGCGTCACGAAGGGCTCCCAGGATGCTCATCATTGGATTTGCTCCAATACCACCAGCAATCAATGTGATGCCACGCACTTGTCCAGCAAGTCTTCGAAAGTTGACGGGAGGGAACGTGAATTGGCCTCCAACGCGGACCTCTACCGTTTGCTTGTTGACGAGTTGATCAACAGGTCTCCAGAGCCATTTTGCACTGAGGTCAGCTAGATGAATACGGGGAACATGACTCACGGAGGATTGCGCTCTGCTTTTTGCACGGCGAGACGAAAAGTTCCTTGCAAGCCTTGTGCTGGCGTAGAGACAATGGTAAAGCCTCCTGCCTGCTCACTCGCAGGCGTAAACCTGACATGAGCTTTCATCCAAAGGACGCTGTGTGAGCATACGTATCGACCCACTGACCCGCCTTGAACTTGAAAGGTCCCGGTGGGTTTTGTATCGTAAAATCAATGAGTCGGACATCCTGAGTAGCTTGTGTGATGCCTGTAATCTGCTTGGTCAGCAAGCTTTCGAGATGTTCACTGAGCATACAAGGGCATTTTGCATTGCTGGTGCCCTGGGCTCTTGCACAGTCCGTTGTTCATGCGATGTAGGGGCATCTGATGCAGCTGTAGCCATGTGACGACACTTTACAGCGAGGCCTTTACAGCTGATTGAGCTAGTGAATGATGGTACAGCTTGAGCCATTTTTATACGTACAGAGAGCATCCTTGTCAAGCTGTTCGCAAAGTAACGATTCACACGTCTCTTCTCTGGTGCTTGTAGCTGTTCAGCACGGCTATGCTCGTATGAGAGTTGAGCGAATTACAAAGTTGCGTGTAGATGTGACGTACGATCGTCCAGCTAGGGTTTAGCCGAGTCAGGATTGTATTTTGGTAGCCAATGTTTTGGGCTGTCCATCAGGTCCCATACAACGGAGGCAAGGCTGCAGGCAAATAAATTTGCTCATGGCAAGTAAGCAATCGTTGCATGCAGCAGGCAATGTTCAAGTGCATGGACGATGTGATCTAGGCTAACACTCGAGCAGCAGACGCTCGCTGGTGGCACTAAACAGCCTGACTTCCGTGTGAGCCGTTGTACGTGGAGATGAGGTAGCCTCAAGACACAAACATCCCGAAGTCGTGTCTCTACAGACTCCATCCTTCTAGGCTGTCAGTCAACTTGCCAAGAATTCGCAGTGGGTCGCCTCATTCCTTCGGTCAGGGGCAGCGGGTCTGGCGGCATTCGTTGGCCACCCCGCGATTTTGAACTCCACACCGGCAGATCTACAGCCAGCAGCAAGCCAGAAGCATAAAAGGGCAGCAGAGGCCCAACCTACTTGATTCTTCAACTGTTCACGGGATCTCTCTGCAAGATGCTGTCGAAACAACTCAAGCCTACAGCCCAGCGTGCTTTGCGTCAATTCAGCACAACCCGTGCGGCCAATCTCAAGGTTCTCGCCGTATACTGTAAGCTTCTTGACATGGTCTTCACAAAGCCTTGCTGACAATCACAGACAAAGGCGGATCGCATGCAAAGGAACAGCCCAAATTGCTGGGTACCATTGAGAATCAGCTTGGCATTCGCAAATGGCTAGAGGATAAAGGTCACACTTATGTCGTCACGGACGACAAGGATGGTCCTGGCAGCAAGTTTGAAAAGGAACTGCATGATGCTGATATTGTCATCTCGCAACCTTTCCATCCAGCTTACATGACTCGTGAGCGTTTCCAAAAGGCCAAGAACTTGAAGGTTTGCATCACGGCTGGAATCGGCTCTGACCACGTTGACCTCAACGCTGCCAACGACCACAAAGTTGGTGTCTATGAAGTGACTGGCTCCAATGTCGTCTCTGTCGCTGAACATGTCATGATGACCATCTTGGCGCTTGTCCGCAACTACAACCCTGCACATGAGCAGATTCTCGCAGGTGACTGGAATGTGGCTGCTGTGGCCAAGCACTCGTACGATTTGGAGAACAAGGTCGTCGCTACTGTGGGTGTTGGTCGTATTGGAGAGCGTGTGCTTCGTCGTCTGAAGCCATTTGACTGTAAAGAGTTGCTCTACTACGACTATGCTCAATTGGACCCAAAGATTGAGAAGGAGATTGGTTGCCGTCGTGTTGAGTCGCTTGAGGAGATGGTTGCTCAGGCAGATGTGGTCACCATCAATTGCCCACTTCATGAAGGCACCAAGGGTCTATTCAACAAGGACCTCATCTCCAAGATGAAGAAGGGCGCGTACCTCGTCAACACTGCACGCGGTGCGATCTGTGTTGCTGAGGATGTTGCCGATGCAGTCAAATCTGGTCACCTGGGTGGCTACGGTGGAGATGTTTGGCCAAGGCAGCCAGCACCCAAGGATCACCCTTGGCGCTCCATGTTTATCAACGGCGAGAAGGAGCGTGGTGGCAATGCCATGACCCCTCATATCTCTGGTACATCCCTTGATGCACAGGCTCGCTACGCAAAGGGCACCAAGGATATCTTGGAGAACTTCTTCAATGGCTCTGCACAGCGTCCCTCGGACATCATCGTGGAGAATGGCAAGTATGCTAGCAAGGCGTACGGCGAGCGAGAGAAGTTGAAGGAGAAGGAGAAGGACTTCCAGGCCTATGCCGAGCGAAGCAACATCTCGTAGCTGTAGACGTCCTTAAGTAAATGAAACATGACCCATGCGTTCCATCTGGCTGCAGTTCTCCGTGGGAAATCAATTTTGAATCTCAAACAGCAGCAGCAGCAGCAGCAGCAGCACAAACAGCGACAACAGGCCCGACCAGTTCACGCGTCGCTTCCCTCCTTAGCCACCCAAAGGGCACTCAGGCGGCTCGTGTGTGGTTGCAGGCCGCGGTGAGTGAGTCAGCTGGTCATTGCCCACACAGTGCAGGTCTGACAACACCGCATCGACGTCTTATCCCTTTTGCGATTACTACAGGTATAGTCCACACTCCACACCAAAATTCCCCATTTTTCTCCCTCTTGTCCGGGTTGATCCCTGATGCGGCCGATCTCGGAAGGCGACATGAGCCCCTGAATCCATGAAAAAGGCGGCAGTCTATCCGAATTTGAGGAGACTGGAGATTCGGAGCATGACCTCTTGCATCGATCATGCGCAGGCGCACACCCTGATGTCGTCTAAAATAGGACACGCATCTGGCGACGGGAGCTCAAAGGGTTTTTTGGAACTCTCATCATCCTGCTAACAACAAGACTAGAATGTCTGACGCTTCTAAGAATGCCGCATCTGCGGCGACCGGTGCTGCGCATCGTTACAGAGCGTCTGCGGATTTCACCAATTTGCATGCATTTAGCCCCTTGTCCAGCAGGTGAGAATACTCTGGTCATGCCATCAACGACTGACATACAGGTCTGCGCGGCCGTCGTCCATGATGTTTGAGCAGGGCACACCATTGAAGAGCACCCATGAAAGTATGGTTCTTCCTAAACTGGTCATGACTAACAGCTAGCTCAAGTGTATGACAACTGGCTCAAGGATCTATCGCACTATCAGAAAACTCTGGAAGAGATGTACAGTGCTTCACTTGATCAGAACTTCAAAGAAGAGCTTGGCGCCATCGAGCAGTGGTTCCGCGTGCTCAGTGAAGCAGAACGTACAGCAGCGCTGTACACGCTTCTGCAACAAGCAACGCAGGTTCAGATTCGCTTCCTGATCATGGTTCTACAGGAGAAGGCACGCGCTGATCCAATGAGTGCTGTTTTGAGTCCAGCCAACTTCAACAAGGATGCCATGTCGCAGAATATGAATTCAGCCATGCAGCAGCTCAGCCTTGGGAAGCACTCGCCATCACCCAGTCTTCTCCGGACAGAAGAACAGGGCAATCGGGCCATTTCGCAGATGTTCCCAGATGCAGCTGCGGCCCTTGCCAATCAACGTGCCGAATTGCAGCGAAAGCGCTCGCTTTTCGTCCCTGGACAGGCTAGCGTCTCTACGCCAAGTATTGACTTGACGCTTGCCAAATCACTCAAGGACGATGCCGTCAAGTCTCCATGGACTCCATCGTTCCGAAAAACGCTCGATGGGCCTGAACGTCCTAAATCCGCAGAGCCCACCAAGACCGCTTTTCCACGATCCGCGTCTCTCTCGATGGGCACACCCCTGAGATCGCAAAGGACCGACTTGAATGCAACGAGTATGCCGTATTCGCCATTCGACTCCGCTGCACCGAGCGGGTCGTGGGCGTCCATGACGAATACCCCAGCCACTGCCATGTTCCCCACTGAAAGCCGACAAAGCGACGCCTTGCAGCAACGACTTGCAGCTGTCAATCAGTCTATGATGGCCGATGGTGCAGTCAATGGTAGTCCACGCGTTGTGCTCGAAAGTGACGTCCGCAAATTCCGTCGTGCAACACCTAAATCTCCTGCTGGCGACTTGTTGTCGAGTGCGCATGGTTCGCCCATCATGATGTACGACGATGATGGACAACTCATGTCGCCTCAAGCTGCACAGCAGTATGCATCGCCCTTGGTGCAGCGGATGAACGCATCGCCGGCGAATGCGTCCACCCCACTCATGCCCATCCTTGGCAACGCCCGTGCTTCGAGCTTGAGTATGGCGTCTGGTGCAATGAGTAGCTGGACAATGAGTCCCGGGTCCAATGCGAGCTTTATGTTTCCTACGAGTAGTCCTGCACAGACAGCACGGGACGGTTCATTCAGTCCTGAGGTCGAAGGCGGTCGTCGACGATCGTCTGCAACGAAGCAAGTGGAAGATCCAACCGACCCGAAATTGCTTGCAGATATTCCAGCTTGGTTGAGGCAATTGCGTCTTCACAAGTACACCGACAACCTCAAGGATCTGCGCTGGCAAGAGCTGGTGCACATGTCTAGCGATGATTTGGCTGCAAAGGGCGTGTCTGCTCAAGGCGCTCGCAACAAATTGCTCAAGAGCTTTGGCGAAGTCTTGGAGGCAGTCAAGTCTGGCAAGCTCAAGGAGTGATGCGCCTATTTAATCACTCGTGTTTATACCTTCTTTATTGCGTCCTCTGGGCATCTTTTAAATCAGCTTCGTATTTAACGTATGATGGTCTCAATCTTGTGTGAGTCAGAGATTCGCCAAGGGAGATGCAAGGCTTCCCGTACTTCACTCTGACTTTTCCCGAGCAGGGATCTGCCAAACTCAATATAGTCGACAACTTGTACTTCCAAGAACTCATAATTCCTGACATAACGAGTGAGTGCTTCATTGTTGATGGCATCAACACTGAATAAGGCAGCATCATTCACGTCAAGCTTCGACAAGCGCTCAGAGAGCTGAGCTGACGCGCGTGGGAGGAAGGCGCCCAGTGTTTCATCGAAGCTGCTTAAAGCCGCTTGCGAGAATAGGTCTTGTCGACTGGCCAATTCGCGGCGCAGACTGGCCTTCTTGGTCGCTACTAGCAAGCGATCAGTGTCTGTGTCGGTGTCTTCTGTCTTGTCAGCCTCAGTACCCGATGCTGCCTGGGACGCTGGGACTGATAGACCGACTGCTTCATAGCAAGCCTCAAAAGACTCAAGGTAACGCGCCATACCGGTCTGTCTTAGCAGAAACTCGTGCTGTTCGACCACAATAGCCTGTCGCGATCGATCAGCAATCTCTTGAGCAGCCAACAATTGACTTTCTGCAACGTGCTCATGTGGTTTGAGCGTCTTTGTTACTGCTGTAGCACAATGTAGAAGGAAAATAGACGCCGCCGGCTGTTCGAGATCAGCGGCCATGCGCACACAAAGCTCCAGAGCTTGCTTGAGGATAGTATCAAACATTTCAGTGAAATCCGCTTGCTTGCTCGCCGTGTCGAGGAATGAGCCATCGAGCACATTGAGCACATCTGCAGTATCATTCATCGCATCCTTGAGGAAGCCAGGTGGCTGCAAGGTGTGAACATCAGCCGACGGCAATGCCACCTTGACCGCAGCCAGGTCTGTTCTGGTGAATTGCAAGAACCAATGCGTCAAGGACTTTTCAAGGGCCTTGAGCGAAGTAAGCACCTGGGCTTCCGGTAAGAGCACACGGGCGAGCAGGTCCCTGTAAAAGCGAATCAAGATGGCTGACCGATACGCCGCAAGGGTATCTTGGGTCGACATGACTACTTGGTCAATGTGCTGCTGTAGCGGTTTCATCACGAGCTGGAAGTTGCGGTCCACAAGCGAGCTGTGCACATTGGCAAAATTGAATGACAAGTCTTCCAGTGCCGGTGGTGAGAGCAGCTGTGCAGCGGACGTCCTGCGTGCTTGCTCCGTCTCGGTTGGTGCATTGTTGGCGCTACCAAGGATAACGTCAAGTACCTCCTTCTCCGAAGCGACGGCTTGATGCAGATACGCAAGCACATCATTGACAAATCGCATGGGGTCGTCACTTGCTGCCAACATGGGTCTGCCTCCTTCTCTTCCGCGATTGAGTGCCTGAGAAAACTCATTTGCAAGAATACGTTGTCGCGACCGCGAGACGTGTTCCAGGCACTGCTCAAATAGGGTTGCACGTTCGGACAAGATCATTAGAGCATGACGGAGCGTCACATTCGCCTCTGCAGCTCCAGACACTGTCGACCCGAGTTCGCGAAGAATCCAACGATGCAACTTTGCGTAGCCAGTGTCCAAGTGCTGAGACATGGCGTCCATGATGTCCTTTCCAGCAGATTGTCTGTCCGTAGCCAACAGCAAGTGACAGTCGTCGTGTATACACTTGACACGTTCGAGTGCAGCGAAAAAATCATCGTCGACTGGCTCTGACGAGGACAAGCGAAGCAATTGCTCATCTGAAATCATAAACTTGCGTTGGAATGCAAGAAGTACCGCACGCTTTTCGTGCACACGCGCGCGCTGTTGCTTCAAAAATGACGCTTGCATAATTAACTGCGACGAAGAAGCCTTGACAGTCTCTGATTCAGTCTTCATTTGGTCGATTGCCTGCCGCATAGCCTGCATATCGATCTTGGTTGAGCGCATCCCTTCTGCGAGCTGTTTGTAGTCTCGCAAGACAGCCATGTTGTTCTCAAGAATTTGCAGCGAGATGTCTGTTCCTAGACTTTGACCATCTTCAGGCTCATTGCCTGGTCGTCTACGCTCAAGCGCGTCGATAGCAGCTTTGATGTCTGCATCTAGAAAGGAGGTGGAGAGAATCTGATTTAGCTTGTGAGCTAGCGGATTGCTGGACAAGCCCAATGTAGCTGGCAGAGGAATTTTGGGCGTCTCTTCCATTCAAGCTATATCATCTTTGCCATATGCATGTCTGCAGCTGTTGGGCGTTGGCGCACTGAAGGGCTGCAGCAGCTGCTTGATGAGCGTCGTCGCGTCCAAACAACACCAGTCACAAATTGTTCGTATATTCGTACTTCATTATAGGAGCTACATTAGCTCTTAAACTAATAAACACGGACAGAAGCATCATCTGAGATGATCTGATGTTCATCGGCAGATTGCAGCGCATTGGACAAGGTCGATTCACCGCCCGGGCTCGAGATGGGCACCGTAGTCGAAGCGATGTTTTGACGTTCCCGGCGTTCATTGTCGAGTCGAACGGCCTTCTGCCAGCGCAATTCTCCTGGTGGACTGACTGGTCGAGTAGAGTTGGATGAAGTATTTGATGCAATTGTAGAGGTTGAGGCATTCGAATCGTTACGGCCAGAACGGTCTCTAGAAGGCGATGTCGGCGGTAAGGACCTGATATCAGCAATGCCCATGTGAATGCAGTCAGCGTACTTCCGCTTGCCCGTGTCAGCGGACCGTCTTTCGACAGTTTTCTCCTTCTTGCCGGTGAGCATGCGCATGAGGAGTGCCATCAATGCAAGGTCTTGGTGAGGTCCTCGTCAGGAGCAGTGTGCTGTTGTGAATGTCGGCAGGCTCAAGGGTCATTTTTAAAGATACCATCCAGAAGCAGATCTTCAGTGCGGCCTACTTATTCAGGGGAGGCTGAGTGAATGTCATCATCGCCACGACGCCGGATGTTTTAGGCAAGCAGGAAAAAGCTCACCAGAGACAAATCTCGATGGGCTGAGTCTGAGCCTGAGCAGCAAGTTAGGCTGCTCTTTTTCGGATTGCAGAGTAGTGCACACGGAGCAGGCAGTGCCAGGCACAGCTAGCGCCAATGCACCGTCTGTCGCAAGCTGCCATCTTCAGTAGCAAGTTCGCGAAATCAACTTGGAAGGCTGTGCTGCTGAGCCTCAATCAAGCCTTCTTCGACCATCTGAACGAATGGAGCTCACAACCCAGCCTGTCACTCGAGACCTGTTGCAAGAGTCCTTCGCAGGTGGTTGTCTCGTGTCTAGACCAAAAGGACTGTCCCTCCATCTAGCATCTTACGCAGGAGAAGTCGAACATCACACTAGGTCCGTTGAAGATGCAGAAAGCGCAGTCACAGCTTCTGCGCCTGGTCAACTCAGTTAGTCGACCATTGACTAGTCGCGCGCTAGTCAGACGGTAGGGAGTCCTGCTTGTCATGCCTTTACTGGGCATGTACAGCATATTCCTGATTCCTGCGTGTTCATACCGAGCGTTCGTGGTCAGAGAATGCTGGTGGGCTTCTTGTCATGTAGACAAAAGCTCTGCTCGTTGCCAACTGCGTCTGACAGGCAGATGAGGGGCGAGCTCTCGTTGCTACCAAGCATCAATTCGTGACACGGGCTCACGACAAGCTGCCGCCGGGACTGGATTACAAATGTGTTCGTTGTAAGGCGTCGCTTGAAGTTGCCGCCCGTCGGTCTCCCCAGAGATGACGACTGTCAACCGACCAAACCTTAACCTTGGAAAGCTTATAAATACCACCGTATCCGACTTGACAGATTAACAAAGCCAACACGCAGAAGATGGTCGCAATCAATGGTACAGAAGTAGGCAAGCTCGGCTATGGTGCCATGGGCCTCACTTGGCGCTCTGAGCAGACTCCAGATGCCAAAGCCTTCTCGCTCCTGCGCAAAGCAATTGACGAAGGCTGTACGTTCTGGAACCTTGGAGAGTTCTATGGTATGCCTGAGCCTACGCTCAATCTGCAGCTCTTCAAGCGATACTTTGAGAAATATCCTGAGGACCGCAGCAAGGTATTCTTGTCTGTCAAAGGATGCGTAGATCTCAAGTCTCTGCAGCCAGACAGCTCCTCGGCCAACATTCGCAAGTCGATTGAGAACAGCGTCAATACGATGGGCACGCACATTGACTTATTTGAGCCGGCTCGCGTTGACAAGAAGCGCCCAATTGAAGAGGTCGTGCACGATTTTGAGACATTGATCAAAGAAGGCAAGATCAAGTCGATGGGTTTAAGCGAGGCTTCAGCAGAGACGATCGACAAAGCAGCGTCGGCGGGCAAGATTGCAGCTGTGGAGCAAGAGTACTCGCTGTGGGCCACGGAGGTTGAGACGAATGGTGTTGTGGATGCTCTCAAGAAGCACAACATTCCACTGATTGCTTACTCTCCCTTGGGTCGAGGCTTTTTGACTGGGCAGATCAAGAGTCGCGATGATTTACCAGAGAACGATATGCGTCGCCACTTTGACCGCTTTTCTGATGAGAACTTTGACTCGAATCTTGAGGTGGCTAAGAAGCTGGAGGAGTTTGCAAAGGGCAAGGGTTGCGAGCCTTCGCAGTTGGCCATTGCTTGGGTTCTGGCGCAACAGGACGTCCTTGGTATAAAAATTGTGCCGATCCCAGGTTGCACGACTGAGGCCCGGCTGCTAGAGAACTGCAAGGGTCGAGACGTGAGCTTGTCTACGGACGAGTTGAAGGAGATTCGCGATCTGCTGGACAAGATGACCATCAAGGGTGGCCGCTACAACAAGCACATGGAGGACACTCTTTTCGCCTAGACATAGTCGTCAGGTACATGTTGATCAGGCCAGCTGCAGGACAAACATCACTCCTGCATATGTTCATGTGTTGAAACTTGAATGTGTTGAGCTCGTTTAATATGCTCAACCGGCCTCGCTTGTCGGCATCTGCCGCCATTCCCCACACTCCTCCCGCGACTAAAAACTGGACAATGGACGTGGACACCCATTCACCAAGGACCAACAGTCCAACCACGGCCTATACACCGCAGCAGCTGCTAGAACGAATAAACATGACACCAGACATTGACTCCATCCCAGCCAAGTCCCGCAACATGGCCCTCGTCGCTGAGCAAAAGGGCAGTGACCCAAAACAAACCACCGGCCAGATGGACAAGGGCTCGCCTGCTGCTGTGGCCTCGTTGGGTATGCCTACCTTTGATGATCCACTCAAGCACCGTCAATGGGCCAAAGAACACATGGCATTGGCATTCAGGTACTTGGGCAGGGAGGGATACGGCAAGGAAGGTGTTGCAGGCCACATCAGTCTTCGTGACCCCGTCAAGCCTGACCATTTTTGGCTCAATCCTTTGGCTAAACACTTCTCACAGATCTGTGTTTCGGATCTCGTCCTTGTGGATCATACCGGACAGATTGTGGAGGGAGAAGGTGGCAACAATGCACCCATCAATGCTGCTGCATTTGCTATTCATTCTGCCATTCACGCTGCTCAGCCCGATGTCATTGCTGCTTGCCACGCACACAGTATCTACGGCAAAGCATGGGCAACGCTTGGTATCGAGTTGCCAATTACAACGCAAGACTCGTGCATCTTCTACAAGGATCAAAAAGTGTACGATTCATTCGGCGGGGTGGTCTTCCAGGCTGAAGAGGGACAGCGTATTGCCAATGCCCTGGGAGACAAGCGTCTGTTGATTCTGCAGAACCATGGTTTGCTGACTGTTGGCAAGACGGTTGATGAAGCTGTGTTTTTGTTTGGTGCAGCAGACAGGCAGTGCCAGGCACAACTCGCTGCGGATGCAGCAGCTGCCGCACGCGGTATCAAGTCTATCATCATTGACGACGAGGATGCAGCATACACGCACTCCCAGATTGGTCGTTCAGACGTGCACTACATTCAATTTTCGAATGAGGTCAAGTACCTGCACGAGACGACGGGCGGATCATACTTGCAGTAGGTTCATTCAGCCTTTTTTTTTCTACTCTAGCTGCTCTTATCATTATCAAAACGATTTCTACAATGTTGCCGTCGCTAGAAGTACCAAATTCAATCGTATCGCTTCTTTGCCTCAACTTGGACGAAGTGCTCGCCATGCGCATCAACGACCATAGCCGTCAACTGACCACCGCGCACACAACGACTGTCCAAGCCGCGTGTCGTATGCCTGATATTGAGACCACGACCGGCATCATGGCCATAGACAACCGTCACTTGTTCATGCGATGGTAAATGCGACTGGGCCTTCTCCCACGCCAGGAACCAACCTTCGCCCTCCTCACGATCATCAATTGCATGACCATGGCGCGTGACATTGCGCATGTTATTCACGTCCCAACATTTCTGCTTCGCTAGCGGCACATTTGCCAACAGACCTGCATGGCAAACCAAATAGTTGCGTTTCAGGCACGAGCCCGATTTGGGAATCAGCAAAATGTACGGGAGTGATTCGAGGTAGCCTGTTTCTAATTGTGTGAGGTTCTTGGCAAGTAAGCGGTGTTCGTCGCGTCGACTCAGTCCGTCTGGTAGACGTTCTTCCTCCAGATCGGTATCCTTGCTGCGTTCCGTAAGATACGCATGCCACTGCAAGAGTTTATCGTCATGATTCCCGCGCACACATGAAGCGCTATGCGATAAGTCATCAATGAAATCAATCGTCTCGAGTGAGAAGGGGCCTTTTGCGACTAAATCACCAACAAAGATAAGGTGGTCGTTGCGTGGATTGAAGCCGACCTTGCGAATCAAGTGCTCGAGTTCTTCCAAGCAGCCATGGACGTCACCAATGAATATGAGGCGGCGGTCGTTGTGCGCAGTTGGGAGGAGTGAAGGATCGAGCGTTGAGATGCCTTCATGGCCAACGAGACGGTCTCTGTACCGTTTGAGAGGGTGCGATTTAGTGAAGAATGCGCCAAAGCATTGTGCGACTGCCGCAAACATGCGATCGCCTTATTCTTAGATCTTCCTAAGGCTCTTGCTTACAAGATGGGTTGTTTGCGAAATCTAGGGAGTCGTCGGGGAGGTGCGCATTGGTCGTAGCCTGCCCTGGGCCAATGTCTTGTGTGTGGTGGGATTTAGCTAAAAAAAAAAGCTACGTCGTATTCAGCTCAACTACTGTCCTCCATTATAAGAAGGAAGCAAAACAGAGAACCTTCCGCACAAGGTGCCTCCAGCTCTCCACGCAGAACAACGCTTTAGTGCCGTAAGGCAAATTGGCTGGTCATAAAAGACACAGCATATCTCGTCACTCCCAGTGCTAGTCTCAATAGTGATGCTGTTCCCCAGCGTATTTGTAGTAAGGATTGCCGTAGCAAGCCTACCACAAGACCAGACAGGCTGGCCAGCGCAATGCTTTTTCGAAAAAACCCCGAAAAAAGCTTCGAAGCAAGCCGTTTCGACTAGTATGGTGAGATCCACTCATAGTGAGAGCGAGAAGGGGACATTCCCAAAGTGGGCATGCTAGACTACGCGGTCGAGAAACAGCGTATCGGGACCGGCACAAGAAGAACGAGGGCTCCAATCGGGGACCAGGCAGAACCCCGACCGATTTGATAATCAATGCCGCAAGGGCCGGCAATGATGCAGTAGGTGGTCGTTATATGCCATAAAGTAAACTGGAGGGAGCTGTACGCTTTGACCGCATGCGGCAAAGGTACAATAAGCTCAGATGAGACCTCCGGGGCCCCAGGTTGCCTTTGGTGTTGACCTAGTTGCTGCCATTTGTTGTTTGGAGACGACAGACGCTCCAAGAGAGTGGAAGGGAACTCTCTTACCTGTTTGATTGATGTTTGGACCCGAGCAGGAGTGACCAGGCTCTTCAAGACGACAAGTCGGTCTCAAAAACAGGGCGAAAAAAATTTTCACCCGCCAATTTTGCACGAATACAGCGGACAGGTGCCTGTTCTACCGTGCTTGCAAGGAGGCGCTGCCGTCCAGCGCGAGTCTCCTTGTCTTAACGCTGACTGACCGAACCCCCTACTCTGTAGCGTCATCCTCAGAGCACGTTTCCACCAAAAAGTGACTTTATGATGTGTTGGTTCGGTGTGTGATGGTTCAAGGAAATGTTTTCTGTCCAATCTATTCGCAACGTGGACAACTCCAACCACACAGTCCACAGTGACTCCACACCGAAAAACGTGTGAATGAGCTGCTGTAGATTTGCGCTTCGTATGGAGCTAGCTACGGGCTCAGTCTATATGGCTATAGACCCAGTCTACATGGCTACAGTCGCGATGCACTGGGGCCTTTGTTTGATTGCACATGCCCTGGCCTGTCATGGACTCATGGCCAGATTGGCTCTTTGGGTGGCCGGCGCGTTGCCTTCGAAGACCTTGCTGTCAGTTGCAACCTCGGGGTCTTGTAAGAACATGCAACCTCGGAGGACTGTGAACGCATTACAATGTAGTAGCTAAGTAAAGCATGGCTTGTCAGATACTACAACGCAGGCCACGGGCCACGCAGGCCATGCAGTATGCAGTGCTGCTGCAGCTTTTGTGCATGCTCTGCAACAGCTGCACAGTCAGAATCGAAGTCCTTCTGCCGCACGGAAATATCAGCGCCAGGACAACAAGCGACCATAGGACCACTGGCGGATCACAAGAAACGCATCCTTGAGCTGATAGTATCACGGCCCAGTGACCTGCCTGCAGACTGCTTATGTGCAGGCAGAGCTCTTGGGAAGTCAGCGTGAGATACCAGTCCCATGCCCAAAAGTAAGACTCAGGAGCTCGAGGAGCACATGCCAAATTGGTTGCGACTCCTGCGTGAGGTGACTATCTGGCAAATTGGCAATGGCCGATTCCATGATGAACAGGCGGTGACAGCGACGATCGATGTTTCTGCATATGAAGAGCCTGGCATCCTCCACCATTTGTCGCTGCAGCCGCCAAGTCTTTCTCAACTATCCTCTATTGGCTCGCAGTAGAACGACTATTGCTCACGGTGCACGTTTGCGTCGTTGCAGCCTTGCAAGCCTAAGGCTATGTTGACCTCCACTGGTTGCCTCTTATGCTTCATCGGGTCTATGTTCCTGCAGCTATCGTTGCTGTCTTTCGTGGACCGCGGCACGCTGGCACAACAGGGTGGTGGATGCATGCAATACCAAGTGGACGCCCATTTACTAGTCACAGTCAAACTTGCTCCAACGTGCGACGCAGAAACGGATGTATCAGATTCAGAGATGTGCTCGCGGGACTCATATCTACAAGGATCATCGGCAGGGACAGGCGGCAAGATTAAGCGTCCTAGACTTTCTCCGCCCATTTCACCAAGAAGCCTATTCACCTCGCTAGCACCAACTTTGGGCCCGGCAGACTGCGAAGCTGTATGTGCGAAGCGTATTGCTGATCTAGTCTATAGCATCGCTGGGTCCAACGCAGATCCTTGCTTATACATCATGGACAAGAAGAAATCCGCATGGTGGGATATCCTCTTCCGACATCCGCGAAGTGGCTTGTGGCGAACCCCGTTCGAGGTGGGTTTTGCGTGTTCGTGTCAGATCGGGATGGTCGTGCAGCGAGCGGTCCACCGGCTACCGCTTCAGTCAGAACGTTCGAGCATCTTTGCGAATCCTTCTTCTTCTTCGGTTCCTGTCTTCGACTCTGCGCATTGTGAACCAAGCAGAATAGCAGCCCGAATTCTCAACACTGCCAACGTGCTCCAGCAACAGTCATGGTACCCCAAGCCTTCCTACACAAAAGATCGTCAAAGTCCAGACTTCGTCCTCGAAGATCATCTTCGAGGATGGGTGGATTATTTCACCCCTGATGGCTTATTCTCTCCTATCTCCTGCAATCACGATTGGACAGATCTCTTTAAAGGCCACGGACTGAATATACAGTCAAATCTTCTTAAGCCTCCTCACTCGAGCAACTGCTCCCTCAAATATTACGTTGCAGACCAACGACAGTCAGGCTACAATGTCCTCTGCTGCCATGGAGAACTCATGGCCCCGATTAAACAGCGAATTGAGCTCTTGGATTCGGCTGATCCACGCGTTGATCCTCTTGGGATAGATGCTTCCCGAGAAGTGTGCACACAGTTTGGCATTCCTGTCGAGATAGAAGACATGATTTTCGAGAGAGCCGCTGTTAACGTACAGCTAGGGTGGAAGCCATCTCAGATGAACTTTATGTAGCTCGAAAAGTAGAAATTGTGCTGTTGCCGGTGATAAAGTCAATGCTGCTATCGCAATCTCCTCGTCATGCATATCATTTCTCAAGGCTGAGAGGCCTATGGGCAAGATGGAAGTAAATGCGAATAAGGATTACCTTGTGAGTCTATAGTCTGATTTAGTGTGAACCTTCAAAGACATTAGCGATGTTGCTCGTCCATGCCTTGTACTTTACCATAGCTATAGCCAAGAGTGTGCTTGAGCAAAAAATTAGAACTACAACAAACTGAGGTGATTGGAAAAGTGATTGGCAAAGGGGTGACTTGAGATGTGTGCTATGTCTATAAAATTTGACTTGACTCAGCATCTGAAAGTACGCAGCAGAGCCTCAAAATCAGGCAGACGGGTCTCAAAAGAATGTTCCCTCGAGATCGTCATGAGCGCTGCACGCTCATGAGGCGAGTTGAAGTCCTTCTCCCGGCAGTATCCAGACCCAGCGAGATAGTTGATGAATTTATCATTGTCTGCTCGCGACTCCAACATGTCCCTCGTTGTCCTGGAATCTGCCGGGAAACAGTAATGAGTCAATGATGCGATCCAATGCGGCACCACATGCGGCCCACGGTACGATGTATTACCGTCAAGTGCATGAGAGCCGCGATCGTAGTCTTGAGCATCAGCACATGGCGCAATGTAATCATCAACGGGGTCGAGCAGCTTCAATTGCTTGACGTTGTTTTGACCATGGTGAGTCTCGCTGTCTGGTTGCAGACTTCAGGTAGGCGGCAGGCCCCAATGCTGTTTCATGACCGTATAGACTAGCATGTCGACTCTGGGAGTGTCGCGTTAGGACTTTTGCATCGCAGTTGACGTAAAATTGCGAAGAGTCGGCTAAATCCCATCCGTATTTCAGGTCTCTCGAGGTACAAACCTTGCTGTCACCTGGAGCTGTCCTGCTTGGGTCGGGGTCCCATGCTCGTCTCCGGAGTTCTGTAATGCCGTCGGGCATTCGGTTCAGTATCAATTCCGAGTGATTGTGATAGCTGTTGAAAACCTTCCTTGGTGGGTCGACAACGAAGGGAGTATAGTCTGTTCGTATCACGACGTATACGGAGGCTGGACACGATGTGTAGGACCTAGTAGGCTAGTGCTGTAGGATGGCAGGCCATCTGGTCGCTCTTTTCGTTTCCAAGCAGAAGCCCAAGCTACACATTCAGACCATATACATATACACCTCCGCAGCATGAGGCTTCCCCTGGGAGTCAGCCTCGTCACGCTCATTGCATGCTTCTTCGTCGTCACAATCCAGCTCACTCGCCTGCCAAAGCCCTCCCACGCGGCCCAAGTGGCCTACACGCGCCTTCAAGAAATTGCTCGCTCTCCGCACCCGTACAATAGCGCGCGCAATGACGAGGTACGGGCCTACTTGCTCAAATCCATCATGCAAGACTGTCCATCTGCCCTGGACGAAAGCGACAACTCGACACTCTGGGTATCGCCGGCCTCGAATCCCGATGTCAAGATTTCCACCTACTTTGAGCAAAACAACCTCGTCATCGTCTTGCCATCTTCACAAAAGAATGTACAAGAGGCCGTTCTCATGTCGGCACATTACGACTCTGTTTCCTCCAGTAATGGTGCAACAGATGATGGCATGGCTCTGACTGTATTGCTTTCCCTTGTCAAGAAGTACTGCGAGCACAAATTGCCGGCCGACCTGGTCTTCAATATCAATAATGCAGAGGAAGACGGTTTGTTTGGAGCCCAAGCCTTTCTTTCTCACAAGCGTATGAAGTTCGTCAAGTCATTTGTCAATCTCGAAGGTGCAGGTGCGGGCGGCGCCGCTATGCTGTTCCGTACGACGGGCGCAGAAGTTGCCAAGGCATACAAGGGCAGTAAGCTGCCTCGCTCATCCATCGCGGGCAACGACTTCTTCCAGCGCCATTTGATCAAATCTGAGACCGATTTTGTCATCTATGCGCCATTTGTACCAGGCTTGGATATTGCCTTTTACGCTCCGAGATCGCTTTACCACACGCAACGTGATGGAACAAGGACTACAAGCCCTTGGTCTATAGAACACATGCTCTCTGCAGCAGAGCATTCCATGCTTAACCTGGCCAAGCAGCAACCATTGGTGGACAACAAGAATAAGAACCCCTTCTTCTTTGACTTTTTGGGACTCTTCTTCTACAGCAGCTCACTCAACGCGCTGCTCTGGCTTGATCTGGCTATCCTCATTATGGCGCCGATCCTTCTTGGCGCAGGCTTCTCCATTCGATCGTATTTTGGCAAGGTCAAGTTTGTTGGCATGGGTCGCACGTTTGCAGCGTTGCTCCTGCAAATCGCACTCGTCGCTGGCCTATCTTTACTGATAACCATGCTGAACCCCTATATCATTCATTCATCAGCAACCCTGTACTCGGCAACAATTCTGCTAGGTTCTTTTGCCAGCAACTTATTCGCCACGCGTCTCTTGATTTCGAGGGTACAAGATCAGCATGATTTGTCCCGAGTCATGTCGTGGGAGCTTTGCATCATCTGGTACGTTCTGCTCTTCATCTCAACCATCACCTCGTTGGCCCTAAAGATTGGCTCGACCTATCTAGTGACCATCAATTTTCTCGCAGCATTCGCCGTGGCGCTCGTCTCGCTCTTTGAACGATCTGCATATGTGCCACCACAAGAAACGTTTGACTCAGTCGTCGCTGCACGCCGTGACTCGGATGCAGGCTCGACGGAATCCTCGCCTTTGCTGCGTCGCGATCTGCTCGCTCCAGAAGTGGAAGAAGAGATTCGGCAAGAGAAGCGAAGGCGCGATTATCGCTCGGCCGCCACTTGGATCGTCAAGTTTCTCATCCTCGTTCCAATCCCAGCGCTGGTGTGTCTTTGGCTACTCTATGCCACGATTCTTCCAGGGCTCGACCAGACGTTGCCGGACGGTAGTCCAGGGACCACGGTCTATGCAATCGTTGCACTCTTTTCCATTTTGACCTTCTTTAACTTGGCACCCTTCTTCCTGTCAACCTCGCTCTCTTCGGCATTACCAGCTCTCTTGCTCTTGCTTCTCTGTGCAAGCTTGACGTGCGTCTTCAAATCACCATTCAGCGTCAAGGCACCACTCAAGGTTTATTACCGCCAGTTTGTTGACTTGGATGCCATGTCTTCGCACGTTGCTATTGAAGGTCTGCCTGGATACATGGACGCTGCAGTGAGCGAGCTAGCGTTGGCCAAGAAGGGTCTCTCTTGTCATCGAGGCTCAACTCGTGGCAAACGCTTGAATACATGCACATTCAGTGCGCCTGTTGACTCTCGACTCGCCAAGAGTGGTATTGAGACGACTTGGATCAGTGTCAAGGACAGTAGACACGCGTCGCTTGCAGTCAACAGGAAGAAGGAGAAGGATGGAAAGAAGACAGTCTTGCAGATTCACAGCGCTCACAGCAAGATTTGTGATTTACAAATGGAGGAGGTGATGCCGATTGTTGCCATCAATGGTGAACCGGTCGATGCGCGAGACGCCCACATTCGTCTGTATCGTCGCGGCTTTGAGACGCCCTTTGAGATTGAATTTGGCAAGACGACTGGCGATGATGATACGGATGAGGGAACGGAATCAGCGCATCACATCAAGGGGCGTGTCATGTGTTTCTGGGATGATCGGTCAGATGGCCGCATTGCGTCGTTTGACACGGTCCAGCGCGAATTGCCCGAGTGGGTGGAGGTGAGCAAGCGAGATACTGGACTCATTTGGTACAGCCGCAACTTGACGCTGACTGTGTGATCATGTTACAAAGAGGCAAACTCTGATATGCTGTAATTTAATGGATATCTGATCGCATTGACAGGGTGGTTGGATTCATGCCACTTCATGTTCGTGTAGGAGCATATTGGCGATGCCTTCCTTGACAAGATAGATATGATCACATCGACCGCATGTCATCTTTCCTTCCTTGATGGATGTCTAGTCGTTAGCGCAACACAGGCAAGCGTACGAAGAATGTACCTCGAGCAAGAGATTGTGCAGCGATTTGAGAACAGCCAAATCATCCTCCTTCTCTATTGACAAACTTTCTGGCTTTTCTGACGGTAGCGCAGTACTTCCTAGTTGCGCACACGTCTTGACAAGCGCAGGCCACTCGATACGTGGTAGAATATTGGTCAGAAAAGCAGGATTGAAGTCAAGCTCGCTGATCTCTAGTTGGCAATCACTCAGATTCAGCGGATAGGCTTCAGCAGTGCCGCGACATTGTTTGACGGCACAAGTGAGGAAGTTGGTAGTGAGGAGCTTCATCCTGCTAGCGTCTAGATACAGAATAGAACAAAAAAGTGTAGTCTCTTGCGATGGGTGAAGCCTGCGACAAATCTTCAATTTTGGTCAAGCACACACGCGCAGGGCCAAGAACATCCACTCGATTCCTTCACATCCATACTTCGCCATGTTCTCTCGTCGTGTCCGTTCATTCTTGGCGAAACATGCTACGAGGTCTACACTCCCAGCCAGGGTTGTCCTTGCACGGGCGCCAGCCGTGGTCTCTCGCTGCGCTACGCCCATCGCCTCACGGACCTTCGTCGCATCTTCCTTCCAGCGCGGCCAAGGGACCGTCGACTCTGAACTATCCGCCAAACTCTCTAGTGAGATTCAAATTGAGTCAGAAATGAAGGAATACGAAGACATGCCGGAAGCTGTGCAGACTTTTTTGCAAAGTTCCTCCTTCACAGTGGAAGATCTGCCTGGTACGGATGAAGTCACGCTGAGTAGAACCTTTGGCAATGAGGAGATCAAGATTGTCTTTTCAGTGGCAGACATGAATAATGCAGAGGAGGCAGCGGAAGAGTTTGAGGATGAATCAACCGAAACGGACGCGAAGCCTGCTGCAGAGGCCACGGAGGATGGTGCGGGCGAGGATGGAGAGGCAGCGAGCTTCCCTGTGCGATGCAACATTACCATCACCAAGGACTCTAGCCCAGCAGCTCTGTGCATCGACACAGTCACGCAAGACGGCATCTTCATCATTGACTCGATGGTTCTCTACAAGGATGCGAAACTCGCCAAGACGGACTCAGCGGAAGCAGATTGGAAGCGTCGCGAGGCCTACATGGGCCCTCCTTTCAGTAATCTGGATGAGGACTTGCAGATTCTAATGGAGAAGTTTTTGGAGGAACGGGACATCAATACTGCATTGGCACTGTTCATCCCGGACTATGTGGATTACAAGGAGGCGAGGGAGTATGAGGCTTGGCTCCATGGTCTCAAGGACTTTGTTGATGCCTAAGTTTGCGTAGTCGACGTATGACAATGAAAGTGTTCCCTCCTGGTTGCCAGCTGACATATGACGACGCCGACAATGACAGTGAAGTAGGTCTTTGTATATACATGGCCGCCAGCCGTGTCGTCGGGTCTGGAGCAGAGGGTGATAAATGGTTGATTCCACTGTTTTGTTGAAGGTAAAGAGATACAGTATTCGCATGCGCCCACCTCTCAAGCTCTCACAGGTTCACGGGCAGTCCCACATCATTTCTTCAACCGTACCTCCTCGAACATAACCCGCGCATTGACTTTCGGATCGAATTTCACCATGTTGAGTTTATAAGCTGCCAACCGCGGCCGTTGTCGAACATAGGATGTGCCTGTCCCTGCTGTCGAAAGCAGTTTGACGAGAATGTTGCGCGCGCGTGCCTTCTTTGCCATGCTGACTGCAGCTTACTGAGATGTCTTCCTCTGCAGAGTTGAGCAGTCGTCGCTTTTGCTCTTCACGGGAGATTCGGTTCAGATGGGGGAACATCAGCACCAGCGAACATCTTGCTCTATACAATGATGGAGTGATCTGGCTCTACTGGATATCGATCCGTCTGCTATACTTGACGATCTCAGACAGGATCTGCTCCTCGATCTGCTCACCATGCCCTGCAGCAACGCGCAAAATCAGCTCGCTCAATTCGGGTCTGCCAAGAATATCGACATGGTCCGCCGTCTTGGGCCCACCTCGAATATCAAACAAGTCTTCCTCATGCTGCATCTCATACACCTTGATGGGAATCTTGCTTGGATTGAACCTTGGGATCTCCTTCCAAGCATGTGCACACATATATCCGCTTGACAACAATGCAACAGTTCCATCGCCTTCTCCCATTTGCACACCCTTCTCCAAATTCTCTTGCTTATTCGTGACCGTATTATCAATGAAGCTTGACCGCACAAATGGAATGTCCATGGGTGTCGTATGCGTAACATTCCGGTCTCGTGGATTCTTGGATTGATCCTGCAACATATCTCTCCCTAGATTCTGCTGCTCAAAGTCAGATGTCTCGTAGTAGTAGGTGCGTTCAGTTGGCTTGCCAATACCATACATGCAGAAAATCTTCATGTCTGGTGCATCTGGCAGCGCAGTCTCCAGGGGGTTGATCCATTTTTCAGGCTTGTCATTATTGGCGAGAACTTCTTCGAGCGTGTCTGCAATACCGTGTGAGTAGTTGGTTGCTAGCATGCGATGGAAATGATGATCCGTATGCTGCAACAAGTACTCCATTGACTTGTCCATCGTCATGTTGCCAGGTATCACCGAGTCGCTGTCGGGATCAATCGTTGCTGGTGTCTTGAACTTGAAGAAATTGCCAAAACTAGAGCCATTGCGCAACTCTGGATCATCTGGCGCACTGTCCATTGTTCCCCATATCCGATCGCCACCCTTTGGCAGCATCGATGCAATGCCTGGCAACGTCCGTAGAATCTGAGCACGTTCCTTTCTTGAAAAGAAGGTTTCGAGGCCATAGACACTGAATGCATTGAGTTGTGCTGTATCCTTCATCTCACCACTGACGAGCGCAGCAACTGCTTTGGGAGTCCCAAGCATACTGCCTGAGATGTTGATCCATGTATCAATATGCCGATTGACCCAGTCCTTGCCACCATTACCATGTTTCTCATGCTCGACCCATTTCATAAAGTAAAACAAAACTTGCGAGCCCATCGAGTGAGATACGAGAACGGTCTTCTTGCCGGTCGACAAATTTGCAGATTCGATATGCAACTTGAGTTTTGTAAAGTAATGATCTCGATTCTCGAGATTTGAAAAGGATAAGCGCCAGTCATACGCTGCGGTGAACATGTTGTTTGGCTCTCCACCAAGAGCACTGACGTTCTCAAGAATCTTATTCCAGATCCAGTAGCCGGTAATGAAGAAGTCTGTGGCATCAAAACCTGTAGCGGCTCGAAGTTTCGCACTGCCATCCGCAGGGTCGAGCCCTGATATGGGGTCCAAGCTGATTTGCTTGGTCCAGCACGCCTTGTCAGTCAGCATACAACGTAGCATCGACCAAGATCCCCAAAGCCGTTTCCGGTAAAAAGGCGCCGCACACCCTTCAGTGGACCAAGATTCCAAGCCTGTTGAAATAACACCTGGCAGCATCACGAGTGGAAAGGCCAGCGATAATCCTTCATTCTTCAATTTTCGACCAACACTGAATGCATTATGATCACTTGCAGCAGACTTGGCACGCTGCTCAGACATACGCGTCACCTCTTTTAGTACGCGATCCGGTAAGCGCGCCGACAACTCATCCCAGTAGTCTGGAAGCCCAAGCTCCGTCAAGTCAATCTTGTCTTTTGCGAAATACATGGCAGACAAGACACCGATGCATGCACCTGCAATGAGGAACCAGCGACGACCCCATGGCCGTTTCGGTTGTGCTTTATGCGACGGTGGCCGTTGTGCTGTACGTGTGGATTTGGGACGGGGTGCAGGTGGTCTGCTGGGTGGTTTGGAGGCAGGCACCTCTTGGGGTGTTTGAGTGGCCTCTGAGATTGTTGCCTGGTGCCCGTCCCTGGCAGCTGCGTCCTTCCTCATCTGCTGCAAGTGTAGCTGATGCTGGTGCTGTGTGGGTTCCTTGATCTGTTTATTTCTTTTGGCAGAACTGACAGCGGGAATGACGCACTCTGGCGGCTAGTAGCTGGCAGGTAGCACTACAGGGACTATAGACGGAAGATTGCACTACGTATCACTTTGCAGCATACAGATAGACAGACACATCAACGGCATCGAGCATCACCTCTCACAGGCCAACCTTGGCATCCACTCCATCCTTTGCCAACCAGCCGCCATCCACAGTGTAGTAGCCGGTACTCTCCTTGCTCATCACATGTCGTCCCACTCTTCCGCCAAACTCCTTGAAGGCCTCTGACTTGTGGTGCACATCGAACAGCGCTGCACGCGACTCGTAAATCTCAAAAACGGTCAATTTGGCTTCATCATCCACCGATTTGAGGAACAGGTATGCCAGCGTCGAGGGTTCCTGACAGGTTAGTATAGATGTTCGAAAAGCGCATGACGGAGTGCATACGTTGTCGTGAACATAGCGGATGAGATCACCAGCAGCTTCGAAGATAGCATCGCGGGCCTCTGCATCGTGACACTTGAGTTCAGCCAGCCAGACAAATTGGCCCTTTGGCACAGACACCTCGCCTCTTCCCAAGAAGCCCATGACGGGTTCATAGTAGTTCATCTGTAGGTCAGACTTCAAGCACTCGCCCACGACCACTGCGCCAAACTCCTTCAACTTGTCAGTCTTGAAGTGCTTGTCGCAATCTGCTTTCGAAGCATAATTCTCAAATAGCAGGATATCGTCTGGATCGCTTTCCGAGCAATAAGCAAAGTAGGCGCTGTTGTTTTCTGTAGCGGTTTGCTTGTACATGGGCTCGAGGGCTCCAAGCACCTTAGCGCCCATGCCTTCTTTGCAGTGCAGTTTGGGGATGACGATGTAGCCCATATTGATGATGAACTGTTAGGCGCGAGGAAAGGTAGATGAGGGACAGAGGCCTGCTTGTGTAGTCCTTGGTCTTTGGGGTGGAGTGTGCAGCTGCCGCTGTGAAGTCATTTTGCGGAGGATTCCAAGCGACAATTGGGAACTACAAGTACAAACTATGAACCTCGAGACAAACCCTTGATTTGCATCTGCCTTGACGCAGGCCGCTGTGTCTCCAGCAAATCTCGCTCCTTGGGCACACCAGCCAATAGATCCACGTCTTTATCCTTACCGTGTAACCGCTCAGCCAGTGTCAACCGAGACTTCTCTCGACCACCTGCAGGCAAGGCCCTCAGTCCAGCCATCAAATCGCCCTTCGGCAACGTCTTTCGCATCTGTTGCTTCTCCGCTTGTCGTACAGCAGCTGGTCGTCGTCGCGCTGCTTCCTCCGCCTCTGCAATTCGCGCCGCAAAGACATCTCCACCCGCTGCTTCCGTACGCGCCTCTTTATCCCTCCGTAAATCCAAAAGATCCTGCTCATCGTTGTCAAGTGGCAAATGTAATCGCTCAGCAAGTGATCGCGTATCGCGCGGTTCTTTGCGACGTCTAGAGGTATCGTAGGGTGTTGTTCGACTACTGCGTTTCGCTTGCCTTTCGACTCGATTGAAGGTATTTCGACGCTCATCTTCTGGATGCAAAAGATACCACCGACTGCGCTCTGCTGCTCTCGGAGGCTTCACATCCGCTGAAGTTGCACGCCGTACAGTCAAAGCAACATTCGGTTTATCTGCATGAATCTTTGCCGGCAGCGTCTGAGTGGTTGTCACCGCTGTCGGATTGCCATCGACGAGTTGCCTCAAGAGTTCTGTTGCATCCTCAGGCGTCTTCATGACTAAGTTGAGGGAATGGTCATCGATCCATTCAATCTTGGGCAAGAAGGCATCATAAAATAACGCAACCCAATCACCGACATCGCGCGTAGACAAGTGTTCAACACCAGCGATATACAGCGCCTCTGTGCGCGGCGTCGGGTCCGTCATGGAGACATCGGTCGTGCCTGTCGGTGGTGCAGACGCGTCAGGCATGGGCATATTGTCATCGTACATGTCGGCATCGAAATGATCTGCCATGGCGACTGTCCAAAAAGTCTGGTCCAGCGCGGTCCTTTTGATTGCAAGTGCTGAGGCTGGCTGGCGATGGTGGATGATGTGCTCTTGCCATTGTCGCGCCGTACTTTTCTGGGCGGAAGTCGAGATGGGAGGACTCAGGGCTCAAAATTGGGCAAGGCATTCAGGGGCCTCAAGCTACGATCCATTCTTCAGGTGAAGTGAGAGGAGATGCAAACCTACGAATGCAGCAGCAGACGCTTTTTGGATCTGATCAAGGAGAGGCAAGGCTTGGCCCGCTGTGCAGCGTGAAGTGTGCTTATTGCTCATTGATCAATGATATGAGCATTGATGCTACCTCGGAATCTGCGAATTCCCATGCTAAGCAACATCTTATGGAGAATGGTCAGGGGGTGCGGCCCACGATCAAAGTCTTGCAGGAGTATCAGCACCTGGCCAGCACGCTCGCTTGACAAGGCTGGCATAGGATCTTAGTAACTGCCCAGCACTTCTGTCTGGGACGTACGAGTTCAAGACACGCAACTCATCTACGAACCTCAACCTCGCAGTCCGCTCGCGCCGCTTTGTAAGACCTCTTCTCACTGATTGATTGCTGATTCCAGCAGGACGCAGCAGATGAGACTCCCTGTTGTGGCTTCCAAAGCTATAGGTCCTTTCGCCTTATCGTTCCTTCTTCTCCTCTTTTACCAGGGAAGCCAAGCAAAGGGGCAGGACTGCCAGACGCTCTCAGTCAGAGCGAATCTATATGTGCACTTTGCACGCCTTCCAACTTGCGAGCCGTGTTCGCCCTTGGGAACCTCGAGGGACAAAGAGCGGAAGGCCTTTCCTTGTCCGGATGTATGCGATCAGCGCATTGCTGACTTGATGTACGACACCGCAAAGTTTCGTCTCGACCCATGCATGCGTGTCATGAACCCCGACAATTTGTCAGAATGGGATATACTTTTTCGGGATCCAAACAGAGAGAACTACCCATTTCAGGTTCCTGGCCGACAAATTTGTCATTGCTCAGTCACACTCGTAGTTCAGCGTCTGGTGAAGCGGCTCCCTGATACGGATCCACGTCAGTCTCCTTTCGCTCCAATCCTTTGTGCATACCCTTATCCAGGACAGCGGATGGTTTCTCGGCCATTGAGAATCAAGTCTGAGCATTGGTATCCAGCGTTGCAAGTGAGCATGGAAGGATGGGAATACGGCACACCCCTACGAGAGGTGGGTTGGATTTATGCCGACATGGAGCCGTACCCTGTACAGCAGCCTTCAATCTGTTGCGATGCAGGAGTGCGAGACCTTCGATATGCTGAGGATACGAGCAACCAAATAGCCTCAGGAGTACGACTGGACCTCGACAGTAATTGCACCATCAAATTTGGTCATCACAGGACTTTGCTTCAGGGCCAGGGAGTACTGTGTTGTACACCTGACGTTTGGGGAGGTATCAGAAAGCGGCTTGTGCAACTGCACGAAAAGGACCCAGACTGGCGGACTTACAGGAATGAGATTGTCAATCTGAGGAGTCAAATCGGAATACTTTGCTTCCGCCATAGCAACGACACATCCCTGGCAGACCTGGTGAAGACTGCTGTGACTCCACAATGGCTATCCAACGGGGTTTTTTACATGGAATTTCGTTAATGCCTCGGCCCAGGGAAAAGTCGCTTTGATAAGTCGAGCCTTAGAAAAGGCCGCTTGCTAGCTTGAATAGAATGTTCTCAAACTGAGCTAGCTTCCAGAATACTTGACATTTTGAACGAACATCCTTGAGCTAGGTAATTTTGCAAAAAGGTTGTGGTGCTTGACATATTGCGCTCAGCATGCAGCAGAGCTACTTAAGCACAAACAGCTTTCAATGTCCTGTTACAGATGTCAATCTCTGTGCAGAGAATGTTCGCCGTGTGCGGAATCATAAACCGGCGAAGTACCGTCATAAGATCGGCGAACAATCCGCCACTTTGCGGCCGGACTGTATCGTAGGGATAGGCGAGAATAAGCACGCCTCTACCAGGGCCAATCAGTCGATAGTAGAGAATGCAGCTGCCACGAGGTGAAGCTCAATACATGCAGTAGCGACAGTGGTTGTAGCAGCTAGTCCATCTACGACACACTGCAGACGCGCTGCCGCATTCTTAGCTTTCTTGGCAGACTTGTGGGGCTTCTTCGCTTGTTTAGCTGCAGTCTTGGCCTTGCTCATGGATGTGCTGCGCTGTTCTGCATCTTGTGCCTTGGCTGATAGCTTCGATGTTTTTCAGGCTAGAGATGCATCGTTAGTATGTCATGATTCCATTGTTCTGGTAGGAGCAACAGAAGTGTATACCTTGCGAGACGAGGAGCCTTCATATTGTCCTCTGCCTGCCTTCTAGCTACTGGTCAGTCTTATAGAAACAAAGATGGGACAGCTATACCTTGGAGAAACCAAACTTCTTGTCTGCTTGACGCTACATTTTGTTAGCCAAAGACTCCTCTGCCTGAAGAGCTCACACTGTGCTGGGACGAGATTGGCTGCAATTGCATTCGTCTGTCACTACATGAGGCCGAAAGGAGGAACCCACAACTCTCGATGCAGCCTCGTCGTGACCATCATTTTCAGAGAAGATGAAAGCGGCTGTCTTGCAGTGGGAGTCCCCGTCATCAACGCGAGCAAACGACGCTCTACGGGCATCGTCGTGTGCGTTGCTGAGGTCATCATCTCTTGAAGCATCAGCAGTAGTAGCCTCTTTGTAGACTTTCGCTTTGCGCTTCTTTTGGCACTTTAGTCAAGAGCTTGCGAGGTATAGAGCCACTCTCACCGCTTCTTTCACTACCTTCGCGTGGTGCTGGCAGATGGTCAAGGCAATACATTGCCCATGAGCTCATCCAAGTACAGGACAAAACTTTTACAGTTTGCGAATAATAATTCGTAGTTCCTCCATGCTTCGGTAACGCCACGAGACCCTTGCATATCAACCATGATCTTATATGTGTCCCTGAGGTATCGTTCCTGTCCGGATATGGCGCTCCATGTGGCGTCGCGCAATGGTGTGCGTGGCCAAAGTCCCATTGTGTGACGTATCGTCTCCGCAACAGGAGCATCGGTGTATGGTGCAGCGCAGTCCTTTGATTGCAAGTGCTGAGGCTGGCTGGCGATGGTGGATGATGTGCTCTTGCCATTGTCGCGCCGTACTTTTCTGGGCGGAAGTCGAAATGGGAGGGCTCAAAATTGGCCAGGGCATTCAGGGGCCTCAAGCTACGATCCATTGTTCAGGCGACGTGAGAGGAGATGCAAATCTGTGAACGCGGCAGCAGAGGTCTTTTGGATATGATCAAGGAGAGGCAAGGCTTGGCCCGCTGTGCAGCGTGAAGTGTCCTCATTGCTCAATGATTTGAGCATTGATGCTATCTCGGAATCTGCAAGTTTCCATGCTAAGCAACATCATGTGAAGAATGCTCAGGGGCTGCGGCCCACAATCAAAGTCTTGCAGGTGTATCAGGATCTGGCCAGCACGCTCGCTTGACAAGGCTGGCATAGGATCTTAGTAACTGCCCAGCACTTCTGTCCGGGACGTACGAGTTCAAGACACGCAACTCATCTACGATCCTCAATCTCGCAGTCCGCTCGCGCCGCCGTGTAATATCTCTCCTCAATACTTGATTGCTAATTCCAGCAGAACACAGCAGATGAGACTGCCTGTTGTGGCTTCCAAAGCTATAGGGCACCTCGCCTTATCGCTTCTTCTTCTCAACCTCCAACATGGAAGCCAGGCTGAAGAACCAGACTGCAAGATGTTAGTGGTCAAAGCGAATTCAGTGATAAGTCTCAAACGCCCTTTCACTTGCGGACAGTGCTGGCCTTCGGGATCTAGGGACCAGCAGGACCCAGAAGAAACGGATGAAGATTATTGCGCGGAAGCCTGTGATGAGCGCATTGCTGACTTTATCTACGACACGGCAAAGTATCGTTGCGACCCATGCATGCATATCAGAATGTCCAGCAATTTGTCGGAGTGGGATGTGCTCTTTCGAGTCCCACATTCAAGGGTAGATAAGATCAAAAACGTCGCGACATGCCGATGCTCAGTCACAATGGTAGTTCAGCGTTTCTTGAGGACGCCCCCTGCCGAGTCTCTTCATCCGGCGTCTCCTATCGCACCATTGCATTGCTCCGACACTTGGGTACGATACCGAATGGTAACAGCGCCATTGAGACTGATGAAGGAGTCGTGGTACCCAGCATTGAGGAAGACAAGCAAGACAAGCAACAGTCACAGTGCGAGCCGCCAAGACGGAAGATGGGTGCACAACCTTGACCTAAGGGTGCTTGCGCATGGCGTTGCTGATGTTGATTGCAATGCGGGAATGCAAGACTTGCATAATGAAGAGGACGTATCCGACTACATTTCCCCGAAAAAGACGCTTGACGTCCACAGTAATTGCACCATCAAGTACGCTGGCCGCGGCAATCCGCTTTGGGGCAATCTCGGACTGCGCTGTGATACTAACGCATGGGTGGGGATCAGAAAGCGACTTGAATCGCTTTATCAGGCCGACAAGGATGGCAAAACACACCTGGAGGACGTGATAAAGAAACACAAATACCTCAGGGATTTCTGCGTGAGCCAAGGATACTACGCCGCATTGAAACCACTGATGGCTGCCATGGAGGACGATCAGCTGCTTCAGCCAGCTTATTGGGGATATGGAAATTTGTAGCGAGACTAGTCGAGTAGAAGCTGCTGTCATAAAGCAAGCCTTGAAATGCAAGCTTTTGCGCTTGACTAGAAGCCTTTGGACTTGATTCAACCCTTGGGGCATTTTGCCGTTCGTTAGAACGTCCTTGAGCTCGAACACCTTGAAAGTGGAAGTGTTGGCCAGTATTGCTCAGCATGCAAAGCTTCTCAAGCACATACAGCTTCCGGTAACCTGCAAGTGTACAATAGTCCTGGTCATGAAGCTCGAGGTCGTGCTCTGGCTCCAGCCTTCAGATGGGTGAAATGAACGTATGCCTGCCCAATTCCGAATTCCCGCCCTTGCAGCGCTTGACGATAACATGTTCGCAGTCGAGGCGACTGCGTATTCTACCTGACGTATGGAACTAGTGGCTGATGTGTCGGAAGGCCATGCCGCCATACCCTGTCTATACTTGGTAGTCACGCAGATCCTGCAGCTGGATTGCGGTACGGAAAAATTCCACGCCTGGTAATCGGGTGATAAGCGGAAGACTGACGCGGTGAGATAACAGGCGACAAACGTTAGAATATGGCGCTGGTGACAAAAGGGCGATGATTGACGCGTAGAAAACTGGTGTTCAACGGGCGCCGATCGCGATCGACAATCGCTGGTGACTAGCACGTAGGGAGCTGCAGGTGGCGAGCCAGGGCTTTGCATGGATTAGACATAGCTCTAGAGCAAGAAAGGCTTACTATACTCCCTACGAATGTTGTGCAAGGTGTTTTGCGCGCTTGCTACGTTTACGTGCTTGTCGTGCCTGCGTGTTGTCGTCTTGCTCATAGTGTGGCGCATTGTGTCGTGTATTGCGTCGTGCTTGTCGTGCCTGCATGTCGTTCTCGTCGTGGTGGACTACCTGCTGCTCTGCTTCTACCTCTGCCAGGCGCTGATCGTGCCTCGATTGCTGTTGTCAGTAAGCATCTGTTGCGTAGATTGTTGGGCATCATTACGTACGGTGACTTGCAGATTCTTGGCACCATGCTGAAAGATAGCCATGGAAATCCAGTGCGCTTGTGCCCTGCAGGCAGGCAACGTAAAGTCCCGTTCAAGATGACGGACTGCCTTCCTCAGCTCGGCATGGTCTAGATCGTTCTCCTGAATGCGTTTGACACAGCGCAGTGTATCAGGAGAGATGGGAACGTTGTCAGGTGAAGCCATTGGATCGTTGTTGACTGTACCTGCTGCGAGACCGGCTCGAGGCTGCTGAGCTGGTCCGTGAACAACGCCGGGAAGACACTTGGTTCAAAGGTATTGAGCAAGAATCCATCATGCTGATCATCTGTATCAAGAGCCAGTGAGCGCTTTACTTGCTCTGCCGTGCCATTGCTAAGGATGAGGATGTTGGCTGTCCATTTCTTTGGCAGGTCGCCCTACGGGAAAATCGCTGGTGAAGACGGGTGCACACTGGTGACTCGCGGATGACTCGCGGGCGATAAACCGGTAACGCTGGTGAAATACTGGAGCAAACCGGAACACCACTTCCAGACGCTGGTGAAAAACCGGCGATCGACGGAAGACAAACAGCAGACGCTGGTGACTTCTGTTGCCTGCACTACAGCTACGCCTTCAGATAGCACGTCCGAGTAAACACATACGCTGGCATTCGTCCAGCTCATGCACAACTATTGAGATGGAAGCAATTCTATCTACGACGTGTCCAAACAACATGATTCCCCAACCTGCAAATGGAAGCATCGTTCGATGCAGAACGTAGAATCAGGTGAGTTGCCAGACGCCAGCTATTCTACGAGAGCGGCTTTGCTCCTAAGGCTTCAAAAAGCAAGGAAGTCGAGTCATCGATGTGATGTGCTCGTTGTGAAGTTGTGAAGTTGTGAGGTTGGACTTTGTTTTGAACTTTGACCATTTTGCACGTCTGAAGCTCGCGCACCTCGCAATCGCTACAAACCACAGTACGCTTCATAGTCGCTGCACACGCAAGCGTTCCACTCTAGACGCGCATCTCTGCAGTCTATCTTCCTTCGAAACTGTCTCTCAAGTGCGTCTGACCAGCAAAGTCGGATCAATGCTGTCCTGCGAGGCGCGGTAGAGTCCAACCTGCCAAGCAAATGAACAGCCAACATCCTCAACCTTGACTCTGCAAGAGCGAAACAAGCAGCGTATCTACTAGCCCTTGCATCAGATGATCAGCATGCTAGAGTCTTGCTCAATACCCTCGATCCAAGCGTCTTCTCCGCGTCGTTCACGGAACCAGCTCAGCAGCCTCGAGCTGGCATCGCAGCGAATACAGCCAACAACGAACCCATGGCTTTATCTGACAGCGTCTCTATCTCTTCTGATTCACCGCGCTGAGTCTAAAGCATTCAGGAGGACGATCTAGACCGATTTGAACGCCTTGCACACGATACACGCATGACAAAGGAACCAGCACGACTACGACGCGTGTCAAGAGATAATTCCAAGCGCAATGAGATCCAGGCTGTCGACCCATTCTCAGAACGTTGCCGATCTAAAGAAGACAGTCCGTCGTCTTGATCGCGACTTCACGTCGCTTGCCAGGGCGCCAGCGAAGCGGATTTCCATGGCCATCTCTCAGCATGGTATCAAGAATCTGCAAGTAGCCGTACGTGATGACGTCCAACAATCTACGCAACGGGTCCTTACTGACAACAGCAATTGAGGCACAACAAGCGTCTGACAGAGGCAGAGGCTGAGCAGCAGGGGACCGACGACGAGAACGATAAGCAGGCACGACACGCACGGCGCAACACAGGAAAAATCACGTTACGCCATGAGCAAGACGACGACACGCAGGCACGACAAGGACGATGCAACACACAAAACACCGCGCCATACCATGAGCAAGACGACGACAGCGATACGGACGCCGCACAACCACGTCGTACGGTACACCAATTCCTTCGCTGGTTTTGAATCACACTGACTACTACAGGGCAAACGCGACGGCGAAAGCTCAACTTCTCCAGGCTGCAGCGAATGACAGGAGTGACCGCGCCGCCGCTGCCAGCGAGGTGGAACAAGTGCGGGAGCGTAGCAAGCGTGCAAGGTACCTTGCACGACAGTTGTAGGGTGGACGTAGTAAGCCTTCGTTGCTCTAGAGCTATCCCTGAACTATGTCAAGCCCTGGCTCGCCACCTGCAGCTCGCTGTGTACTAGTCACCAGCGATCGCCGGTTCTCACCCGTAAATCACCGATTTACTACGCGTCAATCATCGCCTGTTGTTGTTTATCTGAGTGAACGAACAAGCACTGGAGTGAAACACCAAATGAGTTACTAGATAAGAGAGTGCAGATGGCCTGTTATATAGTGTGTCTGCGTCGGCTCATCCCGAGAGGGGTAACGTCTCACGCCTTGCTCAACACCTGTTTGTCACCAGCGCCATAATCTCCCGTTTGTCACCCGTTTATCACCCAGCGTCAGTCTTCCGTTTATCACCGGTTTACCACCCGTGGAAATTTCCCGTAGGGATGTCAGCGTATATGTTTACTCGGACGTGCTATCTGAAGGCGTAGCTATAGTGCAGGCAACAGAAGTCACCAGCGTCTGCTGTTTGTCTTCCGTCGATCGCCGGTTTTTCACCAGCGTCTGGAAGTGGTGTTCCGGTTTGCTCCAGTATTTCACCAGCGTTACCGGTTTATCGCCCGCGAGTCATCCGCGAGTCACCAGTGTGCACCCGTCTTCACCAGCGATTTTCCCGTAGGGCAGGGAGCCGTACTATGTACGGCAGCCTTCAATCCGATGCGATGCAGGAGTGCAAGACCTTCAGTATCCTGAGGATACAAGCGGCCAAAAAGCCTCAGAAGGACGACTGCACCTCGACAGCAATTGCACCATCAAATTTGGTTATCGCGAGAATCCGCTTTGGGGTAAGGTGGGGCTGTCTTGTACAACCGGCGTATGGGGAGGTATCAGAAAGCGACTTCTGCAACTGTACGAAAAGGATCCAGACGGGCAAGCTTACAGGAATGAAGTGGTCAATCTGAGATATCAATTGGGGAAGAAGCCTAGCGGCCGCCATGACAGGATCAATTTTTTCTTGCAAGAGTTTTTGATGACTACCGCGGCTCCGCATAAGCTATTCACGGAGGGTTATAGGGAATTTCGTTAGCGAGGCCCATTGAGGGAAGATTTCCTGTAACAAGTCAGGCCATGAGAGGTATCTTTACCAGCTTGAATAGCATCCTCTGAACTTGAGCTACTTCCTATAGTATTTGGCAGTTTGAATGTCCTTCTTTGAGCTAGATGATTCTGCAAAAAGGTTGGGGTGCCTGATATCGCGCGCTCAGCATGCAGCAGAGCTTCATAAGGACATTCAGCTTTCAATTCGTTTCTAGAGATGCCATACTTCGAGCAGAAGATGTCCGTCGTACGCAAAGCCCGAATCGGCAGAGTGTTTCAGCAGACAACCGGCGGCATATCCTGCACTTTGCAGCTCGACTGTATTCCACGGCGAGCGGCGAAAACAGAAATAACCAGAAAATGAAGAGAGGATGCAGCTGCCAAGACTTGGAGCTCAATAAATGCAGTAGCGGTAGTGGTTGTGGCAGCTAGTCCATCCATGTCCGACACACTGTAATGACTGGGCTGAGAGGTGACTAGGCAGAGCAGGGCGAGTCCGCGTCGAAGACACTAGACAACAGAAGAGGTAGATATAGATGATCCTACCAAAGTACAAAATTGGTGAATGAAGAACAAGGCAGCAGAAGGCTGTCCTTTTATCTTCATCAGACTAGAGCTAGAAGCAAAAAAGACAAGAGGTAGAACCCATAAAAGAGTAAGACAAGAAACAGGGCCAAAGTACCAAAGACTGTGGGCGACGTCTAGCCAGACGCGCGAAGAGACAGGAGATGTCTCAGATTGGTCAGGCGAGAATAAGAGACTTGAGCCAGAAGAAAGCAAGCAACTTGTTGAAGATGCTGAACGGGTTGTTCCATGAGCTAGATGGCGAGGTCTAGATCGGTCGCTGTGGTTGTGCACAGAAGGATAGCCGCGAGATGTAACCAGGGGTATCAGGTGGTGAGACATCTGAAAGCAAGAGTAGGACTTGTCTCATTCGGTTCGTGACACACACTAGAGACGTGCTGCTGCCTTCTTGACCTTCTTGGCAGACTTGTGCGACCCCTTTGCTCATGAAGCTGCAGCCTTGCCTTGCCCATGGATGAGCTCGAGCTACCCTCCTTTATGGTTCTGGCAGATGGTTAAGGCATTTCAATTCCGAGCTCGTCCCAGAACGGGGAAAACCTTCTCCAGCTTGCGAATGGTCATTTGTAGCTCCTCAACGTTGCGGTAATGCCACGAGACGGTCTTGCCTTGCAGATCGATCCCAAACTTTAGTGTATCCATGAGGTTTTGATCCTATCCAGTAAAGGCGTTTTATGTGGCGCACGCAATGGTGTGCGTGGCCAGAGTCTCATTGTGTGTCGTATCGTCTCTGTGGTGGGAGCATCGGTTCTAGAAACGCCCATCGATGTGTGCTTGATTTTCAGTGGGACGTCAATACGTTCATCGACTCTTGAAAGTCTCTTGTAGTCATTCGGACTGTCTTTGGGAGACTCCTTTTCCTGTCTGGGTCAGTCAAAGGTATCTGGCATGCAACGTACACTGCTTGCGCGAGTGGAGCGCTTCATGTCTTGAGAAGAGCAATCTGGCAGTGGAAGATGCCGTAGGCTTGGATGTATAGGCTCACGGACAGCAAGGTAAGGCCAAGTAGCAAGAGGGTGGTGTGCAGATGTGTGTCCACTGTCCTGGGTCCATTCCATCTCGTCTTTCGGTGGACAAGGCAAGAACGAAGCAAAACGCCTTAGTCGACGACACTCAAGATACGCCTGCGCTACACTCTTGAGCCTACAAGTGCTGAGTCGCCCGTTGTGGAGTCGTTGCTACTATGAGCAAACAATACATCCACCAGATGTGCTATTATTCTTCTTGTGGCATAGGCAAACGTCTGAGCATTCAGAACCGGTACCTACATCAGAATCCATCAATTGCGCCTGTAGTACAGCCGGGCAGCATCTGCATTTTCAGAAGAGAGAAAATTATCTTCCAGAGTGCCCTCCGTACCTCAGATGCAGTCGACTCAGACGTATTTTCGCAAACACTGCCGCCTGCAGCCGCAGCAGAAGAACATGCAATCAAGCATCAGAGAGTGGCCCGGAACTCAACGAACGAAAACTTGCCTGGTCCACCGGACTCCACCTGAATCCTCTCTACAAGACGTTGTCAAATTGTCATGTTCAATAAGCTCTGAGAACAGCGAAGAATCGTCAAGCTGTATCTCGGATGGATCTTGGGGTAATGCATCTTTCACTAACTGATCAGACAGCAATCTCATGAAGCGCCTGAGGATAAGTAACATGCGATCTTGAGCTATGGGGGAGTGCCCAGTCTAACTGAGCACGATGGCAGGCATTTTGCGATCGCCAAGGTCTTGAAGACCAGATTGGCGTCCGGCGCAAAGTCCCTCAGCAAGCAAGGACATGCATTGCAGATCATTGTCCCAATTTGCCGTAATCTTGAACCAATTGGCCTATTTAACAGGCAGAGCTTGGCAGAGGAAGTGCAGGCCAGCTGCATGAGCAACAGTGCCGTCGAAAACAGAAGCACCCTCTCAGGTGTAACGATCACGACCTGGCGAGGCAAGTCGTACCGATTGAGACAGGGAGGTTAGGCATTGGAGTGGGTTTGGCGGCAGAGACTTTGAACAACAGATAGTATTGAGTATGAACTGATATTGCTGAGAATGCTACAAAGGTGTGAGGAGCGCTTCTATCATACTTTGCCAGTCTCGAGCGATGAATAGACGAGAGAAAGGTGGGAGATGGCAAGGACCCTGAAAGTGCGCCGATGACTGACGCTGGGGCTATGCCGCTATGTCGAGAAAGACATCATTGCTTGCGAGCGTGATGTGTTAGTGCGATAACCATGCGGCGAGATGACATCGATGCTCGCGAACGCGACGCTGGAGCGTGATTCATGTGGCGAGATGAGGGCGACGCTTGAGAGCGCAATATGTTGGAGCATGGTCCATGAGACGAGGGGAGTGCGATGCTTGCGAGGCCGCATCAGGAACGAGGATACGCCGGGCCGTGTGATAGTGCTGGGAGCTGGAGTGAAGCATCGGGACGGAGAAGTGTCAGGAGCTCGAGTGCTGCGTCAGGCGAGGTAGCATAGCCGAGAAGAGATGAAGACATGACGAAGGAGCGGTCAGATCAATCCGTGTGATATGGCTAGCTGTTCAGTATCAAAAGCTTCTAGGACTTTCCGGTCAGCGATGGCTGGCCTCTGCTGATGTTGAACAGTCTAGTATCCAGTCGCGTGGGTTTGGATTGCTAGCGCACTCTGCCGCGTGTCGCGTGCTTTCACGTGATTGGTACCCCTTATTCAACTCTCTAGAGAGCATGAGCTTCTACTCTGCTCCTCATCCGTAACGATCCTATTGCACTATCTAGGTTGCTTGAGTCAGAAGCCTTCCCAGGCGCGTCACCACTAGCTCCGCGCACAACTCCGATGAGCTGACATGTTATCAGTGCTTGACTTGTGCTTTTCCTGCCTCTTGGCGTATTTCAGTTATCCGCCTCTTCATTTTCGCTGGTACTCCTTCATCATGCAAGTTTGGAAGTCGACTGACTCCAGTTATCCGCTGTGCTGTGGTCCTGTGGAGCTTTCTTACGATAATCTGCCGGTTGGCTCCGGCAGACTCCTGTCAAGTTTTGTAGGGCATGCATAGTCATGTGAGGAATTGACAGGGGCTGCAGAATAGGTAGGGGCTGCGAGTTTGCGACCCATTATCCTGGATTTATCCAGGTCTTGCAGGAGTATCAGAATGTCGCTGTGCTCGCTTGGCTTAAGAACACCCGCACATCATCTTCCCTCATGACATACCATTTCCAGACACGCAACACGTTTACAAAGCCCAACCTCTCGATACGCTCGCGCCTTCTTGTAAGCTCTGCTCTTAGTATTCGGTTGCTAACTTGAGTAGGACACAGCAGTTGAGACTCCGTATGATGGCTTCAAATGCTAAAGGGCACCTCGCTTTATCGCTCCTTCTCTTCTTGCAACAGGGAGGCCAAGCAAAGGAGCCAGACTGCAAGATGTTGGCTGTCAGAGCGGAGACGAGAGTGACGTTTGAAAGCAAAGTCCACCCAGCTTGTGGGCAGTGTTGGTCCTTTGGAACCTCTAGGGACAAGGAGCTGGAGGCCATTTCGTGTCCGGATGTATGCGATGAGCGCATTGCTGACTTGATGTATGACACCTCAAAATATCGTCTTGACCCATGCATCCATGTCATGAAGTCCGACAATCTGTCACAGTGGGATATTCTTTTTCGAAACCCAAATGGAAGGGATATGCAATCTACTGCTCCTGGCCTCAAAATCTGCCAGTGCGCAGTCACGATTATCGTTCAGCGTCTGGTAAATCAAGTCACTGATACGAATCCTCAACAGTCTACTCTGAACACAAATTATTGTGTCAAGCCAGAAAAACGGATTGTTGAAGCAAAACTGAAAATCATCAATGATAACTGGTATCCAGCGTTGAGCAGGCTAGGCGAGGAATCCGGTGGAACCAAACATGATGTGAAGTAGACTTCTGCTGGAGGTGAGCCTCTTGGTGATGTTCTTAGGCTTCTCAGGGCCGCAATCTATTGCGATGCAGAATGGCAAGACCTTCAGCATCCTAAGGACATACGCGATCAAGAAGCCTCGAGAGGCCAACTGGACATTGACAGTCATTGCACCATCAGATTCGGTTCTCGCGAGAATCCGCTTTGGGGTCAGGTGGGACTCTGTTGTACGCCCGGCGTATGGGGTGGTATCAGAAAGCGACTTCTGCAACTGTACGAAAATGACCCATCCGGGCAAGCTCACAGGAATCAAATCGTCAACCTGAGAAATCAAATCGAGCAGGTTTGCGTCCACCACAGCATCGATCAATCTCTAGCAGACCTGGTCACGACTACCGTGGCTCCACAATGGTGGTTCAACGAGGACTATATGGAATTTCGTTAGCGAGGCCCATTGAGCTCGAGAGAGAAGTCTCTGTAGCAAATCTAGTCTTGAGAGGCATCTTACTCGCTTGAATAGGGCATTCTCAATTTGAGCTAGCCTGAGAGCATTTGACAGCTTAAACGTCTTTTCTTGAGCTGGATGATCTTGCAAGAAGCTCGTGTTGTCTGACGTCGCGCCCAGCATGGAGCAGAGTCTCTCAAGCACACATAGCTTCCAATTTGCTGCTAGAGATGCCAGGTTCTTTCCAGAAGATGGTCGACACATAGTAATCTCACACACAGAGCCATGCAAAGCTGCAACTGAGATGTACAACAGCCCTTCAGCTGGCCTTGGAGGTCGTTCTTTGGCCTCAGCCGTCAGATATATCAAATGACTGTTTGTCTGCTGCACTCAAATGCATATGTCTACTGCAAAGCTTGACGACCATATCTTCAAGGGCAATCAACCCAACGGGAAGATCGCTGGTGAAGACGGGTGCACACTGGTGACTCGCGGATGACTCGCAGGCGATAGACTGGTAACGCTGGTGAAATACTGGAGCAAACCGGAACACTACTTCCAGACGCTGGTGAAAAATTGGCGATCGACGGAAAACAAATAGCAGACGCTGGTGATTTCTGTTGCCTGCAGTATAGCTACGCATATGGATAGCACGTTCGGGTAGACACATACGCTGGCATTCGTCCAGCTCATGAGCAACTATTGAGGTGGAAGCAATCCTATCAATGACGTGTACCAAACCACATGATTCCTCGATCTGCATGGCATGACTTCCTGCAAATGGAACCATCGTTCCCTGCAGATCGAAGCATCATGTGGTTTGGTACACGTCAGCTATCCTACACGAGCGGCTTTGTTCCCAAAGCTCAGAAATCAAGGAAGTCAAGTCGTCGATGTGATGTGCTCGTTGTGAACTTGGACTTTGTTGGTCTTGAACTTTGACCACTTTGCACGTCTGAAGCTCGCGCTACTCGCGATCGCTACAAACCACAGTACGCTTCATAGCCGCTGCATACGCATGATGCATCTGCTTGAAGCAACGGTCCGTCATTCTTCTCTGCAGTCTCTCTTCCTTTGATTCTGTCTCTCAAGGTTGTCTGACCAGCAAAGTCAGATCAATGCTGTCCTGCGTGGCGCGGTAGAGTCCAACCTGCCAAGCAAATGAACAGCCAACATGCTCAACCTTGACTCTGCAGGAGCGAAGCAAGCAGCGCGTCTACTAGCTCTTGCAACAGATGATCAGCATGCTAGAATCTTGCTCGATACCCTTGATCTTAGCGTCTTCCCCGCGTCATTCACGGAACCAGCTCAGCCGCCTAGAGCTGGCATCGCAACAGATACAGCCAACAACGAACCCATGGCTTTATCAGACAGCGTCTCTGTCTCTTCTGATACACCGCGCTGAGCCTAACGCATTCAGGAGGACGATCTAGACCGATTTGGACGCCTTGCACACAATACATGCATGACAAAGGGACCAGCACGACGACGACGCGTGTCAAGGGATTATTCCAAGCGCACTGAGAATCAGGCCGTCGAATCCATTCGCAAAGCGTCGCCGAGCTAAGGAAGGCAGTCCGTCATCTTGAATGCGACTTCACGTCGCTTGCCAGGGCACAAGCGAATTGGATCTCCTTGGCCATATTTCAGAATGGTCAAGAACTCGCCGTACGTGATGACGTCCAACAATCTACGCAACGTTCCTACTGACAACAGCAGTTGAGGCACAATAAGCGTTTGGCTGAGGCAGAGGCTGAGAAGCAGGAGATCGACGACGACCACGACGGGCAGACACATCAAGGACCACGGACCACACGGAACATCGCGTCACGCCATGGGCAAGACGACGACAGCAATGTAGAAGCCCCACAGCCACGTCGTGCGATACACTCATCGTTTCGCTGGTCTTTATTCATACTGACTACTACAGGGCAAACGCAACCGGCCGATGACGGCGGAAGCTCAGCTTCTCCAGGCTGCAGCGAATGACAGGAATGACCGCGCCGCCGCTGCCAGCGAGGTGAAACAAGCGCGGGAGCGTAGCAAGCGTGCAAGGCGCCTTGCACGACAGTTGTAGGGTGGACGTAGTGATCCTTCATTGCTCTAGAGCTATCTCTAAACTATGTGAAGCCCTGTCTCGCCACCTACAGCTCGCTGCGTACTAGTCACCAGCAATCGCCGGTCTTGGCAATGGTTTGATCATCAATGTTGAAGGGCCTACTGCATACTTCTATTTCGCACAACCTTGCCACGTCATGCGAAAGATACACAGGAGGTGACTTAGACTGCTGGAGTCTTGAAGGAAGAGGCAAGGTTCAGCCCATTGTGCAGTGTGAAGCGTGCTCAGTGATGTTGGCAATGATGCCAGCTCGGAATCTACAAGCTTCCATGCATAGCAACATATGTGAAAATTGAACAGGGGCTGCAGCCTGCAGAATGCGCAGGGGCTGCGACTCTGCAACTCTGCGCCCCATGAAGACTGTCTTGCAGGAGTCTCAACATCTGCTATACGGCTACTGCGGCTGTGCTCGCTTGGCATAAAAACAGCCGCACAGTATCTCTCCTCAGGACATACGATTTCAAGGCACGCAACACGTTTACAACCCTCAACTTCTCAATCCACGCGCGCCGCCTTGTAAGCCATGCCCTTGATATTGAGCTGCTAACTTGAATAGGACGCAGCAGACGAGTCTCCCTGGAATGGGTCCAAGGACAATTAGACACCTTGCCCCATCGCTCCTCCTCCTCCTCCTTCACATTCTCCTCTTGCAACAAGGAAGCTGGGCAAAAGAGCCAGACTGCAGAAGGTCAGCAGTCAGAGCCAAGGCAAGTGTGTGGTTTTTCAGAAAACGCCGTCCAACTTGCGGACAGTGTTGGCCCTTTGGAACCTCTAGGGAAACTAGGGAGTTTAAGGAGTTCGAGGCCATTTCTTGTCAGGACGTATGTGATGAGCGCATCGCTGACTTCATGTACGAAATTTCAAAGTTTCGTCTCGATCCATGCATGCGTCTTATGAATTCCAACAACTTGTCAGAATGGGATATTCTCTTTCGAGACCCGAATGGAGAGCAATTTGGAACTGCTCAAAATGGCGTCAAGCATTGCATATGCGCTGTCACAATGATGGTTCAGCGTCTGGTGCTACAGCTCCCTGATACGGATCCATGTCAGCCTCCTCTCGCTCCAGATCTTTGTGATGGCTCAAGTGCAGAAGACCGGATGGTTAAGGCAAAATTGGAGATCATCGCAGAGCCTTGGTATCCCGAGTTGAGCACGAAAGACTCGTATCCCGAAGCTCAAGACATGATTTGGACTTTCGACAACCTTAACACTGACAGGTCTCAAATCTATTGCAACGCAGAATGGCAAGACTTTCAGTATCCTGGGGACACACGCGGCCAAGGAGGCTCAGAAGGACAGCGAGACAGCAACAGTAATTGCACCATCAAATTCGGTTATCGCGAGAATCCACTTTGGGGTAAGGTGGGGCTGTCTTGTACACCCGGCGTATGGGGAGGTATCCAAAAGCGACTTCTGCAACTGTACGAAAAGGATCCAGACGGGCAAGCTTACAGGAATGACATGATCAATCTGAGATATCAGTTCGCAAAGGAGCTTAGCATACGTCATGAAACCAGAGATTCTTCTCTACGACAGCTTTTGATGACTGCTGTGGCTCCGCATGAGTTGTTCACGGAGGGTTACAGGGAATTTCGTTAGCGAGGCCCATTGAGAAAGAAGTTTCTGTAGCAAGTCAAGCCTAGAGAGGCAACTTTACTAGCTTGAATAGAATGCTCTAAGCTTGAGCTACCTCTAAGAGTACTTGGCAATTTGAACGTCCTCCTTTGAGCTAGATCATCTTGCAAGAAGGTCGTGGTGCTTGACATAACCATAAGAGCTACTCAAGCACACATATGCATAGCTTTCAATTTTCTGCTAGAGATGCCAAGAAGTTGTAGCAGATGGCCGCCGGCACATGGTGATATGCCATACATAGCCATGCAAAGCTGCATGTAAAATGCTTAACAGTCCTGGTCATGGAGGTCGTGCTCTGGCCCCAGCCTTCAGATGGGTGGAATGACCATATGCTTGCTTCACTAAAATGTCTACCGCATGACTTGACGATGATATCTTTGCAATCAAGCGTTCTACCTGCAGCTCAAATACAGCTAGTGGCTGATGTATTGGAAGGCCATACTGACCACACCTTGTCCACACTCCTGTCGTAACAATAGATCCTGGATTGTGCTCAACTCTGGATTGCCAAAGTGGTTCCAGGATGATGTATCGCCGTAGAGCATCGCCTTTGCCTTGATGAATTGCTTGTCCTCACGGCAACGCTTGCACTTGAATTTGACATGCGTGTCGCTGATGGTGTGATCGTCAAACTTGAAGAGCTCCCTGAGATTATCCAGCGAAAAGTGGCGCTCGACATCTTCCCCGGCATCAACAACGCACGCCGACAGACTCTGCTTGTGAGATTGACGCTGAAATATCTTCTCCTCAATAGAGCCAGTGGAGATGAAGCGATACACGAAGCAGTCCTTCTTTTGTCCATCTCGCCATACTCGCGCCAAAGCTTGTTGATCTGCTGCAGGGTTCCAGTCCGGGTCAAACAAGATAAGGCGATTCGCGCCGATCAGATTGAGCCCACATCCTCCAGCCTTTGACGACAGCAGGAAGACGAACTCTTTGCCTTCCGGATCGTTGAACTTGTCCACGAGCTTTTGCCTTTTATTGACATTCATCGTACCATCAAGCCTGAAACAGCCATACCCACGTTTCCTGCACATTTGCTCAAAGATGTCTAGTGTTTGCGTGTAATTGCTGATGAGCACAATCTTGTCATCCGTTTCAGAACGAATGCGATGGAGCATACGATCTAAGACTGCCATCTTGCCGGAGTAGTGCACTTTAGGCTCCCTGTCATGTCGACCACGAGCGACTTTCGGCACAAAGTCTGATGGAAAGAAGGCGTCAGAGCCAGGCAAATCATCGGGCAAGTCAAGCAAATCTGGGTGATTGCACAGCTTTTTGAGTAGACCAATGGCTTTGAGGGGTTGTGAACCAACTCCGCGCAACAGCTTTTGGACATCGGGCGATGAGACAAAGTGCTTGTAGAGCGCGAGCTGGAATGGCGACAGGTTGCAAAAGACCACGTGCTCGTATTTGACGGGCAGGTACTTGCTGAGGATATCATTTGTGCGGCGGATGATGAACTTGTTGACAATTCCACCAAGCTCCTTGAGCTTTTCCTCGCCCTTTTGCACATCAAGCTCTGTGCCATCTGCATCGCGACCACGCAAAATGGGCAGCTCAAAGTTTTTTCGGAAGTCGGCGCGTGTTCCAAGCAAGTCTGGGTTTGCAAAGTTCAGCAGGGAAAAGTACTCTGACAAATCATTCTGTATTGGTGTGCCAGAAAGGATGACGCGACGCTTGCAATTGAGCGAGTTGAGCGCAGTGAACGTCTGCGACTCGCCATTCTTCAGGCGATGACCTTCATCGCAGAGCAATAAGCCAACCTCCGTACCTGCTAGTGCTTCAATGTTCATCCGTAGTGTTTCATAGGAAACGATCAAGACCGGGCGAACGATACCGCGACCAGATGCACCACACCAGCCTTTGAGTGCAACGCCAAGTTCTTCTTTGGAAAGCTTTCCATCTAATGCCAAAGGAGTAAGTGCCCCCTCACCAAGCCACTTGACCAGCTCGTTGGCCCAATTGCGTACCAGTGATGATGGACAAACAACAATACCTTTCTTGATCTCTCCTTGTCCTGCGATCGGTGATTGCTTCAAAAGTGTCCACATAAGGGCAATGCATTGCAAAGTCTTGCCAAGTCCCATCTCATCTGCCATGATGCAACCAAATGCCGATGGATGCAGTCTACCAGTCGTACACTTGTAGAGAAATTTGACACCCTCTACCTGATGCGGTCGCAAGCGACGTGCCAGTCTCGGATCAATCACCACTGGCACTTTTGGACGCGCCTCTTCAGACTTCTTGTCGAGACCGAGCATTTGTGCAAGGGACTTGTGTACTTTGCTTGGAGGTGGCGGCGGTGCGACTGTGACTTGCTCCTCTGCATTTGGATCTGCTTGCGATAGACATGTATTGATTTCAGGCACAGGCTCATCGTCGACTGTTGGATCATAGAGCACAATCGCGAATTCGCCCGCTGGATCATGGAGTGGACGTGGCACAAAGCTGGCTGGTCTGCGCATACCAAGAGTAACAGACGGTCGATATTCGTTATTCTCCTTCCCTGCAACCGGTATCGCAAATTTCTTCTTCATTGCGTTCGGATCCACGATGAGATTGACATTGCTGATGGTAGTTTGCTTGAGTGGCTTGAGGTTGTACTTGGCACGGATGTTGGCAGCCGCTTCTTCTGTTGCATACTGAGTATATGCCGCCTGCCGCGCCTCGCTGTACAGCGGGTCATCTTTTGTCCTTGTTGGTGTGTCCACATCCGCACTTCCCCCATCCAGTCCCGCATAGTTTACCAGCTTACGCTTCCTGCCACCAGTCTCTGGCTGTCGTCTCTTTGGCGTTGCTGATCCAGGGATCTTGAATGGCTGGCTCATGGTCAATGCACCATTGCCGACTCTGAATTGTGGCGACGGCGATGCGGTGCTCTGCGAAGACGATGTGTGTCGCTGAGACGGTGCAGAACTGCGTCTCATAGAAGCTGAAAGGCGCTCTTGCGGCAGAGAAAGCTGACTAACGAAGATGAAGATGCAGTATCGATGTCTAGCTGCTGTGTTGTGTGTTGTGTTTTTGTCGCGGTCGCGTCCTGTGCGCGTTGAAACGTTGAAAGTCAAAACACCACGAAAGACCTCGAAGGTTGCAGCTACACACAACTGCATGGTCCCTTAGATGCTTCCGCAGCTGAGCTCGAGCTGAGAAGTTGATGCATGTCAAGGAGATGCTATTGGAAACTTGACGCTCGATGAACTGGTTTGCACCATGTGCAGGCGCCGTCTGCAAATGCTATATCGAAGAACCTTCGGCTCATACAATGCTACGGCTTCCGCACCAGAAGATGATCTTTTTGTAATGTAAGCAGATCTGGGCTAGGCAAGAAAGGTCAGTTGAACTTGTTGGAGAGCTCAGAAATGTTCTACCTTGGGCTCATGCCCACCCAAATAGTGGCCAGGCAGAGCGATCACTGGGAAGTTCAAAGCACAAGCGTTGATGTGGAACGAAAGTCATGGCGCAGAATCTGTGGCTGCTAGATGTCTGGTACCCCGAGCTAAGAGCTCCCATTGACTGGGCCACTGGCTGTCCATGACTGTCAGTGAGAGGAGGAAGAAGACTCCTGACGAGCACCAACTCCTGATGAGTCAGTGATGGCCCTAGAAACCGAGTATGCAAAAGCCCTGAAAAGCTGCAACGCCGTCCTCCAGAGTATTGTGCCTTCTTGGGAAGGGAATCAGGCATGAGAAGTCCCACGCCAGGCATGATAGTGGCGACTGCGGCGCAAGGTGATCTCGCGAAAGTGGCCTTGGCCCCGGACATCGGCAGTCTGAGAAAAAGGAGAGAATCTTGCTTTTCGACCCCAACGGGGATAAGAAGCCTCGCTTCCGCATGGGCGACAACCTCACCCAACTTACTCGTTTGCAAGTGATTCGACTTCTAGCCCTCGGTCACTGCTTCGTCGCCAAGTTGAATTGCCGCAGCTGATACCGAACCATGTTGCGCTCTCTTCTTGGCCTGATATGCTTTGCCAGACATGTGTCGCTACACCTGTCGCTATTGTCTTCCATTCATCAAGGCATACGTGTAAGAGTCAATGCAAGCAATTGCATTCAGTACGACACTGAGGCATACTTGATGGTGGAACGCTGGTCTCCTCATTCAGACTGCGAATTCGGCACAGAAGAGGTGACGCCCAAAGGATGCTGGTCATTCGCGGGGAAGCGAACGTCGAGATCAATGCCAGATGACGAAGAGGCATTGAGCACTGGTTTCCACTCAGAACCAAGACAGGAAGCAACAATCTCGTGCAAGACAATCTCCTCGGAGCACATTGCTGATCTGATTTACAGCACAGCCAGAGCCCGCGTAGATCTGTGTTTACACGTTATGAATACGAGCCAAGCCTCGTTTTGGGATGTCCTCTTTCGAGATCCAGTCTCGAAAAGCATCATTCAAGATACGACATGTGAGTGTACGATAAAGATGGCCGTTCAGCGTATCACGACGAATCCTCCAAGGAGCACCAACTTAGAGATCCTTTCTAATTGCCTTTTCTGTCGTCCCAACCCGTTCGATGTGGGCTACTGCGCGACCAACAGATTGGTCGACCGGATGTTCAGTTTCGACATGGATCTTCGACGAGAAACGTGGTATCCCAAGCTTACCCAGCAAGACGACAGCCGAGCTCATCAAATACATCACGGAGGATGGGGAAACCTTGTCGGGGATCAGACGTTGCCATTCAATTGCGACGCGGAACTCAGGGACGAGTTTGCCAATCAGATCGACAACATGCTCTCCAATGACAACTGCACCATCAAGTTTTACAAGCGAGCCGACCCCTTGTATGGTAACATCGGCATCTGTTGTATTGGAGTTTCAGAGCACATGAGCCCAATCATCAAGCGGCTTGCGCTTTTGTATGAAAACGATCCACTCGGTTTGGCTCACAGGAAGCAGAGACAGGCCGAAGTCAATAGTGTTCTTAACGAACTCAGACGCTGGTGTGTCAATGCGACTATTCACAATGATTTGCAGGAACGTCTCGTGGAAGGCTGGAGGGCTGAGCTGAGCAAGTATGTTCAGGTGCCTGAAATGATGTTCTATTAGCAGAGATAGAAGTCTTTCAAATGAAAGCATGTGAATGATGACCATCAAGCGTCTTGTCGAATTAATCGAAGTATCAATGCCCCAGCCAAAGTGAATATACCTTCTGGTGCGTCAACTGCACTTTGAGTCTTAGCAATCTGACTGACAGCAAGGGCTAGTACGTCATCATCACGACGTCGAATCACGTCAAGTGGCGACCCGAGCTGGCGATTTTCAGATGAGGGTCTAATCTAGAAACACAATTCCTGCTACGCTCAAGAAATGACATATACTTAGTCTACAACTTGGCCTTGAGCGGTGCAGCAGCTGGTTTCAAATGCAACTCTACTCTCAGCCGCTCGACCAACCTCAGCAAGTCATTTGGAAGGTGCGTGTTGCGAACACCACTCCTACTTCCCTCTTTGCGACTGTATCCAATTTGTCGCACATGTTCAATCAACTTGCCCTCTGGTACAATCTTGCCCTTTTCATTGCGCGATGGCAGCCACTCTGGTGACAACTGAATGCGAAGATCCTTCTTCTTGGCACCCTTTACCATGGTAATGGCACCGAGGGAGTAGTAGTACTGCAATGCATTCTGCAGCGTCTCAGACGAAACTGCAGTGATGTACGACACATCACCTTGGTGAAAGAGTGTCTTACCAAGCAGCTGAACAGCCTTTTCATAGTCCTTGACGAGAACTGGCTCTGACAAGGGTGTCAGTGGTGTCAACGCCAGCAAACATACACCTGCAAACCAATAAGTCTCCACAAACGGCCACAACAGGAAACAGTAAAAGTCAAACATCTCCCGACCACGCATCCGTTCTTGGTCACTCAATTCTATCCAGCCTTCTCCGATGTTAATCACACCATCAGCAGAGAGTTGCGAGGTGGCTTGTTGCAGGTTCAGCTCAATCCCTTGTGTGTTCCAGATGAACTCGCCCTTCATGACGCGAGAGAGGAACAGTGTTTGGCGTTGCAAGTCATCCGCTGAGATGCGCTGATCGCTGGCCTTGCCACCTGCCTTGACTTTTGTATAGAGCGAAACGCAAATGACTGCTTCATTGATAAATAAGTGAATGATCTGATTCCTGAAATAGGAAATTTGGAACCGGTCAGCAGCGTAGTATGTATCTTCTAGCAAGTCTGTCCTGATACCCACGAGCTTGCCAAGCACGCTAATGGCCTTGTCGACAATCGTCTCATAATTGTCAATGGATGCCACACGACCTCCTTTGTGCCTGATGAGGTCTGATAGCTCCTGCACACGCTTGACCAAATTGGATTTGCTAATGCCAGGTCCACGCAACGTCAGCAAAACAGTTGCAATCAATGCAGTTGGCATCACGACACTAGCTTGATTGATGTCATGTAGAACACTGTACCCGAGACGCCTGAGAATTGGAGTTGAATTCTGTGCAAACATCTCGCGCTCTGTTGTAGCGGCTGGGTAGTCCTTTGGATCCATGAACCCCGTTTCACGGAGGTAGTCACGAATACTGAAGCCCTCGGCGAAGCGACAATCGATACGACCCATGCGCAATGCAAGAACGCGTCTGGCTTTGACAAATGAGGAAAGTGATTCCTTGGTTTTAGGCCGGCCGAGGAGTTCATTGGCGTAGGTCTCCGTCTCGAGCACATTGTCGTACTGCACACTCACAGGCACGACGATGGCGTCCTTATCAAGTCGTAAGAGAGACTCACAGAGTTCTTTGAGCATGCCGTACTTGGGCGGCAGCATCTTGCCGGTACGAGAACGTCCTCCCTCAATGAAGCACTCGAAGTTCTGGCCACGCTCCATCAGTGTGTCAATGTAACTCGTCATGAGTGTTGCATACATTGGATTTACCGCTTCACTCGGTGTTTCTCTCGCAATCCAAAAGGCACCACAGTTCTGAAGAAACTTGCCGACGAGTGGGAAGTTGAGGTTCTCACCGGCGACGATACTTGGCAGACTCAATCCGAGTTGAAACAAGATGATGTGAAGAGAGACGTAGTCGACATGACTGCGATGACAAGGAAGAAAGAGGATACTTTGCTTCTTCAATGCTGCCACGCGGGCCGTTTCTCGAAGCCGTCTGATCTCAGTTCGATCGACCCAGACACCCTGATCGTAGATGGTGTGCATCATACTGCCGACCGACCACGCAGCGAACCGAATGAGGCGAATGTACTCTTGACGAGCAACAAAATACTCTGCCTGCTTCCTTGCTGCCTTCTTGACTTCTGCTTTACTCTTCTTTTGACGAGCAGCAACGACCTCGATACGTTGCCGTGTCAATGGATTCGCCATGATTTGATCAATGACTTCGGCTACATGACCACGATAGAAGATTTTGCTGCCAATGTAGGAATCGTATCGGTTTCGATTGTCTCCCCGAAGGAGCTGTGAATCGCTGCTCATGGTGTGTTGGGCCTTGGTGCAATGTCTTTTGTAAAGTGGTAGGCGACGGACGAAGTGTTGATATAGCTACAGGACAGTAGTACAAAGCTCGAGGGCGGCTCAGTCGATAAGAAGCGTCAGATTTACAGTTGGATTTTTCTGTCGCGTTTGCTGGCCGCGGTTCCCCTGTCCCCGCCATTGAGAGAGGGCCAGTCAGTGGTGGGGGAAGAGCAGCGAGGTTGGGGAGGCCTGGGCCAGCAGCAGCAGTCATATATTGCAGTGCACAATACACCACGGCAAAATGTACCGACTCACCGATTGCTGTCTAGTCTACGTGAAGCGGTACTTCTCCTCACTGCCAATCGTCTCACTAGTCCGTGACGGACACTGGCGATGGCTGTGACTGCTTCTGATGAGCTCGGTTCCGAGGCGTGTGCTCCGATGGGGAAGTTGCAAGCGAGATCTCGAGATTGGCAGAGATGACAGCAGCAAAAGAAGCTTATGTACACAAGATGTACAGCTACTTATCTACTCAACTGCCTCAGTCATCATGGACACTCGGGACACGCATGCATTCAGTGCAGACCACAGCTCAGGTGGACTTGCTAGACTGCTCGGCCAACAGCCATCTTCCGCCGCAGACCAGGATGCCAGCACAGTGCCAGGCCTTGCTGCATCAGAGTCACGCGAACAGCACCTGGACGCGTCTTCATCTGCAGACTTCAACCAGGAGGCATTTTCAGACGTAGAGATGACTTCAGATAATCTCACTGCCCCTGAACAGTCGCACAAAGGGACCGCACCAGAGCGCCCACCGACACGCAGCCGCACCAATACCTTGACGCGCGTCACGCTCGATACTGACAGCTCTGTCCAACAAGCAAGGTCTGCCGCGCCCTCTCCGCCTCCGCAGCGATCGCATCAAACAGACGGCAAGGGCAGGCCTAAACGGCCCGCCGCTCTAGATCTCACAAGCGCAGCAATCTCTCCTCCAGGCGCACCAAAGTTGAATGATGTTTCGACGCCGCTTCCATGGGGCGAGGCGCTGCCTACGCCGCGTATCGTTGAACACAGTCAGGCTTCGTTCAATCGGTCAATTCCGGGATCGCGTATCCCGTCTGGCATGGCCAGAACACCTGTGGGCTCGCCCCTCTCTGTCGGGCTCGTTCAAGCATACGACGATCAAGATCCTCGTTTCGCTCGTCGATCATGAACAGACGGCTCTTTGCGACGGCAGCGATGCTTCGGATGTCTCAGGATAGGCACATCTTCCGACGCAACATCACTGCCTACGACCAGCTCATTTCGGCTAGCTGGACCCCCGCAGCTAACAGGGAGAATATGTTCGTCCAGTTCTGTTTGCCTGCATACAAACATTTGGCTTTTGCAGTCTCCTGGCACACTTCTACAGCCTTCTACGGCATCGTGCAGCCACAGTGGTATCCGAGCTCGTGCACCAATCCCACTGCAGATATCGGCCGGACTGACAGGCTGTAGCAACTCTGCACAGTAGGCACTGCCAAGCAACCACTTGGCCCACTTAACAATCAAAGCCTCCCTCTGTCAGCTCACAATGGCTAGTTCCATCTTTCGCGGCTACCCAGTATCTCTGCACAAAGCATGTACCCCGCCGTCTTCTACGCTATATGTCACTTTGCATCAGCGCTTCAAGTGACCAAGCCCAATAGCAAGTCTGCCGTCATTCAGAACCAACCCTTCATCTTCAACTGGCAGACGAGTGCTTCCGATGATTACAAGTACTTTGTTGTGAGGTGGCGGACAGCTGAAGGCACAGACACGCATCAACTTGACCTTCTTCTACGAACAAAAGGCAACCCCAACGGCCTTGGTATCAGCATGCACAGCTCATTCCCGGAGGCTGATCAGAACTACCAATTCCTCATCCATTCTCAAGGCAACAATGAAAGTGAATCAGTCCTGGTCGCCGCTTCGCAGCCCTTTCGTGTTGTTCGCGACGAAAAAGCAGCACACTTGTTTACTGGATGTAAGTTGCTTTGACATGCTTCACGCTTGTACTGACAGCAGTGACTTCTAGCGAGATAGCGGCTTTTGTGCCGCCTGATGTGGAGTTAGAGGATGACATGAACGAGAACCCAGCTTTAGTGGCATGGGCAACAACAGCCTCCAGGGTATTTGATGAGGCACAGGATGAAGACGTGCTACCGCCAAGCAGCACGAACTCATCGCCATCGCCAACACACACAGTGCGGCTTGTCGCCCATCCTCTCAGACTCGGCAAGGTTCTGCTTGGCACGTCAAGTCAGGGGTCTGTGACCTGCTCAATCAGCAGCGGACTCGCTTTGTCCGCTTTGCTGCTTCAAGCAACACTCTTTTTCTATCAGGTTTAGCGACGCGTTTCTTTCGTCTTACACGAATACAATGCTTCTTCTTTTTCATCATCAGCGCGATAGCGCGAATGAGTGGCAGTGCAGTTGAGTCGTAACAAATTTGCGACCCGAAGTCACCCAACCTCCACGCGAGCTGTGGAATTCAGGAGAACTCGCCTTCAAGCCAGGCTGAATACACGCCTTGCCCATGCAAAATGTCGCACCACGTTTGATCCGGACCCCTTTCTCGCTGATCGTAGTGTGCGAGGTCTTTTTTTAGCTCACACTCTGATCTCCCCGTCAAATCAGTGCGAACCACGCTGCCATCCTTTGGCTATAAAGAGGTCCGTGGCCAAGATGCAAGCACTCAATCCTCAAGTCAACAACAATCATGCTCGTCTCTATCCTCCCCCTCTCCCTCACTGCAATCCTATCTGTCTCGGCTCTCACCATCGAGGAACCCAACGCCAAATCCAAGATTTCCAAGGACAGCGAGTTCACTTTCCAGTGGACCAAGGAAGGCAGCGAAGACTTCAAGACCTTTGTGGTCAACTACAAAGCCAAGAATAGCAACGAAATCTTGGGAACCATGACGCCGGTCAATTTGGACGGCAACCCGCAGAAACAGGGTATCTCATTGAGCGGTTCAGTCTTCAATGCCTTCAACTTCAAGGACTACATTATCGTTGCTCAAGCCAACAACTCCGCTGGCAAACTCGTCGATGTGGCCGAGTCTAGCCTCTTCCGCGTCTTCAACACAAAAGCAGAAGCCGCTACCTTCACTGGATGTACGTACTCCTGACACCTGTTGCCGCGGGAAGTCTAACAAGCAGTGACCCCAGATGAGATCAAGAAGAACACCCCATCCACCTCAGCTACCACATCGCCCTCTGCAATCAGCACTACTGATGTTGATTCGTCTGAGCCAACCGGCACGTCTACCGCCCTTTCAGGTTCCACCACCCGTGGTCTCAACAGTCTTCGCTCACCCACCCCATCGAGCTTGTCCTCGACCATTACCAGCAAGTCTGCAGCTTCTATCGTCCAAGCTGGCACTGCACTCCTGGCCGGCTCCTTGCTCCTTGCAGCCTCTCTCATCTAATCTCAAAGACTCATCTTTCAGCATCCGCTGCATGTCGGCAAATATCACAGTTATAATTTTACTCGTAGATTGGCTAGTTCTGAATTGCTTCCTGCTCAACAATGCTTGACTGGTCTACTGTACTGGCCTATTGTACTTTCTGCATAGCCTCTGTCTGCGTAATCTTTACTACCAGACTTGCAAGAGTGCAGTTCGTGTCCACAGAACTCAAGACCCGTTGTCTCTAACACAATATGAATATAGAAGCCTACTAGACACTACTCTGTCCAGCTACATCAATCATGCTAGCTGTGTCACGCCCACGAGTCGACTCGGCTGACACATCTGCCGAGCATGAAGCTTTTCCACAACCAATTGCTGCAGATGTTGCCAGCATGAGATGACTTGAATTGTAATAACGATAGGCTCTTTGACGACGAAGCTTCAGCTCTCAGCCAGAGTAAAGCGATAGATGGAAGACTTTTTTTCACCTTTCGGCACTCTTTGGCTCGAGGCCAAATCTGCGGGCAGATCTAGTCGAGGCGTGTCATCTTCAAGGCTTGAGACATGGTATTCATACTTCCAAGGGTCGTGGCTTTCCAGCTTCCGCATCGCCTCGCTTCTGACCGATGATTTAATCTATTAGGGGCTCACGCAGCTTCTGTCAGCTCTCTGTCTCTGTTAACAACCAGAGGTAGCTAGTGCTAGCGTGAAATCCACAGCATGCGCGATCACAATCGTGGCAGTGCTTTCGTCTACATTCAGCCTGCTGCAGTAGCTTTCTCGTGGGCATACAATCATGCAAGCTTCATTTTATTTTGTGACCATGTGGCCAGGGGTACTGTGTTCGCCTTCCCTCGTTGATCACGGGGACGCTGTGTCTACATTTCGACTACATTGTCGAAGCTCTGACATCACGCTTCTTGCTGAGAGTCTGTAGCCTGTAGGCTGAAATCTACGTCATCAACCATGTGAGTTATTCTCTGTGCAGCTACCGATTCTTCTGAAGACAAACTACACGCCTGTCATTGATCAGACAAGATATGTCACACACGTGCTGCCTCGTCTTGGCCACATCAGAGCACATGAATATCCCTTGTGTTGAGAAGCATGGCTTGTCAGATACTACAGTCGCAGGCTACGAAGTATGCAGTGCTGTTGTAGCTCTTGTGTATGCTCTGCATCTGCAGCTGCACAATGGAAATTGAGGTCCATCTGCCGCACGAGAATATTAGCGCCAGGTAAACAGGCACCATAATCATTCGCAGGTGGGTCGATCAGAAACGCATCCTTGAGCTGGTAGTATGATGGCCGAGATGATCCTCCTAGGCCGCTTCATGTGCAAGCAGAGTTCTTAGAAAGTCAGCGTGAGATGCTAGCCCTGTACCCAAAAGAAACACTCAAGAGCTCATGAGAGTGCACCAAATTAGTGGCAACTCCTGCATGAAGTGACCATCTGGCAATAACCAATTCCGTGATGAACAGAAGGTGGCAGCAACGATCGATGTGTCTGCATGTGAAGAGCCTGGCATCCGCCCCCAGCCGTCGCTGCAGCCGCCAAGTCTTTCTCAACTATCCTCTATTGCAATTGAATCGCAGCACGCTGGCACAATACGGTGACGAATGCTGGCGATAACCAGTGTTGATCTTTCTCCAAGTCGCGGACCTGCGCCCTCCTCCTCCAAAGTGCGACTCAAAGAGGAGCTTTGCTGATTCAGAGATGTGCTCGCGCGATGCATATGCACCAGGACAGAACACACCACTACGGGAGCCTCCGATTGCAAGCTGCGAAGCTGCCTTTGCAATGCGTATTGCTGAACTGATTTACAGCATCACTAGAGTTCAAGCAGATCCTTGCATACACATTTTGGACACAACGGATTCTTCAGCCTGGGATATTCTCTTCCGTGACTCGCGGCGCCTATTGACGAACCCTTATACATGTATATGGGAAGTCGAGATGGTTATGCAGCGAGTGATTAAAACTGTACCGATTCCGTCTTCCCAATCCTGGCCTCCTGTCTTCGGCTCTGGATTTTGTGAAGTGACATCAACCATAAAGCGAATTCTCAAAGTCGACAGGGTGCTCCAGCGACGGTCATGGTACCCCAAGCTTACGTACACGGACGATCGCAAAAGTCCAGATTACATCTTGACAGATCACTGATGGGATGCGGAAGCCGTCGACCCCGAACTTGTTTGCGGCGGCCTATGCGATGCAGAAGTTCAGAATGTTTTGACCCACGAGAAAGTTAATATACAGCCTGATTGTTTTCCTTCTCCTGGCTCGAGCAATTGCACCATCAAATATCAACGTGGTAACGTACCACAGTCAAACTACGCCATGTTCTGCTGCAAAGGAGACCACAGTGCTCTGATCATGGAGCGGGGTGAGCTCTTAAATTCGGCTGATCCATACAGTAAATTTCTAACTTGGCGATGCTTACCAAGATGTGTGCAAGAAGTTTGAAATTCCCGACTCAATAGCAGACATGATCGCAAAAAAAGCTGGTCCGAGTATACAGCAGGGGTGGCAGTGGTCTCAAACGGACTTCATGTAGATCTAACTCGAAATACGGAGATTGTGCTGTTGCAGACGATGAAGTCTCATGATTCGAGCAATTGCACCATCAAATATTACCGTGAGGACGTATCACAGTCAAATTACTCCATGGTTTGCTGCAAAGGAGACCACAGCGTTCTGATCACGGAGCGGGGTGAGCTCTCATATTCGAATGATCCACACGGTAAATCTCTTGAAAAAAGAGGCGATGCTTACTAAGATGTGAGCAAAAAGTTTAAAGTCTCTGACCCGATAGCAGACATGACCGTGGAGAGATCCTATTAGAGTCACAGCTAGAGAAGCTGTCCCAAATGGGCTTTATGTAACTCAAAACGGAGAAACTGTGATGTTGCAAATAATGGAGCAATACTGCTATCGCAAGCTTGTCGTTGAGCATGTCGGCTTCCACAACTGGGAGGCTTACAAGGAGGTATGCAAGTCAAAAAAAGTGAAAAATACCTTGTGAGTCGATAGTTTGAGTTAGAGTGAGCCTTCAAAGACATTCGTGACGTCCTGACGTCGCTTATGCATGCTTCGAACTCATCGTAGCCGGCAGTGTGTATGAGCAATAAATCAGAACTACGAAGAACGAGATGATTGACAAATGGAAACGTGAAGTGTGTGCTACGCTTATAAAACTTGACATGGCTCAGCATTTGAAAGTACGCGGCAGAGCCTCATAACCTTGGCGGATGGCACTCAAAGAAGTGTTCCCTCGAGATCGTTATGAGCGCTGCACGCTTACGAGGAAACTTGAAGTCCTTCATCCGTCAGTTTCAAGACCCAATGAGATAGTTGATGAACTTATCATTGTCTGCTCGCAGCTCCAACACGACCCTCATTATCCTGGCCCTGGGATCTGCCAGGAAGCGGTAATGCGTCAATAAAGCAATCCAATGCGGCATCATGTGTGGCCCACGGTACAACGTGACACCGACAAGTGCAAGAAAGCCCCGATCATAGTTTGAGCATCAGCAAATGGTGCAACGTTAAAAATCAGTGGGGTCGAGCAGCTTGATTTGTTTGACGCTGTTTTGTATTCGGCGCGTTTCGTTGTCTGGTTGCAAAATCGGAAATCCGGACTGGCCTTGACAAGCAGGTCCAAGCCAACGGCTGCTGACCAGATTCGCTTTCGTAGTGAAAACAGCACTGTTCTCGACCTAAGTAGACTTCTTCAGCTCGAGCTCAGCTTTAGGCACACTATGTATGACATGGTCGCGCAGACGCACTGCACGATTCTGTTGAATGCTTGGAGCCGGGTCCACGACCAAGGAAGAATTGTGATCGGCCGTGCCTCAAGTTGTGCGGCGAAACTTGCGGAACGTAGTGCTCTGTACTCTTCAAGCAACCCGTGATGCTAGACTGCGGTCATGATCGAGACGGGCTAACCTGCTGGGAGTCGCAGAACATGTCACTAACACGCTGTCCGATTACAGTGAAGCACAGCATCGAAAGTTGTGGCCATGAGGTGATGCTGCCTTGCTTCAATCGCTCTGAAACGCTAGTCTACCGCCAGCTATCTGCGGAAATGTCTACCATGTGGCCATGACTGCAAGCGCCTTTGCAAGCAATGTCGCGTCGAAACGCCTACTGATCACATTTAACTCGCGGATGATGAGGAAGTCGTCAAACGCTTGTATGTGGACCCTGTAAGCAGATCTGTGGCCGAGCGTTCACAACATGCAGCCACTCTTGACAGAAAGTTTGTCACAGTTCAACGCCATGTTCTCCATACAACGCCAAGTGAGATGACATGGGCTGCATGATTGAGCATGCATCACAGTGCTCAAGCAATGTCTTTGATGCCACCGAGTCGATCGCAATGAGACAAATGTCAAGTACCTCAACAGAGCGTCTTTTTGAGCTTTGTTCCATGGACATAAGGAGTCAATCACCCGCACTCCGTTCTCTGAAACAGGTCAACCTCTGTTCCCCAATGAAGGGGAAGTAGGGTAATGCCCTCCCGAGCTGCCGAATTGGTCGGCGATGAGCGTGACGACGAGCGCCCTGCAAACACTCGCAACAGTATGTTCGTCACGCTATGTTCAATGGACGTAGAACGGGATGGACGTCTTGGCCATGTGGGCAACCGCGCTAATCTCGCGCGAGGAACTACAGCACAGCCGGCACTATCATAGATATCAGGGGTTGACATTTTGCTTTCGCTCTGGACAGAACAAGGATTGTACTAAAGCTTGATCTGCTAATCATTTACGGGCCATCATCAGCTTTGTACGTACTCGTAGCGACTGCGCGACACATGGAAACCTCTACGTGCCAGATTGTACGGAGAAGGGTATCCTCGTCGCATGCTGGCCTGGGCTGTTCAACATGCGTTCGATACCACACTGACACAGCCACTCGTACCTTCGCAGATGATTGTTTGTCAATTTGCTGCGTCGATCTCAAAATTCAGGGGCGTTTTCACGGTGGCTCTGCTGCAAATCATGACACGCGGCATGAGCAGGGAAAAAAAGGGAAGGACTGCGAGCCTGACGAAGCCTATAAGAAGCCGAGCTCAGCTCAGCACCTCTTCCTTCCCTCAACCATCTTTCTCCCCCTCTGTGGCACTTCGCTCACTCTCTCAAGGTTTTCAACCCTCAACACGAAAGGTCACTCCAGCAAGATGCAGTTCAAGCTCCTCCTCCCCGTCTTGGCTACTGCCTACGCAGTTGCGGCCCAGGTTCCTGCTAGTGCGTCGCCAACTCCTGCTAGCGAGGCACCAACGCCTGCTAGCGAAGCACCAACCTCGCTTCCTACCACACTTATGCCCATGGGCAATGAGGCGACGGCGACTCCAGCCGTCAACATCAAGGACATCAACAGTGTTGGCGACAGCACCACCACATCTGGTGGTGTTGGTCTCTCCTCGGTGGACGAGAGTCAGTCCACCGCAACACCTATGCCTACATCTGGATCAAATGTCCTCCCACTAAGCAAGAAAGGTGCTGCCAATCAACTCACAACTTCTGGCAGCCTGTCAGCTCTTGCTATCTTCATGGCCGCAGGTGTTGCACTCGCCTACTAGGAGTATTCTCTCAACCACTCATCCCACCACAAGTCATATTTCTCACACAACACAACGAATAGACTTTATAGCTAATTTGATCATTTCTGTTTCTTTCGTGCTATTCTATGCTGCTAAGACACTGTCAAGCATCTGGTCTGTCTCTTCCACGGGTATCTGCTGGCCCTCAGTATCTGACTGAAGCAGCTGGCACTCGTGACCGACACCAACCACTGTGACCCGAGGATTCAATGCCCGTACTCGACGAATGTACATGTCAAAGAAGCCACCCCCGTAGCCAACACGCCGTCCATCTTTCGAGAAGACGACACCCGGACATATAATCAGATCTGCAGATGCATGTTCGAAAATCTCTTCGCGATCGAGTGGTGGCTCCGGAATGCCATAGTTTGATCGTTCAAACGCACCAATTTCCTCAACCGATAGCAGCCGAAGCATCTGCATCACTTGTTTCCGGCGTGACCTGCCCGTCTCATCGAGTCCACCGAGTTTGAATGCTGGATTGTCGATAATTCTGGGGACAAAGACGTCCTTGCCATCGCTCAATAAAGCTTGCAAGATTGGTTTCGTGTCTAATTCGTGGTCCATGGAGATGAAGCAGCTGACACGTTGAGCTTCTTTCCATATACTTGGGCCACCGTTATGAGCGGCAAGCTGGCGTAGACGAGCGAGAATAGCTGCAGGCGCAGCTAGCTTCTTTTGCGGTGGAAGAGCATCCATGCGTGCAAGCGACTCTTTTCTTAGCAAGGCTTTCAGTTGTTTCGTTGTTTGTTTTCCCATGGTAGAAATAGTCCCAACCATCAGCTTCGCCACGCTCATTCGCCGTGCATAGGTGCTAGCCACAGGTAGTGTCAAACAACCCAGCTGCAGTCGTCGTAAAAGAGTCGAAGTCCGAGTTGGCAGGGCATCTGAAAGTCCTCTTAACTCGAACAGATCTTTCACATCTCTCATCTGCCAGACACTTAGAGTCGTCGAGGCGTGGTTCTTCCACTTCTGTTGCTTTAGCTGGTGGATGAGTTCATCATGTGTAGTTGTACGCTCAAGAAGTATCGCTCTTTGGCGGCGTGATGCTCCAACATCGCTTGCAAGACTACGAAGAAACGATCTTTTACACCCTGCACCAAGACAAACTACGAGTCTGTGCTATCATTGCTATAGAAACACAGCTCGCAGCTTTTCAACAACATTCAAGCGACAAGAAAAGTCGGCCTTGTGTCTAGAAACGAAGCACATCTTCAGTCGTGTACCCCAACCAATAGCTATTGTCACTGCAGCGCTTCCATCTGCTACAACGAGCACAGGAGGAGTTCATGAGTCAGCAAGAGCAATCACGTTATCTTCCCTCACATGCTTATCGCTCGAACCGGAGCCACTTGTTACATTCAATGTCAAGTTGCCAAGCAGAGCGCTCGACGTAATACGGGCAGCTGGCAAACTTGTGGTCAATCTTCTGCTGACCTATTCAACGGAGCATGTCGAATTGGCTCGAAAGTTCGCCAAGCCCATGCCAACATCTTTCGGCTCATTATCCTCTGAGGACGCAAGCAAGGTTATCTTTGACCCTGCTTTCTGGCATGTGCAGGATGAACAAAAAGGCGTGCCACAGTTACGACATGCAGGCGCTGCAAAGTTATACTGCACAGTCCAACAAGTCATGACCGTTGCAGATCATGCAATTGTCGTAGCGCGAGTCGATGTGACCAGAGATCTGACAGAAGAAGGTCTGCCAGCGCTGGTCTACAAAGGTCACCAATTCATGTGCACCAAGGAAACATCAAGCCACTAGAAGTTCAGCGTCTTTTGCTGTAGATAGATCAGCGAAGCTAATTAAGAACTCCAGCAGGAACAGTGCCTGTATACGTCTGCAAAAGATCCGCCTGCTGCTGCATCTCATGCAACGACTTGAGCAAATCAGCTTCAGCCTGCAGCCGCATGTCTCGCACCTGCTCTCGCTCCATGCGTCGATCTTGGTACTCCTTCAACAAGAGGTCCTCGTGCTCTGTTGCAAGTCTGTCAAGATCTTGTTGAATCTTGGTTCGCCGAAGAGAGAGCTTATCGGCCTTGGCACGCGTTTTGGCTGCATCCTGCTCAGCCGTTGCAAAACGACGCTCGTGTGCAGCTTTCGTCTCCTCAAAGGCATGCTTGGCAGCCTGCAACAAAGCAGCTTCATGCATTGCCTTGTCGTGCTCGGATTGCCATCGACGCGCCTGCTGCTCATGCTCAGAAACAAGCTGCTGGCGTTCCGCCTCCATCTCATCAATCGACTCTTGAATGCGTTTCACTTCATTTTGCAAAGAAAGCATTCGACCTTGCATGCGCATCTCCGTCTTGTCAGTGCCTGTTGTCCGCTGAGCCAAGTGATCCACTTCACGCTGGAGAAGCTGCAAACGCTTGGTATTCTCCTTTCGTGTACGCTTCAGAGCAGCTCGCTTCTCCTCCAGCTTGGCGGCAGCAATGGCAATAGAGTCCTCTAGTGTCGTGATGGGAGACAAGGGACCATTCGGATGAGCCGTGTTGTCGGTGGACAAGACAGGCTCTTCGGGAGTATTGCCTTGCCCAGTCGTGACAGTCGCTGCAATCGTTGCATTTTGTAGATTGGTGTTGATGGCAGGAAGCGAAGAATCGCCACGTAAACGACGAGGCTGGTGAGCATCGCGTGAGCTTGTACAGATTGCAAAGTGGTAACGACCGAGGTTTGGTTCAGTGAACTCAAGCGCAATGTCGTATTCTGTCTTGGGCGACAAGTTCTCAACAAACAGGGACCAGGTCGTTTCAGTATTGTCGGAGCTCGCGATGGGTTTTGCGTCCCATGGCAGGCCGTTGACTTGCATGGTGAGTTGCGGCGACTCTGTCGATCCAGTCGATACACAAAGAGAGACATACCAGGGCGTAATCTCTGCCACCCACGCACTGGGTGGGCCTACGTTCAGCGGTGGATCGCCCTGTCGTTTATTCATTGTATCAATACGCCAATTCAAAAATTGATCCCAGATAGAGGGTTGCCGTGCGTCCATCTTCAACTCGGCTGTGATGGCTTGTTGCTGCTGTTGCTGGTGCCGTTTCTTCTTGCTACCGCTTTCATCCCGTTTGGATGGCGGTACAGATGAAGCATGAGAAGACTGGATCCAATACTTGACAAGCCGAATCAACCCCAATGAAAAGACGTGGATCGCCACAGCCGACTTGACGCTGCCCATGACGGTATCAGAGAGCGTGTAGCTACTCGACAATTCTGGTGGATTCGCAACGAGTCCTCGCAAAGGCCTCAAGAGTTGTGAGCCGAAACGATGCCATGCAGACTGCAGCCAGCTGCTTTCCTCCATGTTCCAGTCTTGTAGCCGACCTAAATTGGCCAACTTGTTCAAGGCAACCCGCATCGAAGTTAATGCAGCTGCAAATGGGAAAGTGTAGCGCCACTTGGCGCCTGACATGCTGATGGCGATAATGACATGGGAGATATCGGTGATGGTGCTTCGCAGCGAGGGCAAAATGACAGCCGTAAACAATACGACGATGGCATCAACAAACAGAATCATGAACAGGGGCGGCGAGGCCAGACTAGATGACGCAGCCGAAACGTGTTCTTTGTAGGAGAACATGAGGTGAGTCACCATGACGAGGACATTTGGGAAATTGATGAGGATGAGGACGAGCGCAAGCGTGTCGGCCACCGGGTATGTGGGCAGAACGAATTCCTGATGCGAGGGATCTTTGAAGGATAGTTGCATCGTCTCCGCTTCGGGTACCTGTTCAGCATGCACCACATCACCGTTGCTTTTGACCTGCTGCTTCGCAACGAAGGGAACGTCCGCGTTGGCATAGTGCTTGTGGCAGCTGCAGAGGTTCATATGAGCCTCAACTGCTGGTGGATGAATGCCAAGCTGATCAATAGCAGATGCCTCTGTTGTAGTAGCACCATGTTTCTTGTGTGTATGCTGTCCAGAGCCGGCGCTTCCATTGCTGCTGCTGTTGCTGTTGGTATTTGCTAAGCGCTGCCTGGGTCGAGCCAAGTTCTGCTTCTTGACTGCATGCTGAGGCATAGGCCGCAGAAGCCAGCGAGGTTCAGGCCTAATGAGACTGTTGCCCAACCGATATAGAAGAATGACTTGCTCAGCAAGAGAGTATTGCGGGAAGCAAAAAGCTTAAGTGTGTCGCGTCGTTTTGCTGACAAGTGCGAATCGCGCAGTAGATGAATGTGGGAAGAAGCCTGTTTAGTACTCAGATGCCGTAGGACCAAAAGATGCAACGAGTTGCCCAGCGAGTCTCGCACTCGTGACCTCCGTGTTGCCACGAGGTCGCTTGGTTTCCTTTTCGATCAAACACGGAGCAGCGAGGCGTGTTGATTGCACCAGGCAAGAGGCCCTGTGTCCTGCGCAGTCGAGGATGAAGCAGTCTCTATCCGACCAAGAGAACGAGCACCGGGAGGTCACAGGATGGTGTGTGCAGGCGTGTTGCTTGTGTCGGTTACGCCTTCCCTTGTCAAATTTTCATCTCGGCGGCAGCGCACGAGGCAACAGGGGAAGAGACAAAGGGACCGATCTACGGATACTACTGCTGCTGCTCATCTGCAGTGTTGGGCCTGGCAAACGGATTGGCTTCTTCTGCTGGGATGGGCGCGACACTCGCTGGTGGCACAGACTGCTGTGCACTCATACTAGGCGTGCTCGGCGTAGGTGGGGCACTCGAAACACTTTGCTGCAGCACCTCAGTGCTGGCCTCGACAGGCTGGTCATTCTGACGCAGCTCACCTTCCATAGCAGGCGGTGGCGGCAAAGTGTTGTCAGACGCACCCGCGGTATTAGCTGATGCTGTCGCTTCCTCCACAGACGTCTCCGCAGTCTTGCTTCCTGAACGCGCCGCTTGGCCAGGTTCAAGATCCTCCTCGAGCTCCTGCATGAGCAAATCATGATAAAACTCCCAATGCTCAATCACCTCCTTCTGTGCCTCAACAGCGGATTCAAGGAACATCTCCAAGGATGTCTTGAAATCTTCCACTTTGTCCATCTCGAACCGTTGTAGCTCAGAACGCAGTAATCGTCCGACTTGCTCAAACGCCAGTTTGAGTGCATGCGCTTTCCGCTCCGCTTCAGTGTGCTCTGCATCCACTTGATTCAAACGATCTTGCTGCGTCTTGGCCTGTCGCTTTATTTTTTCACTCGTGCTTCGCCTTTTCGCTGCATCCGCATCCGCATCCTGCCAAGCAAACCAAGCCTTTTGACGACTCGACAAAGCTGTCTTGACAGACCCAATCAGGCGCTGGTATTCCTCAACTGTATGCCCCAAGGTCAATAAATCTTGCTGTGCCTGCCGTTCATGCAACTCTTGAATCTTGATTTGTAAATCCGACAAGGAACCAAGCGCATTCGAGAGAGAACGCGAGAGCTCCACTGTGCTGAGTGCTGATAACGCCGCGCCGAATTCTGAAGTCGTGTGTGCGAGATCGCGCCGCTGCTTGATGACGACGTCGACCGCTTTTGAGAGGTGCTTCAGTTGACTGTCGAGCAAATCGAATTGTGCCTTCTTCTGCTCAAAGAATTCATCAGACTCGATGAACTTGCCTGGCATGGAGAACGCACCACCCAAACCCAGAAAGCCGCGTGAGTGCTCTTGAGCTGTTCGTGGGTCAACAGGCCGGTGCTTGACATCATTCGCAAACGTCTCGCTCTCTAGAAACAGCTTGAAATCTGCTTCACCTCGGAGCACTGGATGCTTGCCAATCTTTTCTAGCATCCGTTCAAGCGCATACCGACGTGCTTCAACGAAATTCTCGGAAAATCTGCCCATGGCTTGCTTCTCTGGTGGTGGTGGAACAATGGCACCTGGACAGGATCGATTGAGCTGATCGTAGAGCCATAAAAAGTCACGAAACCGTCTCGTGACACTGCATTCTGGGGCTTTGAATGCTTTGGAGGTTGTTCTCGTAGAAACCTTGTAGACTGTGTGCGCTGAAGTCAGATCACCAATCTTGACCGGGTCACCCACCATAATGTTGAAAGTTGGATTGGCTGCTTGCTCCAATGGTATGCTAGGCGTTCGCTCTTGACTCGTCGACTGATTAGCAGGTCGCGTCGTGCGTGGTGTCCGCAAGATTGAATCTGACTGTGATGATGCCTCTGGCTGATTATCAGACGGCGACACGAGATCTTGTCGACTAGTTCCACCCAGTGGCCCCAATGGATCAGCATCCAATGCTAGATTCTCAAGTCTTGAGGAAACGGCTGCTGCGCGAATGGGCTTCCTTGACTTGCGAGTACTGCCCGTCATGATCTTGCGCTCTGGGCTCGCTGTCGATGATGCAGCACTCGTTGATGAAATGAGTGGTTTCCTGGTTGCGCTGCCTATACTCTGTACGTTCTCCTGCTTCTGATTCAACGATGTCTGCGATGCAGCAGCTGCTGTAGGTGAGGCCGCAGTTGGCTCATCGGTAGGATCTGCCAAGGCAGGGACAACATCTACCGGCACCGACGCTTCTTGCGCACCAAGGACGGGCGACAAGACAGGCATGGACCCTGCTGGCATATCTGCAAATGGATTGTCTTCCTCATAGGGCGAGGTGAAGCCTGACATGGATGGCCTGGGTGGACGCGGTTGGTTGTTGCTTGAGATGACGCGGAGAACCAAAAGTCGCGACGAGGCAGAAGGCAGAGACGGACAAGGTGAATATATATGGTCATGGGCAGCATATTAGCATAAATCGCAGGGGTTCAGCTCTACAGAATCGAGTCAAGCCGGGTATACACCTGCAGCACTGCAGCAATCACCTCAAACTGCAGCTCCTTGTTCCGGTTCGCTTCAATCTCCTCATTGATGAGCTGTGCCAAGTTTTGTCCAACGCCCGACGACCCGCTCGGCGGCACGGCAAAGGGGAACATGGAGAAGCCAGCAAGCAGCTCATCCACCCGATTGAATGCCCGTTCTCGCGCATCATTGTTCATCTTTTCCAGTGCATTTTCCAGGACATTGGCGGCATAGGCAGCGCAGACCATAGCAATCGTGCGGATATGGCGCACTGGCGCTGATTCTGGGAACCACTGGGTATCCTTGAGCACGAGCGTCTTGGCGGCAAGTGTATTGATGGTGCGGACGCGAATTTCATCCTTGGCAGAGTTGTCGACGACAGGATGCGTCGCCATATCGAAGAGTAAGAAGTTCTTCTTCTCTGTTCGCAGCAAGCCTTTGTCCACAAGACCCTTGGCGAGTCGCTCTCTGACCTGTTTGAGCTGATAGCCAATCTTCATGAGATTCCAAGTCTCGCCGCTCATCAAGTCAATCCATGTTCCTACACTCATCTTCTCAGACGCCTTCATCATTTTGAGTGCTTCATCCAGCAAGACTTCCCCAGTAGGCTTGTCGTCAACCACATCAATGGTGCGGTCTGCCAAGGGAAACCGTCTGCGTGAGGAATCAGACTGCATCTGGATCTTACCACGCAGAGCCAGCTCCATGACAATACAACCACGTAGTGTATAAGAGATATTGTCATTCCAAAAGGACAAGTAGCCCTGATTGTTAGCACACTGCAGCTTACGTTCCTTCACATGGAGCATACCTCACGATCCTTCAAGCCAAGCAACAAGACTTCCTCCATTAATGTGAGCTTGGGTTGCTTCTTGCGTTCTTCACCTTGCTCCATATCCTTTGGATCAAAGGCAATCTTATGATCTCCCTCTCGCTCATTTTGAGTAACAATGGGACCACCACGACCACCACTTGCTGCACCGGACGCGCCATTCTTGTTGATTGGTGTCGCTGACCGGGCCGGTGTCGCTGCTTCATCCGCTCCACCACCTCCGCCTCTTCGTCGCGTAACGCCAGACATACTTAATTTGGTTTTCGGTGTGAATTTCCTTGTCTATTGCCTGTCTTCTGTCGTCTTTGCTTCTAGCCTATAATGCAGTTGCCCTGATGAAGCCAGACTGTCCGCCTGCCTTTTTCTTGGGCGTGAAGCACTGCTGCCTGGCTCTTTCCTCTGATGGCTGCTGTGCTGGTTCTGTCTGTGGTCGTGGTGTCTCCTGCACTGCAGCCAAGTCGCCAGCACAAACCAGAGACAGGGGAGGGAAGACTCAACTGAAGCAGCAGCGACTGAAGGAAGGATAAAAGGATAAAGGATAAAAGAGCATACAGAGACAAGGACACAGGTCAATTACATCTCGCTTCGATGCACCGTCACAGCCTGTCCAGCAGGTGTGTTCTGTGCAGTCATCAAGGCAGGCAGCAGCTCACATGCTCCTTGCCCACAATCAACCATCTCCTGCTCACCCTCCATCGACGATACACGCTTCCTCCTCTCCATCTCCTTGAATCGCACAGAATGACTTCTTCCACGCACAGGCGTCATCCCCTCTTCCTGCGCTTCAAGCACACTCGCACGCACACCTTGTGTACCGCCAGCTTCATAAATCATAGTTGTCATTTGTGAATCTGCCGTTGAGAGGGTCGAGGCACTACTCTGTGCAGACCCACGTTTCCCAGCCGCTTTGAGTTTTGCCATGGCTCGTAGTTTTGCACGCGCTAGATCGATCGAGTTGCGTACAACGAGGTGTGGTTTGGGAGTGTCCACCGTATCTGAGTCTGTAGACGTGAGACGTTGCAAAGGTGCTGCGTCGAGCTCGCGGGGTGGTTGTGGTGAAGCGGGACTCTTGATGGAGACACGCCTACAGCAACGTCTTAGTACATGTTCTTGATGGCGATCGGGTGGAGAGAGACTCACCTGAGGAGCTTGCCAAGCTTGGTCTTGATGCCACTGCTGGACCGACTCAGCTCCGTAGAGTGGATCTCAGGTGCAGTAGCGCCAATACTAGTGTCGATAGCAAGGTGCCAGTCTGGCTGTTGCTGCTGCTGCGGTGTAATAGATCGAGGAGAGGAGCGATTGAGCGCTTGGTATGGGGAGGAGAGCAGTGTAGCTTCGTGCAAGTGACCAACGTGATTGAGGGTGTCTGTTGACATGTCTTGTTTGCTTGCTTTCGCTGCTGTGAAATGGCAAGAGAGTGTCTGGTAGAGAGCGACAAGAGAGGTGAGTAGCTGGATGTTGTCTGAGTAGAAGTGTATGGAGATGAATGTGCTGCTGGCAAAGGAACTCTGGACCGACGATACAGCTTGGAAAACTTGGCCTGTCCACAGTTGCACAAGCCAGACACTTAGACTCTTGCATAGCACCCAGAGCTTCTTACTGCTCTTATTCTGTCAAGTGCCATGAACTTGGAAAGGCACGGGGTCCAGCGGGAGCTCTTCCAGAGACCTATCGGCGTAGCATCCCGAGCAAGCCAGATCAAGCGATTTGGCTGATAATCCTTGCTGCAAGAGAATCGCGTCAACTTCTGTACTGCTGAGCAACTCAACCATATCGCACGCGTGCAAGCGTAACGCGCACGCTGGACAAGGTGGATGGAAGCGTCCATAATAGTGAGGCATACCGAGCAAAAATGGCAAGAATTGAGCTCTGTTGCATAGTTGTATGGATGTGCTAGATCTTGATGCGAACTCGGTGCTCATGCGTTGGGTGCCGGGGACGAAATGACAGATGCACCAGCCGATACATGGGTCAAATTGTAAATCTTCCGCAATATCCAGTAGATTAGAGAGGTTGCGTAGGTACGGGCAGTGATAGCTATTCAGCCATTCAGCTTTTCCTTGGTACTGACAATGCAACTGCAGTCCAGCGATGCCCCAAGCATCTAGCACTGCCAAAGGAGCAAAACTCGCCCAAGCTTTGTGGTCTTGTTTAATAGCTTTGAGCATTCCACGGAGAATCTTCATGAGTGTATTGTATTCCAACTTGACACAATCAGATATCAGCAGTGTTGTGAGTCTGCTATCGTATAACAATGGCTTGAGAATCGAACCCGTCACATGGGAGCATCCTCGCAAGTCAAGCACTTGAAGATGTCGCCACAGACGAATTTGCAAAGTTTCAAGAAGATATTTCGACTTGACTTTGGTATCCGTAAACCCTAGGCGAGTCGACTCGCTGTGTCTGACCAGGGCCAGAGAGGTTGCTCGAATCTCGGAGCTGACTTGAGAGAGACTAGCGATATCCCGAGCGTGGATCAAGTGACTGACAATAAGCGGATATAGAATAGAATTGGCCAAGACTTGAGCCATGGTCACATGAAGCCTGAAGCTAGGCAAGCATAGATGATTTGTGTCAGATGTAGATACTGGTCACTGCTGGACATCACCAAGCTTGAACTTGACGCCAATGTCTTCAGATGCATTTGCGGTGGACGTCCAAATCCTCGACGACCGAGACTTGGTCCACGACTACACGAACATGCCGTTCACGCCTGTTCATTCCCTGCTCGGGGGATCGCTTCTCTTTCTCGCTTCACAGCAGTATATGCTTCTATTTGACAAGACCTTTGGCTGTTCTTCGATCCTCGCACAAACAATACTCCATCCGGCTGCCGCAATCGAGGGACTTCAGGCACCTGCATTTGCAGGCATGTTGCTCGCTTCCTATCTCTACACCACTCAAGCTCGTTCGCTACTTCCTCCAGCCCTGTCACTTGTACCAGAGCAGAAGCTTGCCGGCGATCTAGGGAAACAAGCACTCGCAGGTCTCCTCGTCGGTCTCGGGACGCGTCTAGCAAACGGGTGTACCTCTGGTCACATGCTCAATGGCCTCGCAAAGCTTTCCGTACGGAGCTTTGTGGCAACGTGTTGTTTCTTTGGCAGCGCTGTTGCAACTGTTGCGCTGTTCAATACTGCGCCCGGTCCAGGTCGTGATCTCTTGCAAGGTTCTTTCTTCACGGCTGCACCGATCGCAGCGGATACCGTCACACGTCTCTTATATCTCGTTGGCTTTGCAATCAGCGTCAACGCTAGCTGCTTCTATCTACGCAAAATCCAACAACGTCGTGATTCAAGCAAGCCAGCATCGAGCACGTATCGCTTCATTGCTGCGTTCCTAGCAGGCGCTACATTTGCAACAGGTCTCTTGATGAGCGGTATGTCTATGCCTACCAAGACCTTGGGATTCTTGAACGTGCTTCAAGCTTGGCGTGGTGTGCCTGGTGCAGAGTTTGACCCGTCACTCCTGATGATTGTGTTGGGTGGGCTTCTACCCAACTTGATCATGACGCAGCTCTATACGAAATCTCAAAGACCACTCATGGCAACAGGCACGCAAGCACCAGCATCTGGCAAAGGACAGGTCACGAAGAGGTTGGTGGGAGGGTCACTCTTATTTGGCATTGGCTGGGGCATCTCTGGAATCTGTCCTGGCCCTGCCATTGTCAATTTGGTGTCAAGTTGGCCCCTGTCCACTGACTTTGTTACTTTCTTTGCGAGTCTTGTGGTAGGTTCCAAGGTAGCAGAATATGTGTAAAGACGACAGAAAATGAATGATAGGATCAGTTGATTGTGTTTCTATGACGGTAAACGTCCTTTCTTCTATGATGAAAATCCCTCAACTCAAAAGCACGCCTGCAAAATACTCTACTTGGCGAGTTCAATACCACCAGTAGCGCCAAACGCCTCCTTGAGAGATCCATAGATACCGAACTGGAAGGCAGTCAATGTACCGACCATGACAACACGAGGACCAACACCACCAAACAAACCGCCAATACCAGCCTGCTTTGCAAGCTGAACAAGGAGACTACTGGTCGATTGTCCAGGTGCCTTGGGTGTCTTGTTGACCTTGGAGAGCAATGTGTCGGCTGGCTGGGAGATGATGGCAGCGGCAATACCGGCAATCAAACCCGAAGTCAGAGTCAAACCTGTGATGGTGGAGGGAGACATGAGTTCCTTGGGTGTTCCATAAGACTTGAACAACACCTCACTAGCCTTCTCAAACACCACAAACTTGGCCATGGTGTATGGCACCTGCTTAAACAAGATTGGACCGAAACCAGCGTAAAAGGCACCGAGACCTTCTTCACGGAAGATACGACCAGCACCGCCAATCAAACCATTTGCAAATGTAGGCTGTGAGACGAGACGAATACGGGTAGCTTCGAGTGGGCAGAGTGCGATATCGGCGAAAAACTCTGCAACGGCAGATGCACCGAGGTAGACGGCCGTACGGTTCTGTGTAGCAGTCTCAACACCGACTTGGTCAATGATGGTCTTCTTGAAGAGTTCATATCCTCCAAACTTGAAGGCTCCCTGGAGGAAGTATCCAGCGGCAGTGGGACCGAAACCTGTGAGCAAAGCGCCTGCACCTTCTTTTGCAATGACAGTACGGAAACCAGAGACCATGCCCTTGTTGTAGATTTCAGGCTCGAGCTGGATACGGGTCTTGACGACATCAACAGGTGTCAATGCGCCGTGGGTGATGGAACAACAGAGTGCACCAGCAAGCGCGAATCGGGAGTAGAGGTCGATGCCTGTGGGTTTGCCTGTAGCGGCATTTGAGGCTTTTTGGAGGCCGGCCTTGGCGACGTCCACTTGTTCTTTGACCTGGGATGTTAGTGGATATCCCTTGGATGTACACAGAGAGTCGTACTGCTTCTACTGCTTTGGACATGATTGTGTTTGTGCAGAAATGGTCACTGCTCTTCCTTCTTGAACTTTTCCCTGCAAGTCCCGAGGAAGGCAACTCGCACGCGCAATCAGGGTCCGGAGAGCTCAGATGGAAATTGCCACAGAACAGACACAGAACATAGCAGAGTATAGTATATAGATTAGTAGGATAGGTATGATGGTATAGTAGAGCTATCACGCAGACACCATACTCTGAAACCACGTCCAGCACAAAAACCCAACCCCAGACACAACCCCCAGATCCACCAACCACCCACCCACAGTCTTCGCACACCGTGACAGCTTCTCCTGCATCTCAATCAGCCCCAAGGGATCCCGTGTCGTTGCACTGGAAAAGTGATTCGGCAAGGTCATGACATACCGAGATCCAGGACAGCCACTGTGGCGAGGTCGCAGTTGTGTTTCTTCCAGGTATTGTCGTCTAGCAAGCACCCATGCTGCTTCTGCCTGACAACGAGCATGCTGCCCATCACCAAGGAGCAGTCCCGTCTCCACCGCACTGGAAGAGACGCGCTGTGCAGCAAGGGATTGAGTCATCTCAGAGGCCCATGCAGCAATCCGTAGTTCAGTACCAGCACTTGCTTCGCGTCTCGTATGCTCAGCAATGCGAGAAACGGTAAATGCCGCACTCGGCACCAACGGTCCCCATGCACTCAATGAATCCACAACAACACCTGAAGCAACTCCATCGTCGTCCCCTTCTTGAGTACGGCATGGTACAGAACAGGCATAGATGTCTTGTCGTTGTTTCCAAGCAATAAATTTGCGTGCTGCACTATGTCTGAAGCGTGCCGGATTCTCACCATGTAGCAACGTTCGAAACAGCAAAGGCAAGTCACTGCTTGGTAAAATAGGGCGATAGTCCGACTGCATCAACACAGACGCATCCATTTCTGGGTCGCGACAGCAGACTTTGAGGAGATGCTCAGTTCCGTAAAAGAGCGATGAATGCGCGCGTACGTCCTGCATGAGCGTTTGTAGTTGTGCGTCATCCAATCCATCGGCTTTCGTTAAAACAGGCAAGACTGTCGCATAGGCAGCGAAGCGTCTCGCAAGATCTGTGTCTGTCTGTGTTAATCGTCCAGCGATACAATACACAATCACATCCACCTGTGTCAATCCGCCCTGTGGCGCTGCAATCAGATTGGCGAGGTCTTCATCACTCAGATGAACGGTATCTCGCAGGACTCGATTCGTTTGCTTGAATTGATCATCCAGGTATCCCAATACCGCCTCCATGACTTCTTCTGTTTCTACTTCCGCAGCAGTATGACTGTGTCCTGGAGAATCAACAAGCAACAGATTTCGTTCAAGTACTTCACCTCGCTCCGAGCGCGCAGTTTGCATCGATTGATGCAGTACTTTCCATGCTGGGTAAGGTTGTGTGGATGCGCGAACCTCCTGTAACCTGACAGTCGGCCGACCAGCCTCGATCCCCTCAGTACCCTCCGACAAGACAATATCTGGACACTGTGCCAGGATTGTCTTGAGTAACGTTGTCTTACCACTTCCATGCGCACCAGCAATAAGAATCCGTAGTTTCCCCACACGCCGACCGTGTTCTGTCAATGGTTTTACAGGAATACTGGCTGTAGAAGCTTGCATTTGCGGCATGACTAGATTTGGTCCTATTGTAGCACCAATCGGTAATTCCTCACAAGTCGTTGAAGGCGCAGGGATACCACTTGGCGCAGAAATAGGCATAGAGACGCAACTTGCCGATGATGCTGAACTTGGCCGTTGCGCCTCTTCCGCGGGTACTGCAGCGGCGTTGGAAGAAGCTGGAGAAGCCCATGAACTAATAAGTGACTGAGCGGGTGTTTCTGAGCGTTGTACAAGACGTTGCGCAAGGGTACTAGGTATCTGTGATTGTATCGATGCTGCTTCGTGTGTGTGTGCCAGTTGCGTCTCTGAAACGTGGACTTGTGATTCCTCCAATGGCGCATCTTCATCTTCTGATGACGCTTGTTGTGCAGAGGTGAAGTAGCAGTCTGCTGAAGCGGCCGTTATGGATCGACGCGGCATGGGCGTGCGTAGTGTGTCGTCTGCGGAGGTGGACATGCGGGATCTTATGCCGTTGCCACTGCTCGCGCGCGCCTGGAGGGGGATAGAGAAGACGGCCTTTTGCCAGATGAGGACGCGCAGGCGTCTAATGGAGTGCGCTGGGTGCCGACTGGTGAATGCGATGGATGATGGTGCTTGGTGATGGGCTGCTGCTGGGGTCGCGCGCGTAATCGAAACGAAAGCGCGATCAGACAGCGACCAAGCACTCCCATCCTGTGCTCTCATGCTAAAAGGATCAAGCTCAGACTTAGATCACAGTTCATCTAGCTAGATCGTGTTCTGTTGCTGCATGTAAAAGGCCTGCTCTAGAATGATCCACTCCCTCTACATCATCAACAAAGCAGGCGGTCTCATCTTCCAAGCAGACTACGCAGCAGGCCTCACGAAGCTCTCTGCAAATGACTACCTCATCCTAGCGGGTACATTCCATGGCGTTCATGCCATTTCTAGCCAAATCAGCCCGGTTGCTGGTAGTTCTGGTATTGAAGTCTTGGAGACGGAGACCTTTCGCTTGCAGTGCTTTCAAACGCTGACGGGTAAGTTCGCGTCTAGCTGGTTGAACGGGTGGCTCATGTAGTATAGGCATCAAGTTTCTGCTTTTTACTGAACCAAGACAGACACATCCAGACCAGCTGCTGCACAGGATATATGAGTTGTATGCGGATTATGTCATGAAGGTAAGAAGCTCCTTCATCGAGCACGATACTGTGGCTAACAGATGCACAGAATCCATTTTATCAGCTGGAGATGCCAATACGGTGTCACTTGTTTGACAAGACCATCACGTCGTTTTGCACGGGCACAGCATAGCAGCAATAGAACGAACGCAATCAAGCAAGATCAAGGCGATCGCCAGGTTTTCAAATTGATTGTAGATACCAACGTAAAGATGGGGAGCAACGCATGCGAGGAGTCGGGATCAAGTTGGGTATCGCCGTACTTGCCACTGAGACAGCCGTCTAACGCAAATCTTTAACGGGCCTCTGCGTGATTGGCGATGTAGTCAATAGCCTGTCCCACAGACTTGATTTCATCCGCCTCCTTGTCCTAGTGGTTGTTAGTCTTGTCTCATCGAAGCATCTTCAAGGAACAACATACAGGAATCTCAACGCTGAATTCCTCCTCAATAGCCATGACCACCTCGACCGTATCCAGGCTATCCAAACCCAAATCATTTTGGAAAGAGGAGGTTGCTGAGATCTTGGTAGGGTCACTGACTTTATCAAAAGCCTTGACAATCTCCAACACGCGCGTCTCGACATCCGACCGAGCCAAGTTGCTTGCCATCATTTTTTGCATGACAACAGGTGGCTGCCGCGCCATGGCGAGGGAGGGGCGGGAGAGGGCGATGGAGCGTGTGAAGGCTGTTCTGAGCATTGACATGGGTACTGTATGTTTTGTCTGGATAAGGACTGACTTGGGTCTTGAGTCTTGAGTCTGAGTATGAGTCCTCGTCTTGAGTCTTCTTCGTCGTGAAGTCAGCAGAGAGAGCACGTGTAAGGGGGAATAGCACAGTCACAACGGGCAGACGGGGCTATGAGACTATGGGATAGACAGTAGCAGGTACATAGTTAGGCCAGAGACACAGAAGCAGTCTATAGCCAGGCAGAGCCATGTACAGTGAATGTGCTGCTTCTCCCTCGATCCATCCATGTCCAGCAGCAGCATCCGTTACTGATCAGTATCGGCCATAGATGTAGATCTAGAAGGACAGACAAGAGGGGCACTGTGGCCATGCTCCTCCAGTGGATGCAGACTGATACGGCCCTCTTCCTCTGCCTTCTCCGTCCTTCCTCTTCCTTCTCTCTTCACATAGCCCTTCCCTTCCTGCGATAGAAACAATTCGAAGGCGAAAGAAGAAATTGAAATTCTGAAATACGCAACGACCACCAGCCAGACATCCTCCCTACCTGCAACCAAATCTACCTTTCTTCGACGAACAGCAGACAATGGCTTCCACAGAGACATTCGAGTTCCAGGCGGAGATCAGCCAGTTGAGTACGTTGCCCCGTTCTTGGCGCGTGAGAGGTCTTGCAGTATGAAGCACACACTCATCCATACTTCCAATGGCATGTGTCTTGCTTTCTACGCTAGCCTCTCTACCCCATTCTTCAGCTAGCAACATCGCTAACCATCCAGTGAGCTTGATCATCAACACGGTCTACTCCAACAAAGAAATCTTCCTTCGAGAGCTCATCTCCAACGCCTCAGATGCCATCGACAAGATCCGCTACGAAGCCCTCTCAGACAAGACAAAGCTCGACACAGAGCCAGAACTCTACATTCGCATCACACCCGATGCAGAGAATGGCGTCCTCACCATTCGTGATACCGGTATCGGTATGACAAAGGCAGATCTCGTCAACAACCTCGGTACTATCGCAAAATCCGGTACCAAGAGTTTCATGGAGATGATTTCTTCCGGTGCAGATATCTCCATGATTGGACAGTTTGGTGTGGGTTTCTACTCTGCCTACCTCGTTGCCGATAAAGTCCAAGTCATCACAAAGCACAACGATGATGAACAGTACATTTGGGAATCCTCAGCCGGTGGTTCCTTCACCATCACCGAAGACAATGTCAATGCAAAAATCGGTCGCGGAACAGAGATTCGCTTGTTCATGAAGGAAGACCAAAAGGACTACCTTGAGGAGAAGCGCATCAAGGAGGTTGTCAAGAAGCACTCTGAGTTTATCGGCTACCCCATCCAACTCATGGTGACCAAGGAGACCGAGAAGGAGGTGCCTGATGAGGATGAAGAATCCAAGGACGAGTCTGGCGACCAAAAGGCCAAGATCGAGGAGGTTGAGGATGAAGGAGAGAAGAAGAAGGAGAAGAAGACCAAGAAGGTCAAGGAAACCTCTACGGATGTCGAAGAGCTCAACAAGACCAAGCCTCTTTGGACACGCAACCCATCAGACATCACTGAGGAGGAGTATGCATCATTCTACAAGTCCCTCTCAAACGACTGGGAGGACCACCTCGCCGTCAAGCACTTCTCGGTGGAGGGTCAGCTCGAATTCAAGGCCATCTTGTTTGTGCCCAAGCGTGCACCCTTCGACTTGTTTGAGTCAAAGAAGAAGAAGAACAACATCAAGCTCTACGTCCGTCGTGTCTTCATCACCGATGACGCAGAAGAGCTCATCCCAGAATGGCTCGGCTTTGTCAAGGGTATCGTTGACTCTGAAGACTTGCCTCTCAACATGTCTCGTGAGATGCTGCAACAAAACAAGATCATGAAGGTCATTCGCAAGAATATCGTCAAGAAGTGTCTTGAGATGTTTGCCGAGATTGCAGAGAACAAGGAGAACTTTGCCAAGTTCTACGAGGCCTTTGGTAAAAACATCAAGCTCGGTGTGCACGAAGACTCGCAGAACCGCAACAAGCTTTCCGAGTTGCTGCGTTACAACACCACGCACTCTGGCGACGAGATGACTTCCCTCAAAGATTACGTCACACGTATGAAGGAGCCACAAAACACAATCTACTTCATCACGGGTGAATCGCTTGCTGTTGTCAAGGCATCACCCTTCTTGGAGGTTTTCAAGAAGAAGAACTTTGAGGTCTTGTTCCTTGTTGACCCTATTGATGAATATGCCGTCACACAGCTCAAGGAGTTTGAGGGTAAGAAGTTGGCCAACATCACCAAGGAGGGACTTGAGATTGAGCAGACTGAGGAGGAGAAGAAGAAGGCTGAGGAGGAGAAGACCAAGTACGAGGAGTTGTGCAAGCACTTCAAGGAAGTCCTCGGTGAGAAGGTTGAGAAGGTGCAAACCTCCACCCTCATCACCTCATCGCCATGTGTCCTTGTCACTGGCCAATTCGGTTGGTCTGCCAACATGGAGCGTATCATGAAGTCGCAAGCACTCAGGGATTCATCCATGTCGAGCTACATGGCTTCCAAGAAGACCCTCGAAATCAACCCTGACCACCCCATTATTCGGGAACTCCTCAAGCGTTCAAGCGATAAGGAGGACAAGGCCACCAAGGACCTGATGGTGCTCTTGTATGAGACTGCATTGTTGACGTCTGGCTTCTCTCTCGAGGAACCCAGCTCGTTTGCCAACCGTATCGTGCGTATGATCTCGCTTGGCTTGTCGGTGGACGATGTCGAGATGCAGGAGGATGCACCAGAGGCTGATGAAGCCGCGGCGGATGTCGATGAAGCATCACCTCTTGAGGCTGTGGACTAGAAAACTTTAGTATAAGCAGACTAGCAAGATAAAAAGAATCTTTCGAATGTGCTTCTTTTATGATGTTCTATGTGAGTGACTACATGACGATGCAATCGGCGTCCTTCTTGTTTTCCAGGGGAATACCCATCTCCTCAAATGTCGCAGGACCACCGCGTTTCACACCAGCTGCTGCCGTTGCCGGCGATGAAGACATGACACTCAAGCTTTGCTGCTGTTGTAAACCAGGCGAATCCGGTGTTGCACCAACATCACTCAATGCAAAGCCACGTCGAGCAGGCATCGCCTCATCACCTAGTAACCCAGTAGACGGACGATCCTCCCGGGGAATGATATTCGAAACACTCGATTCCGGTCTCGGACTACCCCGTGCAGCCATCACCGCTTCCAAGGTACTCCCCACTTCACTAGCCGGTGCAGTGACCGGTGACTCTTCAGGACCGTGTGGTATCTGTACAACCTGTTCAAGTGCTCGTGCAGATAGATTCCAGGAAGTGACAGCTGCGTGTGTGCGTCGATCAACAGGCGGTGTTGTTTGGAGGAATCCTTCTTCTGCAAGGGGCGGATATACAGGTCCTACAAGCGATTGTGCATGTGCATGTCCCTGATTCGCTTGCCTAGGACTCGTGGATAGTGCCACATAAAACGGTGATGCACGCGACGTTGCTGTATCACTCGGTAAAACAGGTGATCCTTGAGGCGCCCATGATTGTCCACGTCGATGCAAGGGTGGGGTCTCCAATAACCTGCCTAATTTTGTGGGACTCAGAGGTGTGCTTGCTTGATGGCGTTGTGGTGATCGTGGTGGTGCCAAACAATCAGCAATCTCCGTTTGAGTCAATTGTGGAATGGGCGGTGCTCTGCGTGGTGGCGACAATAACGATGGTGTTGAGCGATGCTGTAACCTCACACCACTTGATATATCAGAGACTTGTAATGCTGACGTGGATGGCATCATGCTTCGTTGTCGTCTCCGCTCAGCAGCCGCTTGACTGTTCAACTTCAATGTTGCATGCCGTGCTGTGATTTGCACTGCAATGTTACGATCATGATCGCGTCGTGATAAAGTGCGTTGCCGAGAAAGACTTTCCAACCTCGCTACCGCATCCGCATCACCATGTCCAGCAGCGCGTGCATACCACATGCGAGCTTCCAACAAGTCTGCTGAGCAACCAACACCAATCTCATACAGGTAACCGAGACCGAATTCTGCAGCGGGAAGTCCGCGCATGGCTGCTAGTTTGCTGTGTAGAAAAGCTTTCCCTTCATCTTTCATTACGGCGCCATCGTCGCTTCCTGCGAGGTACCATTTCGAGAGTGCCAAGTCAGCTTCTGGATCACCACCGAGGGCGCCTAGTTGATGATAATGGAGGGACAGACGAGGACTGAAGGGTAGACCTAATTCATTTCGCTCATACGCCTTCCCAAGTCGGACTTGTGCACCAGGAGATCCGAGTTTCGCTGCTTTTTGAATGAACGCAAGGGCTTCTCCTTCATCCGGCTGAAGGATGCTGCTGTCGATTTTAAATTTTGTCTCTTTTGCAAGTAGCAAGCCAAAGACCAGTGCACCGAGTGGTGCATCTGTATCGGCGCCCAATGCAGAGAGGTGTAGACAGGAAACACCTTTTTCCTTGTCAAGGGTATACCCATGTTGTCCAAAAATAAGCATCATTCCCAAACGATAAAGACACGCAGCGTCATCCCTTGCAGCACCACGCTCGTAACACGCACAGGCACGTTGCATATCACCAACCTTCTCAAATTGCATACCGAGTCGGTAGTCTGCGCGTGGGTATCCCTCTGCAGCTGCTTGTTTGAATCGTCGAAAAGCTTCTTGTCGATCGAGGGAAACGCCATTCTTCCCAAATTCATGCAATAAGCCGAGCAGGAAGGTGGCGTGTTGCGACGTAGCACTTTTCACTGCATCCAGTGCTTCTTGTTCAAGCTCATATAGAAGTAATGGGAGTGGCGCCGTTGGATTGCCTGTCAGTGTGGCTTGTCTCAGGCGATGCCGGTCTGTGAGGCGCAAGACTTGTTCTGCCCAGGTGACTTTGGGATTGACTTCACCATTCATGGCTACCTGCTTGCTGTTGATGAGTAGCTGAATGGCTTCCTCTTCACTGGGCACATGTACAGTCTCTGTAGAAACAAACAACGGATCCGTCAACGCGAACGTCTGTAGTTCTTCAAGGACCGCCTCGACAGATGGTACAGGCATAGCAATTGGTCGTCGTTGATGCAAAGCGTCATGTTCAGAAGCAGTGACAAAGTCTTGTGGATTGAATAGCTGTTGCGTGCGTTGAGGTGACATGGAACGCGCACCACGAACGTGTCTTTTACCTTTCGGTGAATCTAGCTTCCACGCTTGCTGTGGTGCTTGTTCTTGGCGTGTTTGGGGCGGTGGGGATGCTTCGAGTGTCCTTGTCAAGTCTTGTGGTCGTTTTGGCTTCGGTGAGAGGACTGCAGGATGTGCGGTATTCTGCGTATCGATGGTGAGCGTGGTTGGCTTGATCGGTTTGAGGAGCGCCTCAAGGGTCGCTGCGACGTCTGTGACTCTTGGGATATTGAGGGACTGTGTCGTTTTATGGCCGAGAGCAAGACGCCTGTTGAAGCGATCGGGCGACTTGCGAGGGAGGAGGGGAGAGGTGGCCCAGTTTGCGTAGACGGGGGTGCGTGGTGCCGGGGCCTCTGTGGGCATGTTTTCGCTCGACATGGTGCTGCTCTTGTGTAACCCAAGCTGATGTGCACGAGATACGCGCTGTTTCCTCTAGAGAACTGATACAGCAGAAGAGATGCAACGGCACTGTTAAGACAGGCCCTTTAGCAGCTAAGCTTGAGTATACGCGCCTGGTCGATCCTGCAGCAGCTGTCAAAGATCACAACAAACAAACACGTGCACAACGAGAAATGGCAACGAGAAGTAGAAGACACTTAGATAGAGGATGGGTGGAAATGCTTTTACGGAGTATCTCGAGAAAGTAAAGTAGATGTCGCAGGTCATATGAATCGAGAAACAGCAAGGGAAAGGGGATGTCCAGTGACAATCTCTGTAGGCGACATGCATGTAATCTTCTTTTGGTGAGGGTCGACCAGGGACGCGAGAGTCAAGAGGACTTCTCACTTGGCGATTGGAGTCTGCGTGCGGGGCGTGCCCTGTCCACGACCAGCTCCACTTCCTCCACGCGTAGCAGGCGAACCACGTCCAGCTTTGTCAAACTTCTTGCCACCATACGGTCCTTTACCCGTATTGACATCCTTACGCCTCTCCTCCACCTGCAACATTTCACCATCAATATCATGCAAATGCTGCTTAATAGCAGACGCACAGGCACCAGCAGACAAGTAATCCACAAACCCACACTTCTTGGCACGATTGATTTCCACAGTCTTGAAAGCACCATGCTTACCCAACTCTCGACGAATACTCTCATCCGACATACTCGGCGTCAAACTCTTCAAAAACGCAGACTTGCTCGTTTCACTGCCCAATTGCTGTTGTTGTGGCTGTTGAGAAGGCTGTGCAGATTGTACCTGCTGTGCCTGTTGCTGCTGCTCAGGCTGGGCTGGTGCTGATTGCTTCTTTTGTGCAGGTGCCGATGCAGATGTGACGGCAGGTGTGACTTTATTCACAACAGCTGCTGTAGCCGTCTTGGCGGCATTTGCAGCAGCGCGTGCAGCCCAAGAAAGTGGAGCAGCAGGTTTCACGGGTTCAGCGGGTTGTTGAGGTTCAGCTTTTAGAGAAGCATCGTGCGTCGTAGCGGCAGTTGCAGGGATCGCCGTAGCAGGCGTCTCTTGTGAGAGTGTGGTTGGTTGAGAGGGTGCAGACTCGGTGGCAGAGGATCCTGCGGATACCGGTGGGTTTGCAATGGTCTCAACAGCCTCGCTACGGTTGGCAGAGGGGTCAGCGACAGGTGTCTGAGTGGGTGAGGCAACCACTTCATCAGCAACCACAGACTTCTCAGCAAGGGGCTTCTTGGCCTCAGATTCTGCAGGTGCAGTCGTCGTGCCATTCGTGTGAGGTGTCTGAATCTGCGTTGGTGGTGGAACCTGCTGTGTTGAAGCGACTTCATGCGAGAACAAGGTCTCTTCGTGAGTGTTTGGAGCAGCATGTCCCTGCTCATCGCCAAAGTCAGACTCATCCACCTCTTCCTTCAAGAACCGGAAAATGTCATTGTGCACGTAGTAACCAAACTCCTGTGGAGCAAGCAAGAATGTCTGGGCAAACTTGCGGGAGTCTTGACCATTGTTGGACATCTCACCGAGGACTTGGATGAGGATGGTGTTGTCGAAGGATGCCTGGCTATCGACATTGGACACAAGGACCTTGCAGTCCTTGAAGTTGAGCTCCTGTACCTTTGTGAGAATCTCCTGAGCACTGTCAGCTACCATCGTCTTGCATCACATGGTGTCCATACCCGTTGGCCCTGCGACAATTTGCTTGATTCGCCTTCGACACCGTGCACGAAGGTGGAGTTCTTCTTGTAGAACAGCTGAAGGGTTAGCAAGTCATCTACGTCGCATGCATCGATCGTACATGAAGTTTCTGTGGTGTCCTGTTCACTAAGCAAAGGGTCAGCATGCCTGTTCATCTACTCAATAATAGAGGCCGATTCTTACTCATGGTGTAGTACTCCTGGACAAAGAGCCATCCGACCTCGTCCTCACGCTGCTTGTTTTCGCCTGCCATGGTTGTATGCTGCTCGAGAGTGTGCCCTGCCTTGTGTTGCAGCCAGGGAGATGAGCAGAGGGATCTCTCTCTTGCTATACTGCTTCTACTCGACACACTTGCACTTGACACTGCTGCTGCTGCTGCTTCTTCTTCCTTCCCGCGAAAAATAAAAAATCGCAGGCAGGCCACGTGAGGGAGAGATCGATAGCAGCGACAACCAGATCCATAGCCACAAGATCAAGACAAGGCACCTGCTCTCAATTTCACGCTTCTACATTCAAAGCAACAGAGCATAAGTATAGCAGACCACAAGGACCAGATATATACACATTTGTCCATGGAAGATGACCTCGAGAGGGCGGTCGAGATCGCCCTGAGCCAGACAAGCGACAGCCATGTTCGTGGCCAAGCCATGGCCTTTTGTGAGCAAGTCAAAGCCGCCAACAACGGCTGGCAGACTTGCTTACAACTCTTCATGCAAGGCAGTAAAAGGCGCAGTGATAACGCGCGTTTCTTCGCATTACAAGTCATAGATGATGCGTTGCGATACCGGGCGATGGAGCTGGGAGAGGGAACCCTCAATCAAATGCGACTGGCACTGTCAAAATGGATCGCTGAGGCTGTTGGAGAAACAGGCTCACCCGATCCACCCTTCTTGCGCAATAAGCTGGCGGAAATTTATGCGCTGCTCTTTGTGCACCTATATCCAACGACGTGGACGACCTTCTTCAAGGAATGTACTGTCCTCATGTTTGGCTCAGAACAGGTGCAATCAACGAGTAATGCCCGTGCAGTCGACTTCTTCTTCCGCGTGTGCGTCGCAATCGATTCGGAAATCGCAGATGTCTTGATTGTGCGGTCGCAGGAAGAAGCAGCGCGCTCTGTCCTCATCAAAGACGAGATTCGTGATCGAGATATGACCAAGCTACCACCTATCTGGTTCGCACTCTTTGCACAGTACCAAGAATCCGACAAAGGTATCGTCACACTCGGTCTCAAGGTCGTTGCTGCTTGGGTGTCATGGATGGATATCAGTCTCATTGTCAATGAACCCTTCATGACCTTTCTATTTGGCCTCTTGCGTGATGCAAGTCTACGAAACCCTGCCTGTGAAGCACTCGTCGGTATCGTCAGCAAGAAGATGAATGTCAACGACAAGCTCCAACTCATCTCGATGCTCAACCTACCCAATGTCATGAATTCGTTGGAGAGCGATATGGAGAATGACCCAGATTTTGCAGAGAATGTCGCCAAGTTGACCAATGTGCAATGCGTCGAACTCTCTCGCGCACTCAGCCAAAACAAACTTCCAGCAGAAACGGCGAATGTCACAAGCATGATGATCTTTAGCCTTGTGCCGACAGTCCTACGCTTCTTGGCGAATGAGTATGATGAGATTTCCGCGGCTGTGTTTCCAGCAGTCAATGACATTATTACAATGATGCGTAAAGTTGGCGTCAAGGACACTGAGCCGCGGCGCATTTTGACTTCTCTCTTACAAGCTGTCGTGCTCAAGATGAAGTATGATGAGTCGAGCGAATGGGGCGACGAACAAGACGCCGTTGAGGATGCCGAATTCTTGGAATTGCGCTCGAAATTGCGGACATTCCAAGATATGATTCTTGCCTTTGATTATGAGCTCTACCTCACCACTGTCAATGATCTCGTCATGTCTACCTTCAATAACCCGCAAGAGCAAGACTGGCGACAACTCGAGCTAGCCATGTATGAGCTCTATCTATTCGGCGAAACGCTTCGGACGGGAACCAAAGACCCAGCAGTACGAGAAGTGGCAGCGGCTCAACTTGATCGAATGCTTATGCGCATGATGCAAGCAGATGTCAGTATCTACCCACACGCGTCGATTCAAGATCACTTCTTTGAAATTGTCGTGCGATACTCCAATTTCTTTGATAATCGGCCCAATGAGCTCATGCAGGCGCTTGGTGCTTTTATTGATACACGCGGGTTGCACAATAAAACGGCAAGTGTACAGTATCGTTGCTGGTATCTATTTTCTAGATTCATCAAGGCGCTTGGTGCGAAATTGGGTGATGTTGGTCGGCAAGTACTTGAGGCAATGCAAGATTTGCTCGTCATTGAGCTGCCAGAAGATTCGAACGACAGCGACAGCGATCTTGGACTCAGCAAGACGGGTCCTTTTGAGCATCGTCTCAATCTGTTTGAGGCAGTTGGTTCACTCGTCGCAAATAAGAGTGTCGCTGAATCAGAACAAGCGCAACTCGGCCTCGCAGTGCTCGAGCCGCTCTTCAACAATATCGAAGCTTGTGTCTCCAAGGCTGTTCCTGGTGACGCTGCCGTCTTATTTCTACAACGCAATATCATGGCCATTGGTAATTTCGCAGCTGGTTTCCCATCTGATACGCGCGGCGTGTGTAAGCCTGCAGCTTGCTGGCATCCGTTATTTGAGAAAGCGACGGGATACATCATGGCTGCCTTTGATGCACAGCTTGGCTCAGCACCTGTTCGTGATGCCACGCGTTTTGCTTTTGCAAGGCTCGTTAATTTACAGGAACAGCGGATGGCTGTTGAATTGCCGAGATTGATTGCAGGCATGGTGGAGAGTAGCGATACGACTCAATTGGCCGAGTTTATGCCATTTCTGGGACAACTCGTCTTTAAGCTGCGGCCGAGTGTCTTTCCTGTGCTGGACGAAGCCTTGTCGCCTTTACTCAATAAGCTCTTTACACTGCTGAATGTAAGCGTACAAGGCACAGACGACGCAGTGGAGTTGATGGAATTGCGGAAAGCTTACCTGGGCTTTGTCAATTCCATCTTTACAAATGGTCTTGAGTCCATCTTTATCAGTGAAAAGAATCAACCTGCCTTTGATGCCTTCCTCAACAGCATCATTCACTATGCATCAGATACAAGCGATCCCAGCACTCAGAAAGTAGCATTTGGCGTACTGGCTCAAATGGTACGAGCATGGTGTCTCTTTACGCTTCCTCCAGAACCAGTTCGACCAGGTCAGCGCGATCCTGCAGGCAATGGCGAATCTAAAGTATCTGCTGAACAAGTACGCACCCCGCTACCCGGTTTCGAGGACTATGTCAAGAATACCTTGGTACCCCTTTGCTTTGAGGTACCGAGCAAGTCTTCGTTTGATTTGCGCGATGCACAAAGTTCACAGGTCTTGGGTGAGATTGCTGCGCTCATCAAGCAGATTGCTCGACAACTTGGCACAGATGTGATTCTGCAGTCACTGGTACAAGCTGGCGTACCACAGCAAGCGGCAGATGAGCTCGGCACGGCGATGAAGGAGCTAGAACCGAAACGCTTCAAGACACTCTTCCGACAATTCATGATTCAAATGACGAGCTCTTGATGCTCGATCCAATAAAAGAACTTTTCCACATTCACGACGTTTACAATTCATGGTCATTTCTTTGCATATGGAACCCCATTCAAGCATCTAGCATTGCAACCCTTCTTAGTAAAGCATACTTCATGAAAAGTAATCCACCATCGTGATTGTTGAGCATCTGTGCCTCAATCAGACCGGCTCCGGCTCAGGCACAAGAATCCCAATCAAGCACTTCTCCAGCATCCCTTCGAAATTCACCCATCCATGCGTCTCCATAAACAACTGCGTCGCATCCTTCCCAGCACCACGCAAAAGCTGTCCTGCGCCACCGGGATGAAAATCAATATACCGTGAGCAATTATACACGCGACCACCCAGCGCCATCCAGACGCCTTGGGACCGCCGCGCGTGTTTTGCAAGCTCTGAGGGGGTAATTCGCATGAACCCAGAGACACCACGTAGATCTTCGCTATTGCATAACCGCGCCCAGTCAAGCGGTGAGTGTCCTGGTTTTAGCGCTACTTTACCGCGTGATGTGAGGGGTAAAGCGCTCTGTGTTGTACTGAGTGTGCCGAGATGACTGCTTTGTTGTGATGGCGCACGATTTGGCGGGCCACGATCGGGTATGGGCTTTGGCATGGAAGGCGCTTTGAATGCGCTCTCTGGACGCTTGAGCGATGCCATTGAGAGAAGTAAAGAGCGTGGGTCGTTTGCTGTATGGCTTGTCGCTTGAGCTGCATCTGTCGCGTCCTTCTTTCTCACGCTGCAGGTGGCGAGGACGCGAATCCCCATCTGAATATTCGCTCACGGTCTCTGCCACCCAAGAGCTTGAGCTGGCTGCCGTTCATGGGTGTAGCACGGTCTTGGCTTCGTCTGGCAGCTTGTCAATTTCTGTCATCTAGGTAAAGTGTATAGCTGTGGGTCATGACCAGCGTATCTGTGTGACTGCGACATGGCAGCTACCTAGTCAGCGGCTACACTCTCTCTTCCCCTCACCATCCATTCATCCTCGTCACCAGCATGTTTCAAGACGATATCGCTTCCTCTGGCACAGCTCAGCTTTGCAGCTTCAGCATCGATTCAGTCGCACAGCAGAGTCTGGACTCAGCGACACTCAAGTTGCTACGATCCAGGCAGCAGTCTACGAGTACTGTCCCCTCACGCTCCAGCAGCATCCGTCAGTCCACTCCCTTCCCTCAGTCACTCTTCAGGCGCGTTTCTCCTTCTGCATCAGTCAAAGAACCTTCGTCTCCTCAGACACGTAAGAACAGTACTGTCTCTGCACGCAAGCTTGACCCAATCGCACGATCTCCATCACCCACCAAGAGTGTGCGTTTCAGTGTTCCGGCAACATCAACACCCAAGCAAGGCAAATCACCTGGTATCATGTCAGAAGACATCAGCTTCTTGACAAAGACATCCTCACGCTTCTCCCCTGCCATGATTCCAGCAAATCACAGCAAAACCCCTGAAACTTGGCGCTACGACTTTTACGAGGACAGGATGTGTGTTCACGCTGTCAAGGAGCTGGAGTTGTACAAGCTAGACTGGAGTGCACCACTTGATCAAGACAAACTTCAACAATTGGCGAGCAAGGCGTGTTCCCTCTTTCTCCACAGTGCATCAAAGGACAGCGAGAAGGCTGCAGGCTACTTTTCCGTCTTCGCATACTTGTCCCACCGACTCGTCTATCAGCTCGCCAACACAGACAATATGGATAAAGTGTAAGTCTCTTTTGTACACAACCTTGCTGACATGCCAGCCAATGCCTCTATCCTACAAGCGTGGTGCGGTGCATGGTCAGGTATTGCGATTCAGATGGTTCTGCTACGCTTCAAAGTGCAAGGGAATTGAAGCTCTTTGGTGACTACCACAACTTCACAAAAGGTCCTGCTGGGCGCTGATCAACTTTAATCATGCTTTTGTAGAACTAGTAAACTGTTGCTAACAATATTTGGCCTTGTCTCGTGCATCAGTGGTCTTGTATGCTTCATTCAAATCGACCCCCTTGAAGCTGATGAAGAGGAACAAACAACTTCTGACGAGCAACACAGTTGCTTGTAATGCGCCACGAGCTTCAAGCGCTTCGTCATCAAAGTCAAACCTACCTTCGGTGATACGACAATTGCGTGCCGCTTGGACGAGATTCCACTGTTGATACAGCTGTGCAGCGCGTTGTACTTTTGCGAAATGATGATTGATGAGGTGAATGAGCATAATCAGCTTCTGATAGCGATTTGCCGTTAAGAAGTCGATGGTAGCCAACTGTTCAGCTATGGGTCCTTTGACAACAACAGAAGTCTGATGCAGCATCTTACGGAATTGCTCGGGCATGGCCAGTGCTAACGATTGAGAAAGCTCATCTCTAAGATTGTAGAAGCGTTCAGCAAGAGGGATGAACTCGTGCACGTCTGAAACAACGAACTTGCAGGGTTGACTCATCGAGTAGCGCGCGGCGGACTCTACGACCATAGCGAAAGCTTCCGCGGCAAGTCGAACAACGCCTCATCTCTAGCGAGAATGCTTCGAAGAAGTCTTGATAGTTGTTGGCTATCCATTGTCGTCCAAGATGTAGCGATCGCTGACCTCAAGATGCCCATCCACAGAAGACATGGTAAGAAGATGATCAGATCGAGAAACGATGATTGGACCTTCGTCCAGATCAACCTCCTTGTACGGAGTGGATAGAACAAGGTCGACAACAGTGCTCCAGATGTCTTCATTAGCACAGATTTGGCAAAATTTGCTAGATACACAAGCTTCGCAACAAACGTAAGGTCATTGATGACTGCAGGACAAGTCAAGTGAGCATCGCTTGCTGCAGAGCACCCTTTCACATGGAGCAGCGCATGGTATCGTACACTGCGAATGTGGACATGCCGACTTGCATTTGTCCTCTGCACATGGAACGCACGGCTCGCCGTAAACCTTGGAGCACGTCGAATGGCCACAAAAAGTCTCACACTTGACGTTGCATGAAGAACATGGCATCGAGCTGTGACATACTTTCTGGCAAGAGTGACTGCATGTCGTGAACGCTCGGCCACAGATCTGCTTACAGGGTCCATGTAAAGCTTTTGACGACTTCCTCATCATTCACGAGGTAAATGTAATCAGTAGGCGTCTCGACGCGACATTGCTTGCAAAGGCGCTTGCAGTCATGGCCACATGGTAGGGCACTGCCGCAAATAGCTGGGCAGATGACTTCCATCTCAGAGCGCCTGGAGCAAGGCAGCCACACCTCACGGCCACATTTTGCAATGCTGTGCTTCACTGGAGTCGTACAGCGTATTAGCAACATGTTTTGCGACTCCCAGCATGTGAGCTCGTCTCGATCATGACCGCAGTCTAGCATCACAAGTTGCTTGAAGAGAACAGAGCACTGCGTTTCGCAAGTTTCGCCGCACAATCTGAGGCACGGACGGTCACGATCCTGCCTTGGTCGTGGACAAGACTCCAAGCATTTGACGGAATCGCGCAGTGCGTCTGCGTGACCATGTCATAGATAGTGTGCATGACGCTGAGCTTGAGCTGAAAAGGTCTACTTAGGTCGAGAACCGTGCTATTCTCACTACGAAAGCGAAGCTGGTCAGCAGCCGTCGGCTTGGACCTGCTTGTTGAGGCCAGCCCGTAATTTTGCAACCAGACAAGACAACGAAGCGCGCCCAATGCAAAACAAACGTCAAACAAATCAAGCTGCTCGACCCCATCGATGATGACATTGCACCATTTGCTGATGCTCAAAACTATGATCGAGGCTTTCATGCACTTTTCAGTGATACACTGTACCATGGGCCACACATGGTGCTGCATTGAACTGCCTTGCAGACGCATTACTGCTTCCTGGCATATCCCAGGACAATGAGGGTCATGTCGGAGCCGCGAGCAGACAATGATAAGTTCATCAACTATCTCATTGGTTCTGAATACTGCTGGGAGAAGGACTTCAACTTTCCTCACAAGCGTGCAGCGCTCATGACGATTTCGAGAGAGCATTTCTTTGAGAGCCATTCGCCGAGGCTTTGAGTCACTGCTGCGCACTGTCAGATCTTGAGTCGATTCCGATCTATAGACTCGGCACACATCTCAGGTCATCCCTTTGCCAATCACCTCGGGTTTTGTGTCTCAATTTATTGCTCAAGCACACTGCTGGCTATGATGAGTACAGGACATGCACGAGCGACATCACGGATAACTTTAAAGGCACACTCTAACTCAGACTATCGACGCACAAGAGACTTCTCACTCGTTTTGACTTTCATACCTCCTCGTAGGCCTCCCAGTCGTGGAAGCTGACATTCTCAACGAGAAGCTTGCGATTGCAGCATTGAGTCCATCATCTGCAACAGTACAATCTCTGCGTTTCGAGTTACATGAATTTCATTTGAGACCACTGCCATCCCAGCAATATATCTGAACCAGTTTTCTCTGCGATGAGGTTTGCAATCGAATCAGGGATTCCAAACTGCGTGCATAGATCTTGGTAAGTGTTGCTAATGTGTTTAAAGTAATCACTTCTTGGATTCGTTGAGTGCAAGAGATTAATGCGCTCTATGATCAGAGCCATGTGGTCTCCTTTGCAGCAGAGCATGGCGTAGTTTGACTGTGATCCGTTTCCACCGTGAAATTTGATGGTGCAGTTGCTCGAGTGAGGGAGAAGAAGACCATCAGGCTTGATGGCCCCGTTCCGGTAGGCTAAGAAAGGCTGAAATTTTGCATTGCATTTGACGCGGCTGTTGAAGCTTTTGCTCTTTTGCCAACCTCTATCCTGCAAGGTGTGAGTTGTGCGATCGCCTACGTAGGAAGGCTTGGGGTACCATGCCTGCCGCTGAAGCACTTTTTCGGAATCGATGATTCGGACTGGCATCTTCCACAATTCACAATACTCATTGTCGAAGACAGGGGCCGAAGGAGAGGAAGTGCTTGCAGAGGTGCTCGCATCGTCTGATTGAAGCGGATGCCGTGTGATCACTCGCTGCAAGGCCATTCCGATTTTACATAGACACACATGACTGCTCCCATCCGACTCCTCCCGTGGCTCTACCGGGTGTCGGAAGAAGATATCCCAGGATGCGGAGTCCTGTGTGTCCATGACGTGTATGCAAGGATCTGCCAGGGACCAAGCAATGCTGTAAACTAAATCAGCAGCACGCTCCGCACAGACAGCTTCGCAGTCGGCCAATGGTTCGTTCTTCCATCGCTCATCGTTCAACCATTCCTCGAATAATTTCTGGTCTAATTGACGCTGTCGGAATTCTGCATCTTTGTGTATCCTATCAACATTCCATTGCGCATGCGCAGCGCACGTTGGAGCAAGAAGCTGGAGAGGGGGGAACTCGTCGTCTATTGAATCGCGCAAGCGCTTCACTGAGCTTGAAGTGGCCGCACTTGCGGCGCAATATTGAGAATCACGCAGAAATTTGACTTATAAGTTGATGTTCATTTGGTATTGCTTGCACTCATTATCAACTTGTGCTGAAATGCCGCGATACATGAAAGACAGCAACAAGAGCTGAAGGGACATATACCCGATGAACCATGACTGTCCAGTAGAGATCAGCATATCTTAGGCTTGCAAGGCTGCAATGACGCAGCAACGAGAACCGTGAGAAATAGTCGTTCTACTGCGAGGCAATATAAGAGAGAATAGTTGAGAAAGACTTGGCGGCTGCAGCGAGAAACGGTGGAAGATGCCAGGCTCTTTATATGCAGAGACATCGGTCGACGCTGCCACTTCCTGTTCATCATGGCAACCTTGGCCATGGCCAGAAAATACCTCCCACAGGAGTCGGTACTGTTAGATATAAAATGAGCTTCGAGATTCTGCGGGATTCGAAGTTGGGTCCAGGAGGTGTCTCCTGATGAGCACTGACTCCTGGATGAGGCCTTGGATTCGGGGTTCAAAGAGCTGCAGCGGTGTCCTCTAGGGACTAGTCACTTTTGGCTCAACGGGAATGCGATGCGAACCCCGAATAGGTCTGACAGGTACTATTTTGATCTGCTCTCCTCGAGCTCCTGAGTGATAGTTTTGGGCATAACACTAGCACTCACGCTGACTTTCCAAGAACTCTGCTTGCACATGAATTAGCCTACGAGTATCATCTCGAACATCATATCATCAGCTCAACGATGCGTTTCTGATCGATCCACCAGCGAATCATGGAAGCCTCTTGTGCTGGCGCTAATTTTCTCGTGCGGCAATCGGACCTCAATTTTGATTGTGCAGCTGTTGCAGTGCATGCACAAGAGCTGCAGCAGCACCGCATACTACGTAGCCTGCGACTGTAGTATCTGACAAGCTATGCTCTTTATGCACAAGGGAGGCTCTTGTGCTCTCATGTGGCCAAGACCAGGCAGCACGTGTGTGAGACATCCTGTTTGTTTCTACAATGTGTCAATGTGACAGGAGTGAAGTTTGTCCTCAGTAGAATCGGTAGCTTCATAGAGAATGACTCACACGAACAATGCTGTAGGGTTCAGCCTATAGCTGCAGACCACAGACATTCAGAAAGAACCGTGATCTCAGAGCTTCGACAAGGCAGTCGAAAAGTAGAAACAGCGCCCCTGTTATCCACGAGAGAGGGCAGACAGATTACCCCTGACCGCATGATCGCAGAGGAAGATGATGTTAGGAATTCAAGTGCATCCCCTGATCACTTGCTTCCGCTGTTATCTCTCTGCCACGTCAGCGCTCATGCAAGTGACCTTTAGTTTAGTCTTAGCTGGCAAGAGTGCTATACCCTTGTCCCCCATTCGAATCAAGTCTTATCTGCAGCTGCCCTGCGTGCCTGTGTCTATCACCTACGACTAAAGCCTCGCATATCCGCCAATCTCGATTAGATGAAGCTTGCACGGTGGTATGCCCGTGAAATATGCTACTTTGGCGAGCTGAACGAACATGAGAGCACTGCCGGGATTGTCCTGACGTATGCCGTGGATTTCACACTAGCGCTAGCCTCCTGTAGAGCTATTGGATGACAAAGACAGGGAGTTGGCAGAAGGTGCGTGCAACTCTGAAGGCGCAATCATCAATTACAAGCGAGGCAACGCTATCAACGTGCAAGCTGGAAAGCAGCGACTCAGTCTGAATATGAGTGTCATGTGACGAGAACCGAGGACGATACGCCTCTACTAGATCTGCCTGCAGCTTCGATTCCGAGCCACAGAGCCGACCTCGCAGTCTTTGGAAGCTGACATGCTTGACAAGAAGCTTGCGATAGTAGCATTGAGTCCATCATCTGCGACAGCACAGTCTCTGCGTCTCGAATCACAAGAATCTCATGCGAAACTCCTCCGCCAACTCCTCTAACCGCGACTTCGAATCAACTTTGTCCACGATGATGTCCATGATATCGTGAGGAATGTCAAACTTCTTGCACATTCGTTTGTAAGCCATTCTAAAAGTTGTGTTGCGAGGATCACAGGAATGCAAGAGCTTTATTCGCTGTATGATCGGCGCCATGTAGTCTCCTTCGCAGCAGAGGCCAATGTATCCTGACTGTGACTTGTCTCCACCGCGATATTTGACGGTGCAGTTGCTCGAGTGAGGAGGCCGAAGACCGTCAGGCTGTATATTCACTGGGTCGGTGCCTAAGAGATCCTGAACTTCGGCATCACAACTGGTAGGGTAGGCAATGATCTTGTTTAGTGCATCCCAATCTCCATCGTTCAAGATGTAATCTGAACGTACGCCTGTGTAGGGAGGCTTTGGGTACCATGCCTGTATTTGGAGCATCTGGTCGGAGATGATGACTCGCCTTGATATTTTGTACGGTTCACAATACTCGTCGTCGAAGACCGGAGCCGAGGAACGGGAAGGGGTCGCAAAGGTGCTCGCAGAGGTGCTCGCAGAATCTGATTGAAGCGGTAGCCGTTGGACCACTCGCTGCACCACCATCCCGATTTCACATACGCACCAGAGCCCCTGCGCAGTCGTGAGGCTCACTGGGCTCCGCGGGTGTCGGAAGAGGATATCCCAAGATGCGGAATTTCCCTTTGTGTTCATGATGTGTATGCAAGGATCTGTTTTGAACCTAGCCATGCTGTAAATGAGATCAGCAGTACGCTCCGCACAGACACTCTCGCATTTTGGCAGTGGTTCCCATGGTAGTGCTGCGAAGAAGTCTGTCAATTCTGTTTGCAGATTTGTGTCCCGTCCTGCAGGAGGAACCAGCGAGCACGTCTCTGAGTCTGAATCGCTCGTATTTGAGTCGCACCCTGGAGAGGGAGGTTCACGAGGCTCAAATCTGACAGTCACAGCGACATCTACTTGGAATTGCTTGCATTCGGATGCATCAACTTGCGCAAGCATGCCTCGATACATGGAAGACATCAACGACAGCTGAAGAGACGTAGACCCAATGAACCATAACAGGCAGCAAGTGGAGGCCAGCATAGCTTGGGCTTGCAAGGCTGCAACGACGCAGCAACGTGTACCGTGAGCAACAGCCGATCTATTACAAGCCAATAGAGGACACTTGAGGAAGACTTGACGGCTGCAGAGACAAATGATGGAGGACGCGAGGCTCTTCCTTCGCAAAGATAACGATCGTTGCTATTAACCCCTGTTCATCTTCGCCATTGCCAGATAGTCACCTGACGCAAGAGTCTCCACCATTATGATCTGCTCTGCAGCTTGAGCTCCTGAGTGATAGTCTTGACCACAGGTTGAGCATCTCACGCTGGCTTGGTAAGGAATCTGCCTGCACATGAAACGACCTGCGAGCGGTATCTCGCCCGTCAAACCGTCAGCTCAAGGACATCCTCCTGCTCGATTTGCCAGTGACCCATGGGCGCTTGTTGTCCTGGCGCTGATGTTTCCGTGCGGCAGATGGACCTCAATTTCGATTCTGCAGCAGTTGCAGAACATGCATAAGAGCTGCAGCAGCACTGCTGCATACGACGTAGCTTACGATCGTAGTATCTTGTATTCTCCTGTCGAAGTCGCAGATGCAGAAACTCCCGCGCGCTAGATGACATACAGAAGCAGTAGGCCATGAAGTATTGTCACAGAAGCATTGCTGTGGAGATGTGGAATCAAAGGTATTTTGAGCTAATGCTCAACCAACTCAGGCTTGTACAAGTAGTGCGAGCAGCAACAACGGCTTTGCGGCTGCTTCCATGTCACTCATAGTGCTCCTGACGCTGAGATCGAGCTAAAGAGGACCTGAATCAGGTCGAGAACAGTGCTGTGCAGCCTGTGCCCACTGCCAAAGTGAAGCAGCCCAGCGGCTGTCAGCTTGGAAGTCGGACCTGCTTGACAGTGCTTGTTGAGGCCTGCCCGAATTGTGCAACCAGACAACGAGACGCGCCAGGTTCACAACAATGTCAAACAAATCAAGCTGCTCGAGCCGCCGCCCAGTTCCCCCCTCCAACAACACAACACCCACAAGACCACTCACTCAGATACACTGGAGGCCATTACTCAAACCATCCAAGCCACGGCAGAAGCAATCAAAGACACACTCATGCCGACCAAGACTACCGCCGCCAAGAAGGCCTCGTCGCCTGACCACCCGACCTTCCAGGTCATGATCACGGAAGCCATCACTGCGCTCAAGGATCGCGCAGGCTCTTCGCGTCAGTCGCTCAAGAAGTACATTCTCGGCAACTACAAGGTCAATGAATCGCTCTTTGGCAAGAACTTCAACCGCTACCTCGCTGCTGGTGTCGAGAATGGTCACTTTATGGTATGTTTACCTTTCTCAACAAAGTCGCGTCGCGCACTTTTGTCCTTTGGTGTGAATCGAGCGCTTACACGGTCTTCCATTAGCAACCTAAGGGACCTTCTGGACCCATCAAGCTCGTCAAGAAGGAGTCCGGCGCCTCGTCTGCTGCTCCAGCGAAGTGAGTCTTACATTGCGCTTACAACAACAAAAGCTAACACCGCTAAGGAAAGCGCCCCCAAAGACAGCTGCTGCCAAGACTGCCGCTAAGAAGAAGGCACCTGCCGCTAAGAAGGCAACGCGTAAGTTACCCCTCTTCGAAGCAAAAGATCCAAAAACCCAAATGCTAAATGGGCTCCTCTTAGCTTCCACAAAGACCAAGGTTGACGTTCCAGCCCGAAAGAAGGTAGCTGCCGGCACCAAGGCTAAAACTGCCAAGGCGAAGGCCCCTGCTGCCAAGGCTGTTGCTAAGAAAGCTGCTGCGCCGGCCAAGAAGGCTGCTGCTGCACCAAAGAAGGCCGCTGCACCCAAAAAGGCTGCTGGAGGCAAAGTCGCCAAGGCAGCACCCAAGAAGAAGGCTGCTCCCGCTGCAAGCAAGGCCAAGAAGCCAGCTGCAAAGAAGGCTGCCAAGTAGAGCAATGCTTGGGCTTGCAGACACCGCCGCGCTTTGGCTCTTCGCTTGCTCCTGAGGTGCTTTGATTTTGTTTTGATTCCAGTTTGTTCGAAGGGAGGAGGATTGCCTGAGTATTTGACTTATCGCGCGGTGCTGCAGGATATCTCAGTTGGGCGCGACTCGCTTTGCAGATGTACAGGAACTGTATGTATATAATACCTTTACCGTGTCTCTTTCTCCCAGTGTGACTGTCTATTTTCCCATTGAGGCGCATGCTGTGGCTTGAACCGTTTTTGACACGCGCAGCATAGTGCCTACACGACGAGTCTACTGCAGGGTCTTACTTACTTGCCTGCTCTCTTGGACAGCTCTGCAGCAATATGAGGCTGATAGAAGGATGCCTGCTGTTGGGTTTGGGCATCACTGTAGACGCATACCAGCTCAGGGCCAGTCTCAAGGGCCCATCGGGCTTCTCACCACCCTCCTTACCAGCAGAATACGTGTATGTCCTTCTAACTATGGCGCCCAGCTGACATGCAGAGAGACGCTCTACCACGTCAATCGACAAGCTTATTGTGACCTTCTCAAAGACCTGTCAACATCACCTGTCATAAATGACAAGCCAGAAGCGCAACTAGCAAATCTACTGAAGCGATCGCACTTGACTGATCAGGAACGCGGCCTAGTCAAGCTTTCTCTAGCACTGCATGAGTATGCACCAGCAGCGACATTCAACGGAACACTTCACAACTGCACGGCGAATCCACAGCGTGTCGTCTACACTGACTTCACCACGCCTTTCGTCTATGACGCAGAGACTCAGGTCGGCCATCTCCCTCCCGGTGCTGCTCAAGAACCATTGACAATGACTGGGTATGGTGCACATCTGGCCCTCAAACGGACAGATTACCTTGTCATTGACGACTCCAATAAAATGTCAGATGCCTCAGATGATCACAAAGTGGTACCCCTTACGAAAGAGCAAATCAAGCGGATAGGTTTGCGTGCTGCAGCGCGTGTTGTCAGGTCAGACAATCCACTGGATGAGCTAGAGGATGTTTCGCAAAATTTCCCTATGCGTGCTCAAGGGCTTCTCAAGTCGAGCATCTCGAAGGAACTAGAGCAGGAGATGAAGGGACTGAGAGAGTTGGTGCGTGGCGATGTCTTTCTGATCAATGGTCGTGAAGTCGAGACGAGCCCAGAGAAGCTCATGCCTGCATTACGCGCAGAAGCAGCACTCGCATCAGCAATGCATAAACTTGGCTTGAACCTGACACAGATTGTGCATTTGCTCACTTTGGATGTTGTTGGGGTTGACCACGTCGACCGTTTCGAAGTACGTAACCCTGTGGTCGTCTATCTCAACGATCTCGAGAAGGACGACATGTATGAAGGCTGGCGAACCGATGTTAACATTTTCATGGAACCCCTCATGGCTGGGCAATTGCACCAAATCCGTCGCAACTTTCACACAGGCGTCGCTTACATTGACTTGACGGATGAGATGCATGTTGATCTGCTGACGAACTGGATGATGCTCATTACCCGTGGTATCCCCATTCGTTGGGGTTTCGTTCCTGCTGGCGAAACAGAATTGCAGCGCAATCTCGGCAATGCGTTCCGAGAAATCTTCAAGCATGGAGGTCTCGAGCAAGCTTATGAATTCATTGCTGGCTATACAAGAGGTGGCGATCTTGAAGGGACCTATGCCATGTTTCAGAAGAAGCTGAAAGGCAAGAGTCTGGCTGATTTGGCAGATCTTGGCAGTTCCGAGTACGATGAATTTGCAAAAGATTGGATTGAGCGATTTGGCAAGGACCGTATCTACATCAATGGACAAGCTGTCGTTCGCGATGAAGCCTTGATGCAACGCCTCTCTGCAGCTGTTCGGGACGACACAATGTTTGTACAGGAACGCATGATTGAAGGTGGTGTGGAAGATTCAGGAGACTTGCAAGACATCTTTCTGGATGGCGCACAGCTTCGATTCTCTGAAGCTCTCTTTGGCGAGCGCAAGTACATTACGCTCCACGAGTACCAAGCTCAGCCAAATGCCGGCAAGTGCAGTCGCGACACCGAAATTGTCTTTTCTGGTGAAGGCTGGCCAGACTTGTCCAAGATGGAAGAGCTTGCGGAAAAGCCATGCTTGTCGCATGTGGATGGTCCGCGTCGCATGATTGTTAATGGTCGCATTTTTGAGAAGCTCAGCTTTTTGGAAATGCCAACGATGATGGCACAGGAACAGCGCGAGGTCATCAAGTACAAGGATGCAGCAGCTTCTGTGGGGGCTTCTTGGTCGGTGGCACTCTTGACGCTTATTCGGACCTCAAAGCGTCTCCTCAGAACTTCTTTACCTCCCTTTGTGTCGACTGACTTGTCACACTTTGAAGTTGGGCGTGAACAGTCGAGCACTCTTGAAATCAAGGTCTTCTTGGACCCTTTGTCAGAGAATGCCCAGCGATGGTCGACAATCATCAAGAGCCTTTCCAATCTACCAAATGTCTTCATCAAAGTCCACATGATACCCAAGTCGGGACTGACAGAGTTGCCACTGAAGAGATTCTACCGTTATCTCATGCCAGCAGAGCCTTCCTTTGCGCCTGTTCATGTTGACTTTAGTGGCATGCCATCCGATTTGATGGTCTTTACACTGGAGCCTTGGAATAGCTGGGTCATTGCTCCTGTGTCTGCCATTGAGGACCTGGATAATCTTCATCTGGGCGACCGCAGCATCGACGCCGTGTTTGAGGTGACACACATCCTTGTTCAGGGTCACGCCAGAGAAGCCAACACCACCAACCCGCCGCGCGGTGCTCAATTGGTTTTGTCCTCGGGAGATGGTGTATCGCAAGCTGAAACAATCATCATGGCCAATCTTGGGTACTTTCAGCTCAAAGCGATGCCTGGTTCGTGGCAGCTTGCACTCAAGGAGGGCAAATCGGACGAAATTTTTGAATTGCAATCCTCCGTCCGTACTGTGCACGTCGACAGCTGGGCTCCCAGTACCCTGTATGTACGTCTTGCTCGCAAGCCAGGTATGGAGAAGGCAGATGTCCTCGACGACAAGCAAACAGCAGGCAAAGGCAGTCTCTGGTCCAAGGTGTCCAACATGGGCAAAAAAGACACAGCACTCGTCAAGAAGCACGCGGACATCAACATCTTCACTGTGGCGTCTGGTCACTTGTATGAACGGTTCGTCTACATCATGGTTTCTTCTGTCATGGCACACACCGACAAGAGCGTCAAATTCTGGTTCATCTCCAATTTTTTGAGTCCCCAATTCCGCAAGTTCATTCCACATCTCGCAGAGCGACTTGGTTTCGAATATGAGATGATCACATTCACTTGGCCACACTGGTTGAGGAAGCAGACCGAGAAGCAGCGTATCATCTGGGGCTACAAGATTTTGTTTTTGGATGTCATGTTCCCTCTTGATCTTGAAAAGGTCATTTTCGTCGATGCTGATCAGATTGTCAGAACCGACATGATTGAGCTCGTCAATGAAGACCTCAAGGGCAAAGTGTGGGGATACACGCCTATGTGCGATTCGCGCAAGGAGATTGAAGGCTTCCGCTTCTGGAAGCAAGGTTATTGGAAATCATTCCTCAGAGGTAAGCCTTACCACATCTCGGCGCTCTACGTGATTGATCTTGTTGCCTTCCGTGCACAAGCAACAGGTGATCGTCTTCGCCAGCAGTATCACGCCTTGTCTGCAGACCCAGAGTCGTTGTCCAACTTGGACCAAGATTTGCCGAATCATCTACAGGCGCAGATACCCATTCACAGTCTCAAGCAGGATTGGCTTTGGTGCGAGACTTGGTGTTCAGACGAGTCACTGGCGACCGCCAAGACGATTGATCTTTGCCAGAATCCCATGACAAAAGAGCCAAAGTTGGATCGAGCGCGAAGGCAGCTGCCAGAGTGGAACGAGTATGACCGCAAAGTCAAGGGCTTCGCAAAGCTTGTTGCTGAGCGTGAAGCAGCCGGCGGTCAGGAGGGGGATGACAGCATGGGCAGTATCACGGTGGACGTTGATGCGGTCGGCCAAAACCTGGAGATGAAAAAAGACCAGCTAGGCGATGAAGCAATGACTGGGTCTGATGGTGGTGAAAAGGCCACAAGGAAAGGTCACGACGAGTTGTAGACACACGAAGACAGGCTTTTCTAAAATGATGAGTTGCGGAGTGCAATCTGACAATCTGATTCGAACGTTCTCCGCAATGGACTAACCTCAGCAGCCCAGCTGCAGCTTGACCAAGTCCGCTGCAGCTGTTGCCCTACTTGTGCCGCCAGCCATGGAGAGGATAGACAGTGACGAAGCCTCATTCAGAAAGCTCATGGAAGATCATGAGCGTATGGGCGTAGGTGGGCGCTTCAACTTCTACGACCACCAGCCACAAGATCAGGCAGAAGCCGCGCAACACGAGCATATCATCGGCCATGACCACCTCAATTGGACGACAAAAGCAGAGAGTTGGCAGAAGCTGCGTGCGACCCTGAAGGATGCAATCATCAAGCGCAAGCACGGCGGTGCCACCGAAGTGCAAGCTGGAAAGCCGCAACCCAGTCTGGAGTATGAATGTCATGTCTCAGGCCTCGAGGATGACACGCCTCTACTTGATCTGCCTGCAGCTTTGGTTCCGAGCAACAGAGTGCCGAATGGTGACGAGGAGTCTTCCATCTATCGCTTTTCTCTGGCTGAGTATTGGCAATCCAGACTCTTGCATCTCGGCTTCAACAAGTTTCGCAATGAAGAGCTCACAGTGGTCGCACCAGTACTGCCGCAAAAGCTAGTGGTGACAAATGGTAGGCGGCATCCACAGCGACCGCCAAAAGCGTATCCAGGGGAACTCATCTATGCGCGAGTGATTGACATCAATGGTTCACAATGCACGCTGGAGCTCAAAGTTGCCAGTATCAAAAACGACCTCAAGCACTTTTCTGAATGGCACAACTCGGATCGCGTGAACGCCTTCTGGGGCGAGCGAGGAACTGCGGAACAGCACAAGGCATATCTCAAGAAGCAGCTTGTCGATCCGCATGTCATACCAGTCATTGGTCACATTGACGGCACGCCTTTCGGCTATTTTGAGATTTATTGGGCCAAGGAAGACAATATTGCACCATTTGCTGATTCTCATGATTATGATCGAGGCTTTCATGCACTTGTCGGTGATACACCGTACCGTGGGCCGCACGTGGTGTCGCATTGGATTGCTTCATTGACGCATTACTGCTTCCTGGCAGATCCCAGGACAATGAGGGTCATGTTGGAGCCGCGAGCAGACAATGATAAGTTCATCAACTATCTCAATGTGTCTGGATACTGTCGGGAGAAGGACTTTAACTTTCCTCACAAGCGTGCAGCGCTCATGACAATTTCGAGAGAGCATTTCTTTGAGAGCCATCCGCCGAGGTTTTGAGGTTCCGCGGCGAAATATCAGATCTTGAGTTAGTCTCGAGTATATAGACAAGGTTCACGTCTCAGTCACCTCTTTGCCAATCACACCGGTATTTGTAGCTCACAAACTATTGCTCAAGCACGCTGCTGGCTATGATGAGCGCAAGGCATGCACAAGCGACATCACGAAATCTTTACATCACGAATGTCTTAAAAGACTCAGATCAGATCAGACTATCGACCTACAGGTGATTTTCATTCATCTTGGCTTCCACTCCGCCTTGTAGGCCTCTCAGTCGTTGGACGCTGGCATGCTTGACGAGAAGCTTGGGAATGCAGCCTTGCGTCCGTCATCTACGACAGCACAATTTCTGCGTCTAGAGTTGCTGGAAGCTCCTTTGATATTGCTTCCAAAGCAGATCCCAATCTTCCTGTGTACCCGAAGCGACTGTCTCCAGAAACATGTCTTTTAATACGTCAGGAATCGAAGGCAGAGGCGGGTCCGACCTCGTATGCCTATGAAAATGCTACTGCGGCGAGCTGAACGTAGATGAGAGCACTGCCGTACTTTTGTTTACGCATGCCGTGGGTCTCGCGCTAGTGCTAGCTGTTTCAGCGTCCAGGTGTCAGGATACCGACTGGAAGTTTCGTTCCATCTGAAGCTCCCCTGCTGTGCCACAATCACGAACACGACCGCGACGTCCAGCGGATGTGCATCTGCCAGATACGAGTGACTTGTGCTAGTCCGTCTGCGGCTCAATGCCTTTTCTCGCCAAAGCCGGTGGGCAGCTGGACGAGATGACCACACGCCTATCGAGAAGACCGCGCGATCCCGACAAGCCGACGACCCCGAAGCTGACATGGTTCAGCAGAAAGCGACGCATGTCTATGCCCGGCTTCATGGGCCCTGCACTGGAATATACCACCACAGATGATACAGGTACCAAAGCTACTGCACAGAAGCTTGATACATTCAAAGGTGTCTTTATGCCCACGGCGCTGAATGTCTTGTCGATTCTCATGTTTCTGCGCTTCTCGTTCATTGTCGGACAAGCAGGATTCTTAGGTACGATGAGCTTGTTGATCGTTTCGTATGCTCTTGATCTACTCACAGTCATGTCCATCTCTGCCATCAGCTCAAATGGTACGGTCCGCGGTGGTGGCGCTTATTACATGATCTCACGAACGCTCGGTCCAGAATTTGGTGGGTCCATTGGAATTGTCTTCTACATTGGCCAAGTGCTCAATGCAGGCATGAATATTGTCGGATTCTTTGAGCCGCTCGTCGACAATTTTGGCAAGTCTGCCCATGCAGAACACGGTCATGGTTGGCTGCCAGATTCCTTCTGGTTCGTCTTCCTGTACGGTTCAGTAATGTGCCTTATCTGCTCAATTGTATGTACAGGCGGCTCAAAGTTCTTCTCGCGAGTTAGCATCGTAATCTTTATGTTGCTTGGTATATCGACCTTATCCATCCCCTTCTCAGGCATTGTGCGGTCGATCTTTGGCTTGCAAGCACATGCCTGGCAGCCCTCATGGGAGACCATCCGGGATAACATGTTTGCACATTTTACAAGAGGCGCAGCTGGCTCAGAGTCAACACAACGAGAGACATGGCGTTCGATCTTTGGGTTACTTTTCCCCGCGACGGCAGGCATCTTTGCTGGTTCTGCTGACTCTGGCCAGCTCAAGGCCCCAAGCAAGTCAATTCCTCGCGGCACTCTTTATGGACTGTCCCTGACATTTTGCTTGTACACATCAGTCATTGCTGTACTTGCGATTGGTGTTCCCCGAGCTCACTTGTACAAGGACCTGATCATTCTTCAACGAATCAATTTGACCAAGTACCTTGTCATTCTTGGAGCACTCAGTACTGCGACCTTTTCGACGCTTTGTGGTATCAACGGCGCCGCCAAGATGTTGCAAGCTATCGCACGCGATGACGCCTTTCCATTCCTGTCTGTATTCAAGTATGGCACAAAGGCCACCAACGAACCTCTTCTGGCTATCCTCATTACCTGGCTCTTCACTCAACTTGTGTTATTTGCGGACATCAACATGATTGCATCTGCCGTCACCATGACCTTTCTCCTCACGTTTGCTGGTATCAATTTGGCTTGCTTTCTGCTGGACGTCTCCAGTGCGCCCAACTTTCGCCCAAGCTTCCAATACTATTCCTGGCATACTGCCCTCCTTGGCTTTGTCTGGTCATTCTTGACAATGTTTTACGTTGACGGTTCCATTGCATCGGCGGCCTTTGCCTTTCTCGCCACCTTGTTCCTCATGGTTCACTATTTTGGCGCACCAAAGAATTATGGTGATGTTTCGCAAGCACTCATCTATCATCAAGTTCGCAAATTTTTGCTCCGACTTGATTCCAAGGAGCACGTCAAGTTCTGGCGACCACAAATCTTGCTCCTTGTAAATGATGCTCGGGCGAACCTCAATCTCATCAAGTTCTGCAATGCTCTGAAAAAGAGCGGCCTTTACATCCTCGGGCATGTGCTCATCACGGACGATTTTACCAAAGATTTGCCAGAGATGCGAAAACAACAGACTGCTTGGGCTCGCTTGGTGCAACTACTCAAAGTCAAGGCATTTGTGCAAATTGGAGTCAGCACAGATGAAGTATGGGGAGCCATGAACATGTGTCTTTCCAGCGGTCTTGGCGGAATGAAACCGAACATCGTCGTGATGTCCTTCTTCAATATGGACACTTATCGCGAGGATCGTGCGGCATCACAGTCGATCGGAATGAAGAACATGCCAAGCGAAACAGGGACTTCTGCTACAGAGAGGACGAGATTGCTCAGGAGCGACTCGGAAGAAATACAAAAAGAGCGCGACTTTCTGCCCACAGACGTTTGTCGCAAGAATCCCCCGATTGGAATGCAAACGTATGTCAATATCGTCGAGGATGTGATTGCAAGCTTCAATCTCAACATTGCCCTCACTCGTGGTTTCAGTAACCTCGTGTTTCCGGAGGAGTCAGACAAGCAGTATATCGATCTATGGCCCATCCAAATGTCTCCGGCAACAGGAGCTGATGCAACCGGCGAAATTCTCAGCACAAACTTCGATACATACACCATGATTCTGCAAATGGGCCAAATCTTGCATACTGTACCAAAGTGGAATAAGGCTTTCCAACTGCGAGTCATGGTATTTGTCGAGTACAAAGATGATGTCGAAGAGGAGCGCCGTCGCATACAGTTGTTGCTGGACAACTTGCGCATTGACGCAAAGCTCGTTGTTCTGACACTCGACAACGGCATGTTTGATGGCTATGAGGTTTGTGTCAAAGATTGTAAGGAACCACGTCGTCTCAGACCTGTTGAGGAAGCACTACACTCACAGAGCTGGTGGAAGGATCGTCACGCATTCCGTTCTGCTTATCCCGCGCAAAGACCACGCAGCCACTCCTTCTCACGTCAGTCGGGGGAGCCTGAAGGTGGCATTGCGGTCACTAAACGTCGCATGAGCCAGCATTTGCAACCGTACTCAATGCCCTTAAGTTTCCGCACAAACATACCCATGCCGCAAGGCGATGAGAGCAGCAGTGACGAGGACGACTTTTATGAGCCAAGCAGTCCAGTACGTGCTGATAGTGAGATGCAAGTCGAGCATATACCGCAAAGTCGCGCGAGAGGTAAGCTGCGCCGGCAACCCTCGCGATACCCACAGCAGAGCTCATCGAGTCTGCACGGATCAGATGAGATTGCAATTGATGATGATGAGCAGGATGAACAGCTCGACAACTCGTACAACAAGACCAAATTTGACAGTACAATGCTCTCTGCAGTGATGCCTGATGTGCTAGATCACCCAGCTGATGTCACAGCTGTCCAAGATGTCGATGGCGACGATGGAGATAAAGTTGGCCCGAGCGTCACATTTGCTCCTGATCCGCAGTATTCAGACCGGCGTCCTCACGCCGGTCTTTCGTTCAATGACATGCCACCCAGCGCACAGCACTACATCATCAATGAGATGATCAAGTCGCAGTCGAGCGAGACAGCGGTCATCATGACTACGCTTCCACCTCCAAGTGCGGAAACGTACAAGGATCCTGAAGCTAGTGAAGCGTGGTTGGCGAGTCTCGACTTGTTGACGACTGGCTTGGCTCCTGTTGTGCTAATACACAGCAAGAGCTTGACTGTCACGACTGCCTTGTAGATATGTAAAGAGTCGATGACATACAGAAACGATCAAATGAAGAACAGACATATGTAATGCACAGTCTATAGACTTGGTGACACGCTGGGCTAGAGCAAGTGAAGGCTAAAGAATACAAGTGGGCGAGGCTGAATTGGTAAGGGTCCAATTGCTTACCGACCCCCAGGAGGCTTTACATCCACCGTGAAAGCCCAACGACCTTCAGCAAGCCCACGTGCTGTGTCTGTGAGGAAGACCTCTCGCCGGGCGCCGACATACACAGTTTTGTCGAGGACCTGGTGCCGTAGCTTGGCAACTTCCTCTTGGATGATGGGTCGCTCACAAAGCTCTGATAGCTGCTCCACTGCGAGTTCAAGGTCCTTCTGATTGTCCTCAAACAACTCAGTAGCGTTGGTTCTCTTCAGATAAAAGGCAAAGGCGTACGTCCATTTGAGAGTGCGCCTGCAGACAGTCAGGGTGTCTACTGCCGTCTTGAGAAATTGCACCTCGATCCATGACATATCAGAGGTTTTCTGAAGCTGTGACATTTTGCGCTCCGTGCGCACATACAATTCGCGATCCAATTTCGCAGATTGTTCATGGTTGGCAAATCGGTTGTAGTAGTGCAAGTAGCGCTCGAGACTGGCGCGAGATTTGGCTTGTGTGTCACGCGCAGCAGCACCGTCCTTTTCTTGAAATCGCCCACAGTTGTACCAAGAAGATCCGTGATCTGCCCAAGTGCCCATGCACACCCAGCAGTACTCATATTTGCATTTTCGACACGTCATGTGATTGCAACCACCATTCTTCTCAGTGGTAGTGGTGCATTTTGGGCACTCTTTTGTATTGGCTGAGATCCAGTTGGACGTTTCACTGTCGTCTTCACACTTTTTGAGCCAGATCTTGACGATTGGACAGATGCACGGCTGATGCTCATCAAGACCACAGCCGAAACAAAACAAGTGACCCTCAGCACACTCGACAGACGGGATGCGCAGAGCTAATTGTCGTGAGGGTACGTTACACTCGATGGCGCACTCGCATTCAGGTGCGGGGCACCATCTGATGTTCTCGTGGTCGTCAACATAAACACGGTCCAGTAGTCGTTGATAGCGGCTGAAAACATCGGACTCCGTCAATAGCCTGATGCTTGATTCGAGCAGCACGAGTTTGCACTTTTCGCCAGGGCACACGAGACGGCGCACCTCTCCTTCCTCCACAATCTTCTCTTCTAGGTAGCGTGTGTAGCAGTCGAGGCAGAAACGATGGCCACATTCAAGAGAGTAGGTTACTAGTTCGCCATCGTCGCAGCAGATTGGACACTCAAATTCCTTTAGCTTCTCGATCTGCGGCGCACTGGTAGCACTAGGGACACCCGCTGCCTTCAACACCGCCTCAGAATCGTCCATGAAGCGATCGAGCAGCTGTTCTTGCTTCCACTTGAAATGTCGCAGCAGGATGAGAGCGTGCTCCTCACTCTGCTCAGTCAGACTTGTGACTTGCGCCGCTTGCGCACGCTGCGCCGTATGGAGTGCTTCTGTGCTGAGAGACTTGTACTCGACCTCATAATCCTTGCGCTTTGACTTCTCGTCCACTACTTCCATACCAAATCCATCGTCTGATTCCAGCTCTATGGTGGCGGTGAGTCATTTGCAACATGAGTGGGGGTTTGCGCTTACCTGAATCCATTTCAAAGTCGTTGAAGGATCCCTCATCAGAGAGGTCGCTCATCTCTGAGTCTCCAAGGTCAGACATGACGGCAGTCAGTGAGCGCACCGGCAAAACAGGGAATGTGTATGGGTGTGCCGCGGTTGCTTGATGGGTATGAGACGCGACCATGACAACAATCAGATGGGTGACTATGCAAAAGCGCAACTATACAAACAAGTTCATCGCCTCGCTCACCAGCTTCAAGCGCTGCCTGACATGCCGCGGAAGACCAGCCTCCAGTACATGCTCCTCTGTCTGACCAGTTTGGGTGTCTTCCAGGTAGCACATCTTCGTAGTGGTGTCCAGTCTGACAATCGTGCCTTCAAGCAGATAGAAAACCCAGCCACCATTCTCCTTGTACCGCTCACACCATCCAGTACCCTCGACGAACTTCTTCTCCACACGACTTTGCGCTCTGGTGGGTAAGCTCATACTTGACAGTGCATGGGGCGTGACACACTCTGCACCGAGCGCCTCGTAGCATCGATTGTACCACATCATGGCAGTACGCACACTTTCCCTGACTCCAACATCCACCGCGTCAACAGGTCCCTTAAAAAGCACAGCTTCCCTGTCAGCGACCTTGACGACTTGCGTGGCAGGGTCGAAAGCAACTTTACGTCCCTCGGCAACGAGGACCACTTCGAAACTGTCATTTTCATATAGCCGCGACCGTGCATCTGCAGCGTTGATGGCAATCCGAATCGTCTTGCTGCGTACCAGATTAACAAACTTTGATGCAAATCGATAGGCGAGCAGATGACGTGCAGGCAGATCTGCCAAGTTAAATGTCTGTAGCTTGCCGTCTGTTGTGAGTGTGATGCGCGTGCCGTCCGACGAAATGCTGTATTGCTGGCCGCCTTTTGCCAGTTCCACCGTGACACTGCCATCTTCGAGGATTGCAAGATTGCCATGCTTGCTCGATTGCGACGCTGGCTTGAGACCGGTCGTTTGGAATCGATATTTAGTAATAAGCGCAAGAGACGGATCCTCTGTGTTTTCGTTGGACCGCTTGGCGTATTTCTTCTCCTCTGCAGACTCTCTCGCCTCATCCTCCTTGATGATCTCCTCAACCACATTCTGCAAAGGCTGTAAGCCAAAACGTGTCCGAAGAGGAAGCGCGCTCTGTTTAACTGGCGACGCACTGAATCGATTCAATTTGCTCGGCCGTTCAGTTGAAGTGCGCCTTTGGTCCGACACCCAGCCTTCGCCGGTCTTATACGCATCATGCAACGGCTGCAGTCCACTGAATGAGCGACTTTTGCGAACGACACGACGCCGATCTTCTTGGTCCTCCTCAGCATGTCCAAAACGCGTACGCCTTCCAACACGACGATAAGCATCTTGCGTCATTGCTTCCTGTTCACGAGGCCAGTACCGTTCTCGAGGCTCCATCTCAGCATCTGCTGCAGAATGAGCACGTCTGTGACTACTGAGCGGTCGTCTTGGTGGTTGTAAATCCGGTTGTGGGACCATTTGCTGGTGTTTGGTGAAGCCATGCGGATCCTCATACGTCGTCTCGCGTTCATGTGCGAAACGATCGTCTTGCATGCTAGGATGAGAATCGCCTTGTCTCGGTGCAGCAAGTGGCCAATTCGCCTCCTCTCGCAACTCCAACGATGGTGCACGTTGTTGATTGACGAGATGACTATAGCCTTGTCTCTGAATTTTACCCAGCAAGTCTGATAATTTAGGTCGCTCTCGATTCAATACATCCACAAGCTGCGATTTCCTGCCGGGTGTATGATACGGTACGCCAAGGTTCACTGGCAAGATATTTGCGCCACGAGAGGTATAGCTCTCCAATGCAAAAGATGGAGATAGTGGTGAGATGCCCATATCACGCTGTGCCGCTGCTGCTAAGAACGGATGTGCCATCATTTCAGCAGTAGTCAAGCGTCGTTCAGGGTCGATTTGCAAGATTGCATCCACGAGACTCTTGACATCTCGGCTCACACCGCGTGGGAGGGGTCGATAGGCGCCTTTTGCAACAAGCTGTAAAGTTTCTGAGATTTGGTCTCCTTGGAATGGTGGTTTGCCGGTGAGGAGTGCAACGAGGATGCAACCAAGTGACCAAACATCCGACGCAATGCCATAAGGTGCGCGATTAACGATTTCTGGAGAGATGTAGTTGGGTGTTCCGCACATGGTCATGTCTTGATCTGCCGTTGCGTCGCGTAGTTTTGTGGCTAGCCCGAAATCAGCAATTTTGACCTGTAGCGTGTCTGTCAGCAGGACATTGCTGAGTTTCAAGTCGCGGTGCATAATCTCATTCAGGTGCATAAAGGAAACTGCTTGTACAAGGGATAGAAAGAGCGGGCCGGCTTGTGCTTCGCTCAGCCCAGTTGGATAGTTCTCCTGAAGATAGGCAAACACCGTCGAGCCTGAACAATACTCTGTGCAGATGTAGATATGCTCGAGATCTTCAAAAGAATGCTCAAAGCGTACAATGGCAGGATGTGGTGGTAATTCGCGATGCACGGCAATCTCATCTGCAACGCGTTGCTTGCGTTTCGCTGAACTGAGGAGTGTCTTTTTGATGATTTTAATGGCGATGACTTTGTTTTTGAGAGGTCCACGTAAGCCGTGTGCTTTGAAGACTTGCCCAGTGGCACCTTGGCCGAGTTTCTTGTCGATGCGGTAGTCATCTATACGGTCGCCTGCTGTGGATGCATTGTTGTTGTGCTCGCCATAACGATGCGCCGATGGAGTTGTGCGTGTGTTGCGTTGTGGTGAAGAAGGAGTGTAGGCTTGATGCCAGCGACGCGCGTCTAGCATGTCATGGAGGTGCCAGACTCCAAGAGCGGACCGTAGATGGGTGGTTGTAGGTCGCTGGATCTGTTGGGTCGTGTCCACTCTTTGTGCGCAACTTTTTGTCAACTTTGGCGACCGGCACAAAATAATGATGACAGGGATGATCCATTGCAAGAATTGAGCAGGTAGAGTATTAGATGATTTACTATAGATCGTGACGAGCGTACGCTGTTCGAAAAAAAGGAGCATATACGCATGTGCGAAAGACAGACTTCAAGTCGACCAGGAAACATATTCCTTTAGACATTGTGAGTCGTGTGCTCAACAATTGGTGCTGACACAGGTGCACCTGCAGAAGCAGTAGGTGTAGTGTGTGTTCCTGTCGCTGCAACGGGTGCAACACCAGCACCATGACCCATCTCAGAATCCCTACGCAGGTCCTTCTCGCGGACGTGTGTGGATTGGTTGACGAGGTCCCAACGCTTCTCATGGAGGCCGAGACGGTCAAGGCCGATACCACGGTGTCCGATGAGGAGCCAAGCGCCAAAGACAGGCTTGGCGAGGAGATCGAGAACACCGTAGAAAACTGCTTCACCATCTGAAGAAGTGACATTGCCACCCTCAGAAAGACCCCAAGCGATTGGGTAGAGGGTCCAGAGGAAGGCAGTCCAGATGGAGATACCGAGGAAGACACGGTGCACATCAGAACCGAGTGCCATGGCGCGCTTCCTAGCAGTGAAGATGAGGACGTAGGCGACCCAGAAGAAGGCAAACATGCCGAATGTCCAGTAGCCCCACTTGTAAGATGAAGGAGTCAAGGCACCAAGAAGACCAGTGACAATCATAATCTCGTCCATGATGATGGTGAAGATGATCTCAGACCATGGCATGCCAGCAAGCAAGAGCAGGTCGAGGAGGAGGAGGGGTGTCGTTACAAACCAATCAATGTAACGTGCATAGAAGACTTGACGGAATGGCAGGTTGCTGTAGTTGGCAAACTCAACGGCAATAGCAACGGATCCGAGGTTGGAGGCCATGGTGAAGTAGGCGACTGCAGCGACGGAGACGATGGCGATGGTGATGTAGTGGAAGACACGCTCCCTGGGTGCGACGCGAGTGGCCATGAAGGTGAAGGCGAGGGCTGAGGCTGTCATGACGGCGAAGATGGCCCAGTAGAAGGAAGAGCCATCGTCGTCAATGGCTGAGACGGAGGAGAGGTCTGGGAAGTGGTTGTCGCCAGGGAAGGCTGAGTTGACCTCGACTGCGTTGTTGCGCTTGACGAAGAGCGAAGACATGATAAGTGAGGTGTATAGATCCGCTTGATGGCAGCGCTGGGCCCTGTGCTCCTTTTTATCCTCTTTGCTGGGTGTTGTAGCTTGTGGTTACGTCACATGAGCGCGGCCTCTCCTCCCGCCGATGCAGGGCAACACTACGCGACCAGCCATAAGGGCCCTCATCAGTCTTTGCTCCTGCTCAGACAGCCCGCGAAGTGCCGCCGAAGCGCAAGCAGGAGGGCCTTGACTCCGTTGATCTTCTGCTGACCTCATCTTGTCGCCTGTCGACTGTCTTGAATCTGTACACCTACAAGTTGCCATCTATACACTCCTTATCTCTTCACACCGCAGAGAACGACACTGACTCGTGGTCACATGACACCTCGAACGGCGAGTCCGCTGCAATGCGCACGTCCCCTGAGGATGAGACTCTGGTGCGCATCTGAACAAACAGACGCTGTCGTCATGCCATGATCGACGACCTGACTGTGTGGAACAGTGGGAGTCCCTTCACGACACGGTCCTGACTCCTCAGCTATGCCCGGTAGTCTTGCCGACCTCGGGATGCGGCTTGTAGGCTACCCACTACTCCTGTCATCGGTGCCGTACGTGCCGACGAAGAGCCCTTCAAACTCAATATCCTCACCTGCAAAGGAAAAAAAAAAGAAAAGATGCTGATCTACGATCTTAATGACGTCGTTCCGTTCCTGAATAGCTTGATAAGAGGCAAGTTTGACAAATAGGCTGACTCATATCACTGAGCAATGAGCATGCCACAAGCAACCGGATATGCGACGGGCTTGATGTTGCAGACTTGCAGACTGCAGTACATGCCCGCCGAGTAACTTGATCGCTACGGCGAAGAAGACATAGACTTAAGCTTACCATAGCAGTTCAAGTTTAGTAAGCATCCATTCTTGGAGCTCTACCTTCCCGGCAGCTGCTCAGTCATGTTCACAAACATCTCAGCAATGAAGTGAGCATATGTCTGAGCATCGGCTGAATGAGCCAATTCGTCATGGTGTGGTCGTGTAAAGTTCCCTCAAGCTTTGCAGGGTGCGGGCCGTTTATGCCGAGCGAACGGCACTACCAACAGCTCGGAATTGGGCAGGCATCGCTTGACACAATATTCCGAATGCTATTATAGTATCAATATCTAGGGCAGTCGCTGACCTGCTTCATGAGGCATTCAGCCAGCCGGTAGATGCCCACTGCATCGTCGCGGAAGTTGGTTTTGAAGATGGTATCGGTGGATGACCGTAAAATCGACCGACGACAAGATGCCCCGACTAGCCTGCGCTGGCAGCCTGGGCTGATCTGAAGCTGGAACACGCAATCGTCTCATAGATGACAAGACTTTCATCACGGGAATTCCAATACAATCCTCGTTCTGTGTCTGCTCTTTGTGTAGCAGCAATCAGCCTTCCCTATAGGATAGCTGGCAGGCAGCCCAGGAATCAGGGGTCAGGAGTCATCAAGTCTTGTGCAACATCATGTTGGGGGAGCATTAAAATGTAAAAGTACGGGCTAAAAGAAGACTTGGGTGTTGGGAGGGCTATAGGTATAGAAAAAGTAGTTGATGCGTTTCATGGTCGTGACGCAAAACCAAAGCAGGAGTTATTCTGGCCAGCTTGCTCGTGGTTGTAGGGCAGATGGAGAAGTAAGGTCCAGCCAAGTTCATTCTCTCATCGACCCACGAGCATTGCAGATTCATCCATGTTGATCAAGTCTGTGTCCCCTTGCTTTCTGGTCTTGTCGTTGTTGTAGTGTATACATCCTATGCGAGTCTCGTGACATCTCCTCATCGGCTCATGCTGCAGGACTTGGCTCTCTTGACAAGAAATACGTCCGTTTCTTGAGAGGACACGCGTTACTCTTCAGCTATCCGGTGGTTACTGAGTTCCATCTCTTGACGCGCTCCTAGCAAGATCGTATTAGCACATGGTATACAAAGCAATTGACCAAGAAAGGGGGCCTTACGCTGTCGAGCACGCCGTTCGTCATCTTGACGCATCTTTTGTATGTAGAGTGGGATAAAACCTGAATCAGCCGGTGCCTTGCCATGCCGTCTAGCAGGATGCGGATTGCGCGACGAGCCAAGTTGTGAAGCACCGAGTGGTTGTGCACGGACTGAACCTGCATCAGATCGTGTCGAGGAAGGTGCTGAAGCGATAGAACTGGCGGTCGAGGTAGATCCTTCACTACGACTAGCATGCGCATTAGCTTTTGTTTCTCTCGTGTTTCATTCTTTTTCTTGTGTGGAAGCACGTACTCTGATTTGTAGGACCAGCGCAGGGATCCCATACTGGCGATCGAGAAGCGTTTTGAGTGAGCACGCGCGAGCGCAGACTTGTCTTTGAGGAAATCCATCTGTTTAAAAGGACAAGAGGGGTGATTGGTTTGGTGGATTTAAGGGTAGTTGGGAAAAAGGAGGGAGCGGTTGGGACGCAGCAATGTCGTATCTGCTTGTGTGCTTGCTTACTGGAAATGGAGCTTGGTGATGTGCCTGGAGTCTCTTGAGCCGGAGCTATGAAAAAACAAAAGTGTGTAGGAAGGACGACGAAGAGAGGTGCGGGCGATGATGTTGCTTGTTGTTTTGGGTGCGTTTGAGTGGTGCCGGCCTGGCTCTTTTTCGATTGATTATAAGTGCGGTAAGGACTGGATCTGGCGCTGCGATGGGCGGGCGGTGTTGGTTTGGGTGATGCGCTGGGTGAGAAGACGGGGGGCCCCTGCTTGTGTCACAATTGAGAGAGGGAGCTGATGCTGCTGCTGCTGCTGCTGCTGCTGCTGCTTGTTTCTTGTTTCTTCTCGCTCCCTGGCTGGCTGGCGGGCGGCTTCTTCTCCTGCGCCAGAGTCCAGTCCTCCTAAATATAATCCTCACCAGACAGCACCAGCTCACTCGCCAAACCTCAACCTGACACTTGCCAACGCATACCCTTGTTTTCATCATCAGTACTACATGCAAAATAATGCCACACCCATAGCTTGCTCCCTGCTGCTTTTCAGGCGAGTGCATGCATCAACTATATCTGCTCTACTGAACCTCCACTGCACATGTGTTCTCCCAGAAGGCTTGCTTGAACTTCAATCGGACGCATGTTTCGACTTATGTCATACTAAGTCAATTGGCTGAATGCAGGCTGCATCCCCAGAAGTCGGCCCTTGATTGACCTTTGCGTGACTTTGGCTCAAGTGTGAGCTTCTACAAATACACATTCATAACTTGTTTCGTCGGCATATGTCGCTACTCCCAATGACTGGACCGACGTACCTTTGAATTGCATGGCTGTAGCATCTCTGTAGCAATATCAATGAGTCAATAAACACGAGAGCAATGGAGAGTGCCTCAATAGACCGAGAAGCCGCTAGGACGCTGTTCCATCTGATCAGCTCGCCATGTGCAACCAGCGATACACGACACAGACTGCCAATGGCCAGCTACAGACAGCCAACCTCAGACACACTATAGCCAGAACTCGTGCGCAAACGGACAAGAATCGCTCAAAGTCGAGCTAGCTCATCGACTGAGTTGATACTTCTACAGCTCTTGTTTTAAACTGAATACACTGTTACTGCTTCTGTTGTTGTCCTCTAAACACTTCATCTCACTTGCAAGGATCGCCTGGTCTGCTCTCGCTACGAGATCTGAGCGTCGTTCTCCTATGCGCTTGACAGGATGAGTAATCAAGCTATAGTCGATCCAGCACTGCTGCCTGGAGGGTTCGAAGCCCGCGATTCACATCAACAGCCAGACCTATCGCAGGATCATGCATCCTTGTGCGTACCCCATTCCCCTCTCTAGAATACTCAAAAAGCTGATTGTGTGTAGACGAGACCTCTTCTCTGATGACGAAGGTGGGCAGTCGGAGGAAGAACAGATGGGTACCTCACATAACCAGATGAGTGCCATACAGCATGAATTACGTGGTTCAGCACCATTTGGTGGTCGAAAATCAAAGAGAACCAATGTAAGCGTCGACCTCTTGTCAGCACTACTGACACCTTGATTCAGGGTCGCAAGCAACTTGCGCCAGATACAATGCCAACATTTGAAGTTGCAGGGTTACTAGGCCAAGCCAACCGATTTTATGCAGAAGGTGATCTTGAAGCTGCTTTGGCTGTCATCAAGGAGATCATTCGTATTGAGCACAATACGTTTGATGCTTGGATGCTCCTTGCTGAAATCAACCAAGCTCGTGGGAATCTCCAGAATCAACGAACAGCCTTGAGTGTTGCTGCAACGTTACGACCACGTAATGCAAAGTTGTGGCTCGACTTGATTGGCTTGAGTAAAGATCAGGACGTTCCGTTTGAGGAGATTGACGAGTACTATGGTAAAGTTGCAAAAGCTGAACCCAAGGACCTCGATATCCTGCAGGAGCGTGCACAATTTTGTGCAGAGAACGGCAGGTACAAAAAGGCAATCGATTATTTGAAGCAGGCACTATCGCGTATCCCACATGAGATTGTCATGGTTCAAGAACTCGCCATGATTTTGCGTCATGAGGAGAGGTTTGATGAGGCAGTGAGTGTTCTTGAAGCAGCGTCCAAATACTACATGCAGGAAGATGAGCGCATCCTTTTTGATTTACCGCAACTCCACATGCTCTCTGAGGCGTATGTGTTTGCCTCATCGGAAAAGCCAGCTTCTATGCTGCAGGAATGGATCAGACACTTGAAACGCATTGCACGTTGGATTCATGGTCGAGAAGAACAGACCTTTTGGGATCATCGTCAAGATGACGCCGAATTTGACGCAGACAGTGATCGACGCGCGACTGAACCATTGCATGATGTGACACTTGAAGAGAGAGATATCAAACTCTACTCACTACCACCAGAGATTCACGTTCGACTGGGACAACTTCGATTGGCGACTGGTAAAGATGGACGTGAAGAGGCAAAGCGTCACTTCACATTCCTTGATTTCGATCGCTTGGACCTGTACTGGGATCTCGTCGTTGAAACGGCGCGCTCATTGCTTGAACACGAAGAATATGAAGCATCGATTGAGTACTTTCAAGTCCTCGCGGAAAACGACTTTGCCGATCTTCCAACCACATTCGCCTATGCTAAAGCGCTCAAAGCAATCGGTGAATATGATCAAGCGCAAGAGATGCTTGAGTTTGTTATTGAGCAAGAGCCAGAAGATACAGATGCCATGGTACTGCTGGCTCGTGTGCATGAACTCCGCGGTGATCGACAAAAGGCACTTGACCTCATCAACACCGTTATTGAGGTACGTCGCGCTGAAGACGAGCAATGGCAAGAACTACAAGCTGCTCGACAATCGACAGATGACGCAGATACACGTCCACAGACCTTACAAGTTGAGCGTGAACAGCATGGTATGGAGAGTCGTTGGCAGAAACGTGTCCCGGTCTCTGCTCGTGCGGGCATCAAGCGAAAACGCGTCGCTGGAGCAGGTGGCCGAACGAGTGCTGCCAAGTATGAAGATCTTGTTGCCTATGAAACGCGTAAGCTTCAAGAAACAGCGCAGGGTATCCAACAATTGGAAGTGACGGAAACAGCCATGCTAGCTGATCAACCAGATGCAGTGGATCAGTGGATGAAAGCAGCATCGAATCTCGTGGATGATTTCCGAACCGTTGGACATTTCTTCCCGAGTAAGAAGAAGATGCCTGAAACGGGACTGGCTGAGCAGATTGTACGTGGTCGTGGTCGTCAGCGAGCTATCCAAACGGCAGAAGAGAGACTACTGGGTATGGCGAATCGTCTGCAGGAAGGCCTTCAAGTTTCGCGTGGTGGCGTTTCAGGGGCTGATAAAGCGACGCATTTCAGACAAGTGTCTTTCGCGCGCTGGCTGGAAATTTGGATGCAATATGCGTTACTGTTGGTCATCAATGATGCGGCAGGAGAGGCATGGGCATTGATGGCGATTGCTGAAATGGCTCAGCCATTTTCGAGTGATCCGTTGCTTTCGCAACAAATGCGCAAGTTTTTCTTGTTTCTTGCATGCAAGCAGGGTGATACTGAACGTGCCTCGCTGGAAGCACGTCGCTGGATCTTGCAAGCAGGTCTACAACTTGACCCTATCAGGATGTCCATGACGGCGTGTTATGGTATGGACGGGCAAGATATCTTTCGACAGTCAAGCAGTCAAAAGTTCTTTCTACGACTGATCAAGACGATGGATAAGGCACTCGGTCGAGAGGTTGGCCAAGGATTCAACAAGCAGCTTGAACATCCGCCGAAGAAGGATGTGGCTCATTTGCTCACACTCTATGGCGAGAAACTGAGTGCTGGTCGCCAGTATATTCTAGCCATTCGTGCGTACCCCTCTGACCACCCGAAAGAATGCTAATCAACAGACTACTTGATGCGCGCCGCTGGAGTCGCTGAGGAAGATCCACGTATCATCCTCAATCTCGGCATTGCATACTTGCATCGAGCCATGCAACGGCAAGTAGACAATCGCAATGTGAGCGTGGTCGAGGCATTCTCATTTTTGCACAAATACTATCGTATACGCAAAGAGTCTGGCGACCTTGCAAGCTTACAAGAGGCAGAATACAATCTTGGGCGTGCCTATCATACAGTGGGCCTATATCACCTGGCCATTCCGCGGTACAGGCGCGTTTTGGCGATGAGTGATGGTGGATTTGAGGGGCAGGAGACGAATGATTTTGTGTGTGATGCAGCGTACAATTTGGTGCTGATTATGGTAATGGCTGGACATGCACCACAGGCCGCTGCTTTGACTGAGCAGTACTTGACGATGTAGCCCTTTCTTCTATCTATCTACATTGTTACTTGAGCCGCAGTACTTGGAGCAGTAGCAGTAGTGTTGTAGTTGGCTGTCTCCCTCTCCAACCACGTGAGATTTCGCCTGTCTACGAAGCAAAAGAAAGAGAAAGCAGCAGCAGGCAAGCAAAGAAGCACACCCACAAGCAAGGTCTCACTCCATTGAGCAGGCATACCAGCACAGACTCAGCCCTCTCCTGTGTCTTGCCAGTCCCTCCATCAGCAGCCCTTACCCATTTATCCAGAGGAGCGAAAAGAAAAAGGCCTCTTTCTCTTTGCTCGTCACCCGCTTCCGTCCGCTCCAAAAACTCTCCCAACAACAAGTGTGCACAAGAGACTTCTCCCCTCGTCAGCCCACCACAGCAGATCCACCTAGCAAGGGCATCTCCTCATCTTCTCAATCCTCTTCCCGCGACTCGTCTCCTCCCGACCTTCGCTCGTTTCCTTGTGTTTTCCCAAGCTTCCCTTTCTTTAAACAACAAAGAGAAGGCCAGCACAGCGCAACCTACAGAACGAACCCATTGGTTTTCGACGCGTCTTCATTGCCGAATCACCATTCCTTCACGTCCCCTGCCTCTTTCTCGTTGATTCCAAGCAAGTCCAATGGAAGCAGTAAGTTGCACCATCTTCCAGAACACACGGCTAACCCATCTCTCTAGTCCAACACAGAAATTGATATCGATCAGGTGATTGCACGCCTTCTCGAAGTGCGAGGCTCGCGACCGGGCAAGCAAGTCCAGCTGCCAGAGTATGAAATCAAGTTTCTATGCACAAAAGCAAGGGAAATCTTCATCAACCAACCGATCCTGCTTGAACTCGAAGCGCCCATCAAGATTTGCGGCGATATCCACGGGCAGTACTACGACCTTCTCCGTTTGTTTGAGTATGGCGGCTTCCCACCGGAGGCCAATTACCTCTTCCTGGGAGATTACGTTGATCGGGGGAAACAATCGCTCGAGACAATCTGTCTCTTGCTCGCCTATAAGATCAAGTACCCGGAAAACTTCTTCATCCTTCGCGGTAACCACGAATGCGCTAGCATCAACCGAATTTACGGCTTTTACGATGAGTGTAAGATTTGCATTCTTTGAAAATGCATCGCGCTGACAAGAACAGGCAAAAGACGTTACAACATCAAGCTATGGAAGACATTCACAGATTGTTTCAACTGTCTGCCCATTGCTGCCATTATCGATGAAAAGATCTTTACAATGCACGGTGGTCTCTCGCCGGATCTCAACTCAATGGAGCAGATCAGGAGGGTCATGAGGCCCACTGATGTGCCTGATACCGGTTTGCCTTCCTTGTGACATGACCACAACTAACCAAACCAGGCTTGCTATGCGATCTGCTCTGGTCGGATCCAGACAAGGATATCACCGGATGGAGCGAAAACGACCGCGGCGTGTCCTTCACATTCGGGCCAGATGTTGTTTCTCGATTTTTGCAAAAGCACGATATGGACTTGATTTGCCGTGCGCATCAGGTTGTGGAGGATGGGTATGAGTTCTTCTCCAAGCGGCAATTGGTGACACTCTTTTCTGCACCAAACTATTGTGGTGAATTTGACAATGCAGGCGCCATGATGTCTGTGGATGAAAGCTTGCTATGCAGTTTCCAGATTCTCAAACCGGCAGAGAAGAAGCAGAAGTACCAGTACGGTGGTATGGGCTCTGGCAGGCCTGTGACGCCGCCGAGGAAGCAGAAGAAGTGATTTGTTTCTTTTGTTTTTTTGTTCATCCTTTTCTCCCTCTCTCCCTCGCTTTCCTCCTTCTTCGCGCTCCTCAAAATCAACCCCATACTTCTTGGCTATCCTTCTTTCTCCTGTCGATTGTGCTCATCATTGAAGAAGAACGACAATCCACTTTTTCGCAATACTCGTTTTACAAAGACAACGAGCCAAGGCCGTTCATCGCCTTCTACGCAAGTTCCTCTCTGGGCGCCACTAGGGAAGTAGGGCAAGATTTTAACTGGGAATTACACAAAACAAGGTCGTCCTTCCTCCAAGTTTCGTTTTCTCTTGTCTTGCAACCCCCTTTCTCATACTTTTTCGTCGTTCAAACACACTCGTCTCATGTCGTCTAATCATTGCTACTCTATTCCTCTCCTTGTCTTTCCTATTTCCATGATCAATCCGTTGTAATTGGTTCTGCTGGTCGTGTGTACTGCACCCACGTCAAGAATGACATCAGCAACTCTCTCTATCCTGCCGACACAACACACAAACAGACAAAAGCCATGTCAGACGCCAAGAGAGATCAACATGCAGTCTCAGCAACGACAAAGGTCGATGGTCCAGCTGTCAGTCTCGAAGATAAGGTACATCGTCATTCCATTTTCTTTCTACGACCAGTCTAACATGCGATTCTTTAGCCAGCAAGCAGCACAACAACACAGCATGCGGCCAAGCATGAAGCAGAGAGACTTCCTGACGGACCTTCTGTTCGCATAGACGCACAATCCCTCGGCAAGGATGAACCAGACCGTCAAGGCGCGCATGAACTCGCCAAGAAAGCCAAGCCGTTGTAATCTGAAAATGCTGTAGAGCGGTATGAATAGTGTCTACGACTCCTTGCTATCGGCCTTTTCGTCTTCCTTGTCATCCGCTACCTGTGTCGTCTTCTTGGTTGCCGCGACAGGTGGTGGTGGTGTCGTCAGATCGAGCTTTGTAGAAGTCGTTCCTGTCTCTGTCGCTCGTTCTTCCTCGCCTTCATTCATCATCGCTTCAATATCCGCACTCGTCATACGTGTCTTCTTCTTTGGTTTCGCAACCCCTACTGCACCAGCGACAGGCGCAGCAGGCACAGCTGTCGTTGTCGCACCGACCGTACCACCTGTCGCAGCCAATTGCGCACCCGTCATGAACCCATCTCCAGCATCGAGACTTGCTCGTGGATTCTCAAATAACGTTTGACCTTCTTTTGCAGGTTCACCTTGTGTCAGTGGTTTTGGAAGTCGATGCAAGGCACCGAAACCAATACCACAACCCATGGCGCCTTGACCGCCCCATGTGCGTGATGGTGTGAGTGTCACGAGACGTGTTGCGTTGTGGTAGGCGTTGAAGACGTATAACTGTAATGGCTTGTCTAAATGCTTGAAGGAACATTAGCAAACAAGTTTCGACATTAGGGAGGAAGGGAGGAGAGCATACATCTTCAATGAGCTCGCCAAGGCCAGATTCACCACGGACAAGACCTTCTGGTGTACCGACGATAAAGTCCTCATGCGGTCGTAACCCAGCAACAGCGGCGGGTGAGCGTGCTGCAACGTCCAAGATGTGATAGACGTTCTCTGTTGTTGGCGCCGTGGGACACCAACGAAGCGATAAACCAACAGGCTTACCAGTCAATGTCGGTGGTGGCAAGATGACATCACGCAAGGTCCCACCTTTTGCAGACCAAAGAGAGAGTGTAATGGGACGTTGTGCATTAGTCAGGTATTGTTGCAACCAGGATGCATCGTCATTGAGCTTGACGCCATCACAAGCAACGACAAAATCGTAGAAGGATTCAATCTTTTGAGCGGCACTCGGACTGCCTTCTTTGACTTTGAGAACGCGAAAGCCGTGTGTGGGATTAGCCTGATGGCGTTGGTCATTTGGATTGGGCGCTACGGCATCGACAACGTTCTTGAGGAAGCTAGAGAACATGGTGTGTCGATGCGTTGGTTCACAGTCTCAGAGAGGTGTGAGTATATTGGAACTAGCTGAGTTTGACTGAGCTTTGAGAGCAATTGTCAGCAAGTCTGGTAATTGAGTCTGGAAGATAAGCTACAGGTTCAGGGCTTTTGTGCAGAGTTCGGGCTTGATGTCGTGTCTTGTCACGCTTGACGTGTCGCGAATCTGATGCGCAGTCAACCCAGCCACGCAACCACAGCCAAGAAACAGTCGATACCGGCGTATAGTGCAGCTGGTGCTGGCCTGTTGCATGAAATGGCTCAATCTGTTCTCAGATACAAGCTTGTGGGCAGTCAGGATTAAGTACATGTATATGTCAATATAGCTGCTGTCGATGAGACAAAAGTCCAGGGTCCTCAAAGACTGAATATGGGCCACAGCTAGTGAAGCACACTTCAAGTTCAAGCATTCTTCACTCAGCCAATGCCTATTTCAGTAATGATAGCAGTGTCAACAGTCTGTTGCTTTGAACAATAAACATCTTATGCGCCTGCACGGGCCTTGGCAGCCTCAGCACGCTCTCGGCGCTTCTTCATCTTGCCGCTAACCTGAGTTGGGTGTTAGCATGAACAGGGTATGGTCTCTCCATCTCTCGATAGGCTGTGAGCTCTCAGGCTTCAACTTGATTTGAACAAAGTCTCGCAGGCTGAAAGCTTACTGAATGCCGTTGGCTGGCCGGTGCACAGTTTGGGCAAGAATGGCCGATGCCAAGGTTATCCTGCCGAGCACCCCGATCAGCACAAACTGTGACATGCCAGCTCGAGCCACAGGTCAGGCCTCAGAGGGCTGAGTGCAAAGAGTAGGAGAGAGGAGAGAGAGAGGTTCCAACTTACAGTGAAGAAGATGACGCCGAGGATGAGGACAGCAGCGATACAAAAGACAAGGACGATACCTGCGTTTCTAGCGGCCCAGTTGCCTTGCTTCTTGAAGCCGGATCCCTCGATGTAGTCGCCTTGTCGCTTGACGAGGGCCGTGAGCTGTTCGAGGTTGGTGAGGGCAGGCATGATGATTTGCGAGTCTTGTACGAGGATGTGTGTGTGTGTCGAGTAGGTTAAGGGGAGCGTTGGAGAGGCCTGGTGTGCTGCTGCTGCCTTGTGCGAAATTGGCTGCGTAATGGCTGGACAAGTTCCGCTCTTGCTCTGAGTTGCTCTTGCTGGCTGCTGGGCCAGTGCTGGCTGCTGACTGCTGCTCCTCGGGCGCTTTCTTCCTCCAGATCCGATTCCAGCTGCTGCAACGGTCAAACTCAAATTGCAAAACACGGCAAGAATTGGCGACACAGCAGTCAGCAGTGAAATAGTAGTAGACTATCAGTCGTATTGCATACCAGATAGCTCATATAAATGCAGACAGCCAAAGCTACACCTTCCAAACCTCAACCGACACCACTTCGAATCGACGGCCCTCCTCCACCCCATCACACAGCGACTCATTCCCAAACGTCTCCGTCATGCCACTCACCCCTTGCTCGAGCCGGTCATCGAGCCATAACCCATACTTCCCATTCCCACCACCAAACGAAATGAATGACGGCGTGCAGTACAGCTGGTAGTCATTCATACCTGTCCACGGATACGCCTTGAATCGTATTGCCGCAACGCCACTATATTCTGAGGCCGGTCCAGGATGTGCTGATTGTACTTTCCAGAGAAAACACTCGCCATTGCCATAAAACCCAGCTTCAGGTCGTAGATACTCATTCACATACGCACCAAATACTTGGCCCTGTCGATCTTGAACAGCAACAACAAAACCCGGGCGTTCACCCAATCGATCGCGATACGCAAAACAGTGGTGATACAACGTACCCAGTGATACACCATGGACGTTCAAGTTATAGATACACTGCCAGCGATCATGCACCTGTAATCGCTGTGGCAGTAAATTGCGAATCTCATCCGCTATTGCACATGTCAGGAAACATGGACCCTGCGGGGTCGGTTTTAGTTGTAGTGCAGCGAGTGGCGGTGGTCGTATGGGTCGCATCATTCGACGCACTGGACGGCTTGATACTGCTTGCTGCGGCGATATCTCGGGTATCGTGCGCGCGCGTTGTTGCTGCTGTTGCGGTGTGAATGCATCATCCTGTTGTTCTGCTGACTTGGGCCGTTCAGGAGAGACAAGCTGTGTGGTCGCTTGCACAACTGTGTCAAATAGGGAGCTGGCGAGTGCACCGGCGCGTGATCCAACATGCGCGAGTGTTCCCTCGGCTTCGTCCTTGTCTTGATCGTGGAACATGATGTGAAAGAGAAATGCAAGGTACGTTGAAAGCAACAGTGCGATCGCCGTAAGAATGGCCTGGACAGGCGTGATGCTGTAGCCGAGAATGATGGCCAGCCTTGGGTATCGTCTTTATGCAGCTTGTTACTTGTTGTCTTTGGTCTTCTCCTTCTCCGGCGAATCTCCGCTGACGTCGCAAGTAAAAGTTCAGATGCCACAACGCACAAAGCAGCATCAATCCTATTCAATTGTCTCTATGAATGGCTACGACGCAATACGCAGGGCCTTGTCGTCTGTGACAAAGGCCAGGACGTATTTGAACGGATTGAAGCTGACGCTGCACACAGCAGACGTCGTTGGAATCTTGTGAACCTGCTCGCCCGTTTCCACACTGCTCTGTCTTGTTAGCCGTCTTCAGTCTGAGCAACCTGATACTTACAATATCAATGAACAGATCCTCAGAGCCACAAGCGAGGTACCTGCCATCATGGCTAAATGACAATGAGCGCACAGGATGGCTCATCTTGTAGAATGTCCGGACACACGTCCAATCCTCGAGATCCCAAAGCGACACAATCGAATCCGCACCTCCAACAGCGAGGTAGCGGCCTCTCGGGTCGAATTCAAGACACAACACAGCAGCTGTAGAACTGCCGACTTGATGCAGAAAAGACCACGAGGCAGTCTCGTAGACGCGCACACAGCCAGATTGCATGCACAAGCAAAGCAGTGTGCCTGCATGCGAATAAACAAGCTCATTGACACCCGTCCGTTCTTCCTGCCATGTTTGTAGGATTTGTTTTGTTGTTACATCAATCACAAGGATCGTGCCATCTCTAGTCGCCACGGCCACTTGCTTCCCATCAGGCGCATAAGCAACACGGTAACCCGCCGTTTTCAAGTCAACGAGCCCCAGTTGTTGCGTATTGCGATAATCCCACACCCGTAATGTCTTGTCCGCTGCAACAGAACATAGTCGGTCAGCATGCGTTGGATCCCAAGCTGCTTGTTCAGCACTCATCGCATGACCTTTCAGTTCCCAACAATATGAAGCAGTACTAGCGCCTCGGCCACTACTCCGAGGATCCTGCACCATGCGTTCAGGGATACGTTCAGGATTCCAAACAGAGACAGTGCCATGCGCAGAAGCTGTCGCGAGTCTTGAACCGGTCGCATTCCAAGCGACGCTACGTAGAGCTGATATGCTTGTACTGCCTTGCTTGACGCGCATCGACTGAATCGCTGCATGCGGCCCTTTTGGTAATGATGGTGGTGGTGGATGATGTGATGGCGCAGAAAGGGGTGCTTGGGCTGGTGCGCGTGTATGAGACTGATGCGGGAGTCGTGAGCGCATCGGCTGTCTCTCTCGGCCGTATGAAGCAGTGGATGCCATGCTGCCGAGTGAGCTAGGAAGAGTGTACAGTATAGTCTGCAGTCGAGACTTGTTTCAATTGACAGCGACTCCCATGCAAAGACGCGACCAGGCATGTCGACTGACGCGCAGCTGTCTTCAGGCAGTATCGACGTGATGGGGAACACGCCGGAGCTACCTCAAGATCCACTTGACGCGCCAGACTTTCGTACGCACAACCCTCAGCTATTGCGATCCTACACCCTATACTCACACTATCTGACGAAAAGGGGAGACATGGCCAGGTTGGGTGACGATTGAATCAGAGCCAGCCATCTTCAATCAACTGCTGAGATCATTGGGTGTCCATGGTCTTGTCACGAAGGAGGTATTTAGTCTGGATGATGAGACATTGCGCTCCTTTGCGCCCATACACGGCTTTGTCTTTCTGTTTCGCTGGAAGGTGGAAGAGAAAAAGGAAGATGGGAGACAGGTCAGCTCACAGGAACAGAATCAGCATGATCTCTGGTTCGCTAATCAAACGGCCGACAATGCCTGTGCAACGCTCGCATTGCTCAACATCGTCCTCAACTGCCCACATCTCGACGTCGGTCCCTTTCTCAGCACCTTCAAAGCGGCTACGGCAGACTTGAAGGCGCCACTCAAGGGACTTGCCTTGGCGAGCTCAGAGACACTACGACAAAAGCACAATGCATTTGCGAAACGATCAGAGATGGCAGAGGCTGATTTACACTTGATGCAACGAGCTCGAAGAGCAGCTACCAAAAGGCGAAAGAATGGTCAGACCAGTCCGTCTGCACGCAAACGCACCAAGGTCATCACGCTGGACGAAGTAGAGGACCAAGAAGAGGGTGAAGATGCATTTCATTTCATTGCCTATTTGCCAAAAGATGGGCATCTCTGGGAACTCGATGGCCTCAAACCAGCACCCATCCAGCATTCTGCCACCTTGGCACCCGAGGAGTGGTATTTGAATGCCGTGCCCATGATACAAGAGCGCATTGAACGATACAGCGCACAAGAAATTCGGTTCAGCTTATTGGCTCTTGCAGAGGATCCTGCAGTCTCTCTGACAAGGAAGCGACAGACATTACTCGCTCTCCATGATGCAGATCCAGAAAAGGCCAGCCTCGCAGAAATCGATGCTCAACTCGCACAAATAGATGCAGAGCGCAAGGAAGAAGCAATGCTTGCAGCACGACGTGCTCATGATTATACGCCGTTCGTGGAAACCATGCTGACCTTGCTGAATGAAAAGGGCGTCTTGAGTTCAGTCTTCAGCAGCACGCCGTAATGTATTCTTAGCATAGCGGCACATAGCGGACCCCGAATCGCTTCGTCAATGTGACAGTCCCGTCACCTCCCTTGTCCACCACCGTCATGGCCTGATCGCCATACTGCGGTCCAATGGGCAAGACCATACGTCCCGGAGCGCGCAATTGTTCTTGAAGTGCCGGCGGCACTGCATCGACTGCTGCAGCACCCACATGAACCGCATTGAAGGGTGCATGTCGCTGGGATCCCAATCGACCATCACCTGTTTCAAGGATGATGCGACCCCTGAAGAGCGCATCGCCGAGACCATCGGCAATCAGGTTTCGGCGGGCAAGAGAGATGAGTTCGGGGATATGATCAATGCCTACCACCACTGACTGTTCCGCGCGTGTTGCTGGAAGCGTTGCTTGGAGGTATCGATGAAGCGCAGCGAGAAGGTAACCACTGCCACAGCCGACATCGAGGATATGAACACCGCTATTGCCATTCGCGCCAGCACCCGCATGAACGAGATCGTCGAGGTTGAGCAGTTCTAGTGCATGTGCATGCATGTGTGGTGCAGAGATTGTTGCGCTTGTGCCGTCAATGGGCATGGGCGCATCTTTGTATGGGTCGCAGCCGCTTGAGACGTAGAGTTGTCGATCGGTTTCAACGAGACAACGTGCCAGTGCTCGGGATTTGAGGATGTTGTTGGCTTGCAAGTTGATGACTAGCTCTGCCTGTGTCCTCCCTGAGCTGCGCCAGGCCATACTGCTGGTATATGGTGTGTGTCTTGGGTGCTCAATTGAAGATTTGTTGCGGCTTTAGATTCGAAAATTGAAGCCGATCCGGGGTAGAAGTCATGAGCAGTGAACATTGACTAGACTACGACAGAGATGGCAGTAGAGATATGCAAGACTGCGTACAGACATGTTCATCGTATCTTGAGCGTCGGATCTAGGATACTGATTCGCCGGCTCTCATCAAACCGGTTTTTGCCAAAGATATTCCAGAACCGCAGCGTCTCATCCCCTGCACCTGTCACGATATTGGTGCCATCCGGACTCATGCTCAAATAGAGCACACGATAGGTATGGCCCGTCAGACTCGCAATCTGTGTCATGCTCGGGTACTTCCACACCACCACCTGATTCTCTGAATACCCATGCGTACTCACCAGCTCATTTGAGTTCTTCGACCACAGCAAGTTGCACACTTGACTGCCTGTATCAATCTCACTGATTTGCGTGCCTGTCAGTGTGTTCCAAAACTTGATGGTTCTGTCTTGTGTTCCGCCACCAGATCCAAGGATGCCATGCTGATGCGGATTCCACGCAATCGCCTTCACGGCTGCTGTGTGCTGAGAAAACTTGTAGAGTGGCTTATCAGAGAGTCCATCCCAGACAAAGAGTTTATTGTCGTTGCCACCAGAGGCGAGTTGGTTTTGTTCACCATTCCACTTCAAGCCACATACTTCTTGGCGATGTCCGGTCAATTTGCGAATATGATGTTCAGGCACACGCACATCTCTGTGATAGATGAGACGATCGCGTGATCCAGAAGAGAGGATAGATTCATTCCACGCAAGGGCACCCACACGCGATGTATGACCCGTCATGGTGCGTGTTAATTTTTGTGTTTCTGCATCCCAAATATGAACGAGTCCTTTGTGTGTGCCCACAGCGACGTGGGAGCCTCGTTGGATCCATGAAACAGAGGTGACGGGACCTGCTGCTTGTGTGTTACCGCCACCAATCGTATCCGTGTCGCACAATTTAGTCACTTTGCCAGACGCCGCAGACCAGAGGTAGACACATGAATTAAGTCCCACGGCAAGCTTGTTGCCAGCACCCCAATCCACGAGGTTCAGGTAGAAATCATCCTGCAAGTCTGGTGCATCGAGCACTTTATACGGTACTTTGGCCACTTTTCTGTGTTGTTTTTGCGGTGATGTGATGAGTCGTTGTGAATCAAAGCGAACAGGTGAGAGGGAGTAGACTTCACCATGCGGATCTGGATGTCCTGACCGTTGTGTTGGTGTTCGCGTACTTGCATGATGCTGCGACCGGGCCGAGGGAGACATGTAGGAGAACAAATTACTGCGAGACGAAGATTTCGGTGTTGTGGAAGCAGCACCAGGTGTCGGAGCAGACGCAGGGCTCGTTGACCGTGGCGGTGTCTTGATGCGCGTTGTATGATTAAACTCATTGCGATGCCTTTCAAGCAGTGATGGCTCTGGTATGGTATCGCCAAAGAGCTCAGACCGTAGAAGCGTACTAAAGTTGCGATTGGCTTCTTCTGTACGTTGACGTTTCGTATCCGCAGCGACGGCGAGTGGTCGCGCTTCGATAGACTCGAGGTTGAAGGCGGCGAGCAGGTCGACGCCTGTGCGATTAGGGATGAAACGGTCGCCTGTCTTGAGCTTCTTCCTTGTGGGCGAGCTATGAACGGAGGACGGCGGCCCGCTCATGAGCTGTGTGCAGAAGCCGGTCCTGCGGCTGCAGAAGGGAACTGGTCACTTGCTTGGTCGTTGACTTGACTCGTTGTTGACAAACAGAGAAAGGCGCGCAGGACGACAGGCTGTGGAATATATAGTATAGTGGATTGCGCTTTCAATACCTATGAGAGATAGGGGCGCGGCAAGTCAGCGCTGGATGCATGGGCACAAGAGTCTTGTTGAGCTACGAGTAGCTGTGACTGCTGAATATAAACTACTCTGACGGACTGCCTGCTGGATATACTAGCTCCAGGGCTTCTTCTGCAGGTGTCTTGAGTGTGTATATTCAAGCTATCTAGCTATCCCATATAGCCTGTGACTCTGTGTGTGATGCATGCTGCAGCTGTCAAAGTGTTTTGTGGATCTGAGATCTCATCTGTCTCTCGCTCCCTTTCTCCTCCCCAACAGCAACAACACGGTCATAGCGCCAGTCCAGGGCTCTTGTACATAGGGCAAGACAGAAGCTCAGCGCACGGGACTGACTCCAAAGGGTTCTAGAGAAAGAGAGGCAGCCCCTTTCCCCTTCGGCGCTTTGTGCGACCCAAGACACTCACAAACACTCAACAAAAAAAACATGGACACCGTGTTGTCCAACGCAGGCGCCATCTCAAAAGTGATCCTCGATGGGACATCCTTTGCCGCGGATGCAGACATCTCCGGCATGGTGGAGGTGACTGTTCCCCGCGGCAAAGAAATCTCCTCCGTCCAGCTGGAACTCTGCAGCTGGCGGCATATCGCTCTCAAGAGAACGACAGCCGGTGCCGGCAAGGCTCAAGGTGAAAAGTCGCATGTTGAGCAGCTCACCCGGCAAACACTCGAGTTGTTTCCAAACTTGGATATTGGCGGCGCAGGACGGAATGGGCATGATACAAAGACCTTGAAGGATACGGCCATCTTTACCTTTCGCTTTGTTGCGCTACAGCCAACGAAAGCGCCCACTACGGAAGCCTTTGCAACAGGTCGCATCAAGCACTACATGACTTGCTTTGTACACAAGCGGGCCGGCCTGCTCAACCGGGAAAAACTCATGGAAAAGAACCAGTTCCAAATACCCATCACGGCACCAGTCCTTGAAGTTGATGCTTTGTTTCCGGACCGCACATTCACTTCACTAGAAGCAAGACCCAACGCCGCCAATGTACAGGACTATGCTTTTCGTGTACGTTGCAATACTCACCTCCTCTCGGGCTTGCCCTTTCTAGTGGAATGTGATATTGCAAATCACGCAACAGCTCGTAGCATCACGCTTTCTCTTCATCAACGCGCATTTGCTTCCATCGGTAAGATCGAAGAGGAACAGTTTTATCGCTCCCTCTACGTTCATGAAGCAGCACGACCAGAACCCGCACGCGACGGTCATTTCCGTGGGAAATCATCACCACGCCCATTAGCGTATGGACAGAAAGTCTATCTCGTGGAATGGACTTGTCCGCGTCGAGACTCACGTACACGATTACCATTCAAGGAGACGTTGTATGCGAAAACAGCAGAAGCGAATCTCGAATGTGGTTTGTCGTTACGTGTTGAGATGGACCTCGAGAATGGCGATCGGCTTGTATCTGTTGTGCATGGCATTACTTATGTTCCTGATTGGATTGATGCTCGTTCAGATCGACAAAGTACGTCGTTAAGACAGGAACGCAGTATCATGCAAGATTCTCAATCTCCAGCCAGCAGTCTCATGACAACCGGTAGGCGTCTATCTACAGCCAGCTCGCAAAGTGATCTCAAGACTAGCCCAGGTTTTGCACCCCCTGGCTTTTCAAGTTTCCGAAGACCACAACAAGCGTCGTCGCATCTTCGACACGCCTCTCATGCTTCCTCACTGGTACCAGGCATTGGAACTGGCGAGAGCTACTTTGAAAGGCAGCGTTCTCAGCTGGCTTCATCTCGTGGTGGCTTGTCACCTCGAACACCGAATGAATTCGATCCAGTCTTGACACATGGAACGTATGCGCCTCCTCGAGCTGGCGCAGTACGAACAATAGCAACGCAGCAGCCACAGCTTTTTGGCTCTGTAGGAGCACAAACTCAAGACCCAGGCATCGTGTCTGGTAGACAATCCGTGAGTCGAGACACTAGGCCTGATCAAATCACACTACCACCAGCGAGTGTTCGTTCAAGCATGTCTATGGCTTTTGAACACATGAATCTCGCTGGTAGTGGTCCTGTGAGTGCGAATGCGAGTAGTCAAGGCGCACGGTCTCCATTGATTGGACAGGAGGGTGTCGCTGCCTCTATCCATTCCATTCGCTCGCTTCCACCGGGTACACCACCCCCTCCAAGTCAACCATTGCCGCCGCCACCACCACCGACATCGGGGGGTAGTCAACGGAGCGCCTTTACTGGACTCGGTCTTCTCTCTGGCAGCTCAAGACCTGTCTCTATCCATCAACCAGCTGCCCCACCATTTGTGATGAGTCAAGCGAATGGTCGGTCGGGTGGCAGTCCTGCAGCTAGTGTAGCGAGTCTTGTTTCACCTGTTGCAGGTGGACTTGACGATCGTCCTGCATCACGACTCGGTGGTCGTTCATCACGCGCTATTCGACCAGCTGTTGTATTGGGTATTTCTCAAAGTACCATCCAGACCATGCAATCTAGAGATGACGGGGGCGTCAGCGGTAGCGGTAGCGGTAGCGGTATGGCTGCCCCTACTGCGGTCGAATCACCCGTTGTACCACTCTCATCGATGCTCTCGCACGGTTCTGCTAATGGAGCAGTTGCTGGACCAGAGTACCATACGGGTTCTGTGACGGGTAGTCCATCGATACATGGTGGATCCTTCGATGTAGCAACACGTGTCACGTCAACGGCTCTGGATGGACATGCTGCACCTGCTCCTGCGAATGCGAGTTTATCATCTCGTGCGGGATCTGCAGGTCTATCACCACCGAGTCGGAGTCGAACACCAAGTTCAGTGCCTGCTGCTGGAACCACAGCAGGATTGGTTCAGGGCTTATTCAACATGTCTGGTGGTGGTAAACGAGCCAGTGAGACGCCTGATGCTGTGTCGTTGAGGGATTCAGGGTATGCTGGGTCGACTGTTGCTATGCAGCGGGGGACACCACCGACGCAGCGGTCTGTACCGCAGCCACAATCGGAGTTGGAGCAGCATCAGGCCGGGAATGAGATCTTGCTTGGCTGAATCTTGTTATAGATGATTTTGAATTGAAACAAGTATGTAAGTGTATGGGAATGTCTGGGCTGTATCTACGTTGAAATAGGAGCCACACGCAAGCCAATGAAATGTTGATGCTGGTGAGCTGAGTAAGAGATGTAGAAGAGGTCTGTTCTGGCTATACTAAAATTCGAAGCTCCCATCTGTCGAGGAGGTCGAGAGTGCGATAGCTGATGCAGTTGAGTACTTGACTGCAGGATGCTCAGGATGCGGCTTTCGTCGAATTGGAGCTTCAAGAATCTGAGATGTCCAGCAAGATGAATCTCCAAGCAGACGAAGCACTCAGAGACTAGAGTACCTGGTAGAGTACTGGTAGAGTCGTTGGTTTGGGTGTCTACTGAGTCTGAAGTTTCCTTCTCCTTCGCCTCCCAACTCTGCACTGCAATCGACTGCACCGACACCACGGCACACAACAGCTTCGACTTCCCTTCTACTCCCTCAACAAGCTGCGTACATCTTAACAAGTCATGTTCCGAAACGCACTCCGAGCAGCCAGCAGGCAAACACCAGCGACTATGTTGGTTGCAAAGCGTGGATACGCCGAGGCTGTGCCTACTGACAAGATTCGTCTGTCATTGACCATGCCGCACCAGGCTGTCTTTGCCAACAAGGATGTGTAAGTCTTGCCTGCAGATGATGTTTGCGATGTTCTCCTGTCTTCTGGGTGTATGCTTGGCTGCTGAGAATTGGCTTTTCGCTTTTACGAAGGTCAAGCACGTTCTGCGACCATCAAAAGCAACGAAAAGAAGACGCATCTGCATATATGCACTCAGTTACAATCGCTAACCTGTCCCGCAGTGTTCAGGTCAACATCCCCGCCACATCCGGCGACATGGGTGTCCTCGCCAACCACGTTCCCTCAATCGAACAGCTCAAGGCCGGTGTGCTTGAGATTTTCACAGATGGTGGCAGTAAAGAGGATTACTTTGTCTCTGGTGGATTTGCCATTGTCCAGCCTGGTTCAAAGTTGTCCATCAATGCAGTTGAGGCGTACAAGGTGGAGGACTTTTCAAAGGAGGTATGCTCTTTCCTTGGGCTCCGGCTTGTGATACTACAAGGCAGACCAAAATGCTAACACAGCTAGGCCATCACCTCCAACTTGCAAGAAGCACAGCGTATTGCATCAGGCAGTGGCTCTGAGGAGGACATTGCAGAGGCCAAGATCCAGATTGAGGTATGTCTATTTTATGCTATTTTTGTGCATGAGCCTTTTGCTAACCATCTTGTGCAGGTTCTCGAGGCACTCAATGCCTATGTCAAGTAGAGCGCATAGCTAGCCCTTCCTCCTTGCCTTTCCCTGCTTGTCCCTTGTCCTTGATCTTTACTCTTCCTCTTCCCGGGCAATATCGCGGCTTTCTTTTCCGATGGAATTCAATCCCACCCACAAAACCAACAACCAGAAAGACCCTTCAACAAGTCCCATAGACTACCATCTCACTACTCTCTAGCCATGCAGCGAGCCGTCGTTCGAGTCTGCAGAACAGCAGCGTCCAGACCCGCAAATCTCTCCCGCGCACGCTACCTTCACCACCTCAACCGTCAAGTCTCACCAACCCATGAACAACGCATTGCAGCACACCACGGTCGTCGTTCAGGAGCAGCCGGAGCACTTTTGCGACAGGTTTGCGTCGTTCCTGTTGTAGCGGGTGTACGGTATGTGAGTAAAACAGTCAAAGTCCCAACCATGGCGGAATCCCTATCTGAAGGAACCCTCAAGCAATGGACAAAACAAGTGGGTGATTTTGTTGAACGGGATGAGGAAGTCGCGACGATTGAAACGGATAAGATTGATGTGAGTGTGAATGCACCGGAAGCGGGTACCATCACGGAGTTGTTGGCGCAAGAGGAGGATACGGTTGAGGTGGGTCAGGATTTATTCAAGATGGAGCCTGGTGAGGGTGGTAGTGCAAAGACGGAAGCTGCAAAGGAGGAGACGAAAGGTGCTGCTAAGGATAAGGCCGCAGAGGAGAAGAAGGAGGATAAGAAGGAATCGAGCGCGACGCCAGAGGAGAAGAAGGATTCCTCCTCAAAAGCTACTGAGGCGAAGCAGGAATCTGCACCACAGCCAGAGAAGAAGCAACAACCTGCACCACAGCCAAAGAAGCAGGAAAGTAAGGAACCCTCCACTGCTACGCAAGGCGAGTCACAAGGTCTCGGTAACCGTTCCGAGAAGCACGTCAAGATGAACCGCATGCGATTGCGTATTGCAGAGCGTCTCAAGGAATCTCAGAACACGGCTGCCTTCCTGACCACCTTCAATGAAGTCGACATGGGTGCCGTTATGGAGATGCGAAAGCTGTACAAGGACGAGATTGAAAAGAAGCACGGCGTGCGTCTTGGTTTCTTGTCTGCTTTTGCGAAAGCGTGTTGTCAGGCATTCAAGGAAGTACCTGCTATCAATGGTGCCATTGTGGGTCCTGGTGCCGGTGACACGATCGTCTATCACGACTATGTCGATTTATCTGTCGCCGTGTCAACAGCAAAAGGTCTTGTGACGCCTGTGGTGCGAAACATTGAGTCGCTCGACTTTGTTGGTGTTGAGCGCGAAATTGCTGCACTGGGTGCCAAAGCGAGGGACAATAAGTTGACGCTGGAGGATATGGCTGGTGGTACCTTCACCATTTCCAATGGTGGTGTATTTGGTTCGTTGATGGGCACACCCATCATCAACTTGCCACAAACTGCTGTGCTGGGATTGCATGCCATCAAGGACCGACCTATGGCAGTGAATGGCAAAGTGGAGATCAGGCCCATGATGTACCTGGCATTGACGTATGATCACAGACTTGTGGATGGCAGGGAAGCGGTGACGTTCTTGAGGTTGGTGAAGGAGTACATTGAGGACCCTAGGCGACTTCTCTTTTAATCCTCAAATCTGGTCGAAATAATTGAAGGGTTCTACTAATCGCTGTAGCGTCTTATGCGGTAGACTTTTGGAAATACTCGTCAAAGCCGAAGGACTTATACTGCTGGTGTCGTTGCTGCAGGCGTAGTCGCTGCGGCACCATTCCCAAACTTGAGGGCACGCTTCCTCGCCTTTTCTGCTTCTTCGGGGTCATCCAATACACTCGCCGTCCGCTTCGTTTCCTTCTGCTTCTTCTCACCTTGCGACTTTTGTTGTCTTTTTTGCTGTGCTTGTAAACCACCGCCACTCTGCTTCTCCCCTCTCCGCGCATCTCCCTTTGGTTGCGTTGGTACGGATCCCTTCACCAACCGTTCTGCTTGTTTCTGCAATGCCACCTCTTCAGCCAGTGGTATACCGAACCGAGCGGCTCTTTGTTTCCGTTTCTCCAATTCAGCGGACGCTTGTTCGCCCGTGACGGGTGACGGGAGGGATGGCACGCTTAAACCGAATCGAGCGGCGCGAGCACGAAGTTTTGCCTCAACTTCAGCCGTTTGTTGCTCGAGGGATGCTTGTGTCTCTTTCGTCTCTGTTGCCTCCGTGGCTGTTGCTGCTGTTGCTGTGGTTGCACTTAAATCCGGCAAGGGCACAGAGACTGCTGCGTCAGATGAAGCAATACCAGCCTGTTCTGTGCTTGTTGTGGCGGTCGTCGTTGCGGGTGTCTTGTCATCTTCAAGGAGACGCGCAACAAGGTCTTCCTTCTTGCCTGATTGTGGAAGATTGCGTTTTATGAGTTCTGCTTTGAGGTCTGTGACTTTGAGTGTCTTGTAGTCTGTCATTGTTGTTCTGTGATGCTCTATGTCTCGAGAATGGAGTAGTAGCAGTGATAGCAGCAGTAGTAGCAGTAGTAGTAGCAGCAGTATCAGTCGTTGTTTTGTGTAGCGGAGAAGCTGCAGACACGTGCACGGTGCTCAGATGGGATAATAGAAGACTTAGAAGTACAGTACTGGACTATAGTAGACCTTGCTCTCTACTTGCTTCTATTGTCTTTTTTCATTATTCATCCGCTCATATATCCATCTCAAAGGGCTCCTCATCACTCTGCACAGCAGCAGCAGCAGCGACAGCCGTCTTGAACTCTTTCGCTTCTCCCCTCAAGTCAGTCATGCCACCAGCACTGCGCAAGCTACTCCCATGGACTGCCAAAGAAGGCCTCACAGGACTCACGAGGAAATTACTCGGACTCGTTGCTGCAGACCGGACGTCTCTCGCCAAGGGAGAACCAACCGTCATTAACGCATGATTGATTCTCGGTGATGAGGAAGATCCAGCATACGATGCACTGACTGGTAATTGTCCTAGTGATACCGGTGACAGACCCGGTGATAATGTCTCCTTTTCTTTATGTTTCAGGAATAATGCTCCAAATCGAGAAGACGAAGGCGAGCCTGATAAGGAACCGGTTGGACTCTTGGACGCTTGTGCACTCGGCGCCATCTCATCCCGCATTGTCGCAGGTGGTAGCTTACTACTAGACAACCGACGATGCCGTTCAGCAGGTGTCAATAATTCAGTGAGTGACGAAGGTACGAAATCCTCCTCAAACAAGAATGGATCCTCTGAGCGATCTTCATGCGGTGTAGCTCTTGCAGAAGTCTTACTACGCGCTGTGCCAAGATTGCTCCAAGGGTCTTGAGAGCCGCTAGGTTGTGTATCAAAGGCACTGGCGCGTCTTTCAAACATTGCTCGACCGAGTGTCAGACTCCCTATAGTCGCTCGAGGGGGAGTCCCCAATGTCGGCGCAAATAATGAAGTAGAAGGTTGTATGGCGAAGGCTTGATGTAATGGTGAAGACGGATGCGATGGACGATCAGGCATACCGAACCCTGTTGAGTGCGGTACAGACGCAGCAACGGGGCCATGTCTGGCGAAATAGGAGATACCATTCGAATCCAAGGATGCTGGTAATTGTGCATCCAAAGGGCCGAGTGGACGGAGTTGTGTACCTGGTTGTTCATGGCGTGTTGTACTACTCGGCCACTCCTCGCCATCGCTCGAAGCTAGATGAATATCACCAAATTGAACATCAAGTGCATTCAAACTCCGTTGTGTTGATTGCTCGCTCATGCCATGATGTGACTGTGATTGCTGTGATTGTGATTGTAGCAGTTCTGCATGAATACCAGAAGCTGCTTGATGCCTACCACGATGTTCAGGAACAATCCTTGGGCCAATCGCAAGACCATGCTGCTGTTGTTGTTGTTGCTGTCGATGCGCATTCGATGCAGGTGTATTATGATTGACACGACGGCCGTCTGGTAGGATATGGGCGAGTGCGCACTTGTTGCCAAATCGACAATTGCCCTTTTGGAAGTACTTGCACGGTGCGCGCTCTTGTTCTTGCTCGACTATATGTGAAAAGACACAATTTCTGCCACTAGCATCATGTTAATCCAATGTCCTTTGAGCAAGAGGGGCTTACGCTGTACATTGACCAGAGCGATAGAACTTGCAGGGGACTAGATACGATTAGCCGCATAATGACACAGATAACATGCTAACACACCATGCTGTAGATTCTTGGCAGCGGGAGGACTGCGCGCTAATAGAGGATCTTCCTGCCTACCTAGTGCTGTAGATGCTTGCTGCTCCAAGTGTGATGCATGCGATGCTTTGGGTTGCGCGTGGCTGTGGTGATGATGTGCTTGCCTGCGCGTTGCTGCGGTCATGGGCCGGGGTTGCGCTGTAGATGCGTGGATGAGAGATGGTCTGAGCGAGTGTGAATTGGGGTATGCTGCCTATTGTCGCATTGTCAGAGTAGCTATTCCTTATATACTAATAGTCTACTATTCTACTTGGCTGCTGACTGCGGAGACCCAAACACGTGCTCCTGTGCTGGCAAGAAGCGCGAAAGACAACCAGCAACTACTACAGCTACTACAGCTACTAGCTACGACTGCTACTGGCCAGGTCTGTAGAAGACGGTAGAGAGAGGGCAGTAGAGAGAGTGACAGACAGAGACAGAGACAGGCTGTGAAGAGTCAGACACCACTCAATTGATACTCCAGCCAGCAACTACACCATGGCGAACCAGGCAACCGCAGGCCATCCCGTCCAGATGCTCACAAAGTTCGAGAGCAAGTCCTCCCGTGTCAAAGGCATCGCATTCCATCCAAAAAGACCCTGGCTACTCACGTCCCTCCACAACGGATGCATCGTAAGTCCCAACACGCATCAACATCGAAAGGGACGCGCCGCTAACATACTGCCTGTAGCAATTGTGGGACTATCGCATGGGAAGCCTTCTGGACCGCTTCGAAGAGCACGACGGAGCAGTCCGTGCCGTCGACTTCCACAAAACACAACCCTTGTTTGTTTCTGGCGGAGATGACTACAAAATTCGCGTCTGGAACTACAAGACCCGCAAGTGTCTCTTTACGCTATCCGGACATCTCGACTATGTCCGCACAGTCTTCTTCCACCATGAGTATCCATGGATCTTGTCCTGCTCAGACGACCAGACCATTCGCATCTGGAACTGGCAATCGCGAAATTGCATTGCCTTGATTTCGGGACACTCACACTATGTCATGTGTGCCCAGTTCCATCCAAAGGAAGACCTCATTGTGAGTGCCTCCCTCGACCAAACCGTGCGTGTTTGGGATATCTCGGGACTTCGAAAGAAGAATGCAGCACCACAGAGCATGTCGCTTGAAGAACAGCTGCAACGCTCACAAGCCGGTCAAGGTGCAGACTTGTTTGGTAATACCGATTGTGTTGTCAAGTATGTCCTTGAGGGACACGATCGAGGCGTCAACTGGGCTTCCTTCCACCCAACAAAACCACTCATCATCTCTGCCGGTGATGATCGCAACGTCAAGCTCTGGCGAATGAGTGACACGAAAGCTTGGGAAGTCGATACCTGCCGCGGACACTTCAACAATGCATCGTGTGCCATCTTCCACCCAACACTGGACTTGATGCTCTCGGTGGGTGAAGACAAGATGATTCGCATTTGGGATCTCAATAAGCGAACTGCCGTGCAAGCATTCAGGCGTGAAAATGATCGATTCTGGGTCATCACGGCACACCCAACCTTCAACTTGTTTGCCGTTGGTCATGATGCAGGTGTCATGGTCTTCCGACTTGAACGAGAACGTCCAGCCATCACACTCGACAAGAATATTGTCTACTACATCGACAAGCAGAAAATGGTGCAGACATATGATTCCCTGCGGCAACAAAAGGGAACACAACCCGTCATGGCATTGCGCAAGTTTGGTGGACAATGGACACAACCCAAGTCTATTTCCTACAACCCAGCAGAAAAGCTCGTGTTGGCAACGTCTGTGCGTGAAGTATCGCCTTTCCTCCTCAACAAGCCCAGCGACAACGAGAGTCAAACTGCCATGTATGAGTTGTTTGAAGTGCCACAAGCTTCTTCGTCTGCTGAGACGCTTGTCGGGCTCAAAGGCACAGGCCACGTCGCCTTCTTCACGGCTCGCAACAGATTCGCCGTCCTCAACTGCTACAAGCATGTTATTGAGATTCGTGACCTTAACAACGATGTCATCAAATCCATGAAGGCACCGGCAGACGCACACATTATGTTCCACGCAGGTGCAGGACAAGTCTTGATTGGTACGGCGCATGTCGTGATTTTATTCGACTTGACAACCGGTACAGAAATTGCCAGTGCGCGTATGTCGAGCCTCAAGAACGTCGCCTTGTCTCCTGATGGCAACTTTTTCGGTCTTGTTGGGAAACATGCCGTCTTCATTGTTGATAAGCAAATGAAGGTTAAGATTGTAAAGTACGAGACGATTCGTTGTAAAGGTGCTTGCTGGGATGATTCCGGTGTGCTCATCTACGCGACACTGAACCACATCAAGTATCTCATGCCGAGCGGTGATCATGGCATCATCAAGACACTGGATGAAACAATCTACCTCGTCAAGAGCAAAGGCAAACAACTCCTGTGCTTCGACCGACTCGCACAACCCCAAGTCTTGCTCATCGACCCAACTGAGTATAAGTTCAAGCTGGCACTTGTCAAGAAGAATTATGATGAAATGTTTAGCATCATCAAAAACAGCAATCTGGTGGGTCAATCCATCATTGCTTATGTGCAAAAACATGGATTTCCCGAGATTGCGCTGCAATTCGTGCAAGACCCTCAAACGCGCTTTGAATTGGCCATCGAGTCTGGTGATTTGACGGTGGCTAGCAAGGAAGCCAAGGAAATTGATAAACCAGAAATCTGGAAGCGATTGAGTGTGGAAGCCATGCGACAGGGTAATCACACTACCGTTGAAATGTGCTACCAACGACTCAAGGCCTTTGAGAAGCTGTCTTTCCTCTACTTGACCATTGGCGATCGTGTCAAGTTGCAAAAGATGAACAAGATTGCAGTCTCGCGTGGCGATTACATGGCACAATTCCAAACATCCCTCTACTTGGGTGATGTCAAGGCACGCGTCACCATGCTTAGAGAAACGGGTATGATCCCACTTGCTTACATGACTGCCAAGTCACATGGCCTAACGGATCTTGCAAGTGAGATTTTGTCAGAAGCCGGCATCAGTGAGTCAGACATCAAATTGCCCACTCACACACCAAAGGCGTTGACACCAGCTGCTCCACGCTCGACGGCTTCAAAAGCAAACTGGCCGCTGAGTGAGGCGAAGGAAGCGGATCTGGTTGCAATCTTGGCAGCTGCTGGTGTGGATGCTGAAGATGAACCGCTCGAGACTGGCTCTGCTAGCAATGAAGACTTTATGGATGCAGAACTCGAGTCTGATGAAGATGAAGGCGGTTGGGAGATGGATGATATTCCCATTGAAGAGGCGGATCAGTTGGATGAACTGTTCTCAGATAACGTCGATGGCGGCCTCAGTGAGCCTGAAATTTGGCAACGTGCGTCTCCGGTGCCGGCAGACCATATTGCTGCTGGTGCCTTTGAGTCTGCCATGCAGCTCTTGAACCGTCAAGTTGGCATTGTCAATTTCGCACCCTTGCAAGAACGGTTCATGGAGATTTATGCAGGGTCACGCGCGTACACGCCTGGTCATGTGGGAATGCCTGCACTCGTCACGTATCTTCGCAGGAACCCACTGGAGAGCAACATTCAGAAATCACTGCCGAGAACGCCCAAGCTGCTCGGTGATATCCAGTCGAATGACTTGGCAGAGGCATATAAGCTGGTCAAAGCCAATAAGCTTGCCGAGGCTGTGGAAGCCTTCCGAGGCATCTTGTACAGCGTCTTGCTGACCTCAACACTCTCTAAGGAAGAGGTTGAAACGAGCGAGGAACTCATTGATGAAGCAAGCGAGTACATCCAAGCCTGTCAAATTGAACTCAAGCGTCGCGAACTCTACCCACCCAAGGCAGAGCTCACACCCGAGCAAGTCAAGCACAACCTTGAACTCGCTTGCTACTTTACAGATGCGCTGCTCCAGCCACCACACCGCTACCTTGCTTTGCAAAATGCCATGCGTATCGCGTCTCTTGCGAGAAACAACAAGACTGCCGCTTACTTTGCACAACAGCTATTGGATCTCAATCCAGATGGCAAAGCAACCGATCAAGCAAAGAAAGTCCTCGCTGCAGCGGATCGCAATAACAGTGATGCCGTGCAAATCAACTTTGACATTTCACCAGATGCAGAGTTTGATATCTGTCCTGCAAGTATGACGCCCATTACTGCTCAGACGCCTTCCACGACATGTGGCTTTTGTGGAGCAGTGTACCTTGCCAAGTACCGGGGACAGTTGTGTAGGATTGGTGGTATCGAGGAGATTGGTGCGGATGTTCAGGGAAGGAAGATCATGGTTACAGTGCGCTAGTGGAGCGCCATAGACTGCATACCTCGTAGCTACTGCAGAAAGATTGACTGAATGCTTGCGTGTTTGTTTGTAGCAATGCCCATCTGGTCGAATCCCCTGCTCGCTCAAGGCCGGCCCTTCAGTCAGATCAAGCCTTGGGCACACGAGACTAAAACATGGCTAGCTCAAAAGTCTTTGTCAAATCACGCCGTATACTGCACTCGCCTGCAGAAGAACCATCAGCGGGGACTATCGAGATTGACTCTGCTACTGGCAAAATCGTCGCTGTGCACACTACGCTCTTGTCTCAAGTGCCAAAAGACGCGCACGTACATGATGTCGGCAACGCTGTAGTCATGCCTGGCTTGGTCGATGCCCATGTTCACCTGAATGAGCCAGGACGCACAGAGTGGGAAGGGTTCGCTACGGGCACGCAGGCTGCAGTCTCGGGCGGTGTCACAACAGTCATTGATATGCCACTGAATGCCATCCCTCCTACTACAACCGTGGACAATCTGCATACGAAGTTGGCTGCCGCAAAAGGTCAATGCTATACTGATGTTGGGTTCTGGGGAGGCCTCATTCCTGAACATGCTGAACATTTGTTGCCGCTTATCGAAGCTGGTGTTTGCGGATTCAAAGGGTTCCTGATGGAGTCTGGTGTGCCAGAGTTCCCTCACGTCCGAGCTGCAGATGCTGAAGAGGCCATGAAGAAGCTACAGGGTACTGGTACTCTCCTCATGTTCCATGCAGAGCTGTCAGAAAGCGAAGATGTTCCCGCGACATCCTCAATGGAAAAGGGCTCTTACCAGGAATTCCTTGATTCTCGCCCCGATCACTTCGAAGTCGCTGCCATCTCTCAAGTGGTTGCCTTGGCGAAGAAATACCCCGACTTGCGCATCCACATTGTCCATCTTGCCTCTGCAGAAGCTCTGCCTATTCTTCGCAAAGCGAAAGAAGAGGGTGTCCAGATCACGGCAGAGACGTGCTTTCACTATTTGACCTTTCAAGCGGATCAAATCCCAAACAACGCTACGCAGTACAAATGCTGTCCTCCGATTAGGACCGCAGACAACCGTGAGCACCTTTGGCAGGCAATCAAGGACGGGTTGATCACATCGGTCGTCTCAGATCACTCACCCTGTACACCTGACTTGAAACAAGGCGACTTTATGCACGCCTGGGGAGGAGTCAGCTGCCTCGGTTTGGGACTGCAAGTATTGTGGACAGCTGCTCGTCAGCATGGTCTTACAATCGGCGATGTTTCGCGGCTGACGAGTCTGGCAACGGCACAGCAAGTGCAGATGGCACCAAGAAAGGGCGTCTTGGCTGCAGGTAGCGATGCGGATCTCTGCATCTGGGATCCGGAGCACGAATGGACGGTCCGAGAGGAGGATCTTCACTTCAAGAACAAAGTGTCACCCTATCTCGGTCGCAAGTTGCAAGGTCGGGTCCTGGAAACATGGCTCAGGGGGAAGCCAGTATGGACGAATACTCAAAAGTGGACGGAACCTTCGGGCTCGGCAATTCTGCATGGTCGCACCGAGTCTGCATAGCTCAATAAAAAGGCAAGGCTAATAGCATTATAGCATGTTGCATCATTCAATATATACCATCGCTAAACAATCATTTGGATGAGGCCGCGCTTCGACTCGATATCAAGGACTATGCAGTCGCAGCCATTTGTTCATTCTCGTCGACATCACTGTCTGTCTCGTACAGTTGGAAGTAGGATGCTTCGCTGTCAAGACTTCTCGGTCAGCAAACGGCATGTGTACAGTGAGATCTTACTGAGGCTTTGTGCTTCCTGTGACAGCCCTTTGTAGGCCATAGACCACGAGAAAGGCACCTCCAATGACACCAAGGACCTCCATGGGCAAGACTGCCGATTGTTCCGCTGAGAAGAGGGTTGCTGCAGTTACGTCCATTGGGTCGATATCGATAGGTAGATGAGTAGATGAGAAGAAAGTGGAGAGAGACGTCCTTTTGAGCCCAAGCTGCCAACCAGCATAGCTACAAAGGGCGTTGCACAAAGTGCATCACGCAAAGCTTGCTTGATAATCGAAAACCTTTCTCAAGAGCGGTATTAAGCGCATCAACACCGATTCAACACCGACGGTCATTGCAAATGCCGCCTGATGCGCATCAAATTAGCCCGCGTCGTGTTTGTGGCGCGGAGCTTTTCGCTTCCACTCCCGTCCTGCAAATGCGAATTTGAAATTTCTGACGACGGACCGGGCCCACATCACCGAGCCACATCCCATCAACTCGCTGTGATACTACTGACTCATTGAGACTGCAGATAGTATATCGCAAAGGCCGCCTTGGATGTTGCCATATCGAAAGTGTCGGCAGCTCGTCGCATGCATGTATTTGCTGGACTGCTCGGAAACGTTGTTCTTGAAGACCGCTGGCGAGCTTAAAAGTTAGAACTTCAAATGCACGGGGAGTCCGTAAACAACTGGAGCAGCGCCGTTGAGGTATGGCATGACGCACTCGTCCCGGCTTTGCGAGACTGCCAGGGGAAGAGACATGCCCTGAAAGTCCTGCGGTTTCTGTAAAGCCTGTCGTCGCTTTCCCTTGACTGGACTCTGCTGCGAGTCTGTCGAAGCAAATAGGCCCCAAAGGGTCAGCACTTTCTCGCTGAACCGATCGATATCCTTGTCAGTGACGTCCCAAAGATTGGCTAGCACACAAGGTGACCCGGCCACCAGGTAGTTGTAGGGCGTTCCCCAGCGATCATACAGGCCTTGATCTCTCAGTGCACCAGAGCTACAGCCCATCAAAATTGCCAAGGCCGTCTTCGGAAGCTGCTTCAGTTTAGAGGCACGAACGTATTGCTCGCCGCCCCCGTGTCCAAAGTAGATGTAGATGCTCCCTTGACCAAGATAGTCAAGCACCTCGGCTTCCTCAGGCACACGGCTTGTGATGCCTTGCCAGTCTGGCAAGCTTTGCAAGCGTTCATGAAAGAAAACTTCGGTTTGCTTCAAATCTTGCGATGGATTCAGAATATACCGACCTCCGACCGCGCTACTTTGCGGCTGAGCCCCGTGCGCATCAAGCATGCCTTTCAGCGCTGCGAGAGACGGGACCCGCGAAACAGACAAGCCGCGCAGACAATTGGTTGATTCCCAAGGGAACTCGCTCAGCTCCTTGTCCAAAATGAGAATTGTGTGGGCGTCGGAAACTGCAGGTGCAGCTCGCTCGTGGAAAGCATTCAATGCAGTCTGAATATCAACAGTCATCCTGTCAATGTCAATCTCATCATAAGCGATCGACTCGCCATGGAACTGGTAGATGTCGAGAATGAAGTAGAGTAGGTCTTCGAGTAGCTCCAACAGCTCGTCTTGGTCGATACTGCCTAAGTCAACGAACAAGTCGAGGATGCGTGTGTCGATATCGAATGACCTGTTGCTGCGAAATGGCACGTATGTCATCATGATCTTCGCAAAGGACGATTTGAACTGGTCAAATGCTGCCGAATCGTGCTTTGATCTTCCCAAGAGGCCACGAAAGCCACCCAGCCAACAACGTTCCATGTTGAAAAGGAGCGTTCTCAATCTTTCGTCAAGGCTCTTACGAAGCTCCCACCACTCGAGCTTCGCTTGCTTACCGATGATATTCTTGGCTGCTTGCGCGGAATCATTGCTTGTCTTGACAATGTCTGCTAACTCCTGTCGTGCCGCTTCAAACTCGAAGGTCTCTTCATCCATATCTCTTGAATTATGGCGCGAGAGCGGCAGGCGCAAAATCAGGGGAGTCTTATTTGCTTGCAAGCGAGACATGATCAGATCGGCCTTATCTGCACCAAGACCAATCGAAACTACGCTCCAGTTGTCGGGAATGTTGTCGATGTAGTTGCTAGAAAATTGTTCCTTTTGGGGCAAATGATGTTCAGGGACAACATCAAACAAGCCTTCAGGAATAGCATGCATGGCAGCCCTTGGCTGGAATCGACGCCGCTCAAGTTCTCGAGTCATACTGACTGCACGAGAACTCTCGAGAAAGTAGTTGCAAGCTGCCGGGCGAACAGTCAAATCTGTCAAAGTGACCATAGCTGAGTGGAACAAGTTCAAATTGGCAAAGAGGGTACCATATTCATGTGCCGCATAGCTTTCGCCTTTGCAAAACACGTCTTCGTAACTTCCAGCAACAAGCATCTTGGACTTCTGCAAGAGAGCGCGAATCTCATCGAGTGCAGGCGTCTCCTTCCCACTTGCAGATCTTGATGACCGACCGTTGCGATGAGCACTGCCTTTGGTCCTTGCGACAGTGCTGCATACGCTTGGTAACGACAGGGCTGAATCGTGCAGGACGCCATAAACCGGATCGGACTCAAGCAGGCGTTGGGCCATGCTGTATTGTGATACAGCTGCGTACAGGTCAGCTGTAAGCACGACAGGAGAATTGCGGTGGGCAGTAGAATCATCTTGCAGAGTCAACAGAGTCTGCCGGCGGGAAATTGCGGCAGCAATGAGCTCGTTAGATCCATGATCGAAGCACGCAGTACTGTCCTTCGCCTTTTTGGACTTGAGATGCTTATCTCGTGAGCTTGGTGCTCGGGGATTCGCCGCTAGCTGCGGAAGGCGCTTTACAAGTGCTAAGCACCCATCAAGCGCATCGATGGCTGTTTGAAAGTCTCTGGTGGTCTCTGAAATCTCAGCGAAGTAAAGGAGAGACTGCAGGTCTTTCATGGAGCCATAGAAATGAGGTCTATCAGGCAGAACTTCTAACGGTCTACCACTGCGAACTTGGAACAGCTGTACGAGAAGCTTCGCTCGGGATTGTAGGACCGCAAGACCCGACCTTTGTGCTAGCTCAAAGGATTGATTTGCATAGTATGAGGCATCCCTCAGGAAACCACATCGGCCATGGAGGACTGCGAGACGGTGCATAGCATTAGATAGAAGCCTCGAGTGGTCCATTTGAACAGCATCTTCCACGCTCAATGATTCCATAGCCTTGATGAGCTCGTCATTCGGTATGCCTGAACGAGATGAGTCTTTTCTGATTGCCCGTACAACTTGACGCCTGAAAATAGATAACGCTTCGAGCTCGAACTGGATAGAGGCTGTCATGCATCCTTGGGCCTCGGCCAACTCACTTGAAGCCAGTAGAATTGACAAAGCACATGTCGACTGCTGGACAGAAGACAGACCAGCCCGAGGCAGCCTCTTGATTTCGCCGAGCCTGGTCTGGGCAGCATCTAGGTCGCCATGGCAGATTTCAACGCGAACGTGTGCTGCTTGTAGTCGAATGGCAAGCCCAGCAAATTCTGCTGATTGTTGGGCTTTGGCGAGACGGGTCAGAACAAGCCCTGCCTCGTGTGATAGGCCACACTCGAGTAACGCGGCAAACAGATCGAATTCTAGCTCAATCTGAACGGACGAGAGGCTTGGCTTCATCTTGTAGGTCGCCCTCACTTGTGAGATGAGACCAATCAACTGAAGCGTATTGAGAGGTTGTTCTTGTTCAATTGACTGCCTGGACATTCGCAACAAAAGAGAAAGCGCTTCTTCTGCTTGATGAAGCAAGAGCGGCTTTGCCGTTGCGACGAGAGATAACCAATACTCACAGCTGGCTAAGGCTTTCTCTGTAGTCTCTGGCGAATCGTATGCTTTAAGCGCATCGTGACCGTCCAGTCTAAACAAGACAAAAGCGCTGCGAAAGTCCTTCAGGGGCAAAGATAGTGTGAATGCAGCTCGCTTGTTCTGTAGCTCTACACACCACGTCTCATCCTCAAGGTCGACAGCGCAAGCCATGGCGAGCGACAAATTTTGGCCAAAGCGAGACAGGCGAACAATGTCTCCTTCACTTTGCGGCAAGATGCATGCAGCAGCTTGTTTGTATAGCGGCGATTGTGACCTCGCTGAACTTCGCTGCTGCCAAAGGTGAAAAAAGCTTAAGTCATGAATGATGAGAGCTTGATCAGACGTAAAGAGACCACTCAAGCTGGTCCGCCCTATTGCAATGTCCACAGACGCAAGCTTTTGAAGCACTCGGGAAATTTCAGGAAACTGGATGCATATTTCAGCATAGTCGGCGTTTCCAGCAGCTGCATTCATGCTCAGGAGCGTTGACTCGTTAGCAAACAGCAGCAAGGATGTAAGCAGCCACTTGGCAGCCAATTCATAATCTTGAAGATGGAAAAGGCAAGACCAGACAAACTGTAACTTCCTCGCGTCTTGTGCAACAGTTGACCACTGAGTGGCAAGGATGAGGAAGTCAGCTGCGGCTTGATGTTGTCCTTTGCTGAGTAGGCTTCCACCAATGTTCCAGCATTGCGTCCATATGCGAGGCTTGACGCTGTCAATCTGAAAGTCGTCAGCGAATGACAAGAGTCTTTCGAACAGAGAATGGAGTTCGGCAGGAGCATCTGCACGAGCGACAGTGCATGACACTAGCGCATTGATGAGCGCCTCGATGGTTGCTGTACATCCGGGTAGCTGCAATAGTGTGTCCTTGTTGTATCGTAGAAGCACCAAGCTCAGCTCCAGTACGTTCTGAATGGATGTGGCAAGATCAGTCTGCGCTTGAAGAATGCTCTGAAGACTTTTGCGAACTGAATTGACGGCCTTGATCAACCTCCGAGCCACCTCGAGTCCAAGCGGCGCATTTGTGCTGGATGTTTTCAACACATTCTCGACTCGCACCAGGACAGCTGATTGAGCATCGGAACTCTTTGCTTGATCAAGATCAAGAATCGCTGCCTCGAGTAAGTAGGCCACATCAGGGCCTTTATCAGCCGTGTCGTGTATGAGAGCTTGTACCCAGGCAGTAGCTCGGCCTGGCTCGTCATTCATCTTCATCAAATTCGCCATCCGTTCGCGTAAGACAAGCTTTAGCCGATCATCAAGATCTGCATGTGCCAGAAACCCAGCTGCGAGAGCTTCCGCTCTGTCGAGTGTCAAGATGTTGCACTTTGCTGGTAGACACTTTGCAAACAGCTTCGCGCAAGAGACTATGTCCGGGGATGCTTGGGAGCAAAGACAGTCTAGCGCAAGGAGCTGCCATTGAAGCTGGGTCTGCAAGTCTCTGGAAGATAATGTGAAGATCGCTCTGTGGAGGTATTCGAGATGGCGATCAGCAGAACCAGCCTCTGCCCGTTGTAGCTTTCGACAAAGAGCAATAGGTCCATCCAATCCATCGAGAATGGCGAAGGCATCACTAGAGGGTACGAAGTCTGATTCACACATGAAACGCAGGATTTGGAGTTGGGAAGAAACGACAAGCGCGTGCATCCCCTGAGGGACATCGTCAATGGGATAGCACAGCCAAGAAGCAACTGTTCCCGATGACCGAGCGTGCATCGGATGAAGAAGCTCACACGTTGATTGGTGTATTGCGCCCAGTTGGGGTTGACACAAGTCCAGCTAAGCACCGGTAAGCCGCGAACATACAAGAGAGAGCACTTACAAGCTTGTGGTCGAGAAGACGAGCGGTCAAATTCGATCGAACAAGGACGATATCCAGTTTACGTTTGGCATCTAGATCAGGGCCCAGATCTTTTGTCCAGCTTTCTAGAGCGACTAGACAGATCTGAGCAGCAAGCAATGTGTGTGTATTGTGCGGGGTTTTGGTGCTTTGAGCGCTTTTACCATGCTTGACTGAAGCCTCTACGGCCTGCTTCAGGGTACCTAGACATGCTTTGACAATTCTGAGCGCATGACGGGCAGTAACATCCGGAGAGACTGCTGGCGTCTTTGTTTTTGTTCTTGGCCTTGGCGTTGCAGAAGTAGCCTTTCTGCTCATTGTAGCTTCCGCATTTTGACCAAGTACTTGTTTGACCAGCAGTAATGTGTCTTGTGTAATAGACTGAAGCTTCTCGAGGTCCTTTAAAAGCAACTCTAGCTTGGCAGAGCTCGAGGATGTGTCTTTCCGCATCCTGCGACCCAAGCTACCAGAACGAGTCGATCTCTTTCAACAGATGCTGCAGTATTACCGATGCATTATTCTTCGAAGAGATAGCCCAGCTGAGCTTCACTTGCTATGGTACAGTGTAGCGTTGGCAGTCAGCGACTCAGCGCGTACGCGTGCGATTGACGACAAACATCGTGCGCGACTGAATTTGGCGTTTCGAGTTGCCATAGTCACATCTACAGCTGCAACCGCATCTACTGCCAAGGTTCGAGCTGTATCTGCTGTGAACTTTCTCCAAGGCAATCATGTCCTTCAGCTCAACTTTCTCGCTCGATCCAGCTCATTTCCCATATACTAAGGCCTCTGTGCAAGGTGTCCGGGATCGACGCAAGCAGCTCGACAACCAGCTCTTCTTTGACCTGGTCCTGTCAGAGGTGGCTCAGGTCAAGTCAGGGTCAAAGTACTACCCGCCTAAAAATATAGCTGAGCTTCGGGCCCTTCATGACGCCATTGAACAATGCCCCGCGGATCTGCTTAAGAAGCAATGCTGCATCTACTATATTCTAAGGGACTGGGGGACTCATGCAGAATATGCTGCTGCCCAGCTTCTGCCAGAAAACTACTGCGCATTGATGGATAGCTACTGGCTACTAGACAGAGAGCAATACGACGAAGCAATCAAGTCGCTGACTGTGCCGACACTGACGCCAAACTTCATGACCAAGATATTGGAAACTTTTACTCAAGCGCAACGGCCTGACCTCATTGTTGTCTATGTGCAAACGCTGCAAGAACCCCTCGACTCGCCAGCCAAGATTGATCTCTACCTGTCAGCACTTTTGCGGATAGACGTTACGCGAGCTCTCTTCTTCACAAGAACGGCGCCAGCAGCCCTACGACAAGGCTTGTTTGAGAAGAGTTTGGTAGAGGCTACGACTACACATCAAGGAGCAGGGATTGTCGCTAATTTCCCCTATGAGGCAGAAGAAGAACAGTGGGCGCGTGCCTTGCTCAATTCGGGAAAGCCCGGCAACAGGGTACTTGCATCGGAGGCCCTGAAGTTGCGATTGACGTTCCTGGGCGAGTCATTAGAAGCTGCCAAGTTGGATCAAACGGCAGGGACAGAGATGCACGACCCGAGCCATTTGCTCAGACAAAGCTGTACGCCTGTGGAGCGCAAGATTCTGGATGCGCCTCGTAGTTCATAAAGCAACTGCAATTGCAACTGCTCCGCTGGTCATCATGGGTCACACCTACCGTCCTTGAAGCCATCCTTCCACCGTTCTTGCCACAATTTACAGTCAAACTTCTCCTTGCCGAGTTTTTCATTGACCTCATTATGTGCTCGACACATCCATTGACCCAGTCCTTTCCAACCTTGGTTCAAGACTGGTTCATTGTCCTTCTGCGCCATCCAAGTGCGGAAGTCTTCGGCACAAACCCAGCAGGGGTAAAAATTTGAAAAGGTGCGAAGGAAGGCACTCATGTCCGTTTGTTGCACAGGCGTAGCCTTATTCGGGTAATTGGCAGCCATAGTATGCAGTAGCGTCCATGTTGACCTGCCTAGCAACTCCACATCCGGTGGACAGTTCTCAGTATCTATCGCAGGCTTGTCGCTGCTCATGCCAGCCTTTTGACTAGCAGCGGCTAGTCCCCCGGCAGCAGCGCCCACTGTGCCTCTATTTGATGTTCCGGCAGCACCTTCTGCAGGCGGATCGGCCCTGGGCCTCTTGCCAAAGCTAAAAGGATTCGGGTCAGTGCCACTTGATCCTTGCGGCTTCTTGCCGAGACTCATAAGATCTCTAAGGGAGTTGCATTGTCTGCAAGGCTTGCCATCAGGCCCATATACAATGCCGTCCTTCTTGTAATAGCCTTCCTTGAGAGGGAGCCCTGACATGCGCACTGGCTTCAGTTGTTGAAAGTGCTTGCTGCTGGCTTTAGTGGAGCGCGACCGCTTTTGGAGACAGGCAGCAGCACAGCGACCAAACGAGACGCACTTAAGCTGCAGGCCAACCGGCAGACGACCGCAGCGACAAGAGGAGAGAGTCCTGCACAGAGAGCAAGCACACGCTCGCGACATTGAGAAGATAGAGATCGTCTTTACAAAGGAGAGGCGAGCGCGTTGGGATACTGGGCGCGGCCGACAACTGAAGCGCACTTTCTTTGAAGACAGACGAAAGCTCCTGTCGAGGCCATGAGCGATGGTAAGCATTTCAAGACGCGTCAACGACTGCGTTCTTGGACATTATGTTTTATTGGTACAAAAGCTGACATGCTTCAGGTCTACAGCTTGTTGTCAAAGCACTTGAGGTCATTCACAGCCCGCAATCCAGCAATGCGGATCGACTGTCGGCTCAAAAGGTAAGGTTTTCACGGCCAGGAGAGTATGCATGCTGACAAGGCAGCACATCGACCAATTGAGCGGCGATCGTAACGCAGCCTGCTACTTTGGCTTCGAGCTTGCGAAACAGGACAAAGACATTGTTCGACACTTTGGTCTCAATCTACTGAGCAACAGCATTACCAAGGAATGGCATAACTTTAGTACAGCTGAACGCGACCAAATACGGCAGTGGGTCTTGATGCTATGCCAAGAGGTGCGTGTTTCCTGGATCTAGCAGCATACTAACATATTCAGTGCGTTCGGGAGACTGGCGAAACGCATTATATTGTCGAAAAGCTGGCTGCTCTGCTCAATGACATTGCAAAACGCGAATGGCTGCTTACTTGGGGCGACTTTGATGGCACCCTCCAACGGCTATGGCAGACCAATCATACAACACGTCTCGTGTGTCTCAAAACGCTAAATAATCTAATTGAGGATGTATTCCTTCACGATGACCCGATAGCAGCTCTACGAAGTCCCATCTTGTCTGCAGGTGTCATGACACTCATGGCCCCTGCCGATGTCGTTGCCGAGTTTTACGCAAATAATCCAACCTCTCTTGTACATGGCATAGCACAAAAACCAGGCTCAAAGGGTTGGCTACAAGTACTTGTTGAGCAACTTTTGCAAGATTCAGAGGATCAGGCTCTAGCGATTCTGCAAGTCTTGCGCTCAGCACTTGGCTGGATCATCACAAAAGCTATCATCGTCAGCAATACAATGTCAGCTGTCTGCCAGGCTTTGATGAACCCGAACGTCAAAATCTCGACTTGCGCAGTGGACAGCTTATACGTTCTGCTGACCCGGCCGCTACACCCCCATGACGACTTCATGCAGGAAATCTATACACTATACAAGCCCGAGTCTCTGCAAGCACTCACGGAGGTTTGGCGTCGCACAGCAGGTAGCCTTCAATTTCGACATCTGGACAATGCCGGTACGTTGCAGAATGAAGAAGCGTACACTTTACTCAAAAAATTGAGCGAGACCATTGTTGCTCTCGCATGCTTCAAGTTTGGCTCTAGCAGAGACAAGAAGCTTGAAGAAATTGAGCTTGCACATGTTCTCGACCTCGTCCTTATGACTTGGCAGCACAAGTCTCTGATCATCTCCGGCATGTCGCACAACTTTTGGTGTTCCCTGCTACGCGATGAGAAGCTCAGCAATCATCCCGATGTACTGTCGCGCTTTCCTCAAATGCTACAGATTGGCACACAGCGGCTTGTTCGCTTTGACGACGCAAAGACCATCATGCTGGCCCACTCCGAATTACAAATGTTCCTGGATATAGATATGGAGTCGCCACTCGAGCTACACGAGTTTTGCATCAATTACAGGCGCTTCGTTTACGACATCGTGCGCATGGTCGTATACAAGCGTCCCCGAGATGCACTCCTGTGGGTTCGCGAACAGGTCAAGCATTTCTTTGCTGAAGAATACGCGGACACCAACGTGGGTAGCTTCTGCACACGCACCAGTCCAATGTACCTCAATGTCGACGCCAAGTGTACGATGATCGAGGCCGCTATTCAGGGTATTATCCGTTGGCAAGACCGGTGGGTGCCTGCCACTAATCCTATGAAGGACTTGAATGGAGATGCGACTCCAGAAGCACGTGCGGCTGCATACATGGAACTACAGTCTATGAAGCGAGCGGAAGTTGCATCAACACGCGAAATCGTTGTTGCATGGTGTGCTGAACTGATTGAGCTCAACATCCAAGATCCGTTGATGCTCGGTCGTCACATCAGTGTCCTTGTGGCATTCGCCTCCTTCTTGGACGACCGGTCGGATCTGCTCTTCCGCATTCTCGAAAAGATCATCCAGACCATCACCCACTTCTACCCAATCGATGTTGCGGAAACAACCATGGTTTCAATACGGGAATTGCGTGGGCGATGCGGAACAGATATCCTGCGGCTTGCAAGCGCCCTCCCAGATCAGCTGTGGACTATATATCCTCAACTTGAGGCGACTGTTGACAAGATTTTGTCTGCAGAGCACGTCTCTGAAAACGATCAGACCACATTCAATGCTCTTCTGCTCATCATCAGCCAACGTGCTTCCGCAACTGAGCCAACAGAGAAGCAGGCTCACTTTGAGAAGATTGTCAATAAAGTATGCTCAGCCTGGGACAACAATGAGGTGACTGGTGCGCTCGCCAATTTCGAATCCTTCGCACAAGTCTTGCAAGTCGAAAAAGTGACCATGTACTTCCAAAGCAGACAGGTAAGGCTTCCGCGTCAACTTGACTCCACTCAGCTCGACACACAGGGTAAAGCTGTCTTGCAAGACTTGAAGGACGGCAGCCGTTGGTCGTGGCCGATTCGCGCTTCGCGCAAGTTTGTTGATGCTACGCTCGACACGCCCAGCGCTTTGCGAGACTTCGAAAAGCAGCTATGGCATCGTCCAATTGTTCACATGGTGCCAAACCTAATTCGACTGCTAAGTCGCATTAATGAATACTACAACCCCAGCAACTGGAAGTCCTTGCCGATCGAGATGCAGTTGATTGCTCAAGAATCTATCATCGAGCGATTCTGGCTTCACGGAGTCAGTCAGGTCTCTAGGGATGAATTTTTGGAATCCAGTGCGAAGACCTCCGACACTTGTCGCGAGCTGGCCCATCACATCGGCCATTTCCTTCGCAAAACACGAGAGTACTGTCTCGTGACTCTCGGCACCTACAGTCTTCTGGGGCCAGCATTTTACGATATTCCAGATTTGGGCGATGCATGTATGCAAGCTTTCTTTGGCGACACCAGCGGGACTTCTCTGCATGTGTGGGCTACTACCATCACCTCCTGCCTACGTCACCTGCTGCTGAATTGTCCGCGCAATCAGTACGAATCGTTTCTTGGTAAGATCATGGTGCCCTTTCCACAAATGATGTTGCAGAAATTACAAGCAGAATGGGCGAAGCTCATGGAACGCGGTGCATTGCAAAGTAAGGAGGAGGAAGGCACACAGCAAGAGAAGGATGACTATTCAGATGAAATGATGGAAGAATCACTGCTTCGACACCTGTCTTTTGCTGTCGTCAAGTTGTTGAGCGATCTACTCGCGCCGCCAATGCTGACGTTGCGTGCCGACCCGAATGCTGCCGGCGGTACTGCTCCTGCTGGAAGCATTCGTACAAGCCCATTGTCAGAGTGGCTTCTGCGTCAAGAAAATATGGTTGGTGGTATCGTGCTACTACTGTGCTTCTGCTTGACCATCAACGATACCCGTACATCTGTTCAGGCTGCCAAGGTACTTCGCAGTATTGTTCCGTTGTTGATGGAGAAGAACGACTTGCAACGATATGTATGCCATGAAGTCTTTTCTGCCACAATTCGCTGCATTCACGACCCTTATTTCGTTGCTGGACAAGGCGAGCTAGTCAATCTCCTCGCTCACATCTACTACCTTTCTCTTGGCAAGTCAACCTTGCCGCGCAACATTATCTTATCAATTCCACAAATGTCGGGCGACGTTGGTGCTGTGAAGGTATTTGAGGAGAAGCTGGCAAATGGCAAAAGCGACCGGACGCGACGCAGTCTTATGCTGGAGCTCCTGATGAACCACGACGTTGTTGGTCGAGAAGCTTACGGTCGTGGCGCTACGATGGTTAAACCAGGTGCAGATGTCTCTACAAAGGAGATTATTAAAAAGTTCCAGGAGAGCGTTACCTTGAAGAATGGCAATGCAGGGAACGACGTGCTATCCAAGGATCAAGAAAGTGGTATCGACAGGCTCTTTGACTGAAAAGGCAAATTGATATCATAAAAACTAAATGAGCATACACGCGATGCCGTGATGCCTTGGCTTGAAATCTGTACAATATAGACAAGAAAGTATCAACAGATGTGACGTTCACTTTGCCTTCTTTGCCTTTGTCTCTGGCTTGTTCTTGGGCGCGAACCAGGACGAGGAGTAACCCTTTGTTTCGCTATTGCCCCATGCTTCGACCAGATACTTTTGCGTTGAGTCGGCAACGCGCTCCTGCGAACGGCCCTTGACGCCGACCGTTGCGCCTGATGTCGAAACGTTGATGTTCTGACCGTTAGAGCTTGAAGCGACATAATGCTAGTGCGTACCTTCTTCTGCAGCTTGTCTTGCGTCTGTGTCATCACGTCCTGCATGACAACCCAAAACACCCGTCCTAGCGCGAGGCAGACGACGAGGATGATAGAGACAACGATGAGTTCCATGAAGACGGCCATGATGCGATGCGATCCACCTGGTTAACGATGACACAGAGTAAGGCTGCAACCGACAGATATGAGGTTTGTGGATAGCAGATGAAGCGCGCGGTGCTACCGTCGAACCTAAAATAAGCGAAGAGCCGCAGTCGACCAACGTCACGAGCTGGGAGCTACAGGCTACAGATACAGGGGCAGTCCAGAGTGAGATAGGCCGATGAGGCTCCAGAATTAAGACAGCTGAGCTGCTGGCGGGGCAAAATCAAAGACGAATTCTTACAAGTACCTACTTTTGAGTGCAACAGAAAGCTCAGAGGTCCATGACCACGTCTGCTGAAGGAACTGGTGCTGCCACGTCTCCATACTGCTGGACTGCGCCATCTGCGCCTGCAGCGGGACCTGTAGGAACGTTTGACTCGTATCGGACGTAAGACAAATTGAGTGGTCTGCCACCATACTGGTAGCCCGTGAAACGCTGGATGGACACCTCTGCGTGCTCCTGTTCATCGAATTGTACCACGCCCATACCCTTGGAACGTCCATTGGCTTCGTAGCAGATCTCAGCACGCGCAACAGGGCCAATGGTAACAAACAGCTCCACAAGGTCCTCGTCCGAGGTCGACCATGGCAAATTCTTGACGAAAATCGTGTCGGACGGATCACCGTTGCCCCAAGCATTGTCCGTGAAGGGGTTTGGCTCCATGGGCTGTGCTACAGCAGCAGGCTGTGCGTAACCACCGTCAAAGCCAGCGCCGCTAGAATGACCCCCAGAGATGCTATTGCCTCGAGGACGCTCATACGACCCACTGCCGCGACGATTGCCATTGTCTCGGGAAGCGAATTTGTCCTCCTTGAGCTCAATCACACGACCTTGCCAGTTGTATCCTTGGAATTGGGTGATGGCACGTTGTGCTTCGGCCACAGTCTCAAACAAGATGGTGCCAGAGCCCTTTGAACGGCCATCAGGGAGCTGTCCGACGTCTGCTTGGACAACCTTGCCAGCATTGCGGAAGAGGTCCTTGAGATCTTGCCAGCCAACGCTGTATGGTAGGTTCATGATGAACAATTGAGGAGAGGTTGTTTGTGTAATTTGAGGCACATAGGTAGATCGACTTGGACGAGGCTCAAAGTCTCGGCCTCCGCGACGGTCACCACGGCCGCCTCGGTCACCACCACGGTCTCCCTTGTCGGGCTCACGGTCCTATTGTTAGCATTCAGTTGTGTAAGAATAGGAAGCGTACCTCGCGGATGAAGACGTTGCGACCACCGAGGTTGGACTCGTTCAATTCGTCCATGGCACGCTGTGCTTCGCTCACAGTGGCGAACTCAACAACACCGCATCCTTTGGATCGTCCATCACGACCAGTAAGCACATCAGCATGAATCACCTCCCCAGCTACAGTGTGTCAGTAAAATTGAGGAATGACTTGCAGACGCCTTACCTGAGCGCATGAAATCCTTGAGCTGGCCCCAGCGGATATCATAGGGCAAATTGCCAACATACACCTTGCGACCAACTGCACGAGATCCTGTGGCAGCGCCGGAACGAGGGCGACCACCTCCGCTGCCGCCATGGCCACGACCGCGACCGGCAGGACTACGTGACCTCCGCCTGTTGCGTCGGTCAGGACTGGCGGAACGCGATCGTGAGTAGGAGCGACGACGGTGAGTTGGCGACCTACTGCGAGATCGTCGGCGGTCCGGGAGGATATCCTGGTCGAGCATACGCCTGTTATGTTCAGGTGACCTGCTTCCAATATCTATTTGAAACCATGTGCATCAGCCTTCGTCATTCATAAAGACAGTATGTGTGTCTCCTTCCCCGAGCTGAGCCTAGAGAGATGCTGCAAAATAGCCCACCAATCCAAGCTCACCCAGTTCATCCGTTCGATCGGTTCCAAAGACTTCCCGCAACAGCAAGCGCCTTCTCGTCCCCTCTCTCATCCAGACTATCCAGAGAACACAGGAGTTCTACCCACCTGACATCAATGCGTAATCTTCTTCCTATCCTTAGCTGCGTCTAGTTGTACGGTGTCCAAGACGAGTCGTCAAGTGACTCTTGCGGCGCTGTGTCGTTGAAAAGAGACTAAACACGTGCTTGGGCTCCTACACTGGTTACCAACTTACTGGTAAAACTGCAAGGCGGCGACTCTCATGGCCATCAACTGCTACAACTGACCTGAACATTGCCGTTGAGCTTGCTATTCGATCATTATTCTATGACTCTCGCATACAAGTTCAGTTCTATTTGCACATGCTCTCTCAATGCACGACCTCTATTTGCCGCGCCCAAGAAAGGGTTGACAGCTTACTCATTGCGAAACTCAGCTAGGATCAACTTCTTCCATACAGATGAGCATCCTTCTGAAGAGCTTTACAATCCAACGGAGCAGACTATCCTGCAAGCTGCAATGAAGCATGTGCCTGAGCATGGCTTTTCACTTGCTGCCATTTCGCAAGGTGCACTTGACACTGGCCATCTCGACATTACACGCAATCTGTTTCCTGCTGGCGCCTATGACCTTGTGCGATACTTCCAGACCCAAGAACGTCTGAAGCTCAAAGATGCGTTCAGTGGGGTGCAAGTAGATAAAGAGATCAAAGGGACCGGCCCGAGAATTGAAGCGCTGGTCAAGCTTCGCCTTGCTGGCAACCTGCCCGTTCGCTCGCAGCTGCAAGAAATGCTTGCTGTAATGGCCATACCAAGCAATATACCGGCTAGCCTCTCTCAATTGCACGATTTGTCTGATGAGATTTGGCATCTCGCAAGCACTCAAGAAGAAGCCACCAAGTCTGCGAATATGAATTGGTACACCAAACGTGCAAGCTTATCAACAGTCTATGCGACCACCGAGATATTCATGGCACAAGACTCGTCTCCAGATTGCGTTGACACCCATGCTTTTCTCAAGCGCAGACTGAACGACTTGCGCATGGTGGGTGGCAGTATCAGCGAGGTCAGTGAATTTGTCGGCTTTCAATTGTGGCAGGCGCGCAATATTTTGGCCTCCAAGGGCCTGAAATTCTGAAGGTGGGGACCCCTGGTTCGAGTATGGAGTGGCGTCCATCCATGAGTCTAAGACTCTATTAAATTTAGTGCCAATGGAAGCACTTCTATCGCATCCATGTTGATTCGTATGTCGCCTTTGGCTTCGCTGATCCATTTTTCCTCATCGCGTACATGCCCTTGATTGAGAATCGCCACTGGCTTGCCTTGCTGCCGACAAGCTTTGATGAATCTGAAGCTAGAGTACACCGCCAGGGAGGTACCCACGCAGAGCATAGAGTTAGCACTCTCCTGTGCTGTATCAGCAGCCTCCCTATTTGCTACTGGAACTGATTCTCCAAAGAAGACGACAGATGGCTTGAGAACGCCTGCTTTGCTCTCTGCAGCTAACGCACCCTCTGCATCAGCTGTTGCATGCCCCTTGGCCAAACAGGTTTTGCACACGGGATACCTGAACGTTTCATAGGTTACACCTGAAGAAGCTGGCAGGTCAACGTCGCCGTCTGGATTTGTTTTGAGCTCTTGTGCTCCTGAATCAGTCCGCCGTACTGGCAATGTGGCAGCTAGCTGCGCCCATGCAGGATTGAGTCTCGCCATATCATCTTGAACTTCTTGACGGTGTGTGATTGTATGACAGGTCAAACAGACTACTCTGTGTAGACTGCCATGAATCTCTGTGGTCCGGCCTGTCAACTCTGGATGACTGTACGTATGCAAACCATCGACATTCTGTGTAACGAATGCATTCACATAGTCTTTCTTGAGCAAGTCTGCACATGCGCTGTGAATGGCATTCGGCCTCGCTCGAGCAACGGGAGGGTACCCCAAAAATGAACGAGCCCAATATCGCTGCCTGAACTTGTGCCGCTCACGAAATTCATTGAAGAAGATGGGCCGATACGTCTTGTTGACTATATAAGTGCCACCTGCCCCGCGATAGTCAGGGATGCCTGACGGCGTTGAGATGCCAGCACCTGTCAAGAGCATCGTTCCTCTACCATTACTGTGTCCAGTCGGAGCATGTCTTGTCAGAAAATTGGCAAGGACTTCAGCAGCTTGCTGGACAGAAGAGATGGAAGCTGGTATTTGAATGACAGCATCTGTTCTCATAGGTCCATAGGGGACCCTCATCAGCGATAGACTAGGCGATTCTTTGGATGGCTACGGCTTTAGATGACGTCTACAAGCACACACACGCAGAGTGCGGTAAATTTCAGATGGCACTATGGGCTTCACACTTCAATCTACTCTCCTCCTGCTCGGAGAGATCTTCCGCCATCAATAACAAGGACATGGCCATGCATGTAAGTACAGGTAGACAGGAACAGAGCCGCCTTGCCCATCTCCATCGCGTTGCCCATTCTCTTTGCAGGCACTTTACTTTCCATCTGCTTGACCATGTCGCTCACACCTGCGTCTCCGGCAGCGACAATCTCGGACGGAAATAGACCCGGCGCAATGGCATTGACCCGCACATAGAGCGGACTGAGCTTGTTGGCGAGTATCTTGACGAGGTGGTTGAGCGCCGCCTTGGAGGCTCCGTAAGAAGCGTTACTGCTCTTGGCACTCCAATGTACACCTGCAATGCTACTCGTCATGATGATATTGCCACCAGTCTTGCTAGCATGCAGAGCAGGCAAGAACAGGCCAGCCAAGACGTATGGAGCGATAGTGTTGCATGCATAACTAGATTGCCAGTCTTCGAATGAGGTTGTTGTCAGCTGTTTGACCAGTTCATCCACGCTCAAATCATCTCGATAACGGGGGTCGATCTTGAGGATACCGGCATTGCAGACAAGGTGGTCTAGGGTACTGCCAATCGTTGTCGTGTAGTCGGCCACCAATTTCTCGAGGCCCTCCTTCGTCGAGACATCGCCCTGAAGAGTCGAGACTTTGCCTGTGCCTGTGCCTGTGCCTGAGCCGTCAGCGGTCAATGTGGATTGGGCTTTCTCCAAGACTGGTAAACGGCGACCAGAGATGATGACATGAGCACCTTCCTTGAAGTATTGCTGGGCCATCATGTAGCCAATACCTGTACCTCCGCCAGTGATGAGTACATTCTGTCCGTCGAGTTCACCCATCCCTGCTTGGTCTCTGGGAGGTTTTTGATGGTATGGGAGCATTAGGAAGAGCTCTTCGTCGTCGTCAGATTGCGGGGGCTGGACATTCAGATGGGGCCATCGCATCCTGAGCATCATCATCTGGACGCCATCGCACCGTCGGCACGTCGCACAGCGGCTGTTGGATCCATTTGCAAGAGCACCATGCTAATCTTTTGCAGGCCACCGTAATCACCTGGCCACTCCTTGAGCGTGGCTACATTGCCATCATCCTTCATGTCGGGAATCTTGAAGCCAGATTTGAATTCACTCATCTCCACATCATAGAGCATTTGCAGCTGATCTTCTCTAGAGGATCTTGGTCGTCCGGGTCGGCGTGCGGCAGCCAGATCTTCCTGCTCTCCCTTGTTGCGATCGATATAAGTCTGCACAAGCACTCTCGCCTGAGCATCATCGATGGTCGGACTATCACTCGACATGGCTGCAATCTTGAAAAATCCAATTCGATTGACAAATTTCATGTGCTCTTTACCGCGTTGGGTCGTGGCTGCGCTGATGCGCTCATCGCGAAGAGCAGCACGTTGAATCTGGTTGGCCTTGCGCGAATTAGGATGAGCTTGTTCCTTCTTCCCCTTGATCTTCTTCAGCGACAGGACTCGTGGCATGGTTGATGAAGCGTTTTCTCAGAGGTGGGCTCAAGAGTCAAGACGTCCAGGACCTGGTTCTAGTTCTCTGCTGCTTGTCGCCAATAATTTTGTTTGGTTGCGACTATTTCTCACGCACACGGACCGCGACCTCGACACATCCAAGTACACAAGTACGCCAGGAGCTGACGATCGGTCGGCAGCTCATCTTGTCAGATCAGACTGGCGTCGCATTCGATGCAATGGTACAATGACCCAGTTGCGTCGTCTGGGAATCAATATCGGCCTGGCAAGGTATGTAACTTCGTGCGCCGCCATGCAGACTTGTTAACCTGACCATAGAGCGCGCCTCGACTGTTGCAGGACTTGTCGGTGCATGAGATTGGCGGTCTCATCCTTCCCAGCTTTCCCGAAACGCTACTTGGTCCAGGTCATCAAGGCCCGCGCCATGAATGGATAGCTGATCTCCCAGCTGATGGCAAGTGGGAAGAGGGTAAGCCGCTCAGTGCATGTTGCTGGCGGACGCGAATGCATGCGAGCATGCTGCTCGAGTACCCTGACAATGCCGAGCGATCAGAAAGCTGTAAAGTACATGGCAAGCTACACCACTTCCAGCTTGACGACGGGGAGACAGTACTAGCGACTGACTCGTATGGCAGGTATGAGAAACTGGCATATCGTTGCTCTCGTGGTCAGTGTCGTGCTCAACTTCTGATTCAATTGCGCAAGTCTGAGCTGAGCCAAGCAATCATCGACGATGTGCTCGCCATCCGGCCTCTAGCAACTTTTGCCTCAGGGCCTCCATCCGCCGACACCCCATCAAGATTCTCTACACTCATGGCACTTGAATACTTTCTCAGGCATACAGCTGGGTTCCAGTCATCGCCAGCCTTACCGAAACCTCGGGAGATTTCTGTGAAACCTGGAAGTCACTTCATGAAGCGTGTCGGACGCGAGCCAGAGATTTTGGCGCTCATGAAGGCGCTGAGATTCAGCCTCAGGCCCGCTGATTGGGATGGCAAGTCTTATGTAGACGAAAGCGAGATCGTGCACGAGATGGACGATGCAAATGAAGATGAAGCGATTGAATGGCTTTACTTTCCACCTGACCCAAGACAGCCCGGCATTCGTGATTTCCTGCGTCGTCTGCGCTTAGAAATGCAGACCTTGGCAATGTCAGCCAAAGTAGCTTCGCCACGGGATCCCTTCACGCACAGCACATGGAATGTTTCGCATGAACGCGCTGAAGCACGCTGGCTTATCCTCATGGAGGCCGAAGAACGCTTCTATACAAAGGAGGCTGTCCCTTGGATGCACGATACGAACTCTCCAGAAGAGCTAGCGTATGCCAAACTTGGCATTACAGCAGCGTTTCACGACTCGGCCATTCTTGATTTTTACGAGTTGCAAACTTGTGCCGATCAACGCAACCGCTCCTGGTACCTAAGTGCACTCGAGGCTATCGCAACACAGCGCAAAAGCGAAGCTCTTCAGATGGAGATGACCCAGCAACGGTCGATGGGAGTCTACACCAGGCAAGACTTGGCCAGATCATATGCGTGCTTACAATCCATCGCTTCAGATGACGATGAGACGCTGATTAACATTGCTGCATCTTACATGCTCGACGATGAAAATGAATCGATGACGCGCCGCGTTCGCGACGCCCTTGCTATCATTGCCGAAGAGCGGGACTCTTCAGTCATACGCAAGTATCTCAATGCGCCTCAGAAGGATTTCGCAGACATCACGTCTGCTCTACAATACCTAGGAGCTGAGGCAGAGACGGACGAAGAGATGCTCATGTTCCTTTACAATGATCGGAAAGACACCAATGAGCAATTGGCGAGGTCAGCACTTTCGACCATTGCAGACGAGCGTCAAAGTACGCGACTTCGGCGCTTCCTTGATCTTGGTGAAGACGTCCCACTACCGAGTGTTAGGTTCACTTTGCCAGAAGCTGCAAACGTCAACAAAGCGATTGAGGATTCTGAGCTTGAAGTCCTAGACCCAGACCTCGCTTACAGCCGCCTTGGCGTCGATGATAAGTCTGTGGACGATGATATGTTGCTAGCTTTGTTTGAGATTCGCCAGCTTGACGACCCTGACTCTGCGGCTGCGCTTCGCAAAGCTCTTGAGGTGATTGGAGATGTGAGAAGATCTGCGACGATCCGAGGATTTCTCTCTGGTGACAAGACAACAGTCGAGGCTTATCAGGCGCCAGAAGCCTCTCTTGATCGTCCTGTAGGCATGGAGAATATCGGCAACACATGCTACCTCAATTCCCTGCTGCAGTATTACTTCACAATCAAACCACTGCGAGAGGCTGTATTGCGCATGGAAGATTTTGCTGAACAAGAGCTCACGGATGCAGTTCTCGCGCAGAAGAAAGTGGGAGGACGTCGCGTAACAAGAGAAGAAGTTGAACGTGCTCTTCGCTTCATGCGAGAATTACGAACACTCTTTCTTGGTCTCATCACCTGCAAGGAAGCCAGCTTAAAGCCTTCAAAAGCAGTTTGCTTTCTCGCTCTCGTTAGCTCACGTGATGAAGTCAAGGCAGCTGAAGACGATGTATTGGAAGGAGTCAGTCCGACTCGCCTTGTCAAAGGCACCGGCATAAATTTGCCCGTGACGGACAGCAACCAGATGGTGCTCTTCAAGTCTCCCTCACCTTCTATCCCTATCGATCCCTCGTTCTCCGACACAGTGATGGGTGAAGACTTAGAAATATCAAGTCCGACCTTGTCTGCGCGCTCCCCGAAACGCAAGCTCATCACACCGCCCTCAGAAGGCGATTTACCAGCCGCTGCACGTCCGCGGGCCAATTCAACCGAGCCTATGGATACCGAAGAGGACATCATTGATCAATCGGCCAGCACATTAGTGTCAGACCACCCGCCTTCATTGTTAGATATGGGTACACTTGATGCAGGTATTCCTTTGGTGGACGATCACGGTCTACCTCCTGCATATCAAGACGTTTGGGAAGATATTGGAACAGACGAGGCGAAATTGTCCAGCAAGGCTGATCCACTACCGATCGTGCCTCCACGCATTCCAAAGAGAACAAAGTCCTCCTTGCTATGGTCCAATTCGAGTGATTGGGGCAAACAGCAGGACGTTGCTGAATGCATCGACAACGTCCTGTTCCAGTTGTCCGCAGCTTTGAAACCGTCGAGAGGTCACCATCCCGTTGACGGAGAACAAATGGATCTCGTGAAGGACTTGTTCTTTGGTGTGACGCGACAACGAATCAGTATTGCTGGCAACGAGCCAAAAGAAGAACGCTTTAGTAACACCATTGTCAACTTGGAGCACGACGGGCAGTCTCTGTACGATGCTCTTGATGCGGTCTTTGATGCCCGTCCTGTGGAGCTCGATAACAAGCAAGTGTACCTCACTTCTCTTATCGCCGAGGCGCCGACATTGTTTCAAGTTCAGATTCAGCGAGCAGACTTTGACAGGACAACCATGCAAGCCATTAAGAAGAACACCTATCTGAAGCTCGACGAGACAATCTACCTCGACCGCTATATGGACACGGAAGACGCGGACTTGCAAGCGCTGCGCGTCCAATACGCCGAGCGCAAGCGAGAGCTTTCCAATCTTCGTACAGAACGCACAAATCTATTGGCAATCAAAGAGAAGCGAAAGGCTGCAGATGAGGCTGCCAAGATTGAAGTTGCAAAGGCAGCAGCACCAGTGCAATCAGCGTATACAGATCACGACTGGATTGCTTCAGCGCGAGAGGTAGCATCTGATGATGGAATTGACGATGCACACATGCAAAACAGTGGTATACTCGATGTCGATGCGCCCGGTCACAGGTCGGAGTCGGGTCGCCACGGCTCTGTACACGAGCTGGCTCAAGCAGGTGACAGTGCGTCAGTCATTCGCGAATTGCCAGACGAAGTGCCAGAGACGCAGCACTTGGAATCCGTGCAAGAGGCGGAGGCGGAGACAGAGCCACTACCAAGTCTGGAAGAATTGGACGATCTGCTCGAAACCAACGAAGCTCAGATCATGACCCTCTCAGCAGCGGCCTTGTCCATCTTTGACGATGTGCCTGCTGATGAACAGCAGATTCATGATGCACCACCAAAAGATCTTCTAGACTTCTCTTCTGATGCTCCAGCGGATAAGCCTATTACGACGTCACATCGGCAGCATGCCTACCGGTTGTCCTCTGTCTTTATGCATCGCGGTGCCGCCGACCACGGACACTATTGGATTTTCATCTATGATTTTGCCAACGCCAAGTGGCGCAAGTACAACGACGAGGCAGTGACGGAAGTCACAGCAGATGAGGCGGTACACCGTAACTTGACTGGAATGACAGAAAACCCTTACATGTTAACGTACATCAGGGCAGATGCGGTGGATCGTATCAGTCAAGCGCTAGTGCGTGACTGGAATGTTGAAGCGGACAGCCTGATATGAGAGGGACATGTAGTTCATGAGAGATATAAGCATTTTCACAAGCCACGCATTTTGAAGAGAGATGACTTGATACGTAAAGTATTGAGGACGCGCCCGATCTAGGAGAGCACTAGACAGTCGCGTCTTCGTCTCGTCTATCAAAAGAAAAGCAAAAAGCGAGGATGATGTAGGGGATTGGCGAGCATGAATGTGGTAATTTGTTGAAATTGAGGAGAGCTTCATTGTTCTCAAAAAGACTTCACCAAGCTGTCGACACTTCGATGAGCTGATTTGAGAAAATTTTGCTGAACTGCCCAGATGGAGCAGGTGGATAGATGAATTGGTGGGATGATTGTGTGAGTTGAGCGTTGTCATGATAGAGGGAGACGATGCGGGATAGAGACATGGAGGAACTTGTGCTTGCATTGAGTCGGAGGTGCAAGACACTTTGAAATGGTAGAAATAACAAGAGCAAGATGGCAGATGAAGCGCGTTACTGGGGTCGAGCTTGACCTTGACCTTGGCCTCCGCCTCGTCCGCCGCGCTGTCCGCCTTGCTGGGCATAGCCATTACGTTGGCCGCCGCGTTGGCCATGGACCTGCCCTTGCTGGCCTTGTCCGAACTGCTGTTGTTGGCCTTGTTGACCACCACGCTGCTGCTGTTGCTGCTGCTGCTGCTGCTGCTGCCGTCTCTCTTGTTGCTGCTGTGCTTGCTCAGCGGTCTGTGGCACACCATGCTGCAAAGGCTGCTGCTTGGTTGGCTTTTGAGCACCTTCTCCCGAGTTGATGGCAGAAGGTGCAACATAGAGCTGTTTGTCAATAGTGTTGGGAATTGGCTGTATTTCAGTACCAAGTTCTTGCTCAATCTTGTACAAATTGAAGCGGTCTTCCCAAGACACCAAATTGATGGCAAGACCCAGGTGACCGAAGCGCCCCGATCGACCGATTCGGTGCAGATAGGTTTCAGCGTTCTTGGGGAAGTCAAAGTTGATGACCACGTTGACGGCTTGGATATCGATACCACGAGTGAGCAAATCTGAGCACACGAGGTTGCGTGAAACACCATTCCTGAAGTCGTGGAAAACACGGTTGCGGTGAGCCTGGAGCATCTTGGCATGCGAGTAGAAGCAGGAGTAGCCGAGCTCAGTAATCTTCTTGGCGAGCAGCTCTACACGGTTTGTTGAATTGCAGAAGATGATACTCTGGTTGATTTGCAGTTTCGAGAAGAGTGTGTTCAAGCAGTGAACCTTTTGCTTCTCCTCCACAAATGCGTAGTACTGTGTGACACCACGTAAGGTCAATTCATCCATAAGATTGATCTCGAAGGGCTTGTTGAGATTGCGGTCCATAAAGTCCTTGACGGTGATTGGGAATGTCGCACTGAATAGAGAAATTTGACGATCCTTCGGGCAATGGGCAAGCAATTGCTCAACCACAGGCGTGAACTCGGGACTCAATAGTTTATCTGCCTCATCCATGACAAAAGTTGGACATTGGTCAAACTTAGCGATGCCCTTGTTTGCGAGATCCAATATACGACCTGGTGTACCGACAACAACGTGGATGGGGTCATTGAGTCGCATAATATCCTGTGTCAGACTAGTACCACCAGTGGTCACCATGACATTGATACCCATGTGTTTGCCCAGTATCTTGCACACCTGGGCAGTTTGTAGCGCAAGTTCTCGTGTCGGAGTGAGCAAGAGTGCTTGGATCTTGTTAAGCTTGACATCCACCTTTTCAAGTGACGGGATGCAGAATGCTGCTGTCTTTCCAGTTCCGTTCTTGGCTCGCGCTAGAATATCCCGACCAGTCAGAGCTACCGGGATGGCCTCCTCTTGAATCGGAGAAGGCCGTTCGAAGCCAGCCTCGAAAATGCCCATCAACAGTTCGCGCTTGAGGTGCATATCCGCGAATTCCATACCCTTTGTCGCTGTGACATCCTCTGTTTGTGGTCTCGTGTCCTTTGCGGGCACGTTCAATTTTGACTTCCAGTCATCGTTGGAGGAGCTGTGACGGATTAGCATCATGGAAGATACGCAGCTTGAACGGACCTGATAGATGTCTGTTGCATTTGCCGATTGACGCTGTCCATTTTTGAAAATATGGGTTGGTGGTTGTATTTGTGGATTTGGCTAGCACTGAAAGGCCTTTCGTGATGGTTTGCCTGTCGCAATGGTCGATAAACACTTGTCGATGTGGTGTTCGATATGGGGCCCTTGATGTGCGCGTTCGATGTCTCTTGAGTCTTGACAGATGTACGTCCTGGCTGTGCAAGTGTCGCTTTTGCTCTTCTTGTCCGTTGGAGTTTGCACGGTCCACGTGACTGGCAATGTCGACTACGGAGTACTACTATTCTACTAAGCCAGCAGCGGCTCAACATCATTAAAACTACAGGCTACAATATAGATTCAACCCAGTAAGACTGCGGGAACTTGTCTCTTTCGCATTCATACATCTCCAAACTCATTCGTCGGTCTTGTGACCCAACCATGCTCGTTGTCCCACGACGTCCTCATCTTCTGTCCTTCTGGTGCCTCGACATGGAATGGATCTGAGCTACCGTCTTCAATAGATATACCAGCTGATGCCGATGTGTACAACACGAGGCCCGACTTTGCAGGCGTGATCACTTTGACCGAAGAGCATGCATCGATCGTGATGCTGTAGTTGGACGAGCTCGAGTTCTCGTGAGGCAGCACCAAGCTTAGTCCTTGTGAGTGCACAACGTCTGTAGAGCCAATTACACCGCACAGGAGCAGCTGCGTATCTGAACAGTGCTCAATCACCAGCTGAGCCAGTCTGCCGGCTTCAGTAAAATTTAGTGTACAAGCTTTGCATCGACTGATCAGATAAGGCGCAGCTCGGCCTTTGCTGGTGAATGAACGCTGCTCGCCAGTGAGATGCTCAATAATCTCTTGCTTGGGCCGTGCAGCTAGCAGCTCTGGCAGAAATTTGGGCAGCGGCATAGGAGTAGCATTTGAACTTGTAGTGCAACTGGTCATGCCATTTGTCCAGACAAAATTGCGCTGCGACTTGATCGCTGTGTCTGACTCAAGCAGTCATAAGTAAGTTTCCACAAAGTCCGAATGTCGAGTCATGCCCATTCGCCCGGCATGCATCACAATACTTCCTTGCCTTTTGTATGCGAGGCGGCGCCTCTTCAGGAACCTTTCCAACTTCGAATGGTATTTTGAACAATTTCTTGAGTTCATCAGTCAATTCTGGAATGGCGAGCGGCCCATGTCCTGTCGTTGCAGCTGATTGTGTAGACTTACCGAAGGCTGACGCTGATGTTCCAAAGGACTGTGGCGAAGCAGCCTGAGACTGCTGCCGGCCTCCGAAAGCTGAAGTTGGCTGATTTGCTTGGCCAAATGCACTTTGTGATGCAGTCGACGCACCGAAAGCGCTCTGGGGTTGCGAGACTGCCCCAAAGGCACTCTGTGGTTGCTGAGATTGGGCTGACTTGGTTGACTGTGTGCCAAATGCACCCTGCGCCTGAGCTTGCCCAGTGACAGCTTGGGATCCAAAAGGTGCAGTACTCGGAGCAAACGCTGATCCAGATCCAGATCCAAATGCACTAGTCTGTGTACCAAATGCACTGCCGGTGTTTATTGACTGCCCAAAAGCGCTTTGAGGGGCATTTGTCTGGCCGAATGCACTTGTTGGCGCGTTTGTTGGACCGAAGGCACTTGTTGCAGCACTAGTCTGTCCGAATGCGCTTTGAGTAGGAGCAGTGCGGCTTGCCTGTGCAAATGAGGTTTGCGAATTACTCGCTTGGCCGAAAGCGCTCTGTGGCGTGTTGGTCTGACCGAAAGCGCTTTGGGGTGTACTTGTCTGGCCAAAAGCACTTTGCGGTGTACTCGCCTTACCAAAGGCACTTTGTGGTGAGCTGGATTGGCCAAATACACTTCTTGGCGTTGAAGTTTGTCCGAACGCTGATTGTCCAAACGCGCTTGTATTGGCACTCGTTGCAAAAGGATTCAAGGCCGGTTTAGCAGCTGAAGCATCGAATGCAGAATTACCTGCTGAGGCGAATGGGTTCAAGCCCGACGCAGGTGCTCCGAATGCGCTTTGCCCAAATGCACTTTGCGGCGCACCCGTATTAGCAAAAGCGCTTTGGGGTGTGCTAGCGACACCAAATGCGCTTTGCGCCGCGGGCTTACTGAATGCTCCACCTGATTGTGGCCCGGAAGCAGAGGATGATCCGCTAGATTGTTGACCAAAGGCTGTAGAGCTACCAGGTTGCTGCCCGAATGCAGACGGTGCGCCGAACGCTGGTTGACCAAAAGCAGATTGCGCTTGAGCAGGTTGCCCAAAAGCTGATGGCTTGTTGGTTGCAAATGGATTGACAGGTGCTGACGGTGCACCAAAGGAGCTCTGTCCGAAAGCACTCATGGCTCAACAGGAAGGTGCTGAAGCTTGGCTAAAGGGAGGGAGCTGTGCGAGGCAGACTCCGATAGAGACGCAGTCTTTCTGTTATTCGCAAGAGATAATTAAGAGCTATCAGGCATACGGAGCAGACGACCTTCTCTGCTTCGAATGTCGCAGCTGCTCGAGCTCGAGTCTTGTGTAGTTTCGAAGTCTGGATCTATCGCTTGCAGCCAGGATTGCCAGGGTTAGTCAGACAATAACCACATGTCCTTCCAGCTGCAGGAGCTTGGGCCTGCGCAGCGAAGGGCAACAAGCAAGCCATACCTTCCATACGTCAAGCTGACAAACAAAGAAGTATGGGAAGCCGGTCTGCCTGATTCTTGAATTTGATATGCACGCGCCTGTGGCACTTCCACCTTGCTCTTAGGATCATCTTCTGTTTCCTATTGGCCTGGCTGCAGCTCCCAACTTGCTATGGGTCAAGTACACGTAGAATACCTGCTGGTCGCAGAATTTGACATCGACAGAGGCCCGACTATCGCTCATCAATACCCTGAAGTACTGTCACGCGAATCTAATGTCCTGGCAGAGCTCATGCTGCCCGATCAGACACACGTCAGATCAGAAGACTGGACAATATTCTTCTTGCAACGTAATGCTATTGCAGGAGATCCACTGCTGAAGATCAATGAGCATTCCGAGTCTTCTACGGAGGATTCAGCTGAGGACAACCTCTTGTATGTGCTCAGCCTTGTAAACACAAAGCACGACAAGAGTGTCAAACGTGGTGCGCAAGTCAAAGCCCTGGCGATCGTCACAAGGCACGCCTATCTGCATGTCTACAAGCCAGTACTCCTTCTAGCTCTGGATGAATATTACAAAAATCCAACGCTTTCAACATTGGAAGTCCTCTACCAGTCTGTCAATGCCATGGACCTATCGGCCATGCCAAAGTTGAATGAGCTTGAAAAGTTGATCTTGGTCGCTTCCGATCAAGATGCTGTCCTGAGCCAGCACACTGAGTCTACCGATGACAAGCGGCACTCTGACCAATCGGCAATTTCATCGCCAATCTCAACGGTTTCTGATCGCATGTCACAAATGCTCCTAGGGAATACCCAGAACAGCGGGCCTGCTTCGCCAGGCGTACCGGGCTATCACAGAGACACTCAGCACTTTTCGACCTTTGTGGACTATCTCAATGTCAAAGTGCCCGTGCGGATTCCGCTCGCCACTTTTCCAGAACTGGTCGGAGACTTCTCCATCATCCAGCTGATTCAAATCTTTACAAAGAACGCTTCCAACAATTCGTCGTTCCAGATTTTGCATCCTGAGTTGACTACGAGTGGCTCGTCGACGCATCCAGTCATGGTCCTCATGAATGCCCTGCTCACTCAAAAGCGGATTGTCTTCTTGGGACTAGCCAGGCCATCAGGAGACGTCGCCCAGCATGTACTTGCTGCATGCGCTCTTGGGTCTGGCGGATGTGGCCTGCTTCGTGGCTTCACCGAACGAGCCTTTCCTTACACCGATCTAAGTAAGATTGAGGAAGTGATTCAGGTTCCTGGGTTCATCGCTGGAGTGACAAACAGTGTCTTTGAGCTCCATCCCGAGTGGTGGGATATTCTTTGCAACCTGGATACAGGAGCAATCACTATATCAAGCGAGCTACAGGATAGCTTCGTCGAGCCTTCGCCAACGAGTTCTGTGTTCAATTTTACTTCGTTGGCCCATGGCGTCAATGCAGCCGACGGCGTACGGAGTGTGTCTCATTTATGCGACTACAGCGATGCTGGATTCATGGCGGATATCGAAATGACTATTCAAGAACGCGCGTCAGAGCACACTATGAGGATGAAGTTTCGCGATTGGACCCATCGCCTCGTCAAAACTGCTGTTGCATATGAACTTGACAAGTATGGCCACTCAAATTTGTTGCCACCGCGTGAAGTGGTTGATCAATTTGAACTTGCTGGGACTGGATGGGTATGGCCAGATGAGCAGTCAAAACAAAGGGACCTTTTGAGTAATGCAAGCCGTATCGAGGGCTGGAGAGGTACAGAAAGCTACTTGAAATTTGGCGAACAAAACACAAGATACTGGCACAAACAACTCCGTGCTTCGCGTTCAGCGGATGCAGCCATTGCAGCGACCGCACGGATTGTCTCTCTGGATCTTTGGTACCAAATCGAACAGCTGCGCGTCTTGAGCCATGACAAATTGACATTGGACGAGTCTGCTCGAATATACACGACTTTGGCAAAGGAGGTACGTACGCCCTTGCAAGTGACTGAGTTGTTGTCACTCTGTCCGTTGAGCCAAGGAGGTTTGCAATGGCTGGCACATGGTTGTTGGCATCCAGATCATCTTGCCAGAGTCGCTGCAGCCGAACTGCTCGAGCGCATTGAGGAAAGTTCCATTGGTGTGCACTTCATTGGAGCTCTCAACATGTACTTTCGTCGCGGCTATCAACGACTGAAACAAGAGATTGCAGCCAACGTTCCCATTGAATTTGAGGCTCCAGCCATATCGACAAACGGCATCTGAAGCCAGTGAAAGAAATTTAACATTGAAAAGATACATATAATGGAAGAATTACGCTGAAGCTGTTAGCCTATTGCGCATTGTGCGAGGATCGTGGAGCATCATGATCTTTGTGTATTTGTCCTCCTTGACTCCCTGCATATCTTGAGGTGTAATGAGGATGAATTGCTTATCGGCACTTTCATTTGTTGACTTGGTAATCATCGACAGTGCCACAGTTCGATTGACTGCATCCATGAAGACGTCAAACTCGTCGAGTGCGCGAATAGGACAGTTCATGGCATCCCACATAGAGAGCAAGAGACAAATGGTTGTGAATGACTTCTCTCCACCAGACAGACCCTTGTTGTTGCCACCTGCAGCATTCCTGCCACGCTTGCCTTTTGATGCACTGAGCTCAGATCCTTTCGCAAGCAAAGCCGCAGCCTCTGCAGACTCCTTGGTCGGGCTGACCTTCATGATGAGCTGCTGAGCTTTATGGTCGAACCTGATCCTGCCCTTGTAAGATCTGTTGCTGAGATGCTGCTGGAAATTGTAACGCACACGCAGGCAAATCTGCTTTCTGAAGCGCTCACGCTCGGTGATGCGCTGATCGAGGCATTCGGTGAGCATATCAACCAGCTCTTGCAATTCTTTAATATCGGATGTGGCGTTCTTGTATGCCGTCTTTGCACGGTCCAGCTCAGATGCAATCTCGGCGACACTTTGTCCGTCAAAGTCCTTCTGCAATCGCTGCAACACTCTTGTCTTGGTATTCAAGAGCTGATTAAGCTGTGCCCGAGACTTGGTAACCTCCACGCGAGCGCACATTTGGGACGCCATGCGCGTGATATTCCGCACCTCAATGTCTTGCTCCTTTTGGCGTGCCTGACTATCCTCCAGAGATTTGCGATACTTGGGAACTTGATTCCTGTAGTGGTCTGTATGCGCCTCAAGTTGTGACATTTGATCAGCCAATTCATCCAGCTGAGGTGTGAGTCCAGCGAGCTTGCCCTCAAGCTCTTTGAGTTCTTTGTCCGCTGCAGTGAGCAGAAGCTTCCGTTCAAGCTGGGCTCTGTCGAGCTCTGCCCTCTCCTCTGATAGAGCTTGATAGGAGTTGTCGAGCGTTATTTGAGCCTGCTCACTCACTGCCAGGTTTTCAAGCAGACCACTCAACTTGCCATCATCCAGGACATCGACCTCATCGAGCTGCTCGGCAATCTTGCGCAATTCCGCTTCAGCACGAGAAATCTTGCGAACATTGCCTTTGCGCTGTGACTCGCAATCCGCAAGTTGCTTGGTCAAGTCGTTGAGCTCACGACGAAGTGTACGGGAGACATCTTCAGCCTCCATAAATTCAGCTTCCATGCGCTTCAAACGTTGCTTCTCTTGTTCAATCATGGCGGAACTCAATGTCGTCAGCCGAAATTGACCATTCCATTGATCCACTGGCGAACTGCTAGAAGAACCAGCAGCACCGCCGCCGATACGGAAACCCTTTCGTGGATTATCAGCCGAGATGGCATACGCACAGTGCGCATGAGCGGGTTTGCTTCGCCCGTTCATCAAGTCGTCTGCCTCGCGACGATCCTTGATGAGTAACTGATTACCCACGCTGTGACTAATGAGCAACCGGCGTTTGACACTCTCATTTGACCATTCAATGGCTCGCAAAATTGTCAAATACTTTGGGTCAGGCTCGTCGACTCGGAATGGGCTATCGTCTGTCGAGAAGACAATGGTCGATGAGCAATTCACACTTCGCATGAGGTTCTGGAGCTGCATTTTGTCCTTGTAAGTCTTCACATAGAATGAATTGAGATTCCTGCCAAAATAGTTCTCCACGATGTCGGCCCATTCGCGATACTTGAGCTTCATTGTCATTCCAAAGGGGCCAATGGGTTTATGAACCCACTTATTACGCTCAATGCCATCGAGAAGCTTTTGCATTCCGTCGGGATAGGCACGAACGCCGTCCTTCTGAGCCTCTTTTTGCTGGTTGATGTGCGCTTGCATCTTGAATGTGTCTTCCTTGAGTGACGCCGCGCGGCGGCTAGCATCGGCCAAAGCATGCTCCTTGCGCTCTCTGTTGCGAGCAATCTCCTCAGCTTCAGCTGCGATTGAGTCACCTAGAGCTCGCACGCTGGCGAGGTTGGTCTCAATCGTCCTCTTCTGCTCTTCAAGATGCTGTACACGTCTGCCAGCAGCATTGGTCGCTTGTGCTTCGCGTTCATCATCAACGGCCTTTTGACATTGAATGACATCGCGCTTTGCTCGCTTGATTTGATCCATCAAGTCGCGGTTATCACTAGCCAAGCGCAGCAATTCTTCCTTGCCAGCGTTAACTTCCTTGAGTATGGCAGCCTTGCGATCTCTAATTGGCTGCAATTCAACTCCTTCGATCTCGCTGCAACGAGCTCGGAGTGCAATCATCTGCGAGCGGATTTCCTCCAGCTTGATCTCGCCCTTGCCGACCTTTTCTTCGGCACGACGGAGCTTCTCTTCATACTCGGCAATTTCGCTGTTGTATGCATCTCGTGCTTCTTCTGCTTCAACGACCTGTGCCCATGCCATCTCATCCTTGATTGCATCAAGTTCTTCATTTGTTTTACGGGCACTCTCGGTGGTGGCAAACATCTTTTCTGCTGCGTCAACCTGCTCCTTGAGGGCAGCAACACCTGCTTCGCGCGTCTCCAAAATAGTCGTCGTAGTGGCAATTTGCTCGTTGAGCAGGTTGTGGTCTGCCTCAAGCTGTGACATGTCGATACCCTTCATGAAGAGCGCATAAAGCGTTGTCGGCGTGGACTGCGCAAGGAACTCTCGAGCGAAATCCTGAGATAAGATGTTCATAGGGTTGTCGATTTGCAAACCAAAGTGGTCGCAAAGCTGATCTAAATCTTCTTTGCGTGAGCCATATCGCGTGCCGCCAGATGACTTGAGGGCATAGGAGCCACTGCCGTCGAGTTTGAACTTTCTCTCGACGATGATGCGATCGCCATATTGTTTTGGCAAGAAAGCATCTTCGCCTTTATTGCGCATAACAATGATGATGGTCGCTTGAGAAGCACCATCGCGAACAAGTGACTTGACACTAGTTCCTCGTCCACTTGCAGCAGCTTTACCGCCGAGACAGACGGTGATGGCTGTCAATACTGCACTTTTGCCAGATCCGTTCATGCCCACGACAAAGTTCAGGTTCGGACCGAGTTCAATCTTGAAGTGCGCATGACACATAAAATCAAATAGCTCAATGCTTTCAATGGTTCCTGCTTCAGCGATCTTCGAGTGTTGAGAGCTTTGTGTTGTTGGAAGAATAACTTCTTCTTCCGCATCAATATCTTCGTCATCGTCGTCTTCATTCTCAGTCTCCTCTGGGGCGCTTTCGACGTCGTCCCCATCCTCTTGATTGTCGGCAGCTTCCTCGCCAACATATTTATTGCGACGGACGCGTTTGGTCTATTGTCAACATGCTACTCTTCTTGCAAGGAAGCAATACAGGAGGTGTCTCGTCGACATGTATTTCAAACTCTTCGTCGCCGCTGTCGTTACCACGCACCCGGCGGCCGGGCATGATGTTGAGGAACGGCTTGCTTGGTGTGTTTTTGTCTTGTCGCGACGTGAAATGCATTTTGGGTGGAAAGTTCGCGTCGCGAGGTGACTGGGCACGTGTAGAAGAGACTTTCACGGCAGAATTTGAAAAGTTGCCACTGCAGAAAGTATTCATACACTTCACGTACTAGCTGACTCTTCTTGTCTTATAGAAGGCTTAATTGCACTTGCTCAGTATCTTCTACACTCCAACTGCTGAATGAGGGCAATATGTCCCTTTCATGGCTCCCCCCGGTTGCTCTACAAGGCAAGCGCTGCTCGACTAGCTGCTGTGTCGAGGGCTCCAGCCAAGTCTCAAACAAACAGCATCCGCTCCATCATCGCTGCTCAAGCCAAAGTATTGCGGAGTGCAGAAAAGGCTGAAGACGAAGCTAATGCGGCACAAGACAGTTCAGCACACTTAAGGGGCCGACAAGAGCGTTTGTTAGAACAAATACGAGGCCTTGGGCCGATGCACATGGATGATCTCCTGAATGCTGCAGTCGCCCCAATGGAGAGAGGTCAGCAAGATCAAGAGTACATCGATGGAGAAGAGGTGTCTGAAACACTTGATGACGCTGAACAAGACGCTACCTTTGACGAACCAATAGAACGCTTGTCAAGCCAACAAGATGTCAACGTCGGCGACATTGTTGAGTATTGGCCTGATTCTGGCAAAAAGTATACGGCTGTTGTTATTCGTCTACCAAGGGCGGAAGCTGGGCAGGTCAATGTACGCCACGTTACAATTGACTCGCGCGGTTGCATCAACTATACCGAATCGAGGCGATATCTCATGGTTGTGCCGGGCTATGTGGACTCAAGTCACTTCTCTTGGATCACTGATGAGACATACTTTCTGCAAGGCGATCCCAGATTGAATGTGATTGCCAAGAAGGCTCACGAATTCATCCTGCAATCTGAAGCATTGCGCACAGATTATGCAGTTCGCCTCAACGGCTTGTACGACCTTTTGCCATCGATTGTTCGCTCGCAAGCCATGCCAGTGTCATGTGCTCAAGCTGCTCGTATCGCATTCGAAACGGACGACATTACACCCGTGCATATCCATGCCGTCCATGCCTGCATGATGCGCGACCGCATCCACTTCTTGCCAGATATCATTCGCAGTATCAGTGTGCCAATCTTCCGTACTCGCGATCCCAGACAGGTCGCTTGCATCACTCTCACAATCTCAGCCACGAGAATACGCGGTCCAGTATATCGCCATTTCATTGCACAAGCCAAGGCAATCGCAGCTTGGGGCGAGCAAGTTACAAAGGCGGATGGTCCCCTTACTGCTGTCGAAGCACCAGCGGAACTTGCGTGGGATTCTCTCTCATGGTCATACCTTTGGTTCCTACTGCAAGCAACGCTAGAGCGACCAGATATTGCGGAGGTCGAAATATACACTACGGCAGCGGCAATTATTGTCAAAGACATCGGTCTATTTCCAGACGAGCCGGCCACACGCGCAGTCATTCACAAGACGCTCAAAAAGCTGGGTATATTGGCGCCTTGGGATATCAGCATGAATCGTTCGCCATCTCTTGCCTTGCCTGGTCACGGAGCAAGTGCCACGGCAGATAAGCATCAAGCTCACCAAGACCAAATCTTCTCAGAGGGTCATTCAGACAAAGTCTTGCTCGCTAAATTGCGAATGTATGATATGCTGGCCGATTATCGCCATGATTTTGGCGAAATGCCGGTCTACACAATTGATAGCGAGACGGCACACGAACTAGACGACGGTATCTCCATTGATAATGACGGCTGGATGCACGTCCATATTGCGAATCCGGCAGCGTACTTTTCACCTGACAACGGAATTGCTTGCGTTGCCCGTGAGCGTGCTGCAACGCGATACCTCGATTACGATACCTATCCCATGCTGCCGCCAGCACTGACAATGAGGTTTTTCTCGCTTGCAAAACGGAAAAGGGGCACCCCCTGCATGACAACGTCCTTCAAGCTCAAAGACACTGGAGAGATCGATGAAATACTCGTACGGCCTAGTATCATCCGCAATGTCATTCGCACGTCGTACCGAGCTGTGGACAAAGTGCTTGGCAGTCAGCCTTCCATTTATGGCGAAATGAAGGTTATGAGTAGTCATTGGCGAGACGAGGACAGCCCGCAGTCCCCAACATCTGGTGTTCCCCAATCTGAACTGACAGACGAAGACGTTGAACGATTGAAGGCAATGTCCAATTATCTTCAACCTTCCCTAAGATACCGTATCTCGCAGGGCGCGATTGAATTTCCAGACAATGGACAGCAGCTTCGTCGTCTGGAGACGCAGCCAGCAGTTCTGCCAGGCCTGGAAGCATCCATCAAGAGGCCAACATTCTACTCTGGTAAACCTGGTATTCGCTACATGTTTGCGCGTCGTGATATCAACCACCCTGTTGGTATGTCTAAAGCTACTCGCCTCGTCACTGAAGCTGCCATTTTGGCAAACCACGCAACAGCCGTCTTTTGCAATCGGAACAATATTCCAGTCATGTACAGGGCAGCTGAATTTGCAATGCTGCCAGAGGAGCGAGAACACATTTTGTCTTTGCGAGACGAGAATGGTGTGTTGAAGCTCCTGGATCTCCTGGAATATCAAAATCTCTTTCGTCCAACACAAAACTCGCTTCAACCTAGACGTATGGACTATGTTGGCCTGCCAGCCTACATGACGATCACATCGCCACTCAGGCGATACGTTGATTTGTGTGGTCAATGGGCGCTCCTCAATTTTTTCACCGCGACTGATTTCAAGAAACCCATGAAATCACCCAGATACCCCAAGCCGCCCTTCGAGCTTGATTTGAAGGACATCCTCCCAGATCTTGAACGTACCATGCTTGCCATCAAGCGACGGAGTGTCCTGAGTGGTCAAAATGTCATGACACACTTACTGGAACAGAAATGGCTGGATGGCGAGCTTGCAGGTGCGTTCCATGCATATGTGCTGAAACCGCCACGAACGTCTGAACAGCTCTCGTACAGCGCTTCTGTACCGGCATGGGGGAATAGGAAAGTACTTGTCACTCGGAAAGCGACAGAGCCGCGGCTGATGGCTGGTGACTCGATTAAAGTGGAAGTGGAAGGCTTTGACCATTTTGACTTTAATGTCCATTGCAAACGTGTTGCTTGAAGCAGTACGCATCAGCATCTAAAAAGCATCGCTACGTTGTAGTCATTCAACTAGAAGCATCACAATTTAGCCTGACTCTGTGCAGAAGCGCGCTTAAGTATCCAAGCTTTACAGTCATCCACTACCTTTTGTCGGTCTGGTAGGATGTCGTTGTGAACTATTGTTAGCCAGGTCACTCAAGAAGAGAAAGTCGACTCACTCTCGTGATAAGCACCAGGATACTCGATGAATTGCTTGTCGCTACTGGCGATAGCCTTGTAGAAACGCTCTGTCGCGGGACAAGATGTAACGAGATCGCCAGATCCGTGAACAAGCAAGATTGGCGTCGTGAAGCGCTTGGTGTTGGCTTCATGGAGGAGTGTTTCGCCGCCGGAGAGCATGTCGCCGACGCCACGCAATGAGCCGTACGGCCTCAGCAACTCATCTGCTTCACCTTTAGCGATGAATTCTGGATCACGGGTACACTAGAGTCAGCTTTGCATACTGGGTCGCTTTCCATTCTTACATCCTTGACCGCGACGACGACGCTCATCTGCTTGTCTGGAAGGAACTTGGCGGCAAGCTTTCCTGCCTGCAACACCAAGAAATTGGGCTTTGCGCTCGGTGCTTGCTCAATGAGTGGCGCCGAAGAGATAGCGCCAGCCAAGAGGTGTCGGTGTTCGCCATCGAGACAGTACTTGAGCGTGAGTGCACCGCCCATGGAATGTCCCCACAAGTAGAGTGGCACGCCAGCCTGCTTCTTCGTCTTTACAAAGTAATCAATGTCTCGCAACTGCTGTGGCCATCCACCTGTAATACCTGCCGTCTCCTTTGTTGCTGAATGACCAAAGCCGCGCTGGCTGAAGGCGAAGACTTGGATGCCTGAGGCTGCAAGCTGTTCATAGACGTGCGCTGTGCGTTCTGCGTATTCCTGGAAGCCATGCACCCAGATCACAGTCGCGACGGGGTTGCCCGTTGGTTCCCAGGTCTTGGTCTCGAATTTGAACTGCTCGGCGGGGATCTCACTGTACTTCATGGTTGGTGTTGATGGTGGTCGTTGCAACGGTCTGAGTTCAATTTGTCGCACAGAGACGACGGCCAATGCTATTGGTCGAATAGGTGCTGGTAGAAGGGCTATGCTATAGACAAAAGGCTCCAAGTGACAATCGCTTGTAGGCTGGATGTACTGTCGGCCGCTAAAGACTTGCTATGAGACGGCACATCGTATTACACTTTCAGGGGTGTTGTCCACGTTCACCTGCCTCGCTGTGTCAAGCCTTCAGCATAGCAGTACTTTCCCTTGAGACTAAAGGCCCCTACCTGTGATGCGTCCATCCTACTACTTTTGAAAGTAGCCGTCACCTGTCTGACAATTGGCACATATGCCACTTCTTCAAGGCGTTTCAGCAAGCATCAAAAAGTGCCGAGTTGCACGCCTAGATATGCTTCTTTGTTGCTATGACCATGGCAGCGAGCTTCACCATTGGGATCACCGTCAGACGTCTCTCCCACGGAGTCTGACGGCCGGGGCTACCAAGACAAGAGAATCTCTTTCAGATGGCAAGAAAGACTCTGTTGTGATCGCAAGCCTTGCCTGACTGGCAGGTATTGCTGGTATCAAACAGCCATAGACTTGTAGCTGTCATATACTTGTATGCCTGTGCTATCTTGTCGTGATGGTGAGGTTTGCGATGACATTCGCAAATGACTGTGAAATGAGTTGCATTCTTGCACCTTCTTCAAGAGACCTTTGCTCGCTTTGCAGGCGACAAGTCCTGTTCTTGTTGCATCAGAAGTGCAGGGAATTCCGCTGATTTGCGCTTCACGCCTTTCTGTCTGTCGTGATTCGTAGACTTGGACAAGACATCTCTGTCATGATGGCTGTGCAGCGTCAGATTTTGCATCGTCATATCCATAGGCTCAGTCGGCCGTTGCTGCTCTACGTCCGATATAGCTGCAGGTCTTCGTGACGCGTCACACTCATCCCAGAGAATGTGATGCACGCACATCGGTGTCTTTCTTCTCGTCGCGTGGAGCTCGTCGTCTGCTGGCTCAATGACACGTCCGTTTCGTTGGACTGGTGTATTTTCATCAATCATAGCATCCTCACTCAGCTCTTCAACAATGACACTGCTCTCCTGTGCCATGCAAGTAGCCGTGCCGCCGTGTAGCCTTCGTGTGCGTCGACATGGAATTTTATTACACCGCGTCTCCATGAAATACTTTAGAAAACTAAAACTATTCGCCAGCGCTACAAACATAAGGAGATACAAAGGAGAAGACTTGTCATGTGCAATGCCATTTCCTAGACACGTAGCAAGGTCTGCCTCGGAAAGGTAGATTGTAAGACCGCGCAGACATAGCGTTCGGGTTTGGTTGAGTGCGTCCCGCGACTACTACTCGGCCTGTGCGTCACGACCGGTCTCCTAACCACTGAAGTGGTCGATATCATGGGTGGACCTGTTTGACTCCCACTTGACGAACCACGTCCACCCTTCTGCGACCGTGTGGAAGCAATAGAAAAAGTCGAAATTGCCCTCGTCGGTGCACCAGGCCGTGCCACACTGCGTTGCCGCGCAAGCTGTCGTGAGGAAGCCGCTGTTCTGTTCCAGAAATCACTCGCTACCGTACCCGAACGACTACTACCGCTTGTTCCCGACTGAGAAGATGAGACGGCACCACGTACTCGTCCTGCGAACGTCCGTTGTTTCAAGGCACCTTCTGCCGTTGCTTCAAATAGTTCGTACGCTTGCTGGACTGTTGTTCGCATTTTCATACGTCGCGGAGCCCAGATATGAAGAGGTTCTCTGCGAGATTCAAGGGGTTCAGCAATTCCTGATGCTTTTTGAATACAATCGAGCCATTGTACGCATTGCAGCGCACCTTGTGGGACGGCAATGAGGAATTGATCGCGATCGCAACGTACACGGAGGACGTTGGGTCGTTTACGGTAATCAGACGCAATACCTGCGACGGCACCGCGTAGTGAGTAGACGTGTGCGCGTTGCCATGTAGAAAGATCGACCTCACCATTCAATGTATGCGAGAGAGCTGGTGCACTACCAGACCGATGTCTAGGTATTGGTACCTCACCATCAGAGGAGATTGCTTCGAGTGGCAATGAGTTGGCTCGTTTGGGCACGGTCGTCGCATGACGTTGTGTATCGCCTGCTTGTGTCGCTTTGGGTATTTCCAGCGTCATGCCTGGTTTTGGCTTATACACTTCCAAGATCGTTCCACGCAAAACAAGATGAACAGCTTGCCAGGAACGTCGGAAGGGGACATGTAGCTTGTCCGACTCTGCATCGAGTGTATTTTCCAGCTTTCTGTAGACGGTACCTGTGAAATGGACTGAACAGGTGTACGCTGGTGGCAGCGCCGTTTCTGGATCATCGAGGGCTTCTTGGAGTGATAGGCGTCGTGCGGTTTCTACAAGAATGGAGTCTTGTGAGCTAATGGAGCTGGATGAAGCGGCGCTCGTGTCGTCCGCGTATGCCGGCAGATGAATTGCGCTCATGTGGCCCTTCGCTGTTGAGTGAATCGGCTGAAGTTGAGCTCTGATGGAAGAAGTCTAGTACTGACAATAGGAGGACTGAGGCATAGCACGGAGGAGATGATGGAAGCAGCTGAAGATCTGAGGAGACAGTTGGTTGCGGGATTCAAAAAAGATTGGATTTTGCAAGAGATTCGATGACTTCACCGGCCAGCGGAGCATGGAAACACCGGAAACAAGGAGCAAGCAAGGCCCAAACCCGTAAGTCGAGCATGGGCCTCCAGAGCGAGACATGTGGACGAGGCCCAACCAGTAGCATAAGGCTAGTCCATATACAGAGCAAGGCCTCTTAGTAGAAACAACCACTATAAGAACTTCAGCATATATCGATCTATGCTGTCAGCCTGTTACGTACGTGGATCTGCCGTTTCAGGCGCGGGTGATCTGCCTGTCAATCTGCCGATCATTGTGGGCAGGTTCCCACGTAATTGCAATTGCAGCATTGAATTGTTGCAGTAGCATGGGAGCTAATATGCTTATATATTGTTCAGGGGTTTAGGGGATGGCATTCATGGTCATATCTCATGCGCATGGTCTTCTACCTCTCAGGCCTTTGCAGCAGGTGCGTCTTGCTTGAGCAAACGCTCAATGTCCGCTTCAATGGACTCTGGCTTTGTCAATGACGAGTATCGCGCAACAGGCTCGCCTTGTTTGTCCACCAGGAACTTCTCAAAGTTCCACTTGATGCGCGTCATGCCCAAGAGCCCCGGACGAGCATCTTTCAGGAGCTGGAAGACGGGGTGAACATGGTCGCCGTTCACTGTGGAGAATTAGCATCATGCGCACGACTCAATTGAGAAAACTAACCCTCAACCTTGTTCATGACTGGGAAGGAGACGCCGTAATTGACTTGGCAGAAGCTGGTGATTTCATCGTTCGATTTGGGGTCTTGTCCACCAAATTGGTTGCAAGGAAAGCCGACAACCATGAGTCCTTGATCCTTGTATTTTTGATATACCTTCTCCAATCCCTCGAATTGCTGCAGACGGTCAGCATACCTTCTCTGCTGCTTCAAATAGAGCGACTCACCGGTGTGAAACCACATGCGCTGGCGGTATTGACAATCAAGACGACCTTACCCTTTGTGTCGCTAAAGTCAAATTGGCCCTTCTTCCAGTCGGCTTTGAGGTCATAGAGCTTTGTTGCAGATGCCATGACGGAACTATAGAGTCTTCGCTGTAGGAACGACGTGATTGCAATCTGTAGCAATAGAGGGGTGCGCTGGTCTTAAACGTTTTCCTAAAATCAGAAATGACGCCGAGGTCTCAGATCCTGACAGCAGAATGGCCCCGACCGTCACATATATTTGTTCTGTCTAAAACTTGCTCTTGGTCTGTGCATGCTCCACAGCGTCACGTAGCGTCTTGACAGCCTCGCTTGCGTCATCCGCCTTGAAGATACCTGTGCCAGCAACAATCACGTTCGCACCTGCTTCAGCCGCCTCGCCAATTGTCGAAGCAGACAACCCACCGTCCACTTGGATATGCTTGCCCGGATACTTCCTCCTGAGTGCATTCACCTTGGGCATCATATCACGCATAAATTTCTGTCCGCCAAAGCCCGGCTCAACCGTCATTACGAGAATCATATCGAGATCCTCAGCAAAGGCATCGACCACCTCAGCTGGCGTATCCGGTTTCAACGCACAGGCAACGTTCATGCCTGCATCTTTTACTTGCTTGATGATCTTGGCATGTTGTCCCTCGGGGATCGCTTCATAGTGGAAGGTATAGGAATCTGCGCCGTTTTTGGCCATGAGGTCAATCCATTTCGCTGGATCTGAGACCATCATGTGGATATCCAGGACAGCTTTACCCTTGGGAATAGCATGCCGGATGTTTGCAACATCAAAGAAGGACAGGTTGGGGACGAAATGGCCGTCCATGATGTCAATGTGGAGCCAGTCGGCGCCTGCGTCTAGGACACGGCCGCATTCGCACCTGGAAGTCAGTTTTGTGATGGGTAAAGGATGAGACTCGCTTACCTGAGGTTGCCTGCGTCTGCAGCTAGGAGTGAGGGTGCAATGATGGCTTCGACCATGATGATGCTTGTAGTGTGCGTAGTTGTCCAGTAAAGTGACTCTTGAGCGTGGGAATGTCCCATCTGAAGCAAACCGCACAAGAACTTCACTGCCGCGTCCCTGCCTCTCTTCCCTCTTCTCCCATCAAAAAGCCAAGGTCGAAGCCACGGTTCAGGCTCTTCTTCGTGGGCCTGAATCGCCAATGGGTGCAAAAGTACCTCGTGTACGCACCTCCGGCCGAGAGGGGAATTTAACACTTCAAGCAAAGGAAGCAGCTTGTCTCTGCATGTGAACGAGTCGCAATGATGGTTCACAGCGCATGGCAATGTTGGGTCGACGCGACGAGGACATTTCTTTCTTTACTTGTATCTCTGTATTACCGGTGGATTCATTAAGGTTGTCTTGTACAGTCTATTGCTAAAAGTGTCATGCCTTTGCCTTCTTCATGTCTTGCATCTCCAGCTCTGTTGTTTCCTGAAGACTCCGACGTCCAGCCTGTAGACTCCGTCGTCCACCTTGCATGCTCGTCCGTGATGCACCCATCCCTTCCTGCTGTAACGCTTGAAGACCCACCTGTGCCTCTTCGTCGGCTTCTTCGTCTTCCTCCACAAACTCATGCAAGACCTCCATCGCTGTATCTTCGTCGCCTTCCGCCCTTCCAAACGTCATGGGCTTGAGTTCCTGTCGCATACACACCCACTCACCGCCAAAGACCAACAACGCACTCGTCACAAGCCACAACAACCACCAAGATGCACTCCACGGAAACGCCCCTGTTTGTAGCCAACTAAAGAGCAACGTAAACGCTTGCGTTGTCAATGCAAAATCAAGCACGAGTTTTGATCGTTGAACAATACGGCCGATTGCAGGGATCGTCGCAGCGGCTGCAGCGAGGTGCGCTAAACCGAATCGCAAGGCATAAGGTTCGATTTGCCATGAACAAAAGCGCCAGTCCCAGACGCGCGCTAGCGGTCGAATAGGTGCGCGTGAAAGAAGACAAAGGCACGTGTAGGAGAGGAAGAGAAGGGCTGAGTGTGTTGTGAGGAGGGCGAGGAGTGTAAGGAGGGTGGTTGCTGGATCGCGTGCATGGCCTGCCATGACTTTTTGCAAGTGCTTTTTGTGTCTCGCCTCCTCTTTTCGAGGTCTATTGGCAAGTCAATGGATGTGTGGGTGCCAAGCGCTGTGAGTGTTTGCTTGTACGCGCTGATTACATTTTTTTTGACATTCCATTTCGTCGCTCATGAATTGACTAGACTACCAGCTCTATCGCTCATACACCAAGTCACCCGTCGTCTGCTCCCAAAATTCACGGATAACCTTCTCCTGGTCCGCTCTACTCGGTGATCCTCTCACAGCCAAAATCTTACGATCACACAATCCAGGTTCTTTGACTTCATCAGCTTTATTCGCCGTTGTCATGAGCCCACCGGCTTCCGTCAAGATGACCCAGCCAGCGCAAATATCCCATTCCCACATACCGCCTTCCACGTACATATCCATACTTCCTTGAGCAACACTACATAAATTCAATGCAGCAGAGCCGAGAGAACGTAGAGAATGCACCATACCACCGTGTTGCCTGGCCAAGTTGAAGTATGTATCTGACTTGATTTTGAGATTGCCATCTTCAGCCCGATCACTTCCCCATTCAACAGCCACGACACATTGTCCGAGACTGTTGATCTCAGGGGGTGGACCATTGAGTGGTAGTCGTTGGCCATTGAGGAAGGAACCGTGATTGCGGATACCGGTGTACATGTGATCCAGGAAAGGATTGTATACTACACCAACAGTAGGGACTTGTTTGATGGTGAAACCAATAGAGACAGCGACAAAGGGGAACCCATGGATGAAATTGGTTGTACCGTCAATTGGATCTACAATCCATGTAGGCGCATCATCCAGTACAGAGCCTTTCCCTGCCGGTGCGCTCGAATACGTCTCTTCCCCAATGAACTTGTGGTCTGGGTATGCCTCCTTGATAGCTTGTATAACGAACTTTTCTACAGCCACATCCACTTCAGTAACGAGATCTACAGAGTTCTTCTTTTCTGCGTGGGATTGCTTTTGAGAGGAGCGTGCAGAGGTGATCATCTTGCCAGCATCTCGAGCGAGCTGAACAGCAAAGTCATGGAGCTTTTGAAGATCTATGCCTGACATCTTTGAGGGCAGCTATATTAATAGTAGTTCTGGTTGCAGTCAGATGCAGTAGTCATGGTCGAGTGCTCGAGTGGCGGTTCTGGCTCAGGGTTAGGGACTTCTTGCTTGCTTTCCATCTGAAATGTTTCCCCTTAGATGCGTACATAGAAGTGCTATCCTCCGCTGGTAGCTTCCGTTTTCAATGCCCAAGGGCTATAATAGTGACAGTGACGCTATAGCTGCTAGAGCAGAGATCAAGCTAGAAAGTGCCTTGACTACAAGAATTGAAATCGTCGTGTTCTACTCACGAGAGACGCAACAAGCGCAGCACTGCGCGCAAGAGGCTTGAAATGATAGCAGTGATTATGACACCAGTGCCAGCGGGCCCTTCAGCTACGTCTGACGATATTGCAATATCAGATGTGCCTGAGGCCTCTACAATGTCGAGAGCAGAGGGCAATATTGCCGAAGCTGTGATTCAAGAGAACAGTGTCCCTGCTACCGATAATAATGGCATCACCGCTTTGGACAAATCTGCTTCCATATGCATAAATGGATCTATGGATGGCATCTCAGATAAAGACATCAGTGCTCCTCCTGCACTTCAGGCTGTCCAATATTCGTGATAGAAATGCTAGGCAGCAATAACATTGGCAGGCGCTCTCCAATCTCTCTTCCAATGCTGTGAATGCACGAACTGGATCCTCAGCGTCTTATATGACAGCGCCAAACACCCTGCCATCGCAATCAACCTACACCAGCACCCTCGATCGGCAAGCAATGGTCAATCAGCTTGGGTTCCCAGACATGCCTTCATCAGATCCATTGCCAGTGCTTGATGATTCACGGCCGAGTCAAGCGATGAACGCGAGCAACCAGTCTCAGCAATCTCTGCGTCCAGCCCAATCTCTCCCGTCTGCTCTGCTGCTCTGAGGCGATTGACACGTCGTCCAAATGATAATGATTCCCAGAAACTGCAATCGACCATGTTACAGGGTGATTACCAGCTTCCCTGCCAAAGCTTCAGCCCGACGCTTGCTCGCGTTCATCTCTCGGCTAGGCCATTAAACATCAAGCACTGACAATGCATCTGATGAAAGCATGTCTGGGTACCCGAGTTGTTTAACCATTGCTTGTGGATCAAGGCTGCTTGTTTGGGAAGATTGCGTTGGCAGGGTGTTTGACGCTATCATATAAGATGCCGAGGATTCCGTCCGTGCATTTACAGCATTGGAAGAGAGGTTGGTGGATCAAGGACAGCAAAGCCCAGGTAAAAGATGAATTTTGGTCCTACGCAGCATAGATGATTCTTAGACGTCACAATTAAAATTGCTCGGCTGGTATCAAAGAGCGTATATACGCTTGGAATTTTCTTGAGACACTACCAGCGACTCCTCTGTCCTCTTACTAGAGCAGCACTCCCTTCCTCCCGCCCCTCCGCTGTGACATCATTTTTTCTTCGCCGCTTGTGCCTTCAGGTCGTGTGCCACCGTCACATCGTCGCTCGACATCTTCTACTAGCTCTAGAGGCTACGGCGCATCATGGTCGCAACGGGCGCAAAGCCCTGGACTCTACCAGAGTATGCAGGTCCTCACAAGGTCGGCACGCGACTGCTGGAAGTCCCAGTAGATGAAAGACACCGCATCACACTACCCTTCTGCCCACAGCTGCGCACCTTAAAGCTGCGCATCTTTTATCCAACAGCAGACACGGCTGCGTGTGAAACGAGCGACTCTTCGCGACCTTTGTGGGCGACAAAGGAACAGATTGCTGGATTTGCGACATTTGCAGGATTACCCGGTGGTGCAACATTCTTACACGCGCCACTCTCGTACCTGCTCTCTGATATCAAGACACCTGCATATACGGATGCGCCGCTCCTGTCATCAGAGCATAAACGGCCATTCATTGTGTTCAGTCCCGGCTTGGGCGGTACGGATCAATTGTACAGCGCCATGTGCGGCAACCTCGCTTCATTCGGGTTGATTGTGTTTGCTATGGAACATCGCGATCATTCAGCCAGTTCTACAATCATCAGAGAAGTTGGAAGGCCAGATGAGCATGTATCATACTACTCACCAGTCAAGCAGGAATTGCTGGAGAACAGGCAGCGCAGCACGTACATGCTGGCGCATCGTTGCTTTGAATTGAGACTACTTGTTGATCTGCTACGAAGAGGCGCAATTATGGAGCAGGACTCTTTGGACTGGGACAAGTTCACACTCATGGGTCATTCGTTCGGTGGTGCGACACTCATTCAAGCACTCGATATCAGTTCACAGCCATTGCTTGACTTACAAGGCAATGAGATCCACTTGCCCTCTAACGATTTAGACTTGCAAGCATTGCCAAAAGTTGCCATTGCACTTGACCTCTGGACACAACCTCTGCCGTCGCATGTGGATGTACGCGTCCCCCTTCTCCATCTCGTTTCTGAAGAATTTGCCGCATGGCCCAGCAATCACGACAGGTTGCTCGATTACTGCACTGTCTTTGAAGCAGCTCGCAAAGTCTGTGACAGTTCACTCGACGACATCGAAGAGACCGTTTCTGAGGGTGTGAATGCAGAGATGGAGTACATTGTCATCAAGGACTCCCTTCATCTCTCACAATCTGATGCAGGATTGTTGTTTCCACGACTGGTCACACTACTAGCACGGAAAGGACGCTCTCCTCGTCGTGTGTTGCTGGACAATGTGCATCAAGCATTGATATTCTTGGATCGATATGGTGTATTGGTGTATGACGACGCATTGGCGCAGTACAGCAGTAGTCAGCCAGTCACGCCATCCGGGTCTCCTCGAACTAGTTTGGAACAAGCGAAGGATGTTGCGGGTCTTAAGCAGGATACGATGGAGGCATCGAATAGTTGGTGGAATTGGTTGGCGTCTGCTCCTACGCAATCCATCAAGACACGACTATCAGTCTCTGCGTGAATTGCATAGGGGTAATGATCTTTTTTTGAGAGTTACAGAAGGGAGCGCATGGCACGAGATCGATTTCACTTAGCAAAGCGTAGCATTTAGCTTGTTCAAGCAAGTTTGCATATCTACCGTCAGTGGATCACACTGGTATGGTTTGTCTATGACTCTATGTACATAACAGTCCGTCGGACAAGTGTGGCGAGTGGTGATTCACTGACGACACATGTGATTCCTTGAGACACTCAACCAGCTGATCTTCCGGTCTGTCGGAGCCATGCTGGTCTGCATGGTCCGTCATTTCGCATGCTTGCAGCTCCTCATCAGAAACAAGGGGTCGACCCCTCTTGTCGGCTGCCATAAATCTGACCAGATGGCACGTCATAATCCTCAGGCGCACGCATGTCATGGTGTCGGCAAGAGTGCGTGCGCGTGCGTATACACGCGCATGTAGATCAACCGCACTGGTTCTAGCCTGTAGATATGGTTGCACAAGTTGATCATTGCGAGGAGTGCTGCAGGTGTCTTGTGATGACACTGATGAGTCGCGCAGTAGCGGACGTGCATGCAGCAGTCAAGCTCATTTACCACATCTTAGTTTTGATTAAGAACATGGTCGCCATCGCTGTATGAGACAGGCTCATGACTCATGATCGTGGATCTTTACAAGGCCACAATCTCCTCATTGCCAATCTCCTCATCGCGTCCTCAGATGTCGGTGCTCTTACGAGTTTTATCAACGTGCAGGCGGAGCCCAGATGTTGTGATGCATCAATCTGCGTCAAAGATGAGGAGATACACAGCATCACATGACAATAGACCCATGCACGAAGAATGATACCTAACGATGGGAGAGGGTCGCCCGTGGATGAAGCGAATTTGTGGCATCTGAATGATCTAGGTGCTCATGACATCACGAGAAGGCGACAAACCAAATACTCGCGAAACAAGCCAGCATCTTGCTACGACACGACATCATGCTTGCCTCAAAAGCCCTTCAACTCACGCGCCCGAGCATACGATCAGTACTGCTATGCAAGCGCACTATGGCAGGTACGCCACCCAAGACACAGGAAGGCCAGGATGATGGCAATCCGTCAAGTTACAACATCCCACCAAAGGAGTCGATGACTGATGAGCCATTGCCCAAGTCGCAGAACGAGCACCCTGGTCCAATCCACAAGGAGGGCGAGGAGAAGAAGAAAAAGTGAACTAGGCAGTATTATGATGATGGTGTAACATGAATGGAGGGGTGAGTGTCGATGTGTATTAAAGGTTATATCTACAAGACAAAGACGCGCTCGCCATTCGCCGCTCTGACAATCTGAAGCATGTGTTTTTGTGAATCGTGCTCCGCAACTTGCTGCAGTCTTTGCACAAGCCGGTCCTCTCGAAGCTGACTATCGGCTTCCTCAAAGTGCTGTCGCAATCGAGTAGGCCCGTCCCTGTCCTCATCAAGCTCCTCGTCTTCATCAAAAAAGGAATCAGAGCAAGCACTCTCCTCTGTCATCATCGACTTGTATGTCGCATAACTCAAGAGTGACTCTGCATTCGTGATGGTCCGTTGCAGTCCCGGTCGCTCCTCTCGCACTTCCGGCTCAGTGACAATACCGCGGAAATCCTTCGTTCGTGACATATCATGGCCAAGGATACCAAGACCAAGACCTTGATCTGGTGCAGAGCCTTCGTAGCTGTGCTGTGCCGCTTCCCAAGCAGCGACAGCCACACGACCATCGAGTCCAGGCCCACGGGATTTGTGAGTGCCACCAAGTTGTTGAAGGTTGGAGAAGCTCAGAGGTGTGACACCACCGATGGGTTCGGTCCTGCAAACGCGAGGCGTTTGCTCAGTCTCAGACGGGCTAAACAGACGTTGACGGAAGAGGTGTTCTGGCGTGGGCGTCTTGGTGAAGGCATTCGGCGAGGCTCCTGGGATGCTCTCGTGGGAGCGACGAAAGACATTGCGCATAGAGAACTTGGAGGAGCGACGAGAGCGACTTGCTTCATTGGGGAAGGACGGGAGGGCTTCGTCTGAAGCAGTCGAGCGGTCTTCGATGGTAGAGACAATAGACTGTCTGACACTGCGACGACAAAGTGTGTCGTAAAAAGCAGCGTCAAACTCCTGGAAAGTGGCTTCAGCGAACTGAACATCAAAGTCCCGTGAGCTGATCAGACGCATGAGACGGTTGACCTGTTCCTGCCGCACATCTGCTCGGAGCTCAAAGTCACGCGCCCAGTCTCCAGTCAGACCAGCTGCTTGGAGAGAGTGCACGTCGGAAGAAGATTGTAGAAGAGCATGACAAAACTCGAGCTTGGAACCGTACGCTAGCTCTTCCCATTTGGCCGGACTCATGTTGAATGATTCGGCAAATTTGTAGTTGCCGACATAGAGGTAAGCATCTTCCTTGCTGAGAAAGACAGGAATGCTTTCATCTAGTGGGAACTGTTCAATGACCATGACGCCGCCACCAGTGCCAGGCATGAATAAGGGTTGTTGGCCTGATTCGATGCAGGCGTAGCAGGGACGAGTCTCCAGGAATGCCTCGACTTGGTCGTCTTGCAACGCATGCTGCTTAGCTGTGCGTCGTTCACGCCAAGTGGCAGGATGGAAGAGGGGCGACATATCGAGCTTTGGTGTCGCTAGTGATGGGAACACACTGGATCCCGGCATGCTGATACTGGTCACAGACTGTTTCCGTGAGTGTCGCTGACTCGGGGCCGCAGTATTGCTTCCACGAGTGTGCGCCAGAGAAGTACGGCGCGATGAACCACCCAATATAGGAGTCCGCCATGTCGCGGGATCATCTGGTAGCGGCGTTTGAGCGACGTAATTCTCTACCATACGCGAGCCAGTGCCACCCAGAGTATTTTGAAGGAACCGCCTGCTGAACTCATGTGTCGCTGTGCAAATATCCGTCGTCTGGGTCTGCTTTGGCGACACCATCCTCCGTTGGGCACTTTCGCCGGGTCGTCAACAAGAGCTAGGGCGCGAACGAGACACAAGAACCGTCTGTCGGTGAAGAGGGCTGGTCTGTTGTGATGGGCTACCAGGATGTCTACCTGAGTAGCGGGCCCGGTTGGTTTTGTTGCTCCTGAAACACAAAGCTCTTGATCGGATGCCCAGTGGCATGTGCTTTGATGATGCGACATTTCTCGTCTTCCACGCGAATGACAGCGAGTGCCCATCTGGCAACTGCCCAGTGCCCAGTGCCCATGCGCAGGAGACATGCGCCCCGATCTTCGCCTCACGTTGGATGCCGGGGCCAAGTTTGGCGGGCCATGGTAAAGCGGCCCCCTGCAGCCTTGCAAGGCGGGTTGCCCGACAAGAATGCGAAGATCTGCCACCACCACTGTCCACCAGAGCAAACTCTGGGAAACGCGTTAAACGTTTTTGGTGGGTCCCGCTGGGCGTGCGGTCCGTGCAGTGACACGTAGCGTATCATTGCGTCTCATACCATGATTACCACGGCCACGACGCCGACGGCAGTGCGAGGGAAGAGCGGCTTTTGGCAGACACGTGGAGCTGTCAAAGGGAGCCCTTGGTGCGATTTGACTGGGCCGCCCTTTGCTGCCTGGTTCGTTCGTGCCCTCGTTGTGGTGGTTGCCACTGGTTGGGCTCCGCAACGTGGCGAGAAGGATTTTCCTCGAGTGGCCGAATATCACCTGCGAAGGATAGCCGAAGTGAACATAATCATGCTGTAGCCTGTATGAGCCTGTATCTACAGATCCTACACAAACTGCGCAATCTGGGTAGGACTTCATCGGAAAATAGTATTAGACTGCTTCTATAAGTCAGTCGACGGACCACAGGGCGTGACTCTACGTTCATAGCTACACCCCGCAGATCGACGAATCATGACACGCTTCACCATGAAGTGGAATTGTTGATGCACCGCGATGACCGATTCCAGATACATTCTTCCACGATGCGAACAAAGTGTCCGCATTTCACGAGCGTTTGCGGTCATCTCGACGATCTGACTCGCGTCTTGGCTCTTGACTCTTGAATAATCAATCTTCAGTTTCTGACACTGAAGAACTAAAGGACCGTCCTGTGCGTGCCTGATCTGGCTCGCGTGGAACCGATGAGACTTTGCTTCTCGATCAGATAGTGGTAACTTGGATCATAGACGGAGAAATTGCAACAGTGATTTCGGCTGTCCTTCGTACGTCAGAGTCGTAGCTCAGAGGTGGAGACCAACAGTGTAGCCATGTTGTACACGCTACACTCTATGCTTTAACCCAGTGGTATTGTTTTCCTCGGATAGGCAACATAAGTCTCGTCATGCGACTTATGCCTCATCAATTACGAAGGGTGAAGCGGTAGGAAACCGCTGTAGCGTGGCTGGCCCACGGGTAGTGTCCCGCTGGCAAGTTAGACCCATTATCTTTTTGACTTAGCAGCGGGAGACGGCGTAGTGGTCCAATCTGGTTACCATGGCGCCCGAAACGAAGCGTACGATTCATCCATAATAGTCAGCGCACAGTACCTGCTCCGAATAAGTGTCTGATCAACCAATATGTGACTGGTATTTTCGACCCCGCAACTCGCACGCCAATTGACGGCCGCGATGAGCGAAGGAGCGAAGGCGACATTACACACGGTACCCAGCCAGGTTGACCGTTCGCACAAGGCATCTTGTCGCACTTTGAGGAATATTATGTCTACGGTAGCAAGCTTGACCTATGTCACAGCAAAGACGACCGACGGTAAAAAGCATTGGGTCGAGGGCGGCGTGACAGAGGGTAGGAGTAACTTTACCGAAGAGAATCACCGCCTCACGATTCATGACCTCTCCGATCCTGCTACAGAACTCAAACCATCTCTCGATGTCAATGGATTCGAAGTTGTTTCTCATGCAGCTGTTGAAAAGGACTTTTTGAACGAAGAAGCCATCAAATCAGGCTACTACAAGGAGATGGAAGAGTTTCTCAAGGGACACACTGGCGCATCTCGCATATTTCTCTTTGATCACACAATCAGGAAGCCAAATACTCTCCGTGGCCCGTACCCTCGCGTGCACGTCGACCAAACTACCAAGGCAGCTTACAAACGTGTCGAGAAGCACCTGCCGGAGCTGGCGTCAAGTCTGATTCAGAAACGCTTCCAGATCATCAACATGTGGCGACCAATTGAGAACCCAGCATACAAGCATCCGCTTGCCTTTGCCGACTTCAGCTCCGTGGATGTCAAGCAAGATTCATTCGCCACGGATCGCATTGACCTCGACAATCCGGGCGTTGAACCGGGTGAAACGGTTGCTTTAGCGTACAACGAAGCGCACAGATGGTACTATCACAAGGATCTTGCGACAGACCAAGTTGTTCTGATCAAGTGCTTTGACAGTGATGGAACAGTTGCCACTTTTTCGCCTCACACAGCATTTGTTGATGACCAGTCTGATCCAAGCAAACCTGAGCGACAGAGTATCGAGCTACGCGCTCTTGTCTTTTACGATTAAAGCCCCATACATACCGATGTATAAGCTAGCCAGCAATTGCAATTTCTTCATGGGCTATCTCTTTTCGCTGGCCATCTGAAATTTTGGCGGTCAAGCAACGGTCAAAGAGCGTCCCTGAAACCAGCAGAAAGCAGCTTGACAAGGTCGCCTGACCGTTGGTATGAAACTGGCTTACCAGGTCAGAAAAATCCTTCTGCTCAGCTGTCCTTTGTCATCCCTGTTTCGTCCACTGCGCATGGACTAGTGTCCTGAGTATATCTTCAAGGCACAGCCCCTCCAACCTCGCAGAGTCTGAGCTTCAACTTGCCATCATGAGAGTCACCGCTTTACTGTTAGGCTCGGTACTGGTATATTCACCATCTGTGCCATGGCCAAGCTAACACAAGGCTCTTCCTCGTCCAGAAGAACAGCAGTCTGGGATTGAGCTAGCAAGACGGCAACAGAATCCTTTGCTCCTCATCAAGAATCTTGTTCAAAGGTACATGCATCGTCTTACTGGGCCTCACTAATTTGCTAGCAACTCTGCAAAGAATGGCCTAACTAGGGCAAGTGTTGGTCAAGCTGCCTCTCAGACATCCAACGACAATTTCATCAACGAATGTCAAGGAAGTGCTCTGACGAACGGTGTTCAGGCCAAGTCTGGCAGCTGTAATGGCATTACCATGGGCAATATCCCAAGCGTTCAAAACATGGTCAGCACAATCATCACAAACCCTGCTCCTGGTGCTGTACTCGCCGCCAATCAGCCCTTCAATGTTGTTGCCAAAGTTGCCAATTTGCAGACTGGCTCTTTCACCAATCCTGACACGACGTACTACGCAGCACCTCAGCAGTTGAATGCACAAGGCGAGATCATTGGCCATACACACGTCACCATTCAAAATCTTGGAACGGACATGACGCCAGACCAGCCCCTGGATGCGCAAAAGTTTGCCTTCTTCAAGGGTATTGATGAAGCTGCTGTCAATGGCCAAGTGACTGCTGCAGTGACAGACGGCTTGCCGGCTGGCAACTATCGTGTCTGCACCATGTCGAGTGCGTCGAATCACCAAGCTGTCAATATGCCTGTCGCGCAACGCGGAGCTCAAGATGATTGCGTTCGCTTCCAAGTATCCGGCAATGCAAATGCGGTGAATGCCAACGTCAATGCTAATGTCAACGCCAACGCCAATGTCAACAACAACAATAACAATAGGGTCACTGCGAATGTCAATGCAGCCCCAAATTTGGCCAGCAAAGCTGTTCAATCTGTCAACAGGCAGAACCAACAGTTGGCTCAGCAATTGAGCGTCGTGGATGCTCCCACCAACAGGGCGACTAGCTCCGTCTTACAAACGGGCACTACTGCCCTTTTCCAGAGACTGCAGTCCCTTTTGGGTGGGTTCAAGGTCAAGAGACAAGCACCGGGGATTGCCGATAATGCTGCTTTGCAACTGCTCACGTCATTCCTTGGATCTCAAACGCCTGGCAATACCGCAGTCGATGCTGCACGAAGTCTCGCCGTTCAAGAGAAGACAGCTGGCAATCAAGCTACTGGACCCCGTGGATTCAAGCTTGTATCCAATGGCGCACAGCAAATTCAACAGCCTCAAGCTCAGCAGCTCGTTGTATCTGCCACATCGCCCACTCAAGCCACGAGTACAACTCAAAACTTGGTAGTGAGTGCACTGGCACAGAATGTCAATGCTGCAGAAGGCGCTGCTGTAGCCTCAACCTCAATCAATGACGTGCAACGAGCGACGGAGACTCAGCAAGCTTTGGCAAATGCTGCCAATAGTTCTACGGAGCAAAAGGCAACACAAGGCAACGGCAAAGCGATCAAGCAGCAAAAGAACAACAACAACAACAACAACGCGGGCCAGCAGCAAGGCATTGTCGCAGCTCAGCAAGCCGCCGCTCAACAACTCGCTGTCAATCAGAACGTCAATGCTGCTCAGCAGAGCGCTGTTGCCAATCAGAATGCAGCTCAGCAGACGGGCGACATCACTGCAGAGCAAGCCGCTCAGCTCGTCAGCCTATTGACACAAGTTCTTGCCAACAACAATGCGCAGAACGGCAATGGCAATGGTAATGGTAATGGCAATGGTATCAATGGCTCTCAGCAGCAGCTGTCCCGAGCTCAGCAACAGCAACTCCGGAACCAGCAGCAGCAGCAAGAGCAGCAGCGAAATGCCCAGTTGCAAGCTCTTGCTCAGGATGCCGCCGGCAACAACAACAATCAGCAGCAGCAGCAGCAGCAGCAGCAGCAGCAGCAGCAGCAGCAGCAGCAGCAACAGCAGCAACAGCAACAGCAACAGCAGCAGCAGCAGCAGCAGCAGCAACAGCAACAGAATGTTCAAGTGCAAGCGCTTGCTCAGAATGCCGCTGACAACAACAATCAGCAGCAACAGCAGCAGCAGCAGCAGCGACAGCTACAGCAGGTTCGCTTGAACAATGCTGCCAATATCAATATAAATGCTGCAGCTCAGCAGAACGGACAAGGCTCTGTGCGAAACGTTAACGCTGCCGGCAAGATCAATCAGCAGCGAAATGTCCAGAACAACCAAGTCTTGGTGGCACAACCTGCCGCTGGCTTGAATCGCAATGTAGCTGCTGCACAACAGACTGCACAGGTCTTTGCCAACAACGTGGCCAACGTCAATGCTGCTGGGAACGTGAACAATGTGGTCAACGCCAATGTCCTGGCCGTTGATAACGGCAACAAGGCTGTGTCTGCCAATACTAGGGCTGTTGGTAACATCAACAACGTCCAGCTTCAGTCTGCCAATGCCAATGTTCAAGCGGCTGGCAATGTCAACAACATCAATGCCAATGCCAATCGCAATGCCAATGCGAAAGCTGCAAGCAACGTGGTCAACGCCAATGTGCAAGCTACTGGCAATGTCGACAACGTGGCCAACGCCAACAATCAAGCTGCTAGCAACGTGAACAACGCAGTCAATGCCAATGTCCAAGCTGTCAACAATGTCAACAACGCCGACGCAGATGCAGTCGTCAATGCTGCTGCTCTCGCAGCAGTTCAAGCCAACAACGTCAACGTTAATTCCAATGCCGTGGGCATCCAAGCAACACAGAATGCTGCAATCAACAATGCCATCAGTCTCGCCCAAGCTGGTGCCGTTGGTGGCAGGCTGACCAATGCCCAACAGCGGCAATTGCGCGAAGCGATTGATGACATTGGTGATGAATCGCGAGCAGCGCTCATGCAACAACAGCGCAATCAGAATGCTGCCGAGAGGGATCTGAGGCGTATTGTCAATGGACTGGACAAGCGTGGCATTCTGGACTCATTGCAAACACTACTGGGCGGCTTGACTCAAAATATCGGTGCTGGTGTTAATGCGCTCGGCGCGCTCGGCGATGTCGGCAATGTTCTTGCTGTCAATAATGCAGGGCTTGCGAACAATGTTGTGCAGAGTCTTGCAGCTGGCAACACTGGTTTTTCGAGAAACAACAACAACGTCATTCAGGGTCTTCTCGATGGCACCAATCTTGCAAACTCCGCTATCGATGGCGTTCAAAATCTGGCTGTCGCCAACATTGGCGCTACCGGCGTGAACAACAACCTTCAAAACCTTGCTATTCAAGCTGCGAATGCTGCTACCACTGCTACAAACAATGGCAATATCAATCTTGCCTCCAATGCAGCCCAGCTTGCATCAAACAACATCAACGCCAACAATTTGGTTGCAGCAAACCCTGGTGCTGTGGCTGCAAACGCAAACCAGCTTGTGGCTACTGGCGACAATGCAACGAGTGGTTCCAAGTTTCGTGTCATCAGCGCTGCAGATGGTGCAAACAACCAGGTCTTGGCAAACAATGCTGCTGCTGCCGTTGCCAATGCCAATGTGAACACAAACTCAAACGCTGTCGGTGCTTCAGATGGCAATCGCGTCACTGGTGTTGGTCTTGCAACGAATGATGCTACACTGCTGCAGAGTGGTGGGTTGCGTCAAATGGTGCAGAATCTGTTACAGACCTTGACTGGTAGCGCTTAATGCGTGACTCTTTCCTCTTTGTACATGTTGTGCTCGATCCATACGTTTTGATATGCTATTTCATTCGACTATCGCTATGCTTGCTTTGAACCTATGCTAAGTATTGCCCGGAAACGCTCGCCGCAAATGTCTCAAAGAACTCAATCATCTCCTTTGTGATGCCCTTGCGCAAGGACGACAATGCCTGCTGGAAATGACGCACTTCAATGCGCACAGCTTGCAAGGACTCTTGCATCGCTGCTAAGCCAGCGTCTCTGCAAAATGCCACAATCTCAGCGCCTGAACAACCATCTGTTGCTTCTGCCAGTAAATCAACATTGACATCTGGCGACACGGCCATTTTGGCAAGTTGTAGACGGAATATCTGACAGCGCGATGCCAAGTCTGGTGGACCGACATAGAGCAGCCTATCGAGACGACCCGGTCTGAGTAGAGCAGTGTCAATGACGTCTGGTCGATTTGTTGCAGCAAGAACAGTAACATTCACTAAATCCTCCACGCCATCGAGCTCGTTGAGCAGTGTGGTTAGGATTCGATCAGATGAGCCTTCACCAGAGCCCTCGCCTCCGTCGCGCGTGCCTGTCAGCGCGTCAATCTCGTCAAAAAAGATGATGGACGGACTCGCTGCGCGTGCCTTGCGGAAGATTTCACGCAGTGTGCGTTCTGCTTCGCCGACATACTTGTTGAAAATCTCGGGTCCCTTGACGGCGAGAAAGTTCAGCCCAGCTTCTGTTGCGAGTGCTTTTGCCGTCAATGTCTTAGAACAACCTGGTGGACCATACAGTAAGACACCCTTTGGCGGGATGATGCCGAGGCGTTTGAATGTTTCTGGATGTGTCAATGGGATTTCGACTGATTCGCGCAACTTTCGCTTGACTTCTTCCTGGCCACCGATATCTGACCATTTTACCTGCGGTGTCTCAAGGAAAATTTCGCGCATGGCAGAGGGTCGAACGAGCGGTAGTGCTTGTTCCAAGTGGTGCTCTTCAATGTACAAGTCATCCTGGGCAGTGCCAAGACTAACGCCACTCTTGACGGCAATCACGACTGCTTCCCTGATGACGGCCGATAGGTCTGCACCCACAAAACCGTGCGTTTTGCCTGCAACCTTTTCGACAAATGCATCACTGAGGTGATGTGGGATAGGCGTTAGGATGACTTGTAGGATATCCAGTCGTGCATGAGCATCTGGAATACCAATTTCAATTTCGCGATCAAAGCGACCTGGTCTGCGCAGTGCAGGGTCCATAGCATTCGGCCGATTCGTTGCACCCACCACAACGACTTTGCTATCGACAGCCATACCATCCATCAACGTGAGTAACGACGCCACAATCCTTGACTCGGCTTCACCAGAGTCATGATCTCTTTTTGGTGTAATGGCATCAATCTCATCGATGAAAATGATGGATGGACCTTTCCGTTGCGCTTCCTCCCAGATCTTGCGCAGCTTTTCTTCCGCTTCGCCCATGTACTTGGAAACGACGGATGGACCGGAGATGGTGTAGATCTTAGCAGTTGTTTCATTGGCAACAGCACGAAGGAGGAGTGTCTTGCCTGTGCCAGGTGGTCCATAGAGCAACACACCGCGTGGCGGCGACATGTTGAAACGTTTGAAAATCTCAGGTCTTGTCAGTGGCAATTCAACAATTTCCCGCAACGATTCAATTTGTGCCGTGAGTCCACCGACCGAATCAAAATCAACGCGTGGACCGTGTGCAGCGGCAATAATGGCTTCTTCCTCATCACTATCAATTTCTTCAATTTTGGGACGACCTCTTGGGATATTATCGCTTGATCGTTTCTGAGCGCTGGGTGTGGGCCTCGCTGTGGGCGTTGCTGTTTTGGGTGTACTTGTGGCTCGGGCGGCACTTGTCGGTGCCTGTCGAGGTGTCCGTTGACGGGATGCTGGGCGTGCTGCTGTGTTGGGTCTTTGTGGCGTTGATGAACCAGAGTCTGCCTTGCTTGCTTGTGCAATCCCGCTACTCCGTCTGTCAATAGCAATCGAGACACTTTGGTCGAATAAGAAGAGGTCAGGAACATCCTCAAAGTCATTCTCCGAGTCATCCTCAACGTACAAGCCCGCGAGTTTGTTCCCAATCTGGTCTACTGAGTTTCGCGCAGGTGATGCAGGGATGACTCGATCGGGATCCTCCTTCACACCAACAATCGTGAATGCGTGCACTTCCTGACCAATCGCGCATTCGAATTCCATGCCATCTGTGACATACCGGATCTCTACCAGTATCGCTGCAAGCGCCTCTGACCATTGTGAATCAACGGTTGTGTTGTTTTGTAGCTCATCTAGACAACAAACTGTAATCTGCTTGAGCGCCTTGGGTCGACTGCGGTATTTCATCAATTTCACGCGATCGCCCGTCTCCAACAGATGCGACGATCGCAACATATCATGTAGCTGGATTTGATTGAGATCAATGGTAGCAGATGGAAAGGCGACACCAAAAGCAGACAAGGCACCATCATCCTCATCGGCACCTTCTGGTCGAATCACAAGGATGTCACCAATGCCAAGATCCATACCGCGCATGACGGCTTGATGGACATAGACTCGTCGATAATGTCGCATTTGCTTAGAGACGGAGGTCGCTGGTGGCGGTCGTACGAAAAAGGCGGTGGGTAGGGCTAGGTCTTCATTGTTGAGTTGCATGAAGGCAGGCTGTTTCTTGAAGCTGCCGGATTGCTGCCTTGAAGCTCGTCTAGCTGTCTCTGCGAGACTGTTCTTCCTGGAAGTAGGCATGGATGCTTGTCAGGGTAGCAAGAGACTGTTGAGTATTGAGAGTGTCGAAGGATGCGACTGATTGAGCGCGGGTGGCTTGACTGTGGCTGGGCAGGAACAAGCGAGCACAGCGAGATGGGCAGCAGCAGCATGGACGTATCTATGGGCTTATAGAAGCAGTAGATACATTAGATACAGGAGACACTTCTACTCATGATACTGTTTCTAGAGTCACCGACAGAAAGGCATCGTCGGCATCTTCCTGGCAGTAATTTGACAAAGCAACTCGTGCCCACCCACCCCTTCTGCTTGGAGTGTCTCCACCGATGTATGCCAATACGCAAGGAAGTAGTCAACGAACGACTCAGGTGTATATCCCATCGACCAAGCATACGACGGCCGACATAATGCCAGGGAAGCAGCGATATGGCGTCGATGGCGATGCGACAGCTCCGCAATGAGTTGCGCAGGGTACCAGCGAGCGCGTTCAAGCACCTCGACGTCGCTTTGTGATTGATGCGAGACAAGCCGAACTGCGAAGAGCGAGTGGAAGTCGAGGTAGCCGAGGACTTCTAGACGGCATTCTATCGGTAGTGCATCGTAGGTTAGGCTCTCCATCGGTGCGAAGTGACCTTTGTTGCGTGACTCGAGTTCTCGTTCGCGCTCGCAACTAAGCCTTAGCCTACGCCAGTCGATAGATGCTACAGGGTGACGAAGGATGAGAAGAGTGTCCTGCTGCAGGTATGAGCCGTCTGATTAGATGAGCAGATACGGGGGATGCGGGGCCGCGCTTATTGTGAGATTGCCGACAAGATCGTGCAGCGACAGATCCCACACGCTACATCATAGCCTACTTGCCTGCACAGCTGTTCAAACGCTGTCAGACACAGGATATGAGCAGATGATTGTTGCTAGATGATAAACATCCTCTACCTAAAACATCTAGCCATGCGAAGCAAATAAAGCTCATGCTGTGAGCACATAAACACCACGTCTGCCACTATGGTCGATTCTGAACGGTCTCTAACAGATTCATGTGCGCTTACTATCATGACGGTCAAGTACCTGGCGCACGAGTACATCCTTCGGCAGGGCACAAAGTATCACGCCGTGAAGCGCTTGCTACACTCATTGGAGGTCGCGCGAAACAATCTTCTTCAATGCTCAGCGTCGTACCCGATTCTCTGCCTAGCGAATGTCTCGCCGCAGAGCGTGTCCTGAGTACTTTTACAGGAAGAGTCATCACAGGTCCCACGAAGCCTGCAGTAACAAAAGAAATACCCCTGTCGCTCCTTCAAGAAGCACAGGGTCTCATCCTGTTTTCTGCAATCAGAACAGGGCTTTCGCTTGTGTCGCCCATGGTGGGTCATGGTGTCCTTGTGGCGCGATTGCCTGGTAGTCGTTGGTCATGTCCTGCTTCCCTCAACATTCAAACTGTGGGTGGCCTTGGCCTGGGTGTGGACACAATTGACTGTGTTCTCATCCTGCGAACACGTCAAGCAGTAGACTTGTTTGCTCCAGGGAAATGTATCCTGGGAGATCAACTACCCGTCAAGCAAGGTCCTGAAGGTGCGCATGCAGTGGTGCCATACTCCCCTGAGCGAGTTCCTATCTTGGGATATGCCAAATCACGGGGCCTATTCTTGGGTAAAGCAAACTTGTTCAAGGGACTACAACTTCGTCACCGAGAAGCAGAAGATTCAAAATTTTATGGTTGCTATGCGCCATGCTCTGAATTGATTACTGGTCACGTCCAGAGTCAGGCTGTATCGTTGGCGAGCTTTATGGGACTTGTGGATGCAGTGACTCGACGACAAGGTCCACCTGGGGGTATGCATACGCTTCATGCTGCAAATGTACCACCGAGTCAGCCTATGCGATCTTCTTACACAAATCCAGCTTTGCCCAGCAGGTCATATTCAGGTATGGCCAACACGGATTCATTATTTTTTCGGGATGCTGCTGTCTCTGGGAGACCTGCTCATCCGTCTCCCGTGACTAGACCTATGCCTGTGTCTGCGTACCCGGAGTATGGGAGTCAGATGGACAAGCTTCTTGAGATGGGGTTCCGGGACAGGTCTTTGAATGTTGAATTGCTGGCTGTGTATGGTGGCGATGTTGGGCGTGTTGCTGAGGTGTTGAGGAAGGAGGAGCAGTGTCATCGAGGACATGCTGGTGCTGGTGCTGTGTGGAAGTAGAGAGTGTGCGTGCCATCTGAGTTTCTATTCCTGTTGTCGACCGTTGGAATGCGGGAGAGAGAAAGAGGAAACTGCCGCTACTCTGCTACTCTACAGCTACTCTACTCTGCTCCTCTTCTCTACAGCACCATGTTCATCAACGCACTCGCCATCGCTCTCCTCTCCGCAGCATCCATCAATGCACAAGACGTCAGTGTCTGGTACGTTCAATTTACCTTCAATCAACTGCTAACACCTCCCACAGTGGCTCCCAAATCTACACACCCGGAACAGGCACTTGCTACGTGACCCCAGCAGGCACTCAGCAGCTGTGTCTCTACCAGACAAACACAGCAGGACAGCAAGTCATTACATTCCTCTGTGGCACCGTCTGCTACGACGCTGGCAAGTAAGTCCACCCTCATGATTCTATGCACGTCATACTAACTGCTCTACCAGGTATGTCTGTCGTGGTAATGTCCTGACGGATCAAAAGGGTGTCGCTTCTATTGCTTCTGCTCGCTCGACAGCTGCACCCAGCGCATTGGCAACAACACAGCAAGGAACCGCCACCTCTGCCGCACCTATCGCTTCAGGCTCCCTCCTTGCCTCTCAATCGCGCCTTGCTTCTTCTGCTGCCGCTGCTGCTGGAAGTGGTAGCTCGCGTGTGACGTCTGCAGGTGCTGCTGCGTCTTCGAGTGCTGCTGCACGTTCCGGTGCTGGTCAGACACGCCCTGTCGCTGTGTCTCTTGCTGCTGGTGCATGGATGGGTCTTGCTGGTGTGTTTGCCTGTGGACTCTTGTTCTAAGCATATTGCTTGATTTGTACCACCAATTGGCTCCTTCTCTTTCGTTTCTAGCTAGTCTGCCCCTTCATCGTAGCTAATCCCATCCAATGCTCATCATACCTGTGACTGCTTGATTCCTGTTCCTGGCGACGTCACCGAAAAGTCCAAAACCTCAGATCATCTCGCAGCAGCTGTCGACATCAAGGACTTGCCTCAGAGCATGGCCAGGCAGTCCATTTACGCATCATGAACAAGGCATCTTCATCAGCCGTGGCATCTCCCCCGACATCGCCCCGTCGCACCAACATTACAAACGGGACCACCACCGCCACCATGGCAACGCTCAAGGCGCAACCATCCACACAGCTTGAAAGATTACCGGCGCCATCACCAGAATCATCAGCACTGCGACAAGTCCAATGTCGCGCACATGCCTATGTACGTCTCATGGAGCGTTTATTAGGTCATGCATTGCCAGGTCTGTTCAAATGGATCTTCTTGATCCTCTTACTGGGTCCTGCCATGGCAACGACTGTCGCTGCGCGGTTAGCTGCATTCGGGTTCGCATCGCCTGGAAAGCAAGAGAGTATAGCAGTTGAGGAGCTTGACTCAACCTCGCGTGCAGACGAACAAACACAGCGAGAAACAACACGCCTCGATCAAATACAAGCACATCAAGCAGAACGCACACAACTCCTCACTGCGTTGCAACAGAATGCAAAAGCTGCAGAGACGAGTAGTCGTGCGTTGGTGGAGAAGGAATTGGCAGTTGTTGCATTACAGCAGGCATTGGCGTCTGCGCGTGATGTGGCAGAGGGACAAGAAGCGACGCTTCGAGGGGCGCTTGCTCAATTGGAGGATGAACATGCTCGGGACGTGAAGGAGATGAACGCAAAGCATGCTGAAGTAACGGAGAAGCTGCAGAAGGACCTTGTGAGTCTCCAGGAGGAGCATGCCCAAGCGCTTTCGACTATGCAAAGTGAGCATACACGACTTGAACAAGCATTGCAAGAGATGACTGGTATCAAAGAAAAGGCACAAAGTCTCGAAGCTGAGAGGGAATCATTGAAGCACGCCAACGCTACCCTGCAAGATGAATATACATCTACCAAGCAGCAGCTACAAGATGCATTGACCTTCAAGGACAAAGCCGCTGCTGCTGAAGCCAAGATTCTGTCGCTTCAGGAGACTCACGAGGCATTACAGGCTGAGATCAAAGAGGAGCACGCGCGAGCACTTTCGACTATACAAGATGAGTGCACACGACTTGAACAAGCATTGCAAGAAATGAGTGGGATCAAAGAAAAGGCACAAAGTCTCGAAGCTGAGAGGGAGTCACTGAAGCACGGCAACGCTACGCTGCAAGATGAGTTTACATCGACCAAGCAGCAGCTACAAGATGCATTGACCTTCAAGGACAAAGCCACTGCTGCTGAAGCCAAAGCTCAGTCGCTTCAAGACAATCACAAGGCATTGCAGGCCGAGATGAGCCAACTCAAGCAGCAAGTACAAGAAACAGCTGAAATAAAAGAAAAGACTGCAATTCTCGAGGCTCAACACCAATCGCTGATACAAGCCCATGATGCTCTACAAAAGGAAAAGCTGGAACTCAGCCAACGCTACAGTCAAACTGACGAGCAACTTGCTGCTAATAGGACCAATATCAAGCAACTCTCAGACGACCTTCACCAGCTCTCAACAAAATTGACAAAAAAGAATCAGGCGCACGAATACCTACAGCAAAGATTGAAAACAATGGACGGTGATTACCAGGCACAGCTGAGTAAAGCAGAGACGCTCACACATCAAGTGCGTGACGTGCAGGCGCGTCATGCGAGTGAGAAACAAGCACACGCTGAGCAACTCACGCGTTTTGATACGTTGCAAAAATTGGCAGACGAACGTCAAGCGGCACTCCAGGCGGCTGCTGAGAAGCAAAAGGCAACGGAAGCTGAGTTGGTTAGGCTTACAGCTGATTTGAACGCTTCACAGCGTATGCTTGAGGACGCGCAGAAGAAGATTGCCGAGTTTGAGAAACAAGTCCAGACTTTCAAGACTGAGATGGCACAGAAGCAGGCAACCATTGAAAAGCAGGAGAAGGAGCTTGAAGCGTTTGAGGCAACCAAAAAAGAACTTGCTCAAGTCAATGCGTCACTGGAATCGCAGGCCATTGCGTTCAAGAAGAGCAAACTAGACGCCGAGCAAATGCAGAAGGAGGTGCAGAAGCTGCAAGTTGACCTTGGGCAAGCACAAGAGAAGACGCGTTCTTTGAACGCAGAGCATGAGGACGCTTCTCAAAAAGGCAACAAGCTTGAGCATCTGGTGTCTGAGCTGAAGAGTAAATTGACAAAACACCAAGCACTGGAAACGCAGCACAGCCAACTCCAGCAGGAACATGCAACAGTCAAGGAAGCACTCGGTACAACGAAGCAACAGACGGGCGACCTTCAAAGACAAGTGCAGCAGGCCCAAGAGAGTGCGGTTGTAGCTCAAAAACAAGTCGAGACGCTGCATGCTGAAGCGGAGCAGCGAATTCAAAAGGAACGTCAAGAGCTTGGCAAGGCTCATGAGCACGCTGAGACTTTGGCAGCACAGTTGAAGGAAGCTGAGGTCAAGCTAGCAAAAGCACAAGAGGAGATGCACTCGACGCTGGACAAGGCCAACACGGAGAAAGTGACCTTGGAGAAGCAACTCGCAACGATCAGAGAAGAAGCAACCAGTCGTGAAGCCAGGACAGCCTCAGGGCAAAAAGCCTTGCAGGAGCAACTCGCCCACTTACGGGAACGAGCAAGTGCGCACGAATCTGCCGAGGAGGAACGTGTACAAGTCGAGGAAGAGCTAGGAGCAACAAAGCAACAGCTTATCAAGACGCGTGCTCAGATGGACAATTTACGTGCTCAGCTGGCCAAGGCTATTGAAATGAAACAAGTCAAAGCGGCTGTTCAGCGCAGTGCCTCTACGTCCATTAGCGACGCAACTGCAGTCGAGCCAGCTCTAGCTCCATCTGCAGATTTGGAAGCGGCTGCTAGACCACTCTCAAACGGCAGCGGGCTAGGTCATGCACGACAGAGCAGTATTCCAAGATTCTCTGGTCAAGGTGGCACGCCTCCCAGTACGCGCGGGTCAGGCAGTATCCCTGGGTCTCCCAGTATGAGCAGCCGAAGCAGACCTGGATCGAGTCGTTATGAGCAAGTGGTGGACACGTATGTGGACATCCACAAGCTGAAGCGTTCACATGATGCAGAGAAGCAGGAGTTGTTGCAGCAGATTGACAAGTTACAGGCGAGTGCGCCCCAGGATGCAGCAACGAGTCAAATGGCAGCGTCAGGGGCAAGCGAGCGGTCTGCATCGACGCTGGACAAGAATAAGAGCAAGCCTGGTATGCTCAAGCGGAGCTCGACCCTGAAGAATTTGTTTGGCAAGGACAAGAAGAAGTAGCATTGATTGCTTGTACTATAGCCTATAGCATGAATGAATGACACTAGTGTAAGTGTGTAACTCGAAACTGCTAGCTGGTTGTCCATTACGTGATGCCCTGCTGGTGCCTCGGCTGTCAGATCTGGAGATGGGCGACCGTATTTTGGCAGCACCGGGACTTTCTCCTTCTGGGCAACTTCTGCGCAACTTCTGGGGCGGCTTTGCGTCGGATCCAGCCCATGTGACAAGCGAGACCAGCCGGCTACCACTCCCATATAATAGGCCTCAAGCTTCTTATAACAGGCCCTTCCCCAGACTTAGCTCCAGCTTTGACCTTGCTCTCTTATAAACTTACCCAATGTCCGCTCCCAGACGCAGACTCGATGCGATTGCACACCACCTGACCAATGTCACCGTGGACCCCGCAACCGATACCGTCCTCGCCATGGAGGAAGAGCGCCAAAAGACCGCATTTGATGTGCGTGAATTGACCTACTTCCTCGATGGCGGCGCAGACAAGACGAAGCTCAAGGAGCGACTCATGCTGTCCATTGAGCGAGACCCAGAAATGCGCAATGACGATTGGTATGACTTGACGAAAGAGCAGGTGCGAGAGCGTACCATGCGCAAATTCCGCAACCTCGCCCACTATGTCACCGTTGAGCCCGAACAAACCTCTTTCTTGCGGCTTTCGCTCATCTCTATTGTCGACCCTGGCTTCTGGACCAGATTCGGTGTCCATTACGGTCTCTTCTTCAATGCCCTTCGTGCGGGGTCAACTGGAAACCAGATTTCCTACTGGTTGCAGCGTGGTGCCGCCTCTCTTAATGGCATGATCGGATGTTTCGCTATGGTAAGTCCTCGCCTAGCCAGTCTGACGGATGACTAACAAGTAGACTGAACTCGGCCACGGTTCCAACGTGCAGGCACTGGAGACGACAGCAACATTTGATGAGCAAACGGATGAGTTTGTTATCCACACACCGAGTTTGACGGCTACAAAATGGTGGATTGGTGGAGCGGCACATACAGCCACACACTGCGTCTGCTTTGCTCAACTCATCATCAACGGCAAGCGTCACGGTGTCAAGACATTTGTTGTGCCTCTTCGCAATGCCGAAGACTATTCCCTCAAACCAGGTGTCACGATTGGTGATCTCGGTAAGAAGATGGGACGTGATGGTATTGACAATGGCTGGATCCAATTTTCACATGTGCGCATCCCCAGACTTTACATGCTCATGAAGCACACCAAAGTATCGCGCGAAGGTGTCGTGACTGACCCACCTCTTGCTCAACTCTCGTATGGCGCGCTGATTACAGGACGAACGGCCATGGTACTCGATTCGAGTGCATCGTCTAAACGCATGACGACCATTGCCATTCGCTATGCCTGTGTGCGACGACAATTTGCAGCAACGCCCGGTCAGATTGAGACGAAACTTATTGACTATGCCATGCACCAACGTCGTTTGATGCCTTTGCTTGCAGAAACATATGCCATGCAATTCGCTGGTGATAAGTTGTACAAGATGTACAACAGCTGTATGGAAATGCTTGCTGATGCGGAAGGCGCCGACTCTGAAGCGACGGATCTCGCACTTGAGAACTTGAAGGAGTTGCACGGTACCTCTGCAGGTCTCAAGGCATTCTGTACATGGGCTTCTCTTGAAGCTATTGACAAGTGTCGGCAATCGTGCGGTGGTCACGGATACTCTGCCTACAATGGCTTCGGTACTGCATTCGCTGATGCCGCTGTGCATGTGACATGGGAGGGTGATAATACGATTCTTGCACTGCAGTCGGGACGTTCGTTGATTGGCAGTTACAAGGATGCCAAGTCTGGCAAGAAACTCGCAACGGGTGTTGCATACCTTGGCAAGTGCGAAGAGCTTAAGAGTGCCAAGGCCGGTCAGCGTGATATCAATGATTTCGCTGTGATTCGCGAAGGTTGGCAAGCATGTTCAGCACTTGCTGTGGAGAAGGCTGCGTTGGCCTTTGACAAGTTTGTCAAAGCTGGCAAGTCACAGGATGAAGCATACGAGGCCACCTCGCAGCTACGATTCCTGGCATCCAAAGTCCATACCCGTGGATTCTTGGTGACTGGTTTCCTCGACACATTGGAGCAAGCACCGGAAAAGATTCGCAAGGTGCTCTTGCCACTTGGCTTGCTGTATGCCATGTGGTCCACTGAGGAAAATTCCGGCTTGTTCCTGCAGGCTGGCTACTATAATTCCGCACAGGTGGATGACATTCGTGACCGAACGGATGCTTTGTGTCTCGAGGTGCGTAACCAGTGCTGTGGTTTGGTGGATGCCTTTAATCTGTCCGACTTCTTCATCAATGCACCGATTGGTTGTTTCGATGGGTCGATTTACCCAACCTACTTTGACCGCGTGAAGAAGAGCAACCCATCGACGAGTGCGCCGCCGTACTTCCAGCAGGTAATTAAGCCGCTTTTGACGCAGTCTATGGAGGAGGATGAGGAGATTGAGGAGGAAGACGAGGATGAGGACTAGATGTGTCTTTACAAAATAATTGCTTTCATTGATTCTGCCAAGCTTGAGAGTCTGTTACGTGCTTTAACGAATATATATCCCTACCAAGATCTATAAGAGCTTGGAGAAGAATTCCGCAAGCTCAGTGTATGCCTCGTGGAAACGCTTCTTGTTTTGCTCGTCCTTCAGGTTGGCACGCGCAGCGGCCCATCCATGGTGCATATCGCTGTATGTCTTGACCACACTCTGTTCCTTTTGTCCCTCGGGAATCCCTTCCTCAAAGGCCTTGACATCCTTGGCCTCTTCATCCTTGGATGCAAGGATCATAATTGGATTTGTCAATGACTTGGCATCTTTCGCATCCAACATGGCAGGATGCACAACAGCCGTCGCTTTGAATACATCCCGCTTATCACTTGCCAAGATGGCAATCTTACCACCCCAGCAGAATCCCAAAATGGCATGCTTCTTGGATTCCCCCTCGTTTGCTGGGAATCGCTCACTCGCTGCTTTTGCAAAAGTACTCAAGGCTTTGAGGTTTTTCGACGGTTCCGCAGGACCAGCGAAAAAGTCTTGAATCTTTTGCTTGTCCTCATCTGTTTGAGGTGGGTAGAGCTCTTGTGGCACGGGTTTGCCATGGAAGAAATCAGGCATCACTACCAGTGCGTCCAAGCTCTCAGCGAGCAAGTCGGCACCTTGTTGCGTGGCAGGGTGGAACCCAAAGATATCATAGATGACGGTGAGCACCTTGTTGCTCTTTTGATTGCCCGTGATGTAGGTCTTCAAGTCGCCGAGTGTCTCATAGGAGCCTTTGGGCGTGTAGTCGCTTTGGACGGGTGGGAGTGTGCAACAGGCTTTGTTTGTGTTGGCAGACATGGTCAGTAGATGTTTCTGTGTTTGATCAAGTCGACGAGACAGGATGAGCTTGGTATAGGTACAGGTTTAAGTGCTTGAGTCGTCGTCGCTTCCATTGCGGAGTTCTCGTGACGTCAGCAGCAGATCAGATGGCATGAAGCAGTTTACATACAATCCATGTAGTTGATGTGAAAGGGGGATTGATGCTAGTCTATAGGTGCTATGCCAGTCTAGATGCTCGCCAAAGTGAAGAAAAACAAACTAAATGTACATGTACTTGCTTCAGCAACAATCACATCCAAGCCGACAAGCGAGCCCAGAAGGAACGAGGAGCACCACTCCTCAACTCAGCTTGTGCCTTTTCACTGCAAATCTCAGCTTGTCGCCGACCAGTCCTGATATCAGCCAGCTCAGGCCTAACAATCGTGCTGCGAGTAATAAGCTTATGACCTGCGTATAACACAACAAACAACATGAGTGAGATGTAGTTGATGAAGAAGTCCTCGACGGAAAAGCTTGGGATGAAGCAGGTGAAGCCCTGCGTGATGATGATGAGCACCATGAAACCAAAACCGTAGTAAGTGAGGTATGGTTGCCAGGATGCCTTGTATGGTAGTGTATTGCGGTCAACATGTTGTGCCTTGAGTGCTGCCATGAATCGCAAGTGGGAGAAGCTAATGGAGGCCCAGGTAATCATGCCTGCGAGTCCTGAAATGTTGACGAGCCAATTGAATACTTTGCCAGCACCTTCACTCAGGTTGAGGAGGGCAAGGAGACCAACAAGGGCGGTAAAGACAACGGCAAAGTAGGGTACGCCGTGCTTGGAAATGCGACCAAAGATTTGCGGCGCAAGTTTGGCTTCAGCAAGACCTACAAGAATACGCGAGCCAGAGTAGACATTGGAGTTGGCTGCAGATAGAATGACGGTGAGCAGGACTGCGTTGATGATGGATGGGAGGGCTCCCGTCTGGCCAGCCAAGACGGCAGCAATCAAGAAAGGTGAAGCCGTTGCATCTGAGCTGTCTGAAAGCAGCTGCTCATTGTCTGAGGGAATCAAGATGCCAATGGCGAAGATGGTACCGATGAAGAAGATGAGGATTCGCCAGATGGTCTTGCGAATGGCGCTCGGGACAGTCTTGTGTGGGTTTTCAGCCTCAGCAACAGCAATACCAACGAGTTCTGAGCCTTGGTAAGAGAAGGATGCTTGGATCAAGACTGCCCAGAAACCAACAAATTTGCCAGCTCGACTATCAACGAGGTAGGCATTGAAGGGACCCGGAGACTTCCAGTACTTGAAGCCAAGGTAACCCTGTGAGCCAGCACCGGCATTGATGCAGATAGCAAATAGCAAGAAGCCAATAACGAAGATGACTTTGATGCTCGCTGCCCAAAACTCGAGTTCGCCAAAAACGCTCACGGGCAAGCAGTTGATGAGCAAGATGAGAACAAAAAAGACGGGAATCCACACTGCAAAGGATAGGTCCGGGAGCCAGTACTGGATGATGATACCCACGGCACTCAGCTCGATTGCAAAAGTGATTGCCCATGAGAGCCAGTAGATCCAACCCATGGCAAAGGCCAAAGAGGTATCAACGAACCTTGCAGCATAGCCGGTAAAGGCTCCTGCAATAGGCAGATAAGTTGCCAGTTCCCCTAGAGACACCATGACGCTGTATGCCAGGGAACCCGTGAAGGCATACGCCAAAAGTGCTCCGACAGGGCCAGCCTTGCTCAAGGCTGTCCCTGATCCAAGAAACAGACCTGTGCCAATCGTGCCGCCTAGGGCAATCATGGAGATGTGCCTCGACTTGAGCCTTCGCTGGAGATCGATGGCTGAGCTGAGGGAGGCCTTGTCGCTGTCATTCTGGCTTGAACTGTCAAGTCCAATGTTGACTGCATCTTTCTCAAGATCGACTGGATGCGACAAGGTCTGTTTAAAGACAGGTATACCCGATGACGGTGCTGCGACACTGATGCCTGCCTGCTGTGTAGTCATGCTGTGCTCGGTCAGGCCGTGTCTTGATATACCAAGAGCAGGTCGGACTCGGGAGGCCCTTATAAAGAGAAGTTTCTTCAGGGATGGGCCGGCTTCTCCGAGTGAGGCCTTATCTGTGCTACACTGCTATCCTCATCTGCGTGACTGTGTGTCACTCTGAGTCCGTGGGATGAATAAAAAAAAGTCTCCCGCCCGAGTTCATTTGCCGCCGGAAGAAAGTCTCAACAGCAAAACAGCCGATCGCACTTCGCCGCACAATAGGAATAGACGGTACTTACTACTTAGTGCTAATTAGATACATGAAGTACGAGGCTGTACAACAGCTAGTATCCAGCACTACTCAGTGAACCTCACCTTGACACCGTACCTCGGCGTCAAGATAATATCGTAGCGCATACCCATATCCTCATACGGTTCATCCAAGTTCTCAAGCTTTGAGAAGCGCTGTGCAAGACGTGTCAAGGTATACGCAATCTCCGTCAATGCAAACTGTTGACCCAAACACAGACGTGGACCACCGTTGAAGGGAATATACGTCCAGTGCTCAGGAACATACTTACCCTCCTTGTTGACACCTTCAATCCAACGACCGGGCACAAACTCATCCACTTTTGGAATTTGCACTTGACGTTGCATGAGCATCGTCGAGTACCCGACTTGTGTACCCTTGGGTACAAAAATGGTGCCTTTACCATCTGCACCGCCACCGCGCGGCAACGTTGTGTCCTTGAGTGCAGCACGCACATTGAGCGGCACGATGGGGTAGAGTCGCAAAACTTCATTGATGACAGCTTGTAGCATCTTCATGTTTTTCAATTGCGTGTACGAAGGCAATGTATCGGCATCGCCCAGCGTTGTCATGACTTCATCACGGAGACGCTGCCAGAGGTCTGGGTGTTGTGAGAGCTCCTTGAGTGCCCAAGAAAGTGTTGCTGCTGTCGTGTCACGACCTGCAAGGAGCGTTGAGACGAGCTGGTCACGCAGGAAAATAGGGTCACGCGATTCCTTGACGAGTGCAGCAAGGAGTGAGTGATCGTCTGCATCGGCCTTCTCTCCGGACGGCTTAGCAAGTGCGAGTTGCACGTATCGGTCCACATACACATCGAGGTCCTTGAGCACCTCCTTGAACTGCTTGCGATCAAACATCCACCAAAGTGGTCCAGATCGAGCACGACCTGTTTGTAGCTCTTGGATCGTAGCAAACGTCTTGGCAAAGGCATTGTCACCCTGCAGAGACTTGGCCGAGTGACCAAACAGGTAATCCGTTGCAGCATCCAGTGTGAATTTGAACATGAGATCCATGACGTCCGTCTCCTCGCCAGACTTGATGAGTGGCATCATGATCTGGAGCTTATCCTCGAAATTATCCAAATCGGCAATACGCTCCTTGAGGAACTGTGGGCGCAATAAGGCGCGCGAGTGCGACCAAGATTCACCATCGGCGTTGAAGATACCAGCACCCAAGAACTGCTGCCATTGTTTTTGGAAGAAGGGACCTTTTCCGAAATCGTTGAATTGCGTAGCTAGCAAGGCTTTGATGTTCTCCGGCTCACTCGTGATGAAGAGCGGCTGACCCAGAATAGCAGTGCCATACGTGTTACCATACTGAGCAGCACGCTCTGTCATAACTTCATAGTTGCGGAAGGTCTTCTTCAGCTGGATAGCCTCCTTGACGAAATCCAAACCGAATGGCAGGCCTGATGTCCCTGCGCGCGCAGGCTTGACAGCATGGGCTTTGAATTGGCGTCGCTTGATGATGAGAGCGATGTGGTTGTATACGACATATAGCACCCAGGCTGCAGCCGCGTAGATTGCAAGCTCCTGATAGTGCATCTCTGTACAACAGGAGAGAATGGAGAAATCTTAGGGGGACCAGGAGATGCGGGGAGGGGGGGAGTTGTACTTATGTGCGTTCAGGTGTCAAGTTGGCGCTTCGAGTTTCAAGGCAAAGTCGAATCTGCTGATTTGTTCCCCAGCTTTCTTGGCGGATGGCGCCTGGATCTATATGCGGACATGTACAGCTGCTTTGATGGACATGGTCAGGACAGGCATCATACAGCCATGAGTGATGCCTTATAATCATGCAGTCTACATCCATTCACTGACAAATTGACAGCTCTGTGATGATGTTCTCGTTGCTTCTGATATCGATAGAGACGGAGCATCTTTCCTCCGGATACTGATGCAGTGATGCCGCACTCCCGCACCCGCGTATAGTACGTATAGTACGACGTATACTCTCAGACGTCTGGCGGCACAGACCGCAAATGGCTTGAAATGGGTGGGCTGGAGGCTTGTGCGCGGATGGCTCGTGTTTGGCTGTGTCTCGACTTCGAGTTCGTATCTCGCTTGAGACTTGTGCAGGCAGTGCAGCAGTGCAGCGGTGCAGCCTCCAGACAACAAGACATGTCTTTCAGTAGTCATCTGGCTATTCATAAGTAGTCTGATATGGAGGATATCACAGTATCATCAGGAATAGACCCAGCAGAGGAAAGCAGCAGATCCAGATACCGCCCATCTGAAATTGCCCTAGCCATCGTCGTCTGTCGCGCGTTGAATTTGAAGGGAAAAGAGCAGCGAGAGGGAGCGTTTGGAGAGTCGCCCTGATGCTCAACGGGAAGGCCTTCTTGCGCGACAGGAAACACGCCGTCAAAGAGGGAAAGGAAAGGGAAAAAGACACAACGCACAGCAAGCAGCAGGCAGCAGCAGCTACTGGATAGTACTGATTCAGAGAGGGGACTCCCCCACAACACATGGACCTCCTGACAGGCAGCAAGCCAGCGCTCCCAAAGCTAGTCAACCCAACCATCCGTATCCATGTCCCCCTCGACCCAGACGAGACTGTCAATGTCAACTTCACGGCACTCGCTGAAGCAAAGTATGGATGGGACGCGCTCCATCCTGTTGCCGCACGACTGCGTGCTCTCAATCGGTATGATAGTGAAGAGGAAAGCGACTCGGACATGCAGGACGTGGTAGGCTATCAGTCATGTGTGATATGGGTGCTAACAGAACACTAGACTGGAGAAGCAGGGAGTGGTCAAGCAGCAGCAGCAGCAGCAGCAGCAGCAGCAGCAGCAGCGCCAGCACAACCACTACAGCCATCACAACCCAAGAAGCGCAAGCGTCGCAAGATGAATGAGTACGAGACGTATGATATCGATGATCCGTTTATCGACGATGACGAGCTCAACCTGCAAGAATTGACTGCCGTCTCAAAGGATGGCTTTTTCGTGTTTCAGGGACCTCTGGTTGGCGAGGGTGATAAAGTGAGGATTGAAAAGGCAGATGGAACAGCACGTCGAGGTAATGCCGGTGGTCTTCATGGTGCATCGGGCACAGCGGCAGCGAAACGCTCAGCGCATGCCAGGAGCAAGTCGAAAATGGCAGCGACGACGACAGCGACAGCGGCTAGTCCTGCAGCGGCAGCAGGAGCAGCAACGCCTGTTGCTACAGCGCATACAGGGCTGAGCGACGCAACACCAGCAAGCAATCCAACCTCACCGCATTTGACCAAGAAGCAGGCGACTGGCAAAGGACAGGTCTCCACTCCCAGTGCACCTGCTCAAGCGTCTTCAACACCACCAAAGTCAATTGCTGCTTTACCTTCTGCTAAAACGGTATCAGCAGGGGCAGGAGCAGCAACAGCAACAGCAACAGCAACAGCCACAGCAACAGCAAAGGCAGTACCAGAGACAACCGTGCCACCGTCCACAACCAAATCCATGCCACCGTCACCTTCAGCGCCTGGAAGTCCAGCGAATAGTACGGGTGATGCAGCAACAGCCATGACAGACGCTTCAAGGAAATCCAATAAACCACCACGCACAGATGAACAACGTCGACATATGCGTGAAACGGCAGCACGACGACGTGCACAGAAGAAGGAAGAGACACGTCTTGAAGTCCTTCGACGTGCGCTACGAAATCCACTGCTGGATACGTCAGAGTTACAAGCAGCCATGGCCGTGGCAGGTGGTGAAGCACTTGTCTCCTTACAAGATGTCATCAAGTTGACGAATCGCACACTGGGTCTCGCTGAACATTCTGCAGCTGCAACAACAGAAGCGAAACTCAAGGAACTGGATCATGAGAGGAAAGCGCCACCGCTTGATATGGAAAATATCGTTGAAACGGCGAAACGCGTCGCTGCTGTGGCAATGCAATCGTACCTGTCTAGTGCGCAGGATGGTTCAGTTAGTGGTGGTGGGGCGGAAGGATCAAGTGCAAGTGCCTCGGTTGCTGTATCGCCACCAGCGTCACAGCCGCCGACATTTGCAAGTACAGCCGAAGCAAGCACTAAGCCAACAACAGGCACTGGAGTCTCAAACAAACCGCTGACCACTGCACAAAGCAAAGCGAGTCCGGTGGTCAAGGCATCAACGAGCTCAAACGCAGCGGCAGCTCTGCCGAGTACGAGTGCACCCGCCAAGAGTGCGCCTAGCACACAAACGACCAAACCAAAAACATCCATACGCTCGCCAGACAGAGTCTTTGTCAAACCTACAACGCCAGCAAAAGCGAAAAAGGACAAGAAAGAGACCCTTGCAGCAGGCAGTCCATCCGGTCGAAGTATGAGTCTCACGGCTCTTTTGGATTGAATGTGCAAAAGCTTACCCCTCGATGTATATACACGGTCTATGGGCTAGATATCTGCAGTCTCTATTCGGACAAGCAGTGATGAAAAGATGAATTGCTCGCCAGATAAATCTCGTAGCTTTACAACACGATAGCCACGTTGAAGATCTTCTAGCGGACACGCCCATGTTGCCACCACTGGACCAGTCTGTTGACTCAATGAAGTCGCTTCAATTGTATTTGTGCTTGCTGCTGGAGTCATAGCGGGTGCCAAGGAGGTAGAGCTTGACCCAGATGGTGCGTGCGAACCATGAAAGTGTAAGGGCTTGTGACAAGCATCGTTCGCTGCACGAGCTGGCAAAGTATGGTCACCGCTCCCATTCGACAATGGCACGTCATGCACCAAAAAGCGCAGAAAGGTGAGCGCCTCGAGGTCCTCTGACTCTTGAACAAATTGAAAAGGCGCATGGCAGAATTGCGGATTGAAGGTGTTATCCTCGACAATTGAGGTTCGGAACTTGATGTCGCGGTCCGTTGCACATGCAGAGTGTGACTTTGCATCCAAGTCGCGATGTGGTCGCAGGACTTGTAACTCAACATACGGTGATGAGCGCGTACTAGCAGAGGTCTTTGGTAGCTGTGTGCCGCTCAACACACTGATTCGCCACCGTCTCTTCGGCTGCTTATGATCAGGCGCCTCTAGATAGCTCATTTGACCTTTCCGCCAAAAGCGCATAACCGCTGGCTTGAGACGATACCCAGAAACTTCTTCCGTGCCGCTTGCAGCAAACAAAGCATCATTCAACTGCATGCCAAGATCGTGCGTTTGCCAATTCAGCGCCACCATCTGTACACCTTGTCGCCAGTACTCTTGTGGTGCAAAATTGGTGGACCGAACGCGCGTTGCTGATGGATAGACGCGCATGAGATGACGAGCATTGTGTTTGAGCATCTGCGTTTTGCTCTCTGGATTCGACTGAGCCATACTCTTTACGTGTCGCTCAGAGAGGGAAAAGATGTGGTTGACCGTTTTGGACTCTGGCAGGGAGAAGTTTCGAAACTTGATGCCCTGTAGGAGTGGTGCCATTTGTAACATCGCCGCGATTGTGGGCGCGTTGGAACCACGATAGCTACTCACTGACGAAGACTGTGATGAGTGTGACGATGTGCGCGATCTGGGGGTCGAGTAATCAGATTCCGTGGTTGACATTTCGCCAAATTCAGAATTCAGCTCAGAGAGCTCAATCGATGTGGCAAAGTCTGCCTGTTCTGCAATACCATGGCTGGCTTTGACTTTAAGCAGGATGCGGTAGCGCAAGTCATTTGGGCTTGGCAGTTGCGCGTGTCGAGAAACAACAAGTGTGTCGCCCAAAATACTTCTGAGCAAGTCAACGGCCGCTTCTTGTACCCGGGCACTGCATCTCAATTCAATGGAAACAATGAGTGGCCATGGACTCACAATGAAAGCATACTTTTCAGTTGCGCGCAACACACTCTCCAAACTGACGGGTGACGTGAATGAGTGGCCATGCCGTACTTCAGGGACCCCAGCAGAATCCGACCAAATATCAATCTCGATGCAACGGCATCCGCGTTGCAGAGCGCGAATATAAGGTTCGACGCTTGCTTCGTCGCCAATCTGCCAGCCAGTCAAGTAGGTGTTGTGAGAGGAGGAGATGAAGTACTCATTCAGCGGTCGTGACATGTCCTGTTCAGTGGTGCGCAAGATGCCATTTTGCCGGGAAAGCAGAAACGTAGTGAATCGTGATAGTGATAACTCTTCCTCATCTCCAGCAGCTCGTTCCCAGATGCGCTCGACTGCATCCGCCTGATCATCAAAGCCTTGCACGTCTTTAAGAAAAGAGAGGAAGCATTCTTTGCTCATTGTGCCGCTGGTCAATCCTGCAAAGATTGCTGCAATGTCATTGCGAGCCTTGAGCAAGTCGACAAAGTGCTTGAATTCTTCAAATGTAAGTGATCCTCGCTGCTGAACATCAACTTGCTCAAATAGGTGTTTGAGTTGCGACGCAGGTGCATAGAATGACAACTTTTGACAAAGCGCTTCGAGCTCTGCAAAGGACATTTGCCGTTCATCAGTGAGGTTCTTTGGCTTTGCTGCTGCATCGAGCCAGATACGCTCTTCAGCAGCGGAGCTTAGATCGCCAAGACCACCCACCAGCTCGAGTCTCGTATGATACAGCCGAGTCAAGCTCTTGACTAAAGAATCGAGAATCTGAACATTGGGACAGATGACGTGCAGCACTTTCAGCCTCACGCTCTCGACCGTGTAAATGATGCTCAACCATCTTTGTTCATGCTCAATAGAGATCTTGCACAGTTCACGATAGTGACTTGCATCATTGGCGACTCGCAAGTCACGTATTGCATCCACAGAAAACTTGTGGTCCTTGTGGTCGAGTATCAAGTCACCTGATTCCGGATCAATGGTCACTGTGCGTGTGCGCGTCTTGCGTCGAGTCACACGTAAGAGCTGACACCCTTCCAAGAACTCTTGGGCGACTGTGAGGCCTTCCCAGGGTGCGCTCAAATTCGCATCAGACTGACGACGCACGATAGCAGGCCCAAAGCGAGCAGTTGACGGTTTCAGTGAGCGAGTGAGCAAGCGACGAAAAGAGCTCTGTCGATCTGTCATACAGCAGCTGAGTAAATCATATAGCGCCGCAGCTTTGAATACCTATACCAATCTTGAAGCAATTCAATACGAGTTTGTGAGTGAGAGGAAGTAGGCGATCTGATGCTCTCAATCACGTGGGCTAAGACACTTCGCCAGCTGACTCAGCTTCTATAGCCATACTTCTGCACTCCGGCGCTTGAGAGAATGTTCCAGGATACCCGTTGCCGAGGACAAGATCAAGGTGCGCGCCACTGCCAGTAGTATCGGTCTGCCGTGAGCCCCGAGATCTGCGGTTCTGCATGCTTCACCGCTCTGTGACCTTTGGAGAGCACGAGATTGCTACATTGTGCAGTACAGTATAACTAGTACTACACAGCCGATGCTTCAGCATCTCTACACAGGATCCAGCTTGCACGGTCTGTAAGCCAAGGTACTCAAAAACATCATCTCTAGACTTGACGCGTACGATCGATGCCCGATTTCAATTTCCGTTTGCAAAGCGGTGTGTCAAGCGAAATCCACTGGAGGTTAAAACATTCAGGCAAGGGCAAGAGTCAAGACATGGCAGCTTCGTGCACACAGGAAGAGTGACTGGAAGAGGCCTTGGAAGCTGATGACTGGCCAAGACCCGGGTTGAGCGATGATCTATTTGCGCTTTGGTTTCCCCAGATTTCGTTTGCGATCGCCTTTTTTCATTCTACATCGACCCCGCAAAAGCAACAGCGATTCCCAACACTTCAGTCAGTGGACGCGGGTTGGATTGTGGGGCGACGTCTCCTACTGAGTCCTACATATAGAGGCCCCTGCCTAATTTCTATCACAGGCACACTGCCATCTTCTCGAACATGCAGACCACCTACGACTACATCATTGCTGGCGGCGGCGGCTCCGGAGCTGTCGTCGCTGCTCGTCTGTCAGAGGACGAGCACGTCAAAGTCCTCGTTCTCGAGCGCGGTGCTACCAATAAAGGCGTCACGACCTCTGAGCAGCCAGCCATGTATCTCGCCAATCTGCCAACCGAGAATGTGCACAACCACTTTGCAGAGCCTGCAGAGTGCAACGACAACAATGCCGTCATTGTGCCCGTTGGTAATTTGCTCGGTGGCGGTACCTCTGTAAACTTTCTCATGTACACTCGACCTTCTGCCTCGGACTTTGAATGGGGTATGGACAACTGGAAGTTTGAAGACGTCAAGCCGTACTTTACCAAAATGGAGACGTACCACAGCACCAACACGTCTACATCAAAGGATACACATGGTACTGATGGACCTCTTCAGGTGTGTCAAGGTCACGTCAACCAGGCCGCGATGGATGAATGGTTCCCTGCTGCCAAGGCTGTACTGGGTGAATCCTACGTCGAGGCAGAAGATACCAACGACTTCAAAACACTGGGCGCTCAGGTTTCCGGCTGGTCCAAGTGGATTGACCCGAAGACTGGCAAACGTTGTGGATCTGCGGATGCATACCTACATGCTAATGCTGATCGCCAAAACTTGACGGTCGTGTGTGATGCTAGCGTCACCAAGATCAACTTGGAAGGCAACAAGGCTACTGGTGTGGACGCCATCATTGACGGCCAAAATGTGACATTCAAGGCTACGCGCGAAGTCATTGTCTCTGCCGGTGCATTTGGCTCTCCAAAGCTGCTTGAGTTGTCTGGTATTGGTAACAAGCAAGTGCTCGAAAAGGCCGGTATCCCTTGCAAGGTCGATCTGCCTGGCGTAGGTGAAAACTACCAGGACCATCTGCTCTTCCTTTGCATGCACCACGCTGCACCAGAAACGGAGACACACGACAACCTCTACCGTCAAATCGAACCAGACTTTTCCGAGGCTCAAGCGGCTTTCGCCAAAGCAGATGGACCACTTCGCACCAACAACATCGATCCTGTCATCAAGTGGCGACCCACGGATGAGGAGGCCGCCGCTTCTGGCTTTGCAGACTTGTATAAGCGTGAGTTCCTGACACACCCAGACAGGCCGCTCTTCCTCTTTGCTGAAATTACGGGATGCTGTGCCGATTTCTCAGTGGTGCCTGAGGGCAAGTATTGCATGACAGGTGGATACTTGGAGTACCCACAATCTCGTGGCGCTGTGCATATCACATCAGACGATCACACCAAAGACGGACGCTTGACAGGCTTCTACGTCGAGTCAGAGGAAGACATTCAAGTGCTCATGTATTGCTACAAGAAGAACCGCGAAATTGCGCGTCGCCTCAAGACGTACCGAGGCGAATTTGCGCCTTCGCACCCACCATTCGACCCAAACTCTGCTGCTGCTATTGATGGCTTCAAGGAGGAAGAGAAGGTGGAGGAGCACAAGACTGTTGCACCCTCGACTGAGAATTTGCCTGGCGCGCTTGACAAGCTGCATGTGCATCCTGTGGCGGAAGGCAAGACGCCCAAGGAGGTGGTCTACACGGAAGCTGACGACGTCGTGTTGCGCAAGTGGGTCAAGGGCAATTGCGGCACCACATGGCATCCTCTTGGGACCAATGCGTGCAAGCCTAAAGACAAGGGCGGCGTGGTAGACGGCAGGTTGCGTGTCTATGGCACAAAGAACTTGCGGGTGTGCGACGTATCCATCTTGCCATTCGAGCCGGGATGCAACCTTGCATCAACGGCTTACGTCGTCGGCGAACGTGGTTCCGACCTGATTAAGGAGGACGCCTACCTCTTCCAAGAGTCGCTTGATGAGAAGGTGGTACCGCAAGTCGGCATCCTTGCCAGTACGGCATAGTCGTTTCCTTTGCTTGGCAGGTTTATACTCACATACTGTATGATTTGATGTTCATGATGCAAACAAGTGTGCCATACCGACAGTCTTTTGTGCTTGGCCCTTGTTGTACACAAACATGCCTTGCAACTGCGCTGTACTGACGGGCGCACCGCTTTTGCGGACGTTGGTGAGGAACTGCTGAGCAGCTTCATGCTCTCCCTCGTAGAATCGCAGAAACATCTCAACAATCTGATGATCAGAGGCATCGCCTAGAAGTTGTTTCATATCAACACGGCCTGGTCGTATTAATGCCGGATCGAGTCTCTCTTCATGATTTGTTGTCATGAAAATGATGCGTTCTTCTGCAGAGGCGACTCCGTCGAGTGCATTGAGTAGACCGGAAAAGGTGACATTGGCTCGATAACCCTTTTCTTCCGTTTGATCGCGACCCACAAAGGCGGCGTCAATGTCTTCAAGCAAAAGAATACTTCGATCAGGAATATTGCTGAGAAGGTGGTTGAGACGATCATCGGTCAGTCCACGTTCAGATAGATTGAGCAAGCAAATGTTGTACTCGAGTTCACCTGCTAGCGCATAAATGAAGGACGACTTGCCCGATCCAGGAGGGCCATGAAGGAGGTAGCCGCGCCTGTATGGGATTCCACGGTCACGGTACCAATTCCCTGAGGCAAGAAAGTCTTTGACATCTGCAGTGATGGTTTCCTTGATGCCGGAGTCGAGCACCACTGAATCGAGTGACCGCCGTTGTCTTGGTTTGCCGAAAGGTCGCCACTCGGTCATGAGTGATGTGTAGATGACAGTCTTACCCTCTTGCATCTTGAGAGCTTCCTGCTGTGCTTCTTGCAGCATCTCACGAAATATGCCTCGATCACGAAACAGTGTTGTCAAAGTAACCGTCTCCCATGGCGAACCAGTCGACAAATCAATCATCTTGCCGTCTCGTTGTCGATTCACCTGAATGAAGGCGCCCTTGTATCGAAGTAGATGCTTTCCCGGGCCAGGCACAAGGGAGAAGGTAGTGGAAGCAGAGCCATTGTCGTGTTGCTTAAAGACCGTCTCTACAGCAAAGTGATGTGATCGACGATTCTTGTATTTTGACATCCAGTGTAGGAACCACAAATAAGACTTGTCTTTACTGGGAATCTCCATCGTCACCAACATCTGATGCTTTGCAAAGGAAGCTGCCTGCTTCACAGACTGCCGTGCAACTGCGATGGCAGCACCAACAAGCATGACACCCAGCCCAGCCGACATGAATTGGTTACCGTTTGTAATCTGGTCGAGCCATGAGGGCTCTTTCGCTGGAGGCAGAGACTCAATACCATTTCTCTGGACTTGATCCATGGCACAGCAACAGGACAGTGACCAGCACGTTGAACGTGTATAGAGACGCGCGACTCGATGTGCTCATAAATTCAGGGAATTCACACGACCATTTCAGATGAGAAGCATGAAATGTGCCTTTCTACAGCTACACTCAATTCTGCAAAGATATCCTGCAATAGCGGTCATGCACCTCTGTCGCCGCAAAGGTACCTGCAACACTCGACCGAATCACATACTTGTTCTCCTGGATCCCACTGACTGTGTGTGTCTCCAACACGCGCTGCCTGCCACCTTTGCCAGCGACACTTCGTGTGTACGTCAACGAGAAAGGCGGCGTGCCGTACAGATGAAAGACAATCTCCGCCTGGTCGCCTTCATGGATAGACTCGATGATGGTTTTGCCTTCAGACACCCGCACACTGGGAATATCGTGAATTGTCTTGTCCAGACCATTGACTGCCACGCGACACTTCGAGGCACTGTCAGCCAAGCTCAAAATTTTGAAATGTCCTGGCTTCTCTGCGATACGGGAAAAGACTGGCCCATGCTCAGTCGCGCGCTTCTTGGAACCTTGAAACTCGTAGTCAATCTTGAATGGCGCCGTACCCTGAAGAGCGTAGGAGATGCGATCACCCACACAAAACTCTTGTCGGGAAGACACAGGCAAGATGCTAGGCCGTTCAGAGATGGCAATGAATACCTGACCATCAAGAGACGTGCGTGCACAACCCTTTGCATCGCTGACTTCGGCGATACTGATAGCGTGCTTGCCCAAAGTCAGCATACTCTTTGGGATCTGTAAGGACCAAGTGTGCGTCTGGATATTTTGCTCTGTCAGATAGCTCGTCCGGCCCGTCAGCTCGTGCTTGATGCGGAATCGCGCAGTGAAGGGTGCTTCGCCAACAAATTTGACGGGAACTCGATCAGCCTCTTGCTCAGCAAGGTCTACTTCGAGGCAATACTGGTAGGACTGGCCTCGCTGAACAAAACCGGCTTCAGGACGAGGATTGACTGTTTGCAGCAGAGTGAATTGTCCATTGGCATCTTCTGCGTCATAGCGAGCATCAGCCACGCCATGGAAGGTATAACGATATTGCCCAGCTGGTGATGTTTTGGCCTTGATACTCACTCGAGGTAAGGCAGCGTTGAGAGACAGCTGCTTGCGATCATGCTCAGTACCTCGTGCATTGAGAAGTGCCCTCTCGTAAGTAATGGCGAAGGGTGGCGCCCCGAAAATGTCCACATCGAAACTATCCTCGTCATTCTCGCAAACTTCGCGACGAACATGCTCTCGAGGTCTAATCTCTTCAGCTGAGGACGCAGGCAGGGATAGTCGCGGTCGTGGAAAGACATTGACTGTGAAAGTTTGCGCTTTGGCATTCACTGTGCCGGGACAGTACGCATCTTGGACTGCAGACAGGCTATATGTCCCGGCCTCTTTGACAGAGAGCTTGCCGTTGGCATCGCGCATGCTCACTTTTCCTTGGCCTCGTGGTGTACTGTAAGATAGCTCCCAAGGCCCATCGCCAAGGAAACGCAGCGGCAAGTCTACTGAAGTGCCATCGATGATGGTTGTTTCGAGCTTGTTATCGATAGTGTAGAACGAGACACTTGGCCGGTCGCGGCGGACCTCAATACTTGCTTCGACTTCTTCGAGAGGTGCATGACAGCCATTGCCATCTTTGACACTCACGAGTGAAACAAGGTACTGTCCACCTTGCGTCATGGCGGGCGTTTTGATGACTTGCGCCGGCGATTGGAGATTGGTCAGCTCAAACCGCTCTCGCTTGCTGCCATGGATGATTTCATATGCCAGGGACCAGGGACCAGAACCAACGAGTCGTACAGGAATCTCCACTGAATCGCCAATGCAGCATTTCCGGGTCTCCTTACGATCAAAATGGGCTCCGGCGAGTGGATGGACAATCTGCTCCTTCTTGACCTCATCTCCAGCGGAGGCCAAGCTGATGCCCTTGTAATTCGCATCATCCAATGACATGAATTCGTAAGCATAGTGTCCGGCCTCTTCAGGTGTAAATCTGAGCTGATGACGACCTCTGTCGATACGTTTCCGATTGAGGGTGGCCTTGCCGTCCTTAATAACCTTCCAAGCGATATCGTATGGCGGCTGACCAGTGAATGTCAGATCCGCCAATAATCCAATTGAGCCTGCGCATTGATCAAGAATGCTGTCGAACGATACTTGAATGGAAGGCTTTCGCGGGGTAATGACAACACATGTAGACGGCATGAGCACACTTCCTTTGCAGTGAGAAGAACTGAAACTTTCGATGGTGTAAATGCCGGCCTCTTGTACTGTCGTCACGGCAGTCTTGGACTTGAAGGTCAGATTACGAAAGGGTGCGCCATTGAGCGGCACGAGTGTGTCAACATCACCCTTACCAAGAGCAGCCATGAACGAACCTTGTTCGCGCGAGGTGATATCAAAGAAGAGCTTTGCTTCCTGGCCCTCCAGAAGCCGAACAGGGTGATCTGGTGAACAACCGCGAAACATGATGGAGGGTCTCTCATGGACGATAAATTGATAGCTGGGTGCTTCAATAAACGCTTGCTCTGGAGCGCTTTGCTCGAGCAGGCTTTGCTTTGCAGTACCGGTTTTGCTACCAGCAGCATAGTTGACGACATTACCGCAAGCGTCCTCGACAGCTTCAATATAGTAGGACCATTTACCAGCAGTAGCGATACTTGCATTGAGATGTACTTCAACCGTATGCGCTTGAGCCCACGCGATATCATCCACATCAGCCAATTGCAGTAATTTTTGCTCACCATCGCTCTTCAGCTCATCCGGCTCCCCTTGCGTCAAGCTAAGCTGTGCTGTCGAACCAGGGCCATCGACATGTTCGCGAGGGCTGATCATCAGTGGACTCGTATAATCAAGCGGCTTGACTGCATCGATTGTGCTCGCACGTTCTCTGCCTTCGATCCATCTATTGTACTTGACTTTGAGTGGCGGAAGGCCAGTGACTCGCAAAGATAGCTCATCCAAGTCGCCTGTACAGCGGTCAGGACTTTCTCGAAGTCGTTCTGGGACAACAAGCGCTGCACTTGGACAAGCGACAACAAGAACTTGCGAACGATAAAGACGCACATCCAACTTTGAAGTGTCTTGGACACGATCAAGCGTGTATAGTCCTGGTTCACTTAGCGTGAGTGGGAACTGCCATGCTTGATGCTTTTGGTAATCGACATGCTTGAGGATTTGCTTGAGTGGCTTGCCGGTGATGTTGTGTGAGGTGCGTTTGTTGTTCTCTGGATTGATTCTCGAGTATTGAATCAACATAGGCACCGTTGCATTAAGACGAATGGGCACAATGATGTCGCGCGGCCGCAGATTATGCTGTTCGCCGGAAACATCAATGCAAAAGCACGCTTGATTTGGGTTGAGCTTCGCTGTTGACTCAGGCAGGATATTGATGGTGTGCTTGCCAAGGATGCGCGAGGCATTGTGAACGATATCAGATACACGAATTTGGTTCTCAAGAACACTGAGCTCGCGGTCATAGAAAGTGCGTAGCAGCAAACTACCAAGGGCCGTGATGCTGATGGATATCCGCGCTGACAAGCAAATATTGATGATGCCAGCAAGTGCAATTTGGACGATTGTTGTGACGAGACCAAAGCTGAGCCATGGTATTCTGAGCTTTGGGATGAGGAAGAGATAGGCTGCATCGATGCCGATCCACTTGAGCGTGAATGCCGTCTCGCTCGGGCCTCCATAGCCAGGAGCATACAGTTGTAGCAGATCATAAAATTTGAGTGCTTGTATGAATATGAAGAGAGAGATGGCATAGAAGCGTTGAGTGGGTGCATCTGCTACGGCTTCAGAGATGACCATGTTTGTGGGAGCACTCGACGGTGGTCCCACTGTAGCGGCAGCTTGCTTCGGAGCAGACATGCTGTCAATCAAGCTTGCTTCTTAGACAAATGTAGCTTTCTCACGCGTACTAGCAGTCATACAAGATGCCCTCGAGCATAGGCCTCGGTCAATGAGCTCGTGTAGGTTTTGTTGTGGTTGGACGCGATCGATGCAGGCGACTAAATTTTGCTTGAAAGGCCGACAGCGACTTCCACCGTCATCACCCACTTCTACTTCACTAAACATGGCAGCAACACGTTCACAGGTCGTGAGGCTCATTGAGAAGATTCCCATTGATCACCTGAGACCGCATGCGAACTTCCAGCAGAATCTCATGCAACGGCTCGACAAGTTCAGTGCACGCGATGTCTCTGCACTGGAAGCTATCGCCTCCGACAAGTTCAAAATCGATGTATGCTATCTATCACGCAGGCCCTGGTCTAATCAGCAGAATCCTCTTTCGAGCAAGCTCATGCGACCTGCATTCAACCCAAACTATTATGAGAAATTGATGGCGAGTTTGAGGGGTTCACAGACATCCTCGAGCCCATTCCACTTCATCACAAAGTACTTCAGGTGGAAGTGAGAATATGCACAAACTTGAGTTGGTTCGTTCACGCAACGGGCGCTGAGTTCTCGCCGAAAGTGAGCCATCTACCTCAATACCTGACTGCTTATGTCATCTTTCTGGGAGAGACGTCTCAGCGGAATCGCTTCGGCCTCGTCCTTATACGACCATGGCATGAGCTCCACATAGCCGTGCAATAGGCTGCTGTATCCGGCGGCTACTCACAATGCCGACAGACTGCAGCTTACAGCACGTCTTGCACTCCTTAGCAAACAAGCGCATTTGACCCCTGTCTTCTATTCCTTTGCAAAGCAACAGCTAGAGTCCTTGTTGACGACAGATGTGCAGTGAACCCAGAACGCCATGAGCCAACAACTCCAACGTCGCAAGTCAGCCATGACCATGCCAGCAAAACCACTGCCAGGTCTAGCAGATGCCCTCTGTGATCGCGCAAAAGTGGCCGTCCTGTCCCTAGACTGTCAAAAGGGTTTCTTTACAAAACAACCTGCGGCAGAGCTAGCCATTATCCCTCAAGCAGTACAAGTGTTGACATGTGCACGCCAACGACTGTTGACGGTGATTCACTCTGGCTTAGGGTATGAAGCGGGTCGACCAGAGGCGCACTTTGGCAACCTCCTCTTTCGCCGTATCATGCCTGGCAAAGTAGCCAATTCCTTCTTGCTCAAGACAGATGCATCCTCCAACATTTGTGAAGCTTTATTGGGGCTAGGAGACATTCGCGTGTACAAGACACGGGACTCTGCGTTTTCAGGGACGGAGCTAGACATGGTGCTTCGAGCTAAGGAGATTCGGACGTTGGTGTTGTTTGGGCTGAGCGATACGGTAGTCTCGACGGCATTGGCTGCGTACAACTTGGACTACACGGTGCTAGTGGTGGCGGATGCTGTGTATGAGGAAGACGCAGAGGTACGCAGTGTCCTGCTGGAGAAGCTGTTACTGCGGTGTGCCATAGTCTGTTCGACTGCGGCGTTTGTGGACTTTTTCAAGCGTGTGGATGTGGAGAGCCTTGCGATGAGCGACATGAGCGATGATGAGCAGTAGATGCTATAGTGAAGAGCATGATGAGTCTCTAGCTGGCCAGTGGCAGTTTCTTGTACCAGGTCACAGCAGACGCAGCGTGCTCTCGAGTTCGGGTTTGTCGTCTCCCCCGCATGAGATCAGACTCCGGCACAGCGGACTCCCATCTACTCATCCGTATAGCACTATCGACCCATCCACACTACCCATCATGTCCCTCCCAGCCTCAGTCACCCTCTCAAACCTCACAGGCAAGTTTGTCTTCAATGCAAAGCAGTCAGGCCCAACAGAACCCCCTCTCAAGGCACAGGGCGTCAGCTGGGTCACCCGCAAGGCAATCGTCAACTCAACCCTCTACATCACCCTCCTCCATAAAAACGGCGGGGCGGCTGCTTCCGGTGGTGCAGTAGAAGAAATCTCTGCAAAGCAAGAGGTCGGGTCAATCGGCAAGTCCGAGGAAGAGTACATCTTGACCGGTGAGTGGGCAGAGAAGGAGCACACTGTCTTCAAACACATCAAGGCGAAAGCGGAGCGTGTCAAGGTCGACCAGCTCCCCCATGCCTACCTTAAGCAAGGCTGGACTGCCTCGGAAATGGAGGATGGTTGTATCTTGGTAGAGTCACACAACGACAAGGACAAGAACCCAAATGACTGGCATGCTTGGCAAGTTTGGGGCATTGCTGAGATTGAGGGAGAACGCAAGTTTGTCCGGCTCAACAAGCTCACTGGCGATAATGGCAAGGTTGATATCGAGCTCAGGCTCGTGTACGACTACACTGGCCCGGTCTAGACAATTTCAATGCGTACTATATTAGAAAAACGGATGGCTTATGCTCATGCTTCTTGATAATCGCTGTATTCATTATTTCCTCGTGTCTTCTCTATTGGTTCTCATCGCGTGCACTTGAAGGCAGATAGATTGATTGATCTTCTTGCGTGGTCGGGGCTGCCAAACGTCTTGCGCGTCTCGCTCGGTGCCATGAAGTAGGCTGTCGTCTTGGACACTGCTGTACTAGGTTGTACAGGGGCCGCAAAGAATGGAGCACGCCGAGAGTGAAGCACTTTTGGCTGCATCTGAATCTCAGATATCGGTGCAGAAGCTTGGTACCCAAAGTCGGCTTTCCACACATTGACAGCCTCATTGAAGGCTTCTGGAGAGTCAGGAACAGACTCGTTGACGGTGACTACCGGTTCTGGCGTCTTGACCATAGATTGCGCCTCAATCCGTTCTTCAGTTTGTGAGGCGGAATTCGCTTCAATCGCAGCAACCTGTTCCTTGTCCATCTCCAGCTGTCGCTTCTGGCGTTCACTCTCCTCTTTAGCACTAGCATCCAACGCTTCTGCCATAGCACGCTCATACTCTGGATCAGAATCAAACCAGCGCTCCGACTCAGTCTGCACAGGAGAGACCGCCTTGATGGGACGATTCTTGCGAATCGTTGCAGGTGTCGCGTGCCGCAAAAAGAAAGGACTCACTTGATTCTCCTTCTCTGCGATTTTAGAACGAGCCGGTTGAGGTGAGGGTCGAATGGGACCATTGCCAAGCGCTATGCCATACGCTTGTAAAACGCCACCTGCTCCTCCCTTCAAACTCTCTGGCGATGGCGACGACTCGAATAACTTGAGCTTCTTGGCACGTTGCGTTTCTCGCAGCGTAAGTGGGGCGGGTCTTCGTGCAGCCACGACATTGAGAGACACATCAGCGAGTGGTGCAGTGGATTTGAGAGGCTGCGGGACCAAAAATGACTTGATGTTGCGTGTCCCTGCAGCTGCGCTGCTCATTTTCGCTTTCGCTGGCATGATATCGACAAGATCGATGGCTTCCTTGGTGATGGGATCCAGCAAACCCGTAGCAATCTGCTGAGCAACATGATCTGGTAGGCATTCACCAATATGCGCCAATGTCGCTTCACTCAGCGGTCCAGCAGGTTCATTCCACATGAGCAGTTTCTTCGCAACCGGACAAAATACATGCTGGTGAAGGAAGGTCTCCTCTGCAATCCTGAATTGCGCTTCATAATCATGCGGCATGCGTAACCCGGTCTCCATCCGTAATGCCTTGAACAAAGCAGAGAGCGTCTTGTGCTTCTTGACACAGGCATGGGCGCGTTTCAAGCCCATCCCGGGGATACTCACAAGATAGTCACATCCAGACAAGATGGCCATCCACCGGAACCTCTCAGGTGACCAACCGGCCAACGGCAAGTCTTTGTTCATTGCCAGTCGATCTCGTGTAATCTCAGAGCAGTCTCCGAACTCATTGAGCTTGAACAGGACCCGATGACATCCAAAGACGAGCAAGTCAGAGTCTTCTGTAATGATGCCATGAATGATATTTTGCTTCTCAAGGTACGCTAGTTGTGCGTCTGCTTCATACGGAGCAACGACATATGCGATTTTCGCCTTTTGCAAGGCTAAAATTAGTTGCAGCGCCATGGCAGGTGTTACGTCAATGGCTTTTGTATAGCAATCCTGAGCAGCTTTGCGATTCCCTTTTGCTTGGAAAGCCTTGCCGGCAGCCATATTTTCCTCTCTCCTCTTTGCACGACTCATCTCTGTGTGTGCTTTGCTGGGAAGGTACCCACCATCAAAGACCAAGTAGGGCGTTACGCCAAAATGCTGTAGCATCTTGACCCGATGCATCGCGTAGTCGACAAATTTGGCAGTAGGGATACCGTTGGAGAGATCCCAAGCACAACTAAATGCACCGCGGTGAAGCCAGACATAAGCATCGACGCCGAGGGTATGTCCTGCGTAATTTCGTAGATGCGCATCTTGTGTGATGGATTTGAGGGCGGGAAGAAGGCCAGAGATGCCCATGTTGCCTTTGCTGCCGTTACAATGCAGCTAACGATGCTGGCTTGTCCCCCTCAAGCAATAGAATACTCGGCGCGTCTCAAGCTTTGTTGATGTATGGAGTCGCGAAAATTGCAGATGAGAAGAGCAGCAGCAGCAGCACAACTTTGAACTCTACACCCAGCGCTTCTGCTATAGTCAAGTATTGAGAGGCCTGCTGATGCCTGCTCTTACATAACAGCTCTGACTCTGCTTGATCTCAAATCGACCAGCCATGCCGCGCGTCGTCATTCGCAGGTCGATGCAAAAAGAAGACTTTGACTACATCGATTTGGATGAACCACATGCAGAGCCAGCTTCACGGCCGAATTCTAGAAAGGCGAAGCGGCGAGCTATAGAGGATTCTCAACCTTCTGACGAGAATGACTCTGTCGCATCTGCCGAGGCTGAGTCTATTGAAGAACTCGGCGATGAGGAGTATGTGCTTGATGAAGGCTCCTCTCAGGTATCTGGTGCTCCCGCCGCTGAGGATGGAACGTTCTCGCCAGAGGTTGATCGGAAGCTGACTCTTCAAGAACCTCTCTTCATTGAGTCGAGTCCGGAAGAAAAACCACCAAAGCACGAGTTTGCTAGTGTAGTGGCTTCGCCAGAGCCAGATTTCCCAGTCACTGAAGAAGATGCGATTGATGATGTTTCCCAAACACCAGTACCTGAGGATGAAGAAGTCATCTGGCCACCTATAGAAAGCGGCGAGCAGCTGGGTTGGATCATGGAACACCTTGCAAAAACAGGCACGAACTTCCCAGATGATGCCTTCAATGATCTCGTCTCCCTTGTGTGTGACGATGAAGAGCAGCCCAAACAAGTACCATGTTATCTCCTGGCAAAAGCATTGACGCGTTCCTTTCGCAGTGACATTCGTCTTTGCGACTGGGCCGCTGCAACAACGGCACTCCAACAACTCGATCAGGTTGAGAAGCGCTTGCGAAATCACTTCGCTGCCATGGAAGGTCATGCCATGAAAAAGTACCTGTACAAGGAAAGAAAAGCACTAACAAACATGTTTCGCTATGTCTACATTGGCTTGCGACGATGGGCCGTTATTCATGAAGCGATGCAGCGGAAAACCACAAACGGCCGCTTACTGACGCTCATCAATGTCTTGTTTCCTGCACAACTTCCAGCACACAATATGGCCGCTCAGCGTGGGATGGCGGAGCAAATGGGCAATCATCGTGGAGCGCTCTTGCGTTTCGTTAGTGGCCTGCAGCAATATCGCGATGAAGGGGTCGGACGCCTTCCAGTAGACTACCCAGGGTACAGTCGCTTTGCCACGCAATTATCTTGGTCAAGTGTGCATACGGTGCTCGTCAAGTATTTGACGCTCGTCCAACAGGCAATGGCCAAGGTGGAACATTTCTTGGAGCCGATACCGGAGCCCTTGCAAGCGATGGGTATCAAGCGAAGCGATACGGTCATGAATCGTATTGCACGACACCTGATTGGGACGTGCAAACATGGATATGATACCACGCTGCGTGAAGCTGATGCACTAGAAGCGTTGCGGTCGAGGCTCAAAGAGGAACGTCGGTTGCTGAGGCAGAAAATGCGAGAGGCGAAAAACAGTGGAGAGGTACCCTTATTCCGTACAGGTCTGTCGCCGGAGCTGTGAGGGAGGATGATGCAAACAAAAGATGTAATCCGATATGGTCTTGAAGCACTCGAGAAGCATGTGTAAGTTGATACAGAGTTATGTGCTGTCGCCTGAACGGCTGTCATGTACATGAGTACTTCGCGGCGTTGACGCGGGTTAGTCTCAAACAGCTCATTCTCAAAGGAGCAGCCGTAATCCTCGGGCTTGATTGACCGTACAGGCAGGTTTGGATGCCAAGAGATACTCCTGAAATCCTTTGTGCCGTCAAAGACTCCTGGAGGTTCATCTTGGCGAATCACAGTCGCCAGCTCGCACATGATCTCGCGAAGTGACTTTTCATGTTGTATCAGACAAGTATCAGGTTATCTGCCTGCCATTCACGAATCTTGCTTCAAATCCCGGTGTAGTATCTCCGCGGCAACTCACCACGCAAGCTTACAAATACTAGCATAGCCTATCTCGGCACGTTTCCCTCGCGGCGAGACTTAGTGCGAGATTAGTGTCACAAGTTGCTGCATGGCGGGCTATCGGACTGAGCGAATGAGGCAGTGCGGGTTTGCTGCCGGGCAAAGAAAGATGCGTGGGAGGAGGTGTTGCCGTGCCTGGTCATCTGAAGAGGCTGTCCTGTATATTCGCAGGGTTAGGCCAGATCTGCTGCTTTCTTGGTTGTTGCAAGTTTCGCCTCTGCTGCTTCGAAGCTTCTTTACGTATGCAAAAGGCCAGCCACCGAGGCTGCAGATAATAAACTGAACCGAAGACTACAGCATCAGCAGCAGCGACCGGGGCCTCTGCCAACGACGACATCCAGATCCCGCAAGCAGGGCCGTGCACCTCGACACGACCTTCGACCCCCTGAGTTCACGCAAAAGGCCCGTCTGCTCGCGCGCAGGACACACACAAAGCCGAGCCGCACTTGCCCCGAGATTGCAATCAAAAGAATCACACACCAGCACACCCTCCTGTTCTCCCCGTTCGAGCAACAACTCCCTCTTTGTTTGCTCCAGCGACGCTCCATCGTGCAGCGTCAAGTTGCCCGATCAGTTTGCGACGATACATCCAAGGTCGCCATCCACGCGAACGACCAGCGCTTGTTGCTCGAGTGCCACTAAGTACGCGGAAAATACGATTCCGACAAGAGCTCTTTTTGCCTGGTCTTGCAAGACGTGCCAAGACGGATCACTGCATTGGGTGAAATTCGAGCATCCGGCAACCAAGCCCGTCGGTGTTTGAGCAGAGAGACTTCGCTGCCTTCGTGTACTTAACGCGGCCGTATGCCAGCATCAGACTCGTCGCATCAGTTTCTTCAACAACAACAGATGGACAAGGGAAATACGTCACCGGACTTTGTAAAGAAGCTCTTTACAATGCTCGAGGAGCAGGAGTATGAGCACATTGTGCGCTGGAACTCTCTGGGCGACTCCTTTATTGTTCTAGATGTGCGTATCTCAAAAGGCGCCCTTTGAATTTGCACAACCTGCCCATGGCCGTGCTTTTTCCCAGCGGCCCACAAAACTTGATTGGAGATCTGTCGCTAACATCTAGACCAATGAGTTCACAAAGACCATCCTCCCGCGCCATTTCAAGCACTCCAACTTTGCTTCATTTGTCAGGCAGCTGAACAAGTATGCTGCTCCTGTTCACTTTAGAATGTGCTAACTGAGCAGATATGATTTCCACAAAGTCAGACAGACCGATTCCAGCGGCGAGAGCCCATATGGCGAAGGCGCTTGGGAGTTCAAGCACGAGAACTTCCAAATCCACAACAAAGACTCGCTGGACAACATCAAGCGCAAAGCACCCGTTGGCAAACGCGGCGGCGGTAGTGGTGGTATGAAAGAAGGCGGTAGCGGCGGTCACCCCATGGATGACTCGCCATACCCTGTCAATCAGCACATGCACAGCATGCAGCACCAGATTGACGAGTTGCACAAGCAACAGGCTGGCATGAACCAGCATCTGCACACTTTGACCAAAAACTACCAAACGGTCATCAGTGAGATGCTCTCCTTTCAGCGCAACATGGTGGCACAGGATCAACTCATGCAGAACCTCATCTCGTACATGATGCAAGGTCCCGCAGGTCAGCCTCTTCCCGCCACTGAAGGTGCTGCGGCACAAGAACAGCCAAGGACGCAAGAGCAAGCACAGAAGCTCATCAACGACTACACAGAGGTGGCTAAGGCGAGTTATGAGCAGATGGATGCCATGAACAGACGTGCCTCGGATATGGGCTTAACGCTCGACGCAGCTCAAAATAGCTGGCCGCAGTACGATCAAGCGCACCACCCTCAGCAACAACAACAGCAGCAGCAGCAGCAGCAGCAACATGCAGGCCATCAGCAACACCCATATGATCAGCAGGGCAACCCAATGCATGGACAGCAATCGTACAACCCGTACGCCGAGCCCGTGCAGAATCGTCCATTGCATGGATATGATGGTGCACCCCCTCCAAGTGGTGCATCTACACAGTCATACACGGGCTACCAGTCCAGCGTCACTTCAGCGCCGGGCTCGCATGCTGACAACAGATCATCGACTGGGTATCCGCCTCAACAGCAACAACAGCCACAAACTCCGGGACACCCAATGCAACCTAGCAATTCGGCGCAACAAAGTGCGGCTGTTGTCAAGAGGGAGGCTCAAGCAGATGGCAGCCGAGTTGCTGGCCCTGGCATGCCCAATAATGCAGCAGGTCAAGCGGTCAATGCCATTCGTGCTGTTCAGCAAATAAAGCAGACGTTTGTGCCTTGGGCCGTTCCCCCTAAAGTGCTGCTCGTTGAGGATGATGCCGTTTGCAGGCGCTTATCGAGCAAATTCTTGAGCATCTTTGGGTGTGACATTGATATGGCTGTTGATGGTGTTTCTGCCGTCAACAAGATGAACCACACAAAGTACGATTTGGTGCTCATGGACATTGTCATGCCAAATCTCGATGGTGTCTCTGCAACAAGCTTGATCCGTCAATTTGATCCATTGACACCCATCATCAGTATGACATCCAATGTCCAGAGTGGCGATGTCATGACTTACTTCTCCCATGGCATGAATGATATTTTGCCCAAGCCATTCACGAAGGATGGCTTGTTGGGCATGTTGGAGAAGCACCTGATTCATCTCAAGACACTGAAGCAGATGAATACAACAGAGACGGGACCCACTGGCGTCAGCGAAAAGGAGGCTGCCGCCGGCAGCGCATTCAACCTGTCTGAAGCAGACTACTTGGGTATGCTGTCAGGGTTGATGGGAGGATCAGTTCCCAACCTGCGACGTTCAGCAGAAGAGATGGCTGCGTCGCCGGGAAATGCGAGTGACGCGCAGACGCAAAATAGCGATACGCGTCCAGTGGGAAAAAAACAGCGCACTGAGGAGGTGGCGAAGTAGGCTTGTGATTCCCCTTTCTTTTGGACTTCTATGTATGTTTTTCAGCTTGTTAACCATTCTTTCGAATCCATCTCTTGCCTATCTTGGCCAACCTCGCTCTCAGTGACTGCGAATTGCTGAGTCTTATTCATCCATCTGAATACGATGACAGCAGATTCAGGCTAAATTGCTCCCCGCAGATCTCTCGAGGAGCGCGTGCTGTGACCCTCAACCTCAACCGTGAGCCTTAAGTCTGAAGCAGGACCCTTCTCTACTTGATTGAAGCTGTAGAAGAAGAGCGGACTCTGCTGCACAGACATTCCGACGCTCCAACATGTCGCTCAAGTACAAGGAAAATGGCAAACTAGACTCGCCTGCTCTCTATACAACGCCCAACCATGAAATCAAGTTGATTGATACAGAAGTTGCCAAGCCAGGCCCGGGTCAAGTCTTGGTTCATGTGAAGGCAACAGGTGTCTGTGGCAGTGATGTTCATTTCTGGAAGCACGGCGCTATTGGGTGGGTGCCCTGAGAATGGTTCCCCTGAGAAGACGCTAACAAAAATGACAGGCCTATGATTGTCAAGGCCGACAACGGCCTGGGTCACGAATCATCGGGTGTCGTTGTTGAAGTAGGGCCTGATGTGATGCGTTGGAAGGTGGGTGACAGAGTCGCTATTGAGCCTGGCATTCCGTGCGGCCTAGCGACATGCTATCATTGTCGTACCGGTCGATACAACGCTTGTCCGGATGTGGTCTTCTTTAGCACACCGCCTTATCACGGCTTGCTCACACGCTATCATTTACATCCCGAAGCTTGGCTACACAAGCTACCAGACAGTTTGTCCTTTGAGCAAGGCAGTCTCCTAGAACCGCTCTCTGTGGTGCTTGCAGGATTCGAACGTGCTCAACCGCGTTTGGGTGATGAAGTGCTCATCTGTGGTGCTGGCCCTATTGGACTCATCTCACTCATCTGTGCTCGAGCTGCTGGTGCTTGTCCCATTGTCATTACAGACATGAGTGAGAGTCGCCTGGCCTTTGCCAAGAACCTGGTTCCTTCTGTACGCACGGTACGGGTCACAAAGGACAAGTCACCAGAAGACGTGGCAGCAGAGATCAAACAAGTGATGGGCTCAGAATTGGGTCCTGTGTTGACAATGGAGTGTACCGGTGCAGAGCCAAGTGTTGCAGCAGCTATTTATGCTTCGCGTTTTGGTGGTAAAGTATTTGTGATTGGTGTGGGCAAGGATACCATGAACATCCCATTCATGCATTGCTCAGCAAATGAGATTGACTTGCAATTCCAGTATCGCTATCACGAGACTTGGCCAAAAGCTATCAGACTGATGGAGGAAGGGGTGATTGATTTGAAGCCACTTGTCACGCATCGCTTCAAGCTCGAGGAGGCGGTTGCTGCACTGACCAACAGTGCTTCGCCTACCAGCGGCTCTATCAAGACGATGATTATTGATGATGAATAAGATGAGTTTCAGTGGATTGTTATAGTGACAGGAAGAGCAAGGTCGAATCTAAGTATCTACAATGCTTCGCCAGCCTTGATTTTCGCTCGCAGAACATTCTTCTGGACTTTCCCCGTACCAGTCTTAGGGAGATCCTTGACGAGCACAACCTCTTTCGGCACTTTGTATCCAGCAAGGGTCTTGCGAGCCCAAGCAATCACTTCATCCTGCGATACGGCCTGGCCATTCTTGCACGTCAGGACAGCCACTGGGATCTCGCCCCACTTTTCATCCTTCTTGGCAACGACGGCGCACTCGAGCACTGCTGGCATCTTGAGGATGCACGACTCGACTTCAATGGAGGAGATGTTTTCTCCACCAGAGATGATGACATCCTTGCCGCGATCCTGAATTTCTACATAGCCATCAGGGTGCACGACTGCCAAATCTCCTGTCAACAGGTAATTTGATCTAAATGTCAGACGTGTCGCCTCAACGTCATCATAGTAGCCTTTCATGGCGAGATTTCCGTGAATGGCAATCTCACCGAGTTCGCGGCCATTGTGCTCAACTTCAACGAGCTGCTCTGTGCCTGTGTGGACATGATCTTCTGGTTGCGGCTTGATGACCATGACTGCACGGGAGGTGGAGAAGCCGTGTCCCTGGCGCGCCATGTTTCGGTACATGTCGGCTTCTGAACCTTCCTTCCATGCAGGCTTGAAGTAGCCGCGCATCATGGGGCCGTATGTTTCTGTCATGCCATAGACATGAATTCCATTGAGATTGAGGGCGTGCATACTCTTAAATAGTGACGCAGAGGGGGGTGACGCAGCAACAATGACACGAGCAGGTCGTTCGAGTTTGCGTGCATCCGGATGGTTGATGAGCAGTGTGCAGACTGTGGGTGCTGCGCAAAGGTGTGTGACACCTTCTTCATTCAAGAGTTTCCAGACATTGCCGTAGTCCATCTTACGAAGTGTAATGTGGCGACCCTGTGCGAGTGTGACAGCCCAGGGGAAACACCAACCTGCTGCATGAAAGATGGGCAGCGTCCAGAGGTAATTTGCGTTGTTGCCACCAAATGCATCGCCGCAGTTGAGTTGCGAATCAATCAGATTGCCAAGAGCGCCCATATATACTCCACGGTGCGTAAAAGTAACAGCCTTAGGGAGAGAAGTTGTTCCAGAAGTGAACATGTAGCAAAAGTCCGAATTCTCATCAACCTCTTCATACGGTAAACCTGCCCAACCTTTTGTACCGGCCGTTGCATCCATGATGCGCTGACCTTCTTGCAACATCTCTGCGTAAGCGCCAGTCTTACCGTCAATGTCTTCATCCACGACGATATCGACCTCTCCTGCCATCTCCTTGACGAGATCATAATACTCACGATCGACAAGGACGGTCGATGCCTTGGTCTTGCGCAAGCAGTAATGAATGTCACTCTTTTGCAAACGATAATTGAGTGCCGTGAAGCGACCACCTGCTGCTGGGATGGCGAAGTAGGCCTCGAGCATCATGGGCGTGTTGGAGGCTAGTATCGCAACGACATTGTTGCGCTTGAATGTATTCTTACGCATGTAGTAGGCCAGTTGGCAAGATCGCTGCGACCATTCGCCATAGTTGTACTCGAGCCGCGTGCCATTTGCAGAATAATGCAGGATGGCCGGCAAGTCGGGGTTGATGGCTGCGACTTTAGGGAGGAACTGGGTCGGATTGAGCTCATGATAGTTGTGTACTCGAGGGCCCGTGTGTGCTGCAGGTCCATGGACGGTGTTGTTGGCTGGGACGGGCGGCTCTTGCTGTTGAGGGACAAAGTTGTCCTTGATGTGGTGCAGCAGCTGCCGTAGTCTTCCCTCTGGCTGGCTCATCGCTGCCTGGCAGCCCTTCACTTGTTCCTGGGCCAGATTGGAGGACGCGAGCTGGTCTTTATGCTCCTCCGCAGCGTCCCCCACACTCGTCCTCAGCCCGCGCAAAAATGCCAGAGACCGGCCCACCCGCAATTTAATCAGACAGGTGGAAGGCTATAGCACGGTTGGTGCATCTGAGTCGAGCGGAATGAGTACTGGAGTAGGTGCATAATATATGAGCGACGCACTGAGTGGATTCCGGCAGCCCCCTCTTTGCCGCTGGTCAACTTGGCCAGGCAGTGCCGTCGGCGGCTAGGCCGATGCTGCCCATCTGATCGCGCTCACCGTGAAATCGAAACGACGCTGTAGGACGTATTCTTCTGTCAGCACATTATCAACCTCATGTCTACAGAGCATGAGCGAATCTGAGAGTGACACAGAAGAAGCTGAGAACAATTCTCCATTGCATGTCACATTCTTCTACGGCTCGCAAACTGGGACAGCTGCAGACTATGCAACAAGTCTCTTCCAGCTTGCTCGACGCTGCCATGCGCACGCCACACTCGTCAATCTGGCAGACCCAGATGCACTGACTCAACTTGCAGAGGCTGAGTTTGCTGTCTTTTGTATAGCAACTGCTGGTACAGGCGAGCTGCCTACGAGTATGCAGTCATTCTGGCAGGTTCTTATGCGAAGCTCCCTTGACGATAGTCAGCTTCTGGAAGACTGCTCTTTTGCCATCTTGGGTCTAGGCGATACTAAGTATCCCTTGTTCAATTATGCAGCCAAGAAACTCCGTCGAAGGCTTCTCAAACTCGGCGGAGTGGAGGCCATGGATCCTGCGTATGCTGATGAAAGCGATCCGGAGCATGGTCTCGATACTGCATTCGGCCCATGGAAAGACAAGCTCAAGCAGATCTTTGTTGATCAAAGCGCTACAGAGCCACTTGACGATATGGTTTTCCTTCCCCCGGTCGTCTCAATTACTGCTGCAGAAGGAGGTGTACAACATTATCAAGCACAGCCGCCAGTGCCTGCGCATATATTGCGTAATCATCGCTTTACCCCGCAAGAGCACTGGCAAGATATTCGCCAGCTCGACTTTTCTATGCCAGCCTGCAATATACTATCGGATGGACCAGCGTCCATTGAGCCTGGCGATGTTCTTTGCCTCATGCCGGTCAATCAAGATGCCGACGTAGATCGATTCTTGACATTGCTGGGTTGGACAGAAGCATCTGATGTGGCTCTCTCGATTGAGCCTCAATTAAGCGGCCTCTATGCACATGCAGGCCATCCCATCACTCTACGCAAGCTGGCCAAGTATGTTTTGCCATTGACTGGCGTCCCAAGACCATCACTCTTCACAGGCCTCAAACACTTTTGCACAAACGATGACTTTCGGGAAAAGTTCCAAGAGTGGGAAACGCTAGAAGGCAAGGATGACTATTACGACTACATCAATCGCTCGCGACGGACATTACTCGAAGCGCTTGATGACTTTGCCTTTGGCCTTGAAGTGCCATGGCAGTATGCACTGGACCTCTTTGGGACCATGGCCATCAGAGAGTACTCTATTGCAGGGGCAACAAAGCAAGATGATGAAACTTGGCGTGTCGAGTGTCTCATTGCCCTCGTGCAGTATCAAACCCGCATTCGACAACCTCGGACGGGCGTTGCAAGTCGATATATTCAAACACTCAAGACTGGTAACGATGTGTCTGCCTTTGTTCGCAAAAACCCAATGCCACGACCTAGTGCTGATGAAGCAGTGCTCTGTATTGGTCCAGGTACAGGTTTCGCACCGCTTCGATTCTTGCTACAGCAACAATGGGCGACACCTCGTCGCACTGCTGTACTCTTTGGCTGTCGAGGTCAAGAAGATGATATGACACGTACTCTAAGCTTGTCTGTAAAGGAAGACTTGCAGCATCTATGGGTCGCGCAGTCTCGTGCAGGCGAGAAAACTTATGTACAATGGCTCATGCGAGACGACAAGGGCGTTCGCGAGGCTGTGAGGCAGCTACTTGAAGATGGTGGGCGTGTGTATCTCAGTGGATCGAGTGGCAAGATGCCAGAGGGCGTCAAAGAGGTCATCTGCGAGATCATGGACGATGCAGAGGCGGTGACTAAGCTTGTCCGTGCTGGTCGCTGGTGGGAGGAAACTTGGTGAGCATCAGATGACATCACTCAAACCGCGACCAAAACCGATAACCACCACCACTACCACCATCGGAAGTGTCTTTGGCTACAAGAGAGCGTTTGAAACTGGCTTTGTATGAGCTGTGTCCTCGACCTGTTCAAGAAGCGGCAGGCTCAATCTAGCCGGCCACCATCATACAGCGCAACAATGGATAATGTCAGTACCATAAATAAAGACCTGAGCGACAGCAAGCTTTCGGATGCGCCAAACGCATCGGATGTTCTGTCGGAGCGTGGGCAAGCAAACTACAAGAATCTCTATCCAGTTTTGTCTTCATTTATCGATATCCTTCGCGACACTTACGACCCGGAAGAGAATCCAGGCGGTGTCATCAATGCCGGCATAGCAGAGAACTCTCTAAACTATCGAGTGGTCGAAGAGTACTATAGCTCATTGGACATTAAATTCACAGATCTGACGTATGGAGATGGTGTCGGCTCTTCACAAAGACTCAAGGACCTCTATGCAGGCTTCATCAACCATCGCTTGAAGCCAACGCACAAGCTTGATTCAGACAGTATCTTTGTTGGCAGCGGTGTAGGCGGCGTCATTGATGCGCTGGTATACAACATGTGCGATCCAGGAGACGGGGTCTTGGTTGCCGAGCCGTATTACAATGGCTTTGATGTTGACTTTACGGTGCGCTCTTCAGCGATTCCTGTTGGCGTTAAGCTTGATCACCTCGACTCGCCTTTTTCCTACAAGGCTCTCGAAGCGTTTGAGAAGACATACCTTGCAAAGAAGAAGGAAGGCATCGTGTGCAAAGCGGTAATGCTTTGCAATCCTCACAATCCACTTGGCAGATGCTATCCACGCTCAACCATCAGAGAATATATTCGCTTTTGCAAGAAGTATGACTTGTGGCTTATTTCAGACGAGATTTACGCTTTTTCTATCTTTGACACACCAGATTCGTTGGCCGCTACTGGCGAAGACAAGGCTTTTGCTCCCTACCACTCAATTTTGAGCTTTGAGGATGAAGAGCTCGACGGCTTCGACAAGATTTGCTTCCTGCACGGCATGTCCAAGGACTTTTGCGCCAATGGTTTCCGCATGGGTTGCTGTGTTCTTCCTTACGACGGCCCTCTACGCATCGCCATGTCGGCCAGTAGTATCCTTGGCAAAGTGTCAAGTCTGACCGATATCGCCTTTAGTAAGATTCTGGCAGACAAGGCGTTCCTCGATGAGTTCCTCGATGGGAATAAGCAGAAACTCAAGGCAGCTTATACGGTCTTTGACTCATGGGCCAAGGCGCATGGAGTCAAATATATGCCTAGCCATGCCGGCCATTTTGTCGTTCTCGACCTACGTCCCTACCTCGACAGTGGCAAGCGTTGGGCAGAAAGTCAGAAGAATACAGCGGAGTCTACGAAAAGCGATGGTTGGGCCGATGAGTTGGCTTTGCAGCAGATGCTCATCAAGAAGCACAAGATATTCGTGTCGACTGGTGCCATGTATCATTTTAGTGAGCCTGGCTTCTTTAGATGGACATTCACGATGAGGCCGGACTATGCTGCTGTAGCATTGGAGCGACTGGCCACGGGCCTGGGTCTATAGATGATGTTCAGATAGGTATCAAGGCCAGTCCCGAATTACCAAACAGACAATGCTGACCACTACTGGCCTTTACCTTGATTGTCAATTTGCCATACCCTTCTGTGTATGCCGTTGAGTGGTCAGCGAACTGCACTCTGATGCGAGCCTTGACAAAAGATGTCAGATCTGCACGAATGTCTGTGAGATGCTGACTGGCACCCGAATCGATTGTGTATTCGTTGGTGAAGGGAACATTGGGATCATTTGTCAAGTAGTCTTTCATGAGATTGATGTGGAGAGGACTCAAGCAGTGTGTATGCTTATTACGGTAGTTTGGGCCTTTGGGATTGCTAAAACACTCCTCCATGGAGGGTCTTACCTCGTCACAATAGCCCCCGCAACAGGATGCCACCATCCGTATCCAGGATTGAATGGCGTGTTTGGCTTCGTAGTGACCGCGTGCCTGCCAGCCATTGTTGTGAGATTGCAGTTTGCGTGGCATAGCGGTCTCTCAAGGCCACACCCATCCCACAATGTACTTGACGAAAACGTTATTCGTATTGAAGGTGCCTGTACGTTGCCTGACCAGCAAGAGGTGATTTCAGTTCTTGGCAGTCCTTCCAGGACCCGACTGATGAGCTGACTCAGCTCGTTTGTTTTTGGGTCCAAGCCAGTTGCCAGCGCGTCCTTGCACAAGTCGTCTACCTCCTTGAGGTATCGCTTTACATCCGGCTCTGACCAAGTGCGGCACTTGAGTGAAGCAAACTGCCTTCGAACTGCATCCCAGTGCGATGCATCAGGAGCGCCATTCAGTCCTGAACAGGGTTGGTGGCATCCTGTTGCGGGTGGCTATTGTGATGAGGTAGGTCACTCCATGGAGGAGTGCTTTAGCAACCCAAAAGGCCCAAACTACCGTAGTAAGCCTGCACACTGCTTGAGCCGCACTCTTCACATCAACCTCATGAGAGACTCCTTGACGATTGATCCCAAATCTCCCTTCACAAATGATTACACAATCGATTCGGGTGCCAATCAGCATCTCACAGACTCTCGTGCAGATCTGACATCCTTTGTCAATGCTCGCATCAGGGTACAATCCGCTGACCACTCAGCGGCATACACAGAAGGGTATGGCAAATTGACAATCAAGGTAAAGGACAGCTAGTGGTCAGCATTGTCTGTTTGGTAAAACAGGACTGGCTTTGACACCCATCTCAACAGATGATACTATGGACTTCTGTCACTGAGCTGTACAAATTCTACTGGTCCAAGCAGTGCCGTTGCAATTGAGTATGGCGGGTATTCGACACGGACGCCCCGCATACACACAACGACAAACGACAGGCGCTGGCGAACTTCGCAGCACTGCCACAGGCCCACACCGCTACAGCCTACAGCACGCTTAGGACTTCGCTGCCGACTCATGAAGACCCAAGCCGCTCAAGCCAGCTGGCAATGTCTGAGCGCATAATAGAGGAGTCTTAGAGGACACGGCAGTACCGCCGTCTGGCCGTGCTTTATGCGCACCAGTAACATGTTACTAACAAGTTGACAAGGCCACACTGCCGGAATGTAATACTGGCGCTCGGCTCAGGACTCAAGCGACGCATGACAGACCCTGACAGCTCGCCTATGTATGCTTCGAGAAAACTCCGAGCGCCTGGTCTCTGGAGCATCCAGTTTACTGGAGCGATTGCAGAGCTGTTCCTTAAAGAACAATTGATGCCCGCCTTTGGCGCTGCCGCACTTTTCTCAATCCCTTGTAATGCGCAACCAGCTTGCTTCACTGCTACTACTTGCGCTTGCTGACGAAGTGTCTGCCCGTGCTATTCATTCCAAGCGGATCAGCGGAACAATCTCGACATCCTTCACCGACAACACTACAGGATCTGGTTCATTTGGCGATTTCAATGTTCAAACAATCATCGACCCCGGTGTTAAAGTCTGGTTGTCTGGTCGTAGAACCTTGGGGCTATACGGCAACATCCAAAACTCGGGCACACTTCTTGTCAGTCAGACAGACTCGGATTCACCCGACTACCCAGGACAATCAGTGTTTTGGCAAGGCGGAGACGCTAGTAATGGCAATCTTATCAACAAGGCCGGAGCAGCGATCATATTGAATGATGCTGCCGCTTCTTCAACTCCATCTTATTACTGGTATCTTCAGTCCGTTGAGAATGCTGGTACCATTCAGTGGTGTTCCGGCGGGAACACCACCGAAAATGAGCATCGGCTTAGTTCAAGGTCTTCAGATGTCAACAATGGGTTGATCGTTTTTGAGTACACCAAACTGGGCACTGGTGGCTCCGTGGAGTGGCGCAATCATGAGCAATCCTCTAGCTTGACGCCGCCCGCCACTCTCACCAACAACGGAGGTGTCCTTCTGCGCTCGATTACTATGTATCTGAATCAGAATTACCTCGGCGTTGGTTGTTGGATGATTGGTACAGGTGCGACCATGCACCTGCTCAATGGCATTTACCTCTTCAACAATCCTGACCATGGTCCTCCGCTTGTTGGACAAACCATCTCCTTTTTGGATAATACTGGCATTCTTCATTTCGACCCGCTCGCCTTTGAGCGAACACCAGACTTCGGTGCTTCCATCCACGGCTTCGGTCAGGGCAACAAACTCCAGTTCTTCTACGAGGTGAACAATTGGGTGTACGCTGGTAGCACTCTTAGGGTAAACTTTGTCCAAGGAAGCTTTGTCAATCTCATCATTGGAAGTGGCTACTCGGACAGCGACTTCACAATGACAAAGACTCCGTATCGGCACTACATCGCTTACTCTGGCCCTGCTCCTCTATCTTCTCCTCCCGCGCAGTGCCTCTTGACTGCTCCAGTCTGCACTGCTCTTGTCTCTGACTCCATCTCTGCATCTACGACGTCAAGTGAGGCGCCTCCCGCCACCACGCTTACGACGGCTATTCCTACCACGACTAGCGAAGGATCCCCAATCTCTTCGCTTTTGGGCTGCTTTCAAGACTCTGCCCAATTTGGCGGCGTTCGCACATTCAATGGTCCCTCCTACGTTGACACGAATGGCCTGACCAACCAGGCCTGTGCATCATTCTGCACCAGCAAAGGTTTCCCTATTTCCGCAACTGAGTACAGTCAAGAGTGTTATTGCGGCGGCGACGTTCCAACAACTGGCTCTGCCGTGTGCAGTAAGCCTTGTTCTGGTGACCCTACACAGGTCTGTGGAGGAGATTGGGCCTTGTCAGTATCAAGGACATCTAATGTGCCAGTCAATTCTGTCTCATCAGCTCCCTCTCCCAATGTCACGGCTATCGACTACATCCCATTCAAGTACGATGGCCAACTTGCTGGTTGCTTTGCTGATGCTGCCGAGACGGGTGGCGTCAGAACACTGTCTGGAGCCACTTATCGAGACTCGAGCTCTTTGACCAACGAAAAGTGCGCCAACTTTTGTGGCGAAAAGGGCTTTGCGTACTCTGGCACTGAAGATGGTCAGGAGTGCTGGTGCAGCAGTACGCTGCCTACAGTCAGCTCTACGCGCTGCGATGCAGCTTGCAAGGGCAACACTACACAGACTTGCGGTGGACCATGGGCGCTGACAGTCACCATCAATCAAGCCATTGTGGAGCAGAGCAGCAGTGCTACGCCCTCTCAACCGCCTTACACTGCGCTAGGCTGTTTTGCAGATAGCGTGAATGCACGCGTCTTCGGTGGCTTCAGCTACACGAACAGCTCTATGACTCCAGCTCAGTGCGCTGCCAAATGTTCTTCTCTCTTCTTCCCCTTTTCTGGCACTGAGTTTGGCAATGAATGCTTCTGCAGTCAGTCTGCGCCAATTTCTACATCGACTCAGTGCAACAAGCCTTGTGCTGGTAACTTGGGTTTGATCTGCGGTGGTCCTGATGCCTTGACAGTATTCCAAGACACAAGCGTCTCGCCAGCTGTACCTCCTACATGCCCAGGGCTGCCTTCTGCTTTTGTAGCCTGCACTGAGGGTCAACGCGTTAGTGGCGGCAAGTGCGTCAGTGACTGACCATCTTACTGATCTCTGAGCTTACATCCTTCTTTCCCTGTCTCGGCTTTCGATTTGCTGTCTGCCTTTGACCGCGCCATTTGCCATTGGACCTGTGCTGTTACTTTCATAGAGTATCATGGCAGTGTATAGTGTATTCGGATCATGTAGCTGTGGAAGGCCTATCTTGACCTTCCTACCACTCAATTTGAACACGGACTGGTCCCTGGTTAAATCGCTTAAAATCTTGATCTCTCGTCCCATCTCGTCGCATTTCTGTGCGCGAGCTCGAGCATGAAGCTTGAAAGTAGTCCGTTTAAATTGGCCCCTCCGCGCGGACTACTATGGAGTAGAGCCTAGAGCTATGGGCGCAGATCAATGCTCACGGCTCGTTCTCATGCTCCTGTGCTGTGTGTTATCGCCAAACACTCTCACTCTTGACTGTGCTCAAGGCTACATCCATTCGACGACCACGTGCCGATCAATTCGATTAATGCAACTGCAAAGCGCCACAGCTGCATAAGTCGGGTCAATCGGTGGTCACTGGTAAGTGTCACCGACACTCTGACTCACTCAAGGATGCTACTAGCCTAGTACATCATGCTAGGCATTGCTACTAATTTGCTAGCGCACGCGTTGCGGCCGTTGGGGCCAGTGCGGCGGGTATTTGATGCGGGCCCGCCGTTGCCGCCAATCCAGCCAGCTACAACTTAAAAATGTTCTCCGCGACAATAAGACTCTTCGCGTTGTGAAGCAGTCGACCCGGAACTCTGGAAGCTGGAGGCCAATGCGATGGAAGTCTTTGCCCAAGGCATGTCTTTGATTCGTCCTTTACGAGTCGCGACAGTGCTGTGGCCTGTGGGCCTGTGGCCTGTAGGCTGTAGCCCGCAAGGTCCCTTCCAGCAACGGAAGTCGCGCTTTGCGCGCAGCATCGGCTGTCGGCCTGTCACAGGCTCACAGCCTGTCAGTCTGTCACCAAATCACGGGCCACAGCTCGTTAGTTGGACTTGCTTGCAACTTATTCATCCCGACTCGCCAGTGCGGTGCCGCACTGCACTAGGCTTCAGCGTATGGCCGGCGACACCGCCCCGGTGAGACTGTGCCTGGGACCAGGCCTTGGGTAGACGCGATCAGAGCTATCACCTTTCTCTACGATATTAAGGACCGCATGACACAGGCTGTCGCACAGCTTGCGCCTTGTGCCTTTTAATCCAGTCGATGCCCACCGTGTACAGCACGCCGCTCCCTTCACCTTCCCAATGCATTGTCAACTTGCCTCTGCTCTGCTACTCACGCTGGTTGCGCAGGGCTCAGCCCGCTCTATTCACTCCAAGCGAGTCAGCGGGACCATTTCGACGTCCTTCACCGATAGATCTGCTGGTGCCTCCTTCGGTGCAACCGATGTGCAAAGCATAATCAATGCCGGCGTCAAAGTTTGGCTCTCTGGCGATGGAGGTCATACATTGTACGGCAACATTCAGAACTCTGGCTCGCTTGTCATTAGTCAGACAGATGCGGTGAGCTCCCCGCTCTACGGACGGGCTGTTGAATGGGAAGGCGCAGGTGCCAGCAATGGTAATCTCATCAACAATGCTGGTGCATCTATCCTTCTCAACGATGTCTCCGCTTCCTCTTCCTCAAGTGCCCGTTGGTACATTCAAAGTATGAACAATGCAGGCACCATCCAGTGGTGCGGTCGTGGAAATGCGGTCAGTTACCTTTACAACCTCATCTCCAAAGGCTCGAGTGTCAACAGTGGTCTCTTAGTCTTTGAGCAAAAAAGCGGTGACACGGGTATGCTTGCTGCATGGAGCAATGAGGTATTGGACTCAACAACTGGAACTCCAAGTGCTACACTGACCAACAATGGTGGTGTCCTTGTACGCTCGATGCAAGTCACTTTAAGGCAGAATTTCTTCGGGGATGGTTGCTGGATGATCGGCAATGCCGCTACCTTGTACCTGCAGAGTGGTGTTCGTGTCTTTCAGAACCCGACGAGGGGACCTGCCCTCGCCGGTCAAAGTATCGCTTTTCTGGACGGCACTGGCACGCTTCATCTGGATGAGCTTGTCTATCAGTCGACGGCATTCAACTTTGGTGCATCAATATTTGGCTTCGGTGCAGGCAACAAGCTCGAGTTCAGCCAGGAGATTACATCCTGGACTTATTTCTCCGATATTCTTGAGATCCTTTTTGTCAACGGGAAATTCGCCTATTTCACCATTGGGACGGGCTACTCTGCAGATGGCTTCTTTAGAGCCAGTGGACCTGTCTGGAACTTCATCGGATATTCCGGTGTTGTTCCCATCTTTTCGCCGCCTGCGAAGTGTCTCATGTCTGTTCCGGTCTGTGCGCCTCTGTTGTCTGACTTGAGTGTCTCGTCTGCGTTATCAAGCAGCACTGCTCCCGCGGCGAGCTCGTCAGCTACGCCAGCTACTACTCTTTCTACTGCATCTGTGTCTGGCTCAACTTCAAGCGCAGTCGTTCCACCAGCTACGTCCTTGATATCGTCTTCTACAACCTCGATCGCTGTGCCGGCCATATCATCTACGACTTCAAATGAAGCACCCATTGTCACTTCATCTACGATATCAAGCGAGGCGCCGCCCGTCACGACGCTTATGACGGCTATTCCTACCACGACTAGCGAAGGATCCCCAATCTCTTCGCTTTTGGGCTGCTTTCAAGACTCTGCCCAATTTGGCGGCGTTCGCACATTCAATGGTCCCTCCTACGTTGACACGAATGGCCTGACCAACCAGGCCTGTGCATCATTCTGCACCAGCAAAGGCTTCCCTATTTCTGCAACTGAGTACAGTCAAGAGTGTTATTGCGGCGGCGAAGTTCCAACAACTGGCTCTGCCGTTTGCAGTAAGCCTTGTTCTGGTGACCCTACACAGATCTGTGGAGGAGATTGGGCCTTGTCAGTATCAAGGACATCTAATGTGCCAGTCAATTCTGTCTCATCAGCTCCCTCTCCCAGTGTCACGGCTATCGACTACATCCCATTCAAGTACGATGGCCAACTTGCTGGTTGCTTTGCTGATGCTGCCGAGACGGGTGACGTCAGAACACTGTCTGGTGCCACTTATCGAGACTCGAGCTCTTTGACCAATGAAAAGTGCGCCAACTTTTGTGGCGACAAGGGTTTTGCGTACTCTGGCACTGAAGATGGTCAGGAGTGCTGGTGTAGCAGTACGCTGCCTACAGTCAGCTCTACGCGCTGCGATGCAGCTTGCAAGGGCAACACTACACAGACTTGCGGTGGACCATGGGCGCTGATAGTCACCATCAATCAAGCCATTGTGGAGCAGAGCAGCAGTGCTACGCCCTCTCAACCGCCTTTCACTGCGCTGGGTTGTTTTGCGGATAGCGTGAATGCACGCGTCTTCAGTGGCTTCAGCTACACGAACAGCTCTGTGACTCCAGCTCAGTGCGCTGCCAAATGTTCTTCTCTCTTGTTCCCCTTCTCTGGTACCGAATTTGGCAATGAATGCTTCTGCAGCAGCGTTGCTCCCGCAGCGGCTTCTACTCAGTGCAACAAGCCTTGTGCTGGCAATTCCATTTTGCTCTGTGGTGGTCCGGATGCCATGACGGTATATCGGGATGAAAGCCTTCCCGTGATCGCTGACTACACTTGCCCTGGAATCCCTGCAGGCTTTGTCTTCTGTATGGAAGGTCAACGTGTCAGCGGTGGCAGGTGTGTCAGTGCCTAGATGACTCCTTTCATATGCATACTTCCTATTCTATATCTCATAATAATCCCTTGTCCTTGAGTCTCAGGGGTCTTGTGCAGTTTGTCCAACTTTGATTTCGCTGCCCATCTCAACACTTTGACCTCCCCAGTGAGCATCCAACGGAGCCGACAGCTGCCAAGGCATCGCATCTGCATCATCTATCATGACGCTCGAGCATCCAGGCGCACCCCTCTTCACCTCCAAAGCATTGAGAACAGGCACTCACAAGCTGCGTGACGGATGCAATCTCAACTACGAACTCCACGGCACCGGGCCGAAGCGCGTGCTGCTCATCATGGGATTGCTTGCTAGCATGTACTCATGGCGAGAGACTGTCAAGCACTATGCCAATCGAAAGGATACGACAGTACTGGTCTTTGACAATCGAGGCGCTGGCAAGTCTGATGCGCCCTTGGGTAGATACACGACGACGATGTTGGCGGAGGATACTCTAGAATTGCTGGATCATGTCGGTTGGACAAAGTCGCGCAGTGTTCATGTTAATGGTGTTTCAATGGGCGGTATGATTGCTATGCAGCTTGCACTTGTTGCAGGAGAGCGCATCAAGAGTCTGTGCTTGACGTCCACCTGCGCAAAACATCAAAACCCACCGCGCACACGACTTGAAAGTATCGCCGGTTGGATTGATTGGTTCAGGCCAAAACCAACTAATGAGCGCAAGGTTGAAGTGCTCATGGGACGTTTGTTTACAGATGAAGCATGGCTCGACAGCAAGAATCCCGCGTACCCCGAATTCAGGACAAACCGCGAGCGCGTCTTCCAAATCATGCTCTATCGTGTCACTCAAAGCAAGACACCGCGTGTGTCTGGTCAGGTTGGCCAGATTGCGGCTTGCCTCACCCATCATTGCTCGCAAGAGAACTTAGCAAAGATTGGCCAGCAAATGCCTGTCCTTGTGATTGTTGGCAGACAAGACATGCTCATAGATCCAGCGTGTTCGGATGTTCTCTACAAGCAAGTCTCCTTGGAAGGCCAGCGGTCTCACGTGAGGCTGGTCAGCTATGAGAAGGGAGGCCATGCGTTGATGGTAGAAGAGGAGGAGGCCTACCACAAGGAGCTGGACAACTTTGAGGCTCAGAGCGAGACATTCGAGGCGAAGGCTCATGATGATAGAAAGTAGACTGTGTAGATGAAGAGGACTATCCGATGATCTCCTCCAGCTTCGAGTCGCGAGATGGTAAATTCGACCCACAAACAACCCCGCGACCAACCACACTGTCAGACAAGATCGCATCTAGTATCGCGCCTGAGGATTGGAATAGCGCATAGTATCTGCGCGCATACTCTACTGAGTCTCACAGAGCTGTGACCGCCGCCATGGCAGAGAATCTGCTTTCGCGCATCTTTGGCGGCGGCAGCATATACGAGACATTTCAACAACATGACGATAGTGAGCATTCAGCGGGGGGCTATCGCGATGATAGCACTTCCACATATGCGCCAAGCGCTCAAAGTCACTATGGAATGAGTTTCCACCCATTTGCGGCACAGTCAACGTATCCTTCGTCCCGACCCTCGCAGCACCGCGGTGAAGGCGCGCATGATCGCGTCATGGGCAGTATGTTGCATCCTGGACATTCAAGCGGCGATGCGTTGGAAGGCGCTGTACCAGAGAGTCTACTTTACGAGCATCCTCAAGAGCGTGGCCCAGCTGGGCGCAGCCCGTTGGACATCTTGCCACCTCGACCTGATGAGACCGGCCCGTCGGCACGATGGGAAGATGAACAAGCAGAACTACAAAGGCAGCGTGACTTACTTGCGCGGAAGAGTCTGCTCAACCCCCGAGACTGGGCTATGTGGCGCTGGGCCAATGTGCATACGAATCTGGACAACTTCCTACAGCAAGTCTATGGCTACTATGATGGCAATGGTATATGGAGCATTTTGCTTTCGCGCACGTTGAGTGTATTGACTCTTGCCTTTGTCACCGGATTCAGTACTTACCTCGGTGCTTGTATCGACTACAGCAAAGTGCGAGGAAGCCATTCGCTCGAGGAAATCAAGATTGACAAGTGTATGGCGAAACTTTCCAGCACGAGCGTCACTGTCCTTGCGCTTCTCACCATGTTTTGGTGCTTCAAGATTGCACAGTACCTAGCCGACGTCAAGGCACTCTGGGATATGCACAAGATTTACAAGCATCTGCTCGACATTGATGAAGAGGACATGCAGACCATATCTTGGAACGAAGTTGTGAACCGCCTCGTTGCACTGCGCGATCAAAATCCAGTCACTTCAACCACTGTGAGGAGACAAGAGCAGAATACGGAACGAATGGATGCGCACGACATTGCCAACCGCATCATGCGGAAGGAGAATTACCTCGTTGCGCTTTTCAACAAGGAGATTCTCAACTTGTCTGCACCTCTGCCCTTTCTGTCTGGGCGGCCGCTGTTGACTCGAACACTCGAGTGGAATCTATCCTTGTGCATACTAGCATACGTCTTTGACGAGAATGGGCAGGTCAGACCGGCTTTCGTCAAGGATGGTGCGCATCGAAAGCAATTGATTGATGGATTGCGGCGACGATTTTTATTTGCCGGCATTATGAACGCCATATTCGCACCATTCATCATCATCTACTTGTTGCTACTGTACTTCTTCAAGTACTTTAGTGAGTACCACAAGAACCCAGGAGCACTCGGATCCCGAGCTTATACACCTTATGCTCAATGGAAGTTTCGCGAGTTCAATGAAGTGCAACACCTCTTTCAACGGCGTCTTAACCTGTCACAGCTTCATGCAGATCGATATGTATCGCAATTTCCAAATGACAAGACTATGCAGACCGCACGCTTCGTGTCATTTGTCGCTGGCTCATTCGCTGCCGTCTTGGCTCTTGCTTCTGTGATTGATCCAGACCTCTTCCTAGGGTTCGAAATCACCCATGATAGGACTGTTCTATTTTACATCAGTCTGTTTGGAACAATCATGGCCGTGGCTCGATCCATGGTGCCTGATGAAACGCTCGTCTTTGATCCTGAGGCGAGTCTCCGGGAAGTGGTACAACATACGCACTATACGCCGCCACACTGGGATGGCAATTTCCATTCACATGCAGTTAAAGCCGAATTCTGTCGACTCTACGACTATAAAGTTGTCATCTTCTTGCGAGAGATACTTAGCGTCCTGGTGACTCCGGTGATTCTATGGTTCAGCTTGCCAGATTGCAGTGAACGCATCATTGATTTTGTTAGGGAGTACACCATTCACGTCGATGGCATCGGGTTTGTGTGCACTTTTGCCGTCTTCGACTTTTCCAAGCACAAGGCTGTGTTGAAGCAGACTACCACACGCACCAAAGCTGAGTCGGTTGCTATGCCTCCGTATAAGTCCAGCGTGGATCACAAGATGGAAAAGAGTTTCCTCAACTTTAAGGCCTCGCATCCAGACTGGCAGCCTGATCCAGCCGGGTCTGCATTTCTAGCCACCGTTCAGCGACATCAGCCGGGCAGCGACTTGCGGTCACCAGGTAGGCGTCTTGGTGGACAACACGGCGGTACTGCGGCAGACTCATATACGCAACACTCGACTCGGCTAAGGCGTGGCGGCAATGTAAGTGGCCATGATGGTGGTCTCTCTTCACTACGCCAGCCGCTCTCATCGATGGGAGCACGCTTTCAAGCGCCTGATCGTCCTGCAGCGGCAAGTTTAGGTCGTCCTGCGGCCAGAGCAGTGCCTGGTACACTGCCGGAGATCATCTTTGAGGACACGCATGGAGTAGGCGAATCATTTGTGGACACGACATTACGTTCACCAGCTACCTTGGAGCAAGGCGAGAGGCCCTATGCGGCAGATCGAGCCCAACAGTCGAGGGCGACCCACGACACTCGTCATGGCAATAGTGTACAAAGTGCAGGTGTTCTTGGTCTCATGCATCAGTTTTACCAAGAAGCGGGAAGTAGAACGCCATTGTAGGTTCGCTTGATATGAATGAATAAATGACGAAACGACTTCGAAAGCTCTGCCGTTAATTGTACCCTTGGGCCAGGTCCCCCAAGTCCATCTGAAGTTCGGCGGAAACTCGAGTGTCGGGATTCAACAGTCGAGATCTGTGATCTGCGAAATATTAAGAAGAATGGCAATTGCGATTCATACGCCTCGATGCTGTTACCTCTGCGGCTTCCTGCCCTGTCGCTCAAGCTTAACTTGCAAATGGGCTGCTCGATTCAGCAGCTTAAGGCCCGGCTAGTAGCGACCAAGTCAAGTTACTGCGACTCGGCGAACCGTCCTGCCCTCGCAAACTTCCAAACTTTCAAGGCAAATTAGCCCGCAAGCGCGGCGGCCGCAGCTTCGAGGTTTGCGTTGTCGCCCGAGAAACGTGCTTGAAGGAGTGGACCCTGTATACTGAAAGCTCAGAACGACAACCTAGACAAAGTGCACCGGTAGCTGGTCTTAGCCAGACTCTTCGCTTGGCTGACGGGCCGCAATGAAAAACAGCATTTGTAAGGGGATCCGAGTGCTAGCTGTCTCGGCAATCCGATTTTGTAAAGTAGCGGCAGTCTGTGCAGACTCTGCGAGGTCAATGCCGTCCAGGCGAATAGATGATGCCAGTCCGTTTGAGTGCCAATACACCTAGCTGAACGAACGGTGCCTGCATGCGCGTGTGCTGCGGATTAGAAAGTGACGTCGCAGCCTCGCCGGATGTTTCACTTTCCCAATCCGCGTCTCAGACTCAGAGACCCATGGGCCATATCCATGGCAATGGCAGTGCCAAGCACTCGCTAAGTCTCACTACTATTCAGCCCAGCAGTGCGACTCGGCAATCTGAAACAAACCTGCCAGTTGCCCATTGATTCCATTGGCACAAGTCAGCGGAAGGCTCGCATTGCTCAATTCAATAGCCAATACCACGGCCATGGCCATAGCAGTGGGTTCTCATCGCGGCTGCGACTGTGGACATACAAGGTCGCTCATCTTGCGAGCCTGTAATGTGAATGTCTCTAGGGGAAGCTGTTCCTCCTCGTAATGCATCGAGCACCTCAGCATTAAGGATAAGGCACAGCTTGCGGATCTCTTGACAAGCATAGCAGCACAAGGCTGTGCGATTGCCATTGCAGCGGGCTGATGTCGATTCGCCGTTCACGTCAATCATGTCCATCACGTAACAGTGTCTGGAGATTCTGCACAGTATCCACGTCAAACACGGCGAGTAATTACCTGTCAAAAGTGGCAACCTAAGCTACGCCTTAAAGCTGGTAGCCTGCTACGCCTGGCAGCCGTTGTAGCCGTTGCAAATGTCGATGTGCGGGATTCGCTTCCGCTTGGAAGGAAGCGAGTCCGTCGGCAATGACTGCGGCTGCGGGTGTCTGACTCCGAGTCTCTGATGAGTCTGATCCCATGCATCTGAAATTCTGAATCAGTCTGGCCAACCTGACTACCAACAACCACATGAGTGACCACCCCGGTCAACGTCTTAAATTCTTGACGATCCGAAGACTAGTCCCTGCTAGACATGCAAGTGAGACTCGGCGGGCGCTACAGAGACATTATCGAGGTACTCCAAGCAATATGCTGCCGTCAAGATACTGCCTCCGAGCTGAAGTTAAGGGAAGATGACAGTGAAGATGCTTAGCTCTGGATATTGTGGACGGCATTTTCTTCTCGACTATTAAAGGACACCTTATGCCCGCCCTGAAGCGAGCATCTTCTCTTCAACTCTTGCAATGCAGTACCAACTTGCCTCTGCACTGCTACTCACGCTTGCTGGTCAAGCCTCAGCCCGGACCATTCACTCCAAGCGAGTCAGCGGCACCATCTCGACTTCCTTCACGGACAAGTCCACTGGTGGTGACTTGGGCGCGACCAATGTTCAGACTGTCATCAACGCAGGCGTTCAAGTATGGCTCTCTGGTCGCGGTTACCACCTCTTGAGTGGCAACATCCAGAACTCTGGCTCCCTCATTGTCAGTCAGACAGATTCCGACACTTACAGCTACGCCATTCCTGTGGCACCTTCAGGTCAAACTGTTTATTGGGCAGGCTCCACGACCAGCAATGGTAACCTCATCAACAATGCTGGAGCATCCATTCTTCTCAACGACGTGGCTGCAACATCTGCTCCTACTTACGACTGGTACCTCGAATCTTTTCAGAACGACGGTACTATTCAGTGGTGTGGTCGTGGTGACACTGGTGGTTCCACGTACCAGCTCTACTCGAAGAAGTCCGGTGTCAACAATGGTCTCATCGTCTTTGAGCAAACCCGTGGCAACTTGGGTACTGCTGCTGTGTGGCGCAATGATGCCATTGTTACCGGTCAGCCTCCTGCTACACTCACCAACAACGGTGGTTTCCTCATGCGCTCGATGCGTGTGGACTTTGTGCAGAACTTCCTCGGTAACGGTTGTTGGATGATTGGCAACGCTGCCACCATGTATCTGCAGGATGGTGTCGGAGTCTTCCAGAACCCCACCGGAGGTCCTTCGCTTTCCGGCCAGAGCATCTCCTTCTTGGACAACACTGGTGTTCTTCACATGGACACTGCTGTCTACTCTCAAGCCTCGAACTTCGGTGCCACCATCTACGGCTTCGGTCAAGGCAACAAGTTGGAGTTCTACGAGACCATCAGCACCTGGTCTTACAGCGGCAGCACGCTGCGCGTCACCTTTGTCGGTGGTAACTCTGTCAACCTCAATATCGGTTCCGCCTACGCTTCAGCCGGCTTCACAAGGGCATTTGGCCCTGCATTCAACTACATCACCTACACCTTTGTGGCCCCTTCAACATCTCGCCCTGCTCAGTGTCTCTTGACTGCTCCCGTCTGTGCCGCACTTGTCCCTGGTCAGGGCCCTGCTCCTCCAGCATCAAGTAGCGCAGCCGCTCCTACCACTTCGGCTGCTGCAATCACGATATCTGCCAAGCCTGCTTCTTCGGCCGTTCCTGCTACTTCTTCGTCGGCAGCAGCTCCAACTTCTTCGGCAGCAGCTCCTACTGCTTCGGCAGCCGCACCTACTACAACTGCCGCGGCACCTACGACGTCTCAGGCTGCCCCATCGACATCTGTTCCCGCTGGTCCAGTCACTTCGCCATTCGGATGTTTCCAAGATTCTGCTCAATTTGGTGGTCCTCGCACACTCAATGGAGCCTCTTACGTCGACACAACCGGCCTTACCAACCAAGCTTGTGCTGCCTTCTGTACTAGCAAGGGTTTCCCTGTATCTGGCACTGAATATGGCGAGGAGTGCTTCTGTGGCAGTTCGCTTCCAACGACCGGCCCTGCCACATGCGACAAGCCTTGCTCTGGTGACAAATCTCAGATCTGCGGTGGCAGCTGGGCTCTTACGGTCCTTGTCAACCCCAGCTTGCCTCTTGCTCCAGTCTCAAGCTCTGCTGCTCCTACAACTTCGGCTGCTGCCCCCACGACTTCTGCCGCTCCTACCACTTCGGCTGCAGCTCCAACCACCTCCGCCAAGCCCACTACGTCTGCCGCTCCTTCGACCACAAGCTCTACAGCACCTGCCTACACACCATACAAGTATGACGGCAAGCTCGTCGGTTGTTTCGCCGACGCTGCTGAGACTGGAGCACCCAGGACACTCTCCGGTGCCAGTTACAAGGACGGTCGCACTTTGACCAACGAGAACTGTGCCAACTTCTGTGGCGACAACGGCTTTGCATACTCTGGAACTGAATACGGCGAAGAGTGCTACTGTAGCAATACGCTGCCTACGGTGACTTCGACACAATGCAACGTTGCTTGCTCTGGTAATGCTACCGAGACTTGCGGAGGCTCATGGACCCTTACTGTCACTGTCAACCAAGCCATCATTGACAAGCGCAACAACGGCACTCCTCCTCAGCCTCCTTACAACCCTCTCGGCTGTTTCTTGGACAGTGTCGCTGCTCGCACTTTCACCGGCTTCAGCTACACTAACGACACAATGACTCCTGCTCAATGTGCCGCCAAGTGCTCTTCGCTACAGTTTGCTTTCTCCGGTACCGAGTTTGGCAATGAATGTTACTGCAGCAAGTCTGCTCCAGTGACAACATCGACTCAGTGCAACAAGCCTTGTGCTGGCAACTCGGCTCTTATCTGCGGTGGCCCTGACGCCTTGACGGTGTACCAGGACACCACCATTCCAGTGGTCGTTGCTCCTCCTACCTGCCCTGGACTGCCTGCTGGCTATGCAGTCTGCGCTGAAGGCCAACGCGTCAGCGGTGGCAAGTGTGTCAACGCTTGATTGACGCTTTCATACTCACAAAGTTATAGAATAATATCAATGCCCTGCAATCATTATCCTGCAAGCTTCTTCACATGTCGCGAGCAACACCCGTAAGGCATAGCACAATGCTCTGCGGAGTGAGAGCTGTTGATCGGTCTCGAAAAATTCAGCTTGACTTGTCGCTGATGCATGGCGGTACTAGCGCGCTGTCATGCAAGAGCAAGCGCTGTTTCAAATTCTTAGGAGCTAGCTATGGACCGTCAGTATTGCCACTGGGATCCGCCGATCATGATATAGAGCCATTTCATGAGCATCATCGCATCCGTCAAAAGTGCCCAGGTGGCGGCGTTGCGCGCATTTGCAATTGTGCTTGAAACAAGCAACGACACTCGGACCCTAAGCTTGGCCGATATCAACGTTCTGTTAGTTCTGTGACATCAGCAAGCGCGTCAGACAGCTAGTTTGCTACAGACTTGAGTCTGAGCTTGTCCTGCGCTCTTGCTCCGAGCTAGAAAGTTCCTTCAAATGTCCTGGCTAAAGGACGTCGGATTGGAAACTCAGTTTTCAAATTGCTACAACGCAAACGTGGTGGATTGGCTGCCTACAGCCCAGATCGTCTACTGTCTATCTGTCATTAGATTTCCTTCGAAAGCTTTGACTGACTCGTTGTCTGGCATTCGGCAACGAGACTCGCCCGTGCCAAGCAGGAGCACAGGCGTCTGACTGCTGAGAATGCATGACTATAAGCTTGAATGAGGTGTTCTTGAAAGTCAGCCCTTAAATACGCTCCCTGAGGAACCGACTTGGCTCTAACGCTGGCATCACACCCTGTGCAAGCCTGATGGCTTTGTCCCTACCTTGGTGATGCTGCCTTAAATTCACGTGGCACCGTGCGCCAACCAACCGTGCATGTTGCCTTATACGGCAACACTTGACTGATACTGCAGCAATACCACGGGCAACTATGCATAGTAGGGCACGCAGGAGGCCAATTTTGCGTGCTACAGCCCGTGCAAAGCAAAGCGTTAAGGCTTTCTGCATCTGCTTGCTACCTAAGCCGACGAGTCGCGCACTATTAAAAGACCTCGAGTCCCATGCTTGAAGCTGCATCTTTCAACTCGTCCTTCGAAGCTAAATGAAGCATCAACTTGCTAGCTCCTTGCTGCTCTCGCTTGCTGTGCAAGCATCGGCACGAGCCATTCATTCAAAACGGGATGGCATCAGTGGCACAATCTCGACGTCTTTCACTGATAAGTCGACGAGTGGCGACCTGGGCGCTACCAATACCAAAACCACCATCAACGCTGGCGTTCAAGTGTGGCTCTCTGGCCGTGGTTATCATCTCCTGAGTGGCAATATTGAAAACTCTGGTACTCTGATTGTCAGTCAAACAGACTCGGATACTTTGAGTTACAAGGTTCCTTTCGCCCCGAGTGCTCAGACTTGCTTCTGGTCTGGAACTTCTGCTTCCAACGGCAATCTCATCAACAATGCCGGCGCAACCATTCTGTTGAACGACGCAGGCGCGACTTCTGCCCCGACTTACGACTGGTACCTCGAATCTTTCAAGAACGATGGAACAATCATTTGGTGTGGTCGTGGCGATACTGGCGGCTCAACCTACCAGCTGTACTCGGATGCCTCTGGTGTCAACAATGGTCTCATTGTCTTTGAGCAGACCCGTGGCAACTTGGGTACTGCGGCTGTATGGCGCAATGACCAGATTTCAAACTCTCCGCCTGCTTACTTGACCAACAACGGTGGTTTCTTGATGCGTAATATGCGAGTCGACTTCGTGCAGAACTTCCTCGGCACAGGTTGCTGGATGATTGGATACAAGAGCAACATGTACTTGCAGGATGGTGTTGGTGTCTTTCAGAATCCCAGCTATGGACCCTCGTTCTCTGGACAGAGTATCTCGTTCCTCGACAACACGGGCACGTTGCACATGGATACGGCAGTGTATGCGAAGGCCCCCAACTTTGGCGCCAGAATTTACGGCTTTGGCCAGGGTAACTCTCTCGAGTTTTACCAGACCATCAGTTCATTCTCTTACGAAGGCAACCTTCTTCGTGTGAGCTTTGTGGGTGGAAACAGCGTAAACCTTGACATTGGTACGGGTTACACGGCAAGTGGATTCAGCAAGGGCAAGTCTGGCTTCTACAGCTCGTTCAACGCCATTCTCTACAGCGGAGCCGCTCCATCGGTCTCTATGCCAGCTCAATGTCTGCTGACTGCACCTATCTGTGCTCCTCTGACCAGCGGCGGCACCTATCCTCCAGGAACGCCAAATCCCACAACGTCGCAAGTCCCACCTCCCGTGGCAACGACCTCTTCGACCGCCCTGCCGCTTTCCTCAACAAGTCCTGCTGTGGTCTCTTCTTCGTCTTCGTCTGTCCCCCCTGCTCCACAGTCATCAACTGCCGCTGCCATCACCACGACGTCACCTGCTAGCACCAGTATCTTGGTCCCTCCTCCAGCGCCTTCCAGCTCTTCTGCTGCCGGATTGTCATCGACCATTGTTGCTCCTGTTACGACTTCCTCCATTGCTCCTCCATCGACAAGTGTCGTCATTCCAGCTGCTACAACGTCCAAGCCGCCTTTGCCTTCAACATCTCTTGAATGCCGTCTGGACATGGCCAAGTTTGGACAAGCTCGAACACTTTCCGGGCCCAGCTATACCGACTTGACTGGTATGACCAACCAAGCATGCTCCTCATTCTGCACAAAGAAAGGCTACAAATATTCCGGCACTGAGTATGGAAGTGAGTGCTACTGTGGGAACGACTTGCCATCTTGTCCAGCTGGAACCTGCGATTCCGTTTGCTCTGGCGATGCAACCCAGATCTGCGGCGGTTCATGGTCCTTGAGTATTACGGTCAACAACAACATGCCAGGCTCTGGTAGCAGTTCTGGATTGCCGACGTCATCCATTATCGCATCTTCGACCATCAATGTTCCGTCTTCTGCACCCCCAGTCGTCGTCCCTACCTCCACCGCCTTGCCCTCGACCACAAGCCAAGTTGCTACCTCTTCGACTGTCATTCCAGTGCCTTCGCTGCCACCGTCCAAGTACAATGTTACTGTCGTCGGATGCTTCTTGGAGACTGCACAGTCGGGTGGGCCGCGCACCTTGCCACTTGCGGGATATCTTGATCACACTGCGCTTACCAACGCAGCGTGCTCCAATTTCTGTGGTGACAAGGGCTTCGCATACTCTGGCACTGAATATGGAGAGGAGTGCTACTGTGGTTCCAAGCTTCCCACTATCTCTTCGACTGCTTGCACGTCGTCTTGTTCGGGCAACAAGACGGAAATTTGCGGTGGCTCATGGGCTTTGACAGTTACCGTGAACCAGGACATCATCGACAAGGGACAAAGTGGCACTCCTCCTCATCCTCCTTACAATCCGCTCGGCTGCTTCGCCGACAGCGCCCAAGCTCGTACATTCACCGGCTTCAGCTACACAAACGACTCGATGACTCCTGCTCAGTGTGCCGCCAAGTGCTCTTCACTGCAGTTCCCCTTCTCCGGGACTGAGTTTGGCAATGAGTGCTACTGCTCTAAATACGCTCCGGTGACGACATCAACTCAGTGCATCAAGCCTTGTGCTGGCAACTCGGCCCTGATCTGCGGTGGTCCTGACGCCTTGACGGTGTACCAGGATGCTACCATCCCGGTGACTGTTGCTCCTCCTACCTGTCCTGGACTGCCTGCTGGTTATGCAGTCTGTGCTGAAGGTCAACGCGTCAGCGGCGGCAAATGTGTCAAGTACTGAATCACGCTTTGATCCGTCATCTGATAGACTAATTGATATTTTGCAATCTACTTCACTTGACTGCCGTGATATATGAGAAAAAATGCATGTATATTCGAGACGATCACTGTCTCTTGGTGAGTCACAAAAGCTTTCTGGAAGAAGTAAGCTTGATTGATCAGACTGCCTCCATCTACAGTGCCAGACATGCAATTGAGCGTGTGCGCATGCTTGCAGCGCACAGATTCTGCAGTCAGCGGAACAACATCCGTTCCGCCGTCTGTGCTATGTTGTTCTGCAGGCTTGATAGCGGCAAGCAAGTCAGCTGCTTCAGTTCTTAGATCTTGTCTTGGCTTACGCCGTGCGCTTTCACTGAAGTGACTGAATGTAGGAGTGGACCGCAGCGCACTTCGCCATCTTCGCCGAATGCTACAAGTCCATGACAATTGCTAAGAACAATAAAGACTCCACCTGCAGCCAAATAGTCGATCTCTGTCAAGCTCGCTATCCAGAACTGTGAAAGAATTCTAGCAGCATTTGACTCACCTGAGTGGATTCGACAAGCGGTGCACAGGCTTCTTCTGCTCACGATCGAGAAGGCAATGAGACATCAGAACAGAAGCCATGATATTCGCTCTCTGGAATGAAAGGAGTCTCATCTGCTAGAATCTGGTCCTGGTTGCATTTGCTGGCCTTGTCAAAGCCCTGCAGATGCTGGCTGACTGGCTCTCAAGGTGAGCCCTGCCCAAGCGAACCGTGCGTGGTCTCATCCTGATCCGTACAGCCCGACGCCAGTACACAGCACTTTGACAGCAGTGCAATAGACGATACACTATGAACCAAAGTCTCAGATGGAACCTCGCTGGTCGGCAGTGTACTCAGTGCTACCTCTTGACGTATATAAAAGATGGCATATCCCATGCATGGTGCTTCATCAGACAATTCGGTCTTGGTGATCAATGTACTATTGTATTTCAAGCTTTCTGCTGCTCTCGCTAGCAAGTCAGGCATCGGGACGAGCCATTCACTCCAAACGAGATGGCGTCAGTGGCACAATCTCGACATCCTTTACTGAGAAGTCGACAAGTGGCGACCTGGGCGCTTCCTATACAACAACCACCATCAACGCTGGCGTCCAAGTGTGGCTCTCTGGTCGTGGTTATCATCGCCTGAGTGGCAATATTGATAATTCTGGTACTTTGATTGTCAGTCAGACAGACTCCGACACCTATAGCTACTCGTCTCCCGTGGCACCTTCTGGTCAAACGGTCTACTGGTCAGGCCACACGACCAGCAATGGTAACCTCATCAACAATGCCGGCGCAACTATCTTGTTGAACGACGCAGGCGCAACTTCTGCCCCGACTTACGATTGGTACCTTGAGTCGTTCAAGAACGATGGTACGATCATTTGGTGTGGTCGCGGAGATACTGGCGGCTCAACCTATCAGCTGTACTCGGATGCCTCTGGTGTCAATAATGGTCTCATCGTCTTTGAGCAGACCCGTGGCAACTTGGGTACTGCGGCTGTATGGCGCAATGACCAGATTTCAAACTCTCCGCCTGCTTACTTGACCAACAACGGTGGTTTCTTGATGCGTAATATGCGAGTCGACTTCGTGCAGAACTTCCTCGGCACTGGTTGCTGGATGATTGGATACAAGAGCAACATGTACTTGCAGGACGGTGTCGGCGTCTTTCAGAATCCCAGCTACGGACCCTCATTCTCTGGTCAGAGTATCTCGTTCCTCGACAACACGGGTACGTTGCACATGGAATCAGCAGTATATGCAAAGGCTCCCAACTTTGGCGCCAAGATTTACGGCTTCGGTCAGGGTAACTCCCTCGAGTTTCACTCAACCATTGATATCTTTTCTTACAACGGGACTATCCTTCGTGTGGCATTTGTCGGTGGCGACTATGTCAATCTCGATATCGGTGCGGGCTACACAGCAAGTGGATTTAGTAAGGGCAAGTCTGGCTTCTACAATGGATTAAACGCCATGCTTTACAATGGAACCGCTCCATCTGTGTCTGTCCCAGTTCAATGCCTTTTGACTGCACCTGTATGTACCCCTCTCATCAATGGCAGCATTTACGATTCGAAAGGACTGACGAATCCCGTGACCTCTTCGTCTGCTGTCCTCTTGTCTCCATCGAGTAGCGTCCTGGCCTCCACATCGTCTTCGCCTGTCACTCCTGCGCAACAACCATCAGGCGCTGCTAGGATCAGTACGACTGCACTTGTTAGCACCAATACTCGGCTTTCTTCTTCAGCGCCTTACAGCTCGTCTTCTGTCGCCTTGTTGCCGACTGCCATTGCTCCCATTACGACTGCCTTGGCTGCTACTCCTTCAGCAAGTATTGTTGTTCCTGTTGCTACCTTGTCGAGTTTTTCATCGCCGCCATCCAGGTACAATGGCACTATTGTCGGATGCTTCCTCGATATTGCTGCTAGATTCATGATTGGGGCATACCATGATAGCAGTGCGCTCACCAATGCAGCATGCGCCAGTTACTGTGGCGACCAGGGCTTCGCGTACTCTGGTACCGAGTACAGCGAGGAGTGCTATTGCAGCGACAAACTTCCTTCTACTTCTTCAACCATGTGCTCGTCACCTTGCTCGGGCGACAAGATGGAGACCTGCGGCGGCTCATGGGCTTTGACGGTCACAGCCAACCAGGCTATTATCGATTAACCCAACAGTGGCACTCCTCAGTCACCTGTCAGTGCTCTTGGCTGCTTCGCCGATAGGTCCTACGCTCGCACATTCTCTGGGTACACTTTTACGGACAGCTCGATGACGCCAGCACAATGTGCTGCGAAGTGTTCGTCGTTGAAGTTTGCCTTCTCTGGTACCGAGTATACTAGTGAATGCTTCTGCAGCAACATTGCGCCCGTGACGACATCATTCCAGTGCACGATGCCGTGCGCTGGCAACCCAGGTCTCATTTGCGGTGGTCCCGACGCCTTGACGGTCTATCAAGATACAAGCATCACCGTGCCGACTTTGCCAACATGTCCTGGGCTGCCTGTTGGCTTTGCAATTTGTGCAGAAGGCCAACGCGTCCAAAGCGGGAAGTGTGTCAATGCTTAGATCTTCTCTGGCTTTCATTCATAGTGTACATATCAAAGGAATACGAGATGCCATCGACTCATGGTAGCCTTTTGAGCTTGTATCGAATTGTGTATGAAAAACCTAGGTAAGTAGTGCGGTAGAGCAATGATATGCAGATAACATCAGAAACTTGTACTGGTTACAATTGTCAGATCGACCGTGTCCCTCTCTACAAGTCTTCCACGTCGCTATCCACAAAGTTCGCCTCGCTTTGCCGCAATTCCTCTTCGGGCAATGAACCGAGCCATGCGAGTGCAATCTGGACCTTGCGTTCGAACGGCATCTCACCTACGGGTAAGACGCTTTGAAGTCGCTGGATGATTTCGCTAATTTGGAAGACCTGAGTAAAGGCGTTGAGTGCCGGCAGCTGAATCGCCTCGGAGAGGGATGACGGCATTGGCTGACTCTCTTGGATAGCGTTGAGCATTATGCATACATCGGCAAGGGGGACCTTGAATTTTTTGGCATAGGCATATTGTGCAATGCCCGCGAAAAAGGCAGCGGAATCTTCCCTTGCGTCTGCTTGGGCATCCTGATTTTCGCGCACGCGACGAGGAATTCCAGCGAGCGCCAAACGAGCATATCGAGCCTCACATTGATTGCGGGACCTTGGAGCCATGGTTGTAGCAATTTTTGCCCAATCTGGGCGCTCTTTGCTGCCGACGGCTTCGCGGAGTTTTGCGTCTTCTGCGGCCTCCCAAGGCTTTTTGTTGCTTTGCTTCTCCTCTGGAGGGCCTAGAGCCATTCTGTAGCGATCGCGAACATCTTGGTTGTTGCGCTTCATGCGCAAGCCAATTTCCCTCCAGTCGTTACCAAGCTCTTCCTGGAGCTGTAATAGCGTTCTGTCTTCCTCGGGCGTGAACTTTGTACGGTCCTCGAAAATGCTATAGCGGCGTCTGAGGTACATGTAGACATTCTTTGGCTTTCTGTCGACGAGAAGATGGACGAACTCAGAGTTGAGCTGCACCTTCTCAGCCTTGCTCATACCAGACTGATTCCAGAGGAGCTCAGAAAACTCAGCTTCATTGATTTCACGCTCGATGCAGTACGCAAAGACAGCATCAGAGATGATTTTGGCCTCATCCGCCGTGAGTTTTCCGGTTCTGTAGACGGGCTCTGTCAAAGCGTGCTCTCTCCAGCGTTCTTCCATGGCCATTGCATGCTCAGAGATGGTAAATGTGCGATAGATGCGATCGATGGGCGTGTCGTGACTTCTGCGACTGCGACCGATAGCCCGTGATTTGGCAGCAGCATTCGCCCTTGCAGTCTCTCTGGCTGAGTTTGTTGGATTCTTCTTCGGCTGGGCAAACTCATTGCTTGAATCTGCCGCTGTGGAGGCAGATTTGCTCGCCTTGCTTGACTTGTTGCGCTTCTTGGCAGGAACAATGGGCTTGGGAAGGAGCTCTTTACAGAGGAACTCAAGTCTTGATGTTGGTGTAGACCTGAAGTATGGTTGCACAAACTTGGCAAAAGGTAGAAACTCCCAAGGGGTTTCGTGAAGCGCCACGGCTAAGTCATCTTGGGCAAGCGCGATTTTCCGGCAGTACTTCTTGACGCAGAGCTGAAGCTTCCTTCGGCGCTCATCGGTGTCAGTGCTGGTATTCGTTGCTTGACAAGTTTTGACCGTATCGGTCAAGGACGCCGCTGAGTGTGCCTCTTCCGCATCCACAGTCTCATTATGCCTTCGTTTTTGGCCTACGATGGGCGTAGGAGGCGCGTCGGACCTCTGAGTAGTCTCTGTCTGCGTCTCAAGCTTGACTTCTTCTTGCTTGGAGCGCTTCTGCTCCTTTGCGAGTCGCCGGTTTTCCTTCCTCTCCCTCTTGGCTGCCTTCTCGAGCTTGCGCTGATGCTTCCTCTCTCTTTTCAGGACCTTTTCAGCAGCTGAAACTGAACTCTCAGCTTCAGACATGGTTTAGCGAACGGCTGCCGCCCTACCAGCACGACACAACGCCAGGCAAGAGCTCTTGAAGGAGTGTGCTCTATGCTGGCTTGTTTCGTGGTTGTCGCCGACTTTTTTGTGTTCAGATGGCGACGAGGTCAAGTCACTGACTCACTGGAATGGGTTGGATGGGATGAGGGAGGACGGGGAAGTGTCTATAAGATGCTGATGATGCTGGAGCCCCTTCTATCTCTTACGCGACAAGACCTGATTGGCAATCGACTCGAGAGAGTCACGACTGCTGCTCGGTGGCAGGCGCTGCAACGCCTCAATCGCACGATCCCGATATGAAGCCGCAAGAGCCTGGCTATGTTCGAGGCCTTTAGACTGCTGCGTAAGCAGTCTGGCCATATCGCAATCACCAGGTTCGCAAAACTTGCGCTTTATGAGTGCGCCCAGCTGTGGATGCTCCCGCCAAGCATAGAGTACAGGCGCAGTAGCGAGACCAAGCTTGAGGTCGGCACCGGCTGGCTTCCCCAGCGACTCGGCAGAGACAGTGTAGTCTAGCATATCGTCCACCACCTGGAAGGCAAGCCCGACATTTTTCCCATACTCATAGGCAGCCTCGACTGCGTCACTACTAGCCCCGCCAAGGATTGCTGCTGCACGACAGCTTTTTGAGATAAGGCTTGCTGTCTTGAGGTAGGTCTTCTGTAGATAGTACTCCATAGTGCTCTCATGGCCTTCATCAATCGTGTTTTTGAGCTGCATGAATTCGCCCTCCACGAGGTTGGCAATGACTGTTGCCAAGAGCTCAATGACTTCTGGATTTCTCAATCTCGCAAGGGCAACAGAGGCCCTACCGAGCATAAAGTCGCCGGCAAGCACAGACATCTTGCTTGAAAAGGCAAAATTGGCGGAAGGTTGACCGCGACGCAATTCAGATTCATCAATAACATCGTCGTGCAGCAGAGAAGCAGCGTGAATCATCTCTGTGATTTCGGCTAACCGCTTCTGGCTTGGCGAGATATCTGGGTTGTCTGTTGCTGTATGCAGTGAAAGTGAGGGATTGCGGTCATTGAGGACAGCTGCTGATGACAAGGGCTCATCTTCTAGAGAAGCGTCCCGAGGATGTATCCGGCTGACAGTCTTGGACATGAGTAAGACGAGCAGCGGCCGTATGCGCTTGGCCCCGTCATTACGTACGTAGTACTTCGCTATCCCGTCCAAGTCGATATCAACACTGCCAAGCAAGGCATGAATGTTGGTCGTCAGATTTGACATTTCTCCGGCGACGAGCGTCGCAGGATCCATGAACGGAGCAGTGCCATCTCTCTCGATGAGCTTCTGTGCCGAGTCGAGAGCATTTGTGAAGGTCGATTCGCGTAGTATGCTTTGATGCCGTATACAGATGTGGGCCTTGTATGCAGGTACTCTTCGATGTATCGCTGCAGTGCATTTGCTTGCTGCTGCCAAGCCTATTCTTCGCATGGCTAGTATACCGACAGGCCCGGAGCAGCCGGTAGTCGTACTAGTCGATATGTGCTGTTGCGCGAGACGTCGTCGCCTTTTCACAAAATTTGAAGGAACAAGACGCCGACCGCTGCACCAGAGAGCAGGCCGTCTTGCAAGGAGAGCCCGAGACGAGGTCACAAGCTGCCTAGAGATACTTGGGATCATGCCGCTGCATCACATCGCATCGCACCTGCAAAATGCTTCGCGGGCCCGGTCCAGCATCACCTCAATACCGCTGTCTAAAATGAACTTGGCAGTGTCGCTGGGCCTGTACAAGCAAGGCTTCCTCAGCAGTGTCGCGAGAGGATCTGTCCTCGGTCCAGACGAGACATACACACCGACAACACCGGAGAACGTTGCGACGCGACGGCTTTGGTTGGGTCTCAAGTACAGAGATGCCGAACCCGTTCTACGGAATATGCACGTCATTAGCAAGCCGTCGCGTAAGATTTGGATGGGCTGTACGGAACTACAGGAGCTTGTGCACGGTCGTATGGGCGCAGAGATGGTCAAGGGTCTGGTACCTGGAGAGATTTGCTTTGTCGGCACAGACAAGGGCGTCATGGAGATTCGCGAGGCCATCAAGCGGAGGATTGGCGGCGAGGTCTTGATTAGGGTCAACTAAGCAGTCTAAGAGCCCTCTTCTGCATTCATCTATAGCATTTCCACGAGCAAGCGTATTTTCCGCGATGAGCTTTGGTGAATCTCAGTCAGGCCACTTGTGGCACACTCTCACCACGAACTAGCACTACTACTTACCTTGCACTTGCACGAGCAATAGACACAGCAGCCATGACTGATAGGTCGCGCTGGCGTCTGTCTCAAGACGTAACCATTGGCGTACAGCGATGGGAGTATCTCTCCCCACAAGCTGCTAAGAAACGTCCTCTGTCACTGCCGGAGCGTTACTTCTTGAACCTGCCCATTGACCCGCCGACGCTACCAAAGCCAAAGAATGCGCTTGACGCTTCAAGGAACGGCTTTGAATTCTACAGACACCTTCAGCTACCTGATGGGCACTGGGGATGCTTCTACGGAGGGCCCTCCTTCCTCTTACCGGGTTTTGTGATTGCCTTGTATGTTGCCGAGCAACAGATACCAGATCCGCAGCGGCTCGAGATGATCAAATTTTTACGGTCGAGTGTCAATGAGGATGGAGGCTGGGGAATGCATCTTGCTGGACCATCAACGGTCTTTGGAACAGCCTTGTACTACGTCTCTGGACGCATTCTAGGGTTGGATGCCTCAGACCCGCTCTGCATCAGGGCCCGCGAAACGCTATTGAGTATGGGAGGCGCAACTGGTATTCCACAATGGGGCAAGTTCTGGCTTGCTACTCTTGGTCTCTTTGACTGGGACGGCATCAATCCAGTCCCAACAGAGTTCTGGCTGCTGCCAGACTGGGTGCCGCTCCATCCATGGCGTTGGTGGATCCACACGCGAGTTGTGTACTTGCCAATGTCATACATCTTCTGCAATCGCTTCACAATGCCGTCAAATGATTTGACGAGAGCACTCAAGCAAGAGTTGTACAGCCAGCCGTTTGAGCAGATTGTCTTTGCGAACCATCGCAACAATGTGTCAGAGCATGACATCTTGAAAAGACATTCTCTCGTCCTACGGATCATCAATGTCTTGCTTGTTCTTTGGTTCAAGTATCTACGGCCCCAATGGCTTCACGAGAAGGCCAATGAGCTTGTTCGGCACTTAATTCACCGAGAAGATCAGAATACGGGCTATGCTTGCATCGCTCCTGTCAATGCTGCCATGCACATCCTCTCAAATTACTGGTCGTACGGTCCCGACTCTGAGCAAGTGAAGAAGCAGGTTGACAAGATATGGGATTACATGTGGATCGATGGTACAGGTATGACTGCCTCTGGTACAAATGGCGTACAACTCTGGGATACCGCATTCTCTGTTTCGTGCCTCGTTGAAGCAGGCCTTTCTCAAGAGAAGCCATTCCAGGGAGCACTAGACAAGGCGCTCGATTTTCTCGACAAGTCACAGTTCCGAGACGATTTGGCGGATCCATACAGACAACGACGCAAAGGAGGATGGCCATTTTCAACGGTTGACAATGGCTACATTGTGTCTGATTGTACTGCAGAAGGTCTGAAGGCGTTCTTGTTGCTGCAAGAGAATCCTCAATTTGCCAACAAGCTTGCAGACGAGCGTCTCTTTGACTGTGTGGATACGTTGCTCTCGATGCAAAATGCAAATGGTGGCTTTGCTTCTTACGAGCTTGTCAGGGGATCACAGTTGCTTGAACTTCTCAATCCAGCCGAGGTATTTGATCGCATCATGGTTGAGTACTGCTATGTTGAATGCACATCCGCCGTCAACTCGGCCTTGTCGCTCTTCCAGCAGCGCTACCCAGTCTACCGCGCAACTGAGCTCGCTGAGAGCCGGAGACGTGCTGTCGAGTACATTGTCACTGAGCAACGGGCGGATGGTAGCTTTTACGGCAGCTGGGGAATTTGCTTCACTTATGGCACCATGTTTGCAGTGGAGGCACTCGTTCTAGCTGGCATGACTTATGCAGATTCGCCGCCTCTGCGTAGAGCGATTGATTTTATCCTCTCGAAGCAAATGGACGACGGCGGTTGGGGCGAGTCGTACCTGTCTTCTGAATCTGAGCAGTACGTGCACTCTGAGCAGTCACTGGTGGTACAAACCTCATGGGCACTCATTGCACTTGTCTTGGCTGCACCCAAGGAAGTGGCGGGTGAGGCGATGCATAAGGCTGTACGCCTGCTGATGTCGCGGCAGACCAAAACTGGAGAGTGGTTGCAGGAGGAGACGGAAGGTGTGTTCAACCGGACGTGCATGATTGGGTATCCCAACTACAGACACTATTTCCCCATCAAAGCACTCGGGCTCTATTCAAAGCATATAGCTTCTTAGACTCTTGTAGTCTGCTCTCAAGCTCAGTAGCATGACCCCACATGAAACGCTGGGACTGTCGATTGAGGACGCTCAAAATCCTGAAGCCTTGAAAAAGGCCTACCACGCTGCATTGCTCAAGGCCCATCCCGACACGCGTGGTGCAAGTAGTATCCCAGAGAGCACGGTAGGTGCTGTGAAACGCGCTTACCTTGCACTGTCCACAGACTTGCTGCACGGCAAAGATGAAGGTCTAGCTCGTGAAAAGTTTGGCTATGCTGTGGTTGATCTGAGCGAATTTGAAGAGGTAGCAGATGAGACGGCAGGCGAGGCGGGTCCCTGCTATTGGCTTGACTGCCGCTGTGGTCATGGCTACAGGCTCACGGAAGACGACTTGGAACATGGCCGGGATCTGGTCATGTGCGATGGCTGCTCTCTGCTTGTTCGCGTGCTTTATCAGGAGGTGGCCGAGGATGAGACTGCTTGATTATGCTTCTATGGCCATGCTCTATGACTCTGACACTGGCTACAACACTCACTGCATCTGCTTCAAGGCTTACTGCGACTGAGCCTTCTGCATATACAGTACTTACCACTTGGCCCAGTCGACGGGGGGAGCTCCGCCTGTTATCTACCTTATCGCTTGGCGACACGGAACAAGCGACAGCTCGACATGCTCTGGCGACATTGCGACTCTGAGACACAACTCCGCCTGAGCTGCAACGGCCGGCACTGCTGCTGACCCCTGCATGACCTCTTACCAGGCATCGGCTGTAGCTTCATCGTCGGAGGAGGAGTCTGACGATGATCCGCGTCAAGTGCCGCATAGCATCGGCATCATCCAAACGACCGCCAATCCAGCACTCTTGCCCGCTGCTTTGTTTGAGCGAGAGTCATCTCAGCGGAGTGCCACTTCAACGCCGGCCCTGTCACCGGGTCTGTCTCGAAGGTCAGGGTTCATGATGACTCCTACAGAGAGTGCGGAAGGCGAGGATGATGCCGTGCGAGTCATTACCACGTATTGTCCGCTACAAACACCCACCAGGGAGTATCATCCAGATACCTTGGATTGTATTGCGCAAGCTGCACAAACACTAATTGACCGGGGCGCCGTAGTGATTGTACTGGATACGGGCTATTCGGCACTACAGACAGACCTATCAAGGCGCATTGCAGGGCGGGTCCCTATTGTTGCAACAAGTCTCTTGCAACTCGCTAGTTTGCGCACAGTCATGCCAAGTTGTGGTGTTGTGACACTCGACAGGCAAGGCATCTCGAGTATGAATCTCGCTGCAGTCTTGGCAGACCCAGCTACGCCTGTGATTGGGATGGATCCGTCCAGTACGTGGCGTCAACTACTAGATCCAGAGGAAGAGGATCCCGCGACAGATGAGGCACCCGATGCGCCTGTGACTGACCTGCAAGGGACACCATCTATTCCAATTGCCGGAGGAAGAAGTCAGCCAAGGACACAGCCTGGGTCCTTGTCAATGGGTCGACTGAGTGGTCCCTCACCCTCTATGCAGCTCTTACCGGCGAGTTACTCTTCCACGTTTGCGTCTGTCCGTGCCTTTGATGCAAGAGAACAACCCACCACGTCTACACGAGAGAATGGCGTCTTGCACAAACTTCGTCTTGAGCGGTTGATTGAACGCAATGACCAAGTACTGCTGGACGAGTTGCTGACGGCGTGTAAGGCCATTATTTCACGGTATGGCTGTACGTGCATTATACTTGAAGAACCACGCTTTGCCACGTTCACACGCAGGTTACAAGAAGTGCTTGCAGTGGATGTGCCTGGGACGGTGCTCTATGATGTGGTTGCAACGGTGCAATGGCTCTATGCTGGCTACCGCAGTGCACGTCCCGCTCGTGCTGCGAATGGGCCGATGGCCACATCACGCGCCGGACGCATGACGCCCGGTGTAGCAACAGGGCCTGGTCCAGCACAGGGAGGGATTGCACCGGGTGTGGGTCTTCCCCTGGATGGCAACTATATCGGTGGCAGTAGCAACTTTATTGGAAGGTCACTCTCGCGACGAGCTATCCATACGAGTGCACAGCAGTCGGGTGCTTTGAGTCCCGGTATTGCGAGTCCTGTGCGACCTTCTATACCCCGGTCTCGGTCGATGCGGGAGCAAGTATTGGAGAGGGTGGAGGATGCGAGCATCATTGGCGAGACGATGCCGTTGCCGGATGTATGAGCTCGAGACACTGCACAGGTATAGATAGATCAATGAATTGTTTAGACTATGTAATGAGAAGCTAGATGCCCTGATGAATGTCTTTTATGCAAGTTGCGATGAAAAGCAAAAGAGGGAGCGTCACCTGTGCGAGAGAAGCAGAGGGAGTGGGTCCCTGGGTCATCCATATATTTCCCATGTCCATGTCCTAAGGGTGTTTATGCCCAGTCGTCGGTCGGCTGGGGTTCAGCGGACCAGTCGTCAGCAGCAGCTGCGTTCCAGTCGGGCTGTTCACCGCCAGCCTGACCAGCAGTGGCCACAGCAGCAACACCGGCATCGACACCGCCAGTAGCGACGACGTTGGCGCCATCGGTAGCCCAGTCAGGTTCAGCGGGTGTAGCACCCGTAGCGGCCTCGAGGGCCTTGACATCCTCCTGGTCCTGCTCCTCAGCGGCAACCTCTTCAGGGTCACGGTAGAAGTACAAGTCGACCATGACAGACCAAGGTTGGGTGCGGTTGGGGATGGTGCCACGGAGACGGAGGACCTCACGGGCAAGCAAGTACCAGATGAGACCGATGGAGTGACGTCCCTTGTTGTTGGTGGGGATGGCGATGTCGACGTGGGCGAGCGGGGAGTCGGTGTCACAAAGGGCAATGACGGGGATGTTGACGTACGATGCCTCCTTGATGGCCTGAGCATCGGTACGTGGGTCCGTCACGATGATGAGACGTGGCTCCTTGAAGGAACGGGTGATGTAGTTGGTGAAGTTACCGGGAGTGAAGCGACCGGCGATGGCAGAAGCACCTGTATGTGCTGCGTACTTGAGTACGGCACGCTGTCCGTAGGGACGAGCGGAGATGGCACAGACATCAGCTGGGTTCTCGATGGTAGCAATGACACGAGCAGCAAGGACAATCTTCTCCCATGTCTTGCCGATGTTGATGATGTTGACTCCGTCCTGGCGACGCTGGTGGATGTAGGGTGTCATGCGGGTGTTTGCGTTCTTTGCACCGATGTGTGCCTGTGCGGCGAGGAGCATCTGGACTGTCTCCTGGTCGACATCGAAGGCTGCTGGGAGTTTAGAGGAGGACATGGTGTGGATGTGGATGGTGGATTACTTCTCTAGTCTAGGTTTACTTGTGTTCTGCCTGAATTTGTGGACTGACTGTGGACTGCACTGTGACTGACTTCTGAGTTCTGACTCTGCCTAACTCTGAATTGTGGACTGGCGGCTGACTGACTCTGGCTGACTTCTGACTTCTGAACTGTGGACTGACTCTGACTGACTGGATATTTATTCTTGAGCCCAGGAAGCAGTCCCAGCTACTCACAAATATATAGACAGAGACACGAGAGAGGCATAGACTACAGGAGAGACATAGAAGGGAGTAAGAGAGAAAGGGAAAGGGCTACAGCCGGATAGACGGCACAGCAGCAAACAACGCCGTCAAAATCCCAGCCAGCAACAGCGCAAGGAACAGCACCCACAGCGCACGCTTGAACAGCAGGGAACGCACATACGGCTCCTTGATCCGCAGGAAGGAACAGAACGTAGACTCAGAGACACCCAGCATCGCCAAGATCGCATCCAACTCATACTGATACGCCAGGCAGCAGTACGTACCCACAAAGAAGGGCAGCAGCACCCACACCCGCGTCACGCGGCTAAAGTCCAAAAACACAAGGGAGAAGCCCGTCCATAGCCCACCCAGCAGGGCAAGCAGGCCCACCAGTAATCGTAGCACAGCACTCAGCGGCACCAAGTTGCCCAGTGCTTTAGATCGTAGGAATCCAGGAAAGGCCTCACGCTCCATGGCCTGGAAAATGTAGTCGCGCGCCTCATCAAACACCTCCGGATCATCGCGCCCATCCACCTCAATGGCCGTAGCAATCCCACGTGTGATGTGCGGCGGCAGGGCAATCTCTCGCTCGGAGCCTTGAATCAAGTAGGCATACAAGATGCGCTCAGCAGAGGCCCGGATATCGCGTCGGTTGATGGTGTGATTGGGCGACTCGCCTGCCAAATTGCCATCAGACAAGTAGGAATTTCTGTTTTGCTTGTAGTCATAGCCCGTATCGGAGTAGTCTGACATGGCATCGTGCCTCCGGTCCTCCAAATCATCGTACGCTTCTTCATGCTGCTTGCCATCGCGCACCCTTTTCTCTTCCTGGCGACTGTTACTACGCAGCCAGGGCGAGACATGTGGGTCTTCAGGCTCATTGAAATTTCCCATCTCCGTGATGAGCTCGTTGCCAGATAAGCGCGAGCGGCTACGTGGCAGACCAGAGTCTTGCATGCCGTGTGTCAAGTCATCAGGCGTGGCCACCAGAACAGATCGGCGCAATTCACGCACATAGAGACGACAGAGCGCAAGATGCTGCGAGATGTCCAGGAAGCAATCGAGGTCTAAGCTGTTAGCGGGGTCAACTGTATAGATTCGGGCATACAGTCGACACTGCGTTGCTGGTCGCGCATGTAGATGTAGAAGCTGCGGTTAGCATGGAACATGACAGCATCAGAGCCTCCTACCTGTACAGATCGACGGGCGCCTGGGTACGACGCGCGAGGACTTCAATTAAAGTAGGCAGGCGCTGCTTGTCCATAGTTGTGTTTTTGCGATTGGATGATGGATGGAAGAATGAGTAAAGAGCGTGTGCGTGACAATCTCCTGGCCTGCTTCTGTCTTTGCTCCCTTCTGCGGGCCTTGGTCGTTGTGCGTGTTGGGTGTCTTGGTGCTTGTTGTTTCTTTCTCCTGCGCAGGAAACGAGAAATGGGAGACAGCCAGGGGATCAAATATGATCAAATATTGGGCTGCTCTGTACTTGGCTACTCTATAGCTACCGGTACAAAGAGCAGATCAGCTAGTAATCGATGCACAGCACCTGCTTCTGACTCTTGTTCTCCAGTGCACCCCGGAAAACAGCCAGAGCCTCGGCATCACTTTGCCCCGGCTCCCACCAGTTCAACTTGGCAGCTGGACTTCGGAACTGGCCCTCCCACATCCAGTCAAAGATGACTTCCAGCATCTCCTGGCGCTCATCTGGATGTCTGTCGTTCCACGGAGACACCCAAAAGCCATGGAAGCAGAAATCCTTGAAAATCAGCATCGACGCGGGAATCTTGAGGGGCTGCTTGGCCATCGCGCCATAGGTGACGATATGCGCTCCTTCAGTCAGTTGTCGGCACATGTTGATGGCATTGACTCCACCGACGCAGTTCAATGCAAGTGTCACAGGCTCGTCCTGAAAGTGTTCTCTCTTGAGCTGCTTCATAAAGTCCTTGTCTGACAGCTGGGTCTCTGTGATGACGAGCGTAGCCCCGAGATCTAGCAACTGCTGCTTCACTTCATCACTGCCAGGGCGATCCCGAATGATATTCAGACTCTTGTAGCCCCAGATGCGGCCCATTTGAATAGCAGACTGGCCCACTGCACTATTCGCTCCATTCTGCACCCACCAAGAACCCTTTTGTAGCTTTGCAAAGTCCTGCAGCATACGATATGCAGTGCATGGATTGATGCTGACTGTGGCAACATCCACAGGCGAGAGGCCTTCCGCTTTGACGGGCAGCAAATCATCTTCCTTGGCAAGTGCATGTGTCCGCCAAGTACCAAATGTCGTTCGCCGCATGATGGCCCATTGACCAAGCTGCCATTTCATCGACATGTGTTGCTTACCTGTGCCAATGACTTCAACGAGTCCTTCATTCCCACCGACTGCAGCTGGCCGAGGAGTTTTGAACTTGTCTGTGAAGGCAGGCCGTTTGGGATACACCCCTTCAATCTGATTCAAGTCTGCTGGATTGATGGGCGATGCAAGAAAGCGTACCAGGAGCTCATCGTCTTGTGGTTTAGGTAGCTCGTAGTTGTGCACTTCCAGGACTTTAGCTGGATCGCCGTGTTCACTATAGACGATAGCTCTGCTCGTCAGGGAGCGGCAGCAGCAAGCAGGTTTTGACAGGAGACTTTTTCTGAGCAACATGAGTGATCTGTACCTGCTTCAAGAGGCTGCTTGAGTACGTCTTGAGGTCTTCGTGGGAGATTTCAAAAAAGTTGACACAAAAACAAGACACCCGACAACGAAGGTACCTCTTCAACTGTCTCTCTCTCTGCTAGCATGACCAAGAATAAGCTCATCCGCAGCGACAACTACAATGATCGCAAGCATAGACTGGGCAAGGAAAAATCGCTCCTCCGGCGTGAGCGGGCCAAGCTCGAGGAGCAGGATCCCACGCTGCGTGTACGTCGGCAGCAAGCCCATGTCCCAGAGACGGTAGACATGAAGCGTCGATTCGACCCATCACGGCGGAGTGACCTTGTCGGGCAGCAAGTCCAAACAGACTCCAATTTGGTGCTCAAGGAGGAAGATGAGGCCGCAAAAGCGCAAGAGGAGGTGAAGCAAATGACAGAGGGCAAGCGCACACTCATTACAACGTCGCCGAACCCTACAAAGATCTCCTACCACTTCATGACAGTCCTGCAGAGCATATTTCCGCTGTCAGATACCATCAGGCGCGGTACAGGCAAATATACCATCCCAGAGATTGCCAAATTTGCGTCAAATCGCGGCTACAGCAACTTGATTGTCGTGAATGAAGACAGGAAGGAAGTCAATGCCATCAGCTTCATCAAGCTGCCAGGCGGTCCCACTGCCTACTTCACCATCACATCGCTACAGCTGCGGCAGCTCGCCACACACACAACACACCACCCAGAACTCATCCTGCAGAATTTTACAACTGCATTGGGTCAGAGTATTGCAAGCATCTTCCAGTCTCTTGTCCCGACCGTGCCGCAAATACAGGGAAGACAAACATTGACGCTGCACAATTCGCGCGATTTCATCTTCTTCCGGCGGCATCGATACTTGTTTGCTGGTGCAGGTGATAAAGTTCGCTTGCAAGAGATTGGCCCGCGCTTCACCTTGAAATGTCGCGAGGTCATGAGCGGTGTAGCACGCGGAGGCGAACTCGTCTGGGAGTCCAATGCTGGTCTTGAGTCGGATAGGAAGCGTCTCTTCTTGTAATCTTCTCTAGAAAGCCCAATCCTCAGACTGCGATGCTTGCCAGGCGTCAAGGTTGCCACCGCCGCGTTTGCCCACAGGTGTTGCATCTTCCTCAAAGAGCCGTCTGTTGCTGGCACTATCCGCTAAACTGCCACCGACGTGACTCGGTAGACTAGATAGGTCATCAGCGCCGGCCGTTCTTAAGATATCGTTGACCATATGGCGTGCAGCTTCCTTGGCTGGTGTCCGCAGTAGCTTGGAGGGAGGCAGGGAGAAGGCCATGGTGACGGGAGGCGATGCTTGTCCCATGCTGGAAACATCATCGTCCATGTCATCGTACCGCCCACTTCGCGCATTATCAGTCAGCGACATGCGACCCACATCCCTGCTGAGATGCGGACTATCGATGGGTGATGTGCTGTGGTAAATGCTCTTGAGTGGCGTGGCCTGGACGCGCCAGTTTGTGTCTAGCACGCGATGAAGCAGCTTGTCTTGCCGTTTGGAGGTCGACTTGCCCGTCATGGGTGTCGCCTCTTTATAGTACGATGGCGAACCAGTCGGTGTTGATGATTCGTCTTGCTCTTGGTGCAGTCCCTCTGGCGCTGAGCCTGGTGATGAAGTGGTCAAATCGACTGCATGCCGCAACGGTGTCTGCAGCTCGAGACGCGACTCAAACTCATCTGACGCGCGTCTTGAGTCTTCCTCTCCAGTGAGATCCAGCGGACTTTGTGCAGTCGCGTTGCCAGACCTGTTGTGGGCGATCGGTGTACGACGCGTCTCTTCATGGTCGAGCATGGACGCGTCTTGAGGTGATCCATCGTAGTACTCGCCTGGTGTCTCGACATAGCCAGAGACAGTGACACTGGCACTTTGTTCAAAGAATTCCTTCCAGAACTTTGCGTGCTGCCAGACTCCTGCGCTGTGTTCTGCATACTGTTCGACGATGGGTAGGATGCTGGCGGTGATGATGCGGTGTGAAGCGGCGAAACTGCCGTCGATGGAGTAGAGGAGTTGGGTGATGCTCTGTTCAAGCCGTTCTAGGCGTTCCAGGTCGGAGGCCATGGCTGCGACGCGTCTGTGTCCCTTGCGGTGCGTTGTTGATGTTCTTGGTCGTCGTCGTCGCGTCAAGAAGAAATCCTCGATGAACCAGGTCAAGTAGTCTACTTCCTACAAAACCAGGTCTACTGCTTCTACAGACATGGCCGCACGCAGGGTGCTCAAGGACTACATCCCAGGCAAGATCGGATACGCACCAGGCTTTCTCCCGCAAAGAAGTAGCGCAGTCAGGCAGCCAAAACCACTTCCTCTGCCTGAAAAGACAAGCCCTGCCCCCAAGAAGGAGTTCAAGTCCAATGCAGCCTATGCAGTATGGAAGCGGGAGATGGCAGAGAAGCGCAGGGGATACATGGTCGCGCATCTGGAGCATACCCAAGCGCAGATCCCCATCAAGGCCGCCCAGGACAGAGCAAAGATGCTCGAGGGACGGGCAAAGCGAGAAGAAGCCCTGACAAAGCCTATCAGTGAGGCAGAGCGGCTAAGTCTGCCGTCGATTGAGGCGACACTCGCACAAGAGTACCCCATACTAGACACTGGCAAGGAGGAAAGAGCAGCGCGGCGGCGGAGCAATCGACAGGTCAAGGCGCAGATGGAAACGGAGGACAGGCTTGCAGATTTGATTGACATTCACCACGCAGCAGAAGGGTATGCGTGTACGATGCAGCAGCTGGACACGATGCTGGATACCTGCTTCACGACGACCTCCGTTGCACCTATGCCGAAGCACACGATGGCGACCTTGAAGAATAATCTGCTGCTGTCATCGACACGGGCGCAAATGGAAGAGCAGCTGCTGGGGACGGCGGCGGGAGGCAAGCCAGGCATTGCAGAGGTGCTTCCGCTCCTCCACAAGCAATCCCAGCCATAGGGCCGCACAGGGCCACGGTGTAACTGTGCTTTTGTAGATTCCAGTTCGCAGTCACGGCGCCCAAATTTGAGATTTTCCTGCAGCGACTCGACCTGACCCGCAAGACATCCACCTAAGCAGCGTCGCTCTCCCTTACAAGAGAGTCGTGGTAGTCCGAAGCAAAGGCAGAGCACTCAAGTTTTACAATGGCGCCCAAAGTAGACCCCAACGAGATCAAAATCATCCACCTGCGTGCCCAGGGAGGTGAGGTCGGTTCGTCCGCCTCGCTCGCTCCCAAGATTGGTCCGCTCGGTCTGTCTCCCAAGAAGGTGGGAGAGGACATTGCCAAGGCCACCCAGGAGTGGAAGGGTCTGCGCGTTACTGTGCGTTTGACCATCCAGAACAGACAGGCTGCCGTCTCGGTGGTGCCTTCTGCCTCTTCCCTGGTCATCAAGGCCCTCAAGGAGCCTCCCCGAGACCGCAAGAAGGAGAAGAACATCAAGCACTCTGGTAACATCTCGCTCGACGAGGTCGTCGAGATTGCACGCAAGATGCAGTTCAAGTCCATGGCCAAGGACCTTCAAGGAACTGTCCTTGAGATTCTCGGTATGTGCATTGTGCTTCTTGCTTCTTGGCTAACACTTCAGGCACATCCTTCTCTGTTGGCTGCACCGTCGATGGACGCAACCCCAAGGAGCTTGGCGACGACATCAAGGCTGGCGAGGTTTCCATCCCATCCGAGTAGACGTTGTCCTTCTGCTTCATATCATACCATTGCATACCCCATCCTCATCCTTCCCGTGTCCTCTGACCCTCTCATCTGTCCACGGCCTGCCATAGTCCATACATAAGCACCCGACAGCAGCTTCCTGACCACTTTTCACTTTTCAACGCGACGACCACGACGACTTGAGCCTCCCACCACCCCGGCACAGATGGGCCTCAGGCGCCTGCTCGGCCGGATACACAGCGCAGCCAAGCGTACGACCGCCTATGGCAACATTACCTTCTCCATTGACCCGCGAGACACACTCAACGCCCTTCGCTCACACTCCTGGCGCATCATTGACGCGCAGTGGGTCTTCCTCTTCGCGCTCGCGGCATTCGCACTCAGCATCGCAGACGCGCGCGTCCTCTTCAAGGTCGGCTTCTGTGTGGCCATCAGTACGCTTCTGCTTGTGCCGGTCCTCTCGCAGTTCTTCCTGCCCTTCATGCCCGTTGCTTGCTGGCTCGTCTTCTTCTTCTCATGCCGCTTCATCCCTGCATCTTACAGGCCGCCCATCTCTGTACGCGTCCTGCCAGCGCTGGAGAACATTCTCTACGGTGCCAACCTCTCCAATATCCTCGCAAAGCACACCAACACTGTTCTCGACGTGCTTGCATGGCTACCGTACGGTGTCATCCACTATGCAGGCCCTTTCCTATGCGCTGCGTTTCTCTTCTTCTTTGGCCCTCCAGAGACAGTTCCAGTCTTTTCGATGGCCTTTGGATATATGAACATCATTGGCGTCCTCATTCAAATTGCCTTTCCCTGCTCACCACCTTGGTATGAGAACTTGTATGGTCTGGCTCCAGCGCACTATGGCATGCAAGGCTCACCAGGAGGTCTCGCGCGCATTGATACACTGTTTGGAGGCAACACCTACACGGGTACATTCACCGCTTCGCCCATGGTCTTTGGAGCGTTTCCATCGCTTCACTCTGGCAGCGCCACGATTGAGGCCCTCTTCCTGGCACACGTCTTCCCTAAAGCTACTCCCTACTTTTACGGCTACGTCTTGTGGATCTGGTGGAGTACCATGTACTTGACACACCACTACTTTGTCGACCTCATTGGTGGGAGCATCCTCGCAGCGAGTTGCTTCTACGTGGCGCACCGCAATTTCTTGCCGCAGCTACAGCCAGAAAAGCTGACGCGCTTTGAGTATGAAGACTCTGTACGGGGTCACATGAGTGAGAGTGATGGCTTTGCCCGGCTGCCGCTCGCTGATGATTTGGAAGCTGGCAGAGAACAAGCCTGGGCCTTGGGCAGCGTCTCGAGCAGTAGTGGACACACAACGCCTGTGAGCAGCACGAGCGGTACTGGCAGTGGGTATGGCTGGCCTGGCGATGGCAACGGACGTCTCTCTCTCGAGCGAACAGGCACACCCTCGCCCATCAAACCGCAACGGAAGCCGAGCAAGAAGAAGCAGGCGCTCGAGTAGACGATTCACAGCATTCTGGCATAATAATTTTGTAACATCACACAGCGCGTATAGAAGACTTTGACCACTCATACTGGCTGGCTCAGCATGGTGAGGCTCAAGAACCGCTACATCCTCTTTGAAGTGCTACATCCATCTACTGAAGTGCTCAGTATCTCTCAAAGACAGCTCGTGGATATGCTCAGAGACGAAGTGGCTCTCAACTTCGGAAAGCATGGCAGCGGCCTCTTGGCTTCTAGTCTACATTGTAAGCACTTGCTCGCCGTGCTTTACTGATGACAGTGAAATACTACTCTAGCATGACTGGACGCGGCATCTTGCAAGCTGACAGAGCTCATTATAGACTGGCTTGGGCGGCTCTCACCTACCTCAAATTGCCAGGCCAACATCGCGTGTCCAATGAAGCAATCGGTCCAGTCATCAAAGTACTTGGCATCTCCGGGACGATCCGCAAGGCAGAGGAGCGTCTCATTTCCGTGGATCAGCATCAGCTTTTTATTCAAGGCTAAGTCTACAAGCCGAGGATCCTCTTGGTCTCGGTGCAAATGGCAGTACCAATCTCTGATGTGCTATGCGTGCCCTGCAAGTCTCGTGTACGCATTTCCATACCACCGAGTACCTTGTCCTCCAGCACAAGTCGCACTGCTTCACGAATAGCGGCAGCTTCTTTGTGCAAGCTGAATGTAAGCTCAAACATCATGGCCACGGACAAGATGGTGCCCACAGGATTAGCAATGCCCTTGCCAGCAATATCGGGTGCGCTACCATGGATGGGCTCATACAAACCCTTGCAGGGAGGAGCACCAGCGATACTGGCAGATGGCATCACACCCAATGTGCCCGGCACAGCAGAGAGACAGTCGGAGATGATGTCGCCCATGAGGTTCTCTGTCACGCAAATGCCGTTGAACTTGGTTGGGTTCAACACAACCATCATGGCGGCCGAGTCGACGAGGTGATGACCGTTAAAGGCTACATCCGGGAATTCTTCCTGGCGAATGCGGTCCACTGTCTGTCGCCAAAGTCGCGAGGTAGCCAATACATTAGCCTTGTCGATAGACAGAAGTGGACGTTTCTCATCCTGGGCCATCTTGGCAGCCACGCGAACGATCCGCTCAATTTCCGAGAGATGGTATGGCCACTCGTCCATAGCATACTTGCCATCATGCTCTGAAGCTTCGTGCTTTGCGCCAAAGTAGGCTCCGCCGCACAGCTCACGAACAACCGTCACGTCTGTTCCTTTTGTCTTGTCCTCCTTGAGTGGCGACAGCTTACGCAGGCCTTCTGCAGGGAAGGAGCATGGGCGGATATTGGCAAAGACATCGAGCTTTGAGCGCAGTTTCAATAAGCCTTGTTCAGGTCGTACTTTGCCTGTGCCCCATTTTGGACCACCCACGGCGCCCATGAGGATGGCATCTGCATCGAGAGCCTGCTGGAGCACCTCGTCAGTGAGAGATGTCCCATGTGCATCGATGGAGCAGCCGCCAAAGAGTGCGGTCGTTGTCTTGAACTGCGGAAAGAGCGCGAGGATCTTTTGTGCCTCGGCCACCTGTCTGTCAGCTATGCCTGTTGTCTACAGACAGCATACCACGTCCGGGCCGATGCCGTCGCCAGGCAGGAGCAGGATATTCATGATGTTGACAGATGGTTGCTCGTCGTCGCTACAAATTTGCTAAAATGCCGTCTGCAGCTGCTGGGCCTGCACCGGCTCCTGCTCCTCCTCATACTCAATCTCGACACGCTTCGAGGCCCGCTTGTCCTGCGGTGCCTTTCGCTTCTTGCTCTTCTTGGCCTCGTCTTCTTCGCTGCTGCCGTCCTCGCTCTCGCTGCCAGACGCACTGCCACCAGCTGCATCCTCCTCTGCCCACCAATCTTCGATGTCAGACTCACCGTCGCTCTCCTCCACGAACGCCGTCTCGCCCTCGAGCTCGAGTTCCTCTTCCATCTCTGCAGCGTCTGTATCGTCTTGCAAGCCAGTCTTTGCATTGAGGAAGCGTTGCCAGACATCTTCATTGACATTCAATGGCATCTCGCCATAGACACCCGATTTGAGCCGCTCAATCAGCTCCTTCTCGATCGACTTTTCGAGCTTGGCCGCAACCAGCGCCTTGCGTTCCCGGGCGGCCTCACGCTTGGTCTGCTTTGGCTTGATTGGAATCAACTTGACCTGCGGCGCCATGGCCAACTTGCGCGACTTGATGAGGTACTGGGTCAGCTTTGTTAGGCGCTGCTTGCACTTGTGCGAGTTGAAGTTGGGCCAGTACTGCAGCTTCTCGTCAATGAGCTTGAGTGCCTCTGTGTAGTTTTTCGGCAGACGAATACGCTCCCAGAGCTTGGCCGGCATATGCGCGCGCTCCACTGTCTTCATGTAGAGGTAGAGCTTGCCATCCTTCTCCCTGACGGTCGCATAGCGCGAGTTGGCGAGCGGGCAGGACTGCCTGCTGCAGAGACCGGAGACATTGTACTCGTTGCGGCAGAAGTTTTGCTCTGTTGACTTGACTTTGTATGAGCAGAATTGTTGATTGATCTGGAATTAGCAGGATCGTAAGAGGGAGATACATACACACTGCCAGATGATCTCGTCCGACATGGCGAAGCTTCAGCAGTGGGTGGTGGTGCTGGAGCTGAAAAAGTTGAAATTTTGAAATTTTGAAAATTGATTCTGCGCTCGACGACCAGCTCTCGGTCTCTAGACGCCTGTAGCTGGCTCTCTTCTTGCTGCTTTACTGCTTCTCTCGCTGTTAGGATTCTCTGATGGCTGCAATACCTCGTAAGCGTGGTCATCAGCATTTGCTTGATACCTTTCATGAACGCGAGCAAGCTCCAACCAAAGCTCCTGCACAGACAACTCCTGTCGAGACTGGTGCAGGTCTCGTACCAGTCCCTCAACCTGCCGCACGCAGAGTCAAGAGACAGCAAGTTGCTTCTCGAGCGGGTCTGCCTAGCTTCTTGCAACACCCAAAACTCGTGCCGCCATCGCTTTCGGTGCCTTTTGCTGACCTTGCACTCACGCCAAGACTGCAAGAGAACCTGGCAAAGCACGGCTTCACAGACGCCTTTGCAGTACAAGCTGCTTTACTGCCTGTTCTTCTAGAGCGTCAACTGCCAGAAGATCGTCAAGATGTCCTCGTTTCTGCGCCTACAGGCTCCGGCAAAACCATCACTTATGCTCTGCCCATTCTGCAGGTTCTACACACGCGACGCATCACTGCCTTGCGCGCACTCATCATTGTACCAACACGCGAACTTGTACACCAAGTACAAGAGACCTTTGAGCTTCTCAATACAAAAGTGGGGCTCAAAATCCAGTCGCTCTCGTCAGCAAGGACTCTGCGAGCAGAGCAAACGCTGCTCGTCCGTGACGGCAGCCGGGTCGACATATTGGTATGTACACCAGGTCGACTTGTGGATCATTTGCAAGCAACACCGGGCTTCTCATTACAGCACCTGCGCTTCTTGGTCATCGACGAGGGTGACCGACTGCTCAACCAGTCTTTTCATGACTGGGCAAACAAGATCGAGGCTGCTTTACCTCGACATACAAAGTCACTACAGGCTTGTAGTATGGAACGTTGTCAGAAGCTCATCTTTTCAGCAACAATGAACGGCGACCCTGGCTTGCTTGCACAACTCCACCTCACCAAGCCCGTCCTCTACAATGTCAGGGAGGATGCAGAGAAGTTTTCCCTTCCGGCGACCTTGACAGAGTATTTTGTGAATGCGCCAAGCGATACTCCCAAACCCCTTGTGCTCTTGCATGTTCTGAAGCGACTGGGCATTGAAAAAGCCATCGTTTTCACCAATAGCACCGAGTCGGCTCAACGCCTCGCCAAGCTCATTGCGCCATTCATCTCCTGCCAAGCCTTTACATCTATTCAAACATCAAGTGCTCGGCAAGGATTGCTCAAACAATTCAATGATGGCGCCGTGCAAGTGCTGGTCGCATCAGATCTCATTTCGCGAGGCCTCGATACAACAACACCTGTGGTCATCAACTATGCATCGTCTATCCCGGCTCGACAGTATGTGCATCGAGTCGGACGTACAGCGCGTGCTGGCAATAAGGGTCTTGCCATCTCCATCGTTGAGCCCGAGGAGGCCAAGTTTTGGTGGACTCAGATTGGATCAGGGGGCAAAATTTCACGCGGCGAGCTCGCTGTGCAGCGTGTCACGCTCTTCAAGAAACGCGAGGGCGATCTGATAGACCCGGTTGATTTGCTACCCATTGATGAGCTTGCGCTTGGGAAGCAGTATGAAGAGGTGCTCAGAACGCTGCAAGACTAGCCGGGTTCATTTTGCGACATGGTTGAAGGCTGATGTCAAGTGCATGTCGGCTCGTAAAGATATCGGTGAGGCCTGCAAGTAGGCAGTCCAGCTCACGGCGAGTCTCAGCGATGCTATTGGTGGTGCCTCTCGACTTGACTTTGCACAAGTCTTCACGGTGCACTCTGATGCATCTTGCGCGCCGCAAGCAAATCAATAGGGCAGTCGCTGCTTTGCTTGGCAATGCAGCAGGCAAGACGCTCGTGCCTATCGAGAGCAGACAGGTACAGCTGCTACTGTACAGAGCTGCTGCCCTCGGCTGTATAAGCGTCTGATGGCAATTGGAACGCCCCTAAGCACGAATGATGAATGACGCTGGTGGCTCGTCACCGATGCAACATGCCTGCGCAAGATGTCATGTGAATGTGGCCAAGTTCATGCTTAGATCAAGCAGCGAAATGCAGACAACCTCGAAGTTGACGGGAAGAAGCCAGTGCAGCCGGGGAATGCCGAGACATAGGTATATACCTAGTCACATGACATGCGCCATTCATCAAGGATACAAGTCGGACCTTGGGCCCGTTGGCTGATGGAGCAGGTGTTCTAATTTGTCACAAGAAAAGGTCGCTTGACTGCAGACATCGTACAAGCAATGCTTGTATCGATGCTCGTATCGACTTGCTGCGAGGGCACAGGCAAGTCAAGGACCCTGCCTTGATGCAGCTGTCACTTCGAAATCGCGGCATATGCGTCATTTTGGTTTCGGGACTATGGCGAGGCTTCACGAAATTGTGCAAAGGTATCAAGGACAAAATCCGACGCATCTTGCGAGGAGCTGCTTACGGGCGTATCGCCGTAGGTCAGCGGAATCATACAAACCAGACGCAAGAAGATCTTGAGCAGGGCATCTTGATGCAGGGCTTGCAATACCTTTGAGGCCGAGGAGAAGGATGTTCGCTTCGTTGTACTGATAGACTTTTGCAATTAGACGCCTTTGATGGCCTTTGACCTAGCGTAATGAAAGCTATGAAGCGTGCTGACGATAAGTAGAAGCCAGCTATGCCGTCATTTGTCGAAAGTCATCCTGGGGGTCAACCGCTGTATGACGGTAAATGACATGATTACAAGATTTCGCTCAGCAAGCTCACCACGAACGCAGTAAAGCAGACAACAACAACTATACAATGTCTGAAGAACGGTTGCCACCTTACGAACTCTCCTTTTCTCATGAGGCTGATGCTCCAAGCTATGATTCTGATAGCAATTTCGTCGCAACTCGAACATCTGATCCAGATGCGACGGCCAGCTTGGGCAACGTCACGGCGACATGCAAAGCACTAGATCCCTGCTCAGCTTCGGGCAGACCATACTATCTCATTCTTCCGAAAAGCTATGTCGCTCCTGTCTTCCAACATGGAAAGCCGCAGTCGTCGTGGCTTTTGACGACGCTCCGGCAATATTGCTGCACTACAATAGAGAATAGGCACTATCGCCTCCAATTCTCAGTGAAACCCTTCTGCCTGACTCAAGAAGGCATCACATTAGATGTCGGTTACCTACGAAGCGATTCGCCTCGACCATGCCCTGGAGACACTTCTCCCTTCAGCCCGTACGAGATGACGTTACAGTTTGTTCCGGTCTTCTTGCAGCCTCGCCCTGAATGCTACAGACGCGAGCTGTTATACAGGGGCTCAGGTGTGTCCAAAGATCGCGGTCGTTACACAACTGGCGGTCCAAAGTACATCTTTCATGCAAGCCAAATTGAGACGTACACAGATGATCGCAAGCTTTGTGTGGAGGACCTGGGATGGACCTACAAGCCCACGCATAAATGGAAGGAGAACCTGCTGGCTTTCAAAGTCATTGCTCAACTAGCCCTTCTGCCCATGGACATACGAGACACGCGTGCAGCTCGGACCGTGGCGGTCGAGCTCACTGTCCTGGGCGACATGTTCTTCGATCCAGGTGAGCACGATTCCAGTCCGGTCACTTCTTGTTCAAAAGACGGTCACTCTACGCTGAGTATGGCTTTTGCACGGGACGGTGACCTACATGTCAGCCTAGAGGTCGACAATGCCTTCTTCCGCTAATTGTGGACCATTTTTATAACATGCGACCGGCACGCTTGATCGATTCGATGCGCCATCTATACAGAGCTATATTTATGCCGGCTGTGCATAAGTCCACAGAAGTCTTCATCATGCCACCACCCTTGCCGCTACCGCTTGTGTGCACCATCAATCAGCTAGTATAGGCATTGCTACCATTGACGAGAAGACCACATCGATAGCCTTATCCGACTGCTTTGATACGACACACCCGAGAGACTACGAGAATCATTTGTATGTCCTATCTCAGCATATTTTACATTCATCGCTACAACTCTCCATTCAAAGCCTCTTGCATGACATCGCAGGTCTCTATTGAATATTGAGAACGAGCCTTAAGCCTGTTCGGCGGCCACGGAGCATTGTTCTGACGTGTACTTGAGCATATGCACTTGAGCAAGGTTGGAAGACTAGGTACGCAGGATGTTTCAAACTTCTTCACGAGGCATTTGTCGTGTACAGTCATTTGTTGACTAGCTATAAAAATTCTTTGATGCAGGCAAAGTTCCTTGCCCACCAACCCAGCAAGTCCTCCCTCATGCCATAATTTTCCAAGCATCAAAGGTTTCGCATCATGCACATCGGCCTGCAGTCTGCCGTACAGTCGACCATGCTGCTCCTTTTACAGGTTCTCACTGCGTACATTGCCACGTACAGGTAAGGTATTCATGCCTTGCAGGCTGTGATATACCTGGACTCTCACTGCCCGCTGTCGCTGGCTTTGTCACTACGCGATCATCCGATCCTGTTGATGCATCCTTGTGCATATGGGGCCTCTAAATATGCAGCAGTACCTTCACATTCTATGTACAGCGATGTCTACGCCTGTCTCGCTTGGCTACCTGTGCTGATTGAAAGTCTCTTTCTTGTAGACTACGAGAAGTCCTGCAGCTTGTGCCAGGCGTGGCATTCATCCAGCAGCACCCGCATGCTTCCTGCTCAAAATCAGTATCCTCGTCCTCCCTCGAGCTTTCTTGACCCTAGCTGCTCCCTCCTCCCTCCTCCCTCACCAGCCCACACTCTTTCTACATCATCAAGTACATTAACCCTGCCTTCGTTTGGATACAGCATATGATCCCGCTCCTAGCCACCACAGAGCTCGCAGAAGGCTATGTTCGAATTGCTCTAGGCAATGTTCAAGTACAGCCTCTTTCGCCATGGCGACTGCGTATCATCCTGGAGGGTATTCGTGCGATAGTTGCGTCGATCAAAGCAGACCAGGTGGACTACATCAACACCTCTATCCGCATCACCCTACTGCCACTTGTCGCAGGATCAGCCAGCAACTGTCCACCACTGTCTACACTTCTCGGGTTCGCTTCCGTCGATGCAGACCTCGACAGCACCACCAACGTTTCAATGACTGATGGGACGGAAGCAAGCTTAGGGTTGAAGCTAAGCAAATCACCGGTCGAAGCAGCCCTTAAGACCAGCAGAACTACGACTGCAAGCTATACCCCGGATGCGCAACTGCGTGCTGTCATTCTGCCGCATCGAGCAACCTGGATACTGCCGTGCACACTTCCAAGGCACAAGTACGAAGTGGGTATCGACAGCCTCACAGTCGATTGGCTCGGTGGAAAGCAAGGTCCCATCGATGGATTCGCCCTGCGGATCGATCAAGTGGTAGCGAAGAACCGCCTTTTATCGAGCTTTGAGACCAAGCTCCATTCTCTCGAGCTCCACCTCATCTACAGAGAGACTGCTTTACAAGACACGGTGGTTGTCGACGCTGACCATCAACAGTCTACAGCAGACGACCAAGAACCACGGAGATCAGTTGAAAACTTTCTGCTCTACTCGAATGTCAATCAGCGAAAGCAAAAGATCGGACCCTGGGCGCAGGCTTTGGACGTACAAGCCACCTCGACTCTCAGCAAAGTCGCATGGTACCCTACAGTACATCAAGTCAAGGACCCTGCCTTGATGCAGCTGTCACTTCGGAATCGCGGCATATGCGTCATTTTGGGACTATGGCGAGGCTTCACGAAATTGTGCAAAGGTATCAAGGACAAAATCCGACGCATCTTGCGAGGAGCTGCTTACGGGCGTATCGCCGTAGGTCAGCGGAATCATACAAACCAGACGCAAGAAGATCGTGAGCAGGGCATCTTGATGCAGGGCTTGCAATACCTTTGAGGCCGAGGAGAAGGATGTTCGCTTCGTTGTACCGATAGACTTTTGCAATTAGACGCCTTTGATGGCCTTTGACCTAGCGTAATGAAAGCTATGAAGCGTGCTGACGATAAGTAGAAGCCAGCTATGCCGTCATTTGTCGAAAGTCATCCTGGGGGTCAACCGCTGTATGACGGTAAATGACATGATTACAAGATTTCGCTCAGCAAGCTCACCACGAACGCAGTAAAGCAGACAACAACAACTATACAATGTCTGAAGAACGGTTGCCACCTTACGAACTCTCCTTTTCTCATGAGGCTGATGCTCCAAGCTATGATTCTGATAGCAATTTCGTCGCAACTCGAACATCTGATCCAGATGCGACGGCCAGCTTGGGCAACGTCACGGCGACATGCAAAGCACTAGATCCCTGCTCAGCTTCGGGCAGACCATACTATCTCATTCTTCCGAAAAGCTATGTCGCTCCTGTCTTCCAACATGGAAAGCCGCAGTCGTCGTGGCTTTTGACGACGCTCCGGCAATATTGCTGCACTACAATAGAGAATAGGCACTATCGCCTCCAATTCTCAGTGAAACCCTTCTGCCTGACTCAAGAAGGCATCACATTAGATGTCGGTTACCTACGAAGCGATTCGCCTCGACCATGCCCTGGAGACACTTCTCCCTTCAGCCCGTACGAGATGACGTTATAGTTTGTTCCGGTCTTCTTGCAGCCTCGCCCTGAATGCTACAGACGCGAGCTGTTATACAGGGGCTCAGTGTGACGAAGGGCGAACAGGACAGGACGAATGCTTGTGCTGAAGACAGGACTTGGGCGAGATGTAGGGGACAAGAATAGAAATTGTAAACTAAGGAACAAGACAGCGGAAGGCTGCCTACTTATGTCTACCAGGTACCAGCATGAGAGCGGATGGCGATGATGGGGATGGAGCCCACGGGAGCCGACTCTCAGCAGGAGAACAGTGAAAGAAGAGGGGAAGCGAGATTGCATGAGCCCAGTGGAGATGTCCGAGCTGCGAGATAAGGAAGAGACAGAACAAGGGACGACGTGGTAGACGTCGTCGACGAGTAAGAGAGCGAGTAAGGACAACGTGACAGAGCGTTGCCGGAAGCGAGGAAGCTAGGCGCGGGACGATAGGCAACGTGCTGAGGTGATAAGCGTCGTTGAATGGCGGAAGGTAGAAGAGCCGCGATGAGTTGCTAGAGCATGTGGTGCGGGAAAGTCGGATGCGAGGTTTAAGGCTGCGTGTTCGTTACAGAACCTCCTCCTCCAGGCGCTGCGTCTCGAAGTGCACTTGGTCGAGTGGGTAGCTTGACGTAGGATGGGACAGCAGCATCGGGGTTGCGGAGATGGAAGTCGTGAACAAGAATCGGAGCATTCTGGTAGGCCTCACGAGCAGGGATCCACTCGTCCTCATCGTGTGGGAAGCCTTCGTAGTGGATTTTGTATTGGAAGCCGCTACCGCGTGGTTGAATAGCCATGATTTCATCGTAGATCCATTCCAGGTTGTTGCCGACGACGATAGGCTCGGGAGCTTCTTGAGGTCGCTCCAGGTAGGCCTTGCCGAGGGACTCTGGTGATTGATGAGGAGACAAGAGGCTAGAGTGGAACACATTGTGTATTCGCATCGAGGCAGGAAGACGGAGTTGGAAGGCTCGGTCGTGGATTGTGTCGGTAATGGGAAAAGGACCGAGATTCTTGTGCGAGAATTTGCCTTGTTTCTGCAATGCTTGGACGTTCTTGGCGTTGAGCCAGACTTTCTGGCCGAGCTCGAAGGGAGGAGCTTCAAGACGATGACGATCAGCGAAGGCCTTTTGAGCAGCTTGAGCGTCTTCGAGATGATCCTTGAGTTCTTGTTGAACAAGCTTGAGACGTTGAGACATGTCGTAGCTAGTAGCATTGCGAGAATCGGTAGTGGCATCGAAGCGTAGACCAGACCGAGGATGGTAAGAATAATTGGCAAAGAAGGGTGTTGTCTTGATGGACGCATGAACCGAGTTGTTGTAGGCAAATTCGGCTCTTGGCAAGAGCTTGACCCAATTGTCTTGATCGGCGTTGGTGAAGCACCGAAGGTATTGTTCGAGGGTGGAATTTGTTCGCTCTGTCTGACCATCTGTTTGAGGGTGATAGGCAGTAGACAGATGTGCTTTGACAGCAGGGTCGAAGTGACCAAGGAACGCTTTCCAGAACGAGGAGACGAAGACAGAGCCACGATCGGAGACAATATCGAGTGGCATGCCATGGTGAGTGAAGATTCTGTCCATGAACAATGCTGCGAAGCCTGCTGCGTCGGTGGCCTCATGGTAAGGAATGAAGTGAGCCATTTTGGTGAGGCGATCGACGACAACAAGAATAGAATCGAAAGAGTCCGAAGGTGGAAGCTTGACGATGAAGTCTAGCGAGATAGAGGACCATGGAGTCTCTGGAACAGGCAGAGGCTGGAGCAGGCCATAAGGCTTGTGGCGCGAGACCTTGGCGCGAGCACACGTATCGCAAGTTGCGACGTAATCGTGGATGTAAGCACGCATTGACGGCCAATAGTACTGCCGAGAGACAAGGTCGAGAGTCTTGGCGACACCCCAATGACCGGAGATAAGCGAGTCATGATGTTGCTGGAGAATAGCCAGCTTCAGAGGAGCATCAGATGGGACGTACACACGGTCTTTGTAGAAGAGAAGACCGTTGTCGAGAGAAAAAGGCTGGTCAGCAGTGAGATGGGATGCATCAGAAGGTGCTGGCGAGGAGGAACGACTTGGCGACGGAGAAGATGGACGGCTTGACGTCGAAGGAGGCTGCTGAAGTGCGTCGAGAGCGTCTTGCACCAGTGGATCAGCGGAATACGCGGCAATGATGCGAGCGCGGAAGTCGTTGTCTGGGGAATTGGGAGCAGACGGCACAGAGGTGACTTGCCTTGAAGTTGGCGAAGTCCGAAGAGTAACAGGAGCAAGTGACAATTGACCTGGCTTGAAGAAAGTCATCGTGCGAGTTGATTTGCGATCCCCCTCGGAAGGCCGGAGGTCCTCGCGACGGCTTAGTGCATCAGGTTTGCCTTGTTGAGCACCAGGTCGATAGACGATGTTGTAGTTGAACCTGGACATGAAGAGGGACCAGCGTACTTGACGTGAACTGAGAAGTCGGTTCGTGTTGAAGTACTCCAAATTCTTGTGGTCGGTGAAGACAGTGATGGCATGTGCAGAGCCCTCCAGATAGTGGCGCCATGCTTTGAAGCAATCAAGAATTGCCAACAACTCCTTGTCGTAGATTGGGTAGTTGCTTTCTGGAGGCGAGAAGGTGCGGCTGTGGAAAGCCACGGGTCGAAGGATCCCGTTTGTATCGGCTTGGGACATGACACAGCCAAGTGCAAAGTCGCTGGCGTCAATCTCAATGACCACTGGCTTATCTGCGTCAAAATGAACGAGGATAGGGGCAGAAGAAAACAATGATTTGAGCTGAGTGAATGCCGCGGTAGCTTGATCGTTCCAAAGGAACACTTTGGTCGCCTTGCTTGTGAGAGCGTAGAGCGGCTTGACAATCTTGCTGTAGTTGGAGATGAAGCGACGGTAGTAGTTGGCGAAACCACAAAACACTTGGACGTCGTGGACTGACTTTGGTTGAGGCCAATTGATGATGGCGTTGACCTTGACGGGGTCCATTGCAATGCCGGTGGGAGACACGACATAACCAAGAAATTCGATCGTGTCGACGTCGAAGACGCATTTTTCCGCTTTGACGAAGAGATTGTGCTCGTCGAGAACCTTGAGAACTGATAGAACATGTTCAGTGTGCTCGTCCTGCGTTTGGGAGTAGATGAGGATGTCATCAAGATAGCAGACGGCGAATTTGTCGAGGAAAGGTTGAAGCACAGTGTTCATCAACGTCTGGAAAGAAGCGGGAGCGTTGGTAAGTCCAAAAGGCATAACGTTGTACTCGTAGTGCCCGTAACGAGTCTTGAATGCGGTCTTCCATTCATCTCCCGGCGCAATACGCAGTAAGTTGTATGCGCCGCGGAGGTCAAGCTTGGTGAAAATCTTTGCATGGTGCAATTGATCCAAGGTTTCAGAGATGAGAGGAAGAGGAGCCCGATTCTTGACGGTGATGGCATTGAGGCCGCGATAGTCGATACAGAGACGCAGAGACCCGTCCTTCTTTTTGACAAAAAGGGCAGATGCGCCAGCTGGACTTTCGGAAACAGAGATATTGCCGAGCTTGAGCTGTTCGTCCAAGTATTCCTTGAGGATTTTCAGTTCCTCTGCACTCATGGGATAAAGCGCCGTCGAAGGAGGCGAGGTGCTCGGGAACAAAGGAATCTTGTGATCGTAAGCAGCATTATCGGGAAGGCGGGCAGCCTGAATCTTCGAGAAGATGCGGAGAAGGACGTGATATTTGTCCGGTATCGCGCGTAGCAGGTCTGGCTCGACGTCGGAGTAGATGTCGGCGAGATCGATGTGGAGAACATCGTGAGTTTTTGCTAGCCGGGCGAAAGACTTGAGCGACACCATGTGGATCTGCATGACGTTGGCATTGACTGGAGGAGCGGCATCGTGTTGGACAGGCGATTGATTGATGTGCGCCTTGCACGAGGCCGGGAACTGGACTGTGGACGCAGACCAGTCGATAACAGGATTGTGCTTCGCAAGCCAAGTGGTGCCAAGAATGAGATCGTAGCCGGAGAGCTCGGCAACGACGAAGTGGTGGCATTCTTGGTGGTTACCAATGGTCATGCGAAGGGGAGACGTGAATTGGGAGGCAGACTCGAGTTCCTTGCCCGTAAAGCCTTTCAGCGGGATTGCGCTGTCAAGGGTCACGGTCGGGAATCGGCCTCGGGCCACACAAGCTGCGCTGATGAAGCAACTTGTTGCACCGGAATCTAGGAGGGCAAACGTGTCAAGGGAACTATCACCATGGGAGATGGTAACAGGCAAGACACTTTGCGGATGAGACGAGAGAGGAGGCAGAGAGATGGAGAAAAGACAGAGATTTGCGCTATCGTCTACAACAG